CTATCCAAGAATAGCGCAACGCGGGCAGTCTTTTCAGGCCCCCAGTGGTTGGAACGCCCGTGGAGCTTGGAGGGCGTGGGGAGGGCCCTTCAGATTGAGGAGTGCAGGGAGCGTTTTACCGCGCTTTCTCATGTTTCGAGCCGGGGTGAAGGCGTGGAAGATGTGGTTTGGGTCTGGGGATGGGATGGGATGAAATGGGCCCCGTGTCCCCCACGGAGAGCCGGGGGGGGCTTCACCTTGACAGTTGACAGTTGAGGTGACAAGCTGAGCTGCAGCGCTGGCTGCGGTGGGCTGAACCCCACGCCCCACGCTCTTGAGGTACTTTACCAGTTAGGTAACCCCCCTAACCCCCGGTGCCCGGCAAGGTCCATTTCAAGAAGGTTTCCGACACCAAGGCGTGACCGAAGCAACGATTCGTCTCTCGAGGGCTTTTTGTCGTGATGGCAAAGAAAACGCGCAAAGTCACGAAGAAAGTGCCCAAGGCGTTGCCGCTACGCTAGACACTGATGGAATGTTGGTTTGACCGAAATTTGAGCTCCGTGTACATACGCGTCCGTGCTCATGGGTAGGAGCCACCGAACCGTTTGAACAAGCAGCTGGACGACACGACAGTCTAGTGTCGAGAACAGCCCCTGTATTCTTTGCAAATGGAGCGGAAAGTGCGGCGGACGCCAATTGGTCCGGCGCATGTTCCGGACGACGGCCCCCAGACCCTGGCGGGTGAAGGTTGACCAGATTCCCTTTCCGGATTTGGCACCGCGAGCCTAGTCCAGCCATTCCCGGACGAGCAAGCAGTTTGGTAGCTCTGGGCCGACGCTTGGACCTCAACCGCCTTCCAGAAGCTCACGGTGCTCCTGCTCCTGCCGTTCTCCACCTAGCGACTGTGGACACTTGTCAGTGCCCACGGCCTGGACGGCAATGACGGGACGGGCGGGAGCTTTCCAAATTGTCAGATTAGCAATGTGAGGTTTTGTCGGTTTGCGCGGCTGCTCCCTCGTATTTCCCCTTTCTTTTGTTCGTCGCTACTGAGAAAAAGGGGTCGAAAAAGAAAGCAATTGCACCATTGAAAATAATTATCGTTTTGTTTCTTTCTCAAGGCCTATCAAACGTTAGCGTGGGCGCCACACCCATTCCGCCATTCTGGTCGGACCGGGGAGCGCCCCCATGTTTCAACCCCGGTTTGGCCCCCCAATCTCCTGTTTGCCCTTGGCCCCTTCGGCGCTGGTCCGAGCTCGGGGCATTCCAGACCTTCTTCCCTCCCTTTCGGGGTGTTCATCCTTTCCTTCGGGTTCATTTGGGAGTTGGCGATGCGCGCCGCACACCAAGAGCCTAACAATAGTTCTGGAAACCTGTTGCCTGAGAACCAGTGAGACAAGATCGGTATATTTCTTTCTCGGGGCAAGCCATGGATGCAGCATCCGTCGGTGCCTGGGCCGACCTCCCACAAGAAACGTGCTCTGACAGGAGGATCGGGCCTCCGATCTGAAATCTGACTAAGAGCCGACGGATGTGGCGCCCTTTCCGTGCGTGCGTGAGCCTGGGGGAGGATGATGTGTGAATCTCCCGCTCCGCCAGTCTGCACTCTGCACACATCACAATTACCTTAACGTTAAAAGCTTGGCGCTAAGAAGCGTCGAGGACAGACAAACAGCAAAAAGGCGGGATCTGCCTTCCGGGCCCCCCTTTAGCTCCCACGCGGGGACGACAGGATCCGCGACCGAGATCGCCCAATCCTCCCTTTGCTTTTCAAGTGAGGTGAAGTGAGGGGAAAAAAAGGTTGCTGGCCGGAGAGCTGGATGGGTTTACCACTTTGGGGCTGGGCACCTTTCGGGCCACCACACCATCATTATCGCGAAAGGCGGTCAGAGAAAGGGAAAACAGATTCTAGACCAACGCATCCCGCATCGGATTGTTTGGACCGCTTTGCGCTGTCTCGGAACTGAGCGGTGGCCGCCTTTTGTTTTGTCATGGAAACCGACAGAAACCTGTTTGGGCAAGGTAAGGGAGCCATCTACACTAGGTAAGGTACCTAAGTTACGTCAAAGACTCTCCGAAGACGGTGAACAGCAAGCACCGCGGGGTATCACCTAGGCGCTGCCAACCCATACATGCATACGGAGTATGTACTATCGTCCCTCTTCCTGTTGGGCATATTTGCGTCTGTCTCTTGCGTTGTCCATGCACTCGTCCACCATCGGCTGCCAGCAAGCCATGTATTTGCGATGTCGGGACGTTTGCGGAATCAAGAAGAAGCCTGGCAGAGGCAAAGCGAATGCGTAAGCGAAAGTGAAGGGCGAGAGGCGAGTGAGGCGAACGTTCGGACTCCGTGGTGTCTGTCTCTGTGTATGTGCCTCGCGAAAGCACGCCCCGGACCGACGGGAGATGGACGGGAGAGGTCTTGCCGCGGTCCTGCTTAACGTTATCGATTGCGAGAGGTACGCGCGGAACTCGACACCCTTCCTGTGTTCCCACATCCGCGCCGCTCCTCCCTCCGTCCCACGTTACGCCAACCTATTGGCAAGTCTACAACAGCACCTACTAGTACTGAGTAAAGTGTGTGTCGCACAGAGACTTACGCAGTAAGCAAGTAGAATCCCTCTAGAAGGGTCGGTGACTTTGGGGGCTTTGTAAAAGACCTTACATAGACGCACACACACGCAACACTAACGGTTCGTACTGTAGGGACCTACATACAGGACTGAGCCTCACAAGGACCGAACCGTGCTTCCCCAGTCTGACTCAGGCGTGCGTCGCGTCCGGAGTAAAGGGCATCGCGCAATCGCAAGTCTACCGGCTGGCTTACGCAGTATTATGCTTGTTGTTGGTCGGCATGCCAGTTAGTCGGTGACTGCATTGCACATCATTCGGGCCATTCCCGACGCTGCAGTGGGCCTCGAAATCGTGAGTTCTGATAGCCAGCCCTACACTATCGGGGTGAGTGCCAGAGTATCAACAATCATACGGATACCCGGACCCGAAGGGCAGGCAGTTGGATTCAATCTACACTTGCATTTCCGCCCGCGCCCTGCGCCATTGCTAATCCTTATGACATGCCCGATCAGGATGCTCCCGAGTATCTTTATGACCCGGGCAGCAAAGGGGGTGCTGGGCACAATCTGCTGGATCATTGAGCGAGGCCAAGATTGCAGAGTATAAAAATAAAGTAAGATGCCCAGGGCGCCCGGAAGGGAAGGAAAAGGAAGGGTAAAATAAAAGGGACTGGACATGGTGGGGTCAGCATGACGTTGCAATATCGGCCAGGCTGCGATGGCATCAACAACAAACAGGAAGGCTGTTGGTTACTGCTGTCTCTCTACTGTGTGCTGTGAGTATTGCGCCGTGGGCTAATCCACAGCTTCCGTACAGAATACGTGAGTGAGACTGAGTAAGGTTGTTGTCGTATCGTAGGTAAAAAGTGTGTGTCGCGGCTTTTGACTTGGCGCCGACGAGTACCCGATTTACTACACTGTAGCGCATCGCAGCTTGAAATGGTCGCGGCACCAACGTCAGCAACCACACTCCATCCCTCTAGACATGCAAGTCGGCGGTCCTCGAGATTTCCTGTTTCTGGGACGCTTTCCGAGTCCGAGTAGAGAGCCGAGAAAGACATTCTGTTTTTGGTTTGTTTGCATCACGAAGAAGTGTCCGGCGTACCAAACCAAATCAAATCAAATCAAGTCCATCCCTTGCCAGCCCAAACTTCTCAAGCGCTGAATCAAGTTTTGGGGGGAGACGGCAGCCACGGAACAGCGATCTTGAATTTTTGTTTGCTTCCCGTCCATCCCGTGCCCCGATGTGTCAATTATATAATTTTTTTCCTACCATGACTTTTTCGGGCAACAGACGGAATACGGGCGTAGAGATGCAAAAAAAAAAAAAAGGAAAAAAAAATAAGATTGTACGGACGGGGACAACAGTGCACAGCGAAGCAATCAAACATCACAAACTTACATTACCGAACCAACACGACGCCAACATTTGAGGGCGATGCTGTCCAACAACAAGATGCTGTTGGGCTGTATGTTGGAGGCGCACAGGCAGGCCGAAGCCAGTGTGTTTGACAAAAAAGACTCTAACTGCCGCTTGCCCTTCCGTCGCGACGGGTTGGCGGCGACATACAGACAGGCAGGCAGGCAGGCAGACAGCTGCTGCGCTTTGTTGGTTGCATCCTAAATCTCAAGGCGGTGAGGCGTTTAGCTTTCCACAGGTTGCGTACCCATGCAGGCGCGGATGAGGGAAGACAGGGGTCCGGCATCCATCTCGGGGGACAGGACCCGGGGAAGGCAGAGATGGAGATTCTGGAGAGAGTTGGGACGGTGGGGAATTTCCTGTGCTAAAGTTTTAGGCCCTAGGCGGCCCTAGGCTGGGGGGGACTGACCCACGAAGACCCCCCTCCCTTGCTCGGCGGCCAAGGCGGCGAATGGGGCCGGAATGGGGGCAGCTACCCAAGCCTGCCAAACTGGAGGCTGCGTTTGGCTGGCTGTCGCGCGGACCCTGCCCTTTGGCCTTTGCCCCGTGGGACGGACCACGGTACAAACGTGCTAGGGAGCCTGTCGTCGTCGCCTGGGGACAAAGCGCGGAGACATAGCCTCAGTTCCCCTGGGATTGGAAAGAGAAAAGAGAAAGTTCCATGGAATCCAGTGCAATCCAATTCGGGCATCCTTCCATCAGCCATCCATCCACGCATTTTCCCAGGGCACTGGGCGGCGGGCACCCGGGCAAATCTCCCTCTCTCTCGTGTCGTGTCGTGTTGTGTCGTGTCGTGGACTCGTGTCGACTCATTTCCAGATATTGCCTCCTCCGACGGCCACGGGAGGGAGCTCAGCCCTGAGCAACCGTCCAGCCGGTTCTCGTTCATTTCTGGCCACTGGTCCGCCCGGTCGTGGCCCAATCACTATATCTCGGCCACCTTCGAATTTGGGGTTTGAGTCAACAATTCCTGGCTGTGTAAGCCAAGACGGCAATGGACGCCAGCAGCGGGCGGGAGGGAATGGAATAGCGACTGGCGGAAGCGATGGCGGAGGGCAGGAAGGCGGTCAGACACCGCAACTTGTCTTTCGGCGTGTCAGCGCAGCGACGGTGTCTGTCCATGCGCGTGGGGGGGACGCTGGGTACCAATCCGAGTCATCGAATTTCAGGAAATGGTGCCCCAGGTGCGGAACAGCGTCAGTGCCACGGCTATGGTTGGGCAGCCTGGCAGTTTGCTGCCTGCCTGCCTGTCAAGACCTTCAAGGGATGGAAGTACTCTCCAGACTGCACAAACCCAAGGGTCCTCCAAGGATACCTCCAAGATCGCTAATAACCTAGCTGTTCCTTCCAGCTGGCTCTCGGCCCCGTGTTCCCAACCGCAGCCCCATGGCAGGCTAGTACTACCCAAGTTAGCAGCAGTGGCAGCCAGCCTGTCCCCCCATCCCGCGTACACCATTCCGACGGGGAGCGGCGTCGGGACGCCTGGGACGCGAGAAATAAGAAAAAAAAAAGTACCAGGCCGAGGCGAATCCTCTTTGGTAATTTATATCGCTTGTGCCGCAACCCGCCTCCCCCGTCGCGACCCCCTTCCCACCCCCTTACCGTTGTTTCTTTTCCCACATGCCCACTTTTCGAGGCTTCCTCCGACTTGCCTGTTTGATCATAGCAGGGGCCAGAATTTAATCTGCCCCACGGATCCTGTCTCCTGGGTCACTCACCCCTGCCCTGCCGCCGTGTTGTCACCGTCCCGACACTCGTGGGCATATAAGACTCTCGGCCTCCCACCCTTCGGCTTCACCCACCCCCTCGACTCTGGTTTGACTCGACAACCGAGATAATAATCACTACACGACTCCATACCTGGACGCCGGCCTCATCAACAAGCACATCTTCGGCCTCGCACCTGTGCTCCAGCCATATATAATATACCCACTTCGCCGTCCCACACGAAGCAGACACCTACCACTTCCGCAGCCATGTACGGCTCATACGGCTCTCCGAGCTCTTCCTACAGCTCCTTCAGCTCATACAGCTCTTATGGCAGCATGTCGTCACCGATGGACATTGCTCCGAGCCCTTTCTCCTCACGGGCGGCCGATGCGAGCTGTGCCTTCCCATCTTGGCCGCGCCGGTCTTCGCTCTCCGAGTACGACGCCGCCGAGGAACGGGCCAGCTCCTACATCCCAGACGAGGACTTCTTCCCCGAGGACGTTTTCGAGGACGATGCACGCAGTGTCTCGAGCAACGGCAGTAGCTCCCCGGTTCAGTCACCACCAGCGCAGGCCATGACCGAAGCCGACCTACTAGAGATGCAGCGTGAGCGGGCAGCCTACCAACGCGAGGTTATGCGGTTCCTCGTCACAGAGAAGGAGAGGCGACGACAAGCAGCCAAGCGCACACGGCGCAGCAGTTCCTCGGGCGCGACAACATCTTCATCTTCATCTTCCAAAAAGAGTCCAAAGAGTAAGCTTTGCGCCATGACTCCCATTGCCGAGGCTGAGTGAGATGCCTGGTCGGCGCGTTTCATGCAGTGTGGCGTGGGTTATAAACCCGCTGATATAATTGGGTAAGCCAGAACCCGACCTTTTGGACGAGCCAACAACCACTAACAGAAATCCGGCTTATAGATCATTTGCGTCCGTGACTCATTCGAACAATTCAAATACTACGGCAGCTAACCCGCCGAGGCCTTTTTCGCCATGTCCCGGCGCGTGTAAGCACATGCGCTACGCTGACGTACTCTGGAAACCTCGGGCCTTCTTTACCGAGGCCAAGGACATTGCTTCCAGGTTTGAGAGCATCCGAAAGACTTGTGGGGAAATTATCCATGTCCCCGAGCGAATACGCCAGGCCCGGTTTTTTCTCTCTTTTCGCTTTTACAAGATGAGCCGGAGATCTGCCCGCGGCCCGACCGGGAGAACAACCGACATTTGACTTGCACCAACGGAACCCCCAACCCCATCAAGCACTCGCAAAAAAGTCTCGCACCACCAGCCTTTCTGGGTCGCACAGGGCTGCGACCTCGCGCTCACAGCGGCCAAATGCCGGCTATGGTGCAGTGTGCACTGGTGCGACCCGAAAGCCCTCCCTTCGGGCTTGCGGGTCGAAAAGGGCAGCGGGCAAACCTAACGCGTGCTCGCGTCAGCCCCAATGAGACAGAAAACGGTTGTTTCCCGAAACAGAAGCTGCCCGCTCCGTCCCCTTCCGCTCTAGACCGCCAATCCGCCCCCATCCGGCTACCCCCGCCTTCATGAACACAGCCTACCAACACTTGGTCCTAATCAACATCATCCTTTTTTTTTTTTGTGTGGCTTCACGCCCAAAAACCAATCCACGCCGTCGGATCATTATCGTCAACGCTTTCTAATTCTGCCTGGACGCCGATCTCGCACTTTGCCAGCGGCGAATCTTTTTTTCTACTTGCAGCGTTTTTAATACCGGCTTATTTAATAATCTCTTGTCTCCGGGAACGCGGGCGCGGACTCTAGATATTTGTTGTTTCTCATCCCGGCGAGTTGACGGGTGTTTGCGCCTGTGTCTCGGGATTTTCCCTTTTCTTATCTTCTGTCAGCAATTTCTCTGCCACGACCCAAGTCCTGTGCGACTTTGGGATTTTCAAAGCCCATTTCCCTTTTATTGTCTTATTAGAAGCCGGCGTTCATCGTTTGTATCACCTGTTCTTTCCATTTAGGTCTGTCAAGGGAAAGAAAAAATAGGCCGGGCAAGATTGGGAAAAGACGGCCACCTGCTTCAATGCACTTTTTCTTTCTGGTAATCAGTCGCGGGCGGGGCATCAGCATCATTATCATCGGCAACAAGGCACGGAGTATCATTTGGCTTTGCTTTTTTTCTTGTTTTCTTTTTCTTCAAGATGGGATACCCAGCGACATCTTGGTCAAAGTGTTTCCCTGTTTCGACTTTTTTTTGTTTCCGTTAATCGGACAGCGAGTGCGGATACCCCTCAAGCAAAGCATGATACCCCGTGGTTCTCTTTTTCTTATTTCCTTTTTGTCATTGGCATCATTAGCATATTTAGCATTAGCGTTAGCGATAGTTTGCTTTACCAACAATGAGTTTGTTTGCATTTACCACCAAAGCACTTCGTACCTCGTGCTGTGATGAATGGTGGGTGTTTGTCGCTGCTGATCTCAGGCCCTCGACCTTATCCGATGCTGCAACACCAAAGAACTCCGAGATTTGGATGTGACGATCGCCCGGTCTAGAGTGAGTCTATCTAGTAGAAAAGGTTGCTGAGCCGAATTCTTGCCCTGACAGGCGGCGATTGCTGAGGGACGTTTTTTGGCGGAGACACCGAGGGCGGTGTGTGTCGAGCAAGTGATCAGCATGACGGAAGCCCGGCTCGGCCCACACAATAGCCCGCATTTAGGAAAACGTGAGGCCAGAGAAAGTTGCGATCGCCGGCGGTTTTGTCTTGTTCGGGTGAAGACCGATTTCCTAAACCTTTTTCTCCCCGGTCCGGTCCGGCCCTCAGCTCAGATTTCGCTTTCTCACCTTGTTTCAAGCCAGCCCAATCCATTTATTCGTCCCCCCACTCAGTCACTCCCTCCACAACCCCCGACAAACTTCCCGTCTAATTAGCGCCCGTCATCCGTCATCCGTCACCCGCATCCGCATCCGTATCCCTCCACTCTCTGGATTTTCTCATCTCTCGGTCCAACTGATGGTCCAAGTTTTCGTTTCCGTCTCCAGTTTTCTTTCACCCCCGTAATGTCTATTGACAGGTCCGAAAGTTCGAAACACCCCTTTTTTTAGTCACATCTCTTTGTCTCTGCCGATCCACCAACCGATCCACCGACCCACTGAACGACCGGCCGACCGATCCCCACACCGGGGCAGTCCGGACCGCCGGCACATGCGAACGCTGAGACCGTGCGCGAGACATGCCGACCAACCTCCTCTAGCACACGCGCATCAATTGGACTCTTTTTTTTTTACCCCCCGGGGGGGTGTCTTGTGAATGTAACTGAGAAATATGCAATCCTGTCTTCTGTGTCGGAATACCGCCGGGTACGGGACAGGAGCTCCCCGTCCACCCCACGGCCCCCCTCCCCTCCCCCCCGCGCGGCCCGCCGTTAGTTGACTTGACAGGACAAAAAAAAGCAAATATAACCGCTCCGTGAGTGGGGGCAAGTTTAGGTTTCAGGGTTTCGCGCTTGCAAAATTCACATCCTGGCCCCCTTTCCATCGAACAACCTAGGTACTGACCTTGCAAGGTAAGGAAGTCACTTACTTAGTTCCGTGCTCAAACGTTTTGCGTCTTATGGGAATCCTTTCCTATGTCCCGTCTGTGAGTTATATATTTGTTCCTATACATATACTTTAGGAGTGACTTTCACACGTTAAGTGTCTCACCAAAGTGAATTGGCTTATACCCGTCGCCACACACACTGAGATGGTCCGTGAGTTACTGGTTGTCTTGCTAAGGAAGGAGACGAGTGGAACTTCCATACAACTAAACCAGAAAATCACACCCCAGAGACAAGAAGAAAGAGAAATCGGTGTGGTGTGAACGACCTGCAGGCAGTCAAGTGCGCAGTAAGTGGGCAAGTTTCAGTTCTACAGTCTGTATGCTTATCCCGTGATATTGCCCTCACACCTACATCCATACGATACTTCATGAACCTACAGAGAGAAGCACCCCCGTTGTCGAATATAACGGCGGGGAATGCGGTTCCCACATGGCCGAGATCAGGCTCGCGAAACCTTTTCCGTCTTCTTTTGCATGTGCGGGCGCAGGCCGGCGCGCAGATCGGGGCGCGCGCGCGTGAAAAGAAAAGAAGCATGGAAGATCAAATTCGGTCGACAGAAGCGTTTTGATGCGTGAATATATGTCCGCGTGTGTGTGCGTGATGCGTTCTTTTTTTTTTTTTTTAATAAAAAAAGATTGGTCACATCACAATTGTGGCTGGCATGGCTGGCATACGTACACATGGCTTGGAGGGGAGGGGAGGAGAGTGTGACTATAGAACGCAACGCTCTCTCTCTCTCTCTCTCTCTCTCTCTCTCTCTCTACCCCTAGATATTCTTTTTATGATAATCACCACCATAACTACATATAGCCGATAATAACGGAGACAAGATGGCGAGCGAGCAGTTGGTGAGGTGGCCAGTTTTTGTTGAGAGAGAACCAACTACAGTACATACAGATAGAGAGCAGCAAGAGAGAGAGCTAAGAGCGGTCTCGAATTGCAATGTCTTACACACAGGAGCCGGTTCCCTACCCCGTGTAAGCCAGCCAGATATTTCCTACGTATGTATGTTATGTACCGCGAGGTTCACGGCGCGGCGCGGCACGGCACATTACATTACACACATCACGGCTACACAAGAAAGAAGTAAATCCTCTTTTCTCTTTTCACTTCCCCGGGGATATTAACTTGTGCGTGCTTCGGAAACAAATCCAAGACAATGGGTAGTTCCAAGACGACAATGGCGGCGAACGGCGGTGAATCAGAGACATCTCAGACAATGTCTCAGTCGTCTCTCTCTTTCGGTTCATCCACATTTCTTGGCGGTCTTCTCGAATGCGGTTTGTGTCCGCCTGCCTGTCTGTACGTGTTCCGAAGAGTGGACGGATACCGGTCGTAGCGTGGCTGCCGGCGGGTGTCGTTCGGTTGGTTGCGCAACCGGGTTGGAACCATACAGGAGGTGCTATGTCTTTTGCGAGTATCTCAGGATACATTCATTGTTCTCTCTCTCTCTCTTAATGCCGATAGAGCTCGGGAGGATTCGTTGTATTCCTTCCCGAGAGGTGGCAGGCACGCTACATATGTGATAGCGTGATATATCTAAGCTATGACCTTATTCGCGGAAACGGGACCCGTGAGGTTTCCGTGATATCCAAATGTGTGCCTGGGTGTGTGTGTGTGTGCATGTGTGTGAGTGGGTGGCAGCCTCGCTCCGTCCGCTTTCGGACGGCGTGCTGGGTCCATCACAAAGTCCATCACGGGAACCATTGTTGCCTTTCCACAATTGGAAGAGCTGGAGACGGGAAGCGATCCTTGGCGCAACCCTGTCCCCTCCCAGGAGCGAGCAATTATCTTATCAATTGGCATGTGCGGTATGCGGAGGAGGTGGTGGAGGTGTGATTGTGATGCGGGCGAGATTATATCGATCTGTTGGTCTGGGAAACAGAACAGAGAGAGAGATTGGCCGTTTTCTTTTGGTCTTCTTTCACTTCACACCTTCAAAGCCCCTAGGGACCGAGCGGGAGGTGGTTACACGGGGGCCGAAAGAAGGGGGTACAAAAACTCCCGCAGTCGGAGGGCTCGACGTCGACCCCTTCCGATCATCCGATCACATCAAAGTGACAAATGCCTCCGTGAGGAAGGGTGCTGGATGAATTGCAAAAAAAGGCAAAAATAAAATATCACGTCTGTCAATGCCATCAATGCCTTGGTGGATCGCCCGCGAGGCATGAAGTGGTTTATTGTCCAGCCGCAACCAGATGACATCTCGACCTGGAATATGGGAAATGTCCCGTTTGATGGAGACTCGGACAAGGATCTGCTTTGCCCTCCCGTCGTCGATCCCAGGCCCCCCCCTGGATGCTTGCTGGACATGACATGGGATTGTCGAGAAAAAGTAAATCATAGCGCGGTGCACTGTGTTGCTTCTTTTCCTGCCCCGCCTTTTTGCTTGTTAATTGTTTGGCCTTTTGCTTTGCGTGCTCTTTCCCCTTGCAGTCAGTCTTTCTTGGCTGGCTTCTCGTTGGTCTCGATTTCCCGCTTGCTCGCTTGCTCGCTTGCTTGCCGGCGGATTTCAATGGCCAAAAAGCGAGGGGAAAAGGAAAAAAAGCAAATAGGCCAAGGCGCGACGGAGCTATCTCCCCGCTCTTCGACGCCGCAGTCCCGCCGCCGCTGCCGCCGCCGCGGCGAGATGCTTGCATCGGGCCCACCCTTCCCCCGGCCCATCAAACCTCGATAGCGGGAGCTTAGGTTATCAAATCTGACATGTCAAGGGCCATTTGCTAGCAACGACACGTCTGGCTACAGATACAAGCTCCCAACTCTAGACATTGAAACAGAATAACAGCGACAATGCCCATCAACTCGAGGGTGAGGCGAGGGTGTTACCTTGGGCTTGGACCAGGCAGTTGCAATTCGCACGTTGAGGCCGTGATGCGGAGTGCGGGCGGGGTTGCGGGTGCGGACAAGTTCGTGATGTGATGCCCAATTCTCGATGCTGCGGTGCTGCCCTCTCCCTTGTGCGACGGGTCCGGTGGCCGCTGGGTCGCTCAGCAGCACCTAGCACTGGACTGCAAGCTCTCCACGTCTTCTAGAAAAGCGACAGTGACTCGAGCCGGTGTGTGTGGTGATGTGGTGATAGGTGTTCCTGAGCACTGCATTGGCCCGTCCTGCTTTTTTTTCTTTTTCATCTTCCCATCTCCTCCCTCGATGTGAGACAGCATACGATGCAATGTCAGGCACGGAAGCCAAAGGCTGGCTGGAAATCGATGCCCGCCGGGCGGTGACCGCTGCGAACGCTTTACCCACCTCGTGCTGCCTTGCGACAGGGCAAGCAATCAAGCAATTGGGTTTGGGCCGCCGAACGTGGCCTGCCTGCCCGCCATATGCCTGGCTGAGGTATTCGTATGTGCATTGTGCTCCGTACCTCCACTTGGGTTGCCCCTGCCTTGCCTTGCCTTCCCCAGCCCAGCCCAGCGTACCCAGACCCGACAGTTTAACGTTAGGCCTTGCATCCTGCGGCCCATGGGGAACACGGCCACGGTTGGCTGCTTACATGGAGCCTAAGGTAGGTACGGTAACTCCGTATTCTCCAATCGATAACACTTACACGGGGTTAAAAGATAATTCTGCAGAGTGAGTTGGGAATAGATGCAGCACTTTTAACGACAGGTGAACCAACAAGACCATTTGAGGTCCGGGGGACTGCCAACTGGAAGACCTAGTTCTAGACTCGGACACTATCCACAACCAATCACAGCCAATTCAGCTGCTTTTGGGGGAGGGTTTCATCGCTCAGGTTGGTGGTGTGGTTATGGTGTGCAAGTCTGTAAGTGTGTGTGTGTGTGCACCTGCAGGTAAAAGTGTTTTGAAATTTGTTCCCAGACAATCCAAGCCCTCGGACTGCTTTGTGGCTTGCACTCGGTCGGGCATAGACGGGAGTAGACGGGAGGCGTGTTGTTTCCTATTAACATTCGAGGCTGAATATGCACTACGGCGCAGGAAACAAAGGCATTCCAACGTCTAATGAGCCAAGTTGCCTACATACATACATACGCAGCAGTTAATGGTCAAGGGAGCGGCAAGGAGAAGAAACCTTTATACATTTATTCACTGACAAAATGGCGAATTAGTGGGTAGACTGTGAAGTGCAGTACTTTTGGAAACTCGTGCTACTAGCAACCTGGCACTCGAAATTTGACAAAAAGGTTGAAAGGAAATGCGGAGAAAATTCGGGACGGGGACGAATCGGAAACTTATCACAAACGTCTATACGCAGTAAGTGCATTACATAGTACGTAGGTACTTTGTACTTGGCAGGAAACCGTTGTTTGTCCAAGACTCACTACGAAGTATCCGTAGGCCGGCGAGAATAACCCGATGCCATGCGAACCGACCGGACCACGCCATTCCCCTCGCACTTGGACTCTTGCAGAGGTTCCTGAGTCTTTATCAGTCAATGCGTGGCCTGATTTCCAATCATCTGCAAAGAGGCTCGCAGCCAACGAGCTCGCTGCTCACTGACACGACGCGGCGCCGACTTCACACTAGGAAGGGCCTCGAGGCGGAGAGGTATGCGAGTTAATCTGAGCGTCTCTCCCTTCGAGTGACACCTGCAGTCGTGATGGTGGGGTGAAGAGCCCTTCTAAGCTCCAACACTCTTCGAGGTTGGGGGTTTCAGAAGCCGTAGGTGCCTGATTTCAAACATCGTGTTGGATGTTGGGAGCACCGGAATAGCACACCTGGGGCTTCACAGCATGACATCCCGTAGCGGAAGGCCCCAGGTACTGTAAGGTACATGGCCACACTCAACCCAGAGGTGACGTCGCCATTCGCAGTTGAGGTTCCCCGTCCCTCTTAGCTGCATTGCGTTGCGGCAACACAGCATCACGTACAGTACGAATTCTACACAGCAGGTAAACTGTACCAGAGGCACTGGAGACAATAGCTTCACGCTGGTCCGCCTGTCCCTGCGACTGCGGCTCAGGCCGCTAGCCACCTTCCGCTGCAGAAAACTAAATCTCGGATATAGTAGAGTTTGCGGGAGAATGCTGGGCTAGGTAGTATGTACCTGATGCATTCCTTCCTTCGGCTTTGTTGGTGCTCAGTCAAGAAAGCTTTGTCTGCCAAGCTGGCGGCCCGAAAAACACCCCTTTCAAGTTTGTTTGACACATCAATGCGAAGAGCTCCCAACGACACCAGCACCAAGCACCAGCAGCAGCCACAGCCACAGCAGCCTCAACAGCTTTTATGGCCTGTTATGGCCTGGCCGTGTCCGTCCTCGGCACGAATGTGCTCTGCGCCGGGTCAGTCGAGTTGTCGACCCAGGGAGCCGGGGCTGGCCGAGTGGCCCATTGTTTAAAAGACGGGAAACAGCAAAGGGAGCGAACAATGAGGATAATAACGCAAAGACGGTGCGGAGACTGAGAGGGCCAGCCAGGCAGGACGGGATGGGCGATAAAACCCTTGCTCGCGAGGGTGATAGCAGCCGTGATTGGCGGTGCATTGCAGGGATGTGCCTGCCAATCGAGAGCAAGGGCGCTTAGGACCCTTGGACGTTGCTCCCCCGCCGCCGCCTTTCGTGCATCTCCCCACCCCACCGCCCAACCACACCTCGAGGACAGCTTTTTGGGCAGAGCGACAGAGGCGACTGATTCAACTGAGGGGACAGACGAGACCCGAAGCCAACAGGAAACCTCTGATTCTCTCTGATTCCACGCCGTGATGGAGAACCCGGAGAGAAGGGGGCAAATAGCGCACGAGATCGAAGCTCCCCGAGAAAATCAGGAACAGCAAACACGATAACCAGCAGTTTCCATTGGGTACATACGAAGTACTCGAAACCCCGTCGATGGGGTCGTCCTGGCTGCGGGGCACGAACTGCAGTTGGGATGGGATGGATACGGTTCCGACTTTGCTGCCCCCCCCGGGTACATACACTGGACGTACCGTACTTACTGCGTTCTCACTGACTGGCATATGTCGGTAGGCATTGGCATTGCGCGCAGCCAGCAAACGGCCAGCCCAAGACATTTGTAGTGGTTCGAGCGCACCGCTCTGCAGATCGCTGCTGCAACGTTTTTCGAGAGATGCGATGCGATGCGCTCAGGCACCGCTTTTATTTGCAGACCCCCTCCCCGCCGCCCCCCCTGAGCCGGGTATACAGTTCGGGCAGCATGTATGGAATATGGAGTTGGGGAGTACGGTACGGTACGGAGTACATACAGAACTCCTTAGCATCCCGTGCAGGGGAGGGCAACACAAGCTTCAGCCTATCTAGGCAGTGCCGGTGTGGTTAACTGGCTGGCTGCTCTGCTCTGCTCTGGCCAAATCTCTCCTCTCGTTCTATGTACTACTATGGAGCAAATACCGAGTTTCCTATCTGGCCACGGTCCATTACTTGCACAGAACCGTCCAGCGCAGCAGCACAGCACAGCACAGCACAGCACAGCTCAGGTTCGGCGCACATAACACTGGGCTGCGCCCGCCTAGCACCCGAGAGAGGAAGAGAACGCTCCCCGGGTTCCGCTGTTGGCAGAGAGCGGTCTGGCTGGTAGGATGCGGGACCATCCATAGCTTGGCTGCGCTGAGAGAGCGGTCACTCCCTCCCTTCCAGGGGCGAGGGCACCAAGTGGCGTTGCCGTCACCGCGCCGCGGCTGTCGTCGAGTTATACACACGCTAAAGTCATCACGACGGGCCCCGCCGCGTCTGCTTGACCTGACTTCCTCTGTCCCTTCCCTGACCGCGTGATCATCCAGGCCTCGATGAGCGGTGTCCGTGGTTGACCGTGTTCTGCTGCTGCGCTGTGCTCTGCTCTGATGCTCCGCTCCTGGCCAGCTGAGAGGCAGAGGATTTCTTGCTGTCGGAGTGGCCAAGCTCTGGCAACGACACGCGGGCAGCGCAACAGCAGACCCAGAGGCTAATTATGGCAAATATTGAATGTACCATGTACGCTGTCTGGTGTAGGCCAACCACGGTCCGTGGACCAGCAATGCAGCACTGCTCGAGTCGGGGCTACTGCGCGTCCCGCCATTGACACGGCGAGATGGAAGTCACTCTCTGCTCCTACAGACCAGGGCTGCGGACGAGCCGGGGGCGTGTCCGGCCATGCCAGCTCTTGTGGCTTTCCTACTCGACAGGCCCCAACCCTGGCCCGCTACTAGTGCCGGCTCGCTAGTCAATGCACATCCCGTCGTCTCTTCGCTTTCCATGCAGCCCCCTCGCCTTCGACCCTCGAACCGTCGATGCCCGCCTCGACTAGACCCTGGGGGCCCTGGGCTGGGCCGCCAGCTTCGACCAGATGAGCCGGTACGCATCCGCACCCAGATTTGCACGCCCCTTCTGCATTAGAGGCAGTGAGAGCAGAACTGAGGGCTCTAATTTTATATGTGCTTGCAGTGACCGTCCAGTGACAGCCCGGCCTCGCGCGAGTTAAGCGCCTTGGAGGTTGGGTAGACTTTATTTGCTAGCACACACCCATCACGGCGCCTTTGCTTGTCACTATCACTCGTTCTTCCTCCGTCTCTCTGCCTGCGTCCTGCAACTCGATCTCTTGTTTCTTCTTTTCTTGCTCGCGTGTGCTGCATCCAACGTGATCAGGAGACTGCCGGTTCTGCACACAGAGATCGTGCTGCACGAGAAGCGCTAACATCCCCTTCCCCCTTCCGTGGGAATCCGACTTCTGCATCCCCATGAGGTGAGGCGGGTAGCTCTCGTTGCCGCCCCCATACAACCCGTCCCTTGTCTAGCACCGGCCCCCCCCCCCTCCTGCGTCTACGGCGGCGTCTGTCTTCTGAACCTCGCGTGCGGCCGCCGTGCAACCGTGCTAGCTACTGTACCGACCCAAGGCACACACTACACACACCTACACACACCCTCTTCTCTTCCCTCAACCTCCTCCTTCTCCACTTCAAAACTTCACGATCGCTCGTGGGTCCTGTTTGCGACACCAACGACGACGACGGCAAGACGAAGACGACGACGACGAGAAGGCCGTCGAGAAGAGCATCGGGATCTCGAGGCACGACAGCCGTGGCAATCGCTTCAGATCTCCCCAAACCCCGCCCTCGCTGCATGCCGGACAGCTTTGAGCTTCCCGCATCCTAGGCGCACCGAACGTGGAGGAACGTACTGGCCCCGGGAACGGACAGCGCATGTTCCATATGTAATGGTTGGGGTCCGGACTGTGTAGCCTTGCCGCTCGTCCTGGTTCGCTACGAAACATCCGGAGCGTGATAGCTCCCTCCCGCTCGGTATGTATTAGTTTCTCGTACGTCGTCCGCTGGCCGCACGCAATTCGAGCGCGCCGGGTTAGGTCATTGCAAACTAGGCACCGGACGGGCACAATCCTTGCATGCAGCCGCCCGACTAACAGCGCAATTGCCGGCCAGGTCTGCGATCCAGAGGGCATATCTAGACGGTCGCCATGTCTACCCATCTCGCCAGGAGCCGTGCTGGGTCCAAGAATTCGGCTCTCGAGGCGCCCTACAAGGGACGGACAATGAATGACTTCGCCATGCCGCCCACTACCAAAGATGCCACGCAGCTTCTGGAGCCGTGCGCCGCCACGGCCTCCATGTTTCTCTACGCCCAGGGCAGCTCCGTCGTATGCAGCCACCACGACACGCTTACGATAGAAAGGAGGTTTGCCCGCCATTCCGAGGAGGTGCAATTGTTGGCCGTCGACAACCAGAGCGACGTGGGTGCGGGGAGGCTGGTTGTGAGTTATGATGCAGGACAAACCGCCATCGTCTGGGATCTCGTGACAGGAGACGAGGTTGCTCGGTTTGCGTCCTACGAGAACCTTACTTGCGCTGCGTGGATGCGTAACGGCAATGTCGCTTTTGGTGAGCACCCGGAAGCCCCTCCCTCATGCCTGCTTGTTTCTCGCCCCTCGCCCCTCCCCCCTCCCCCCTCGCGGAACTGATTAGGCGTCTTCTCCAGGAAACACACAAGGAGGTGTAATACTTTTTGAGCCCACCACATCAGAACACATTTCGGCGAGGACTATTGACCAAATATCCATCACGGCCATTGCGCCGGCAACCGACTGCAGGACATTCGCAATTGGGTGAGTTTAACGTTGTTGAAAATGAGGTTTGACGTTCATGTGAAGGCTAACTCCAGCGGCTCAGTTATAAAAATGGCTCTCTTTTGATTGCAACCCTCCAGCCAAAATTCACAATTCTGCACAATCTCAGCACATCACGGGGGCCATCTCCTATTGTGACACTGGCGTGGCACGCCTCGTCGTCACGGCAAAAGTCGGACATGTTGGCAGTCCAGACGCACGACGGAGACCTTCGTGTCTGGAGCGTGTCAAAATCGTATAACAGCGATGATCCCGCCAAAGTCGTACGGATCCTCAAGAAGAGTGAAAACTACCTGCCGGGACCGAATTGGATGGGATGGTCCAAGAACGGTCGGATTATCCAGTATTCAGAATCGTGAGTCTGACATAAACATGTCCTGCCATTTCTTTGGAAATATTCCTCGTCGACCGATTCTGACACAGCAGCTTTGATAGTGAGACGATATCGTGGGATGTGCGGACAAAACACGTTACTTACGATGGAATCCCGACTCTTGAGAACATCCGGGGTCTGGCGGTTTACGGTCCAGGGGCCAGCCTCTTCACTCTGGGCGCCAATAACACGGTTCAGCAATTCGATCTGAATTCACCAGCGATGATGGTTGCTAACGTGCAGCACCCCGCTAACCTACTCCCCCCGTCACCCCCTATCTCACTCGAAGCAGAGGACAAGGGACAAACCAGTAGTACGAGCATGTCCGAATCTGAGACATCTTCAGTTCCAATTGCCATCCAAGCCGATTTATCTTCCGAGAGTGGCGAAGACCGCATGTCGCCCCTGGCTCGGCTTGTTCACAGCGAGAACGACTCGGACCAGGGAGATTATCGTGTTGGGAGTCCGATGTCGAGCCGGAGTCGGTCAAGCGTTTCCATCTCGTCTTCCACGTCACAAGTTCAGGCACGCAACTATTCCCGGTCGGTGAAGACGGAGAACACGTACATCTCGGCTGGGTCGTCGCTGCGTTCTTCTGCCATTCCGCACAATGACAGAAAGGGGAGGGAATCGTATTCAACGGCCAGCTCGCAGTCTCTAGCAAGCTCACAGCCACAACCACCACCACAATCACAACACCGCTCGAGGCACAACAGGCCTTCGAGACTGCGACACGAAGTCCCGCGGAGCCCGGCCGATTCGAAAGTTGTCGATCTCTTCAAATTCACCAAGAGCCGCCTTACCGATGTGCCGTTCAAGGCGCCGTTTACGAATGATAGCAGTCGCCTGACTAATGACGACTTGCGCCGTCAGATGTTGACCATGATCTTTGGGTGGAACAAGGATGCTGACGAGCTTGTCCGAGATGAAATGTCGCGGCACCCACTCGGTTCTACGAATAGGATCCTCTTGGCTAAGTGGCTGGGTGACATCAGCACGGACATCATGGCTATGGGCTCTGAGAACATGACATCCTCCGACTGGATGCTTCTCGCACTGAGTGGAATTGGAGGGATGGCTTCACAACATAAGCTAGGTCGTGCATATGTCCAGCGGCTTCTCGAAAGCGGCGACGTCCATGCGGCGGCGACCATTATGATCGGCCTCGGAGACCACAACGACGCCATAGAGATATACATCTCCCACAAGAGGTATATGGAGGCGTTGCTGCTGACCTGCCTCTTCTTCCCATCTACCTGGGAGCGCCAGGAATCAATCATTAGGAAGTGGGGAGAGTGGGCTGTACAGCACGGCCAGCAGCAGCTAGCGATCAGATGGTAAGTACACAGACGCCTGTATCGTCCACTTGGAGACTGCTTGCTTACTTGTCCACAGTTTTGCGTGTACTGGCCGGGAATCGAGCGATCCGTGGACATCGCCGTCGGCTCAGCAGGTCACATTTCCGAACATCTCGCAGAATGTGCCGGAGATTCTGAGTCCCCCAATGTCTCCTCCGCACGTGAACCATGGTCCGCAGCGAAGCATTGCCAAGTCGTCGGCACTTAAGCTCATCACCTCTTTTGGTGACCCCCTTGCCAAGTCTAAGTTCTTCTCGGGCCAGGACGACGGCAAGACTCCGATTGCGGCCGGAGCTACCCCTATTGCCGAGTCGGCTCTCTCTCCTGGTGGGCTGGACCCGGCCACGGCCGTCCTGCGTGCTGGGAACCGAAGCCAGTTTGCCACGCCTTCCTCGGCCCGCCCAATCCATGGCTTTGGCCGGCAGCGCCTCCCATCTATTGGAGAGACACCTGATGCCACCCACCAGCGTGAGCTTTTAGCTACGGCAACCAAATCGCACAAGCTTTCCAACAATCCCTACGGCGCGATCAAGACTAGAGAGTCGAACGAGAACACGACGAGAGGCCTGGAGCTGGCCCGAGCAGCTACTGCGAGTCCCAGATTGCAAATGAAAGAGGCGCGCAGAGGCCAGCCCCCGCCGTCTCCCTCTCCGGCGGCGGTGGCCGCGTTGATGGAAGGCCCGAGAATGAGGAATGGGTCGCGTCACCGCATCCCTGAAGGTCTCGATTTGTCGCTGCCTTCGTTCGACGACTCGCTCCCCGAGGACCTGACATCTCCCGATCAGTCAGGGGCGTCAAACCGCTACCACTGGCCTACTCGGCGCAGAGCGGGGCCGGGATCTGTGGCCAGCTCCGTGACTGCAAGTTCCGTGACTTCGGGAGCATCGAGCCTTGTTGTTCCCAGGAACGCTCGTGGAAATCAGCAGCAAGGTAAGAGCTTGGACGATTATATCCACAGCCTCGATGCCGTCCAAGGCAAGAGGGTTGGGCGCGGGACAAGCCGCGAAAGCCGGAGCCGAGGGCGCGATAGAAGTCGGTCTCGCAGGGCGGAGGGCGAGGATTCCAGAGATCACGGCCGAACCACATCCCGTGGATACACCCCCAGGGGCGGGAAGCGGTCTCCGAGATCGCCGGTTCCCATGTCGCCAGAGGATCTGATCAACCTGGCAACTCCAAAAGACGAGATTGATCAGGGCCAGGTGGATGGAAGCAGACTGATTGATATCTCTGACGAGCAAGAGCAGCCAAGCACGGTGAAGAAGATCTCGTCTCATGGGCCCCGCGATAATTCCCGTGTGAGGGCGTCCAGCCGCACTACCAGTCGCTCTGGCCGTGGTCAAAGCCGGGATCGTCGTGCTCACAGCCCCGAACGCAATGGCGACCAGCCTCTAGTTGGACTCCGCGGGCGCTCGGAGACCCGTAATGGCTCTGCGGCTCGCTCGCCATCATCGCCCGTGCCAATGTCGGCAGGCCCGCAGAGCCAACACTTCTACGGCTCCGACGATGAGGAAGACTACCGACAGGCGCTGGAGGCTCGAGAGATGTTTCGGCGGAGGAACACTCGGAGCAGCAGCCGAGGCGGGCGGGACGACAGCCTCCTATCACCTGTATCGGCCCGCGGAAACAAGCCGATGTGGGGGCGGGAGACAGGAAAGCGAAGCAGCACGCGCGATGGTTCAGAACGCTCCAAGAAGCCGCTGCCTACTCCGATCCCGATGCAGCTCAGAATCAACAACGCTGGTGACTTGAAGACTATCAAGGACGAAAGGCAGCTAAAGAAGGAAGCGGCAGCCCGTGAGCTCGAGGAGCGCCGAAAGTCGCTCGCGCAAAGGCCGTCGGCTCCTCCCATTCTGCATCCGAACGAGCTTTCTCCGGCCCCGACTCGGACAGACTTCAATGCTCGTCCGTCGCCGCCAGGGCACTTTGAGCTCCCAAGCACTACCTTTGTTCCCACGTATCGGGAGAAAGACCTGCCGTCGCGCAGCGTGAGCGTAGACCCAAACGCCGGCAGGAGCATGTACGCACACCGCAACGGACCGCAGATTGGGCTTCCCGCGACGCCGAAAGCCATGCGCCTGGTCCTCGAAAGCGATTCCAACAGGCATAACGTGCCGGTGCCGCCGATTCCCATGAACTTTGCGCATAACTCGCCCCCGTTGGCCGCAAACCGCCACTCTCCGGAACGGACTTCTCCCAAGAAATCGGAACCGGAGGCGGACACCGAGGCACCAACTCTACTGCTCCCATCGACTGTCTACACTCCTCCCCCGTCCCGACATGCGGCTCAACTTGCAGCACAGCAGATTCCACGATCCATGTCGGCACCACCCCAAGACTTGCAGCCGCCTCAAGGTAGCAGCTTTGCACATCTGCGTGGAATGTCGATGAACAAGATCAACCCTCTCGAAGGAAACACAATGGCGGGTGGTCGGCGGCCTTCCTACGACAGCGGCGCTCCCCCAATGCCGACCCGGAGGCCATCTCATGATAGCGCCATGTCTCAGATGCCTGCCCGGAGGCCATCGCATGACGGGCAGATCCCCCCTCCCCCTCCGCCACCGCCCGCGCCGCCGATGCTCAAGGAGCTGCAGCACCTCGCGATGCCTCCGCCGCCACCGCCCGCACCCCTGCCCCACATGGGAGGAGCCAAACCCGTTGTCTATGGCGGAAAGTCGGGCACAATCGAGATTGTCATGGATGAGGACGATCAGCTGACGATCCCTACTGCTTTGCCCATCAGCGAGAGCACCGTCCCCATAATTGCGCCTCCGGCACCGCCGTCTTCGCGCAACGGTCATAACCGAGGACGCAGCAGCATTGACAACAGCATCGGCGCCCGCATCTCACGAGCGACGGACAGGATGCGCTCGGTCAGCCGGAACCGCCGGGACACAATCAACCGTACCAAGTCGCCAGAGGTGTCGGCTCCTTACGAGAGCGTGCCGCCCCCGCCGACTCTGACGTACCAGATGCGGGCGGAAATGGCAAGGTCTCCGGTTTACCAGCAGATGACGGCGCAACAGGCACAGCAGGCCCAGGGCGACTACCGCACGGGCTTGCATCACAGCGAGATGATCTAGAAGCCGACAAGCCCGAGTTTTGAACTCTCGGGTTTTACTTCCGCACAATTTACCATTCGATTCTTTGCATGGCGACTGGCGTTTTATACTCCCCACCAACCGTCGGAAGGGGGTTTTGTCCCCCCACTCCTCCCATTCTGGGGTTGTCTATTACATTTACTATTTGGGTGATCGGGAATATCGAGGAGACTTTAGCTGCCATTTTTGGGGGGAGAGATATTCATTTGGTGGGGAGATTTCGATTCGAGTTTTTTTTACAACGCCATACCCAACTTCTTTTGCCCGCTGGTAGTTGGGGGAGGGGTGTTTTTCAACGGGGTGAAAAAAGAGAGAGACAGAAAAAGAGCAAAAGCTGCCAAGAGGTGCATTGTGTGTTTCTTTTGGAGCCTTTTGCCGATAATCTTTTCTTCCATCTTTTTAGAATCATATTGTATAAAATATTTTGCTCTCATATTCTTGTCTCTCTATGCGATGGAAACAATTTTGTGTTTTTCTCTTTTGCCATTTCTTCCTATTTTATATCGTCCGTTTGGTTTTTTTCTCTGATCTCTCTCTTTTTTTTTTTACTGCGTCGTTGAGCATTGCAGTTTGTTTTTGGCTTATTTTCCTTCCTCGCCATTATACTTTCTAACGAGTCATGAACACATCTCCCACCTTTCCTTGCCCTGTCCTATCTATCTATCTACACTTCGAGGAGGAAGTGTAGGTAGGTAGGTATGTGCTCTGGGGAGGGAGGGTAAAAAAATCCCCTCTGTATTTCTAAACCAGCCGATCGAGAGGAAGCAACCGAGCAAGAAAGAAAGCATCGAACCGAAAGAAATGCCCACAGGAAGAGGAACAAGGCGAGGGCGATCATGATTGATAGGGTGGGGATGGTGGTTATCTATATGGGTGTGTGTGTGTGTGTGTGTGTGCAAGGCAAGCAACGCAAATACACGCACACACACAAACACGCGCATACGCATACGCACGTATATATACGCATGCGAAAAAAAAAACAAGAGACGGGAGGAAATCATGAACGACTCAGAGAGAAAGAGTGAAGAGAAGAGAAGAGGGAAAGATGATGATGAAAATGTGAGCGGTAGTAGGGGTGGATTAAGGATATATACATCCTGCCTCGCGGCACCTTGGATCTTGTCTCGTGTGTGTGTGTGTGCTTGTTCTCTTTTCTCATGTTTGCTTTTGGTTTTGGCTTGGTTTTGCTTGGCTTGGCTTGGCTTGCTATAGCGATGAATGGAAGTTACCTCCCTAGGTAGCCAATTGGCTTTTTTTGTTACTGAATGAGCCGACTACCCAAGGAGAGAGTGCGTGTTTTGCAAAGTCCTTTTTATTTGGGAGTCCTGCTTGGTTGAGTAACGGGACGAGGTAGTTTCTTCTTAGCTTTGCAAGCGGGTAATGAATCAAATGGTGATTGCATTATTTTCGTGAATTGTTGCTATTGCGGACACTTTCCATCCAGGTTGGTGATGCAAGTGTGAGTGGGTGTCAACAATAAGAGGATGGATGGTGGTGCTGAGAACATCAATTGGACGTGGTGCGCGATGAGGATTGAACTGCGAGATTGCAAGTAATGGACGAAAGAAAGATAAGAGAGAAAAAGAACATTAAGTACGTAGACAGGAATCGAACTGGCGGGCTCGAGTGAACTTGTGCAAAACTGCCGTATTAGGAATTTAGTGGGGCAAAAAGTATTGTGGAGTTGACATCTCCATCTCAACTGTCTGATCCGAATCCCTCAACGATCGTAATCCAATTCGCCATCTGACGGTGAAAATATCTCTGCAGAGTGAAACCTCCCTCAAGTGTTATCTTCATTGCTTAGGACCACGCGCAGCGTCGCAGGTTACCCATGCGAGTGGGTGGCCACCGCGAGATTCGTGCTGGGCGACGTTGGGGGTTTCTCGGTGAGGAGAAAATCGGTACAGAGCAAATCGAGAAATTCGAGTGTCTTCATACCCAAGTTGACCATTACAGCCGTTAGTTAACGGCAGGTAATGGGGGCCATATACCACCCAGCACCCTCAGCGCTCGGGGCCAAATTTTAGAGTTGGGGTCTGTGCAGCCTTAGCTGGCTATCGATAAGCTGTGTCAATCGGTACGTACCACCACCTCCGACTGTCAACGACAGCTCGCCGGCAAGCTGCAACACAAACCCATTGTAGTCGGCAAAGAGGAGGATGGCGGTCAACTCAACGCGCGCCGATTGCCCCCGACCAGAGAACAACATGTCTTGAGAGAATTGGCCAACGCCCGCAGCTACAGCCTGCAATTGCGATTGATTATTCCGTGCGACTAGGTACCGCAAATCCACGCCGCGGTTGATCCTCGCTCTGCCCCGTCGTCCCGCGCCGTCATCCACCGCGCACATCAGTCGGTCTATCTTGGCGCCTACATATTCGAACATCCTAACTTGGGGCAAGCACGGCCGTCACACCTGACTTCAAATCTACGCCGGCTTCAGGAAGCAGGCAGCGAAGGAGACCGAGTCGGGCTCAGACGGAATCGAAGCGCAGGCTAAGAAGAGGGCTAGAGGACCCGCCAAACGAAAACTCGCTCTCGTAGGGAAAACACTCACGGAGCCGAACCGACCAGACCACAAGCAAAAAGCAGATATTAAAGGGGGGGAAAGAGAAACCCAAACACACAAGACACAAGACACCAACAGAAAAATGGTCTTCCTCACAACCCCCGCACACCTGTACATCCGGCGGCCGTCGCCCACGACAGCTGAGTTCACCGTGACGACGTGCCCGCCACTCACAGTACCGCTGCGCGTGGCGCTATTCAGCGTGCTGTGCGTGCGCGTGGCGCTGGTCGTGGGCGTGGTGCTGACGGCGTACGCGCGGCTGTCCCCCTCCCCCTCCTCAAACCCCAGCAGCCCATCACCATCACCACCATCATCATCATCGTCCCCCTTTTTGCCACTCTCGTCGTGGGACGCCGTGGCGCTGCTCCTGCAGCGCTGGCTCGACTGGCTGCTGGCGTCGGCGGCGGGGCAGCAGTGCGCGGCGCTTGCGGCGGCGCCGGTGCTGCGGCCGTGGTGGGCGCTGGGCGGCGTGTGCGGGGCGGCGGGGTGGGCGGCGGCGGCGCTGGGTCGGATCCACACGACGGAGAGCCTGCTGGTTCTGCGGGGCCTGGGCATCCAGACGGCGAGCAGCTACGGCACGTTTAGCCACAGCGGCGGCAGTGACGGTCATTGTGATATCAGCTACGGCGGGTGGTGGTGGTTTTTTGGGTGGCTGCTGCAGCTGGCGCTGGGGACGCGGAGCGCGCAGGGCAGCCTGGGCGGCGGCGGGAGCGGCGGCAGCGCCATGGCGACGACGCGCGAGACGCGCTTCATCCCCACCGAGAAGATTCGCGACGTGCTAATCAACGAGGCCTTCCGCGGCTTCGAGGTGAGCTACTGCATGGTCGTCGTAGTCGACGGCGAGGAGGACGTCGTGGTGGTGTTCCCGCGCCTGCTGCCGCCTCGGCGCATCGTCGAGGCCGTGTGGCGCGGCGTCAGGGGGTGTCTGTACGAGCCCGACGGCGGCGGGAGCGGTGGTGGCACGGGGATGCGACAGGCAGCTGCGGGCGAGAAGGGGTAGTTCACGGTAGATGATACGTATATTTCATTTCGAAAATTTTTTTTTGGATTAAAACTATACCCGTCTGCTCCTTGTCCGCTGTTTTCATCATTGTCTCGCATTCCATTAGCATCTACATATCCCTGACTTGTCGTAAAGATGAGACGTGGCAGAGAGCGCTACCTGCTCCTCGCATCGGAGCCGCTCCATATGCTGCCGGTTCTCTTCGCCTCGCGGATGGCGGTCCGCCAGTTGGTGGTCTTCAACAGCTCCTCCGAGTTGGTAAAGCCCTTGCTCTGCGCCCACTTGTCGTTGATGTCCTCGACTGCCAGCATCAGCGGCCGCTTGAGCACCGGCAGGTAACTGCCGCAAGGGTTGCCCTTGTTCCCGCCGGCAAAGATCTTCTGGCTGGTTGACGCCTTCACAGGGGTACCCTCCAGGAGCTTGCTCACGTCGTACTTGCCGGCCACGCACTCGAGCAGCCGGTTGGCCAAGAGCTCGTCCAGCTTCTTCTCACGCCAGTCCGACCACAGATGGCCCACCAGGCCGCCCGACGCCGGCGGGTCGTACGGGTTGTCCTCGCCCAGCCGCACCCAGCCGACCGAGTCGGTGAATTCCGTCTGGTCCGCCACCACGTGGTCGAGGTTCGGGAAGACGCAGTCCCACAGCACCAGGGGCACTTCGTCGGCAAGCACGTAGTCGGGCCTCCGCAGGTTCTTTTGCACGTCCAAGAGATCCGAGACTACCGACGGCGACTCGAGCCCCTGGCCGACGCAGAAGACGATGGCCACCATGTGGCGGATCTGGTGCCAGAGGAAGGCTGACGCGCGGACGTGGAAGTAGTAGACCTTGGGGTACACTACGTTTCCAGTGACATTGTCCCCGCCCCCGCGGAGGACGTCGGGCTTGAAGCCGCGCTGGTCCAAGAATGGCAAGGCGGAGCCGACGTCGGGAACCTCGACAATGTCGGCCTCGAAGACGCGCCGCATGAAGTTGGTAATCTGCTTCCCGGCGTCGACCTTACAGAAGTTGCGGAAGTCGTGCAGCCCTTCAAACTTCCTGGCGGCTGCCCGCATCGCCTCAATGTCCAGCCAGCCGTCCTTCATGGCCGTCTTTGGGGGCCCTGGCACCGCTTTCGGGTCGCAAGGTGTCGGGAGATAGCACGGCTGGGTGAAGTAGTACCGGTACTGGCGCTCCCGGCAGGAGAACCGAGCCGAGAAGTCTTCGGGCAGCGTCGGCGCCCACGCCAGCGCGCGGATGTCTGGAGGCAGGAGCCGGTTCAGCACCTTGCAATATTGGATCTCGTCGGCGATGGGATCCCACTCGGGCTTGGGCACAACAACCGCTTCCTCGCTCGGCGGCACTCCAGACTCGCCCGCAGCCGCTGCTGCCGCGTCGACTATCTCTGCGTCGCCCGCCGCCGCTCCTTTACCGTCTGGGCCCGGTTCCGCGACAACAAGCTCATCCTGCTCCGTCTCGGGCAGCGGCCGCGAACTGCGTAGCCTGATGCTGATGACCTGGCCAAAGGCGCTCACACCCCTGTCGGTGCGACCGCACTTGGAATACTCAAAGGGGGCAAAGTCAACCTTGTCGGGGTTTTCGGGCGAGATGAGACAGCTCTTGACCATGGCCTTCCAGAGCTCCTCCTCGATGGACGGCACCGAGGCCGACGTCTGGAACTCGAAGCCATTGTAGCTCTTGCCAAGGTACGACAGCTTGATGGCAACGAGGCGGGTCGAGTACTTTGAAGGGTCGAGCATCTTGTCGGCTTTGCTTTTCTTTTTTAGCTTCCAATTATCCTTGGCATTCATGTATTTGACGCGTGGCGGGCCGGCGGCGGCAGGGACGGAGGGAAGTGGTGGTCTTGCCGCGGGTTTTGAAGCTCCAGTAGTCGCACTCGCACTCGCCGTCGCTGGCGCTGTTGAGGGCTGCTTCATCAGCTGCGCCTCGAGCCACTGTACGCGCTTGACCAAGCTGTCTTTGGTCCATTTGAGGTACTCGGCCTCGCTCTCGGCGGCCATGGTGCGCGCAGATGCCCCAAAGGCACGGGACGAGCACTGCAGCGGCTGGTGCACCTGGGGCTCGAATCGACGCAGACACTCAGGAGGAGAAGCCCCCGCGCGAACTCTAAAGACGCTAGGCAGAGGCAGTCGTGGAAGAAGCCTCCAGACCGGCCCAGCGTTACTCATGTGGCTGATCTAAAAGATTAAAAAAAAATATCCACCATCCACCGTATGCACAGTACGATTGCCACCCTAAGGTATGCAGGCGCCTAGAAAAGCTGCAGCCTACGGACTACAGCAGCGGAAACAAACGAATGAATGCCCAATGATGAACGAACTGGCTGGGTCAGGAGCCAGAACCAGAGTCCAGCTTCTCTTTAAGGTTTTGTGGAGCACGGATCACACTAAAAATCAAACATCGAACCCGATTTCCTTTGGTAGCGCTAGCGCTAGCCATGCGAGCTTATCGATAACGAGACTACATCTCCTCCGGGGTAATACATGTTAGCGCAGGAAGGTGGCAAAGTTAGTGATTAGCGAGATTTCCCTCGAAGATACTAATAGTTTGCAACGTACCAAGCTAACATGCATTTCCCCGGTGGAGGTGTACCTAACCTAGACGGTTACACCCGACACCAAGGAGGTAGACGCCGCCGTTGTGGCTCGAGTTACCCCTCGGTTGCGGTTTGCGATTCGCGGTATTATATGCTTCGCTTTCAGTTCTATGCCTGCTCAAGCCTCACCGACTTAGAGTGCTTTATTCCCGCCCTCCGCGCCATGTCAAGTTGCATCCGCAATGGATGACAATACAATCACAATTCTATTCTTGGGGGATGAGGGATGCGGGAAGTCGACATTTCTATCGTTAGTACATACATGCAACATGCATTAATAAAATGCTACCTGCCTCTGCCTTAGACAAAATGTCACTCATATAACCGCAATGTGCGACGTGACACGACGTGCTAACACTTCGCGCCAGGAGAATCAGCCAAGGCCGCCAGAACCTCGAGGGCATTGTTCCCATCAGGCTCCTCAGGGATCTGAACCAGCCCTTCGTCTTTGATATCCGCTCTCGCAGGGGACAGTTCCGTTTCGAGTTCTACGACACCTCTAGCCCCGAGAGCTGGAGGCTCATCCAGCCAGACCTCGTCGTCGTCTGCTTCGATATAAGCCAAAGACTCAGTCTTATCAACCTGCAGCGCGTGGTACGTGTTAAATCGATCCGCTTGTCGAATGAGTTGCGCATGATAATAGTAGAGCCGTCCTTCTGACAGCACTGCACATAGTGGATAAAAGAGGTTCGGACCACGTTCCGATCCAACGATACAACTCCTCTTCTCGTCCTCGGCCTCAAGAGAGACCTAAGGTCCGAGGACGACCCCAATGGCATCATCTATCCGCAGGAGGCCTACCAGGTCGCCCAGGAGATGAGAGCAGACAAGTACATGGAATGCTCGGCCGTGACGGGCGAGCTGCTAGTCGAGGTCTTTGATGATATCTGCGCCAATGCCATCCGAAGCACCACTGAGGGGGGTGGGCAGAGCGAGGATGGATGCACCGCCATGTAGTGGCGTTGTAGCAGCCCTCAGACGCCGTTCTCAATCGACTGCATCGTGTCTCCGTCCTGCTCGTCGCCATCCCGTTCGTCAAGTGCTGCGGGCTCGTCACGGCCCAGTACCTCTATGATGATCTCGACAATCTTGTTCTGCTCGTCCTCGCTAAAGCGCTCTTCCATATCCTCGATTGCCGTACTCAACAGGGCACTAGACGTTGGACGGAGGTTGAGGATCGAGAGCACCTCGCCTTTGGCTAGCTCGCTCCGCAGGTTCGCGTCGCGGAGCTTCTCCAGTAATTGCGAAACCGACGACGGGCTGTATGCGTGCGTCTCCTCTTGCCTTTCTAGCGGACCTGGCTTCTCACGTAGATACGTTACGACCTATTCCCAGCGTGTTAGCCCCTCTTTTCCTTGCCTATTATAGCGCTCTCTCGGCGAGAGAGTTCCTACCTCGGTCATGAGTGTTGCAACATTGCCAGGGACCCGTCTCTTCTGGGCCTTGTTTCGCGTTTGCTGGTTGACAATGTGCTGGTAGACCTCGTAGTTGGAGAGGAGCCCATTCTGCGTTTCGAGGATCTTCATCCCGTCGGCCGGCCGTTGTTGAATACAAAATCGAGATAATTGGGTACAGGGTGCGAACGAAACTGGAGTCTAGAACTTTGGTTGCGTCGGAGTGCGTTTGCGGGCTGCGGTTTGCGGTTTGCAGCATTCCAGCTGAGCCCTGAGGCAGCAAGGAAGAAACCAAACCTAAACCAACCAGGACCGGGGAACCTGAAACTTTAGCGCAGGGCTGTCAATCTGACGTTTCTGTCTCCTACTTCCCCCCTTCTCCCAACAGCGTGATTTGCGTTGTCTAGGCTGTGCACTGCTTGAATCAGAGTCAGTTCTCTAGCCGGTCTAGGAGCTCGCTCGACTCGCAGGAAGAGAAACGCGGGCGACGGCTTAGTTCGAAGTCGAGCCCCTCCATGCACCTCCGACGCGCGCCGCTAATTGAACGCTCATGGCCAATGAGCAGAGTTAGTTTCAACCCCACCATTTAAGACCAGCCTAATGCAAGCTTGTGGGTGAAAAAAATCTCGCACCATCCTACTCAAACGAACGCTTCAGGTACCTTGTACCATTTTATAGCACCAGGCGACATCCAAAGCTTGTGAGGCAAGTTCCTTGAACCACAGGGTTGCCCGCAAAAGTTTTTTTCGTTATTTTTTCAACCCTTCTCCTGGCTTGCCCCGCGGTGAGCCGCCAACCCACATATCCAGACATTTTGCCTCGTCTGACGACTCAACCACCTGGGACCAGCTCAGACTCAAGATGGTTCCCTTGTAATTCTTTATCTTTTTTCCGCCCCATCCTCCTATTCTCTCCCTCTTCTCCCTTCTCTCTCCCTCGGCCGGCTCCCCCGCCTCCGTTTCACCGACTCCTCTTTTGGCAACGTCTATCCTCGGCATTCTTTATTGGCACCTGCCTGGCTCCTCAAACTTCGCCGAGACGAAGAACCTCGCTGCCGGCTAATCGCAGTGCGCACCGCACCGCAGCGCCAGCCGACCAAACTGCCCACCCAATTGCCTCTGTCTATTGCGCGACCGCTGAGTAGTGGTGTTGGCAGAGCCTCAAGACTTTACCCGCCCCTCGTTGCGCGTCTTGGAGAAGAGCTGCCGTGCGAGCACTTCCGCGCGCCTCTCGTTGTTGGCTGGGTTCCGATTCTCTGGGGCTTCCTACCACCTGATACATACTACGACAAAGTTTCTTCCCACAGGTGTCACCAACAGGTCGCCCCCTCTCGGGTCTTGCACCTCTCTTTTTGACCTGCAACTCAGCTCGGTCAGTAAACCGAGCTGCCCAGCATGGTCCGAAATATTGTCGTTCTTGGCGGCAACTCCCATCCGAGCCTGGTTGAGAGCGTCTGCGGCGCTCTTGGCCTCCCACCTTGCAATCGCATTCTGGGCAAGTTCTCGTCGGGTGAGAGCCGGTGCGAGATACAGGACTCGGTGCGCGGCAAAGATGTCTACATCATCCAGACAGGCTTCGGCGGCAATGGCGCCAGGCTCAACGACCATTTCATGGATCTGTGCATTATGATATCCGCCTGCAAGACGGGCTCAGCACGCCGTGTTACCGCCGTTCTTCCCCTGTTTCCATACTCGAGGCAGCCCGATCTACCCTACAAGAAGTCCGGAGCACCATTGTTCAAGGCATCGTCAGAGGGCAGCAAGAATGACTACACGTTCGACAGCGTTCCACCCACGCCGGGCCCCGGCATGCCCAAGAGCGCCGGTCTCGCAGGCCTCGCAGGTCTCGCAAATGGTACCGATATCACAAATCGGCTACTGAAGATGTCGGTGACCAATGGGAATGAGTCTACTGGCAAACTACCCAATGGGAACGCGAAGACGAATGGAGACGGATTCCCTTTCACCAACGGCACAAATGGTGTTAACGGTAGCCGCGAGCTCACGCCCACGACGCCCAAGCCCGCCAGCTACACGACCCACGACTATGTGAACCTTTCGCTGGTGAGTTCGTTCCAGGCAAAGCCGGGCTACAAACAGTGGGTGGCCCAGGCAGGAACGCTGGTGGCAAATTTGATGACTTGTGCTGGCGCCGATCACGGTACGTAATCTGAGAAGGGGCACTTTCATGAAAATCCCGCCGCAACCCGATTGATTCGGTGGTGACTGCAGATTTCGTTTGAAATGCGGTGTGTGACGTGTAGCGGCTTACTGGGCATCTTCTCCACGATGCAAACGCTGACATTGGGGCATTAGTCATTACGATGGATTTGCACGACCCTCAAGGTATGCGTTTATCCAAGTTGTGGTTTATTCTACTTGGCTTGGGCATAAGATGAGAGCCGCTCAAAGACAGCAGCTCTTGAGCCAGCTGTCGCCCTGTCTTGGCTGTTACGGTGCTCGCGCGATTATCTGTCCATGCGTTGATGTTAGCGCATGGATGATGCTAACACATATGTCTACTGTGTAGTCCAGGGTTTTTTTGATGTGCCCGTCGACAACCTTTATGGACGACCGCTCCTGCAGCAGTATATCCAGCGGAATATCCCCAACTACAAGGACGCCGTGATCATCAGCCCCGATGCGGGAGGAGCCAAACGGGCAACGGCGATTGCGGACAGCATGCAAATCGATTTTGCACTCATCCACAAGGTAATATCTCTCTGCTTTTCCCTCTTGGTCACTACTCACGATTTTAGGAACGTCGTCCGACGAGAATCACTGATCGGCAAAACGCGAGCATGATACTAGTCGGCAATGTATCTGATCGCGTTTGCATTCTCATCGACGATATTGTAGACACGGGCAACACCATCACGAGAGCTGCCAAGCTTCTCAAGAAGGAAGGCGCCACCAAGATCTACGCACTCCTGACGCACGGCGTCTTCAGCGACGATGCCGTCAGCCGCATCAATGCTTCGGCTCTGGACAAAGTCGTGGTGACCAATTCGGTTCCGCAAGCCGAGCACAAGGCACGCCTAGGAGCAAAGCTCGACGTGTTGGATATCGCGCCCATTTTTGCAGAGGCGATACGGCGCGTCCATCATGGTGAATCCATCAGCGTGCTCTTCAACCAGGACTAACAGCATATACCGGGCATACTAAGCATCTACCGATCATACACATCTGGCGTTTTCGAGTTTTTTCGATTTAAACCAGAAAAGAAGAAAGACATTTTGCATTGGCGGCCACGTTGTTACCGTTTCTTTTTGCTCGCGACATTCGGTCCCTACTGGCGTTCGGAACTCGGATACGTTCTTTATGAGCAGACCTGGGGTTAGATATTGCGAGACCTGAAAGGCTTATGGGTGGTTTGTCGTCCTTTTTTTTAGACCCGCGCGACTCGACTTTGAAGCATGGGCAGTAATTGCGTTTGGCGGGCTCCAAGCCCAGGACCGACCGAGGCCAGACGCGTAGCTGCAGACATGGCACGTCTTGTTCGTGCTGCTTGTTTGCTGCTTGTTTGCTGATAAATTTCCGGAATAATCTCAATCCTTCAACGAGACTTGCTTTGTTGCTTTGTCTTGCTTCTTCTGGGCAAGGAGAGGGATGTTTTTATTCGGTTGTCTCGTAATCCAGTCTTTTGCGCGTACACACACCGAGACATTTGCTATACACACAGACGCATCTATATATATATACTTGATTATATATATATATATATATATATATATATATACGCGTATAGAGAGAGAGAGAGAGAGAGAGAGACGCTTGCAGGCTGTCGCCAGCAGCGATGCCCCCCTCTCCGTCTCCGTCTTTCCCACGTTGACAGATATTAACGAGAAAGGAAAGTTGACAAACTTTATAGAACAGAAATAGAGCTCACGCTGAAGTAATCCGCCTCTCTTGTGTTAGTTTGCAGTTTCTATTATTGGTATCTGTGCATGTCACTTGGGTAGGATTGCTTGCGTGTCTGTCTGCCTAAGGGACCTATGACGTATATATACAACGCAAATCCAAAGGAGTCGTGAACGTATTGACTAATAAATAGACTTATACTAGTACTATCGTCGGAATTCAATATTGTTGCCTCGTTGAAAATCGCAAACAGAAATGACATTGTGACTCTCACTCTGCGTGCAATCCCTTTCCTCTCTGTCTCTCTCCCTCTCTCCACACCCTCGTCGGCATCAGACATCCGGGAACGGGCTAGGACTAGTACAAGTCGTTTGGCTAGTGTGTTTTGCTGTCGTAGCAGGGAAGAGTCCGGCCGGTCATCTGGCTTGAAAATGATGATACTTTCCATTTTCCCCTTTTCCTTGTCCTTTTCCGCGGGGATGGTGGGGGGAAGCGGCCGCGACTTCCTTTGCGGGTAGGCTCAAGCTACGGAGTCAGTGTTTTGAGTGAGAAAATTAGGGGAAGGGACAGGCGAGTGCCTGAAATTAAACAGCAGACACAAGGTAGAACTTGCTATTGTTCCCCAAACACAGACAGTGACACGATAGCCACCTCATATGACTCTCCCCTAAAATACTTGCACCCCTGTCCCCATTTTCCTTGGCCATCCCATCTCGGTGGTCCGGTCTCCTGGGAGTTTTACAGTGAATGAGCCCGCGCTGGTCGTCGGAGAGGAGCGATCGGACTCGCTTGGTTGCATCATCGCTAGGGGACCCCGCAAGGTGGCCGGCGGCGCACTTCGGGGTCGGGCAGAGTCGATCCATTGACAAGCTAGAAACCAGCTGCCGCTAACCTAACGATACCTTATCAAACGCCTGCCCAATGTCGGGTCCTAAGGACTCGGTACCTAGCTGCTGCTAATTAATTACCTTTGCATGGTTCCTACTACCTATATAGCAGCCCCCCAACAGCGACAGGGAGCTATCTTGGCACCATGTCGACGGGGCTGCTGATGACAGCAGCAGACCGCTTGTCGAGCACAATTATCGAACTCATATCCTTCATCACGACTCCGGCTAGTCTCTTGACCATCCTCGAGTGGCTCGACGCCGATCCCCGCGGCTCCTTCGTCTTGTGCGCCTTCATGATCTGCCGCGCGGTTCCTCCCCATCAATGGCCCAACGTGACGGCGGATTGGACGCTGTAAGTCAACATGTAAACGGCAGCGCCCGGCCATCGCCGCACTCGCCGCCCTCATCCCCGGTGCCTCCTCCGGCTCGTTTAACGCGGGCCCCACCGCCGTCCCGGCCACAACGGTCCGCGACGAGTGGATACGAATCCCCTGAAGATGAGAGCAATAGTAGCCTGCCATCTTCGACGTCGTCAAGCTCCGGCAGTCCCGGTCGGGAGGGATCCACAGAAAATCGTTATGCCGCAGCGCAAACCCCAGCATGCGAATTGCACCCATCGTCCCCAGACAGCATTGATGGACTCGTCTCCAGAGCCCGCCAAATGACCACGAGCGTCGGTATCCGTGATCGCATAGGATGTTATCGATGGACTTGGTTCACAATGACTATGGTATGCAGCTGTCTAATATGCCTCCAAAGATCCTATACTGACATTCTCTCCCTACGGAAAAAAGGCAACGGGCGGTGTCGCGAATGTCATGCATTCAAGTAAGTAGACCTGTGGCCCAGATCAAAACAAGCCCATGCAAGTGCGATTCTAAGTTACCTTTGACTATGGCTTTTGCTCACCTAGGCCTCTCCTGCCGTCTGGATGCAGTTCCCTACCAGTCCCGCTGGTTGACAGGCGTCGGTCTCGGTTTCTTCTTCCTCAACCTCTGCCTCTTCGCCATGAATTGCATCCTGATCACACTCCGCTTCTGCTGGCGGCCGGGCAGCTTCAGGAGCTCCTTCACCGACCAGATGGAGTCGCTTTTCGTACCAGCAGTGGTGAGTTTTAAGCATCTAGCATCTGCCCGCCCCCCTATCTTGAGAGCTGATATCAGAGGAGAAGTGAACTAACCGAGAACAAATTCCAAAATTACAGATTGTCTCGTAAGATCTTGCCCGCACACTGCTATCTGGAGATGATCATGTCCTGGAGCTGACGTCGCAAGAACTGCAACCATCTTCATTACCATATGCCAATACGGCATTCCCAACGTTGGCCCCTGGCTTCTCGAGACTATGGGAGCCTTGTTTTGGATTTACGTCAGTGCAAGCACAGTAATCAGTGCCGGACTATACTTGACTCTATGGTCAACTCAGTAGGTTTACAGAGTACGATAGAGCCCAGCACCGGTTACTAACACGGCACGAATAGGGTCTTCCCCATTCATACTATGACTCCAGTATGGGTATTTCCTGCATACCCGCTCCTCCTAACGGCCCCCTTCGGCGCCAACCTGATTGCCGCTGCCAGCAGCTCTGGGCGGCTCAAGTCCATCAACCCTGTCGCCATTGCCATGGCTGTTGTGACGGCTCAGGGGACGGGCTTCTTGATAAGCTTCATGGTGTGCGCCGCCTTCCTGTATCGCCTCATGACGCAAAAACTACCGCGCGACAACCAGCGACCTGGCGTCTTCATCTCTATTGGTCCGCCTGGTTTCACAGCAGCCGGCTTAGGTGAGTTTGTCTGTTTTGTGTCACCACACCTCCTTACCCCTTTTTGGCACTTGGCTGATGTAATCGCGACACTCCAGTCCAGCTTGGCAGCCAGACAGCCGACATCTTGCCTGTTAACTTCATGGGAACCGAGCATGCCATCTACATCCTCAGGCTCCTGTCGTACATGGTCGGCCTTTGGCTGTGTAAGTCAAGAACTTTTATGTGCTACTATTCATAACATTGGTTAATCAAATACACTCTGCAAAAGGGGGGCTCAGCATCTGGTTCTTCCTCGTATCGGTGGGTTCGCTCTGGAAATACATCTTTGCAGAGCATAGAAAAAAGATTTCGTTTCAGATGACGTGGTTCTCGTTTGTCTTTCCCAACACGGCATTGGTGAGTACGCATCTCTCGTCTGCGTGCACACGTGGAACCAGTAATTGGCTTTCCGTTGCTAGTGTTGCTGCAGCTTGATGCCATAAATTCGTACCAAGACTAACGATGATGTTTTCTATCGTTCAGATAACTGCCACGGAGCAGCTCGGCAAAGCGTTCGATAGCAACGGCCTCAGGATATTTGGCTGCGTCCTTGCAGCTATCATCGTCCTGGTGTGGATCCTGATATTTGCAAAGATGCTACGCTGTCTGTGGAACAAGGAGTTGTAAGTAACGCTCATGGCTCAAAGCAGAATCTCGATGTTATATGAATACTAACCCCGAGTCCTAAAGATTATGGCCTAAGGACAGAGACTAGGCGTCTTTCTTGAGCCGACAGCTTAAGAAGTCCGACAGGCTAGAGAGATTGTTCCTGCAGATGAAGGATTTGAGATGTGTCCCACCATGTCATGTGCATGCATGCCGAGGTGGGACGACATGCAGTAAGTAGAGCCGCATAAGCGCGGAGAACAAGCCCAGTACGACCGCGGGAACGAGTTGTGCACATGACATATGATGGACGACTTGATGATGCATTATGTTGCATAGAGATTGATAGCACATACTGCGGTGTAGCATAGCAGTTAGTCTGTGATACAAGTCTTTTAGCTTTCTCTCGGCTGTCTGGCTCTCCCGTGGTATTGCTCGTTTGCTTGCCTAGGGAATATGAATTCGGTCATGTTGACACACATGTAGACTTTTAGTAGTGAAAAGTCTGGATGTAAAATGCGGGCAATTTTAGTGTGTGCATGATGCTTCGTGTAAGCCATTTATTTCACCTTGGTGATCGGTCTAGCCGTGTAGGTCGCTCCTGGGGTAGACGAAAGAAAACAAAACACTTTCCATATATATCTTCCCCATCACGATTACTCAGCATTACTAACTACTCCCGCCTTAGGGGGCCAAGCCTAGTCTAGACTAGTCTAATCCCAGCCTGGCAACATATTGGAGAACCTTCTTGATATTATGAAATAATCATTACTCTACTCCCATGCAAAAAACAACAAGCCCTCAATAACAATTACCGCCACGAGTCCAGATAAATCTCAGAGCCATCTTAAGAAAAAAAAGACCACCAAAAAAACGGAGGGCAGGGGGAATGAATATCTTTGGCTTTGCAAACCCATAGTATGTATGTATACTCTCTTTCTCTGCCGCTCGCTAGCACGCACCGTATTGTGGTATCCGTATCCTGCTCGCTTTCTCAATTCAAACCGCCCCCAATCCCGACACCGACACCCGGAATACAAAACAGCCAGCCACCGCCAACCGTACATAGCTCCAATACCAGTTGTCAGTTGTGAAACAAGATACAACATATAAAGAGAGAAGAAAGCCACGCAGCCACCGACGATGAATGTGAACGCCAACAGCAACAACAATGGTGACAGTGGACTACGAACCCAGAGCCAGGTATAAGAGACGGGGACGGGGGTTCGACACTTGACATCTAGCATGCCTTGTTCCAGTTCCCAGTCGCCAGTCCGCAGGCCCTTGCCACGGGTCATCACCTTGTATTCGGCAGCCACGGGAACTTTTTTTTCGACTCGGCGGCACTCCCCGAGCCCGACTCGACCTGGAGGCTGCGCTGGTATATGTCCTAGCAGCAGGAAAAAAAGGTTAGCGTAAAAAAGGGGGCAGACAGGCACACTCGTAGATGAAGACCAAAAAAAAGGAAAAGAAATAGACGCACCTCGTCGTCCGTCGACATACGGCAATCTAGAATCAACTCACGGCTCGCCTCGTGCTTGTTCAAGTTCGGGTACGACTGGCCCTGGCTTTTCATGATGGGCAGGAGCACCTCGCCCAGGACCTCAAACTTCTTCCAGTTGATGCGGTCGCCGTTGGGGCCGACAAAGGTCATGCTGCCCTCTTCGGCCGACACGAGGTCGCGGCGGTGCAGCGGCATGAAGGGGATGCGCGGCAGCGGCGAGTTCTCCCAGGCGAGGCGGTAGGCAAAGTGGCTCTTTTGCGTGCCCATCAGCAGCACGAGGCGGGCGAAGCGCTTCTGCACGTCGGCCGCCACGAGCGCCCGCGTCTGTGTCAGACGGTGCACGGCGGTGCCGTTGATGCCCGCCAGCACGGCGGCGAGGCCGTTGTAGTTGTTGAGCAGGCGCAGCTTGCTCGCAATCACCATGAACTTCTCGAGGCATGGCGCCCGGTGCTTGGCCTTGTCGCGGATCAGAATCATGTTGGACACCCACTTGGCCACATGGTTGAAGTGCGCCACCATCCGGTTGATATTCTTGAGGCTGCGGCACTTCTCCTTCTGGTCCAGGGGCAGGCTGACGTGCCGTACCATGTCCCGGATGCGGATCGAGCCGAACATGACCCAGTCTATGCGCGTGATCTCGTCGGCAATGTCCTCTGCATCAATGTCCATGAAGATGTGGTAGCGGAACTTGTTCAAGGGCAGCGTCGCGGTCGGCACCATTGTGGCAGCCTCGCGGTCGTAGTCCTCGAACGAGTGGAACTGGAACCGTACTGGCGTGCGGCCCGAGTGCAAATCCGACAGCTCCGAGCCCTGCGAGGGACGTCGCTGGCTAACCGGGCCCAGTTCGTCCGGCTGAGACGAGCCCATCGACTCGGCGAATTCGCTTTGCTTCCGTCCCGCCGCCGCGTCCTTACCCAGGCCCGAAAGCCGATCGGCCGGACCGCTCCAGTTCTCGTCGACGTCGTCGGATTTGGCCCACCCTGTATCGTCATCCTCAACCACCTTCTGCTCTAGATGGTCGCGCATTTGTTGTGCGGCAGCATAGAATATCGGCTCTCCCGAGAGATTCCTAATAAGCTCTTCGAGATTTTTCCTCGTCGCGGGTCGTGCAAAATCTCCCGGGTAGAGGGACACCCATTTTGCCACTACTTCAACCATTCGCATCTGGGCGTCAATCCTGATCAGGGTATGCATGTTCCCGTCGTTCCTCACACGTTCCAGCCGCACAAGTATTGCGGCGAGAAGCTCGCACGGGGCGGCAAATTTGCGATATAGACAGAGGAAAATTTCGGCAAAATTGCTGTCAGACCTCGTCATCCTTTGCGAAAGAAGCCTGTCTACGAGATCGTCAAAGCTCACGCCTGCCGACTTGACCGGCCTGTCTATGAAGCTCTCATCGTTGCGCTGCAATATCGGTATGTCATCCGAATATCGATACGACTCGGAATCCGATTCCTCAATGTCCAGGAACGACTCTCCCCCACTATCGAGCCGGATTCCCGGAGTCCTCAGCAGACTAGACACTGTCTGCGGGGCGCCTTCGTTGGGAGCGTCTGAGTTTAGGTTGGGGGTACTGTAAGGGGCGTAGTTTTGATACTCTAGCCTCGGTGACCTCGAAACCTGTCCTCTGTAGTAGCCCTCATTTGGGGGGGCCGGGAATCCCCGTAAAAGAGAGAAATCAGAGCTCGCCCTGCTGTGCTTGCTGTGTTGGCTTATTGGCCGACCATTGATCAGCTCTGGGGGGGCATCGAGGTTCGCCGTCGAGGCGGCCCGTCTCCTAGTACCGGGCCCATCTGCCTTTTCCGACGCCACTATCTCGGGTTAGCCGTGCCTCGGCGCAAAATAAAGACAAACTCGGAAGTAATGCGACAAATGCAGCGCAGTCTTACCTCTCCGGGCAGCCACAGCCCTCAGCATGGCTTGGAGACATTCCCGGGCACTCCCGGGGACGTTTGAAGAAGTTCTAAAGTGGCCGGCGCAGGACGGAAATGCGTGCGCGACGCCTGCTGTGTCTAGCTGCCGCAAGTTTTCAGGTGTTTCGCACTTGGTAGCTACGAGAATGGTTGGGAGCGAGTCGTTTGCCAGCACAGCTACACACGGGATTAGAAACGCTACAGTGAGAATTAGGCCGGCCCCGAGTAGAAAACTCACACATGGCCTGGGGAAGGTAACGGATGCTGTCCTTGTTTATCACGTCGTATAGGACGAGGGCGCCGTCTATACGGGGCAACATGTGCCCACCTACTTGTTTCGGCCACTGTATTGGCTGCTCCGGGTCCACATCGAATACCTCGAGATCAAGCTCAACAAGGGTGACCTGGTAGGAGCTGCCATCGACCTCCTGGCGCACTGTTGTCACGAGGCTCGGCGGCCGCTGCGACCTTAAAGCTCGCTGTATGAGAGACGACTTCCCCACGCCGTCGGCGCCGATAACTGCGATGTTGATGGCATCCATGTCGCGTAAGGAATGCTCAAACTGGGGTTCCAATGGTCAGCACTTCCACGTCTAGTACTACTCTCGAGTTTTCTCCTCCTCTGTCTTTTTGCGCGCGCTATATCTGCAGTGGTTCAGGGGCGTCCCAGAATTGTTTCGCTATAATATGGAGACTAGGTGTGCCTACCCACGGCGTTGGATTCTTCTCGCTCAGTGATTCTTTGCGAGGCGGCGGCCACGGCTGCCGTTCATCGTCGCGACGGAGGGCCGTCTGCAGAGAGCCTGGCTGGTCAGGGATGTGGAATGTGAGGAAGAAGGGGTCGTCGAGAATGGACAGAAACGAGTCCCGAAAGTTGGAAGTGGCGGCGGCGGTGGCGGCGGGGACCTTGGTAGGAAGAGGGGGGATGGGGTCGTCAACGAGCAAGAAAGTGCCTCCAGCCGTGACAAGGGATAGAGACGTCGGGCGAGCGGCAGCGGGCGGCGGCGGAGGACGGGGCTCGACTGGCGGGTCGCGAAGGCGCGGGCCAGGCGCGTAAGTGGCGGCGGAGGACGCAAGCAATTGCGCGCCGTAGCGGTCTGGAACGAAGCGATGAGTTTGTGCCCACATCGTTTGGTCATGACAGCACCGAGACGGGCAAAAGAGCCTGCCGCTTCAGGCCCGATGCGAAGATCATAAAGATCTCGACAACGGAGAAGAAGCTGAACGGCGTGGCCCTGCTGCTCCTAGACTAACTAGTAGGCGGGCCAGGCTTTTGAGGGAAAGATAGGAAGGCATGGAAGGGGTTTGGGACCCAGTGGTATCCGTACCTACCCAGGGAGCAGAGCAGGGTGGTGGCGGCGGCGGCGGCGGCACCAGCACCAGTCAGTCCCAGCACCGGCAGCAACAAGGCAAGGGTCGTTCGCCGTCGTTATCAGAAAACGTGCTGGAAAGCTTGGGGATGCCAATGCACACCACGCTGGCGCGCCTCTTGTCTGCCGGTGGTCGATTAGTGACCCAGTGTAAGGCAGCTAATAAGCTACTTTGTACCTCTACTCCGTACTCCTGCGTAAGGTATCCGTACGTAGTGTAGGTATCCGTAGGGTAGCCCAGGTGCTCAGTCAACTTTCAAGGTAGGTAGGCAAGCTGTGGCACAGCGGCGGGCAGTCCCGGGCAGCAAAGACTCTCGCGGTCGATTGGCGGGATCGGGCTTCGGGTGCATTCGACAAGCCAGGGGTAGCGAACGCCAGGAAGGGAGGTCGAGCAGATCGGGGATGGACTGAGACTGAAGTGGCTTCGTGGCTTTCCCTCAGGCAATCCGATGGATGCAATTTACTTGCTGTGCTGTGACTGAACCGGCCCCTCTGCTGCCTCCTTGCTTGCTTGGCCCCGTCGTGGTCAGTGCTGTTCGCTCGTACACAGCGGACGCCGCCACAAACCCCTGCCCAGCACAGGCAGTAGCGCAGCTTGAAGGAATGCCCCGCAGTGCACTCTCCCCCCGTCACGCCCACGTTAGGTAATTTTAGCGGGCAAGGCAAGCGAGAGTGAGGTGCCAGCAAGCCGTTCCACGTTTCGGCCTAACGTTGTGAGCGCAGGTACAGCATGCCCTGCCTTCTATGCACTGACGCGAACACCTTTCAACCCCGTGCTGCTAGTACCGTATCGTGCCAGCTTAGGTTTAGTAGGGTTCGCAGGATGCGAGTGGGTTGGGGGCGACTGGGATTGAAGACGGGTTCTGCACGTGTAACTGGGAGAGGGTTGTCTCAAATCGAAGTCTCAAATCCAGCAGAGTGGGACGGGTAAAACCTGCCTTCCCAACAGACAAGCGACGCCGCCCGCTGCTCCGGGACTTTTTAAACGTTTGAGAGAGGAACCTTAACACCTTCACGCACGGGAGAGACAAACAGGGGTCCGAAGTCAAGGCTCGTGGGAATAAGATACGTATGTGACGGTGTGACCCCAAGTGCCATGAGTGATGAGTGCCCTGCAAGTTTCTGCAGCTCAACCACCCGCGTACCCCCACTGAAGCAACCGTCACGCAGCGGAGACCTTGTTTCCCTTCCATCGTTTTATTTCCCTCCCCCCCCAATATGCAAGGATAGGTGCAGCCAATCAATCTGTTCCTTCCGCCACCCAAATCTGCGGGCGCGAGGAACAGCCACAATGGCTGCGCCCACAAGATTGCCCACACACCGCTCGCAACACCGCTCGAAACACCACCTTTGGCGTTTTTTTGGGGGGGGGGGGGTGGGGGGGGGTTTTTTGAAGCATCGCTGGCTGATCTTTTTCACGTTCTACGATAGGGTGGTTTACCTAGTATACTCAGTATTCGCAGTCAAGTCATCAACCTCAAATACAGCCTTCGCAACAGTGGAATCCACCACCGCCACCACTTTTCTCACAGGCCTGGGACTCTCGTGCGCAGAGCCCTGGATAGAATATTCCTACTGCGGGCACTATTTTAGCCAGTCAGAACTTCGCTACGCCTATTTTACCGCCGCCGCCTGTTTCCGGTCACCAAGCTTACCCGACCTTGGGGACTGTGAATAGCCTCTCTAGGCAAGTTCAGTATACAAATCAGCCTCATGCACAGAGACCTGCGTGGCCGGCAGTTGCACCTGTGCCTTCGTAGCAGTGGAATCTAGGGCAGGGCAACAATACAGGGCAGCCGGGGCAGTATTACTAGCTAAAATTGACGATTTTAAACTTTCTACATCTTCGATTTTGAGCGCATTTTGTACCTATCTGCGGCTTCATTTTACATGCCCGCACCTAGCCTAGCTCACGTGCGGGCAGAATTGATTAGCAGTATTGTGAGCGCAGCCATTGTGGCTGTTCTTTGCGCCCGCAAATTTAGGTAGTAGAAGGAACAAATTGATTGGCTGCACCTATCCTTGCATGTGGGGGGTTAGGGAAATATTAAACGATGGGGAGGGAAACAAGGTTTCCGGTCACGCAGCCAGCGGATCAGATTGCACTCTTCTATGTTGTCTAACGTTCACTTTGTGCCCCCGACTACAGATGTCCATGTTGATTGTTGACCCTGCTTGGCAATACTGTTGCCATTGAATACTTGAAGCGGCCTATACTGGGGATATGTAGCGTAATTTTTCTGGGTCCGGCGCGGTTGATCCAATTGCTTTGTCTCTGTTGAAGCCTACGACACACCGAAGCTTGAAATGGACAGCAGTCTGCAGTCTTCGGTGCCGGCCTTGCGATTCACCACGTGGGGTAAAGTAAGGCAATCGACTGGCAAAATCCCGATACTGAGAACCACCGGGCTTCGAGGTATGTCTGTAGTTGCACCCAAAGAAGGCATCTTGCGGCTACACGTGTAGATGCCTTGCGATGGACGTCCCAGGACTGAGAAGCCACTTGTGAAGGAAGGCTGCAGAGTGGAAAGAAGGAGAGGTTGTATCCGTACTTCGGGAACCTTGACCGATGGTGTAACAAAGCGAGCTCGCTTTTCGACGGCAGCCGCTCCAACCAGGATAGTCGGAATCGTGTCTAACTAGGCAGATAGTGCCGTGGGATCGAAAGATGGCGGTGAGCACTTGTTGCTGCTCTGGGCAATGAGCATGAGATTTCTGGCCTGTCGGTGCATGAATGGATGGCCTTTATAATCTTTTGGGAGACAGAGCCACTTGAGCACGAAATAGGTAGATACGCAGTTTAGCTGGCGGCCGTAGGCGCCGAATTGATTGACTGAAACAATTTTGTTCCGGGACTTTTACGGAGTATTAGACCGTGTACGGAGTATCCGTACTAGCGATGCGGAAGGACCCGTGAGACATCTCGGTGCAGGCTGTATGTACTTTGTAGATGCCCGACAATCTTATCTTGATAAACCGAAGCGGCCGAGGCCGGCTGAGTCTGTCAAGAAACAGCCTGCCGGGGGCTCTTCAGCTGTTGCCCTGCCGCACCCCAGTTCGCAGCTGAAAGCTAGAAAGTAAGCATCTGCTCGCGGCCCCTCATGACCCAGACGCATGACGCCCGGTAGCTCCAATGTCTACGTTCTTCGTAGCGAGCTATAGTATTCGGCAGTCCGGACTACTGGGTTTCTTGGTAGGCGGAGGTTTGCTGGCTGGCCGCGTCTCGCTTGCCTGACTCTATGTAGGTAGGAGGCATGAACAATACTACTTGGCATCGCCGCAACAGCAGGGAAAACTGTGGCCGTCACACGCTCTCGCACTCTCGCACCCCGGATTCGATCCGGGGCCTCAGAGACTGACTGCAGGTGGCGGTCAACGTGAAGCTTGGCGGCATATAGCCATTGACCGTAGTCAGCAAGCATCCTCGCAGTTACGGCCGCTGACGGGCAGCCTTTCGCTTTTTTAAATTTTTATTTTTCAAGTTACACAGTCCTCGTAACTTGCTCTTCGGTCTTTTCGGTGAGACGTTGGCGCCCGAGTGAAAAGAGTTGCACGAAGGAAAACGTGCCAAACCCCGCCGCCCCGCTGCTCAAGAAAGATGGAGACCCCGGACAAACTCTAAAAACTAGGGCAGGCAAAGTGCCCACACCACCACGCGACTTTGGGATCCGAGTGGGCAACTTCGAGTGAGAAGAGAGCTGTCTGCGAAAAGTGCCATATACCGAAATGCAATATTGTGTTGTATGTTGTACGAAGCACCACGCACCACACACATAGCCCCCCGTAATGTTCACATTTAGTAATATTCACGTTTCCTTGTTTTACTCCTGCACTTTTCTCTTGTTGGTCTGCCCGCTACTCTGATCCGATGCATAGCGACTCCTGTGTTCCACGGCCCTCGTCATCTGCAGACAGACAGAAAAAGGGTCCTCGCTCACAGACACTTTGCGTCCGTAGCGGGACGTATTCAGTCGTCGCCCGGCCGGCATTGCAACCGGATGGTAGCATGTCTCCACACCCTACTCCCCTCTTCCTTCTCTCGACACGCCTACTCCGTTTATATTCCGTGCGCAACGCCGGTCAACCACCTCCAATGGGTAAGTAGGTAGGCATGCAGGCAGGCGGTCCTATGAGCCCCACCTGGCAAGGAAGCAAGCTAGAGACATGCATTCTGTCGTGTGTGCATCATGTGCCTTGCCTGTGCATCGAGGCGGTCGAGGGAATCACTTTGCTGCTCGAGGGCGGCCCCAAAAAAAAAACAGGTCCGCCGATCCCTTACGTTTTGTTTCGTTTCGTTTCGTCTCGTGACAATATCAAGTGCGGGCGGCCGGTAGGCACACTTGGTACTGTTTAGGTCCAACGGCGCTTAGGGCGCGGGCAGCCTCCTGTAGCGATTCCATCTCAAAAGGTGAATACGCCCATAAGAGTCTATAGTACCAGGTACAGAGAAGCACAAAACAAAACAAAAGGGTTTCAGTCAGCGGAAGCAAGCGGCCTGGCCCTCGCATGTCTCGCCGATGAGACAGCTAACTGCCTCTGGCCCTACGTTAGTCTGTCTGGGAAAAAAGCCAAGCGGACAAAGAGAGACAGGAATAGACTCTCAGGACACGCAGAGAGAGACATACAAATCCAATTGTCGGAGGGTAGCGCCCGGCATTGCGAGCTACTACTCAAGTGGGTTATTGGCATTTTCCTAGGTTCTTTTTCCAATTCTCCATCCGGACGTCTGATCAGCTTCCCCGCTCTTTTGCCCCCCCAATCCCCCCCTGCAAATCGAGTTTAGTTTGGAGGCCGTCTGCATAGATATTGAATTATATGTTGATTTCCATGAATTTCTTTTTTTCTCCCTTTCCGAATCAGCTGTAGAATCATGTACACTCTAATCCCTGAATGTTTGTTGGCGTGGTGCATACTTGGGCAGAATAAATGCCATAGCACAGCAAATAAACCGGCCAGGAAAAGCCATAGGTATTGTGGGGAAGAGAAAGGCCTATCGGCGGAAAACCTATAGGGCGAGCCGTAAGAAATTGAAGCCTTTCAAATATTGGAAAGTCCCCCGCTAACAAGCATTCAGGGATTTGATTGCACGTATACGTAGCGTCAATAGGCTCGGTTGTCCGCCTCGATTGTCCGCCGCGGTCCTCTCTAATTAGCGTGCTGGTTTAAGGTGAAATTTCAACCTTGCGTTCTGCGACTGACGGGCCCGAGGAAAAGCCAAAATAAACCCGGCCACTACTACGTTGGCTTTTGCATTCCTGTTTAGCTCCCTAGCTTCACTCTGGTAGGTGATCCAAGGTTAGTTAGAGTTGCCCAGGTAGGTTGGCTAGTCCCGGGGCACGGGGGTGGGGGAGCTGTCTAGACTCTGGAGGAGGTCCCCAATTTGTGGTTCTTGTTAGGTGTTAGTGGAATTTGGAAGTATTGGCGAGCTTCGGAGCTTTGGAGCTTTGGCAGCTGGGCCAAGTGGTCATATGTACTGTACAAAAATGCATTTCTGCGAGAGAGAGAATAAGGCATCCTGCAAAAAATGCAAAAAACGTATCATTAATATCCCGCCCCTCTCCTTTTCCTACTCTCACGCTACGAAGGAGGAAATCACGGATTGATCGCAGCTGGATTGTGAAAAGAGCAAAAAGGCCAGGGAAACGACACTCTCCGCGATCTTGCAAGTGGCGTTTCTCCAAGTCTCTCTCTCGCTGTTTTTTTTACTTCCTGACTTCCCCACCGCTCAAAGCCGAATACTACATTGGGCACTTTTTAGTCTGAGTCAACATCTCAGCTCAGGTCTATCTAGTGTATGTCGGCTGCTGGCTGCGCGTGTGGTGTGTACTGTATGCACAGTACTGCACCTCTGGTGAGTGGGAGGGAGTGAGAGAGAGAGAGTTGGGTTTGTGTCCAAAACAAGAACCCTCGGCTTAGAAAAGCAGGAAGCGCAAAAGACAAATACGACGCCAAAGTTGCAACGTGCGCCGAGGCGGAGCCAAAAAGGGACGGACTGCCACCCCCGCCGAACAGGAAGGCCGAGAGAGAGCAAACATACGCGGGCAAGCAAGAGAAGTGAGGGAGATACAAATTGTGTTTCAGCAAAAAAAAGAGAACAAAAATCAAGGCGTCACCAGTTCCCCTCTCGCTCCTGTCTCCACAGACCCGGACTTTGCTTCCTCCATATTTCCTCACACACACACACACACACACTCGCCCACTCTCCTCAGGATACGGGGCTCAATTCACAGCCACGACCAAAGCCAACACTGCCCTCGCACAGCCAGTTTCCCCCCCTCCCTACCCGAAAAGGAAATCCCGCCGGGGGAAACAATCATTCCTTCACCGGCAAGAGCCACCGAGGAATGCAATACATAATGGGCTCCGGCAGGGAACATGCCCCAGCCATTCAGCTACTGCTGCCGCTAGGCGAAAAGCCGCGGACAGCAGCAACCCCAGGACGAGGCGGAGGCCCAGCAGAGACGTCGAAGCCGCGGGGGGGCCGGGCGGCGGCAGCGCAGGCCCACTTCGACGCCGACGAGCTGTCCCGGCGGCTGTACGTGGTGCTGGCCGAGCAGAAGGCGCACGCCGAGCGGAAACGCCGGGCACGCGCCGAGGCAGCGGTATCGTCATCGCGGCGAGACGGGTCGGGAGGCACGACGAGACACGACGCCGGACGGTCATCCGACGGAGCAACGGCCACGCAGCAGCAGCACAAGCAGCCGGCAGAGGCTCCGCCGCCAACCAACCTCATCTCTGATCTGAGGCAGTCTCAGGCCGCCAAGCGAAAATCACAGGTGGCTGATGTCGGCCAGTTCTCCGACGCCGCGGCTGCCGGCGAGACCCCCGAGTACCACCACGTGCCTCGAGAGGCGGCCAAGCAGTTCGCCCGGACAACGACGGTGGAAGTGATGCGGGAGAACAGCGGCGTGCACCAGCTGTCGGGTCGGGCACTCAAATTCCACATGGACGGGCAGCGGACGATACGGGCAGTGGCCCCGGAGACGACGGCAACCGGAGGCGGCGGCGGCGGCGGCAGCGACCCCCTGATGCCGTCCGAGCTGAACCGGGCCCTAAAGCACAGCCAGACGCAGCGCGACCGGGTGCTGGACCGGAACCAGTTCCAGCGCACGCGCACGCTTGAGGAGGCGGCGCAGCTGGAGCAGGAGCAGCGGCGGGACGAGGCGCTGCGCAACCGGCACACGTTCGAGGGGGAGCTGTCTCGAATCGCGCCCGAGGGCAGCAGCGGCAGGAAGCACCACCACCGCCACCAGCACTCGCAGTCGCAGCCGCAGTCACTCGCCGGCGGCGCCAACAACAACGCGAGGAGGAACAACATGGGCGGCACGGCCGTGATCGAGCTGCTGGCCGACGGCGGCGACGGGGCCGGCACGGGGAGCCGGCGGTCGGTGCTGATGCTTGACGCCGCCGTGGTGGACGCCGTGTCGGACGAGACGCCGCCCGATGACGAGCCGCAGCTGGGGCAGTTTCCCGCGCACGAGCACCGCGTCGACTGGACGCAGAGCGACGAGGGGTCCAAGACGCGGCCGAAGCTGCTGCTGACGCCCCTGCTGCGCAAGGCCGACTCGCTGTGGGGGATGCGGGGACGCTTGGGAAGCGGCAGCGGCAAGGGGGGGCCGCAACCGCCGTCGCCGTCTGCGACAGCGACAGCGCCAACGGCCGTGAGCCAAGTAAAGACACAGAGAGGGAGCCCGGCAAAATCATCACCCGCACAAGAGAAGAACAGTACCATTTCCGCTGCTACTACTGCCCTCGCCACGACCGCGACGACGACGACGTCAACGACGCAACTGAGATCTCCGAAATCTAGCTTCTTTGCAAAGTTCAAACGTTAGCCGATAGACAGACTAACACAGACATACATAAACACACACACACACACACACACACATACATATCGATACTCGAATATCCATCCCCCACACAACTATATATATAAACCAGTCCAAAATCGGGGGAAGAAGGGGGGGTTGGGAAAGCTGTTTCGTACCTTGTTGGCATGTATACATAGACATACGTACAGCTACTACCATAATCTCAAATGATAATGCCTCACGCTTCACTTTGCCCCTAATAACTGTCTACCCCGTGTATCCACCACACCAGAGAAAGGACTTTTGAAAACCCTTCCCGTATATAAAGCCCGCCTTTCTTGTCCCTAGGTGGGTAGGGAACAGGCCAGCGGGATATATAATGTGCAAGTGCCTTCAGGAGAGCCCTCCTGCGTTCAACTAGGAACCGTGTTTGCTCAATGGCGGTATTGAGGGGCGCGAATGGGTTGGGATGTGAAGGTTTATGGTGAATCAGGGGCGCCGTATTTTATTAGGGGGTTGTATGGGCGCAAGGCCAAACATAGGCCGTGTTGAGCGAAGGTGATTGGAGAGGGAGGACTCACTGAGCTGAGAGGATCGCAGCGCGGCTACCCGTCTTCGCTGTCGGTCTCGATATAGAGAAGCATGCCGTGGCGGGTGGGTATGAGGATTTGAATGTAGTCGCCCTATCGATCTTTCTCTATCTCCTCTCTCAGCAAGCGCTCGACTATCTTAGCCTCCTCGGCGGCGACGTCCTGGCGGACCAGCTCCGTGGCGTTCGTCTCCCGTGCCTCGTTCACGAGCGCAAACAGTATGAGGTCGCAGAACTCGCGGACCCCATCACCGAGTGAGCTCGGGTTGCATCTCGCTTTTCGCAGCGCCTCGACGCCCCGCCGTAGACCTATGTCGCGCGACCACATCGGCTGCTGGTGCATCTTAAACGGCAGCAGTCCGCCGCCGCCGCCATTAGCGGTGGGGCTCGGCGGCAGGGTCGTGCGCTGGAGCCGATCGAGCTCCTCATCGAGGCCGGGGTACTTGTGAAAAAGCCGCTGCATATCGGCTTGATACTCGAGTATCCCTCTGAGGGGGTGTTTGTCTTCCCCGTCTCTGTTCTCGCCGCGGAGGCGGCTAGGCGGCTCTGGCTCTAGTTTGATCTTTGGCTCGTCAGGCGGGTGGTTTTCTTTGTGGGTACGGTTGCAGGCGACCGAGCAGCTAAACAATTGGGTTCTCAAGTAAGACCTTTGCCTGTTCTGAATATGGATATTGTGAGGTGCAAGTGAAACCACGCGGGGGGTGCTTACTATGGCATGGTGCAGCGCGGGCATTTGTATTTGCCTGGCTCCTTCTCGCATACGCCGCATAGGCGGGCCGCGGCTGCTTTCGGCTCGCTGGGTGGCGGAGTAGCCATGGTGCTAAGCGGCTCTAGGGATGTGGAATCTAGAAGGGTTACGCTGGACGCATAGGAGGCGTTGTCAGCGGCGAGTGAGGATTGCGAAGACGGAATCTCAGCAAATAGCTGCGGCACGTCGCCGATGTGCGCCTGTGAAAGCACGGCACCCATATCGCCCTCCTGTGTCAAGCTCATAATGATGATAATGTTATACCTCGAATACCAGGAAAGCAGCAGTGACTCTTTGTCTTGCGATGTCCGAGGACGAGGTGAAGTTGAGAGACGGAGCGGCGCCAATCAAATGCGACGACAGACTGCCGATCCCCAACGGTCCCCCGTTGGCCGGGGGCGCTGCTGCAGGTGATGAAAAATGAGGAACTATTCGTAGAGACTGTATGCTGATGGCTTGATTGATTAGTGTGCTACTAACCGAGTTCTTGTCTAGTAAAAAGTGAGAAGTTGGTGATCGAGGTGTTGTGCAGTTTCCTTTCTGTTTCTTTTCGTCTCCTTACGCGCGGTTCGGGACGATAAAAAACTTGTTGGAGGCGCGTCGCGGAGCTATGACGCAAACTTTTTCGGGGGGGGGGGGGGGGGGGGGCTTTTAGCGCGAATGAACATCTGCAAGTGCTGAATGAGGCAAACGGATGGATCGGGGGCCAAGCCAAGGGACTCGTTTTGTCAGCCGCAGCCGCAAATGCGGCAATCCTCGGACCGGGAAGCTTGATTGCTTTTTTTTCTCTTTCCTTTTTCACTTTAACTTCGCCCCTTCCACAGGAGCCAAAAGGCTTAACCCGACAAACCCTACGAAGACGACGCAGCGCAGTATCCTTTTCTGAATTCTTAAACTCAGACCATTAAAGCCGCAAATCATAACGGAAATGCCTTCAGATAGGCTGTTGCGAGGCCTCGCGCCTCTCGTTCCCAAAGCCTCTCGACCCGTCCGCCCCGCCGCAACATGCCTCCGCCTCCGGCAGGCGGCCGCTACACGGCAAGCCCACACCTCCAGCGCGCGCCCTGCGCCCCTCACAACCAGCTCCAGTGCCCGACCGCGACTTTCACGACCAGCGATTGAAACATGGGGCGCACTAAGCCCCGCCGCGGCGGCGGGTAGGGGCCGGCGCACAATCTTCATCCAGACGGAGAACACGCCGAACGCGGACGCGCTCAAATTCCTACCGAACCACCGGGTGCTGCCCGAGGGCCTGGCGACGCCCTTCATCGAGTACATGAGCCCGCGATCGACGATTGCTCCACCGTACCCGTCGCCGCTGGCGGCGCAGCTGATGAACATCGACGGCGTGACGTCGGTGTTCTACGGCGCCGACTTCATCACGGTGACCAAGGCGGCCGACGCCAACTGGGCGCACATCCGGCCCGAGGTGTTTGCGCTCATCACCGAGGCCATCACGTCGGGCCAGACCATCGTCAACGTGACGGAGCGCAGGGAGGGCGATGAGGCCGAGGCCGAGGCCCACGGCCAGAACTCGTACGCCGAGGACAGTCTCAGCTACAACGAGAACGACAGCGAGGTCGTGGGCATGATCAAGGAGCTCCTCGAGACGCGCATCCGCCCGGCCATCCAGGACGACGGCGGCGACATCGAATTCCGCGGCTTCGAGAACGGGCAGGTGCTGCTCAAGCTGCGCGGCGCTTGCCGGACCTGCGACTCGAGCACCGTCACACTAAAGAACGGCATCGAGGGCATGCTAATGCACTACGTAGGTTTTGCCCCCTCATTTCCCCCTTATTTGGACCCGTTGGCCCCCCTTTTTGTGTCACAGCGCCCCCTCCTCAGCCCCTTTTCTCGGGCAAATACGTCCAACATCCTCTTTATTGGTGAGCGCAAGCTAAATAGCCCGCTTCCGCAGATCGAGGAGGTCCAAGGTGTCCAGCAGGTTCTGGACCAGGAAGAAGAAATTTCCCTGCAGGAGTTCGCAAAGTTTGAGGAGAAGCTCAAGGTCAAGAAAGGAGAAGCTCCTCCTTCTACTGTAGGAAAGGGGTCTCTCGACACTGTTCCCGGGTAATTGATAGGGGGCGTGCTTAGACATAGATTCGGTGTCTACGCATCTTTGATGAACCAAGTCTTGGACTCCCCTTTCTCACCATTCATTGCCACTGCTTGGCTGTACTCTTTGTTTGGTTCTCAGACCTCGCTAGGCCAAAAATGGCTGCATCTCCAGTATCAGATAGATTGACTGGTGCGGGCAATTGGCAGTCTTTTCTCCGCAGCATATTTCTCGCTTTGGAGAGGTGCGTGACAGGAGCTGTACATCTGGGCCGATGGATTCTGTATACAGAACCATTAGGGACGAGGGTATATATTTCTTTTGTTCTCCATCTGCGCTCCCAACAGTTCAAACAGCTGAGGCCCCGAGTTGAATTGGACAGACACAAGAGCGCAATTGAACTCGCAACAGTTTACAGTATCACTACCTGCTAGTCATATCGCGGCCAGCCGCGCATAGTTGATTTTATTTTCGCTGTCCGCCGTGGAAATGATTACTGTTGCAGGAACGTGTGTCGTTGGTTCTCTCACCATACCCCTCGCCGCCAAGCTTTCGTTCTCGTGCGCGCCTGGCGGCCAAAGAAACATTTTCGGCACGGCAATTCTCATTCATGCCTTTCCGGTACGGCAGCGTGGGAAGATCGTCGTTGAAAAAAAAAAAAAAAAAAGAACAGAAAAGAGGGAGAGGGGAAATAGTTGGTACGATATTAACACACGAAACACGTAAAAATTAGCTAGCCGTCTAGACACAAGCAAGCGTTGTGCGACCCCCTTTAATCTAGATAAGTTGAGATCGCAAGAGGTGCCAAAACATCAAATTGGAATTGGGCATGGTGCCTTGGCAAGGTGCAATGTCAATAACCTGCGTCTGTGTTGCATCCTTGAACCCTGAAGCCGTACATTAAAGTTCGGAGAGGAAACCCCCCAGGGCTTTGTCGGAGCTTGTCGAACATGGTTTGTCTCGCCAGCCGAAAGACACGGGTGGGCCCAGCTGCCCCGAAGTCGAACGAGAATCCGGGGTAAAGCCCCTGGACGAATCGCTTGTGCTGCGCCGCGACCTTAAAGGTAACAGCCAACCAGTGATAGCCCGCGGGGTACGGGCGATAAGACGGAACCCTATGGCATCCATGGCGCGGAGCAGCATGGCGCTTCCCCTCATTTTTGAGCTCCAGGGCGGGATGTGGAGAGGGGGGAGTGGCATGCCAGCTCGCACATTAAAATCTGGGGTTTCCTGATCTTTCCTGTGTGTGGACGGCGGGACTCTTTCGACTCCAGTTTAGGCTGATAGTGGGCCTAGGTCGTCCGTCCTGCGGATTCCCTTGGTGTTCAACTCCCTTCAACAGGGCATATTATTTTATGCACGACACTGTGTAGCTAGTTTTTCTGCAATTAGTGCACACACATACAAACTCCGTACCGACACTGGCATCTGCGTCTTCGCCTCTCTCGCTCTGGCCCAAAGAGTGACAGATGAATGACGATGAGTGCTCCAGTGGGGAAGGGAGAGATGACTAGGTGCGGGCGGAGCACTCGCATCGAGATTGCAAGGCTTCATCCATCCATCCATTCATGACCCATCCAGCTGCACCGGGCGAGGAGGTGGTCAGAGCTCTCTGTGGAGGTATGCGATATCATCGCGACGCAGGGTTGACTAACAGTTGTTAGTGGTGAGTTGAGCACGGTGGGAGGGTAACCGAACGCACATGCGACAGCGCAGCAGCAGCAGCAGCAAGCTATCATGACGGCCGCCATCAATTTTGGGGCGCGTGATGTGTTGCAGCCGTTGGCCTCCGCAAGCCTTTTCCCTTTACCCCTCTCATCCGTCATTCTGTATGCGAGCGTCTCCTTATGGGACGGCCCAGAGAGATTCGAGAGCATCGTCGTGGGTTTTGCCCACCAATTCACCCTCGCGAGCAAAGCCAGCCACTCAGACAGCCGGCAACATCATTGGCCACAGGGGTTTCTGGGCTACAACGTCCATCAGCGTGCGGTTGCACGACATGACACGGCATTCCTGATCTCTTCTTGAATTTTGACCAGCCTGGCCTTTTTTGCGGAGGGTCGAGACTCGTCGAGCATCTGGCACTGGCACTAGCTAGAAGGGGCCAGAGCAGGGGACAATGCTTTGGGGGTCCTTCCTGCCAGGCATTCGGTCTTGTGAGCAAGAGGAGGAACGGGCATGGCCGCTCGAAGCTTGAGCTAGGGCACGGGGGCCGCATTTCCAATGCCTTTTTAGGCCGCCTGCATCTCCAGCAAATGTGTCCCCAACCGCGCATTTGTGTCATAAATTGTATGTGGAGACGTCCATTCTGCACGCTGGAGGCGGGATCAACCACATCCAGGTCGTGGCAGGTTGGTCGTGGGTTCATCCAAGCCGGTGGTTGATGATTTTCAGGAGCCCCAATGGTGTAGAAACCGGCCTCCTTTCATTCTAGTTATAATCAGGTGTTTGCATCGCGAATTTGTTGAGGCAAGATCACCGAGAGACGGCTGGAGCGTCCGTCTTTGAAACAAAGCACAGGATCGCCGGCTATGCCGATAGTTGGATTTCGTTTCGCTCGAATTCGCGTCCTGGCCAGTGGCAGCATATCCCAACCGGCCCAACTCCAGGTGAAAGAGCCTGGAGTCTCGTCGAGAAGGATATTGGTCCTCCGCAGGGACGGAGCCGTTGTGATAGCGTTGCGGTCTCCAGAGCCCCGAAATGGCAAGTTCATGGCCCTCCGCACCATAATCCATAGATTGGTCTAGCATTGCGGATGCAAGCTTGTAGTACTTGGACACACATACCCTAACGCTTTCGGCGCTGCATTACCGACCGACCGATATGCGGAAAACTGCTCTCCACTTAAAGGGTCGCAAGCTGCTGTGAGGGGAATCCGTCATGGGCCGAAGAGCTCCATCCTGGGCTGTGGAGAAAGAAATTGCAGCCGCCGCCGTATCGACAAAAGGACGCCTTCCATTCTGGATTATTAAGTCAGGCATCCATCTGTACTGTACTAGTAGTTAGGTCAGAATAATTCAACAACAAGACACCTACAATGTTGTAGAAAGCGGTTGTGAGGAAAGCATAAAGGCCAGAATCGCTCACATTAACCACAGAAATGCCCGTCTGGCCTCGATGCGGATCACAGCGACACGGGTGGTGACATTGAACCCATCCCTGGGAGATGGAGGGGGGTCGACGGGATGGGATGGGGAGCCTAAACCTCATTGCAGTGGAGGCAGGCACGTCAACCAGGAACCGTGGCTTCCAGGTTGCAGCTTCCGCGTTCAGTGCCTTCCCTCCATGCAAAGCAAACGGGAGCACTGAGGCGTGGGCTGGGAACCCGAGGCCCCACCGAGTGCTCGGAAGCCCTAAGCCGCTCCCCGCTGCCAAGCATCGTCAACCTCTGCCGCCTCGAATGTTCAAAGTAGGGGGGTGTCTTAAGGTAGAAGGCATTCGAGTCTCTCTAGTGTCGATGGATGGGATGGGAGTGTATGAGGAGAGGGCCGGGATGGTAAGTAGTGGCTTGGAAAAGGGGCAGGTGGGATGGGAATGGGAATGGGTTGTTTGATGCACAATCAATCAGAGATCCATCCATACGGAAAATACAACATGGTCAAGATGTGCATACACTCCATGCAATCCAAGAGAGTCCCGCGCTAGGATGTGCTGACGGGATTCTGGCATCGTCGTCAAATTTGCTTGACCGGGCTGGCAAGCCCGGTGACTGGGTAAGGCAGCTCACACCCCAGAAATGGCTACTTTGCGTCTGCTTGGCCTGAACAATCAATGGAAGCAAGCACACACACAACCACCACGAACGCCATCCTGATGACCACCTACCTCACCTCTCATCTGGCCGTAGACGTTGACCCTCTCCCGTCTTCCATGGTTGTAAGTTCCCGCCCATCGTCCTTTTTGCCAATTCGCCCCACCCTTGGACATGGGCTCCCAGTGTTCTTTCTCGTCCAAGGAAGCTCAGCAATCGAGTCTTAAAACATATGGTGCGTACTGTGGAGGCCGTCTTTGTTCCCCGTCCATTGCCGCGCATTAGAGTTGCCCGCTGTCTCCGCCGTCACCCATCGACCACTGACAAAAGACGGCAGCCCGCACGCGGCCTCTGCAGAATTCCATCCCAGGTCCGGCGGAGAGGCAGCACCTCACCTGGCACTTCGCAGTAGCAGCAGCAGGCGGGCAACCCAGCACCGAACCTTCCCGCGAGCGGGGAGCAAAACTGAATTAACTTTTGCCACGGCGTCAACGTATTGAGTGACTTGGCCTGGCTTAGTCTAGCCTGGCGGCCGGGATCCAGCCACTAACGAGTAACGTGCTACCAGCTTTCCCCGCTCACACCTCAACCCTATGCTGCTTACCTCTACCCTACCTACCTGCCCTGGACCTGACTTGCCTACCTGCAACCTCGCCGCGCATCAATCCCTAGACTTCGAACGCATCTTTTCGCTTCCTTCCCGTCCGTCTCTTCCTCTCCACCCCTTTACCTCCGTCCTATCCCACGGCTCGACGGCGGCGAATGCCCGGTTTTCGCCCCTACTCCCGCCAGAAAGAAGCCTTCAGTCTGCCCGGTCGCCGACACAGCGTCGCCCGTCGCTTCTGCCCGAGCCTCCACTGTTGTGCGGTTCGCGACGGCAATGGTAGGTCGCGTTTAGAGCTGTCGCATCCAATATTCAACCACCCAGCTGAGCCGCAGCGCCTTAGTCGCCGATCCGTCCACCACTTCTAAGCCAACCCGCGTGCGAATAATTGGTCTTCAACCTTCCATTCCCAACCTCGTCTGTCTGGCTACTTCGCCCTACCTAGGATCGGTCTTTTACTGCGTCTTCCCCTCGGCTCATTTGTCTGCAAGGCTTGCTGGAGAAGAGGTGTGCGGTTTGGCGCGCCCTGGGCCAAGTGTTTCTCCGTTGACGGCGGCTCGAAACGACGGCTCGGCTCAACCTCGAGGCTCGTTGTGTTCTTGGGAGAGAACGTTTCCTATCACGTTACAATCGGATCGACCTGGCTTGAAAGAACTGTAGTTTTGCGCGATACCCCGTCTATAGACCTAATATTACCTTGACTCCTGTAAGTTAGCCCCTCCCCTTCCCCCGCCACGTCACGGCGGTGGTCACGCATCACCTTTACTCTAAAAGAGCAACCCTGAAATCTCTGTCTGCCCTCAGCATGGCACGAGACCGCTCTGCTCGCTTCTCTTCAGTTCGAACTCTGGGTTCATTTCACGGGCTCCCGTGCACCAGTGCCCCCGGCACATGCGTCACATTAATATTGCTCAAACTCGACGCTCCTCGCTATTTCTGATCTTAAACTAACAAGACCACTTCTAGACCAGCTGTGATCAACATTTATCGCGGCTTTCACATAACGATATACCGTTCTTGAACGGTGCTTCGGTCCTCATCCTATTTGTCGGTGCACCGACTCAAGGTCTTGTCTGTCGAGATCTAGGTCAGCGAAACTAATGGTAGCCAAGCGTTGCCCTTCCTCGATTGTATAGATCAACCGAAGCGGATTTTGCACAGGCAAGCAGGCTTGGTGTGACCGAAACTCTAGTTTTGATCTAGATCATGAGCTCTGGCAACGTTAAGCCTGGCGCACAGTCAAAGCCCAGCCAAGGCAACTTCGCGGCGGTCGCGCCAAGCAGCCAGGCGATATTGCTGGACAAGCTGAATGCGCGAAGGTCCACTCCCGACTCGGAAGCATTGGCAAGCTCAGATGACGAGGCGGATCCTCATCGCCAAGAAACCTTACCAGCTTCTGTGCAGCCTCCCAAACCCGTTCGCCGAGCTTCGTGGCTAAACGATACGTCCCAGCCGCCGCTGCCACGCCCAAGAAAAGGATCTTTCGCAAGTAACTCAATGTCGCCAACCACCTCCCACCCGAGCACTCCGTCGGCCGAGTCGGGAGCTGGGGCTTGGGGCGCACACTCTGCATCGTCTGCTGTTCTTGGCCGAGGCCATACTGGCCCCGCTTCTTTCCCATGGGGGACCGGCATCTGGAACAGTGAGAGAAAGGAGCCACCATCTCGGCTGGCCGAGGTCTTGCCTTCTCCGACGTCAACTATCCCCCCAGGAAGCTCGGGAAATTCCTTCTTCGGCGGTGAGGGTGGCCTGACGCACACTTCGCCTGCTCCTCGAGAGGGTCCGAATTCCCAGATCCCATTCGCTATACCTCTTCATCCAACTCCCAAGACGTACCGCTCGCAGTCTTACTCGGTAGGACAGCTCGAACCAGAGACGACGGCCACGTCTATGGGGCCATCCACAGTTATAGGGGCTCGAGGCCGGCCCATTCCGCACTCCGGCCTACAGCATCGCCCTTCTCGACCTAGCATGTTGAGTGAAATGGCGAATGACGGCACGATGTTAGGCAAAGTGAACGAGGACGACGATGATGACAGCGTCGGTTCTTTGCAAGGAAGCCAGCACCAATCGGCCGAGGCGGCCAAGACCATCGAGATGCTCACGCGTGAAAACGCCATGCTGCGTCAGCAGCAGTACCAGAATGCCCGTCTCAGACCCCGGGCTTCAACTGCGGCCGCCTACGGGTTGGGAAACGGATACCTGCAGGAGGCCGTCCCGGAGGAATCAGACTATGCCATCGATGAACACGATGAAGCCAACGACGGTTCTGATTTGGCCGCCAAGAGAAGCCTTGCGAGAAGGATGAGTGAATACGGTGCGGGCCCTTTCTGGTCGCCATTCCTTGTGGAGAACAGAAAGCTTGAGAATGTGAAGAAAGGCTTCTGGCAAAGCTCGCTTGGTTTCGGCGGATCGGGAGACCTCCCTCAGAGTAGACGACACTCGTTTGCCGATGTGCCAACTCGGCAAGGTTCCATTAGCTCGATTGGAGAGTCGGGTGTGTCGCATGAGCCCGGTTCTCAGGATGGAGTTCACTCGCAGGAGTTTCCAAGCGCTTACCCCGATAGTCATGGCTATCCGGTATCCAGTCAAGGCAAGAACCACAGAACGTTAAGTTATTGCCACTTCTGACACTTTTGCTAGTTTCGGCGTACTTCAATGGCGGTGCCAACCTTGCCGGGCCCCAGCAGCCTCTTGGACAGCCAGGATATGGCAGTCAATATCCATCTCCATACGCTACACTCCACAACAGCTATTCCAACAGACCTACGTCGCCGCATCGCAATATGTATGGGATGTCACAGCCACGACATAATCAGTCCCTCTATGTCGTCCTCTTCAAATGTGCCAGAGCCGATGTGTTCTATATACAGGAAGGCACAGGACTGAACGTTAAGCCTGGCGACCTGGTGATAGTGGAGGCTGATCGTGGCACTGACCTGGGGACTGTTGCTAAGAGCAACATCGACTGGCAGACCGCCAAAGATTACAAGGAGCACTACGCCGAGGAGCATTATAGGTGGCTGATAATGTACTCGCAGAACGCAGCTGCTGCACAAGAGGGTTCCGGTAGTGGTGTCGCGACCACATCCAACGGACTTCAAGCGAGCGCCGTTGGCGGCATGGGGCCCCCGAGCCAGCATCATATGCAAGAGCCCGCATCAGGCGAGCTGAAGCCAAAGCTGATCAAGCGCCTTGCGCAAAGCCATGAGATCCACGCCTTGCGGGACAAGGAGGGTAATGAGGCCAAGGCGAAGCGTGTTTGCATGCAGAAGGTCAAGGAGCACGGCCTCAACATGGAGATCCTGGACGCTGAGTTCCAGATGTAAGCTCCCTGGACATCTCTTATTAGAATGACTGGCTAACGGTAGATGCAGGGACTGGAAGAAGTTGACATTTTACTACTTTGCCGATTCGTATATCAACTTCAACTCTCTTGTCACCGATCTCTTCAAGATCTACAAGACGCGAATTTGGATGTCAGCGATCAACCCAGCCTCGTTTGCCAGCCCGGCACTGGGGTTGCAGGCGCCGAGCGGCATTGGCCCCGGCGCAGTCGGGGTTGGCCGAGGGTCCGGTACAGCTGAGCGTCGGCAGAACACACAGCCAGAGCCACAAGCGGCCTATTCTGGATCGGCTCAACCAAGTCGCGGCGCTCCTTCGGCATTTCCTGTGGCATACGGTTCTGATCGAGCCGTCGTACCAGGCGCGCCTGGTTACCCAGTGGGCAACTATCCATACAACCACTACAGCACGTTCGGAAATACTGCTCGACCAGGTGCTTTGCCATTTGCTCCTGGCATGATGCAGAATCCAGACTCGTACACGGGTTCTTTCCCGAGCGGCGGGGACTACGCGGCGCGTGTAGGCCGCTTCCCGACGCCTCAATCTGCAGCTGGTGCGCAACATGACCAGGCTGTCCCGGCCCTTGGACAGCAGAACGATTGGGTAGGGGCGTTCCATGGCCTTTCACTGAACTCACGTTGATGGGGTTCTTCGCTGGCACCGGCATTTTTATTTAATGCCTTTATAATCGTATTTATTTGATGCATGTCGGTGTTCACATGCTCGGCAGGCAACATGATTCGCTCATCTTGGACTTGCGATACAGAAAAGAAGAAAGACTACTACGGCACAAAAAGACAATGGATGGTCGATCCTTCCATACGAGGCAATGGGAAATGTCCAAGACTACAATACGGTTCCGCAGAGGCGGTCATCTCCTTGGAGGCGTTGGTCGACAGTTTTGGTTCGGGGTGGGACAGCCCCAAGATTGCTTTCAGTACTTCATCCCTTCAGTCACAGTCGGTTTGAGCGGTGGTTGGGAAAGACCGAACGGTTGGTTGTCAGACAAGGCAACTAGAGAAAGAGACTTTATATCTGCTCTGCGTTTTAGCCCTGATTGGCCATGGTCCTCCTAGCGCGGTGGTCGTTCTCCCCTTTCTGCGGGCATCGACCTGAATTCTTTCGTTTCCTTTTTTTTTCCTTTCACGAATGGAAGACTTGCCATAGACAGAGAGGACTTTGCACGGGCGCGGTGTAATTTGATACTAAAAAGGGAACTTATGCTTGGCTAGGGATCGAATGTATGTAAAGGGCACTACAAGAAATTTCATCGCGTCTTTTTTCTCACTGCCAGTAGTATGTACATGTTTCCTGGCAGTTTATAATGTCTTGTGTTTAAGAATGCGTCAGGCCTAGTTGAAATATTGATTTCATTCGATGCCCGGGCTACCATTCTTCTCGTCATGTCCCATTAGAATAACCCCAACATAGTTGAAGTTGGTCGACCCACCTCTAAAATCGTACCTAACGTCTCCAATCCGGGGGTCTATCTATAACGCAGTTAATTTAAAAACCTCATTGCCAAATCCCCGAGCATCGTTTGATGAAAGAGCCAATTTTAACCTGTTTGATTCTCATAATATTGGAAAGTGCCAGCCAGATGGTCGCCTAACTTATACTCGTGCCGCACTTGGTACGCCCCAGTAGTATCGGCAAGTCCCACAGGCACACTTTCCCTAACGCTTCGTGGTGATGGAAAATGTAGAAGGGGCGACAGACGAACGATTGCCTATTTAGGTGGCGGTATTGGTTGAGCGTCGGTTTTTGAAATAAATAACTGTGTGCTTCCTTTTACTGGCGTGGACTCCAATTCGACATCGAAGCCTTGTTTCAATTTTTCACTGCACTCCTGCGAACACGACTTGTCTCATCACACCCCCGTTATTAACCCAGAACACGAGTACCTTTCTATGGCGGCAAAGCGAAAGCAAGAGGGCAATGGCTCGGGCAATACTAGTACTGCATTGCGTGAAAAAGGCTCTCGGGCCCCGAAGATACCACTGATCGTCATAGATGAAAGCGACGAACTCCCAGATAATCAGGGGGGTCCCGTGAAAAGAGCGCGAAATGGTCAAAAGCGTGCGAATAATACCGAAGAGGGCGAAGATAATGTCGATTTCCTAGGTGGTCGGTACGGAAGCGCTCTTTGGAGATGTTCCCACCTGCATTGATTTACTCACAGTTCGGCAATAGCACATCTAAGATTTCGGTCACAGTTGAACAGAACTTGATAGACCTAAACAATAATTCCAAGGAGTTCGTCCGGGAATTCAAGGCGAAGGCCGAGAAGGAAAGAGACAATGTCCTTACCGCGTTGGCACAATACAAGCAAGATCTGTAAGAACCCCAATCCTATTTCTACTCAAAGCATTGCTGACACTGCTAAAGACACGGATCTCATGATGTTCACTATGATGAGTTGGCCGGCGTGTACCGCAGTCTAAAGACGGCGGCCGGAAACTCCAATATGAAAGATAATCCGCTATTCCAGCAGACGAAGCAGATTATTCATCTCAGCCGTGCCATCCTGAAGCTCTACCAGATTGCAGATAAAGAGTCACAGCAACCCAAGCTGACTGTTCCTCGAGAAGCATGGAGGCAAGACCAGAAGAAGATGGACCGGCTACTCTATTACGGGAAGCAGCACGGAGAGAGGCTCGCAGAGAATATCATCAGTCCCGCAGAAGAGCATTCCAACGGCCGCATCCCAGCGCAGGCCGACATGTCAGAGACCGAGGATATCGCAATGAGCCTCTTCGACAATACTACGAAGGAGGCCGGGGAAGGGACATGGGGCCGAACAGCTCACGCTCAGCTGAAGGCTCTCATGAGCGTAGTGAGAACGCTGCCCCTTTCTCGAGACACCGACTCTCAAAGCCAGCAGAGCTGAAGACAAGCGGCTCGCTTGTTGGGCCAGGTATGGAAGAGGCTTTTCATCTGTTACTTGTTACAGCAGATGTCTGGATTGCCGCTTTGCATTTATTCTAGTATGAGGAAGAAAAAAGGCGCCATGTGCGAGAAGTCATGAACAAGAAAGATACAACTTGCTTCTGTTTAATTCATAGGCTGCATTTGTCAGATAGACTAAGGAGCTCCGCTTCCTAGAGGTTGGTTGCCATGACGAGAAAAATCACTGCGAGTTAGGTCCAAGTCCGTTGTAGTGATAGTCTGCCACGGGTTGTAATCGCGTGATCGTGCTGGGACAAGTCTAGGTCAGTATGGAATGCAAGCTCCGGCTGAAAGCCTTGGCGGTTGGTGGGGCTGAACTACTTATGAAGAAAGTGGTGAACACACGGACCACCTTGTGCTTGGTCAAAGTGGGGCTAGCTCCTCCACCCAGTCGTTAGGGCTTGCTCCTTTCTCCCTCACAATTGTCGAAATTCCCGGGAATTTTTGAACTTCGTCTCACGATCCCGATCACGAACACCGTCGGATTCCCGCCACCGTACTAACGACAGGAACTCAACTCCGGGGCTCTGGTCAGTAAATCTCCATTCATCAAGCTATCTGAACAGCATCTGTCTCTCTCGAACCAATTCCTGAATTGCACAAAGGGCACCACTTTTCGCTCTGAGAGAAAGCTAATCCCCCCGCCATCGCAGATACAAGATGGGCGCCTTAAAATATCTTGAGGAGCTTCAGAAGAAGAAGCAGAGCGATGTCATTCGCTTTCTTCTTCGCGTTCGCTGCTGGGAGGTCAGTTGGAACAAATACCTGTGGACGGTACCGGCTTGATTGCCTCCATCGACGAAATCTTTTCGTTGATGAGCAAACATGCCTAACCCGTTCTTGCTATACACTCGTTGAACATTTGCTGAGAGTGCATCAATATAGCTTCGTCAGCTGAACGTCATCCACCGTGCGTCCAAGCCGAGCCGCCCCGATAAGGCCCGCCGCCTGGGATACAAGGCCAAGCAGGGCTATGTCATCTATCGCGTGCGCGTTCGCCGTGGTGGCCGCAAGAAGCCCGTGTCCAAGGGTGCCACCTTCGGTAAGAATATTCTGACCCTTTCTCTGATTCCGGGGGCTTCAATTGCTTTGGAATTGAGCAGATTTCGACTTTGGGAATGGGCCGCTGACCGCATTCCCTCTGCACAGGCAAGCCCACCAACCAGGGTGTGAACCAGCTCAAGTACCAGCGCTCGCTGAAGGCCACCGCCGAGGAGCGTGTCGGCCGCCGCTGCGCCAACTTGCGCGTGCTCAACTCGTACTGGATCAACCAGGACTCGACCTACAAGTACTACGAGGTCATCCTCGTCGACCCCCAGCACAAGGCCATCCGCAAGGATCCCCGCATCAACTGGATCGTCGCCCCCGTCCACAAGCATCGCGAGGCTCGTGGTCTTACCGCCACTGGCAAGGCTTCGCGCGGTCTCAACAAGGGCCATCGCTACAACAAGACCAAGGCTGGCCGCAGAAAGACCTGGAAGCGCCACAACACCCTGTCTCTCTGGAGATACCGTTAGATGGGGATGCGTGGGGCCTGATGAAAGAAGCGGCAGTGTTTCGATACTGGGTGTTCTGCTGTTTCTTGCAGTTGAGTGGTGTATCGGGCATGCTGGCTTCTTTCTTGACCGTGGAGGGATGGCACAGAATTGCGCTGATATTCGGGAGCATTGGGGTGGGACTTACGACTTAGCCCAACAAAAATGGACTGGTGCCTTCAGCGGCGCTTATGATGCCTTAGGACGCGCTCACACTTTCCCATGTGATTTTCTGACTTGTTTATGGAGTAACGGGGGGGTTAATGATATCTCGCCAAGCACAAGACCTTGGTCACCTTTTATTTCCACATGCCCGTGTACTGTGTATGCGGTTTGATCCCTGTCTGTTAGTGCAGTCATCGTGAGATTTGTCGAGCTGGTATTGCCCGTGTTCCGTTTCTGCTCTATCGTAGATCTTGGCTCGTAAATGGTTACACTCTTTGCTTGCCATTAGCATCCCTGGACAGCCTCGCGGTATCGACGTCGTATTCCCTATCTTCACTCCTGAGAGGCGCTTTTCATAGACCCTGGCCTGTCTCCGTGAAGATTCATAGGTTTAAATTCTTTGCCGATTGTTCACGACGCAAGGCGGTTTTTGGGCGAGTAACATCCAAGCAGCATGGAATATGATCTTACCAGAAGCAAGTAGGGGGGGTGTTGAATATACACACCGTGTGGTTGATTTATGGGGGGACTTGGCACATGCTGGGAAAAGACAGGTAAACGACAATGTAAACGATATTACCCAGTCTACCCGGTACATCGCTTGGATTTGAAGCCAGGGGTGGGAGGATGAGAGTTTGAGGATAATAACTAGACATATTTTGTGTTCGTCCCCTTGTATGTTTGTACAAGGCCCGTATATAGTGCCTAAGTATGTGCTGGTGACCGCCTCCCCCATGCTTTCTCGATAAATAAGCATGATCTGCCTACTCCCATTGTAGATGCTCATGGCCGGCTGAGATTTACTATTGGCGGACAACACGAGGGAGAGAAAGACAAAGTATTCTCACGTTCCTCTTACATGAAAATAATCACGAATAAAACCAAAGCAGTTCCAGGTGAGCCAAAACATGGCATAATTGCAATTAATAACCTTTGCTATTTCAATTTCTGTCGCGCCATAATCACCCCGAGAGAGTTGAAATACTTTGAGATAGGAAAAAAAAAAAGCAAGTAGAAGGCATGCGCGCTTTATTACGCAACTTCAAGCAACAAACTACAAGTCAACAGTCGAAACAACTTCTGCCAACCGTCACCGCAGCCACACTAATCACCACAAATCACCACAACCAACGTCACCATCGCAGTCAGATAAATCCGGGAATAGTAATAGTAATAATAGCAGCCATACGGTCCTGTAGCAAAAGAACCGAAGAACCGATAGCCCCAAACTAAAAGAACAGCGCAGCACGAAGCAGACGAGCCGAGCTATTAAGAAGAAGAGGACGGGAGGAAGAAGAAACACCCCGTATAAAATACCTGCCGAACCAAATCCCCCATTTGGCTTTCTCGAGAAGAAATCAAGAGACTCAAGATGGAGAACAGGGTCCGGCCGGATCGAGAAAGCAGATTTGTGCTTTTCCTTCCCCATCACCCCCTCTCGCACACCACTATCACCAGGTTCTAGCCTCCGTTCTCTCGTCTCCGTCTCCGCCAACTGTCCCCCCCTCCCTTTCTTATCCACAACCATATCTTAAAAAGTCCATCGCCTCCATATTGTACGCGGTGTCCAACGGCGGGCACCAAGAGGAAGAAGGAAAAATAAACGGGCCAAGTGATGCCGGGGAGAACAACAAAGGAGCCTAAAAGTATCCATGGGGCCCAGTCCTTTTCGAAGACAAAAAGAGATCTGTGATTGCTATGTGGGCAAATGCGCGAATACTAGTGTCCGGGAGGATCGAAAATCTGCGAAGAGGCCGGGAAGATGACGAGGAAAAAAGAAAAGAGCAAAAGAAAATCCCGAAACGACAAAGGAAAAGAGGTCGGGCGAAAAAAGGCTCTATGTCCATCGCGACATTTTTTCGTACCCATCGAGCGGATAGTGTACAACAAAGCAAGGTTCTCAAATCCTCCAAGGAACAGAGTCATCATGAGTCTCTTGGAGGGAACCCGCTTAAGCTCGATAGGGTTGTTCTCGTCGTCGCCATTGAGTGCTGGTTCGTATCATGAAAATGGATATGCCATGCCCATCATCGCTACTGGAAACGGTGCAAAGAAAAATGTTCGTGACTGTCGTTGCAACGTAGGCGATGCTTCGTGACTAGTGTAGCAGGGGAAAAGAGACGTAAGAAAGTAGCGAGGCCCGGAAAGAATCCCAAAGAAATCCAGGTTGGCCGATTCTCGTCGTACCGTTTACACACGCGAGGTGCCGTCGCGAACGCATCTCCTAGAACCACTGAGTCTCGCCATTCTCAACTGGGGCGCCTGAAGCACCGGGGGCACCGGGGGCACCAGAGGAGCCCATGGACGTGAACTGCGGGGTGAACTGCTGAACACGAGGAGGCTGAGGGGGGGCCTGAATCTGAGCCTGGGCCTGAACCTGAACCTGACTATGAGCTTGAGCCTCAATTTGAGGCTGAGTCAAGGCCGGGGCCTGAAACTGAGCTTGACCGTTACCCTGAGCTAGGATCTGAGCCTGACCTTGACCTTGGCCTTGAACCTGCCCCTGCTGCTTGACGGTGGGAGCAAGATGAAGAGTCTTGCTGTTCTGGTACTGCGACAGCACGGAAACGAAGTTGTTGTTGTTGTTCACTCCATTAGTGCCGGCCCCGAGGATTGACGAGGCGTTCGACATGGTGCGAGGATGATTCAAACGCGTGCTAATCTGGCCGCCAGACGCATCGACGGGCACCATCTGACCGGGGGGTTGAGTGTTGCTGCGAGCGTCGTAGGCCTGGATCTTGGCCTGGATACGACGACCATAGGGGGTTGCACGAATGCTGGGCAGGTGCGGGCGGATCGTCTCGACAAGGTGGTGCTTCATGCTCGGGGTCGCATACTCAAGAGCGGTCTGGACGACGTAGTTGGCAAACGAATCCCGGAGCAGGCGCTCAATATCGGTTGGAGACAGCAGCTCCTGCACAATCATGTCCTTGGCCACATCGGAGGCGCAGCGGAGGCACTTCTCAACCACGTTGGAGCTGAACTTGTGCTTGGAGAGGTAGGCAATACGGCCCTTGAACTGATAGACAAGGGGCTCCGTGAACGACTCCTCGTTGAGGTCGATGATGTACTGAACCACATAGTTGCCGAATGGATCCTGGACAAGGGCAACAGCATGGTCTGTGATGCATTCTATGAGCCACTGCTTCTGAGTGCCGTTGGCGTGATCGATGCAGCGTTGGAGGACGCAGCAACCATGACGGTGAGTGCCGACATCGATGCAGTTGTGGCCAACTGCCTCGAAGATAAAGTGAGCATCCTTAGGGCTCAGCTTATTCAGGCACTTCTGGATAACATGGTTTCCATTGAGGTCCTGAATCAGCTCAACGACCTGATAGCGGAGGGCTTCAATGATTGTGTTGATTTGAACTGGCGTGGTCACATGCTCGATCATCTTCTGGAGGGCTCGAGTACCATGTTGGTTCAACGCAATACGGACCATTTCTGGGGCTGCATTTTGGATGAGAACGGTGCGTTCGTCGTCGCCGCAATACTCGAGCAGCTTCTGGCATAGATAGTTACCGAAGGGGTCCGTCATCAGCTCCACGACGTGCTGGTTAGTCTCGAGCCAGATCATATGGATCTGCTCGGGGATGCGGTTCTCCAGCTGCTTCTGTAGGTATCGGCAGCCGTGCTGGTCCTTGCACAGTGTGTAGATGGTACCACCAACTTGCTCCAATGTCATGCCATTGAAGCGAGCCATGGCCTCACTGTCCAACTGACGACGGTTCGCGATAACTCGAGCCTGACTGTCCTGCGGCGGCCGAGAGGGCGTGTTATTGTTAGCGTAAAGAGGTCCATAGCCGGTATAATTCTGCGGGGAGTACAGAGACGAAGGTTGAGGGGCCGAAGGGCCGGCCGACAGGCCCTGCATGCCCTGCACAAGCATCGGAAGAGACGTGTACGCCGGGGGAAGGCCATTGGCAAGGCCGTTGTAGTTGGCTCCGTTGTAGTATTGCTGATACTGCAGGCTCGAAGCCGGCGAAGTCATGCCCGGGGTGCTCGGGGCAGAAGACTGCGTCTGGACTGACGGCGGGCCAAAGGGAGCAGCATTTGCATGCAGAGTTGACGTGATAGAAGGGTAGCCGTTGTTGTCGCGACCGTTGGCCAAGGCGGCGTCATTCGAGAGCTCACGGCTATGGCGGTGAGGCATGGCACCGGCAGGAATACGGCCGAGACTAGCGTTGTGGTTGTGGAAATGCTGCTGGGCGTGGTTGTTGGCATTGGCACCCAAGCTAGACGAATTGTTCGGAGTCTTGAGAGTCGTCACGTCGTTGGCGGAATACGACTGCTGAAGCTTAGGCGGGGAAGCCACGATGTGGTTGGGTGGCGACACTACCGATGGGGGAGTCGCGTCCGATGCGCCCGGTGCGCCATCCTGGAAAAACTTCATGCTGCCGTCCATTGAGAGCCGCATGCTGTTCGGGCGGCTGCCAATGCCGCTGACCTCGGAGGGCGAGCTGACCGCTCCTCCGTTGAGCTGGGTCGAGCCGATAGTAGAGACGCTCTGCTGGGAGCGATGCTTGTTCATATTGGCCCAGCCGTTCGTCGCGGTGGACTCCTGTCCCGAGGACTGTGCCTGGGCAAGATCTAGGGCGGATGACGAAGTGGATAACTTGGGAGACTTCATGTTAATAGACGAACGAGATGCGTGATATCGAGGCTGAGTCGGTGGATGGAAAGAGCTACTCAGATGCTGATTGATATGATGGAAATTCTCGAAATATGTGAAGATGCTTTGGGTTTTTGATTTGGTGGGGGGATAGATTGAGAAAACAAATGTGAAATAGTAAACTGAAATGATCCAGTCGCTTGATACCCTAACGAAAGAGGGAAGGGGGAGAAGAGAGAAGAGGAAAGAAGGAGGGGAGTGAAGGAATTCTGACAGTATTCCAACCCCGCCCGCCGATGCCTAAGTTTGGCTTCAAAGGAGAAATAGGGAAGGCAGTAAAAAAGCAAGGGCACGGGGAACTGCACCAGCAATTTCCGAGCAAACAGATCAGCAAACTCACCATATTAGCAGTATATCCTTGCTGACGAAACAATGTAGGGAATGCGTCGGTGCCGTTGGCCTGCGCGGTGGGGGTGGTTCTGGTCTCGCCAGAGTTCGAATCCTCGTCACCGAAGAGGAATCCGGTGGTGTTATTGCTGTCTTCGAGGCCGATGTCTGTGATATACGGGCGAGAACGGGTAACGGGCATCGAATATCGGTTGAGCCTAATGAAGCGTTTGGTAAGTGGCTAGCTCTGGAACTGCGTTCAAAGGAAGTGGAAAGCGCTACTTCACCGAGGGCAGCTCCGCGAAAGGTCACGGAGGGTCCCGAGACCTCAACACTGGTGAGGGCGTGCGGTGGCGACAAGAGATGTGCGAAGATAGAAAACTGCTGCTGAGAGGAAAAAGGGAAAAAAAGAACAGCGCCTCGGGGTCTGTTGGGTGCGAGACGATGAAGTAAAGTGACGATTCAGAGGGTGAAAGCGTAGGTAGAAGGTGCGAATTCTATAACCTGCTACACCTCCTGCGAAAAGGCAAAAAAGAATAATGGAAGGGGTAGGGCTATTGTTTGCGACTAAGAAAAAAAGAAAGGTCACGTTGGCTGGTATTGTGCCGAACTCTTCATGAATACGGGGACGGGGAGAGGTGCAGGTGCGCGGTGAAGAGACGGGGAGCAGCGCGCAAAAGAAAATGAGGTAATAACCCTTCCGAGAGAGAGAGGGGGGGTCAGCAGTTGACCCCGTTCACACTTGGGATGAAAACCAACTCAGGTCCCCCTCAGGCTGGGCAAGTAGAGAAGAAAAAAGTCGTTGTCGAGTTACCGGAGCAACACGCAGTCTTGTCATCACCGGATTCGATCGAGCTCTCCGCTACCATGTCACGCCCCCTCGCCTTCTTTCAAGCTTCTCCAGGCATACACGGACTACGGGTATTTGCAGAAAGCAAGCCACACACCAGACAATTTCGAAAGAAGGAATAACGGTTGGCACTTACGCATTTGTCGAGCGATGGCTGGTCGGGTCCTGTCGAACAGCCTCTTCTTTCTCGTCCTCGTCGCTGTTTCTCCGCGAGCCCGGAACCGATCGCGAGGGCAGCTGGTCATCAAATGCAAACCGAGACTGGACGAGACCAGCCTGGGGAGAGGTCAGTTGGGAGCCAGATCGTCCAGGGCGATTGAATATGCCTGGTGGAGACGTCAGGCTCGACGTCGAGTACCGATTGGGGCGAGAAAACATTGTCGGGAACCCTGAAGAGGTCTCGCGATATTCGGGAGGCGTCGTCGGCTCCGATTGATGCCCGGCAAACCGGCCACTGGCAAGATCCTGCTGCATCATTTGAAGTTCTCTCTCTTCCTGACGCTGTTGGGCGTCGAGCTTGTGAATCTCGGCCTCGAAGCGCCGCTTGTGCTCCCGAAGGCGCTCGTATTCCAACCTCTTCTTTTCCAGCTGTATTGTTCGCAGGCCGAAGACGCCTCAGTGTTAGCCACAGTTCCACGGCGGTTCCACGTCTCGAAATAACCAAAATACAAGCCCAGTGCAGAGGGCTGTACGTGTACGGCAGAATGCCAACACCCAAAACGAGCCCCCAACGGATCTCGACGACCAATGCCAAGACCAAGCTCGAGGCCACACGCAACCAAGGAAGCTAGCTACATACCAATTGGACTTTATGCAGAGTCTAGATGGCCCTAGTTAGCACGGCTCAACCGTATTCGCGAGACAACAAGCGAGCGGGGCGGCAGTTTGAGAGCTTTCGAACGTCTCTTCTTCGCCGAGCGGGGAGGGGAGGGGGACGCGACACATACCGTGGCGGGAGCAATCTCCTGCGGCTCGGGGCCGCGCTGGACGGTCGTAATGGTTGACAGTGTTGGTACACGGCCGGAGTCAGTGGTGAATCGGCGCGGCAGCATTGGGCCGTTTCGCGGAGTCGAAACAAACGCCGCATTTATTTGCGGCTCGCCTCGCAGGCTCTGCTGGGATCGGTAAAAGTCGTCCATCGCGATTGCTCGCTCGCTCGCTCCGTCTAGCCTGTTGCTACAACCACACTTTTTCGTACACACACGGCGAATTGGGCGGCGGGTTTCGTCCTCTATACGTCTGCACACATGTTGTGGTCAGCAAAAGTCGTGTTGTCAGCGTCGGCGAAGCCAAGGTGGATAGAGCGCGGACTCGAGAGGCGAGGCGAGAGGGGGACTGGCGGGCAGCAGCAGCAATCCATAGCAACAGGGGCACCAGAGCGCGCCAGGGTTTGTCCATCCTCATCGTCGCCTCCATTGCTCGCAATTACCGCCTCCGCCGCCGCCGCATTCACCATCGATTCTCGGCCGCGATATGGGGTGCTGTGGTCGCGAATAGAGCGGAACGAGAGGCTGCATCGCTCAGGTCGCGGGCGGCTCGAATCGAAAATTTGGGTGCTTGCGGGTGGCGGGCCACAAACGACAAGCAGACGTGAATCACTAACCTTGAGCAAGAAAACAGAAAACAAGTCTGTTAGCACACAGTTGCACCCTGGAGACCAGGAGCAGCAGCAAAGGGTGAAAGCAGTACTACAAAAAGAGCGTGGGTGAGGAAGGGAGAGGAATGGCCTCTTGGGGGAGGTTTGGTTTATGGTCCGAGAGCCCCTGGGCAGCGGAGCGTCGTCGAGCCCACCGCACCGCACGCACCGGCGGCAGAAACCCAGAAACGCACGTCTGCGTGCGCCCTCGGCCAATGCTGGCCAGCGAAGGGTCCACTAGTCAAGCTCGACCGCGCTAAAACGTTCCCCACCCTCGCCATTGGGCTGCCCTGGGCTTTTTTCTCATCCTCTTCCCTACTGCAATTGCGGGCTGCACGAGAACCGGATCCCACACATCGAAATCCAAAGGACGGCTAGAACATCTGGACGACTCAAGCCACCGAGTAGACGAGCCCTGCCTACCTACTTACAGGAACCTACCTACCTAACTATCTCCCCGATCTGCATCAACAGTGGGTAGGTAGAGCGGAAACGAAACGAACAACCGGAAAGTTTTTCAGTTAGACTCTCCCAGACTGCCGCTCTGAACGATGAAGATATAAGTGAGGTGCTCGCTCCCGACCCGACCCGAACACAGCAGGTAAGGTAGGTACTGTCTTGTACCTCGAGCTCCGTTTTGAGATGGATGCACCTCTTCCTTCTCTGGGACATTTTATCATTCGTCCCCCTCTCGCAAGCACAGATTTAAATGGCACCCTCTGGCACAACCAACGATTACTGTAGGTAATGTATGTACATATGGACATTAATACCTTCCAGTGCCTGCCATCCCACCTGCCGAGCTGTCACGATGGGTGTGGGCAATACACACGCTTCGGGAAGTATTTAACTACCAGAACTACTGTATGTATAGTGCAGAGCTTCCCTGCATGCATGGCTGCAGTAGGAGAAGTGTGCCAATGGTCGCGAGGGTGAACCCCTATCTCACCGTCCACGTCTTGCAAGTCCCCATGCCAATGTCTGTCCACGTCGATGGAAGCAGTAGCAGCAGCAGGAGCAGCAGGCGACTCGCCTTTTTTGCCTCCCTGGCGGTGCGGAAAACGATCGAGCAAGGAAGCCGGCGATTGGAGAAGCAGCGGTGTGTGCAGAGGCAGGGCCCGGGCAAGGCAACCTGGACCCCAAAGGTGGTGAAGCGAAGCGGACGCGGGAACCTGTGCCGCCGATAGCTAGCAAGGGCTCTCCACCACCTCACCGTCGAACCAGGAAGTGTTCCCCAGGTTTAGTCCCAATCGCTGTGCCCGCAAACTGTGCCTTCGAAGTCCACCTGAACCGTTAGGCTTTGCATTGTGACTGGTCGCCTTTCTGGTTGTGCGGCGGGGGTCGATTCATGAGGGGCTGGAGCATGTGTGTGAAAAAAACATTCAACGAGGGGCACGCATCTCAGCAATTCAAAGGCCGCTTGAGATTGAGATTTCTTTTCTCACTCTCCATATTCTCTTTTATCTAAGCTCCCAGACCGTTCTTTGACTGAGTCGCGGAGGGCAGTTGATTCCCCACTAACGGGTGACATGGCTGGTGCGTAAGTATCATGGATGCCGTGCTGAGGTTCGGGAAGACGGCGCACGCCAAAATGTTGCCAACGATCTGCTCGGTGGCGGCGTCTAAGCATGCATCTCAGAGGATGCATGTCGACATTTTCCCTCCTAGCGACTTGTAGTAGGGCAACGCCCCAACCGGATCTTCCTAGTGCGAAACGGAGCTTGCCCTCAATAGCTTGAAGCAGCTTCCAGCCTCCGGTTAACTAATGTGCATACATATCTACTAGCTGAAAAAGGGCACGCTACAGTGCCTAACGTCGACACAAATGTGTTGAGCCGTTGCCCTCCGATCCGGCCACGCAGCACACCTCATCCCGCATCCGGCCCGCGGCGCCCCCTCCCTGTGGGCATCTAGACTAGACTGCCTAAGCAGTCGCAAAGATGGACCGTACTGGGGATCTACAGTCCAAGGGAGTACTCCGTACATGCAGAATATTAGACTCGAGTTCCTCCTACTTTTAGGCGGCTTTCCGATTTCTCTCTAACCCGGGCTAGGGATGGATGGTATCTGCGGGAGGTGAATCAAAGACTTCGGGACTGCATTTAACCGGCCGTTTTCCACACGGCGAGACCGCCGTGATGGGATTTTGGTTCTCAAACAGAATGCCATGCAGCTTTGATACCCAACAGTTTGGAGGCCACGTCTTCTTCAGCCCGTTGGGCGATCTCACTAGAGGCAGAATTGGCTGCTTCAGTAGATGGCGGGCAATGATTTGGTAGTGTTTCGTTTCCCCTCTGCCCTCAAGTGTCCTTTTTATTCGTTATTGTCCCCACCCCTTGGGTCGAGAGAAACAACACAATAGAAATGAGTCTCCCCTGGCTGGAACGGAAAGGGCGAGTTAAAAGCATTCGCCCAACCCCTTTCGTGCAAGGAATGGCGGGAGGGCTTAGCGCGGTAATTGAAGCTTCCCGTTCGACCCTCGTCCTCGCATAGTCCACACAAACCAGGAAGCTTGAGTCTGGTGGCAGATAGGTGCGGCCCCGCGACTTTTGAGAGCTGCCCGACGAGACAGCACGGGGCAATAAATGCGCACGGAGTCCTGTCAACCTCTGTGCATAGTGGACACGGCGGATTTTGAGCAGCGAATGATCCTGTCTCGACCTCCTCGCCAGGTCAATGTACTGTATACATAGGGTACAAGGGTGAGGGCAAGCCCTGTCGGGTACGGCGAGACTGAGAACCTAGAAACAAAAGCACTAGGAAATACAGAAAGCACTTACAATAGTGAGTGGCGATCAGACGTCGACTTAAAAGTCTGGTTTGCCGCTGCAGACTGCTACCCGCCCGCCGTCTAAGACGCAGACATGGCAGAGCTAAATCCGCTCTCGCCTACTTCCGTGTGAGCTGGAAGGAGGGGGTCAGCCTCACCCCAACCCACCCCACAACTTACCTGCAAGCACGACTCTTGCTAAAAGTCGGTGAGGTGAACACCTCAGAGAACGGAAGCTCGACACAAACATGGAACCTTGCGCATTCTATTCCTACACCTGAGAAGGGGAGTAGTAGCAGCCTCTGGCTAAGGGAAACAGATGCACCGAAACACCTCTACTCCGAGCTACAAAACACTGAGCAGACTTTAATTGATTGTGTCGCCTGCGGGACGACAGCTTGACCCTTGCCGGAGCCGGGTCAAGCACCAATCGTCGGTCCAGGGGTCATCGTCTCCAGACTTCACACTACCAACCCTCTATCGAAAGGTACAGTCCAATCCCTTTGGCGCAGTACTCGGAGAGGCTAAATATTGTAGCATAAACCGGCCAGAAAAAGCAAGCTGGAAGACGTGTTTCTAGGGGAGAGATAAATCTCTAAGATTCAATAATAGGGGTTCCAATTGCTGTTACCTCCTCGGCAAAAAAAAAAAAAATCTTCAAGGCAAAGAGGTCATTCGGATGTTGAAAAGTCTCCCGCTAACAGAGATTCAGGGATGGACTGTACATTTCATCGCTCGCTCGCCTCCCCGTATCTCTCTGCGCGACATCACATCCCCTCAGACAATTCCCCACGCCGCTACACTCCAATCCCTGAACATTTGTTAGTGGGGGACCCTCCAAGATTTGAAAGGCTTGAATAACTTACGGCTCGCCCTGAAAGCTTTTTTGCTGACGGAGGTAAAAGCGATTATAATCCCTATTTTAGAATCCTAGAGGCCTTTCTCCATCCTAGAAATACCTATTAAAGGCTTTTCCTAGCCATTGTATTTACTGTGATCTTAACATTTGTAAGTCTCTAGGTACCTCGCCAACAAACATTCAGGGATTGGATTGCAATAGGCCAGATACTCCGTAGCCTTTAGTCTCGATTTCGAAAAGGGGGGGACCGCCTCTTCTTTTTATCTTCTTGCCACCCCAACAGTTAGTCCACCTAGCGGTTCCCACAAAACCGAGCAACGCACGCCGTTAGAAGAAGAAAAACAGACTAGGCAGACTCTCTCTTTTTTCTGTTCCCCCCCGCCACCGCTTGGCTGGTGTTGCGCTCACTGGGTTTCGTGAAACGCACGAAGCTACATACTCTATACGAAAAGAGCCCACAACCGCCAAAACAAAACCCCGTCAAGCTCGGCCAAGTGCCGTCCCTCTTCCAGCCAGGTTACCCGGAGTTTGCTCGCGTACCTTGCTGAAACGGCTGAGCTGCTCTTCACCGTGTATCCTGTACGTGTAGATACGGGGTATCGTAGTACTAGGGGGTTTAGTGAGAGAGTGGAGGTGGAGGTGGAGGGGCAGGGGACAGGGATGGTGATGTTATTTCGGGCGCCCCTTTCGGCTTTCCTCTTTGCTCTTCTAGTCGACACCACTGATTTGATTCACTTCTTCCCATTCATTGCCAACACATCAATGCGCCGGATGCAATTGCATCTTTGCGCGGGACGAGGGGCAGATCCCGGAGTTGCTTGCGCATCCAGAACCGGGTGCTTGTGCTAAAAGGGAGGGCCCGATTTGTTCGCGGCAACCCGTCTCATTCATCACCTGCATAGGCAGGTAGGTAGGTTGTACCTCATGTACGTGCATCTGCAAGTCTGGTTGAACCTTGTCCACCTCACTCACCCTGAGAGTGGGGAGTCTGAAGTAGTACCGTGGCGGGCGGACAGACCACAGTGCAGCACAGAAAGTTACATCTGAGAAAACTAACAGAATTAACTGATAATTGCCCAGGGCACAGTGTCTCGAGGAGCAATACGAGCAATCAGGGTGACAGCTCTCTCGTCGTTGGATGATTGCTTCTTGAAAGACGTGGTATCCCTCGACGCTGCTTTGATGTCTCTCTTTTTGTCTTTGGGATGAGGATAATACATCTGAACACCTTACCCACACTGAGTTTGGCCACAAGTTGCGGCCGCCGATAATCGACCAACAAAGGTGGGTATCACGTCATGGGACACGGCCGCAGAGACCTGACAGTTGTCCTAACTCAATTCCTAGAGAAGAACTGTAAAACTAGTACTCAACGGTTCAAATCTTGTTAGAACTACAAGGCACCAAAATTTGCCTTGTCGTATCATAAATCGGAGAGTGTGTAAGTTAAGAACATGATTTTAGTCTTGCGCAAACTCAAGGTCAATAGAGGCCACCCTACACCAAAATGCCACAGTAGCTTTACAGATACCTAAGTAGGCATCAAGATAAAATATCCGTAACATGAAACCTAAGTAGGCTATACTGAAAATTTCCGTCTAAAAACTTGAACGCGGGTTCGAAACAGGACTACAATAGGACGGGGTTTGGGTTTACTTTAGAGCTTTGGCGGATTAGTTTGTCGTCTGATATCACCTGGGACCTTCAAGGCGCCTGCGGCCCTGCGCCGCGCGACCCGAAAGGTTGTTTCTGACTTGAAGGGTCGTCCCCCACCCATTTGCAGGGTTCACTTATCGCGATAAGGAAGTCGCGGGGCAGAAAATAATAATTTGGAGCTGCTGGGCCGACTCTTGGCTGGTTGCTCAAACAGACGTTACTCGCTGCAGGGCTCGCCACGATGGTGGCCATTGACGACGGCTTCGAGGCCCTCTTGGAGCCCTTCTATAATGGGAAGAAGCTTACAGATCCCATCTCAACCCCAGAGGACAAATACCAGCTGCTGCCGGCGTTCCTCAAGGTCAAAGGTACGTTTAGTTGTGCCGAACTAGAGCTCCAATTCGCGTGCTACACGCATATGCACGCTCGAGGCTCGCTCGACTGGGCGTGAAAGGAGTCAACGTCGCAGGGGGCTCTCTCTAACACGTCTCGCCAGGTCTGGTCAAGCAGCACATCGACTCGTACAACTTCTTTATCAATCAAGAGCTCAAGGAGATTGTCAAAGCCAATCGCCTCATCAAGAGCGACCAAGAGGAGAACTTTTGGCTCGAATTTACCGACATCCGCGTCGGCACCCCATCCCGCAATGACTTCAGCGACATCAAGACGCGCAACGATGTCACCCCCATGGAGTGCCGCCTCCGCGACCTGACATACGCCGCCCCCGTCGTCGTCGACATCACCTATTCCCGCGACCGCAAGAAGATCATACGCAAGGACATCCAGTTGTGCCGCATCCCCGTCATGCTCAAGAGCGCAAAGTGCTACCTCAATAGCGCCACCAATGCCCAGATGGAAATCATGAACGAGTGCCCGCTCGACCCTGGCGGCTACTTCATTATCGGCGGTACCGAAAAGGTCATCCTCATCCAGGAACAGCTCAGCAAGAATCGCGTCATCGTTGAGGCAGACGAGAAGACAGGCGGCGTCTCGGCTTCCGTCACTAGTTCTACCCATGAGCGCAAGTCCAAGACATATGTCGTGCTCAAGAAGGAGCGTATCATGCTGCAGCACAACGTCCTTGTTGAAGCCATCCCTATCGTTATTGTTCTCAAGGCTCTAGGCGGTATGTCTGACTACGAGATTCTGAAGCTGGTAGCGGGCGAGAACGCGCGATACCAAGACGACTTCCTCATCAACTTCGAGGAGGCGGCAAAAGCTGGTGTCCACACTCAGCAGCAAGCCCTGGAATTCATCGGCGTCAGAGTCAAGATGGGCGGTCCCAAGAACAAGCCGTTTTCCATGTCGGCCCGGCGGAGCCCTGTCGAGGAAGGTCTGGACGCTCTCGCCAATATCATCATTGCCCATGTCACCATCCAAGGCCTTGACTTCTACCCCAAGGCCATCTACATCGCCATGATGGTGCGCCGTGTATTGATGGCTGCGCAGAATCCAAAGCTTGTCGATGATCGTGACTTTGTCGGAAATAAGCGGCTAGAACTGGCTGGGCAGCTTCTGTCGCTTCTGTTTGAGGACTTGTTCAAGATGTTTGTCAACAGTCTGAAAGGCAACATGGAGCATTTCTTCAAGAAGCCCAATAGAACTTCCACCTACGATCCTGTCGGCCCCATCAGCAGTCAGGGAAATTACATCACTATGGGCCTGAACCGGGCTATCCAGAGCGGCAACTGGACCGTGAAGCGTTTCAATATGAACCGCGCTGGTGTTACCCATGTTCTGAGCCGGCTCAGCTACATCGCCGCTCTGGGTATGATGACTCGTATCAGCAGTCAGTTCGAAAAGACGCGGAAAGTCAGTGGGCCTAGAGCCCTACAGCCCTCACAATGGGGCATGCTGTGTACCTCTGATACGCCCGAAGGAGAGGCCTGTGGTCTGGTGAAGAACTTGGCTTTGATGACCCACATCACCACAAACGTTGAGGAGGAGCCAGTCAAGAACTGGATATTCAGTGTCGACGCTGGCGTCGAGCCAGTCCGAAAGTTCACCGGAGCGGAAATACACAGCCCCGGCTCCTACATTATACACCTTAATGGCACGCCGTATGCCTTGACTCGGTACCCGAAACGGTTTGCCCGCAAGTTCAGGACCATGCGTAGGCGTGGCTACATATCCCCCTTTGTCAGCATCAACCTCAACGAACACTTCGCTGCAGTGCATATTGCGACAGATGAGGGGCGCATCTGCCGGCCATACATTATTGTCAAGAACGGCAAGTCCAAGTTGAAGGCGGAACACTTGAAACTCCTGCAACTTGGAAAGGCGGGGTTTGACGACTTCCTAACTCACGGCGTTGTCGAGTACCTCGACGTCAATGAGGAACAAGACACCCTCATAGCGCTATACGAGAAGGACATTACCCTGAGCACGACCCATCTAGAGATTGAGCCGTTTACCATCCTCGGCGCGGTTGCGGGGCTCATTCCGTTCCCCCACCACAACCAATCGCCCCGTAATACCTACCAATGTGCTATGGGTAAGCAAGCTGTCGGAGCCATCGCGTACAACCAGTTCAATAGAATCGACACCCTTCTCTACACTCTTGTATACCCTCAGCGGCCCATGGTCATCACCAAGACGATCCAACTTGTCCATTACGACAAACTTCCAGCAGGACAAAACGCAACCGTTGCCGTCATGTCCTACTCGGGCTATGATATTGAAGACGCCCTCGTCTTGAACAAGGCATCTTGCGATAGAGGGTTCGGACGCTGCCAAGTTTTCCGCAAGTATACGGCTGAGCTCCAGAAATACCCCAATGGACGTCGAGATAGGATGGGCGGCAGGGATAACTCGGATGATGGTCAAATCATATCCAAACATGCCGCTCTAGACGATGATGGTCTCGCCATTGTAGGCTATCGGGTCCAGTCTGGTGAAACCATGATTAAAAAGGAGACACCTTTGGATCAAGCGTCTACTGGTATCGGCACCGACCGTGGGCCTGATGAATTCCGCGACGCCTCAGTTAACTACCGCATCTCGGATCCGGCCTACATTGACAAGGTCCTCATTACCAACAATGAAAAGGACTCGGCCATAGTGAAGGTCCAGACAAGGCAAACGCGTCGACCGGAGCTGGGTGACAAATTCTCGTCTCGTCACGGGCAGAAAGGCGTGGTTGGTATTATTGTCGATCAAGAAGACTTGCCTTTCTCGGACATGGGTGTTGTCCCTGATATTATAATGAATCCCCATGGTTTTCCCTCCCGAATGACGGTCGGCAAGCTATTTGAGTGCCTCACTGGCAAGGCGTCCATCATCCATGGTCGCCCGGAATACGGCTTTGGCGATGCCTTCAGGTCCCACCCGGCCGAGTCCATGGGCCAGGTTCTTATCGACCACGGGTTTTCGTGGCAGGGCAAGGACTACTTCACCTCTGGTATCACGGGAGAGCCTCACTTGGCTTACATCTACAACGGCCCCATCTACTACCAGCGGCTCAAGCACATGGTGCAGGACAAGATGCACTCGCGATCCCGCGGCCCACGCGCCATCCTGACGCGCCAGCCGACAGAAGGTCGTTCGCGAGACGGTGGTCTCCGTCTCGGTGAAATGGAGCGCGATTGTCTCATTGCCTATGGCGCCTCGCAGCTCCTGCTGGAGCGCCTGATGATAAGCTCTGACGGCACCGAGGTCGACATCTGCCAGCAATGCGGCCTGTTCGGGTACAAGGGGTACTGCCAGACATGCAAGAGCACCAGCCAGGTGACGCAGATGACGATGCCCTACGCCGCCAAGCTTCTCGTGCAGGAGCTTATCAGCATGAACGTGGGCGTCAGGCTGCAGCTGGAGGACGAGTTCCCGCATCCTAAGTGAGATGTCGAAGAACGCCTTGTGTGTTCACCCTCGCTAGAAGAGATGTTTTGTTTTTAGTCTACCGGGGTTCCCATTTTCTTTTGTCTTGGTGGCTTTTTGGGGGCACAAGAAAGGATAGCGATTGTAGAACTTTATTGGAATCAGATGGGTGGCAGGCGGTTTATATGGCGTCCGTCTGTGCTATTATTCAATGAGTTTGGTTTTTGGGTGGGGGTGCATGGGCGGAGAGAGATAAAAGTAGACTATATGAAAAGAAGAGAGTATCGCGAGGCTTATGCTTTCGCGAGCTTGTAACGAGAGACTGTTGCCATTTTCGCCTTTGTTTCTTCTTTGCATCTTCCCTAGTGTTTTCCTTGTGGTTTATGCCTAGTCTAACTGGTAACCACCTACCTAGGTACCTAGTGTACCTATGCCTTGGATTGTCATCGCATTCGTCTGTCTGTCTCGTTTTGTGGCGGAAGGAATTGTGAGGAACCTAGGTCTGAAAGGGGTCGGGGCAGGCAGAACTCATTCCGATCTAAACTTGATAAAACACTTGGTCGTTAAAATACCAATTACGTGTCAGGGTATCGTATGCGTATTTTGCGTTAGAAAATAAAACCTATATAACCCCCCCCCCCCCCCCCCGTATTGGATTGATATGTCATGTGTATGCCAACCTCGGAAGAGCACATCCTACTCTCTCCCTCTCCTAATGGTTTCTCTCCATTGCCGGCGCCTTATTCAAATACAAGCCTAAGTCAGGACCTTAGTCTTTCATAAATTTCTATCCTTTCTTTTTTCCTCGTGTTTCCCCGCAGCCTCCTCTCAACTCACTCCTTCGCCACGGCTTTGACGCCGGCCATGGTGACCTGGAACTCGACGGCGCCATCCAGGCCCGGGGCCGAGGCGGGCGCGTGCGGGGCGAAGACGACCTTCATCCAGCGGCGCCAGGTGTGCAGCGCGGGCATGCCGAGCCTGCTCCTGTCGTCTTCTTTGTCTTCGTCGTCGCCGCTGCCGTCTAGACGTTGGCGGCTGTGATGCCGGAGGCGGTTGCCGTAGGCCGGGCGCTTGTACAGGGCGATGCGGGCGGCGATCTGCGTCGACCACACCAGCCCCAGCGACGGCGTCTTGAGCGCCGCCTGGTCGTCCAGGTCGTCGCCCCACCCCGTGAACCACCGCTGCTGGTGGTCGAGCAGGAGAGCCGGCGGCGCCGGTGCCCCGCTGCCGTCGTCATCGCCGTACGGGTACGGTGGCGGCGGCGGTAGCATGGTCGACGGCGGTCGGGGTTCGGTGATGCTCGAGCGCGGGACTATGTCGGCGAGCGACGACGAGGGCTCGACGGCTGGTATGGCGGGGCCCGCGCCCCCTGGCATGTATCTTTTGCTGCGTGTGGCGAGAGGACTTTCCTGGGTGCTTGAGCCGGCGCCGGCGAATTGGTGGTGGAGGTGGTGCTGCGGCGGCTGGCTCTGGCCTTGGTGCCGGAAGGAGGAAATGGGCGTCTTAGACCCGCCGCCGAACCTGTCGGCCACCTGGTTGGCTACGACGACGGCAAGGTTGTACTTCCGGGCCAGGTCGCGCAGCTGCATGCCCAGGCGCACCAGCTCGGTGCTGCGGGCACCCATGTTGGAGCCGTGCTGCTGGTGGGTGCTGGAGGAGCGCTCGAACTCGGCGCGAAAGTTGGCAGCCACGCTGTCGAGCACCAGCAGGCCGATGTTGCGGCGCTCGATCTCGACGGGAACCTGGAAGGTGAGGATGTGGTCCTGGCTCTCGAGGTCTGGGGTGGCGGTGCTAACGATGTTGTCCAGTGACGGGCGGCCGGCCGGGGGCTCGACAGACCGCAGTAGCGGGTGGGCGGCTAGCACCTGCGAAAGGCGGCGCGTCGACAGGGCCGCCTCGGTGCTGATGTAGAGGGCTGGACGGCCGAGCCCGTGCGGGGGAGGCAGCTGCACGGCCAGGAGCAGGGTGAGCAGGAACTGGGTCTTGCCGGCGCCCGACTCGCCCGTGATCTCGGTGACGTAGCCAGCGGGGATGCCGCCGCCGAGGGCGCTGTCAAGCGTCGCATCGAGCGTGCTGATAGTCTGCCACTGGGCGGCGAGCGATGCGGCTGTTTGCTTCAGGACAACGCTCGAGGGAGCTGCTGCCGCCGGCGCGGGGGGTGGCCGGCCAAGGTGTCCGACATGGCGTAGTGGTTCCTGTTCCTGTTCCTGTTCCTGTTCCTGTTCCTGATCCTGATCCTGATCTTGACCCTGACCAGGCTGTCCACTGGGGCCCAAGACGCCGAGGTCGGTGTGGAGGGCATTTAGAACGGTGGCGCAGAGACGCTTGAGGTCAAGCAAGGGCAGGTGGGTGCGCTTGCCAATGTCGACGGGGTCGAGAGTGAGCAGGTCGCTAGTGGTCAGGGCGTGCTTCTCGAGGACGGGGAGTAGGCTCGCATACTGGCCCACGGCAAAGTGCGGCAGCACCCGAAGAAGATCGGTCATGGAGCCGCATCCAAACTACCTAGGTCATGTCATATCAAGGCACGGAGGTCCGTCACCGTGTCCGTCTCTTAGTGCACGAGCAGTGAGTGTGGGTGAAGTGTAGAGGGAGCGTCCTATGAGGTGAGGGGTGAGGTGTGAGGTGGGAGGTGACTAAAGTAGGCACTGTACCGTGCCAATCCGCACTGTATTGAGCCGACTGCTTCAGTAGGGCGAGGATGCACAGCCAGGCAGCCGTGCAACCCGATATGCCTGCGGCCGATCACTAACCCACTTTCCCGAACAAGGCAGGCAGACTCTCGGACACTGTGCAACCAAAACCGCCAAGTGCGAACAACGACCGGCATGCATTGCCGTCTTTCCCAAACAACGAACGCAGCCTCGTCGTTGCCTTTTTTCTGGTGTTGTTAGCCTATCCCGTCCCTTTCTATTTTAGAAACTGAAAATACAAATTTCTCATTGCAAAACTTGAAAGATATCTAACCCTCCACAACACTATCATGTCCGTCACTGAGACCAAACTTGAAGTCAAGTTGGAGCCAGCCCCTCGCCAGCTCAGGCACGCCTTGGTGGGCATGGCGATTGTCTCACTTCCTCGTCGCTCTTTGATCTTTTGGTATTACACCGCATCATGGCTGTAATGGGCCACGGGCGGGACAGGTGCATGCTCACCGTGTACAGGCCCGACCGTCGCAAAAAGGTCAAGCCAGTCAGTCAGGTCAGGTTAGCCAAGGCTCGCGCCCTTGAGTCATCTCACCTCGAAGTACACAAGCGACTTGGCCTGGGAAAGCACGCACGCACTCACGCGGAGTCGTGTAACTTGAAAGCAGATGGGACCAGAACCAGCTGGGAAGTGTTTCCCGTAGCTCATAAGAAACCTCCGCTGTCCTATCCTCTTCTGGCCATGGCCCATGGTCTTCCCCTTCTCTGTTGTGTGTCTGAGGGCCGTCAAGCTGGCTTCTCTATGACAACCTCCTCATCCTGTTTTCACCCTCTTTTGTTGTCAACTCTCCTATCATGGTTCGCTCAATCCTGTTGGGGGTTGCCATCATCGAAGCTGTTGCTCATGGCTTGATGTTTGCCGTCTCCAAGACATCATCAGGCACAACAGCTGCCTCCCTGGGACATGGCTGGAGTCCACGGCCAACAGCTCCCCCACCCAATCTGGAGCTTCTGAAGCGGCAAGCTTCCAATGAGGAGACCTATTACATAGCTAGCGACAACACTTGCGGCTTCATTGAAGCAAGTAAAGGTTCGTTCCGTCTCATACACCATTGGACGTCGTGCCTTGCCTGCCTGCTGCTGACCTCCGCTCAAAGATACTCCCTTTGACTGCTATGGAGAATCAAATACGTGTTATATGGTTGTACGGCCAGGCTTCTACGCTGGTTGGGGCTGCATCTCACAACTCAGAAAGGGGGTTGCAACACGGTGTTATGACAATGATACCATGTCCGCCTGCGATGCTGAGTGCATGTTGAACGGAGACAATCTTTTCTGGTACGTACATATCCCACACCCTAACCGTGCTAGAGGCGATGGGGATGTACCTCTCTAATGCCTGAAACTACCTACCTAGTACCGAGACTGTGTTATTTGGCGACCACTGTAACACCTTTCAGATGTACCCGTCATTTACCCACTACCAATGCGCGTCGAGCGACCATGCACTTATCTCTGTCTACGTGACTTATAGTGGAATGACTAGTGGTCTCTCCTTCTCTACTCTCATCAGCACTTTGGTGGATCCAGCCCCGACAAGCCAGTCATCCAGCCTCGAGTCTTCTCAAACTTTACACGAATCATCAGCACAGGCTACTCAACCCCCTCCCGAATCATCAACACAACCTGCCCGGACATCATCCGAGACATCCAACACCTCTCCAGTATTCGACACGTCCCAGGCATCCAGCACGTCCCAGACACCCACCACGTCTCAGACATCACTTACATTTCAAACGCACCACACATCACAGTCCCATACATCCCCGCCCTATACTTCCCAGCCGCATACCCCTCAGGAATCGTTTGGGTCCCAAACAAATAATTCGACAGCTGGTGGCACTTCTCCAGCACCCTCTTCGCCCAGTGCGACTGGGGCCGGCTCAGGGTCAATCACCCCGACTGGTCCTATTGTTGGAGGCGCTGTGGGTGGCACTGCCTTCCTCTTCTTTGTGGGCTTTGGCATATTCTTCTTCCACAGACAGAAAAAGACTCAACCGCCTCCCATGCAACAAAAGCCTTCCGGTGGTGCTCTTGAGAGCGTAGCCTACCCAGATACGCCAGCCCCGCCTCTAACCGATCAATCGTATCCCACGCCGCCTCCTGGCCCTGCCTACCCAACCCCCCCTCCAGGCCAGCTTCAGGAGCTTCCCTCGACGCAGCTTCAAATGTCCCCTTCACAGAATTTTCATGAACTCCCCCCAACATATCTCCAGATGTCGCCTCCCCAACAGTTTCCGGAACTTTCCTCGCAGCAATTCCAAGAATTTCCCCCACATCAGCTTCAGGAACTTGCCTCACAACAATATCCTAACCTTGCTCCCCAGCAGCTGCATGAGTTATCCCCGCAGCAACAATATAGCCAGCTTCACTCTCAGCCCATCAACTACAGTGGTGCACCACCGATCATGACAGCTGCCGGTCAGTCAGTACACAGACAATCCACGAGCAGCCCCGTCTCCAGCCCAATGGCCCACTCCCACACCGACAGCCGCACGGGCAATTTTTCGCCCCTATCCTCGAGTCCATTGTCGACCGCAACCTCCCAGTTTTACCCTCAAAACCAGCAGAAATATCAACCGCAGCTATATCAACAGCAACATCAACAGCATGACTACCACCACCATCCGACACAGAGCCCCGGCAGCACTTACCCTTATAACAGCACCTCACCTCCACTTTATCCCAGCCCGGGACCACCGAATCACCCACGCCCCGGGCACGAAGCAGACGGTAGCCAGATGCATGAGATAGGGCCGCAGTGACGGCGGTCTATTCAAAATATGGGTGGGGGGGGGGAGGTTTCATTTCTCTTTCGGGTCTTCGCCCGTTCCCAAAAACCGAAAGATTAAGTGGATTTGGTTGGTTCATGTCTACTTGTTGGAATAATAGCACCTGTGTGGCAGCATTTCTTCTCATTATCATCATGGATAACCTGGAGGGTATATGTGTATATATATACCTCTGTTGCAGTTTAAACAGAAACGAATCATTGGCTCTAGCAAGGGCGCCTCTATGATCTTGATAAAGGACCATTCCTCTAGGAGTATATTTACACACCAACCTCAAACAACAACCACGGGCACAGCTAAAATCACGTGAGTCTTATTGTCAGAGTAATCGTCAATGAGCCGCAGTTCAAAAGGCTGCCTAGGTAAATAATAGTAGGAGAGTGTCAGTTAGCGTTGAGTTGGACGAGTATTGGCAAGCTGTTAGTGTCACGGCACAGCGCATTTCGGGTTCCTTATCGCATTGCCGTGTGACGTCACTTCCCGATAAGCCCAGTTAGGTCTAGCGCATTGGTCACGTGGTTGCGAGCTACCCCGCCCACAACCTTTTCTACTGATCGCACAATTCGCGATTCTTCTTTTTCCTTTTTTCTTCCTTAGCTTAGTTTTACACTAAATCAATACGGTATATTGTTGGCAACAGTCCTTCAAAACCTATTAACCGTGACAGTTAGAGTCTACTTTGGGATCGGTTATGCCTTGGTTAGAGCCAAGTTAGGGCATGGCTAAAACATGCTTGCGGCGTGGTTTAGGCTAAGAAGCGGCTAGTGTAAGAGAAGGCAGGTACGCCTGATCAAGGTGGTCACAATAGGAGCAACAAGCAGGGCGAGCAATGACTGGTATTGGCGTAAGACTTCAACCTGGCCTGAGCTAAAGAGGTGTGCGAAGGCCATGGTCTAGATACACGTGAAAGGGGTTACGAGTCATCCTTGCGTGGCCAGGGTGGTAGTGGCGATAGTGCGTGGCCCTGGTAGCGGTGACGATAGTGGCGATGGTGGCGAGGGTGGCCCTGGTGGCGGTGACCATGGTGGCTACGAGGGTGGTTTCCTTACAGTTAGATAGCTAGCAATACGAGGGTTGGTTGTTATATGCCTCTTACGACATAGTTTAAGCGTGGTTGAAGCCTGGTTTCGACGTGGTTAAGTCCTAGTTAGAACGTAGTTTACGTACGATTCAGTAATTATTCAAGTCTAGCTCAACGATACTATTTAGAGTAATATGTTAAGTAGCTAGTTAAAACATAGTTACGTGATAGTTCTAAGGTGGTTAGGTTTAGAAGTAGTTAGCTAATAATACGAGGGGTGGTTATTATATGTGCCTCTTGAGACGTAGTTTAAGTGTAGTTGAAGCCTAGTTTCACGTGGTTTAGTCCGGGTTAGAATGCAGTTAAGTGCGGTTCGGTAACGGTTTGAGTCGAGTTCGGAGACACTATGAGAACCTATTTAGAGTTCAGTGTGTTAAGTGACTGTTATAACGAGGTTGAAATACGGTTAGGTGACAGTTGAGAGACTGTTATGAGATAATTACGAGATGATAGGAAAGTTGATCGACTTGAGATGGAATAAACTACGTCACTAACACTAAAAGCACCCACGGCAAGTCAGATCAAAGCAAGAAGTAAGCAAAGTAAATGCCTCCTAAAGATGAAGGAGAGAACCAAACCAGTAGAGCACAACACCATCCCCATAAACAAGCAAACAAACAGATAGCAACAACAACTAAGGCACTGAAAGACTTCTGTCCTATCCTGTTTCCTAGGGACATTTACCTGTAGACTCAAGTAAAGGTTGATTGCATTACGGCACTCTGCAAAAAGGAACATATACGAGTTCATTCTGATATCGAAAGCGAAAGAACAAACCCAGTTCATCATACATGCATACAGCCATTATTGTCCGCCACCTGGAATATAATTATTCCCCACCGATATACCCATCCTAAATTTCCTCAGTTTTGGTACGGCTTTCCAAAAAAAGAAGAAGGAAGCAACCCAAAATAGATACATACGCACAAAAACTCAACTATTCGCGTCTTAACATCCAAATAGTACTTCGACAAGGAAATCCATATACACCACATGTCTCAAAGGTTCAGGGTCAAATAAAGGTTCGGGGTCAAATCCAAAGTCATTCCCCCTATACAAAAAGGAAAGGTAATTGAGATCAATAATCGATCAGCCGTAGCTTCTTGCCAACATCTCGGCGACGGGCCTGGACGGCGGCGCGCTCCGAGGGCTTGGTCTCGCCGTTGTCGAGATTTTCGCCGCGGGCTCTGAGAGCCTGAAGGAGCATACCGGCATCAAAGAAGCCATCTACAGAGAGAATAAAATTAGTATTAAGACAGACATGCAACGCATGAGAATAGAAAGGAGAGAAAGACTTACACCCTCCCAATTCATCGTCTTCGCTCATAGCCAAGCTCTCCTCAGTCGGTGACATGCTCCCCGTAAGACTCTTCTGCGACTTGATAACCTCGTTTCCCGTGATGAGGCGGCCGCGGAGCCGTGGCCGGTTGACCGCCCTGGGGCGGCTGGTGTCGATCTCTCGGGCACGCGTCTGTTTGTTCGGTACGACGGACTGGCGGCTCGCGATGCGCAGGATGCGGCGGATCTCGAGGAGGTAGCTCTCGAGCGTGTCGACGAAGCGGCGTGTCTGGCGATGGCGTGACGATACGCAGATGGAGATACCGTCGTCTTTGATGATGTAGCCAATGCCGAAGCCGTCACCTGAGACGGGGCCGAAGCCGAACTGGCGAAGCGACGGATTACCACAGTTAGAGGTCGACAAAATGGTCGTATTTAGCTTATCCCAGCCCGAATCGGCAAAGATCAGAGGCAGGGGATTGTGGTTGTGGTCTCTGCTGCTCCGCGTGTTGGTGCTGTCGCCGCGCTCTCGCAAAACCAAGCGCGGCTCTCCATCAACAACTGGAAAGTGCGACTCCTTGGACGGGGGGCTACCAGCGAGGGAGCCACGGTCCGAGAGTCCGTCTATGGGGCTCGAGTACCCGTTGCTGCTCATGCCGCTGCTCATATCCTCGTCCACGGTGCGCTGCCACAGGCAAAACAAGGCATAAAGGTGCCTATCGCAACCCTGTCCCTTCGCGCAGTCCTTGGTTGTGCTTACGTGCCGCTGGCACGCTTTGCGAAGTGCTTCGATCTTCTGTTCAGCCGGGTTGTCAGCCCAAAAGGTTTGCACAAAGTTGATCGAGTCCTCTGAGACGGTGCGGATTGCCTCGGTCCTCCCGTGCAAGTACGTCTTTGTCATCGCCGGCTCGTAGGTGCATTCGATACGGCCGTAGAGACCGTAATAGGCTGCCTGGAATGCCATCTGCACAAAGGCATCCGGGGAGAATCCCATTGAAGTGATGAAATTCTTTCCGTAAGAGGCAAAATCGAGGCACTCAAACTCGTTTTGCTGGATCAGATCGGCAAGCCTGGTCTCTGCAAAACGCACTGCAATGCTCAGCTCGGGGATCATATCCCACTCTAGCTTGTATGGAGTCGTGTTCACATCGCCAAAACTCTCGGGGTCGCGTTTGGACGGATCCGGACTCGTCGAAGCCCAAAGTGTTGGAGCCTGGCCGTTGATGGTCCTCGCGAAGCGTAGAATGGTATCCGTGTAGACGTCGCTGGCAAAACGCAGCACAGTGTGGCCGTCGACGCCAGTGTGCTCGAAGTTGATCCCAGCGCTTCCATTCTTGCATACGATGATCTGCAGCTTGTCGTACCAGCGATTAGTGCAGGTGCCAATCTGAACGCCCTTCTCAATCTCGCTGGTGCCACAGAGCACGTTCTGACAGAGCGCGGCAGCGCTGGCAGGCTCGGTGTAATCTAGGCAGACGACGAAGAGTGCAGTGTCAACGATATTGAGACAGTCGGCATTGTTTGAACCCGCTTCTCTGGTCAAGAGATCTCTCAGTCCCGACCAGACTTTCCTGTTTTCCGTGCTGAGGACCCCAAGTGCGCCCTTGGCAGCCTCCTGGATCGGGGTTTGTGTGGCGTCGTCAACAACAGTCTGCAGGTTAATAGCAATGTCCTTTTCCGTCATGATCAGGTCCGAGTTGTCGTCCAGTACGTCAAACCAGTAGAACTGGCCGTGGCACATGACAATAATATGCTTGGAGTCTGGGTCCTGTTCGATCTGGCAGCCGGCATCCGTTGGGACTCGAGCGGTTCCAAACAGCCGTGAGTACTGGTACATGTCGAGAGGAGTGCCTCTGACCGTGTCAGGGGGTAGCTCCTCCTTGCGTACGGCCCTCACAAACTCCAGTGCCGACACCACCAACGACGCAGCTCGTGTGACCTGATTGTTGCGGGCAGGGGTGGGATCATCTTCGAGGAGGAAGAAGGGGTTCAGGTTCAGGACAACCGGGTTGTCGAAGTTGAGGTATGAGTCATACCCTCTTGGGGAATTAGCTGAACTGCAATACATTTTTGAGACAGAGGGGTATGAGTGAAGGTAACGTACAAAACTGCTCGATATAGCTGGTCTTCCCTTCCGCATACCTCCTCAACTTCTCGTTCATTTCGGGCCCCTCACCCCTCAAGAACTCGTCGACGGCGTGGCGGGTCTCAGCATGCTCTCTAGAAGACTGGAGCGGCTTGAGGGCAGCCAGGTACTTCTGACAAGTGCGGTCCAGATCGGGGATAGGCAGCTTGGGAAGCTTGTCCTGGTGGGCGAAGGTTACGCCCCCCTTGGGCTTGTCCTCGTGGGCCGACATGGAGATGGAGTACTTGCGGGCCCTCAAACCGGGGCTGGTGGTGGGCTTGGGTATCTCTGGGTACTCTGGGATGGAGCGAGGAGCTGCCACCGTATGTTCTGGGGCAGAAAGAGTCTCGCCAAGAGACTTTGGCATGGTAAAAATGCGGACTTGTGTAGGCATTCTCGTCAGTTTTCAGCTCCGGCGTGGGAGGTGTCAAGCGTAGAGAGGGGAGACGAGGGTGCTGATGTTCAAGCCGCGAAGAGCTGTGCGGTAGAAATAGTGACAGTCTTGGAGACAGTAGGATGGCATTCCACTTGAAGTGCTAGGGGGGCCTCTTTCTAGAAACAAAAGGGGCGTCTGAGACGGAAAGAAGAGGCGAGAGAAGAGGCCGGCGCTCGGCCGGGCGAGGTTGGGGATATAAGGCGGGCGGCATTCTCGGAGATGTCAAGAATCCAACGACGAGGTGGACGGGATGTGGAGGCCAGTAGTGTCAAAAAAGGGAGCGACCCGCCGAGACCCGCGGGTGCTATAGTGAGCGTCTCTGCGAACCTGGACCGGCTTGTCTGGGCCATCTGGGAGGCCATGCGCATGTGGGACGTGGGAGTGGAAACTATGTCCATCCTATCCTCACTTGCACAAACGCGCTCTCGCATGTGGCCGCTTTAGGCGCAAAAAGGGGGAAAGGACAGGAGTGATTGGACATGGCAGCGAGAGTGGATTTGTGAAACTCCTCCGCAGGACCGAACACTCAATATGGATGCACCCATCTGACAATCTGCCGAGACAGCTCGAGTGCTGGCTGGATAAACAAAAGCAAACTAAGTGCAGCATACCTAGAAAAGCGAGGACCGGCAGCTACCTGCCGCGCTCTGGCCGAGTGCCGTCACGCTCTGGAGGATCAGGTAGCAGCAGCGCGGGTCCGAGTCGATGGCAGTCAGTCGTTCGAGACCCGACCCGATGGCGGGGGTGACGAGGGAGGAGGGAGGCGGGAGGCGGGAGACGGGAGACGGGGCGCGCAGTAGACTAGACGAAGTCTATTGTTGCTCTTTGCTAGTAGGTATGCTTTGTGTAGGTAGGTTTGGTAGGCTCTCTCTCTTCTTATTTCATCGTAAATCTTCTTGCCTTCCCCCGGTTAGCGACGCCCGCGTCAACCTGGAAAGAAGTCATCTGGTCGCTATACCGGATCACTGGTAGTCAGGCAAATGGCTCGCAGCGCTGGCCCGAGAGACCAGAACAGCTACAGCCCGGGCTGACGGGGCCAAGCAGTTGTTCCTGTGACCCGCGTCACCGGTGTCACCAAAAAATGACGTTTGGCTCCCGCACCAACACCTAGACCTAGACCCAGACCGGAAGGCTTAGTCTCTCAGTAGCAACAGTAGTAGTGGCCTAGACGGTATCACTCGTATGTCCAGCGGCCACAGCATACACGCCTTCTGCTGCTGCTTGAATCGAGACTTCCTGGTTGGTATTGGTATCGCACAGTGGATTGGGAATGTGGAGAGCCGCCTAAGACGGTAAGGTACTAGCGAGGGCGGACGAGTGCGCAGATGTGAAGAAAATGTGCGAATGGACAAAGAGCGTGCTGCCGGTGACCGAGGTGTCCTCGTCCCTTGCGGATGACGGGAGAGGCAAGTCCAGCAGGTGGCCTGAGGTGGTCTCTCGGACAAGAGGATGTCTGTGGTTGGGTGGGGTTGATTAAGGACCACGGCGGCACCACGCGGCCTAGGTTCCCCAGATGCAAGCCTGGAGCATGGAAGCTTCCCAGAACGGCAGGGGCGTGGCAGCTTCCGCCATTAGTAGCAACTGTTTTGTACTGCACGATAACCTGAAACTCGAACCTTCACTTAAAGAGAGGCGGGATTTATGTAGAACATAATTATCATAGGCTAATTCAACTTCGGCTTCAATGTTAGCATGGGGTTGGCCCCTAGGGGTATTGGGAGAAATGGAAGTCCAAAGTCTCTTTCTTTCGATGGGAGGCGTTCGTCATCCCAAGATGGAATCTGGGGGTGGGGTTAATTGGTGGGCGGGGAATCGCACCAGCACGCCGTTAGCTCAGCATGCAGTCATTGGTCACAGGGACGGTTACTGCCGCACGCGCCTGCTGGGATGAAAGATGGATTCTTCGTCTGCGGTCTATCAGGTTGCAGAAGCATGTGAAGATTCTACCTGTTGGGAGGATGCACAATTGCTTGCCAATCTCTAGGCAAAGGCGGCAGGCTGCAGACCCCGACAGAATTTCCCGGTCGAACGGATCTGTACTGTGTATTGCCAACCGCTACACACCCGAGTCACTTAAAAAGTTTCCTGAAGGAATACTCCGTAATACGGCTGAAACCCCCGAATCTGTAACCGACAACCTGTAAATATAGAGACAGTCGTAGTAGCTATTCATTCGTGGTGAACTGTTCTGCCATTCACAAATCGGGTGGCTAGATAAATGATAGAAGCTGAGAATTTGGACTTAATTTTCCTTCAGGCTGCGCATCAAGAAACATGGGGATGGTACGGAGTACCTAAAGCAGAGCACACTTGGTGGTAGGGCTGGAGAGATCGGGCCGCTGAGTCCAGCGGCTCGGATCAAAGGACGAACGGTAGGTACTGTACCTAAACAGACGGCTAGACCAGGGCCACCGATTGCTCCGTAGCTTGCCGGGATCTGACGACCACTTCTCCAGACGGTCTACGCTTCAAGCAAGCAATGCCAGTGCGGGGGGTTTTTTTTTTTGGAATAAATTCGAAAGTAGCTGGAATGCTTGAAGGTGCATTCATGTAGTTCGATGACCAGAGATGCCCCTGGAAGTAGTAAACCGGAAGAAGCCGAGAATAAACCCCCCTCACTAATCTAGAAGCCAAGGAAATTAGAGGAAGAATAGAGAACGACCGCCAACCCAGACCATTGCACGAATATCAGAGACAGCCTGTCTTGAGAACACAAGGCTCGGCGTGATAACCAGCGCAGTCCCCGTGCTCCTGTAAAATACCATACTTGGTATTGATTTGGTTGAGAAACTAGGATTTGTTATAGTCTGTCCTTCACTAAACCCTGCTCCTCGAACGGATATCTTTCTCGATTCGGCGAAAGCGGGTCCAAGCTTGATCGGCGAGGTTGACGGGAGGCATGGGGAAAAAGCTTAAACAAAATTAAATGAAGAATCGCGACTTCCATCTTTTCCAACCACCCTCGCTTAGAATCTTTGCGTTCTCCCTTCTTCCCTCCATTTACTCGACCCATCCTATCTACAATACCCGTGGAACATATGTGCCCACTTCGTCCACTGGCTACCCATACCTCTGACAAACGATGGAGGAGTATTGCTCCGTATACCTCAACACTGGCCCATGTCACCAAGAGCGTTTTTCTGAGCCTGCGAGATGAGAGAGATCACCATATCCATCCGGCGGATGTGTAAAGGCCGTGGCTATGTCCCAAACTTTCTAGCACCGGCGGATCGCGCAAACATCAAAAAATCTACTTGCACTGCCACGACCTACCCAGTTAGCGCACCCTTGTTCGCCCGAGCTCCTGGCTTCGGCTTTGAGAGACTACGGCAGAGAGGCTCAAAAAGACAGCCTCTAATTAACATCTAATTACACGCCCTGTTTCGACGCCGGTTATTTAACAATTCTGGTGGATGGCCTAGCTTGAAATGCTTACCAGATTTAGTCAGCTCTGCTCCCATCAAATGGTCCAGAATATTGTATTATCGACATTGACAACTCAATGAGCCTGGTCTCTGTCCCGTTCGGCCTAAAGAATTCTGCTGCTTGTCTCGCTATTGTTCTTTGACACTCTTGACTCTAAGATCTGTCAAAGAGATCAAGTTTCCCAGAATTACTTACCCAACGTCAACGACTAATTCAACCCCCTCATTGGCTAGCGCAGAGAGAACCAACACTCATATGACCACAACCGCCAAGATGCAACCAAATACTCGCCGTCCTTCGCAAGACGATATTTTTTGTTGACAGCAAAATCTCCAGCCTGCGGTTGTTTGAACTCACGACGTCCCCTCGACCAATTGAATTTGGCAAAACGTCAAGGAGATATACACTTATTTTGTCTCACCATTGGCTACTTCTCGGGTGCTGTCGGTCCCGTCGGCAAGCACCGGGACGCTCACGCGACTGTCACATACCCGCAATTGAGACGACTTATCAATCCTAGACTGAGGAAAATGGAACAGTGATATTGAGTTGCAATGAGGTCGGATGACATCTCGCCTAGAAATCGATCGATCGCACATCCATCGACTGCGTGAATTCCAATTTGTGGAGAAGCGTGGCCTGCCCCAAGACTTTGCTGAATACGGTATCCCATTTGACCAGCTATCTCGATAAGTCCAAGGTACCTAAGGTACCTACAGCAGCTGAACTCCGCTTTGCCACCCCCAACCTGACCGCTGGTTGTCATTGAGCAGTCTGTTGTGTCGAGCAACAACCTTTGTTCACGACTGGGCAAATTATGAGAAGAAAATCTCGCCAATTGCAACGACGCAGTCATGTTCGAATCTTGGTACGATCGGCACGACGAGAAGACAAAGTTCTGGCTTGAGTTTCAAGTTGTCAGCGACGGGTTTGAGGAGGGTAGCACAACATCAACTACCACGACGACGACAACAACGACAACAGCAGGAACACTCCAGCCTGCTACGGGTCTCAATGACAGCACGTTCAGCTATTTTGGGGCACTCCCTGCTGAGCTTCGGCTGAGCATCTGGGAAACTCTCGTCCAGCCGCGTATCGTGCTCGCAGCGTGCTTCGACTCCCGGTTCAAAGATCAGAAGCGCGCCCAGCTTGAACAGCGGCCCCGAAAACGGCCCGTACCAGTGCTTCTGCATGTCTGCAACGAGTCCCGAGCGCTTGCGTTGCGCCATTACGAGCTTGCCTTCGCTTGGAAGATCCCCCATCGACTTGCATCCCCGGAGGCTGGTGCACTGCCAGCCCGTGCCGAGGCTCGTGTCTGGTTCAACTTCCGCCTCGATGCACTATTGCTGCTGGGTGAGCTGGAGCCTTTCGACCAATACGGGTTCAACTCGCCCATGGTTTACTTCCTTCGAAAGGACGACACGAGCCGTGTACGTCACATCGCCTGCGCCTTTGAAGAGATGCATCTAGGCATCTACGAGTCGGAACAGATATTTGGTTCGCTCTTCCACATCGTCGACAGGTTTCCCGCCGCCAAGCGGCTTTTGATCACAAGCACGCCCCGGGACTTGGAGGTTCGCAGCCTTGTGCTCCCGTCGGCGGACAATGTCATTCAAAAACTGTGGTGGGCCTGGATCAACGGTACTTCTATCGCATCGTCGCTAGCAAATACTCAGATTTTGATGATCAGGGAAGATGATCTAGCGTCATTCATCGCCGAGCACAGCTAGCGTCATGATATTTCCGTATAAGATGCATAAAACCCCGATCTTGTTGCTGTTTTTTCTAGTCTCGTCTATAGCTGGAACACCACTCTCCCAATTATGGAGAAAAAGGCAGACGTGAAACCGCGGAACAACTTATTCATGAATGCTACAAATCATAATCTACCATCCGACTCCGGGCTCTCTGAATAGCACCCGCATGGCGACTGGTTATCGTTGCCTATAAAGCCCAGGCATCAAAACTTTTGTCTATGTCATCGCGCCAGGTTATCTCACACTGCCGCAATTACGCCATTAGCGGGCCGACCCGTCGTCGATCAGGAGGATCAGTCCACCCGCAAAGGACAAAGACGGTCAGACATCCAAACTCAATGCCCCCAATACCCTGGCCATCCAGAAATTCCTAGGCTTTGCATGCTGGCGAGGGAGGATAGGGGGTAGGTGGCTCAGGCTGCGGTGGCGGCTGCGGCTTTCCCTGCCGCACGCAGATCTCGTTTAGGTTTCTTCTGTGTGCCATTCTGGAAAACCGTTAGCACGCCGCTGCTCACACAACCCGGCTCATGCAAGGCCTACCTGAGTAAAGACTTGCCCGTGATCTTGAGGGAGAGCCACGGATGAAACGGCTTGGGATATGTTCTGGTCTTGGATGATTCGTCTATCTTGACAGGGGCTCGAGTCGAAATCGGGATGTGAACGACGTCTGCTGTCAGAAGTCCCAGGCCCAGAGCTCTCCTTGCCTGGGTATCGTCATCTATTTATCGACAATGGCCGCGGTGCCCCCCACTCATGGTATGTCCTGAAAGAGGTCTGAGCAAACCGCCTCCAGAGGGGTAGGAGTCGAACGGTTCTCCTCGCTGACAGGTTTCCGTAGTGAGATGGCTCTCCTTCTCTCTGATAGAGTATGTGGAAAGTCGCACGTGGTGTGCTATCTCTTTGCCCGTTTGATCGCCGGACATGATGGTGGGTGGCTTTGGGGCCGTGTCTGCTCTTTGAGAGGCTGCTGCCTTTCCGAATCTTCTAATGGAGGATATATGGGACGGCGACGCACGGGTAAACCCAAAATCTGATGATTGCGGAACCATTCTGGACCTCTATCACCCTTGAACGACAGACGCCTTGATCAGCCTGACAGGGGTGCAAACCCTGCTTCTTCTGCTCAGGTGACAGACTGCGGGAACGTGGGAGTCGAGGGGAGCCCTAGATTAAAAGGACGGCCTATGCCCACACCTCGCGCTATATCTAAGGTACAGAGGTGCAAGGTGGCATCCCGGGGCTGCAGAATGCGCCGTGTGCCCGAGCTCGTCTTCTGATATGGCGCTCTCGGGTCTGCGCCAAGAATGGCGGCCGCCACGGCAGCCTGACGTTTCCCGTGCTCGTCATCGCTCGACACGCAAGAGCCAGGGTGGCCATCGCTCCAGGCAAATATAGGGCCAGGAAGCAGGCCAGGCTTCTTCTGGGGAACCCGTTTCCTCTGTCCCGCCTCGTGCCCAGTCTCGGAATTGTTCCTATCAGCGTTCTTCCCTTCCGGCCATGCAGGCCGTCGGCCACGACTGCTCGACAGCTCAGAGTGTCAAAGCGTTCTGTTTAAATCGGCCCGCAGCTTACACGAACCCGGATGACCCCAGAAATATGAGGATGTGGCAGCATGTTATCGAGACCCTATAGTTGGCAGGTTCAAGGCGGCAGGCTGAGCATCTGACGGCATTGAGTGAGAATGCGGGAGCCTACTCCGGTGGTAGCCACAGCTCGGCACGGAATTGTTTGAGACTACCGGCCACGAATCGCTATTCAGTCAGATGTCCTACCTTGCTATTATTCTCTTGTTTGTCCTCCCGCCCTTGATCTTCTTTTGCTTGTCAAATGGTGCAGTGTATGATCTGATCGCCCTAGCCGGGCCTAACAACGTAGAGATTATATTCAGGACCGACCTCCATGTTTTTTTCTTGATGATCTCGGTACCAAGGAAAGACTCTTTTTCCCCTTTCCCCCCACAGGAAGGCCCTGATTCCGCGTTGTTTCACAGTTCGTCTGTGGGAGCCCACGTGCCGCCGGTGTGGTGGAAACCAAGGCAAGAGAAGATAGGTGGGAGAAGCATAATATTCGGTCGAGGATTATATTCTGTGGTTCGGCTGGCACACCAGTCATAGCAACAAAGCGCCCTTTTCTGAGTAAGGACCACTAAGCACCAGCACCCGAGAGCCCTAGCATGATAACACCCCTGGTTTCTGGGTGACAGGTCAGATTTGGCGTGCTTTGAGCAAACGTCCATTTTGGAACCTTTTTTTCTCTCTCTCTTTCACAACTTTCTCCGTTTGAGGCAAGACCTAACCCCCCTGCAGGTCTGTCTACCAAGCACACCGAAAACTGGGGCCCAGGGTTACGCATGTTGCTGGCTGAGGTGCCGCTAGTACAGTACTGGTTTGTGGCATTGTCGCCACTTTTGCCGCACCTGCCTGGTCCGTCGGGGTCTTGTGTGTCTGAGCGGCTGTTTCTAGAATATTTCTCTCCCTTGCTTGGCGTCTTCGTCTCGAGACGGGATCCGTAACCGCCCACGCTGCGCACAAGCAATCGACGGCAACGGATGGGGGCGTTTTCGCATCGGCGCTCAGACGACAGAAGCGGATAGAGAAGCTCGGTGGTGGCATGCCAAGTGGGCCCTTGCAGCTCTTAGCTGAGAGGCTGGTTCTTGGTGCCATGCGTTGCGCTGTGTGTGCTGCAACGGAATGGCGTGCAGTAGATACCAGCAGGAGCTGGGAGATTCCCGAACGGGGTGGGGAGTAGGTTTCCTTGCAGTACTTGCACAGCACAGCTCTCCTGGTCTTGTTGTTTGACCTTTTGCCTGCTTTGGCAGTGTCAGCAGCTCTGATAGGTCCGCCGACTCGACCCCCTTTCTGCCGGGGCGCCCGATCTCCGGAGGCCCGGCCCCCACTCACCCCCGGCAAGATTTCAAACAAAAACCCTCAACCCCGCCATTCTCTGGCTGGCACATGCCACTGACCACCACGCACCTACGGGATATGATCTAAGTGGGTTGCTCCCTTGAACGCGGGCGTTCACCAGAACAAAGCTTCTGGGTGGGGCCTGCCTACAAGCGAGAGGAGAAAGACGGGTGCGACAATAAGACTACCTGACTACCTAGGCTTTGTGGTGTGAAATCGATGCCATAAGCTTTCCTTCACCCGGTCCTCCGTCTCCACTGCCGAGAGATTGCCGAGAGAAAGACGGAGTAGGTCGTTCTTAAGACAGGAAAGCAGACGCCGTAAATCGGGATCACTCCTTTGCTGGCTTCTCATTTGCTCGACGAGACCGACTGCACCGCCTGGTCCATGTCCATCTCATTCTCTTTGTTTACTACCCCTATGACGGTAGCAATTATGGGCGCCCCTATCAAGCCCCATTGGCAGCAACCATCTCACCCAGCGGTGCAGCGCGTCATCATCGACGAAGCCGAGTTCTCGTCCAAGAGCATCTCCGAGGTGGCCGTGCCGCCGTTTGGCCACTTCGCCGCCCTAGAATTTCCACCGTGTACGGCGGCCGACGAGGCTACATATGCCACGGTCCAGTACGGTATCAAGAAGCACCTGAACCTCAACAGCGACCTTCTCTACATCAATCACTCATGCGAGCCGTCCCTTGTCAGTCTATCAGCCTTAGTCCCGGTGCCATGCAGGGCGGAAAGAAACGCGTAATGGAGAGTGCAAGGAGCAAGTGAAATTTAGGCTACACGTGTATGCTATGAGCCTGAACCTGGACGAGGGTGAGGCTGTCGATGGACAGAGATGCTTACACTTACGTGAATGCCCGTCTACAGATCTTTGACATGGCCAACCGCGCCATCATTGCTGGCCCCAAAGGTTTGCAGCCGGGCGATGAGCTGACCGTTCGTGTTCCCCCCTCCCCTTATTCCTCTTTCACTCTCGAGCTGGCATGGCACGGATCCCATCCACCACCCCACAACCTCTTTTCCATCTCCTTTCACACCCCGTTTCTGACCAGCCTCCCACAACACACAGTTCTTCTACCCGTCGACCGAATGGACCATGGCGCAGCCGTTCGACTGCCTCTGTGGGACGCCGACCTGCCGCGGGCGCATCAGCGGCGCCGACGACATGACGGACGCGCAGCTGCAAGGGCTGTGGCTGAACAGGCACATCCGCCAGCTGGTCGCGGCCAAGAAGAGCGCCTCTGCTGGTAACAAGCAGGAGGAACCTCTCCACAAGAACGGCAACGGCATCTGCCAGAAGCCGGCGCAGGCGCCGGGTGCAGTCCCCGGGGAAACCGGAGCCGAGACCGACTACGTCGAGCAGGCACTGCGGGACGCGCTGCAGCGCGCCGAGGAGGACGCCAACGCGGCGCGGAGAGATCTCGAGTCGCACGTGCAGCAGGGCCGCCGGGGCCGGGTCCAAAGCAGCAACAAGAACAGCTTGCCGCCGACCAACGGCAGCGGCAGCGGCAGCGGCAGACACAGTAACGGCGTTGCCGTCGAGGACGCCGCCGCCGGCTCCACGGGGGCCTCTGCTCCGCGCCGCGGGCTCACGTCACGCGAGCTGGGGGGCGAGATGGGCGGAGATACGGTTCCGTCTGCTTGATCTGGTGCAACCGTTGCATGATTACCTAGACGTATGGGATTGTCATTTGGGGCGGGGGGTATTCTGCTAGAAATACATATATGCATACAGTACAGGAGGGGTGATATATATAGAGGAGAGGTAGAGATAAAGAGAGATAAACAGAGGGGAGTGTTTGTAGCCCCGGCATTAAGCTATTTGTTGCTTCACACTAGTCTTGAAAAAAGAAATTTTCGCATCTCTCGCGTCGCACGCCCCCGTTGAACGCCGTCTCAACTTCCCTCCGGGTAGGCAGGCATCAATCAGATGATAGAGAACCCTCCCAAAAAATGAAAACAAGCCCGTTCCCATGCCGCAAAAAAAGTCATGCTGCTCCCTCCCCCATGATCCAATACCGCCAGCCTGTTCGCAGTAGTGAAGCACAAATTGGGTTTGTACAGTACCAGTCCAACTCCAGTTTTGGGGGATTCTACTTTCCTTATCCGCTTTACCAACTTCCTTGATTACTCACATACTCTCTCGTCGCTTTGCATCGTCAAGACACACGGTCCCTTGGCTTGTAAGGTCACCTCCTCCGATCCTTGGCCTCGGCGGCAGCAGAGGAAGAATTCGACGTCGACACGGCGGCAAAGGCCGGGCACGGCTCGGATGCGCCTCCGCCCTTGATGCCGCCCAGCAGCCAGTCGGTAAGGCCGACCACCTTTGCGCCGACGCCGCGCTCCCACTGGCCGCTCTCCTGGACGTGCTCGATGGTGTGGCTGAGGATGCGGCCTTCGCGGTCAAAGTCGAAGATGAACAGGCCCGTGAACTCTTTGTTGCTGGCGCCGACGGGCTGCGCGTTGCCGACGGAGCGCCCATTCCCGTTGTTGGTCGTTGGCGGTGGTGGTGGCGGTGGTGCCGTCGCACCCCCTGCTGGCCTTTCGGCGTCTCCTTTCACTGATTCAGACCCGCCGTCGCCCTCGCCCATACTACTACTCCTCCCTTCTCCCGGAGCCGCAGCGCTTTCCCTTGCTTGCTGTTGCGGCGACGGCGTATTACCACTGCTGCTGCTGTTGCCGTTTGTGCGCGCCGTCTTGCCCACGGTGCGCCACCGCACAATCAGCTGCTCGCCGTAGGCGCCGCGGGGCCGGCGTCCGCCGGGCAGCGGGGCGTGGGCGTGGTTCTGGTCGACCATGCGCTCCGACAGTATCTCAAGGCGCACGTTGCCGACCAGCGGCACGCGGTTCCAGGCGATGGGGCTCGACCATAGCGCGGCTATGTAGGCGACGCGGCCCGTCACGACGGGCAGGTGCGGGTGCGTCGACGGGAACAGGTGCAGCGAGATGTTGGGGCTCAGCACCTCCTGCGGCAGCGGCGACTGGAGGAGCGTGGGCAGCCGCTCTTGGAGGATGCGGAGGGCTGTTGTTTGGGGAGGCATGTTAGTGGGTTTGTTGCTTGTGGGTGTGGGTGTGGGGGTGAGTGTGTACTCACTCTTTCCCAGCTTTACCTTCCTGTCGTTGTCGCCGCCGGGCGGCTGGTGTTCTGGGTCCGTCCCCGAGGGCTGCCGTTGTGAGAGTGGCGTATTTTGAGGGGAGGCGGAGTAGATGGACGACGACGAGCTTGGTATGTGGCTGTCAAACCAGGAGTCGGGGAGGTCGCGCGGGCGCTGAGGTGGCGGGATGCTCGTGGCATCTTGCGCTAGCAGTATTGTTGGTGCCGGTGCTGTCGACAAGCTCTGCGTAGCGGCGTATCTCGGGGCTAGCGAGGAAAACAGGCGCGATGGTGCGGTTATTGGTGACGGCGATGGTGATGGTAATGCGTGTTCGGGAAAGGGCCGGCGCAGTTCATGCTTGGCTACGTTTGTCCCCCATAGCGACGACGATAATCTCGAGCACGACCTAGCTGCGCAATCCCCGCGCGAGGCAGATCCCAGTATCCTCCTTGTCGGGGCTGACATCTGTGGCGGGCACTCGAATGTCTTTCTTCTCGTCGGCTTTTTTGGTCTTTTTTTGACGACGATCGTTGGGAGAGGAAGCACGGATTCCAGATGATGTCAGCGACAGAGTGTCGGGTCTCGCCCATCCTGCAGAGAGGCTCCACTTTTAAATGCAGGTTAGAGCGTCGTGGGGGTTTTCTTCAGCGGAAAGCATGGATGAGGTATAGATATCGCCCGATAATTGATTAATTAGTTCTTATGGGTAGGTACGTATATGAGTTCCAGTGTATCAGTTGTGAAGTTGGTGAGTTTGAAAGACCAGATCCGTTTGAGTTGATTCTGATGGGTACCTACCTCGGTACATGCCACATAGCCACCTAAGCTGCGGCAAGTCTAACCAGGGTGGTTCCAGAGTATGGTTCTGGGCTCGATAGCTTGGCCTTTTTGAAGTTGATACTCGTTTCTTGTAAACGACCCCTTTTACTCACATGTTCGTCTCAAAATTTCCCATCTTCTCGCCTAATGGTTTCGCGCTTCCGTGTAAGCCTGGAGCAGTCAAACATCCGCTTCTCCCAAGTGGCGCAAACAGTCCCACCCGGAGGGTAACAGGTAGAGGTGGCTAGTTTGTACTTCCGCATGGCATATTCCACCTCGCTTCGATGTCCAGATTCAAGACATACACAATGGCCTACAACAAAAAAAATAGAATAAAACTAGAATTGTATTGTATAGGTAGGTAGGTACACTATTCACACGTGTACAAGCCGAGCGTCGTCATGTGCTGAGGTACTGTGACTGCAAAGGCAAATGACATCGCGCAGCACACGTGGTTGGTTGATCTTTCTCTTTTCGACCATTTCCGTAGTTTCCACTTCCTCGGGGCTTCCAAGGTTTGGATAAGCATATCGAGTCACGTGCCAGTGCGCCTGATGCTTTAGCTACCTACCTTACCTTATCGCACTTTCACTGTCTTAGTACGCTGGGTTTTGGGGCACCGGGGGACTGTGGGCACTGGCCGCAGCCCCAGGCGGCCGCAGCGACAGGCGGCCGCAGCGAAAGCCCCTGCGTTTGTCACTCCAATCAGGACGGACCCACTCGCCGGGGGTTCTGACGCCCTGACGCAGCCGCCTTTCCAGCGTCGACCTGCCTCGCCTGCTGGACCTCCTGCTGCCTTCCACATCATCACAACCTACACCTCTTTTGACCTCATCGACCTCGCAACAGATCCCGACGCCAACCACCTCCCGCACTCTCCATCAACAACTCGGTTAACTTACAGACTGCGATACCGCCCAGCTGCCACAGCCCACTTCACCGCCCACGATGAATCCTGAGTAGTATGTGCTCGCCTCGGAATCTCCGTCCTGCCCGCCGCCGCCGCCCACGGCCCTTTGTCTCCATCGATTTCTTGCTGTTGCTAACGCTTGTCGCCCTCCTCCAGAGTTCTCCACGCATCGCCTCGACGGCCTCTCTGCCACGACGCATCTAGCCGGTCCTTGTCTACTGCGTGCACTCTGCTGACCCCGCCAACCAGATACGACTATCTCTTCAAGCTCCTCCTCATCGGTGACTCCGGTGTTGGAAAGTCTTGCCTGCTTTTGCGATTCGCTGACGACACATACACCGAGTCCTACATCTCCACCATCGGCGTCGACTTTGTACGTCACCTCCCAAATCACTGAAACCAGGGGCATGGCCTGTATGCCAATAAAACACGGCGACTAACTTTGCCTAGAAAATCCGGACGATTGAGCTCGATGGCAAGACGGTGAAGCTACAGATTGTAGGTTTCGCCCGCCCTTTCCTCTGCTCCATTTCTCGTCGCCGCCGGGAAAATTGCGAGGAAATTTCGAATAGCTTAACTAACTTTACTCTTTTTGCCCCATAGTGGGATACTGCCGGCCAAGAACGGTTCCGCACCATCACGTCGTCCTACTACCGGGGTGCCCACGGCATCTGCGTCGTGTACGATGTCACCGATATGGACAGCTTCAACAACGTCAAGCAATGGCTACAAGAAATCGACAGATATGCCACTGAGGGCGTCAACAAACTACTCGTAGGCAACAAGAGCGATATGGCGGACAAGAAGGTGGTCGAGTACACAGTTGCCAAGGTGAGCCCATGTCTTCTTCTCCATGAAAAGAGAGAAGAATTAGGGCACTAAACTAACATTTCGACAGGAATTCGCTGACAGCCTCGGGATCCCGTTCCTCGAGACGTCGGCTAAGAACGCGAGCAATGTCGAGCAAGCCTTCCTGACAATGGCCCGCCAAATCAAGGAGCGGATGGGCAGCAGCATCACCACTAACACGAAAGAGAGGGTCAACGTCGCCCAGGGCCAGGGTGTCTCGGACGGCCAGTCAGGCGGCTGCTGCTAGAGGACCCCGGGTAAAGCGCCGTAGGCGTACGCGCGCGAGCTCTCTCAAACAACGCACACTGGCTAAGCCCCGTCCCCATCCCCATACGCTTGGTGTGCACTCTCTTCGGTGTTTTATGTTTTTTTCTGCATCGGACGGTTTCTGAACATTAGGCGTGCTTGGCGCGGATATACGGGGGTCGGTGCGAGGGTGCACCTGGGAAGGGATGTGAGTGTGGGTGGGGTGTGGGTGTGTGGCTATGTGCACGCGCTTGGGAAAGGTGGGCTGGCTACAACTGCTGCCGTCGCTCGCTCTCTCTGGGTGGGAGGATTTTTTCCCCTGACCGGCCCCTTTCTTCCTTTTATTTGCTGCTGCCGTAGTGCGTTGGTGTGTATTTGTGTGGGTTTGTGTGTGTGCCGTTCTTGGTTCTTCATCAAAGGCCGACCCCCATATACATGCAAACCAAGTTTTTTCTCTCTCTCCGTGGGTTTAATTTGGGGTACTTTTTTCTTTTTTGTTGTCTGATCTCGTTCTTGTAGTGTTTGTTGCTTTTCTCTTGTTTGCCCCAGCCAGCAGCAGACTGAGAGAGAGAGACGAGCTTACCATCTACCACCTAACTAGCAGGCAACACATTCTCCAACCAACGCAGGTCCATGTGGTTGGGTTCTTTCTTCCGATGACGGGCGCGCAATAGACAAGACGAGGAGAGGACGTCTGTCTCTATGTGAGGGAGACGCAGTCGAAAGAATAATATGAGAATATCCGGACCTGTTTTGGGGGGGTTTTCGGGGTGGTCGATGGATCTCTTTCTCATTTTCTTCTCTTTTGTGTTTCTACACTACATTTTCTCAGATTTACGTACTAGCCGCCTTGCCTTATCTTGCCTTATGGACGAAGATTTCTTTTTGAAAACAGAAGCCTCATGATTACTACGATGTGCTGAGTTGCTGTCTCTGTGGTTTGCTTAACTTGAACCTAGCCTGACTTGAGTTGACTCCACGCATGGTACTTACCTAGTTCACGGTTCACCCGTTGGCTTGAATCATCTATTCAGGCTGTGTTTTTAACTTCACCGACTTGATTCGGCAAGGCAGGGTATCTACCATAGTTATTTTGAATTATCTATCTTGGAGGTTCTCATTCTTGTTTCCACCGCCATCGCGCACTGCCTTTTTAGCCTCAGGAGGATGAATGCCTACATACACAGAGACACGTACAGAAAGGCCCGCTGCTTGTTTACCATTAGCTTTACATGGAAAGCGCAGACCCCAGCTTGATACAGTTCACCGAAAAAGTGATATAACGAAAGCTAATTCCATAAAGAGCAAAAGCAACCCATCATGATACCTGAGCGTTCACAGTCAAAATAAAACGGCAGAGCAAAACAAATCAAAACCCAGTCTCATCTTTAATCGCTTTAAACTAAACCTTTAAACTAGCGTCTTTTTTTTCATAAAAATAAAAGAAAAAAGAACAAGAGAGCACCGTGTGCTTGCCCCCTTTCCGCACCGCGGGTATGTCGCTAAGTAGCCCAAATAGGCGATCAAAACACATCGCGCCCGAATGGTCATTATCGTCATCAGACCCGGTCGGCCAAATCGTACACGGCGGAATTCTCATCATCGTTGAAGGGTCGACAGGAAAAGAGGACATATCTACCCATCCGTCCACCACCCGAGAGCTTTTTCCATCTGAAAGGAATCATAAGTAAACCATCCGTTTCTCGTGATGGCGGGCTTCAAGACGGCGCTGAGATTCCCAAGAAATGAAGTAATAGAGGAAAGAAAGCAACGCAAAGGAAGACTTTTATAGCGCCAAGGCACCCCATACCACACCACCACCACCCGGGGGTATTGATCGACTCGCCTGCTCAACACCTACTCGAGGCCTAGCCACTTGAGCGCCTTCTGGCTGTTGCCCTTGTCGGCCTGGCGGCGGAGAAAGAGGGGCATGAGTCGGCGCTCCTCGGCGTCGGATTCGTCAAACCCGTACTCCTCTTCCATAATCAGCAGGTGCTCAAGCTGCGAGCTCCTGCCGGAAGCGGCGGCGGCCTCCTTTGGAGAGGCGGCGCCATTACTCTTTATGAGGCGCGGTCGGTCCCTTGAGAACGAGGGACCAGCGACGGAGAAAGCAGCAATGTCCAATTCATCGCCACCGCCGCCGTTACCGCCGCCCGCAGACGGCGCAAGTGACGTGCGGCTCTTTATCGACAGGGTAGGGGATAGCGGGCGGGAGGCAGACCGTGGCCTCGTCACGTAGTACTCAAGCGGAGATGATGGTGGCGTGTCCAGCAGGGACAATGTGGGCGAGACCTTGGGGTGGAAAGTCGGCGAGCTGTGGCTGATTCGCACGGCCTTGCCCTTGACATTGTTGTTCCCGTTGTTGTTGGTGGTGGTGCTAATGTCCGTCGCGAAATGGGGGTGGAGTTGATGTATCAAAGAACCCTTCCGAGGAGGAACCTCAGGGACGTAGAAATCCGAGATGGAGACAAGCGTCTCGCGAATCGAGGCGACAAAGGAGGCAGTCTCGGAGCCGGCTGCCAGGTGTGTGAGGAGGTAGTTGGCCTTCGAGAATTGGCGCGTCCCGGAGAAGGGTCCTTGAGGCCCTACGGGGCTTTCGTCGTACTCGCTCGCGTCCCCAAAGCCAGGGGGCGCGGACGAGGGTCTCTGAAATGCCGCTGGGTTGTCGCCATTCAGGATGCAAGCAACCTTCAAGAGGTCTGCGCCTATGAGCTGCTGCAACGCCAGGACCGTAGGCAGATGTTCGGCCGGGTACTCGATAATGAGGAAGCGAATGTTGGGGTGGGAACAGATATAAGTCTCTAGATGTGGGATTACGAGGCTTGCAAGCAAGGCGCTGTCGGTGAAGGGGTTCTCTCGGGCTTGTCTGGTCAACGGCTGGCACGTGAATGCCTGCATGGCATTGGCAATGAGATATCTTGTAGCCTTTGTTAGCACGAGGTACAAGCTTGTACCATATCATCATCAGGGCACTTACCTCAGGTCCAGGTGCCCACTTCTAGAGCGCCCGCTTGACTTGGATCCCAGTTTCTCGATCTGGCCAACCACTAGCGAGACGTAGTCCCTCTTCACGCCATTCTCGGCGCCAATGGCTAGAATCAAATCTGTCCTCCTACCGGCGTTCGAGGCGTTCCGGGGTCCTGCGTCGGAGAATATCGGCTTCCACATACTCTGCATCTCCAGATTCGCGGCTGAGTGGGACGGACGGTACCCCCACCCCTCTAGAGGGAAGACGGAGCCGAAGATTGACCGCAGCGTGTTCTGGATAGAGGCTGCCGTTTGCCCACCAACAGTCAGAGTGTGAAATTTCTGATGCAGGTCAATTGGCGACCTAGTAGATGCGCGAGATGGCGTTGGTGAATGCCGCGGTGAACGCCTGCTCTCAGCGAAGCCCTTCTGCATCGACGGTATCACTCGATCGCCGTAATACTCGTCAGAAGTGATAGACCCCAGCTCGCTCGGAACCGCGGCTGTGTGAAGAAAATCACGAGAAGCACTTGGGCTGACAGGCGAGGGCGTGAAGGTAGAAAGCGCAAGAGCCTTGTCAGGGATAATCAACTCTGGAACAGGAGTGCTGACAGAGTAGCCGCCTTTTCTGAACCTCTTTAGTACTAGTTCATAGACGTCGTCTTGCACGTCGCCGGCAAAATGTATCACGAGGTCTTCGAGAAGGGGTAGGATGGGCTCGAAGGGTTGCTCAACTGACGATTCAGTCTCCAGCGATGATCTGCGGCCACGGTCCGGCACGGAAGCTTCATCGCCAGCATCAGCCCCTGAGAGCCCCGATCCTTCCTTGCTTCGCTGAAGTGAGGTTCGGGCCGAAGAAGCCTCGCTGGACTTGTCGAGGCCTGTCTGTCGGGCTTCTTCCGATTGGGCCGGCTTTTGCGGTGGATCGCTCTGCATTGTAGCAATGCTCGAGCCACTTGAGGATTGTTTTCCATTCTGACTGCCGACCCTGGACGGCTGTCTTCTTGGGAGCGGCGAGACCATGTCCGCCAAGCTTCTGTCGTCTTCACTGTCGAGAAAGCTGCGCTCCAACGATCTTGATCTTTTCCCTTGTTTTTGCTTGGGGAGCAGGCGAATGCTGGCAACTCGGATCCGTCTATGCCCAAGGCGGTCGGGCGAGGAAGGACGAGAGCTTGGGTAATCTGACGACGGCGAAACCAGAGAGCTTGCTCCATCAGACGCTTCGTCGACCCAGCTTAGCGAGGCCAACGGGACCCTCGCCTCTAGGCCTGGGACACCGGCTGACACTTGAAGTATCGCAGCCAAGCATTGGTCGGCGAAACCCACAGGATAACTCTGTGTTAGCCTCGAGCGCGAAGATGACCTGGAGGGCTGCATGATATCGGCAAAGTGGAGAGCAGATAAGCTCAGACTCCGTCTCGACCGCATACTCGGCATGCGACCCGACCTGGCAGAGAGGTCCATGTCGTTGGTGGGTGGCTGCAAGCTGTCTGTCTCCATGTAGAGGGCATCTGCAGCTCTCATTGCTCGTGTGATTGGATCCTCGTTTCTGTCGCTCTCGCCTCCGCGTACAGCCTGCTCCCTGGTTCTTGGGTCACCGCTCGTCTTCCCGCTGCTTCCTGCAACGGGAGACGCGCCGGGTGCTAGGCTATGATGGCTCGAAACTTCGCGTGAGAGGCGTGAGACACCCGTGACGTTGGAGGCCCGCTTGCTCTTCAGCAGGCCAGCAACGCCCTTGCTCGCGAGTCTGTTGAACATAGACTCTGCTTTCTTGATATCTCCGTCTGTTTGGTTCTTGCTGATGGCCGAGAGACACGAGACCTGGGCCCCGACAGTTCCCCCATCCATGAAGACGATCCGTCTCTTGTCCACTGTCGAGTGCCGTAGAAACTCGAGAGCAACCGCATGCCGTGCTTTGGCAGCATCGTGGATTTGGCGAATGACGTGTTTGCCGGCAAACGGCTGTTCGCCATGGTCTGCCGACAAGTAATGCCGAAGACTAGGAAGCACCAGGATCTGGGGCGACGTGGGCAGAAGGCGCAACTGGGTTGAAACCAGCTCCAAAGGGCCCTCGAAGGCAACGATATTTCCCTGTAGCTGGGACTGCTCGGGAGACTTTGCCATTTTTAGAAGCAAGCGGCCAGTGGTAATGAGAGATGACTATCTTGTAAGAGTAGACGGCAGACGGCAGGCGTATACGAGTGCAAAGATGCAGATGCCACGGAGTCTCGTTGCGATGTGATGTTGGAGATGAGCCAGCAGGTAGGTCGTGGGGAACGGGTGTTTGCTTGGATTATACAAGCCGGGGCACGCAAACAGACCAAACTTCCTCCCCCCGCGTATCGCCGATTCCGACGACGACAACGTGGAAAACGAAATAGAGTGGCTTGCAAAAAGAAAGAGCCCAAGACTAGTGCCAGCCCCGGGCTGAGCGGTCCGGGGTGGAATGGCTCGAGGGTAGAGGGGGTGGCTTGCCGTGAGACCGGAGCTGATATCTAAAAGGACAAGGAGCAGAGAGACGAGGGCAGGAGAGGCACGAGGTGATAATGCAGCCAGGTCAACAAATTGCGTTCATCTCAAAAGCCGGCGCATAAGTCACGCCATGCCGTATAGAGAATCAGAGATTCAGACGAAAGATAAAAAGTGGTTGGGGGGACTTGAACGGCAGGAAAGGAAGAAAAGGGGAAAAATGGGGCAGCACAAGCTTGACTGAGTGAGGATAGCTTCACTCTTGTGCCTCTGTGTGAACCACAACAAGTCCGACCTACGGTTCCTTGACGGAAAGCGGCATAGCAGACCCGAGCTTCGGGGGCCAGGCCAGGCTCAGTCGCTCGCTGCTTTGCCAGGCAGGCCAGGCCAGGACCAGAGATGCCCAGTCCTACACAAGATCGATCCCCCGACCTACTGCGTAGACGTAGTGGACCTTACCTTGCTTGGCCTCGCATGCATGTATGTCATGGAGGAGCCCTGTCAAACATGACATGTTGACCGACTGTGCCCCCAGCAGCACCCAATAGCGCGCTGTGTATGTAAGGTAGTAGGCTTGTGTACTAGTATTTGACAATACATATGTCGGCCTTCACGTATTCACCTGGATCGGTATGTGCACCCGGACGGGACTGCTCCTCCAGTGTCATGTTGGGAGGCCAGCACGCGAGGGAGCCGATGTCGACCTATTCTATCCGATGGTTCGAGACGATCAAAAGGCAAGCGCTGACTGTTGACAGCGACTGATGTGTGTCACGGTCAGGAAACGTCCTGTGTGGGTGTGGGACCAAAACGACCTCCTAGGTCGTCTCGCTCGCGGACGCGTGAGGCAGGGGCCGACAGCTGAAAAAAGGAGGGAGGGCTTCCAGGCCTACTGCGCAGGTATTCTGTTGAAGGGTCACCAGTCACCAGAGCAGAGGCAGGCCACAGGGCTGCTGGGTCCCTAGAGCGGAGAATTCCATGCGGTTAGTGTTACCTAGCTAGTGCTGCACCCGGCCGTCGATCCTTTCGGGAGCCACTGAGCCAGCCAGTAGGCGGGGGAGATTCAGATAACTGCAGCAAGGTGCATGGTACGGATAACGTAGTGGTGCACTGTGTCCATGTGTCCCTCCCCCATGCTTCATCTAGAGCCTGGACGTGCGTGAACATATTAATAGGCAAGGTCAGTCCGCACAGCTCGTCTGCCCAATCAGAGGCCGACGCTAACACCATAGAACGGCCAGTGCCTCGTGTCTGCGTTTGGGAAAGGCTGCGCTTCACTGGGTCGAGCAGACGACGCCGTCTAGTCCAAGTTGCAATGGGACAATAATGCTACCACGGAACTCGACCGCCTGGCACCACTGATAAGGCGCGTGCCGCGTCTGTTACACTCGGCCGTCAGGCGCGCCGCAGGAATGCAGTCAGCTTGCAGTTTTGGCTGACTTTGCGCCGTCAAACTCTGCTCCATGCCTTGCTTTTTGACAGACGGCGCTGAGCTTGAGGCGGCGCGGGCGGGCTGGTATCCTGTGCCGACGGGGCGGGATGTTACACCAAACGGGTTGGACCAGTGCCTTCGTCGATGTTCGGGCTGCTGTTGGGAGTCTGTCGCCTACCTTAGCCCTTTTGGGTCTTGGAGAGAGGAGGGATAGCGACAATGCCTCGTTGGTGCAGGCAGGTCTCGGTGGATGCCATGTTGCGTACATACGCACTGTCCGAACTCCGTTCTGTACAGCACTGTACTATCTGTATGTGAGAACAGAATGTGTCTGTCTGGGGTCCACGAGCTCGGGGCTGCCGGGGTTCGCTAAGGATGAAACAAACTCGTCCAACTCCCCTCAAGCAAAGCAAAGAAAGCACTCTCGGGGTTCCGGCCTCGTCGTCGAATTTTCTTTGGCTGTTCTGAGTTCTGGCGGGGTTTCTGACCACCCTCGAAGAGCATCGGTGCAATAACCGGACCCCCCCTGCATGAGCCATCGGCGGCTTAGTGAACGTGGAGAAGACGAAACGCCCTAATAACTCCCTAAGCTTTCTTGCGGTCTGCAAGCCACGAATGCAGAGCCAGCTTGTTCCGGCCTTGTTCCCCGTGGGGGTGCTCTCCACAGTCCAATCAGTTCGCACCCGCACTTTCTGTATCTACCACCTTGGCGGCTTCCGTGACTTGGAGCATCGCACAAGACCTTCAGTCATGCTGCCTCGCCTAGCTGCACAGATTTGAGCTCCCAAAGCCGGCGGCTCACCTGCGTCACTGTCGAGTAAAATAACTTCATAAGGTTCAGAGCAAACGATTACATGCGTAGCCGTGCCTGGGTTTCAAAATCTGCGAGAACCATATGCTCTCTCGTCCTTTGGCTCAAGTTGGCCCGGTCTGTCTGCGGGATCACTGTGCGACAGGCACCCCTGAGGACTGCGCGGGAAGTCAATCTGGACCATGCCTTGCAATCTCGACTGGCCCGCTCCAGCTAACAAGGATACCACGTGTGACGCGACGGAATGCCGAAACAAACATGGTTGTCACCCGCGTGGTCCAAAGCCTTTAGCGACATGCACAATTTCGAATTCGGGATAGGCTGTTCAGATCCAGTACGTTTATTCTTTTCGTCATTGTTTCACGTCTAATCATCATCTTCCATGAGTGCAGCGAGTTCGGCTTCCTCGTCGGCCGTCATCAAGTCGCCGCCCTTAGCCTCGTCTTCATCTTCCTTATCAGTGGCTTCGACGGGGGCCTCTTGCTCCTTGACAAGGGCACCCAGGGCGGCCTTTTCCAGTGGCCACGTCCTGACGGTGCCGTCAATACTCACGCTGCACACCTTTGCGGCCCCGCTGGGGCTTTTGATAATGATCAGGTCGGTCACCTCGTCGTAGTGGCCCTCGAGAGAGCAGTGGAGCTGTCCCGACGAGCGATCCCAGAACTTAACATCTTCGTCTCTCCCCGCCGTGATGACCCACTGGTCCGTGACAGCCACGGCACGGACATGGCCGCCGTGGTTAAATGTATCGTCGCAGCCAGCAAAGTCTGTTATCCGCGACAGGCATTTTGCCGTGCCGTCGCCGCTCGCCGTCCACAGGTCGACCTCGTCTGTATCTTGGTCGAACACAAGTTTGTAGACGGTTGTCTCGTGTTCGAGAATTGTGTGGCGTTCGGTGCCCGGCGTATCAGAGGAGGAGTCGACAATCTTCTCCCAGCCATCGCTCCGGATCTTCCAGCGACGGATGTGGGGGTCACTGCTGGCGCTGAGCAGATGAATTTCGTCCGCCGTCGACGAGGCATGGTCAACGACAAGGTCCTGTAGGCTCATCATGTTCACGATGCCATCCTGCAGCGTGTGCAGCCGCTCGCCTGAAGCAATATCCCAGACGATGATCCGTTTGTCCGCGCCACCGCTAATGAGGACGTGCTTGTCTCCTAACCGTGCGCAGACGACCGCCTTGACAAAGTCAGAGTGGCCCAGATACTTGCGTCCGGGTGCCTTGGTGACGAGGTCCCAGGACCACACGGCCTTGTCCCAAGAACCAGCGAAGAGAGTGCCGAACCCTGGGCCCCCGACGGCGATGGAGCAGACTGGGGCACCAGGGCCACGGTAGACGACTGGCTTGGCGTTTTCGGCGTCCTGCAGGCGGCCGAAGACGAAAACGCCAGGCAATTAGATGATATCCCTTTCTTTTGCATCGAGTAATAACAAAAGCGGCAGCGGCAGCAGCAGCGGTAGCAGCGGTAGCAGCAGCAATCTCATCAAACACGTACATCCAGCTTCACTTGGCGCACTGATCCCGTCGACTCGGCCACGAGGATGGCAGACGAGGGAAACCTTGGGTCTGCTATAGCGGCCAGGATCTTTGACTTGAGCACGATGGGATTGCCATGCCGATTGCCGGCTTTGGCCGAGCGTCTCTTCCTCAGCTCCTGCTCAGCGCTGGGAACAATTTGGAATCGTCGATTAGCAGTGCCCTCATGTTGGGTTTTGCGTTCGGGCAAAGGGATGGATGATAGATGGTGCGCTCACTCAGTCTCGAAAAAGTGTCTGGGGTCTGAAGACTGCATCTTGGGTGTCTGTGGGTTGGGCAAATAGGAATTACTCCCATGCAATTGAAGGCGACGGGAACTGTAGTCGGAGTCTGGGGGATCGCTCCTTCCTTCCTCTGATTTAAGGGCGAATAAAGCTTCGAGTTCTAGCGACGAGAGGTTGGTGCTGCCTGCCCGACGAGCACGGCTCTTGTCCAAATCGGAGCCTGAACTGGGTCACCGCCTGTGCTGGGCCGAGCGGAGCCCATCCGTCGTCCGTTCCATACCAGTAGTTACCTTGTCCTTAGCTAAGGAAGGGGCGAATGGACGGGGCTATCTGTCTTCTGGGCGAGCCCCGGCAGCCACGTGCCTGTAGACTTCAACGGGTGTCCTTCAACGCCGCGCGTGTCGTCAAAGTATGGGTACTAAGCTAATAAAGACGTGTAATTTCATAAAAATCATATATAATTAATTTTATACCTACCGACTAAGGGGAGCTAGGCGATCATGAAAGGCATCTAGATACATAGTACGGAGGTACAGATCCGCATGAACATTACATACGGAGTGCAGTTAGTACGGTGCAAGTGGGCTGGAAGGAAGTGGGATGGAAGCGGGAAGTGGGGCAGCAAACGCGTCCCCTGAAAGTGCAAAGGGCCCTGTGTAAATTGCGACGCGGTTTTGACGCGTCTTCTGCGCGAGCAGCTCAACACCATTTCCAACAGCCAAACTTCCAAAGCCTTGGCCAAACAGAAATTCACCTCCAAAAGGCTCGCCTCGGCATGGTAGCTCGGAAATTGCAACTCTTGTAACCTCCAAACACCCGAATTCTCGAATCTGCGCATCTTGAGCTTAAGTCGAGAGTCGAGAGTCGAATTGACAGGCGACGAGGATGACGTCTCTCGTCTCTCGGCCGCGGCCACGCCCTGCCCACACTCAGGGGCCTACGCACTGCGCCTACACGCCGGACGGTTCTAAGCTCGTGACGGTCGGGTCCAACAACACAATCCGCCTCTACAAGACGGGCTTTGACGGCGAGCCCGCAAACATTGATGAGTGCCAAGAGCAGAACCTCGCCGTGTCTACTGGCAACGACTTTTTTGTCGCTGGCTCCGAAGACGGCACCGTCAGCCTCTACTCGCTCGACACGAACCAGTTCGACCGCTTCCTGCTACGCACTTCGTTGCCTGTCCGCGATGTTGCCCTCTCACCCGATAACCAATGGTGTGCTGTAGCTAGTGACGAGCTCACCGTCAGGCTGGTCAACGTCAAAGACAACACACACTTGCGCACGTTGAAGGAACATGGGAAGCCCACAAAGCATCTCTCGTTTGATCCTCGCGGGTCCTTGCTTGCGCTCTCGTGCATAGACGGCGTCATTTATATCTACTCCCTGACTGCGGATCATCCCGAGCTGATTCGCAAAGTCGACAGCGTCATTGGCAGGGTCGAGACCGAGGCCGACGCCTCGTCAAAGGTCGCCTGGCACCCTGATGGACGTGCCTTTGCTGTGCCCACGCCCACGAGAGATATCCAAGTCGTGTCCAAGAATGACTGGGAGAAGCAGCGCGTTTTCTCAAACGGGCACGACGGGGTTATCACTGCACTTGCCTGGTCTCCAAACGGCGCGTTGCTCGCCTCGGCCGCCAAGGACAAGCAACTGCTGATCTGGTCCACCAGCGACCAGACGGTCGTTGCCAGGTACGAATACCCCAATATCATTGACATTGCCTGGCATCCGACCAAGAATCTGCTCTCTTTTACCACGTCAGACGGCGAGGTCTTCATCTGCCCCCACTTCATCTCTGAGCAGTTTTCGTCCCTCCTCCGTCTTCCCAAGCAGCCCGCCCCTTTCATCCACGACCCTTTGGCAGAGATATCTGCCAATGGCCAGAAGTCCGACGCCAATGGTCACAAGCCCGCGCCAAACGCGCGGCAGAACTCGCTGGAGAGCCTAGACAACTTGCTCGACGAGAACTACGGCGACTTGGATGACGACTTTGTCGTTGACGACGACGGCGCTGGCTACACGCTCAATGTCGGCCAAAAGCGCCCCGCCGAGGACGATGGCATCTTTGCGGACCACCCCCAGAAGCGCGGAAATTTCCTCCAACCGCAGCACCACAAGCCTTTTCAGCCTGGCTCAACTCCGTGGCGCGGCAACCGCAAGTACCTTTGTCTGAATTTGGTCGGGTTTGTGTGGACCGTGGACCAGGACTCGCACCACACGGTGACCATCGAGTTTTACGATCACGAATTCCACAGGGACCTCCACTTTACCGATACCTTTCTCTATGACAAGGCCTGTCTGAACGACAAGGGTGCTCTCTTTTCCTGTCCTCCCAAGGACGACGCCCCTGCTGTTGTATTTTACCGCCCCCATGAAACCTGGACGCAGCGGAGCGATTGGAGAACGCAGCTCCCCCAGGGCGAAGCTGTGCTGGCGATGTCGCTCAGCGACTCCTTTGTGACCGTTGTGACAGCCCAGTATGTGAGGGTGTACACGCTGTTTGGCATTCCCTATCGGGTCTACCGGCCCAAAAGCATGCCTGTTGTGACGTGCGCCAGTTGGCGAGACTATGTCCTTACCATGGGTAACGGGCCAGTCGGCGCCGATGGCATGTCTAAACTCTTCTACAGCATTCAGAACATCAAGCGAGATGAGATCTGCCAGAACGAGGATATAGTAGCTTTACCAGAAGGCGCTATGGTCCAGAGCGTTTTCTTCTCAGACAGCGGCGTAAGTTCTTTTCTGGTATCGGGGTTAAACAATAACTCTCCCTTTTGCTTCCGATATCCTAGCTAACACAGATATTCTTGCTCAGGATCCGTGTATATATGACTCGACAGGAACGCTGCTGACGCTCCTGCACTGGCGCCATCCGTCCCGTGCGTCGTGGATTCCGCTACTTGACACAAAGCTGCTGCCGCGCCTGGCCTCGGGACGGAAACACGAATCATACTTTCCTGTAGCTGTCGCTGACAACAAGTTCCACTGCATCATTCTCAAGGGCGGAGACAAATATCCGTACTTCCCGAGACCACTCTTGTCCGATTTTGAGTTTTCCATCCCACTCAGCTCTGCTCAGGCTCGGAAAGGCAAGAAGAAGGAGAAGAAGAAAAAGCACAGAAATGGGCTTGACGACGAAGACCTAGAAATGATCAATGGCAGCGACGGCGGCGAGGAATCGTCAGACGACGAAGAGGAAGAAGACGAGACCCAAGGCGACGAATCCGCCTCGGAGTCCAAAAAACTCGAGCAGGCTTTCCTGCTCAGGGGCCTGCAGGCCACGCAGCTCGCCGACCTTATCGATGCCACCACCAGCTCGGCCGGCCAGCGCAACGCCCTCGCAAAGCTTGAGCTTGAAATCGACAAGGCCCTCCTGCAGATTCTCGCAGTTGAGTGCCGCGAGGGCGAGGACCGCGGCATGCGTGCCCTCGAGGTTGTTCAGCTCATGCGCGACCGCTCCGGCCGCATGATTGAGGCGGCCGGCAAGGTTGCCGACCGCTACGGTAGGACCGTTCTCGGCGAAAAGATTCGCGAGGTCGGCGAGCAACGTGTCAGTGGCCGCGGCGGCGCATTTGGAGAAGACGACGACGACGATGACTTCCCCTGAATCACTCACTAGATGAGAGAGCCGAGCGGCGGTTGAAATGGTGTGTGCGTGCGAAATTACGTGGCCGCCTACTGAATTGCACAGCGCCCGATTTTCTTTTTGCTTTCTAATGTTTATAGAAGCGCGTCTAGGGCATCACTTGAAAAGTTTTGTAGCAGCTTTTGTTTCTCCTATTGTATGTATGTACAATAGTGAAAGGGTCACTCACCCTTATATCTACTCTACCTACAAACACCAAACGCACACACACAAGGGAAAACACACGCACATGGCACGACAACCCGGTCGAGTCGTAATGATGATGAACACGCGAGCAATACAAAACGGGGGGAACAAAGGGGATAAAAAACAGAAAAATGTACCTCTGTACAAAGTCGATACTTGTCTCTCCACTCCCCCTTGTCCGATTTCAATGGCATAATGCAGTTAACCACTCCTCCCGCCCCGTCTTCCCAACCTTTTTTTGTTTGGTTTAGTTTTGATCTGCAAGGTAAGGTACCTTGCGTTAGGTTGGGCCGGGTAGGGTTGGTTTGGTGGGTCCAATTTTCCATCCATAGCATGCCTTGGGTTTTGTGTCTTGTTTCCTTGTTTGGTCGACTATGCCATGAATGATGTACATACATGTCCGAGCCCCCCACGCATCATCATCTTTTTCGTGTGTGTATGAGTGCGTTACACAAAGGCATGAATGAAGCAAGGTCGGTCTATATATAGCATACAGGATGCTATTTATTATTATTGTTGTTTGCGGCATGGCTGGTGTATATATACATACATGTCGTGCGGAGCGGAGCGGATGGATTAGTAGGTAGACTACATGTTGTTGAAATTTGCTCCGACGGAGAAAGACCAATGGACACGATATACGTAGCGTACGGACAGTTACTACGACACTTTTTTTTCGTTCGCCCTTTTGTCGGAGGGAAAAGGGGTTCATGTTTTTGTTGTGCTTGTGGTTGCTTTTCGTCGCTGGCAGTTGGGGGCAGGGGGTGGGGGTTGATTAGTTGGTCCCATGCCAATGGGATGCTCTTCCCATTGCTCGCCGAGACTGGTTACCAAACGACCGGCGATGGTTTTCCAGCATGGTATGTAAGTACAGCATGTATCTTTAACCCATCTAACCGACAAACTGTCGTAGGAGGCAAACCGGCAAGGTTCCGCCATGGCCAGCCAACCAGGAATGACACGGCGAGAGAGGAAAATACCTAGGTTGTGCCGCCTTGCAGCAGCAAACTTATTGCCCTTTCCTTAAGTTGCCTTGCAGTGCATGCAGGTTAGATGCACGGCAATCTTCACTTTCGTAGGGTGTGTAATCACCTCAAGCTAGAACTAATGTACGGACCTGATTTAGTAGCTTTAGTCTTGATGTTGCTAACGAAGTTGCCTGCTTACATACAACTACCTTCGGTAGGTAGTGCAGTAGTATACATACATACATAGCCAAGTTATTAGTAGTACCCATGTATGCCAGATACTAAATGTTATTGATTCTCACCGAGGACTTAAAGCCCCCAAAGAAGGCTAAGATGTTACAGACAAAGAAACAAGAAACAGAGCTAACTGTTTCGGTTGGCCGGTATGCCCAATGGCTGATTTTCTTCTGTCCCTCCGTGCTGGTGCAGGGTAAGCAGAGCCGACGTTGTATGTGTGGATGAGGCGTTGGTGTCGAGGGTTGATTGAGCTGACCGGCCTGTACAGTAAGTACTCGGACTCGGGGGACTTTTGCTGGTTTGAGGCATTGACTACTAAGCTGAGCTGGGACTTCGGCTAGATAGGTGCGTGTCTCTCTTTGGACATGGCCACACCAGTGCGTCCGGTTTGCGGATCGGGGGCCATCACGTTTAGACAAAGCCTTGGTAAATCACCAAGACTGCGTAGACGGATATCCCGGCCGCTCCGCCTTGCCCTGGTTCTCCTGCCGCTCCGGACGAAGCCCAGCCAGAGCACGGCGCAGCTTCCCCAGCTGGAGCGGCAGAGCTGACGGGCTGGAGCGCGACGGAGGAAAATAGACACAGCACATGCCGACCCCATATTCTCCAGATGAAACTAAAGCAGAAGAAAAGGGAAAGAAATCTAAATTAAGAATCAACCAAAAGAAGCCGCTTAGGCTATTGCTCGCTGTCAGGTGTTCGCAAGCCATACCCAGCACTTCAACCACCTGGCAGCAGGATGGATCGGGTAAAAGTCGTCTGAGAGCCGGGTGGCGACGGATCGTGGTCGAACTGGAGGGGTCACCCATCAGTAGTGTCTTGCGGTTGACAAGTAGAATAGCGGTTCTGGCAAGGCATTGTGTTTCCGGTTTCCCCAGAATGTCGATCCAACAAGCTTGACAGGTCGAGATGGATCGGCCGCGGAAACCAATGGGAAGGCATCCTAGCAAAGCCCGGACTGCCTGGTTTAGACAACTGCAAGATATTAACCAGATATTGCGAAAGACATAATGTCGTCGTTCGACACGAACCAAGACAAGAGTCCCCGTCGCGGAAAAGTGCAGCCAAGCCTTTGTCGGCCCACACCCGAGAGTTCCTGGTTTAGGCAGGTGGGCGCTTTTCCAGGCGACAACCCCAAGAGACATGTTGCATCACAACCGCCGAACTGCCAAAACAGACGAACAGAATTGTGGCGGTCAGACAGACAAACCCAGGCCAGGTCAGAGCACGCAGACACGAGATACAGATGGTGACGCCGCTAATATCCCTAAGGGCCGTCTCCCGGCTCGACAGCTTCTCTCAGCGCAGTGCCAAGAGGGAAAATTCACACGCATCGGTGATGAGAAGGGGACATAGATTTGCGTGCAGTCAGCCAGCGTGCCATTGCCCGACCTATCATAGCTGCGACAGTCGTCCAGTCGTCTGTCATCGAGATTCAACAAAGGTGAGGTGACGCAGGAGTACGGATACCTGAGGTACCTAGCTTCCCGTCTCGGGCCCTAAATCTTCGAGAAAAGGGTCGGAACTTCGGAAAGGGGTACCTTAGGCATGGGAATGGGACTGCGACAGAAGCGAGAAGAACTGAGATTCGGCAGCCGGAAATTTTTCCATGGTTCGGATAGAGTAGCATCGGGAAAGCGCGAGGTGGGAAAGCGCGAGGTGTGGACTGTGGATGGAGGACGTGAAGCGGCCGCTTCTAAACTTGTTCCTTCCTGTGGTTCTACGCATGTACATACAGTACAGCACTGCACGCCTGTGAGTTGCGACCTGACTCGGCCGTGGGCTATGGGAATCTTCAGCCTGGAGCACTGGAAGCCGCCAAAGAAAGAATCTTTTGGTCCCATCTGCCGCCTGTAAGATCGGCAATCCGACGAAAATATTTGGGCGAGATCTGAAGAAGCCTGAGGCACAGGAGCCCCGCGGCAGGTTCCGGCCTACCGCCATCGTCCTGTGTGACGGTGCCCGTGCAGAGCCCGCCTGGCAGGGAAGGGGGGTTGAAGGGTCCTACCGCATGGGGAAAGAGACAGCAGGTGATCAAGCGTTTCGGGTCCCAAGGGTGTCGAGAGCAGATGGGTGAAACATGGGCTTTTAGTGGTTGGGAACTCGTTCTCACCGGGCTCAGACCGTGACGTTACCTGGAGCCCCGCTGGCTCGACGTATTGCGCGCCGCGCTCGCGCTGGGGAACCGATTATCGTAATCCTGCGGTTGAGGGTTTGCGTCGCCATCCAGAGGCCCATCCAGTGTCTGCCTGTCTGTCTGTGTGCATGTATGTACCTGCCTTGTCTTGTGTGTTCGGCAGGCAGGCTGGCAGGCAGACATGTGCCAGTGCGGCCGGCCAGAGACGGCAAGAGGCGCAGATGCGGCATCGAGAAGGCGGCGGGCTTGCTTTGTCGTCTCAAGAATGCGCGATGCAAGGGAGGAGGCCATCAATCTGCTGTTCAGCTGAACTCTGAAGGGGCTGTGGGATGACGACATGCCCAACGGCAACGGCTGAAAGACCAGGCGAGTTGCGCCAATCGGTAATCCGTAGCAGATCCTGTCCTCGATCCACAAGGGGGGCGGGTATTTCTGGCGACGGACGCATCAGAGCTGACCCCAGGTGCAGTCGAGCTGAGAGTGAGTTGACGAGCCCGTCCAGTCCATCCATCCCAGCAAGTGAGAGTGAGTGAGTGCACCAGAGATTAGCGCATGCAAATGTACTAGATTGCATCCACCAAACCAATGGCGCCGTCAAAGACAAGCACCCGGAGATGTGGACGGTCTGGGTCCCACAGAAACTGACGCAGGTGTAAAGTGCTGGAAAAGAGGTTCCAAAAAACCAGTCCAGTCTGGCTCTGTACCGGTACAGGTACAATAGCAATTGTGCCTGAGGCCAGTCAAGGGCCGCTCGGACGATGCATGTCCCGGGGCTATAGTGTTTGCCGATATATCGGGCCCAGACAAAAGAAGGGATGCAGGTTAAAATTTCAGGAGCTTCACTAGGGTTTATGAATCGTGGAATTTTGACTTATACGGATCACAGTAGTAGTCCAAAGCTGCAGGAGACGGGGGTCTAGCGAGAGCCGCCTACCTAGAACGACAGACAGAGGCGGCATGCTATGCCAGCGCGGATCGGGCTAGAGAGGTTGAGGTGAGCAGGGCAGTTGGAGCGAAGGCGGCGATGTCTACCGTCCCGTAGCACGAGGCGGCGGTATAAGAGACGCGATACTAAGTAAAAGAGATCTTGGATACCCAGGTTGGGTTCTCGGTTCCCACTGTGCAAGGGGCCATCGCGACGCCAGACAACCCAGGGCAGTTCACAGTCTCAACCAACCTAGTTCTGTGCGCCGTGATCGCGTTGCAACCCACATAAGCATGTCCATGCTGGCCAAGCCCAGGAGGAGGCACTCACCTCGCCAGTCTATCCGTCCTACCCTCGTCGGTCGGTAGGAAGCTGGATTCGAGAACAGCACTCCTGCCCCCCGACGGCGTGGACACGGCTTGCGTCGCGTGTTGAATGCTCTTCATTACAACGCAGTATGCCCGTCAGGGGCGGTTCCGTCGTGATTTGTCGAACCGGCCTGCGAATTCCAGGTTGCTCAGTATGTTGGTCATGCCCAAGTCTTCCAACAGGCGATCTGCAAACTCCATTGCTCAAAGGTACCCGCTTTTGTTGCAAGGATAACCTAGGCGGCTTTTCCCTAGCTGGCGAGGATGATCCGTTCTCAAGTTCAATTTTTGGGGCCCGAATGCCAATTGATCCCAGCCCCAGGCCAAGCAACAAACCGATCTGGGCACGGATCAGATACCCGCAAAAAAGGACTTGTCATCGGGTTGCTACTAACGGTGTCAAATGTATAGCTGCCATATGGAGATATCCATCGCTTGTCTGGTTCTGGTAGCGTCTCACTTTCTCTGTGCCTACGTTGTCATATATCCGTGAGACGTTACAGTCCATATGAATGAACCATAACAGGAATCAGGGTTGCCCTGAGCATGCATCTTGGTAACGAGTGCACGCAGTACGGCGATAGACCCCATGTTACACTTTTTCGTCCGAGTGTAGAGAATTGTGCGTACGTAACGACTATTGCAGTGCTTCGATTTGACCTTGAATGGCAGGAAGTCAAGAATACCTACCTACCTACTCTCTAGTTGCTGAACAATTGCGAAAAATTGCACATTAGAGGCGGCGACTGTCTCCAGCTTCTTGATCCGGATTCCAGAAACAGACCACCTTGCCTTACCTATCTGAATCGAGTTTCGAGTGCCGATCTGAATAACCCCCCTGGGGGATCTGACATCTGCACGACTGCCCGCAGTGGTGGCTTTCGTTTACGTGCGCCGAGCGGACAATACCTATCGAGTCATCGCCCTGGTAAAGGTATGTGTCTCTGTCGCCCTCGTCTCAGTCACAGCTCGGGCCGCACACGTCGATGCCTTCCGGCTTCCAGATTTTCCAGAGCTTCTCTGCTCCCTTCCATCTCCCACCATCGGCCACGAGCGTGTAGCGTAGCAATTGTGTCCACGATGTTCCGTCCTCGTCTCCAGCCACTCAGATATCGACGAAGTCTAGAGAAGTGACCACAAGCGGCCAAACCCATAGAGGGGACAACGACTCTCTGCCCAGACCCGGCGACGAGCAGTGCCCGCATTCCGCCATGGCCGTTGAGTTGGTTACAGTACGTAGTTAAATTGAACTCTGTACTTCCGTATGGAATACAGATCAGCTCCGGGCGTTCCAAACGGGATCTTGCTGCTGTTGCTGTTTGTGGCATCTTCTGTGGTTGGCCGAGGTCTCAACGCCGCTCTCCCACCCCCACCAATTTCCACCTCCGTGCGTCAAAAGGGATCCACCGAATTCTTTGTTCGCTGTTGGCCGTCGCTCCAAAGGTGTCGACGAAGGTCGATTGGCCTTTCCGGCAGTCCTGCGCGACATCTCCGAGTGTGCCTCACGCCGTGCTTGCCCACTGAGCGGTCATGTCTAATTTTGCGCAGTCGTGTGGGTTTGATGTGAGGCCGGAGCTTTCTGAAGAACAGCACGAGGATTGGAAGCGTCCATGACACACGATCCATGCAAGCATTCCCGATTCGGTAAGCTACCGACACTAACGCTGAACCCTCGATCCTTCCCTCGCGACCAGCTTTCCCTACCGGACGGTCCTGCCTCTTCCTGACTGGCCCTTGCCTTGTATTACTCGTTAGCCGATGTGTGGTGGTTTCTTGTCGTTGAGGGGATCTTTTTTCGTTCCTCCAAGTTCTCCGGCAAGCTTCTTTCCCACGCTCCTCTCTTTAGGGCCTAGGATAGTTGTTTTGCTATCAGCCTAATTCGCTTCTCGGGGCGTGGTGCAGAAAGTGAGTGTGATGCGTGCTAGTCTGGAAACGGGCTTCTGGAAGACTGCCAGATCTCGGATTGGCAAGAAGTCTAAAACGCCGGGGCCGCCCTGTGGTTGTTACTCTGAGGTACCACCCGCAAATCCGCCCTCGACGCCGCGTCCCTCATCCCTGCCCTCCATGTATACCCACACCTTCCCCTTACTGTACCTGTATCTGTACCTGTACAAACCCCTCACACTCGCATTGCTCCCGGCTCGCGCACAAGCACGAACGTTAGCTGCGACCTCCAGCACCTGAACAAGCCCCGTGTCAAGCCTTCCGGCACGGATACAACCCATCCATCTCCTTCATGTCCCTTCGCGTCCACTGGGCTTGACATTTCGCATCGAGCGCACACCAGAGGGCCCCTTTAGATTAGAGCCCCCCGGATCGCCTTTGCGGAATATTATAATGTGCAGCACATGAGGAACTTCACTTAGTGTGTGTAGTCCACCTACCTTGACCAACCAGTCGAGCCCCGCAACAACCTGGAACCTCCACTACCTAGTGTAAGTTAGGTAGCCACCTGGGTTCCAGGGTACTAGGTTGTGTACGGCCGCTTTAGCCCCAGCACTTCAAGTTCCATCCCCGTCCCCTTTGCGCCACCGGCCCAGAGACAAAAAGAACACCTACGCTCCACTTCTATTCGCAACCTTCCCCCCCTCTCTCCTCGGCTTCCCCCCTTGGAATTTGGTTCAAGAGCTCGAGACTAGAACCCCCCGTCTGTCGCCACCTCGCCAGCTCCGTCAACGGTTATCGCCGCGAACATCGTGCCATCGCCCGCAAGACTATCGGCCCCGTATATCAGCCGTTTCGCAAGAGGGAAGCGGGCCCATGCCACGAGCCTTGAGACGAAGCAGGAATCGACACCGCCGCCAGCGCATGCAGGCCCAGTAACCGTCGGCTCGTCATTTGGCTGGCCCCTACGCAATCGATTAGGCCTTCACTAGGAGCGATGAGGTAGGTTGGGCGCGTCTTCTGGGTGATGCTGAACTGGATGCGCGCATGCGCCAGTCCAGTTGCTGTGGGTCTCGCACCTTGCTTTACGGGTCTCGCGGGTTTTTTGCCGGGGAAAATTTACGTCGCCGTTGTTTCCAGTGCCGAGTGTGCTGACCGTGTTCGTGTGCGCCTCCAGGGCTGATGGCTAGTGCCGCTGAGAGTGCGCCCAGGAACCATCTGGTTGATGGGCCGGAGGACCTAATGGGTGCTAGAACCGTTCCGATCATTACCCCGACGATCCAGATGTCTGCGCCGTCCCCAGGCGAGCCTATGGAAATCACGACTCCCACCAGCTCGTCGGCCCCCGCCTCGGCTACCAAGAGTCCGGATAGCGACGTCAATGTGAACGGCTACAGCGAACGCTCCAACTCGGTCATGCAAAATGACCAGCTTCCCATGGACAACATTATTATGCCGGCGCCAGTCGCAGCCGCCGCAGCTGTTCACCAGCCCAAGATAGTTCAGACTGCTTTCATCCATAAGCTATACAAGTGCGCCCACCTTGTCTGGAGAGTGGGGGGAAGAGTCGCAGTGTGGAGGAAGGCTAACCCCGTGGCAGTATGCTGGAAGACAAGACGATTCAACACCTCATAACTTGGACACCAAGTAGCGAGAGCTTCATTGTGCAGCCTAATCATGAGTTCTCCAAAGTACTAGCGTATGCTTTCGTCCGCCCCTTGCCCTTTCCCAGACCCTGTCGCTGACGAGGGCAGCCAATACTTTAAACACACCAATACCTCGTCCTTCGTGAGGCAGCTCAACATGTATGGATTTCATAAAGGTGAGGACTCCCAATGGCGAACACGGCGTGTGAGTGCCGCTAACGTGATGAAGTGAGCGACACGTTCCATCATGGGGTGCCGGACACCACCTTGTGGGAGTTCAAGCACGGCAACGGAAATTTCAAGCGCGGAGATCTAGTTGGGCTTCGAGAGATCAAACGCCGGGCCTCTCGCCATGCAATTGTGCACCGAGAATACAATGGCGGCCAGAAGCCACCGCCATCACAGCCAGGGACGCCCGCCGAGCCCATGCCTCCCATGCAAGAGGGAGGTGATCCGCGACTCAACAACATGGAGCATACTCTTTTCGACCTGAGCATTCGCCTTCAGCGCAACGAGGAGTACACGCAATTCATGCGCGTCAAGCACCAGACCCTCATGGACACAGTGTCCCGCTTGCTCCAATTCAACCAGGACCTGTCGCGCGCGGTCCTTGCCCTTGCGCCGAGCCCAGACCACCCGATACACCGGGAAGGTAAAGTGGCGCACTCCAGGGTGTGTTTTGTTTGTGGACCAGTATAGCCTAATATTTTGCCCTCTTAGTTTCGAACTTGCAAGGAGAAGTCCAGCGGCAAATGGAGACGGTCCGCTCGCTTGAGGAACCCCACGAGCCGCTCTTCGCGAGTAGCCGTCAGTACTTCTCGAATCTAGAGAATGCTCCCGTGTCACCGCGGCAATTGCCCCAAGACGATCCCCGGAGGTCCAATCTCGCGGTTCCCCAATCTCGGCAACCAAACTACTACCGCCCCTCTGTACCCTCCGGTCTGTCAATCAGCACCCGCCGGCCGTATGGATCAATAGGCGCGAACACGACACAGTCGTCGCCGTCTTCTCTACGTGCACAGCCACCGCCGCCACCCCCTGGACCCCATCCCTTGGCAAATGTCGAGCTGCCCAACAACCTGGCCCGACGCCACACGTCTGCCGACATTCGCGAGCATGGCTGGCAACCGAACCCCCCTCCATTCGCATCCGGCCCCCCTTCTTCCCAATGGCCATCTTCTCCAAACCGCGTATCCATCACAGAAGACCAGCGCATCCGAGACTCGTTCTCTCATTACTCCCTCCAAACCGCTTCGCAACCCCACTCGAGACCAGCAACACCCCCGCCACCCCCATTCGTGAACGGAGGAGGCGGTGGCGGCGGCGGCGGCCCTGATTTTGGGAGCTGGTCATGGAACTCTGCCAACAGAGGTGATAATAAGAATCTCTCTGTGAGGGACAGCTCGGGGCCGCCCACAAGGAGGGGCAGCATGGCCCATATACTCAACCCGACAGACATGGCAGAACGAGATGACGAAGATGACTTGGATCTACGTGGTGATGATGATCGCAAGCGCAAACGGCTGCTATGACAGACACTACGGGATACGCCATCCATTCAACGCTTTCCAGCCCCTGAACCTCGCATGTCCTGCCTTGCACATAGCTCTCTGCTCCGCGAAGTCTCGCGTGTGTTTGTATAGAGGCGTACGATATGATTTTTTTGGGATATTTCCTTTTTGCCCATGTATTTCTTTCGTCTACCTTAGGCTGAGGCGGCACTGTGGAAGGAGAATTCATCTAACGGCCGAAAACATTTTATTTGGTTTTTACGATATCTGAATCGTTGGGAGGTTGACGTATTTAACGACATATATTCCCCCTTATCTATCTAATCAGAGCGAGGCGTGGCCCCCCACCGTTTCTCTCTTCCTATCTCGTCGACATCTAACTTATCTACCTATTTTCGTTCCAAAAAGAAATTCCTGTCTGGGCGAGTGGTTCGTCTTTCCTTGTCCATATCGGTTGGCAGGGGATAGTTGTGTTTTCGAACGAGGGAGGCAGATTCCTGTTTTAGGGGTTTTTTTTGTGGAGCTAAAAAACGAGCTGGTCTTTTCCCCCCTTTGTTAAATAAGGGTGTGCCATTTGGGGTTTAGCGGTGGCTATCTGTCAATTTTTTTGTCTTGTATCTGTGTATTCCCCCCCTGAGTAAGTACCTACCTAACTAGTCGAGTTAGGTCTTGTGTTTTACTGTTTGACTGCAGTACAGTCCAAAGGAATTGTATTATGTTATGCACATTTTTGCCCAACCCTCTTTATATTGCGAGGCTTCTTGGTGTCGTTCTGTGTGGGGCTTTGGGTATACGGACGGACGTTGTGTCGTTGTGTGCCCGGTTGGTTAGTTGGTTGTTGGGGCCTTTTTCGTGCCCTTTTTCTCATTCGTATGCGTGGAGATGACACATGTCGGTTTGAAGGTATCTTAGGTATGGCGTATAGTTCTGGAGGACATTCGCATCTGTTTGAGAGGGAGGCAATAATAAGGTGGTAATAGTTTTACTGTTTATTTGTTGTGAATGAAACGGGAACCGGAGGCTAACCAAGCACCCGGCTGAGATTCTGCTGTATCAAAGAACTGGGTGGTGACGATGACTGATGATAATGAAGCCTTTGTTTCTTCTTTTCTCTCCTTTTTTCTTGTTTAGTCTTTTCCATGCCTTCAACAACCAAGACCACCACTTACTTGCAAAGCTCTCTCATAACTTTGCTGGAGTAGGTTTGGCCAGGGTCTGTCCGTTTGGCTGTCTACTTACCCAAGGTGTCTACGGAACATACTTGTCTGTCACGACTTCTGTTCCTGCCGTGCGTGAGCAGTCGTGGTGCCTCGCGTTATGGTGTTGGTATTTTTGGTCTCAAGGTGGTTTGGATATTGCACAGGTAGAACAGAAGTTGGACGGCGCGTGCTATATGTAGGTGCATGGGAGGTAGTCTGGGTGTGGAAAGACCCGAGAAGCGCGTGTACTAGCCAGACGGCCAGCCGGTTCAGTACAGAGTCCAAGGTAGATGGATACATAGCTTTGCTTAACCTCTTCTATCTGCGCAATACTAACTAGTTATTTATATGCACATCTGGGTCTCCTCAGGGAGCAGCAGCAGCAGCAGCCGTAGTGCCCTTTTTCTTGTTCTTCTTTTTCTTCTTCTTCGCCTTCTTGTTCAACGTTCGTTCTGCCCCTTCATCTCCTAGAACCGGAGGCACTGCTCCATATTCCCTCTCCGTTGCCGCCTCATATTCCTCCCCCTTCTTTTCCGGAGCCGGCTGAGCAGCGTCCCCTCCCGCCGCTTTCTTCGCCACCAGCACCACACTACCACCACTGCCAGCCTCTGGCGCAGTCGCCGCGTCCCCGCTGCGTCCCCTCCTCCCCCCATCCACCTCCCCATTGGCCTCGCCGGGCGCCGCCATACCCGTCGTGCGCGGCCTCTTGGGCGCCCTGGCTTTGGACCGCCCCACGGCGCTGCGGCCGAGCTCCTCTTCCTCCTCGCTGCCATGATTCCCGGCGGCGCCGTGACCGCGCTTCTTGCCGCGCTCTGCCTTCTGCGCGGCCGCAGACCGGCCCTCAACGCGCCGCCCGAGCTGCAGCCGCGCCCGCAGCAGCCGGTCGTCGCCGCCGCTCCCTGCAACTGCCGCTGTCGATGACGACGACAGCCCCGGCGGCACCCATCCGATGCCGGCGTTGGGCGGCGCCGCGTAGAACGGGTTGAGATCCATGTCTTCGGCTGCGGCTGCGGCGGTCGTGGACAATGACGGCTTGGCCGACCGCTGCTGCTGCTGCTGCTGCGGCGGCGGCGGGCCAAGTGAAGAAGAAGCCTTGGCGGCGAGCGACGAGAAGCCCCGTTTCTGCTCTTTCTCATTCTCGTCGCTGGCGACGATAGGTGGTGCTGTTGCTACTGCGGCGGGCGGAGCGGTGCTGCGGCCCTGGTGCAGCGTCTCGAGGATGCGCTGGTGCTTGGCCATGCCCATCGAGATGCGGTTGAAGATTTGGTCCAGGTCCGACGCCACGGGGAGCTTGCCCCCCGCTGGCGGCGGCGAGCCGGCAGAGCGCAGTGGTGGCATTTTTCGTGGGTTTTATTTTTGTCCGTTTGGAAATAGGGGCGTAGTATTTATTCAGGTTCTCCAAGTTGAGCGAGCGAGAAAGGAATGAGAGCCAAGTCAAACGACAACGGTCGCCTTCTCGTGTTCCGATTGGCGATGAGGCGTGATCAGATCGTTTTAGAGACAAGAACCAAGGCTACTGAGATTTATGATGACGGATATCATCTCAATCTGTAATCCTCAGTACCTCCAGCTCCAGACTCATGTTCATGTTGCGGCGAGTTTTGTGGCGGGCCACCCTTTGAAATTTAATGTTTGGATGGGTCGCCTTTTTCTTATCTGAGCTTGGTGCTTGATTCGCCGAGTCGCCCTTTAGCGCGACTCGGTATCGCATTGCCGAGGAGTATTCAGCTATGAAGAGCACATATGCAACAATCCGATATAAACATAGATACATACCCATACTTTGTCCCCCTTCTCATTGCTAGATTCGTCGCCGTACATCGTCTCAGGGTTATTATCCATTAGCTGCTTTCCAATTCCGTGCCTAGAGAGAACGCCATAGTGCCATGCTTGCACTCGTCTGGCTCAGAGCTACAGTTGCTACCGGCTGTTGACGGGCAAGTCTCACCCCTTTTCACCTCCCACCCCAACAAGGAGATTCCTCAGGCGTCATCTCCACAGGCCGCCTCAAAGAAGGCGACAGGCACGCCATGGCCGGGAGCGCCGATGATCTCGGCTTTGTAAATCTGCGCCTTCCAGTCCCCGCGGTATTCCAGCCGGTCGTATCTTTGCAGCAGGCGGACAACTAAACCAAACGTGAAATCAGAAAAGACGAAGTGATGCACAGCCAAGAGCAGGGGGCAAAGGGGGGGACCCACGTGTAAAGGCCATCTCGGTCATGGCAAAGTTCTGCCCCACGCAGATGCGCGGCCCGCCGTTGAAGGGCAAGTACTGCCACGGCTTTGGGGTCCAATGGTTCCACCGGTCCGGACTGAAAGTGGCCGGGTCGGCAAACTTGTCGGATATCTCTGGGTAGAGTTCTGGGCGGCGCTGCATGGCGATGGCAGAGTAAATGATGGCGTCGTCCTTGAGGACAGCAATAGGGGGCTGACCGGGCTCCGCGGGCGGGAGGCTCGTGTCCTGCAGCGCGGCTCGTATGTTGAAGGGGACGGCCGGGTACAGGCGGAGCACCTCGTGGATGGTATGGGTAAGGTAGGTCATGCTCTTCAGGTCGTCGTACGTCGGGGCACGGCTGGTGCCCACCGTGGCCAGGACCTCGTCACGCAGCTTGCCGTGGACGGCCGGGTAGTTGGCTAGCTCGTAGATGGCCCAGCTCAGCGTGGCTGCTGTGGTGTCACGGCCGGCGAGAAGCACCGACATGAGGTGGTCCCGGATCATCTTCGGATCCCGCGTGTAGCGCGCAATGTTGTGCAGCAGCGTCGAGTCCCTGTCCGACTTGGACAGCTTGTCGAGCTCCTTCGGGTCGAGTGCCAGCGTGCGCGCAACGAAAGGGTCGATGAAGCGGTTGAGAACGCGGATGCCGCTGAAGTAGCTATGCTTGGGGATGAAATGCTTGAACGGCCTGCCATCTCATCAGCTTTGCGTGCTCGAGACCAGCTGGCAGCTAGGGTGTCAACGGGAAATCACCCACGCCATGATTGTCAGGATCATCTGGACCCTCTGCACTTCATGGAAGGCTTGGGCAAACTGGTTCGTGGGGCTAGACGTTGTAATCAGCATGTTTCTCATCGAGGAGGGGAAATGGGACGCCTTTGGCACAGCCTACTTTTCCAAGCTGTTTACGCCATGTCCAAGCAGGAAGTCGGTGGTTACATCTAGCGTCATTCGGTAGAATAGGGCGCTTACGTCGACAGTCTGGCCGGAGCCGGGCAGCTTGCTAATCAGGGCGTTGGTCCACTTGTCGAATATTTCTATGTCTCGAACCCTCTCTCGGACGAAGATGGGCCGAAGCAGGGCTCTACTATTCGACCACAGCTGGCCGTCGACGTTGAAGATGCCGTCTCCAAGAAACGGGCCCCAGCTTTCATGGAAAGCCGGGCCCTTGCCATATTCCTTGAACTTTGTGGTGAGAACCGTCTTGATATGCTCAGGCTCTTGCGTGATCAGCCAGCGCGAGGCGCCAGTGAGGCTGATTTCGACGCAGTTTGGGCTTTCTGGCGTTCCGGAGCTGAAGAGAGACTGGAAGTACTCCAAGAACCTGTTGTTACTTTGGTAATAGCCGGCCTTGACGAAAAAGGGAAGACCTGTCGATAGATTATTAGACGTAAACCTTTGTCTAAGGCCACGTCAAGACACATTACCCCATAGAGGATTGGTTGCAATAACCCGAGCCCTCACACCACCCGTCTTTCTGATTTTGTAGTCGATGTAGACTCTCCGGGCTGCGAAGTAGAAAGCAGCGCAGCTGAAGACAAGCACACTGGTATAGAAGGGACCTAGAGACAAAAGAGCCGAAGAAGGCATGGCGACCTCAGGTTGGGTCAATTCATTTACATAAACCAAGAGATGTGTGTAGTGGATAATTGGAGGCTGGCAAACATTGGGTTCTTTCACCGCACAATATTTCCTTTATGAATATTCACCTAGTGGAATGCCACATACAACAGAAATACAACAGAGCAAGAAAGGACCGCGGTTGGTCGACATTACCTAGTACACAGCTCAGGTTCCCCGCAGTCAAGGTGAGGAAAGATGACGACGTGCGGTACTGAATTGGGGGAGGGCGGGAACTAGTGATGCAAGTGGTAATAGAGAACCTGTAGATAGACACACCGGCGAGGAAACCCCTTTAATACCTAGGTGTTTTTTTTTGGAGAATGAGCTAGGCCAGTAACAAGTTCGAGTGTCTTAGCCGAAATCTTGAAGATCTTGTCGGTGACAACAAGAATCATTTGTGTCCGTGGACTCAAAGGCAACTTGTATCAAAGGCCAATACTTCGCACTATTATCATGACTGACCAGCCACGAGAAGTCATTGGCGTGAGCCCAAGTATCTTAAATATAAGTACATCATGGTAGACGACGATGGATAATTGGGCTTGTGCTTCGGTGCTCGCCCGGCGATACGGTGGGGCTGAGTCCGCGTTGCGCTTGTGCAAACACCATTCCAAGTCCATGGCAATTGGTATCGTGGTGCAGCCTTGAAAGGCTTTTTGAAAGACTTGACAGCGAGTCGAAGTCGCTAGCAAGAATCCAAAGCCGCCCTGAGTCAACTGCTATTTGGCATACTCGACGTATACCGTATTTGGTAGGATACTAATTAAACGCGAAGAGAAATAGAAGCCCTAAGAATGAGAAAACCTCAGAGTAACATACTTATCACTCAAGCTTGCCGCGTTAGAGATACCAACCGGCAACGATTAAAACAAAGATGAAATTTGCGGGTTGTTATTCATGAAAGAGCGCGATGCTAGGCAGATGCTGCCGACAAACCAAGCCGGCTGCTCTTTCGGGAGAGCTTAGCCCCTGTCGGCGCGCAACGATTGGCTCGGGCGTTTCCGGGCAGCTGCCAACACTGTAGCGATGCAGCCGGCTGGGCGTTAGGTGGTTCCTCCCCCAATTGAGCGAAGCAGCGCTTGGATCGAGCGTCATTTCGCGAGCGAAAAGTGAGACAGCAAGCAGAGCAGGTACAGCCGGCCAACACAACCTGAAATTTTTGCTCACCTCCGACCGCTTCGCATCGCTCTCGCGCCCAGCATCCCGAGAGCCATCCGCCCGTCATGTTCAAGCTCGGTCGCAATCGCGCATTGGCTTCGGCCTTTGCTGCCCCCAGGGTTCGTTCATTCTGCCGTTGGGCCTGTTCCCATTCCATCAGGACGCCACGTTTCTCTCCTGCCGCGCGTGACAAATGCGAAACTAACCTCTTCCTTTTTGTCTACAGCTCACACCTTCCATCAGAGTGCCGGGGTTTGCGCAACAACGGAGAGCCCTGAGCATCCACGAGTACCTCTCAGCCGATCTTCTCACCCGGGTAGGTTTAGACACTGGCTTTGCGTACTCCCCCTTGTCCCGTTCGCCCGCGCTGACCTATCTTCGAAATCCTACAGTATGGCATCGACGTCCCCAAGGGCTCCGTCGCCCACACTGCCGCCGAGGCCGAGGCCGTTGCGAGGAGTATCGGCACCGATGATATGGTGATCAAGGCTCAGGTCCTAGCCGGCGGCCGTGGAAAGGGCTCGTTCGATAACGGCCTCAAGGGCGGCGTCCGTGTCATCTACTCTCCCACCGAGGCCAAGATGTTTGCCGACCAGATGATTGGCCACAAGCTCGTCACCAAGCAGACTGGCGCTGGTGGCCGCCTCTGCAACGCCGTCTACATCGTCGAGCGCAAGTTTGCCCGTCGCGAGTTCTACCTCGCGATCCTTATGGACCGCGGCTCGCAGGGCCCCGTCATCGTCTCGTCGTCGCAGGGCGGTATGGACATTGAGGGTGTCGCCAAGGAGAACCCCGAGGCCATCACGACCACCTACATTGACATCAACGTGGGCGTGACCGACGAGGTTGCGCGCTCCATTGCCACTAACCTGGGCTTCAGCGAGCAGTGCATCGAGGAGGCCAAGGACACGATCCAGAAGCTGTACAAGATCTTCCTCGACAAGGACGCCACCCAGATTGAGATCAACCCGCTCTCCGAGACGTCGGACCACAAGGTCATGTGCATGGACGCCAAGTTCGGGTTCGACGACAATGCCGATTTCCGCCAGAAGGAGGTGTTTGAGTGGCGCGATACGACACAGGAGGATGCCGAGGAGGTTCGCGCCGCTCAGTCGGGCCTCAACTTCATCAAGCTCGACGGCGATATTGGCTGCCTAGTCAACGGTGCCGGACTCGCCATGGCCACTATGGACATTATCAAGCTCAACGGCGGTCAGCCGGCCAACTTCCTCGACGTTGGTGGCGGTGCCACGCCCGCGGCCATCAAGGAGGCCTTCGAGCTCATCACGAGCGACCAAAAGGTGACGGCCATCTTCGTCAACATCTTTGGTGGCATTGTGCGGTGCGACGCCATTGCCAACGGCCTGATCCAGACGGTCAAGACGCTCAACCTCAAGATCCCCATCATCGCTCGTCTGCAGGGCACCAACATGGAGCAGGCCCACCAGATCATCAACGACTCGGGGCTGAAGATCTTCTCCATCGATGACTTGCAGAACGCGGCCGAGAAGGCGGTGCAGCTTTCCAAGGTCGTCAAGATGGGTAAGTCTATATCTCTCTCCACATTTTACAGAGCATCCGTATACTAACATGTAACTTTCTCAGCTCGCGACATTGATGTCGGCGTCGAGTTTACTCTCGGGATCTAATGGAGATATCCGTCTTTTATTTTGGTCTAGAAGGGAGGGAAAGAAAGGGGACATGTAATAGACTGGCGGGCTCTCTGGGGGACTGACACTCGGGACGGGGGGGCATTCTTTCCTCTACCATTGTACTACCTTTTTTTTTTTACAAAGCAAGCGACGACACATAACATACCAAATACCTACCTACCTGTCTGTCTTGTTTGTATGTATGTATGGCATGTCTTGTGGTCGGGCCCCACTGCCTCCTTCCTTTTTTTTCATGTGTCATTTTCTGGCAAAGCCTACGTGCTTTCTCTCTCTCTCTCTCTCTATATATATATATCTCTCTGCATTGCGTGTGTATAATCAAAGCGAGCTGCGCTACTAGTACCTAGATATATAGACCGTTGGATGGGCAAATTGCACAAATGTTTCCTTTTTCGGTCTGTCTTTTGCTGTGTGGACTTGGATATGGATGTCCTTTTCTGGACCTACTTTTACATCCGAGCTGTCTTCCAGGTTTTGGGCGGCCCACTGAAGATGAAGTCAGAAGGACGCCTTCGTGAGTCAGCTGGAGCTGCGTTTGAAGTTGTCTAGGGAATATTGTTTTGGCTTTTTTTGTAACCAAGGTAAGGTAGGTTATCCGGTTGTCCGCGTGATCCGGCGAACTTGCTACAAACCGTAGGCCCTAGGGGACCCAGTTAATTATTTAATGGGTCTTGGAATACGCTCTTCTCGCGACATTCACTCTTGTCGTGAGGATTATCATACATGAAACATGTGACATGTAACATGTTCTCGCTGCTTTCATCGTGCCGCGAAGCCCATGGATGGATGTTGCAACTCAACTTGCTGACCTTGTTCGATTCTGTAATCTCGCCGCGATGAAAGATATCATTGTCTGCGGCTCCGCGCAGAGTGTGCGGGTTTGTGTCGGTATTCAAACTCCTTCTCGTGCCCCCAAGGTGACGCCCATCCATCCCGTCATTGGACTCGAGACCGAGGAAGTTGACTGAGGTGTGCACGACGTCCAAGTCGCGGTTGCTGTTGGAGGCCCGCTGTGCAACGGCGGGCCGATATTATATAGAGGACCTTACGCATCTGGGGACCCCAACGCAACCCGCCCAGTTGGGAAGTTACGTTTTTGAGCATGTGCAGAGTACTACTTGCATATACATGAGTGCCAGTAAGCGGAAGGTGGGATATTTTTGGAGAAGGATGGAGGTGAAGTGGGGGTGGGAAGATCTTCGGAAACGGCATGCTACTTACGTACCTCTTGTAAATTGCATGTAGGTTTCTACATATTGTATAGGCATTTTATATTGACACCATCTTGTATCTGGACCCCGTCAGACCTTCGGATCCTGAGGCAAATCCTGACTTCCTGGCTTCCCGTGGGATCACACGCCCTGGCTTGACCGCCGACAAGACAGCTAGCCTTACGGTGCTACGCTACCCTTTACTCACGCCACACGCACCGCAACTTGGATCGGTCATACGACTGGACGCTTGTCATAGGTACCCGCGCTCGTTGGTTATGGAAACAGTACCTAGCCAATCCAAGCCGGCGAGCACGAGCGAGCGCGATGTCTGTCGAGATAAGGCGGGCAATGGAGGCTTGGCTCGATGCAGAAGCCGTTCAGCTAGCTGTGCTTGCCTGACACCATTTGGCAAGACGCATGAAGAGGGCTGGGCTTGGCACCGCTTGTTGGCCGATAGTTGGAGGGGGTTATAAAGTGTAAGTGGCTGCCATTCGCAGCGTGGTCAGTCGCTCCTGCCCTCGGTGTACTTGCAGTTTTGTCTTTCTGCTCCTCGTTCGGTCCTTCTACTATCAGAGTACATTCTCACTTCAAAATTCCGGGCGGGATATACCTATACGTATCGTACCGTGAGAGTCGTCATACCCACACCGCCCACTCACCCTGCGTGGACGGACAGAACTGCCAAGCCATCACTCCCCCTCCTTCGAGGGAGAAAGAAAGCCAAGACATCTAGACCTCGCCAGCCAGCCAGCAGAATTGGGCAAAAAAATAACATGGCTCACTCAGCCATCTGCCCCTGCTCGACCTGCTTCCAGGCCACTCCGCAGACATATTATCTCCAGCAGCCAGCAACGCTGCAGCTCTCTCCCAAGAGCAGAAAGGGGTTCCGCGCCGCCGCTGGCGACAGCAGCGTGCAGAGCAGGCTCCGGCGCATCGACAGCATGGCTTCCGACCTGGTGCCACTCTACTCGGCAACAACGCAGCAAGACTTGCATGTTTCTGGGCAGGCTAAATAGGGGCAGTTCAGTCGCCGCGTTGCCTGTTGTCGTGTCTCTGTTTCCTTCTCCCCGTTAGCCTCTGGAGCGAGAAACGGGGTTTCCGTTCTGAACTACATGGGTTTCTCGAATCAGGTAACCTCGACTTGGCTGGGAGGAGGGTACTCTTGCTTGTCCGGTTTCTGGGGGCCAGCGTCGCGGAGTGTGCGAAAGAGGGAGTGGGTTTCTTATTCTGGAGTCTCTGGGGCCACGGCTTACACAGGTAGTTGGAGAGTCTAGACACAGCTGGGCATGGTTTGCTTTCCTCTGGGTTTTGCTACGATTGCCATTTTTTGTGATCGTGATAGCATGTTATAAAGCCAGATGCCCATTTTGGTTTGCGCAACGGCAGGATAGCTTACATTGAGAAAGCAAGCAGTCACGTCAAGCCTGGAAGGCAATCATTCCGTGCTATCAACATCATAGGTATAAATAATAAGAAATATCGCAAGTAAAGAGATTGTTAACTTTTCCATGGCAACGGGTCTGCTAGGTGTTGATTTTCTTCCATTGGACAATGTCGAGGACATATCTTATATCTCATGAGAGAGATTTCCGATCAACCCCTTCTTCTATTTTCTCACCGCCATAGCCATCTCTTATATCTCGTGACAGCAGGAGGTTACTGGTTTGGCTTTTCTGGTCAACTACTCTGTGGTTGTGGGCATGATATATAACGACGTGACTAAGTTGTATTTCTCATGTCTCCTATAATCGTTGGGGTCATCGACTCGACTTGCGGAGTAACCATCTAGCCAGAAGCAAGTGAACAAGAGCCATGGCCGTGTCCAAGTGTTAGTAATTGGTTAACAATAGAGATGTGTCTTTGGTGTGGGTTAGTCGTCATGAAATCATTCCAGGGGTATATATACAACGTCTTTGTTCTTGAACAGTGGTTAGGGGTTGAACTTCAACTACCAGCACAACCCAACAAACTAGTTCCTAGCACTCACCTTCATTACCACACCTCGAAACATCCATGCTATCCCAAGACGATTTTCAATCAACAAATTACGTGTCAGATAACTTTCATATCTGAGACTTTGCTACACTTTGTTCTGCAAAACATGAGTAATAAGACCCCCGACACATTCAACTCACACTATCCTCAACTAAGGGCCAGCGCGACTGTTCACGCGACATAGTTTGCCATATCTATTATACCGGGGCTGAATCAGAACAACAGCAGAGAATAGGACAGTAGTTAAGCTGAGACTGACATACGACCCAAATCTCCTCTGGTATAAAAGCGCGCTGCCCGACCGACCAAACTGAATCGAGCAGCGTCCGGCTTAATCGCAAGGCGACAACTTGCAAACAGTTTACGACCGGAGAGTAATTTTTCCGTGCTCAAGCAAAGCTTGCAATTTCTATTCGCCTTCCCCAAAGCTTCTAAGCTTCAGTTAGTCACACTCGACTAACAAGCCTGACCACAGATACCCCCTTTTTCCGAAGAGGAATCCGACAAGATGGCGCCGAGAGAACCCAGATGGCTGAGAGCGCCGAGACAGGTGACGTTGCGGGATTACTTTCCGCCAGAGTTTCGCAATGATCTCACTCCTGCCGCGGCCACGTCCCGAGCGGAAGAGCCTGCCGCTGAGCACGGCCCTGGGGAGAAAGTTGGCGCAGGGAGCGAGCCTGCCACTGAGGAGAACGTCGGCGCGGCAACTGAGCCCGGCCCGGAGGATGTCAATGACACCGATGAACTTCAGATAACCTTCAACCAAATTTTCGCGAACGGCATTCGCCTCAAACTGACCTCCTCGCCGTTCTTTCCTAATACCGCAGCCGACTTCGCCAAACTCTAAGTCGAGACTATTGGGGCTGAGGCAACAAAGCTCAAGGCCAAGCTAGCCAATATGGAAGCTGACATCACGGCGAAGAAAGATGCCGCCTCCTCTCCCGACGACGTCCCGGCCGACACGAAGCTTACGTCATGCATGAACAGCCAACTCCCTCAGGACGGACGGTCAGCCGTTCTGAGCATCCCACTCTTGATCTGGTCGAGGCCTGACAGCATGGCCGCGTCTGAGCTCATTGACTGGCCGTCGCTCTCACGGCTTGGCGGCGGCGACGTTAAGGTTCGCGAGCCGGCCCAGAAAATTGAGGGGAGCCAGATCCCCCCGGCCATCCGAGACTTTCTGGAGAGCATCGATGAAGAGCTCAACTAAACGTTGGTGGCTGTGATAGAGACGGCGACAACAGTCAAGCCTTTATCGATGAGTAGACTGCTTTACTTCCGCCTTCGGTTCACTTGACCAAGGTTCAAGAATCTTTTTTTTTCTTTTTTCTCCCGTCTTTTCTCTTCACCCACCCTCCCCCCCCTAGCCCCCTCTGTCCCTACCTATGGGATATCAAAACATAGGGGCTTGAGTGAACTTTGCATTCATGCATCCATAGCATACTGGTAGGTAGACCAACCCCAATCCCCCGGTAATCGCAATTACTATAGGAATAGCGAATTTATAATTTTCACCAGACCAATGAATCCATTCTGACGAACCCGAAGTGAAGTATCGCCAACGTCAGCAAGTAGTACCCTTGCATTTGCTGGGGCGGAAGTAAATGTCACACCAACATGACAGGAAGGACAGAGGACCTCCTTCAGTCATAGCATATGTAGCCTTTCCCCCTTTTTCAGTCTTTAAATATGATTTATTTCGCTCTTGAATGACTCCACACGTGACATGATCGGATAGGGAGGTTGGCTAGGTACTTAGCTTGTAGAGAGGTCTCCTAGAAAAGGCAATAAAGTGAACTCATTCGGCACTCATCTCACCCAAGAGCTTTTCTTCTGCTTATTTCCGTTAGGATAGTTGCGTGCCTTGGCATCTGCGGCACGTCGCCGTCTTGAACTAAGCTAAGGTCAGACGATCAGTGACTAACAGCATGAATAAGCTGTATTTTGCTAGGTAGGTAGTTGGCTAGTTGCACTCAGTGACAAGATAATAGCTGTTGCCTAGCAAGCGTGCGAAAAGGTGGTATCAAGGGTTGTGACTTTCTTCCTCACAACTTTGCGAGTCGGTTAAAAAGTGAAAGGCGAAAGTGAACTCGTTCTTGAAAGCAGACTCGAGAGGATAAGAAAGTCTCTATCATTTCGCCGAATCTCATTTCCGGCATTGTATGCTCGGTACCATCTTATTACCTCTTAAAAGCTTTGGCTCGCCCGTCACATAGAGCATGAAACCCATCTCACTATTTGTCTCTGCTCGCAAGAGGCTAAATGGCGGTTGCGGCTAGCCTCAACAAAGTTGGGCGGCTCTCGGGAGTCTGTGAGTCTGCGAATGGCAGATCATGGCATGTACATCTCGAGGATCCCGCGCCTCTGGGTAAGTGCACTCTCCCTGCACCGTCCTCCTTCATCTTGTTGCGGAACCTACTATGTCAGGTAGGCCGGAAATGCGGAGTTCGGAAGCCGGCAGCAGCCCCTCAGCTGGGCCTTCACTGTCGGCCTGAATGGCCGCTGGAGTCGCGAGCAAGGCCGCGTTTTGCCGCAGAAAAAGAAGCATAAAACAGAATCGGATGCAAAAGGCGGTCGGTCGCCAGCCCAAGACGAATGTTTCTTGACAGAGAGAGCTAGTGAGAGGGTTGCAGGCTAGGATGAGGAGGGGGAGGGGATGATGGATGGGTGGTGTTAGACGACTGGAGAGCCGCAGGCACAGGCCGGGAGGCAGGGCCGGGCACGGGGGGCGGGGCACGAATACCTGCGAGGTACTTGCATATAGCCGAATCTGGGCGGTAGTTTGCCGCTGAAACCGCCTCGCGGGAAAGGTATCGCCAGGGTCGCGCTGGCCAACCCCTGCGACGTTTTGTTTCAAAAGTGAGCGCCGGTCGGTTCCTTGCTGGGTGGTGGCTTCCTTTTTCTTTTAATTTTTTTTTTATCTTTAAAAAAAAATGTTTTTGGGCTCTATTACCCCTCGCTCAGGTTGTGCCTGCGAACCAACCCTCTTGCATCCTAGTCAAAGGCAAAGGTGTAGCGGTGTCTAATTGTTTGTTGGTGGTGGCTGCTCTGGGTTTGAGAAGTAAGACATAAGAGGTGCATAGGGTAATTACGAGAAAGGAGAGAGCAATGGGATGCATCGAGGGGGATGCTTGTTTTTCCACTGGTGTGTCCTCAGCCCCAAGTAAAAAAGGCCAACCCCCCATTACTGTCTGTGGTTGGTACGTTCAGGAGGGAATAGGGAAACATAAACCAGGAAGAAAAGGAGAGCGCCGCGACGGCTCGAAATTGGATTCTAATTTCTGCGATCCATGCCGTGGAACCCCTTGTGCTTGGTAACTATTTTGAGTCCAGGTATTCGTAATGGGTACTGTGTAAATCGTAGGAACGGCCCGGGATACTCGTACGCGAGCGAGACTTTACGACGAGGCTGCCTCTCGATATATCTGCTTGGAGTTGAGTTGAATACTTGGGTAGTCCGCGCCTTGGTTACAGAAGGCGCAGTCTGACGACATTCCTCTATTGCGCTCGGTTCCCATGAGAGCCCGTACAACCACGGATTACGTCTAGTGAGGTGGTGCAGAGGTGGTCGGTATTATACTCCTAAACATAAGGCGGCCGCTACGGGTGGGTCCTGCTGCTGGCCCCAGGCCCACAGTCCATCTCACTGCCCGTCAAGAAGCGGAAACAGGCGGACACAGCACCCGCTGACAGCCATCTTTCAGGAGCTTCCCAGGTCCCACTCACAGCCCGGCCCCCGTTTTCAGCGGACCTATCCCGTACCTTGGTCGTTTCGTGAAGGGAAGCGCAAACGAACGATGTTATCTACTACGAACATTTCCTTTGCCCAGCTAGTACATACTAGCACTACCCGACGATTTACACGGACACCACGACTTCCAGAGGTTTTACGACTGACACAAGTAGTTCCACGACGCCAGTCGACGCATGCCCGATTGTCTTGCACCTGAACTTGCACTGCCCCGCGGCCAAACGCGTAGACTTACAAAATAAAATAGCCCACCGTCACACGCAAGCCAGTGCGCCTGCATACGCATCCCATCCATCACCCAAACTGCCCAATCCAGACGGCGCGCCCAGTCTTTCGCTGCACTTAGTCGGATCCCCGTTCCATGGCACTGTAGCTGCTCGTCTGTGAGCATCACAAGCCAACTCGTCTCGCCGCCACATTTCCCGGCAGCTTAAACGGGCGAGGGCGGGCCCTGGGGACGAAATCATGTCTGCACTCGACGAGCCACTCTCGCCGGACGCACAGGAGCAGAGGCGGCCGTCGAGCCCTGCTTCTGACAAGCAAAGTGTACGTCTGCGTGTTCTCCCCTGGACGGACGCACAAGTCGCACTACTGCCACGTATTGTGCGTTCGGCTACACGCAGAGCCAGCCCCCTTGCTGACCGTGACAGCCGCTCTCTCAGGACACCTTTCAAGATGCCGTCGACACAGGCTCGCTGCGGTCACTGACCAAACGGCAGCTGTCAGTCCAGCGCCGACTCGCCGAGGAGCCAGTCGGCTCCGACATCGACGACGAAGGCTCTCAGTCACCGCCGGCCGCACAGTCGCCATCAACCGACGGCCAACCGGACACTGACGAGCAGGCCCTCGAGAAGTCACCGCTACGTCTTCTCTCGCCAGCTTCGATTGTCTCGCTGGACAACGTGAATCTCGATGACGACTCGGCGGTTGTGCCTCCGATTGGCAGCCCGCCTCAATCCCTCCTTCACACCATATCCACTCCGAAAGAGGCTCGAAAGGAGCCGTCAAAGCCCATGTCGTTTAGCAGCATAACTAACGCGCTGCCGACAATGCCTTGGGCCCCCCCCGCCAGCGATGTCCCGAAAAGCCCCCCGGCATCCAGTGCAGCAGCATCGACGACAGTGGCGCCGGCGATCCCCCCCCCGCCGGCCCCTGTGTCAACAGGTCGAAAGCTCACTAGTCCTTTTTCTTGGCTCTCGAGAAGCGCATCCAAAGATCAAACTGCCACACCCCCCGTACCATCGCCTAGAAGGAATACTGCAAGCTCGGTTGCCACTATGACGAGCAACCCCGACATGATGCTTGGAAAGCTGGAGGAGGAAAACGAGGGCGAAGGACGGAAGGCGATTAACGGGACACGGAACAGTCTCAAAGACCGCTTCAAGCAGTTGCGGATGAGAGAGGAGGTAGTTGCCCCCTCGGCCACCGGAGAAGACACCACCAAGAGCAAGACTAGCGAAGATAGGGAAAGTGGGAAATCCATGCAGCCTCCCACGTCACCCATGCCGCCAAGTCCAAATAGGACTCTTGCCCCGGGCACGGCATCGGGCGTCACGGCTGGGCCTTCAGCCATCTCGGATGTGCCCGTTGACTGGGAACTTTGGCAGTCGGTTGTCAACGAAGGCCCTGCCGTCGTAGCCAGGACAAGCGCCGAAGAGCTCAACAAGGCGATTGCAACGGGCATTCCAAGCGCCATCCGCGGCGTCATCTGGCAGGTCATGGCTCAAAGCAAGAATGAGGAGCTGGAAGCTGTCTATCGGGACCTTGTCGTGAGGGGAACGGACAAGGACAAGGACCGGCGGAGTAACGGGACGTCAATCAGCGCAGCCAGCAATGGCAACCCGAGCACCAAAGAGTCGGTGTCGTCTGCCTCATCGGTACACTCCGGGGACTCGGGAGCTAATACGAATGGCGCCCCCTCCCCGACAGACAAGGACCCAGAGACATCCCTTAAAGTGCAGGCCATGATTGCAGCGGAGCGCAAGAAGAAGGACAAAGAGGACGCGGCCATGCTCCAGAAGCTAGAGAAGACGATAAGGAGGGATCTCGGTGCCAGGACGAGCTATTCCAAATTTGCCGCTGCCCAGGGGCTTCAAGAGGGCCTGTTTGGCGTCTGCAAAGCTTACGCTCTGTTTGACGAGGGTGTGGGCTACGCCCAGGGCATGAACTTTCTTGTTATGCCACTTCTTTTCAACGTGAGTCTTTATACTACTCTCTTGTCTTTCGTGGCAGCCGGCTAACATATGGACAGATGCCTGAAGAAGAAGCCTTCTGCCTGCTTTTGAGGTTAATGAACCAGTACCACCTACGAGACCTATTCGTCCAGGACATGCCCGGTCTCCATTTACGTCTCTACCAGTTCGAGCGGTTGATGGAGGATCTCGAGCCGGCCCTATACTGCCACCTGCACAGGCGCGGCATCTCTCCGCACCTTTATGCCACACAGTGGTTCCTCACCCTATTTGCCTATAGGTTCCCGCTCCAACTCGTCCTCCGTATCTACGACCTCATATTCTCAGAAGGCCTTTCGGCCGTCCTCAAATTCGGCATCGCTCTCATGCAGAAAAATGCGGCAACCCTTGTTGCCATTTCCGACATGTCGCATTTGACGACCTTCTTAAAAGACCGTCTTTTCGATGTGTATATCGATGCTACCCCGTCTTCCAACTCGATTCTCGAGAGCGGCTTCTTTGGCAGCAGCTCTAGCGGCATAGACAAGGCTGTGTACCGCGCGGACCAGCTGGTGCGGGATGCGTGCGAGGTCAAGATCACCCCCGAGTTGCTCAAGTTGTACCATACCGAGTGGGAAGAGAAGACTCGCACTGAGAAGGAGCGCGAGGCGGAGCTCGAGGGCCTCAAGGTTGTCAATGCCAACTACGCCATCAAGGTGCGGCGACTCGAGGAGCGCATTGAGGCCGTGGACCACGAGCAAGCTGCGCTGGCCACAGACCTCGTGCGTACCAAAGTTGACAATGAGGAGCTCAAGGACGAAAACGAGAGCCTCAAAGGCCAGGTCAGGGAGCTTCGGCTTGTCATTGAGCAGCAGCCTCTGGAGATTGAGGCCGCGTGGAAGCTTGAGCGAGACGACCTCATGAAGCGCAATGAAAAAGTTCACGAGGAAAACCAGAAACTGGAGAAGGAGCTCTCTGAGCTGGAGGAGGAATTGGTGGCCACAAAGATGCGGTATGCCGAGGTAAGCCAACTTCACCGACTCTTAGGGGTCTATCTATTGCTATGGTTGTCCTATTCTGACTCTTGTATCCACAGATCAACTCTCAGCACGAAACGCTTACTCGGAAATGGACGGACCTCAAGCGGCAGTTTGCATGAAGGAGCATATCCGATCCACCGGTTGCTATGTTGTCATCCGTGTTGCATTGGGAAGGGGCTGGCTGATCCCCAAGGGTTTTTTTTTCGTCTTCGTTTTCTGGAACAGAACCATATTTTCTTTTTGGTAATGAAAACAGAGCAGACGTGTAAAGATATGGTGGGAGGCGCGGAATTCATTCTTTCTCTCTCTTGCAAAAAAGAAAACTGAAAAGTTTCCCAAAAACAATACCCCCGAGATGTATTTTCCCTCCTCCCCACCGCGCCGGAACCATCCATCTATCCATTGTTTTTGCGCGGGCGTCAGTTTGTACAGATAGGGTGCGGTTGCGGATGAAAATTTTTGCGGGTACGGATGGGTCGCATTAGAGAATGTGAGACGACCAGAAAAGGGAACCGCCGAGGGAGCACTGGAAAGGGATTAAGAGAAAAGATACCGAGTGTTTTTGATAGGAGGGGGGGGAGGACAATATAAATAAATCATGAGCAATCTGGATATTCCACCCGCCTCCTTTTCCCCCCTTTCTTGTCTTCTTTGCGTAACTGTCCCTGTGTAAAACGAAACCCCCCTTTTCTTTCTCTTTCTCTTTCTTTTTTTCTTTTTCTTCTTCTTTTCTTTCTCTTTTGGTTTCTAGCTGTTGGTCTGTCACCAGAGCCCCCAATTCTGTTATCTGTACGTGTGCATACTCGCATATCTATGCATATATATATCAACCCATGTCAAGCAGTCGGTCACCTGTTCGCTCGTAGATGTCGTCAGATTGCCACTATTGAATCGACGACGATCATCCTTGTCTATCATTCATTCATATTGCAGTCGATCGCATTTCTAGCCATGGCGGACGCTGGCATACAGACTTCCGGGAGCACGAGACCTTAGTAGACCAGCGCATTGCATGCATCTCGGTATCCCATCATTGAAAAGCAAAGAAAGCAGGGCTTATTCGCACCCCAGGATGGCGGCCGAAGTGCAAGCCCCGTCTCGTTGGTACCCCCTAAGGAGCAGGATAAGTATATGGCGTCTTTTGACCAAGTATGTACTATTACCATGCCTTAACACCTTACTCCTCTCCCTCAAGAATTCTTACCGAGGGAGGTAGTAGTTATTGGAACCCCTATGACAGAATCTTAGAGGCACCCAACTGACTTTCATATTGCTTAACGGTTACCGCCGAGGCGGGTAGATAAGGTCCGTAAGATGAAGGGAAGAAGACAGGAAGGAGATACGCCCGCGGGCGCACCTCCCCTACACCATAGAGTCCGCCCGAGCAGTTTCCAGCAGAAGGACCGCATGCCCATTAGGGTAGAAGCTACCACTTTTGTAGTGTAAATCAACAACCACTCCAACAAACAAACATTCAGGGATTGTATTGTTATCTCTCCACGGACGTATGGACCGGGATCCAATCAGGTCACGACATGCACCGCACGTCTATGGATTGGTCTACTAAGGAACAAGACAAGGAGTCTCGGCCCTACTTATTGGTGGTACCCTTATCGCGCCACAGACCAAAGCCGCTCGTCTTACGCTGTAAAAGAGTCGTTAAGGTGTTTTGTGATGAATCTAACTGCGGAATTCCCTACTTAAGCAAGCCTTACTGAAGCAGACGAAAAAAATACATACATCGTTAAGGTGTATGTTGATATAGGGAGAGTGACTGGGGGATAAGGATATACATCACTGGGAACAAATTGAGATACGGCACAAATCGCAAAGAACGGTGACGACTAGGTCTGCTGCATTGGCTCGGCTCGGATGGCTGCTTTAGTGGTAGTGGTGGTATTCGTTTTTCCATTCCTTATATCCCCGCCATTCCTGTTTTACCAGTGAAGCAACTGGAAATGAATTGCAATGACTGCATTCTTCACCCCGCAAAGCTAGACTCAACGAGACGGCAGCAAACAAAAAAAGACCTTGAACACCCTGGCACAAAGAGCCGATCATGCCCAATCCACACTTTCCCAGTCATCATGACACTCGTTCCTTCCGCATCTACTTGTGGTGGAGCTTGCGCTGGTAGAAAGCCAGCTCCTCGCCCTCCAGGATGTATCCGTCGCAACGGCCAGACTGACCGGGACGGCTGGAGATGACGGCGTACAGACGACCGGCCTCAAACTGCTTCTCGAGAGCACCCTCAACCTTGCCAGTGGCGGCAAAGCGGGCAGCCTGCTTCTTCTCAACGCTCTTGCTCTTCTTTACCTCCTCGGTGGTCTGTCCCTGCTTAACCTGGCGACGGCGACCGAGAGCCTGGCCATAATGGGCCTCATACCACTGCCTAAAGGGAGCGGCATCGATCTGAACAACGGCGGACTTGGTAAGGGTGTTGGTGCGGACAAGCTCGTTGTTGGAAGGGTGGTCTAGTCGAGGAAGACAAAAAAGTCAGCAAGGGAAAGCCTCCCTAAATCGGGCTCTCAGAATCCCCAGCAAATGTTTTCCCGCCCCAGCAATAAAAATGGAAGACACGTACATGCGACCACGATGACACGGGTCTTGCGCGTGCAGCCCTCGGAGGCCCAGGCGAAATTGCCGGAGTCGAGACGCAGGGCACGGTACTTGTGGTTACCGCCGCGGGTGCGCACAACGTGGATACGCTTACCGCCGATGCGGGTGTTTGCAGGCTGGCGCCCTGCCTCGAAGGCTCTCTTCTTCCCTGCCGCGCTGTCAGAACAAAATATTCTTTCAATGCGTATAGCACAGGATCAGAACGCAATGGGTTTGAGTCGAGCCTGTCTCCCCTCCGTTCCTCCGCCCCTTCTCAGGGAAATGGAGGATCGGAAGAGAAAGTGGCAAGACCTCCCAAGCGGACCTTCGAGTATTTCATATGTTCCTCAAATCGGTGAGGAGGACAGGGTACGTACGGTAATAACTGCATGCGCACACATAAAGTTAGCAACCACCACTACCTGGGACAATCGGGGCGACAGGAACTTTAGGGGTAGAAAGGAAGGAGAAGACTTGCGCGCGCTTGGCGCCCGTGTGGGAGCGCTTGTGCCGAGAGTCGCGTGAGATACCCATGTTGTCGGACTCTAGAGGAGTAAAAGATTAGCTCGCCGTCGATTTCTTTCTTTTCGAGGTTGGAGATGTTGAAAAAAGGCGTTGGGGACAAGGGTCGTGGGCGACGACGGGAATCCGTGTGAAAGAACTGACGCTCTTAAATCCCCCAGGTGAGAACTCGAGGCGTGTTGGGGGGTGGGGTTGGAGATATCAAATTTCGATGTACTCACCTCGATCGTCGTTGTCGTTGACTGAGCGGTTGCTGCTGCGATATTGAACGAGGCTTCCTCCAGGTCGATTTTGGAAAATGTGGGCGAAAAAAATCGGGAGCATGTAGCACCGGCACCGAGCCCTACGAAGCACGGACCAAGCGCGGCTTGGCCATGTGATGGGGCTTGGTGGGGCATTCCTCCTTCCAAAATCTTCGAGGTGAGGGACGCTGCTTGGCTTGCACTTTCACCCCATCCAGCAGATATGCCGGCAACGTGGAGCAAGTTCTAGCGGTTCCATCCACAGTGGGCAATGGGTAAAATGGCATGAACTTGAGCTGGAACGTAAGCTTGGAAGATTGATAACCATTTTTGTTCCTTTTTTTTTTCTTTTTTCTGATTTTTACTCTTTTAGGCACCCTGAAGCGTTTACCCCTCCTCCATGTATATGTACGATATGTGGTATGGCATATTGCAATGGCTATACCTTGATAGGCATGCGAGAAGGAAAAGAGGAGCAGAGACATGACTTCTAATACACTAAAAATATATTACAGGTTGAACAATTTCTGTATTTTTATTTTCTCATTTTTCTAGGAGCAAGTGGTAGAGCCCCTGATATTTCGAGTTCTCACGGCGCCGAGTTGTTTTCCGAGTCGTTATTGATATCAGAGTACCTGACATGGGCAAGGTAATTATAACAGCAAGGCTACATAGATATAAAAACTTCAAGTACAGTTCAATTGCTCAACTGGTTGCTGTCCCGCGGCAAATGTTAAGTTGTGTCATCTAATTAGGTGCGTGGTGATTGGCATAAGACATTTCACTATCGTGATAAATCAAACTCGTGGAAGTCACTCACTCATCGATGGGGTTGACGAATAAATAAATAACTACAAACTCCAAAGCCGTCTCTCAGGATACCGTAGAACCATGATGGATCGAGTTTTATATTATTCCTAAAAAGTCAAACAAATCTTCAGATTGAGAATAATGAAGGTTGTCTATAGCCCACAGCAGAGTTCCAATGGAGACACGCGAGACAAGAGGCAAGGATAGTCACAAACTTAGGCAGTATATCTAGTTCAGCATTCCGACTATGCCATCTCCAATATAGACATGACAACCTACTACTAGGCCGTGAAGGGGAATTTTTTTTTTTTTTAAAAAAGGCAATGTCGTTCTACCAAACCCGCTGCCCAGGGAGTAAAAAGCAGGATCGGCGACCTGCACTTCGCCTTTCCATGCCCTTCCCACCTTCAAGCTCGAGAATGGCAATGCTGCAGAAAAGACCAATATACAATACAATAAATACGCCTCCAACCAGCCGGCCAGTGCCGCCACCGGTATTCCTACCCCCCTTCGCTCAGGGCAAATCCCAAATACCTATACACTGCCGCACTCTCCACGACAAATCGGGACATTCTGTCACCTTCCTCCACCAATACCCATCCCAATGGCACACGCTACCTTGAGACCGAAAATTAGGGACTCTCCGAGCCCAGGTATTTAGTTCGCTTCAAAATGCCAACGCCACACCTCTACTAATTGATGTATATGATCCAGCTGTCGAGGCTTCGTTTGTCTAGGCAAAGCCGAAGTAGTCGCTACCAGCTGTGATAGCCTTCAGCAACTGGCTACGGAGGGTCTCGTAGCTCTCGTACTCGGGAAGGTCAAGTTCTGCGCGCCAAGTTAGTGTTTTGTCATACGAAGCATAATACAAACGGAAAGGGATAGACTCACGATTAAAGCAAGTGTGCGAGCTGGGAAGCCGCTCCTTGTTGCCGTAGTCCCGATGTATGTTGAACTGGCTGACGCCGTTCATACCCTCAAGTTCCTTGAAGCCGTTGAGAGGGACCTTGGAGGTTCCAGTCACAAACTGGAGAAGCTTCGCCCGCTCTTCCTTGTCGAAGGAACGGATGGCTCGCCAGAACCACTGGATTTGTTGCGAGGCTGCCGAGTAGTTGTGGTACTCGGTGTTGCTCTTCCAGTCATCAACGTCAATGTCTGGCAGGCCCGAGATGAGAAGCTCGAGCTCCTGTTCGTTGAAGATGGCGATGAGCTCCTCGGGGATAATGTCATGGAAGCCCTTCAAGAAGTGCTCCATCTGGTCCTTGACCGAGGCCAGAAGCTTGTGCTCCACGATGAGGCGAACATATTCGTGCTTGTTCTCATCCGTGACCGGAATGTTGCGCCCGTTTTCGATCAGATCAACCACCTTGGTGACGCCAAACTCGTCGTCCTCGACCGAGAAGGTCTCAACAATAATGTCTGTAATGTCGTTCTCGAGCATCCAAACAAGCGACTTGTAGTAGTCGGGGTCGAACGATTCCATGTCCTTTACAGACACAGGCTTGCCAAGTATGCGCTTGTAGACGGCACGGCTGAAGTAGCAGTCGAGGACACGACCCTCGTACAGCGCCTTTCCGATGATGCGCCCGATGAACTTGAAGAACATCAAGTGCTCGTCGTTGATGCCGCTGAGCTTGTTGGGGTGGAACGTGGTGCGGTCTGACGAGACGGGGATGAAAAGCGCATAGTTGGGGTCAAACATTTGTCTAGCTAAGACCTGGAACCACTCGCGCGTAACACCGCCAGCGTCCACACCTTCCTCGCCATGGAAGCGAATGTTGAGCTTGCCAAACTTCATCTCGGCGCCCGACTTGAAGTAGAGAGACCGGAACGAGTCGTGGAACACTTGCTCGCGGCGGACAGCAAGCTGCAGCGGCTGGTATGACGGGCGCGTTTGCTGGTTGCCAGTCTTGGAGTGCACGCTGCGGTTGAAGTAGTTGCGCTTGTTGTCAAATTCGAGCACCTTCGGATTTTTCACGAGAAGCGAGAAGGTGCCAGACATGAGCTTGGGATTGTGTCGCACCAACTCATTGAGAATCCGGCGGTGCTCCTCGGTGAAGGTAAAGAACAAACCAGCAATGCGGTTCTCGGGGGGCGGACTAGACAGGAGCATATCCTTGCTTGTCACGCTCTGCGAGAGAGGGACATCTCCCAAAGTGGTGTTCTTGCACACGACCATCAGCGACTCGATAAGCGGCAAGAGTATGGTAGCCACGTTGAGCATATTCTCTCGTAGCCGAATCGCGCTCAGGCAGTTGCTCAGCTTGTCCCACATGGTGCCGAATGTCGGGTTCCAGTACAAGGATCCCAGGAGGTCCTCTTTAGTATGAGCATCGCCTTCTGTGGTGCTGTCCGACTTCTTGCCCTTGTTGTCGAAGAGGTGATCAAGCGCAGTCAGGACACGAAGAAGCTTGTTTTGCTCCGACGCCCCAGGCGAGAACTTAGCCAGCGCAACGCCATGGATTTCGGTTCCAGACTCGGCCTTGAGGATATGCGGAAGGAGATCATCGAGATCTGACAAGATGTTCTCGCTGAGAACCCTAGCCTGGCGTACTAACTCGTCTCCAAACGTCTTCTTAGCTCCAGGGATGTTGGAGAGGTTCTTGATGGTCGAGATGGTGTTCTGGAATGTCTTGGAACTGCATTCTCGGGCCACAAAGATGTTGATAACGAGCTTCAAGTTGTGTTCCGGGACCGTGGGCGGCGTAAGTTGCCGCACCTTCTTTTCCTCTTCGGGCTTGGACTCCTTCACTGTCGAGCTCTCGCCTTCGGTCTGGGCTATGTCTTGTGCCGGATTCCCTGCCGTGCTCTCTTCAGTCGAGGTCGCGGTAGCCACCTCTGGAGCCTGCTGGACAGGAAGCTGGTCATCGTACGCGTTGGCATTTTCAGCAGTTGAGTCGGCCTTCTCCCCTTCGGTTTCCTTCTTCTTGGCCTCCTCTTCGGCCTCCTTACGTCGACGCTCAAGTGCCTGTAGCGGGTACGTGACCTTATTAAGCAAATCTGCAAGCAGCTGCATGACAGCCGAGCTCTCCATGACGAGGCTTCGGTCCAACAGTCCAAGGAGGGAATTGATTGCATATTTCTGGGCCTTGGGGTTGATGTCTTTGCCTTTGCCCTTTCGGCTTAAGCTTCGCTTGAGGGTTGAGGCGACGGTTTCGTGCTCTGTCAAGAAAAGAGAGGGCACATGGGGGTTCTTGGAGGCAAGGTCCACCAAAAGGTCGAGGCATTGCTGGACAACCAGGAGAGGCGAGATCTCGGAGCTGCCTGAGATCTGGCTGCTGTTTGTGCTCATGTTTGTGAATGTCCTCTTCAGGTTGTTTGGCGTCTTGGCGTCCTTCTCTCTCGCTTGCCTGGCCTTGAGCGACAACTGACTGAAGCTGCGCTCGACAGCGTCCATATCTGTGCTCCCGTCCTGGAGAACTTGCAAGAGGGTGGAAATGACCTCGAGACGGTTCTGGCGGTTCTCGCAGACGTGAATGAAGACCTCGAAAAGGTGGCTGCGGATGGAGCCCTGCTGGGTTACAAACATGAGCCTGAGGAGTGTAGCCACGCCTGCCTTGTCGAGCATCTGCACAGTAGACCGCCGCTGAGATTTGGTATCAACCGCACCCCTTGCTTCGGCAGCTTGGCGAACAACGTCCCGGGCACGGGCTACTATCGCACGAGGTGCTCGGTGGAGGTTACGCTGTTGCTGAGCGATGGCGCGAGCTTCTGCCGCCAGCCCAGGTGGCAAGTGTTCCATGATTTCATCACCTTGCTCCATAAGGACCTGCGTCCTGAGCTCCTCAGGGAACGTCAACAGGATACTGGCTGTATCCATCTCCGCAGGACCAAGGTCTTGTCCACTAGCGGCAGCTTCCCGACGCTGCGCATCACGTTCGCGACGGCGGCGGTCTTGCCGCTCCTGCTGGACGATTTCCATCCGCAGCTCATCGGGAAGGGCTTCTAGAAACTCCTGGAAGACCTCGGTGTTCTCTCCTTCGTTCTCACGCTGCTCTCGAGCCTCAGATCGCCGGCTGCTAATAGTTTGGGCGATGACTTCTTCTCGAAACTCCTCCGGAAGGGCAGCAAGGTATTCAGGGTCGATACCAAGCTCGGTGACATCGATCTCCTCACCGCGGATAATGGTAAGGACACGCGGTACTGGAGCCACGGCCTGCTCGGGTTCGTTTTGGCCCACTGGGTGGGATTCAACGCCTTCCATGTCTTGAGGACCGCCGTGCCCACTGTCTGAAGCTGCAGCCTGTGCATCTTGGCCTGCGGCTTGCTCCGCTGCCTGTTCGGCAGCTTGCTCAGCAGCTAGCGCTGCTGCTTCGGCCTGCTCACGCTCTATGCGAGCGCGCTCAAGTTGACGTTCGCGTTCCTCTGCTTCCTGCTTCTCTCTCACCGCTTTCTCCTCGGCCTCTTTGGCCTCTCGCTTCTTCCGCTCTTCTTCTTCGCGCTTCTTGCGCTCCTCTTCCTGCTTCTTCTTCTCTTTCGCTTCACGATCCTTGACTTCTCTCTCGTGTTGCATGGCGGGTGGTGTGAGCTTAGCGATAATAGCGCTGAAGAGCTTGGCAGACTTGTCGGTGTGGTTGTTGCCGAAGACCATCTTGGCTTCCTCCTGCCATCGGTCAACCGTCTGCTCAGGAGTAAAAGACACGGCATGGTGTGGTTCTTGGTAGACATCGCGTCGGGAGTCGGAGCGACTCTCGCGGCCGGAATGGGTATGGTTCAACGGAATGTTGAACTGGCGGACCTCCCCTCGCGGGCCTTCGGATGTTATTTGAAAGCTTAGAGCGTGGGGACCACGTGCGGTCATGGGCAATGACTGAACCAAGTCGTTAATAAAGGCCAGGGGCCCGTCAGCCGTATTTCCGATCATGGTATGGGGGATTCCGAAGCGGATCATATTGGTATTGCTAGCCCGGGGCGCTGAGTCTTGACCAGATCGGGTGGCAGAGAGCAGAAGAGGATTAACACCGTCGTCCGTGTTATTTGCCGCTTGGCGAGGGCTGGAGCGAATGTAGCTTCGGAAATCTGCAAGCCTGTCAGTCTCTTGTTCTGCGACACCACTACCCTCTCTCGACATGTCTCCGGCCAAAGGAGAGGGCATGTCCCAAAGATCAATAGCCCTTGAATCCAGGTCCCAAAAAAGAGGCTGGGTTGGCAACTCTGGAAACGTACCGCCAAGAGGGTCACGTCCTCCGATCATGAACGGCGTTGTGGGGAACGGGCTTCGTACACCCCCGTGGTGGAATCGATGGTTGGGGTTGAGAGCAATGTCCCACCCGAGCCCCATGGGCATAGCAGGAGGCGCCGGGTCGTCACCTGGATGTCGAGTCAGGAAGGAAAAAGGTGTCATGAGGGAACGGAGCCTACGTGGATGGCCCTGATCAAAGTACAGCTCATCGTCGTCTGCCTCATCCTCTTCTTCCTCGTCTGCTCTCGTTAGCATGGTTCGCGAAAAAAATACGGTCGGTGGGGCTTACCATCTTCGCCATCATCTGCGTAGTGATCCTCAAAATCGGGAATATCGACTTCATCGAGATCATCGGCATCCATTGCTGAGCGGATGATGGGGGGGAATCGGTGGTTTTCGTGGATACCGTGCATCTGTGCCTCGTGGAGGTCTTGAGCCTCGGCCTCGTAGTCGAGTTCCGCTTCATCCTCTTCATCCCCTTCATCGGTGTCGCTCTCCCAGCCCGAGGCACCGTCGTCGTGAATGGCATTGCCATCTTCGTCAACGATTTCGATCTGGTCCTCCATGTCGTCCATGTCTTCGGAATCGAGGTCATCATCGTTATCTTCGTCGCTAGGTTCCTCGTCATCCTCGTCCATGTCATCGTCGTCGTCACTATCATTATTGTCGTCTCCCATGATGACTTCCACGACGTTAGGATCGCCAGGCAGGCCCTCAATTTCACCCATCTCCCCAAGCTCTTCGTCTTCATCGCTGGGATTATCTTCCCCATCTTGAGACATTTCATCCCCATAGTCCACTTCATCGTCATATGGCTCGTCGTCATACATTTCATCGTCTGCTTGACCTATTAGTATCTCGGGACTGGAAGGATAATAATCGGGAGAGCCATAAATACCCTCTTCCGAGTTTTCCGAAAAGTCTTCCTCTCGTCCGGGCTCAAGCATGCCCAGAGTTGAGTTGCGGTAGAGATCCGGAGTTTCCTCGCGATCATCATCGAGATCGGAAAGAGATGATGACGAAACGACGTCGTCCTCCACTTGATCTGTTGAGGTTGCCGGAATAATATCAGACTGGCTGAGTAGGTAGGCAGTTTTGGTCAACGATCGTAGGACACGAAGAATGTACTTGATGGTACGCTTGACATTTGGAAAGGTGAGGTCAATCTCAGCGATGGAGGCCGTCAGAGCGGCGAGATAGCCCTTCTCATACATGAGACGCTTGAGTTGCCACTGGGACCTCGTGAGAGCTGGATCTGTGCCGCGGGGGTTGCTAGGGGCCGACTCCTTGTCCTTTTCACCAATCATTTGGCTCATCAGCTCGGCGAGGCAAATCATCTTCCCATAGCGGATATCAAAAGGCTCTCCCGGAATAGACGTATCCTTGTAGGCGCGGAGGATTGTATCAAGCACAAATCGGCGGACAAAGAGCAGATCGGGCTCGTCATCGTACTCGAAATTGTCGCGGTTGCGATCGATTGGCTTTTCGCCAGGTCTCGTCACGAGAGCCACGAGGACAGACTGAGCCTGGTTGGAGGTTGCTGCCTTCTTCTTGATCGCGATCGAGTCAAGTGTTGTGTTGGTTTGACCCAAGCAAAGCAAATCATTGATCAGGTAGTTCAGGACGCTAGAACGAGGCTTGATGGGCGTGTGGTTCTGGATCGGTGCACTGCGCTTGAAGTTGATGAACTCTACCTTCGCCCGGTTGAAGTTCTGCAGCAGTTCTGCCAGGCAGTTAAGCAAAAAGCATCGATACACAAAGATGGGGTGGTCTTCGGCCTTGAACGAGGGCTTGCTAGGCTTCTTGTCCTTATCCTTGGCTTCGACCGCGACAGCCTGCTCCTCTATAGGAGACTGGGGAGTTTCGCCACCGGGGCCAGGTGATTCGCTCGCCGGCTTAGAGTCCTTGGGCTGGCTGTTCGAAAGCTCCTTGTCGTCGACTTCTCTATAGTTGAGCAATTCGCAGAGAAGAAAATGAACAACACCATCTGGATTCTCAAGTACCGGCCGCTTGAGTTCATTAGCTGGCGTCTTTGGCGGTTCCAAAGCCTCCTTGTCCTTGTTCTCGGACTCTGTCGACGGCTTCACATCGTTGATAGTTAGGTCCTCTGTTGCCTGAACCGTGGGTTCGACTGAGCTATCCTTCTGGGGTGCTGTTGCGTCAGTCGCCGGCTCTTTCAGAACCAGATTGAAAGGATGCGGAGGGCCGTCTGCTGATTGTGGCGACCAGCGGTGAAGCTTGATCAAATCCGACGTGGCCTCGATGAAGATGCTTGGCGCTCGGAGAGCGACATGAGAGAGATGCCTCAGATACGTGTGCAGATCAAGGGCTCGAGCGTTCCGTTGAACTGCCGAGCTCATGTACTGACGAATATAAGACTCCATCATCTGGCGGATTGTGTCCTCATCTTCCACTATGTGGCGAAGTACGAGCATTAGGTTGTCTGAAATGTGAGACTGCTTGAGACGACCAGAGCCAGCATTGCAGGATTGCTTCGCCATAACAAACAAACGTTGCAAGTTCTTCTTCTCGCCGATAGACTTGGCCATAGCGTGATCTCTGGTGAGGATAACAAGAATCCGCAGCACTGAAATGGCGAGAGACTCTTCCTTGCCGACTCGTGGAAGTATGTCCAGAATGGTGCCCAAAAGGGTAGAACGGTCGTCATGGGACAGGTTGGATTCTCTCTCCACCATCACCGGCAACTCAATGGTATCTTGCTCGCTCGTAGGGGCCTTCCACTGGACCTCTATCGGTTGGGAGTCATCCGACAGAAGAATCTCAAAAATGAGGAGAATGTATGGCATCCAAGGGGGCAACTCGTCTGAACTAGCAGGAGGAAGTTTGAGGAAGCCAAGATAATCGCCAATGTTCTGCTTCAGGGTTGGCAAAGTGGCCTTGAAGAATGCCTGATTCTGAAGAAGCAGGGACAGGAGATGGGCATAGGCTGCGATGCTCTGGCCTGCAGCCTTCTTCTCCTCGTCGTCATTCATTGCAAAAGACATGAGAGCATTAGCCAAGACCTCTCCGACTTCTGTGCGCTTATCGTCACCATCAGTCTTCAAGAGAGTGCTGTTGATCAGGTCGGAAACTTCAAACACCGAGTCGGGATGGGCCCTAACGACATCAAGGCAGCGATCGATCAGGTCATCGTGGAGTTTCGCCCGCTCCTCGTTCAGGTCTTCCCTGGTCACTGCAGGAGGGGACGGAGTCTCCGAGGTCTCAACTGACAGAGCTGCTAAGGTCTGGTCAGGCACTGAAACCTCCCCGCTTGCCTCGGCACTGGCAGAATGCTGGCTTGACGTGTCGTTGCTATTGTCATCGGATTCATCAGACGACTGCCCGATACGGTCGAGGATAGAGTCGTCCATGGTATCCCGAAGAAAGTTATTGATCGCTGCAGGCACCGGGTCTAGTGCCATTGGGTCCGCCGCCAGCAGGCTCGCGGCAGAAAATGGCGTGTTCTGTTGATCGGCCTCATCTGGTTTGGGTGTTGATGGGGCTTTATACGTGTCTTCTTCAGGAACAGGATTACGCTTGCCAGCCAAACCCTCCGAGTGGTTTCGGCAGTAATCCAAAGCATCGTCCGACTTTCCATTAGCACGATAGACAGCTTCCCGGGCCAACTCTTCGTCATCAAACTTCCGATCCAGGGTCTTAATTTGCTCCGTATGCGCAGACCAATTGAATGGCACCGACTCGCGTGCCTTGAAGATCGAGGGCGGTCGGGCCTTGTCAGACCTACGATAGGCAGATGTCTCTTGGTCGGCAGCCGTGATTGTCTTGAGAATGTCGATAATCTTGCTCAGAAGCGGTGTAGTCGCCTTCTCAACAAGCTCTGACTCCCACAGCTTGCGAACGACTGGCAGAATAGACATCCGCAACTCTACCACGAGCTGGTGCCCGTGCTCCTTACCCCTGTCCGGTCGGGGACCCAGGTGAAGTTGGGTAAAGGCTTCGGATACGTTTTTGCCGTTCACAATGAGAGAATAGATTTCCAGTATCTTCTTCATCCCGACAGCCGCCAGCCCCGACTTGGACTGATCCTCGCCTTCGACAGGAGCCTTGCAAACCTCGTCGGCAAACTTTTGGAGCATGCCATTCAAAACATCAATTCCGCCATGCTCTTTGAAGGCAACAAGCACAGGTATGATGAGCTGGAAATTACGCTCGGTTGACGTCCGGGTTGGATCAATCAGCATCTCATGAACCGTGTGAAACATTATAATCCAGTGATGAGATGCCTTGGTCGTCAGCTCTTTAAAAGGTGGCTTCAGTTGCTCCAGAACTGCCTCCGCCAAAGCTTCAGCAATTGTCAGATGGTGTGCGCGGCTATAGGGATCCGCGAGACGCCGGGGACAAAGAGCCTTGCCGATGGTTTGGAAAAACGGGATCGTGGATGGCAAGATCGAGTGCAGAATGCCGTGAAGGGTTTGGCAGTTTTGGAAGGTGACAGCCGACTGCTCTTCCTGTGTCGGCCGCTTGATCACGGACGATTCCGCGTCCAGACTCTGCAAGGCGCCAGGGAAAACATCTGCAAGAGACAGGTCTTCAACGGCCCTACCATTAGAAATGAATAGATCGCCGGGGCCATGCCCTGACGGCTTCGGGGACCAGTGTGGAGGGACGAGATTCTCAAGAGACATTTCCTCTATGACGACGTCACGCAACAGCGGCCCCAGACGCTTGATCAACCGGGTGTAGTAGTCAAAGACGTTGGCCGACGGCAGATTGGTCGCGCCCTGTCTGGAGGAGTACGGGAAGCACTGGAAGAGAATCTTGATGAGGCTCTGAAGATTGACCAACGCCTTAACGATTTGTGTTCCGTTGGCGACCTTGCGGACCAACGACTGGTCCCATTCTCCACTCTGATCCAAAAGTGACAGATCAGGGATGAGAAAGGGCGCAAAGTATGGATGGGCGCCTTCCCGTGTGGCTAGTGGCTGCAGCTCATCGACCGCGTCTTGGATGCGATTGAGGAGAGACGGTAGCCCCACCACATAGGATCCCTCAATAAGAAGCGCAACAACTTGCGCAAGCAGACGCGATGCCTGTGTCTCGCCGAAATTGGAAGGGAGACTGGGAGCCTCTGAGAGTTCCAAAAGGAATTCAATCCCGCCTTGCTGGGCGAAGGTCGTCTTCAAGTAGGAATTTCCCATGACGCTGTTGAAAAACGTCGAGACAGCCAGGATATACGGCGTAATCTCAGTATAGACAGTCGGCAAGGTTGCAGCCGGCGCTGGTCTAGTACCTGAGCTGGCATCAGACGACTCCACGGTCGGCAGGGCGGCGTCTACCATTTCTACATCAGTATCCACGGAATCAACCGCGGTGGCCTTCTCTTTCCCCTTTGCCGACGCTGTTGCACTTGTGGACTTCTCCAGTAAGCTGCTGTCTGCAGGAATCGAGTCTCCGTTGGGATCGGTGACATGCAGCTTGGCTCCCCATCCTGCATCTGTAGACTTGACCTTAGCTAAGTGCACAACCCTAGCAACCATGTCCATGATCGCGTCCGAAATCGCAGGCCGCAACGCTGGATGGTGTCGGGCGAGTTCATCAAAACTATTGCCAACGTTTTGGGTCAGTTCAGAGTCTGTTTCCAGGCAGTGAACATGCTGCGGGCTCTCAAAGATCTCGAGAAAGGCCTCCAGAGCGCGAGACTGCACAACCATCTTCATTCCGCGGCTATTCAGCGAGATAGAGTTCAGAACGGTAGGGATGGCATTGATGGCGTCGGAAGAAGGAAGGATTCCATGGGCTAGACCGTGTCCTCGGGGTGCCTCGAGCATCTCCTGAGTAGGGGGATGCGGCCGTTCGTCCGAGTCGTCCGAGTATGCTGGAGAGTTAGGTTCCTGGTCCTCATTGGACTCGGAGTTCTGGGACTCGTCTGGTTGCCCCAAAGCGACAGGCTGGCCAGTGAGGGCCTCGAGAAAGGTCTGGACCAGGCCCGACTCCGAGATTGCGGCAAAGCTGGTTGGATCGTTATTGATAAAGTCGCCAAGCAGAGTCACAGCATTCGTCCAGACCACGGATCCGAAAAAACGTGCCTCCTTAATTATGGAGCGGAGGCTGGCCAGCAAGGTCGAGTTGTCCACCAGGTTTCTCAGTAGGCGATCGGTGTTGCCCCCAAATGTATAAGCATTAGTCATGACGTGGTGGATAAACTTGAGAAGCCATTTGAGGGTTTGCTGCTGATGAAATGGGATTTCGTAATCCACCAGGTGAGCATGGAAATCGGGCTTGGTTCCTTCGCCAGCCGCGGTGAGGGTCTGAGAGAGAGAGACGGTGTGTATTATGAGGTTGGCAATGCTATCCAGGCCCGAAGCGTTGCTGAATGTACCGAAAGCTCCTTGGAACCCGTAGATGAGGCTGTCAAGGAATGCCAGAACCATGCTGTAATTGCGGCTTGCAACCCTCGAGCGGAGATTGAGTATCTCGACCAAGATATCCATCAGACCGGCGGACACCATCTCTTGTCCAATCCTAAACGACATGGCCATGTGAAGAGTGAGGCCAAACAGGTTATTTCGCCACTCGTCCAGCTCGGTCTTCTTGCCATCATCCGCACCAGGCGGATCGTCCTTCATAGTAGTCACTGCCTTTCTAATGACATATAATAGTACACCGTGATTAACATTGGCGTTGAGGGACGACAACACGTCTGGATACTTGGACTGGAAGTTAGAGATGGCCTCAAGCAGTGCCAGCGCGATGGCCTGGAGCCAGAGCGAAGTATCGGCGGCGCCATCAACAGACGGGTGGATTAGTTCAGCGAGCTGGTACACTAGCTGATATCTTCGGGGCTCATCGTTATCCTGCTTCAGTGCCTTCTCCAGGAAAGTGGCCTCGGGGTGAATGTAGGCGAGGTTCGTGATGGCCAATAGGCGCACAGCCAAAGCCTCTTGCCGAACCTCTGACGACCCGAGAAGTGCTTTGCAGATTCTCAACCGGCTGAGGAACTCGTATCGATAGCTCTTTGGCATATCAGAGGGACACTGTTGCAGAAGGTCATAAATAGATGTCGACTGGACCGTAGACTGACGAATCTCAACAGATTTCGGACCCGAGTTGCTACGGTCGTCGAAGGCCGTCCCTTGGCCCCGGTTAGTCGGGCTATCCTCGGATCCCGGGGGCCGGTTTGCGCGGGGCGTCTGAGACGTGCTGGTTGTGCTCCGTCGCAAGGGTGTTGGTGTTGCGGGAACCGACGAAGGGCCTCGATCGACTGCTGCAGTCGCCTCCGGGGCCGGGATTTCTGTCGTCTCCGTCTTGGGATAGTAGACGAACTTGAAATCTCCCCATCCGTTCCAGCGGCTCTCGTCAGCCTGGCCAGGCGCAACGATGGACACTAGATCATTGGCGTACATGGAAGCCACGTTCTTGTGGGTCGCGCCAGGAGCCTTGTCCTTAGCCTTGCTCGCTGAAGCACTCGGAGTAACCGGCGGCACATCCGAAAGCTTGATGATGGGTGTCTTCACAAAGGCCTGGGCCAGCGTGTGCACGCGGTCGAGCTCGATGTTGTAATGGTTTGCCAGCAAGGCCGTGTTCATCTGGCGCGAAGGCACGTGGAGGCGCTTTACTGAAGCCTGGTAGCGCTGGGCGAGTTCCAGTCCGACTCCGAGTGTTGCACGGACAACGCTGAGAGATGATGTATTGAGAAGATCATTAAGATGAAGACTGCTGGCGTAAATGCTTCTATTGCCGCAATGCTCCAAAAGCATACGGGTGAACTTGAGAATTGCTATCACAAGCTGACAGTCTCCATCATCGCGGTATCCCAGCTCAAGCAAACGCTCCTTGTCCCACGGGTGCTCATCACCGTAGAGGACCGGTGCACCGCTGTTCAGAAGGACATCGCAGCCAAAGTCTCGCATCTGGAACTCCTCGTGCAGCCCGTAGGTCGCCGTGATGGACTCGAGGATATTGTCGAAGCGGTTGAGTAGCGGTATCCAGTGGTATAGATCGCCGCGTGGAAACGGCCATCTCGACGGGAACTCATCGAGCTTCTGGGGGATAAGCGGCAGGGGCGCAGACGAGGCAGCAACGACGTATTCCTTGAGCCACGGGGACTAGAGGGGCACACGGACATTAGCTCGAGACACTTCAGGCATGACACACGATGCGACAACTTACCAAAGTCTCCCGGTGCTTGGGCTGCATAGACTTAGTGATCTTGCCCATCTTGACGATGCGGCCGCGCCGCTAGGGCGAAAGAAAAAGGTAGAAGCTCCCCCTCCACAGCCGGCTCGTCCAGGTCGCGGACGCAGCCTTACTCGTTGAGGCGCAGCCTCGGCCAAATCGAGAGTGGAAATCGAAGCACAGTCGGCAGAAGCAGGATGGGTTGCAGAATGTGCAGAGCGAGAATAAAAGTGGTAGTGGTCTGACGCTGATTTCGTAGTGAGGTGTGCAAGCGCCTTTTGGGGGGTGTTAAGGAAGGTGGGTGGATCGCGAGGGAAACGCAGCCGAAGGCCCGAGAGGCTTCGCCGAACCGACAGTTTTAAGGCAGGTGCAGGCCACCTTTGAATGTCTGGGGGGCAGTGAGGCTACTCGGAGTGCAGGGCAAGCGAGGGGGAGAGAACGACGCGATCTTCCTCGCGAACGATGAACAGGTGCAGGTGCTGAGAAATCGTGGTGTTGGAGAGGTTTGGTTTAAGATGCCGAAAGTAGCACCAGACCTTTTTTGGCGAGGAAGGGTGAGGAAGGTAATGACGGCAGCAGTTGTTGGTCAGGTACAAACACCTTAAAAAAAGTCCGGCCGCGGTAAATGCCGCCCAATGGCGCCTTTTACTCCGGCGGCGCCATAAAGTGGGGCCCAAGCTCCCCAAGCCGTCCCCTCACTTACTGACCTCAGGCTCTGGACCTCAGGCTCTGCTCACCAACCTGCCCGGGCACCTTCCTTACCTAAGTTGAGTTGTCGATTCCACTTCAAAACCCATTCTTTTTGTGACAACTATGGAGTCTTTCAAAGCCTATATTTTGGACGTCTATCTGGAATCTTCACAGCCTTTCTGGTTCACCCGAAGTCTTTTGTTGATAACGACATGTATCCGTACCTGTATGAAAAACGGCTGTTTCCTAAGGGGCTCATTGCTATCGCAAATATGACAGACACAGTTTTACGACACGGCACTTCTGCAGAACGTGGAGCATGAAGCGGAGGCAGCTTCGAGCTACATTTCAGTCATTGTACGAAACGTCCGGGATCTTACCTGCATCGGTATGACTAGGACATAGTGATCATTCTAGACATGAACAATTTAGTAGTGACATTAGCATCTTTACTTGCCAGTTGGCTTATTTCAGACACTAGGGACGCTTCAAGCTCGCTGTTATTATCCGCAGATTTGAGCTCAATATCGTGACTGAAAGACGTTTCTACACGTGCCAGCCTTTGGGGATTGTATAAACCTACTGACCAACCCCTTGGAAAAACTCGAATTGAACTCTGTAGCCGCAGCGGTTGTATGGAAGTTAAAACCAGAACGCCCCTAATCAAAAGTTCAAGGCCTAATTTTGCTCTACACTTCAATCCATGAATGTTTGTTGATGTGGTACTGGGAACAAGGGAAAAGCCACCGTAAATAATCCGGCTAGGAAAGGCTTTTGATACCTAGATGTTTTTAGAGGAGAGACAGGCCTCTAGGATTGTAACATACCGATTCCAATAGCCATTGCCGCCCTTGGTCGTAAAGCGGTAGGGCCTTAGAGCCCTTCAGATCTTGGAAACTCCTCCGCTAATAAAGGATAGGACTGTATCTAGGTACACACAGCCGTTCTCGCCACCTCGCCGTACGCGTGTACAGAGGCAAGCAACTAACTCTCCACAAAGCTGAATGGACTTCTAGTCCTGGAAGGTTACGGCCACAACTATCCGCCTTGGGTAGCTAGGTAGAAGCCTGCAAAGACCACTTTGGTCAATGACGGTGTAGGAAAAATGGCCGCAATAGCCACTGACCTGTAGACGAAACGTGGCAGCGTCTCTCGTAACATTAACTGCCGGTGAAGTGTTGCCTGAGTCTGGGCAGGTAGGTAGGCAGGTACCTAGCCCATAAAGGACCTAAAATCTTGGATTTGGTGATAGAAAGGTTAATTGTCGAATGAGTATCTTATGAAAGAACACCTATACGGAAAGGCACGCAATCACCGTGGCTGCTCGAATTACTTTTTCCAGTCGCACGGCAGTGGATCAAGGTTATACGTATTAAGAACCCCAGGGGCAGGCAGGTTAGGTTCGGTAGAACTCAATGACTTTCTTGTGAACCCCCGGGTTGCTTCATGCTGTCCTCTTCAAAGCCTCATGATCACGCGAGATCATCTGCAGTTCTGGGGCTTCGCACTAGCGGAACCTCCTGCTTTCTAGCTAGATTTGTTCCTATAAATGGAATACCGCCTGGCTAAAGGTTATTTGGTGTCTTGAACAGCTCCTAAGGAAAGGTCAAAGATTCATGCTCTCCAGCCCTGACGCCCAGAAAGAAACCCATGGCACGTAAGGTAGTTATATACCTAGTCACGTACGGCGAAGCACCCAATACAGATTGATGAGGGTAGTCTAGTATATTGGCAATACTCCCCTTTTGCTAAGGTCCATGGTCAACAAACGCTACAGCGACTGGCGGACGAAATCTACAACCCGCAACGATACCTAGACGGCGCCTTCGCAGGGTCAATCACAGGCTCCTGAGTTTCACTGCTCACTGCCACCATCCCTAAGTGCCCAAACAAGATCTGCGAGATGAAGGAGAAGCCATAGATATCATTTATGACGGGAACTCTCATTCCCAATATCTCGTGTAAGGTCTCTATGCCATGTACACGTCCGAAATGAGTTGGCAAGTAATCACGCCATGGCCATTTTCCCAAAGCAACCGGAGACCCATTATCCCATCACACGCTCCACGCCTACTTGTGCATGGAGCTCGCCCGTCGCTTGCGGATGTCGGCCTTCTGTGCCTTGGCCTCAGCAACACGCTTGGACAGAACGGCAGCGTACTCGCTCTGGAAGTCGGTTAGCATTTGACGGGGTTCCTTGCAGGGTTAGATGTAACATACAGCCTCATCCTTCACCTTCTCGGCCTGACGTCGCTTCAGGGCAACGCGGTGGCGCTTGTGTTGGAGACGCTGGGGGGTGACCAGGCGCTGGATTCGAGGAGCCTTGGTGTAAGGCTTCTTGCCCTCGCCCTTGGGCTGGATCTCACGTCTAATGACGTACTTGCGGACCTAAGTACCGAAGAAAAATTCCACTATTAGCCTCCAGTTTTCCTCTCAGACTCTACCCGAACTGTGCGATAAAAATCGACGCAGCTCTAGGGCAGGCGATGACGGGGTAGGCCAATAATGTGGCACGTACATCGTCATCCTTGCTGAGGCTGAAGAACTTCCGGATCTTGGTAGCGCGCTTGGGGCCGAGACGCTTGGGGTGGACTGTGTCGGTGAGGCCGGGGATATCCTGCTCACCCTGCTTGACAACAGCCAGAGCAAGGACGGAGAGGTCGGCGCCGACGATGCAGCCGCGGACGGACTTGCGCTTACGCTCGCCAGTGCGGCGGGGGCGATAGCACGAGTGGCCCTCGGAGAGCAGGAGGCGGACACGGTGGGGGGAGATGACACCCTGCTTCATCGGGAAGCCCTGCTTGTCGTTACCGCCGGTGATGCGGAGGACGTAGCCCTTCCACTCATCGCCAAGGGGCTCGGCCGAGACCTCAGCGCCCATCTATTCGGGGTCAGCATTTCCGTGACGTCGCTGCGGCTTGTGGTTTCTCGATTCGAACTTACGCGCTTCCTAAAATGTTGTATTAGCAATTAGCCGCAAGAGGAACAGATTGGGGAAGCCATACTCGTAGAAGTGTCTGAGCTTGCGCTCATCCTCCACCTCAATCAGCTTCTGCGAGCCGTTCGCTGGGTGCGAGATGTTCAGCTAGAGACCGGGGTTAGCCTTATTTCGAACGTCCGGAAGCCGTCAGCGGCCAAACATCTGCTGCAAACATGCAGAGACATCTCGATTCGTGCTGAGAGCGCGGCGGGCTTGGCTCACCTTCATCGTGGCGGTGGGTGCTGAACGACCGTACTTGGAGATGTGAATTGAGACTCGGAAGAAATCCAAGAGAAGTTTTTGTGTGCAAGTCGCCAGATGTTAGGGCTCAATTTCGTGCGGGTCCTGATTGGCTGCCGAAATTCGTAGCCCCATTATTACACGGGTGCTGTGCAGTGCCGCGCTTGGTGTGCGGGGGTCGGCGACCAATCGCCGCTAGTGTCAAGCTCTGCGAGCCTTGACAAAATGCACTTGCAAGAACAGTCTTGTTAACGCAGAGCGCATTGATAAATCGGGAGAAATACTCCTTTGGCCCAGTGACGCTCTAGTATCTGATGGCCTTTATCCCATTTTCTAAATATTCTTAAGGAATCATTCAAACTTTATCTCAAGCGATAGCCTTCTAAATACATACTCGCTCAATTCCTCAGGGTTCCTTATTCAGCCATCTTTCAGCACCTTGATTGGCCAGTCTGTAGGCTCTTGTTCCCCAAGCCGAGACCTACAAGTATCAACTTTCCGTATCGCCCACCGTCACGTATCTGCAAAACCGACCCCAAGCTCTTCGGGACTCATATCATATTTCGAGCTCCTTTTAAAAAGATCCTCAAATTCGGTTTTGGTTACTCTCTCAAAGCCCGGCCTTGAAATCCGTGATTCAGCAGAGCTCCCCAACTCTTGCGCCAAGCATTGCGAACCGTCAGGCTTATATTGGGGGGTGAGAAAGGGGTGAGAAAGAAAGCAAAAAAGACAGAGCCGAAGAGGACAAGTCTGTTCCTGGATTGACCTGGGGTCTGTATTCTCGTTAAAAAAGAAAAGAAAAGAAAAGACAGATATAATGGAGGACGATCGTACTCTAGTCGATCTCGGCATCGCTGCAGACCTCGAAGAGGACCAAGCGCTCCAAAATGTGGTGAGGCAGCCCAAGAAGCGGTTCGTGGGCAGGAGAATGGCGGCCGAGAATGCAGCAAAGTTTAGTACGGGCAACAACGCCTCGATCGAGGACAGTGGCGCTATTCAAGGTACACGATATTTTTATTTTACATGACAAAACTTAGAGACGGAGAGTGGAGGCTGATATTGATCTCATCTCACAGTTGCCCAGCCGAGGAGAGCGCCTCGGCTGCTGAACCAGGTGCCGCCCGAGATCCTGAATGACCCAGCGCTCAAGGAGGCCATGGCTCTCCTCCCAGCCAACTACTCATTTGAGATACCCAAGACGATCCAGCGCATCCGGTCGCTTGGGTCCAAGCGTGTGGCGCTGCAGATGCCCGAGGGCCTGCTGCTGTTCGCCACGACCATCTCGGACATACTCACGCAGTTCTGCCCGGGCATCGAGACGCTGATCATGGGCGACGTCACGTACGGCGCATGCTGCATCGACGACTACACGGCGCGGGCCATGGGCTGCGACCTGCTGGTGCACTACGCGCACAGCTGCCTGGTCCCCGTCGACGTTACCAAGATCAAGACGCTGTACGTCTTTGTTGACATCAGCATCGACACGACGCACCTGCTGGCCAGCCTCGAGCGCAACTTTGCGCCCGGCAAGACCATCGCCATGGTCGGCACCATCCAGTTCAACGCCACCATCCACGGCGTGCGGGCGACGCTCCAGAAGGCAGGCTTCCGCGTCATCGTGCCGCAGATCGCGCCGCTCTCGCGCGGCGAGATCCTCGGCTGCACGTCGCCGGACCTGTCGGCCTACGCGGCGGGCGGCGACGATGCAACGCCCGTGGACTTGATCCTATACCTGGGCGACGGGCGCTTCCACCTCGAGAGCATCATGATCCACAACCCGGGAGTGCCGGCGTACCGGTACGACCCGTACTCGCGGCGGCTGACGCACGAGACGTACGCGCACGACGAGATGCAGGACCTGCGGCGGCAGGCCATCCGCACGGCCAAGGGCGCGCGCAAGTGGGGGCTGATCCTCGGGTCGCTGGGCCGTCAGGGCAACCCGCACACCATGGCGCTCATCGAGCGCCGCCTTGCCCAGCAGGGCACCCCCTTTGTCAACCTACTCCTCAGCGAGATCTTCCCCGGCAAGCTGGCCCTCATGGAAGACGTCGAGTGCTGGGTCCAGGTGGCCTGCCCGCGCCTGAGCATCGACTGGGGCTACGCCTTCCCGCGCCCGCTGCTGAGCCCCTACGAGGCCCTCATCGCCCTCGAGGAGAAGGAAGACTGGGGCAAGGGCGCGTACCCGATGGACTACTACGGGAAAGACGGGCTGGGCAGGACGAAGCCCGCCGCGCTAGCAACGACTGCCTAGGAGTTCATGGCAAGCAGGCCGCAGTGAAATAAAAGTAAAAATAAAAACAAATGCTCTTCGGACCTATTTTTCGCCTTACTCAGTAGTTGCTTGTAGATATTTCTAATTATGCATACCAGTAAGTCCACCGCCACGGGTTGTACCAGTAAATACACACCCTCCCCCGAATGCTTTCTTATGAGAGCACCTTATTCCCATCCTCAACAGACTCGGAGACGAGCTTTCGAGACCTAACCCGTCGACGCTAGGCTCACAAGACGTACATGATAAGATTCTCGAGAGATGGCCGTAATCCTTCACAATAATCGCGAGCAGTACCGTGTACCTCCCTTCTCCCACTACGGCTCGGGAATCGCATCGCATCGCATCGCATCGCATCGCATCGCAGTGATGTCGCATCTAGTACCCTAGGCCACGATCTTCCCACGATCTTCCCACCCCATCCCCTCCCCTCTCAATAAATCACTCACTCACTCAAAAACCTTCGTCACGGGCTCAGGCCGCTGCGAAAAGACCAGCTTGTACTTGACGATATCAACGACCTCAAGATCCGCATCTTCCCCCTCATTCTCCTCACCCTCCTGCTGCAGTCCCCGCCGCCGCCTCCTCAGCACGGCCACGGGGCGGGGCAGTTTCTTGACCTCGCCCGTCAGGCGCTGGTGTAGGCCGACGCTCATGTGGACGCGCTTCATCCAAGCGGGGTCGCTGGCGGCGAGGTCGTCGGGGCGGTAGTCGGGGAACTCGAGGCGGCCGATGGCGAGGGCGTTGTTGCCGCTAGTTTCATCTACTTCTTTTTCTTGGTGGCTGTTGAGATGCTCGTCATCGTCGCCGTCACCGTGGCTGTGCTCGTGCTTGGGCGGCACGTTGATGGTGCCCTGCAGCTCGAGGATGGCGAGGCCGGCGGGCGTCTGCAGTAGTCCCGGCAGCGGGGTTTTGTTTAGTTGTTGTGATTGTTGCTGGGATGCCTGGTTCCTGGGGTAGAGTTTGACGGATGATGATGGCTGTGACGAGTCCATTGTTTCGTTATTGAGTGCCCTCCTGCTTATTACAGGCCGGGGATATTCACTTTTCTTGGCCCCAGTTGTATTGTACAATACTTTGTAAGGTGCTGTTTTACCACGGCCCGCAGTGGAAGGCTGTGGCGCGCATTGCGGTGCGGTTAATACTCCGAAACCCGGCACACTTGAAGAATATCCTTGGCGATGGTTCACTATTCTGTCAATTCCTCAGGTCTATTGTGCTGCGTATGTTCGGGTCAAAACTGATGAGAGATTCATGAATGATGCATTATGACACGCTTACGTAATTTTATCACCATCACTTCCTCGAACCCAACATGGTATCAACAGGCGGTGGATAATCATTTTCATAATAATTAGGCAACTGTATTTTATTGCCTTTTTGTCACCTTATTATCTTTAACTTCAAGTATTCGTAGGTGTTGTTGATCTGGTGGCAGTGGTTATTATTATCTAGCGTGATGTTTAATTAGAGAATGAATTGACTCTAGCGGCGAAAAGCACCCCAACTACAATGTGATAGCTTCATCCCAACGGTTGTCCGTGCCCAGAGGCTGTATCAATAAGAGGACGCCACAAAGTTTATTAAACAACGAATTATTTGTATTGAACCACACTGGCTTGCAACCACGCTCCAAAACTAGTTCCATACGCCCCGTAAGACCAAAGAATAAATGCACTTCTTTTCCATTTTACATGCCGGCTTAAATAGCGAGTTATATTGCCTCCCCCCACAGCACTACTAGCGAAGCTGGTATCGCACACAACTATCTTATAACGGCGTCGCTGTCGAGTTGATGCTGAACCGGTAGCTGGCCTGGAGAACGTATGGGTCACCACCCGGCTCAAAGATCTGCTTGCTGCTGCGCTGCCATTCCGGCTGGTTGATTCCATCGACCCAGTCCTCCACCTCGAGAACGACGCACCCATACTGGGGGATCGTTCGCGGGAATTTCGGGTTGTCAAACAAACCCTGGGTCTTCTTTAGCGCCATCGACCCATTTTGACCGTTGCACGAGTACATCTGGAAGGCTTCCTGATCCGAGTAAACGTCGAGCTGAATACCTGACCATGCGGACTGTAGGCGGGCCACAAAACCGTCCAAGCGCCAGTCATAGGGGCCATCTTGGTCGCGGTTAACTAGCCAGCAGTTGTCTGTGTCACGCAACAGTTAGCCTCCTATCGCAACCCTAAAAAGACCAGAAAAAGAGAAATATCCCATGTCTTACCATATCCAGTGCAGTTGAAGCCGCAATTACCCTCGAGCTCAGGATCTGAGAAGCTGCGCCCTATTTGTTTTGGCGCGCTCCAAAAGTCGTTTACCGATCCCTCTTTGTTGGCAACAATGTCGCCGGTTGGGATGAGAATGTTATCTACGGCCACGCGTTGGCCGCTATATGGTAGGTAGAAAGTGTGGTTCAGAACACTCTGCGTCTCGTTGTTGGCAAAGCCATCCAGGTTCCAGTATGTGTGGCTGCTCAACATGATGGGCGTCTTCTTGGTCGTGGGGATGGCAACCATCTTAAAATCCCAAGTCATGTTGCCAAGCGTGTAGGTAATGAAAGAGACTACCTCTCCGGGAAACCCCTCCTTGCCGTCCGGGTCGACAATGGAAAAGGTAATGCTGGTGTTGCTGTGGGCAACGACGGTGAAGTTTCGCCAATCCCAACCATCCGGCCCACCATGAAGCGTATCAAGCCCAGCTGGGTGCTCGGGGGTGGGATTCTCGTTGGCCGTGATCTGATAGGACTGTCCGTCTAATTCAAAGGAGCTGTTCTTGATACGGTTTGCGTAGCGGCCAGGGACTCCTCCAAAGTGGGGGTGCTGCCGGTCAAGGGTATAGTAAGTGGCGTTGTCAAAGCCTGTCACGACATCTCGTTGTATGCCGTACTGGTCCTTGATAAGAAGGTTTGAGACCGAAGCCCCATAAGGGACGAACGCTGCCGAAATGCCTTGTCCGTGGATCCAGTATTTCCCGTCCTTGTCAGGCTTTGGAACTGGTTTCTCGACTGTCTTCTGGCTCCTTGAGGCCGCAACGTTGACGCAGACTCCACTTAGGAGTAAAGTTGCTCCGGAGAGCCAGTCCAGACGCATGTTGAGTGAGAGGGCGAGATTTCGCCTTTACCCCCTAGAACCAGACTCCCAAGTAGAGACAATGTCGGCAGAGAGAAGAGAGGAGAGGCAGAGGCAGAGGCGACGGTGGGCTGCCTTTATATGAGTAGAAATGGTCTTAATATGCGTCTATAATTGAGCTCCCTCATCGGTAGGGAGACCCCGGCGCATGCGGGACGGGCGTATATAAGCCGTGGCAGGTGAGTGGTGGAGATGGAGGGAGCTTGATTCCCGCTGTGGACGGGACGGGCTTGGGACGAACTCTAATTCATCTGGTTCCCCTAGACGGGAAGAGGGTAAAAGTTGGGGTAGAGGCAGAGCGAGTGTGGGTAGGCATGGACCTGCGTTGAAGTCTAGAATCCGTCCGCCGTTCCCACCTTCAGCTGAGCAACTCGGGCGAGCAGGCCTGTCGAGAAACAGCAGGTCGGTGAGCGAAAACCTGGAAACGGAGCTCTGTGCAGCTGCTGTGCAACGGTGGTAATTAGTTTTCATGACCGGTTTTCATCCCAGTGCCATCACATGGGTACCCAGAACAACGACTACCTTCCTACTCGGCTCCGCGTTGAGGATGCCGGACGACAAGGGTCTGCTCACCGTGATAGTGTCGTGCAGCTACGGTCGATTGTGTGGGGAATTCAAGCCACGGATCCCTCCCAGCAGATCGGATCACGGCGGGCTGTCTTCTTCTTCCTCTTCTAGCGCAATGCTAGGGGCTGCACTGAGTGCTCGTGGCGTGGGAAACCTGATTGACTCAACATTAGGCGACGCGCTTCTCCCAAGGTAACTTTTTTTTTTCATCTCCTGAGCCCGCCCAACATTCGCTGTGAAGTATGAAACGGGCCGCCATACCGGTATTGCCAACCGAACAGGGAAGCATGGGCTGCATGGCTCTCGCAACAAGCAGCGGCGGGCTCTCGCACCCAGACTTGACAGAATCACTCACCGATCAGCACCCCTACAAGTAATAAACCATGAGAAGCAAATCATCTGCCCCGGAGGAAACCGTGGATGAAATTCCCATATGACGTTGCAATAAGGGCCGAGACTGCAACCAATGGATGGCCTTGTCATTGGCGCGGCTGTGGTGCCGGGGTCACCTTTTGGAGGCGTTCAGGGTGAAGCAAGTAACCAGCGTCTGGTGGCACATGAACTGCGGGGTTGGCCTCCACTTTCCGTCCCACACCCAGCCAGATCGTCGAGTGCCTGCCGAGATGGGTATCTGCCTCTATTATCCATGGATTGGAAGTTACCGTAGATGCGAAAGAAATAAATTTGTACCAATTGTCTGATTCTTTGTAATTTGTTAAAGGCTCACCGTTTTAAAAGGTAAATTGATACCTATAATATTCAACCACTTCTCTTGCGCCTTAACGATGAATCGAATCATGAGCGTACATTGAAGTTACTAGCCATTCAACTCACATTACTCCGTCATTCCCATATATGCATGTCTGTACATATACCCAAGTTACCCACGGCATCAAGCATAGAGGCAACTAGCCCGCCCGCCCGCTCCCGTGAAAGATCATGCTAGCAGGGCCAATTTCGGGATATTCCGCGCAGATATAACCTATACCCCGTAACCTAGCTTGTCCCGTCCGCTCAAGCTTCTGTCCCGTCTCCCCCGAACCGGCCGCTTCTATGCGCTCCAATGACGAGAAGACTACGCTTTTAGTTGCACACTATGCTCGTTATATAATAGACTGAGAAGAAATACACAGCCCGCCCTCCTCACGACGACGGAATTGAACTGCGCCAAACAGCACGGCAAGCTACGGCAAACGATCGAGGCGACAAGCAGCTTTGTTTTGAATACCAATGAATCCATAATACTGGTTCAATTCCAATCTACAACACCGCGACCAAACAACGTCCTATCAGATACAAAGTCTTGCGCCAAACATACAGAATGCAAGTTCCACGAATAGGGCCTTGGAAGGGAGGAAACAATAAAAGCCACTACTACCGCGTGAGGGGGCAAAACACAACGTCACTATAGTCTCTAACCAACCAGCGAACGACCAGAATTATGCATCGATCAGGTTCTCCTCGCCATTGTCTCTGGTATCTTTGGCCGGCGCGGGCTGGTTCCCAGCCTTGGCTTTGATCGCGCTCGTTCTCTGGTAGTACTCGGCGATGATATCGGCGGGGATACGGTTCAGCATGCCCTTTTTGTAGATACGCAGCAGGCTCCACGCAAGATCCAGGGACTCGAAGATCGTCCGCGACTCGTACGGCTGCTGGGTGATAAAGGTGCGCTCAAACTTGTCGAGGAACTCGAGCGACAGCTTGTCTTCTGCAGAAAGCGCTTCCTCGCCGACGACCGCCTTCATTGCAGCCGCATCACGGCCAATGGCGTACTTTGCATAAAGCTGGTTCGATACGTCGCCGTGATCCTTTCGGGTCATGCCCTCACCAATTGCTGACTTCATGAGACGGGAGAGCGACGGCAGCACATTGATGGGGGGGTAGATACCACGGTTGTGCAAGCTTCGGTCGACAAAAATCTGGCCCTCCGTGATGTAGCCTGTCAAATCAGGAATCGGGTGGGTAATGTCGTCGTTGGGCATAGTGAGGATAGGAATTTGCGTGATGGAGCCATTCCGGCCAGCGACACGACCAGCTCGCTCGTAGATGGTCGACAAATCGGTATACATGTAACCGGGGAAACCACGGCGGCCGGGAACTTCTTCTCGGGCGGCCGACACTTCACGTAGGGCGTCGCAGTAGGCCGAAAGATCTGTGAGAATAACCAGGACGTGCTTTTCGAGTTGGTAGGCATAGTACTCGGCGGTTGTCAGAGCCAGACGGGGAGTGATGATACGTTCGATTCTACCATCTCGTTAGCAGGCTTCCGGAGACCTTGACCAGTATGGGCTCTTACGTTGGGTCGTTTGCAAGGTTGAGGAACAACGTCACGCGCTCCAAGCTTCCGTTCTCCTCGAAGTCGCGGGTGAAGAACCGGGCGGTTTCCAAGTTAACACCCATGGCGGCAAACACGATAGAGAAGTTTTCCTCGTGCCCATCGTGAGTACCCTTGTTTGTTAAGCCCTGCTTCTGAACCAAGCTCGCCTGCCGGCAGATCTGGGCGGCAATCTCGTTGTGTGGCAGACCAGCGGCGGAGAAAATAGGAATCTTTTGCCCACGGGCAATCGAGTTCATCGTGTCGATGGCGGAGATACCAGTCGAGATCATCTCCTCGGGGTACACCTGTCTCGTCTTTAGCGACTTGCGCTACCGGGCTGTGTCTGCAATCGAGCTTATCGGACTTACTCTTGAATAGGGGTTAATGGGGCTTCCGTTGATGTCCAAGTACTCCTCGGCCAAGACCTTGGGTCCCTTGTCGATGGCTCGCCCTGAACCGTCGAAGATGCGCCCCAGCATGTCTTCCGACACGCCGAGCTTCAAGCTCTCGCCCGTGAATTTGACTCGAGTCTTGCCCTATAGTCAGCTGCTGCCCCTAAGTCCCATGCCAGTATTTGCCTCACCTTCTTCACATCGATGCCCGAGGTGCCCTCGAAGACCTGTATACTGGATCAGCACATAGTTCCGGAGCTGGTCAGATCAGTCCACATATAGTACCTGAACAATTGCTCGATTTCCTGCGAGAGAGCCGTCAGCGGGGGCTGGAATCGGTTCGGAGGGGTGCACCTACCTCGAGCCTCAAGGACCTGACCAGATCGCTCCGTTCCATCGGGGAGGGTCAGGGTTACGATCTCGTTGTACCGCGGGTATTTCACCTAGCCTAACAGTTAGAGAGCACATGGAAACGGGAAGGGGCTGGGCCGCCAACATTGTCTAGGATGACGAGAGGGCCATTGACGCCGCCGACGGTGTTGTAGCGGAGCCGGGGCGCCACCGAGTACGATGAGGATTCCCGCGGGTCGCTCATGGTGAATGGCGAGCGTGTAGGCTTTTCTCTGGCAGACTATCGATGCGAGTCTCGTGTCCAGCTCAGGGAAAACAGGTTGGGGATCAAAAGAATTGCTAGGTGGGTTGCGGTGTGATTGTCGATGCTGCGTAGCCGGACCAGGAGCTGGCGCTTTCTCCACTGGCAAGCTCCCCCCCAACCTGAATGGCCACCAGCTTGGCCCACGCTAGGGTATCCGTCCGTAGCACAGGTGCCTGTAGCCACATATGGCCCCGCATCCTGTTGGCGGCACAGCCACAGCCCAGACCAACTGATTGAAGAGGCAGTTACGCCTCAGTCCTGCTCGAGTGATCGACAGCGATCGATAAAGAGTAGATATTATGCTATATTAGCGACCAAAATTTCATTACTAATTGGATTTCTATGTACAGTGGGAATAGCAAGGTAAATTCCTCTCCATTCGCAGTTTACCGGTTATTTAATTCAGGTCAGGGCTGCACCTGTGGCTGGAAACTAGGTCCTGTGTTGAGCAGACCCCACCTGAAGCTTGGGAACCTTGCCGACCCCAGCAAGTGCCCTGGGTTTGCGATTTTGGGGGTCGATTTTCTGTCGCCTCTCAAGCACGCCACCAAACAACAATCGAATCGGAAGCTGGACGGGCACTTGACGCCGCGTATTGTCGCCTGACAGTATTTGCGCATTGAATTCGAAGGGTCGACAATGTCGACCATCTATGATCTCGAGCCACAGCCGACGGCATCCGTCATTATCCACACGACAGAAGGCGAGCTGTCTGTACAGCTCTTTGCGAAACAAACCCCGTTGACTTGCCGCAACTTCCTGCAGCTAAGCTTGGACGGATACTATGACCACACCATCTTCCACCGCCTGGTACCAGGGTTCATTCTCCAGGGCGGAGACCCAACCGGCACCGGCCACGGGGGCGAGTCCATATACGATGGCGGTGCACTCAGCGGAGATCTGGGTCCCTGGCCGATGGACCAGAGGAAAGGGAAAAATGCCGGCGAAATGGGCGTCAACTTCAAAGACGAGTTCCACTCGCGCCTAAAATTCAACCGACGCGGCCTCTTAGGCATGGCGAACGAGGGGGCGCCCAACACCAACAGCAGCCAGTTCTTCTTCACCCTCGGCAAAGCAGAGGAGTTGACAGGCAAAAACACCGTGTTTGGCCGGGTAGCTGGAGACACCATATACAATCTGGCTAGAATGGCAGAGGCAGAAGTTTCCGAGGGAAGCGAGCGGCCGCTTTACCCTGTTAAGATCACCCATATTGAGATCCTGACCAACCCCTTTGACGATATGAAGAAGCGCGAAAAGAAGTCTCGGGAGCTGCCGCAAAGAGCGGCGCCAGGAGACAAGAAGCAGAAGAAGAGAAAAGGGGGCAAGCAGCTCCTGAGCTTTGCGGATGAGGAGGGCGAAGGGGTCGACCTCCCTGTTATCAAAAAGGCCAAGTTCGATACAAGAATCGTGATGGATGTCGACGAGGAACCAGCTCAGCAGAGCGGGCCCAAGACAACGTCTACCACCAGGAAAGAGCCAAACCCTTCAAGTAAGGGGGACCGCGGACGAGAAAAGCCGGCAAAGGAAGCGCGGAGGAGCCCGAGCCCGCCACGCCCCGCCCCGGCGAGGAAGGAGCCGCCATTACCAGAGACCAGGGTATCTTCAAGCCATGAGCCGGAACCTCGGCAGAAGAAATCTCTTCTAGAGCGGACGAACGAAGAGATTGCGGCAATCAAGGCATCGATGAAACGGACAATCCACACGGAGCCGGTTAAAGAAAAGAAAAAGTCGGCCCTAGAACAGCTCATACCGGATACATCGATACGTGGGAGGAAGCGGAGGCCAGGGGCTGCTCAAGTGGGTACCAGGGAGGAACAGGAGGCTCTTGAAATTCTAAAGTCGTTCAAGTCAAAGCTGCTGCAAGCCCCTTCAGAAAAGACTGTGGTTCAGCCGCTGGCGCCTGAGGGGAAGGAGAAGCCTGGCGAAGAAGCTACGGCCGAAGAAGGGGAAGTATGCGACCTGCATTTCATCTCCAACTGCCAAAGCTGCCTTGCCTGGGACAAGCTCGAAGAAAAGGAAGAGAGTGACGACGAGGGGTGGATGTCACACAAGCTGAGCTTTGTCGCCGACAAACTGGGCAAAGATCTCAGCTACCGCAAAAAAGCCGAGGAGGAGCTGGTCGTGATTGACCCGCTGGAGAAAGCCAGAACTCTCAAGGAGGAAAAGAAGGCATCCCGAGACGCCCGGTCTGGTGCCACGTCCAGAGCGTGGGACCGTCGGCGTTGAAGACCATAGTCTCTGGAGAGAGAGTAAAGACTGTCATGATTAATTTAACGCTATAATATACCCCCGTATGCTCTATACTCTGGTCGCTGCGTGACTGGATGTTTCTGATATTCTGCTTTGAGTGTGCGTGCGACCAGGCGGACGGTTGCCGAGCTAGGAGAGGCGACCACGGCTATCCGTACTTGGGTTGTGTTCCCGGAGACGAATCATGGAACCTGTTTTCTACTGATGGTGCCGGTGAAATTGCTCCGTTAGTGACATAACGTTGGAAAATTAGCATCTTATTTTCTTCAAGTTGTTTAATTTTTAGAAGGTTTGTTACAAGCCTTTCATTATCGCAGGGGATTTAATTGTGATTCTACCCCTCGATTCTTTGGAGCCATCCACTTGACAGAATAGTATAAAGCACGGATAGGTACCTAGGTAGACAAACAGACAAATATAGGCTGTTCTGGTCTAATGAAATATTGTAATCGCTCCTAGCCTTGGGGCTGAACTCCTTGTCCCTATCCTGATTATTTGTTCTTGGCCTTTTGAGGAGTAAAGTTCCACCATGTTAAACATCGTGGGGTAGTTAATACCCAAGGTATCCATATTCATCTTCACCCAGTATCCTGTAGCAATAAGAAGAAACACAATCAAGGTGTCCCGGTCTTTATTGTTAGGCTGCCGTAAAATTGTAACGTAAAATTGTAACGAATAGCAAGAAATTATGCATAGCCTATTGTACTAAGATGGGCCCTATGTTCCTATGTTTTGTTCCTATGTTTTGAAGGCATTGTTGATAACCTGGTGTCCTTCTTAGCGGTGCCCCAATCCTTTGGGAGGTTGCTGCGATTTCATCAAGTTCTGTGCAACCAGCCGCTAAACCAACAGCAAGGCGCGGTTATTGTTTCCACGCAGGCCTTATGTGCAAGGTTCCCGTCACCAATGCGGATATCTCGGCTCTCGGTGACTATTAGCTCATTTTTAGCCCAAAATTAAACTGTGGCCTTTAAACTCGCGTCGCTGGCAGGCGTCTTATTCTTTGCACGGGCTTCACCTCAACACTCAAGCTTGTCAACCCCACACGGTTAACTCGCGGGAACAGGCCCGCGTTAGTGACTACCGTGGCCCGTGATTGGCCCGGCAAGCGAGAATATCGCTGCTCGGTTTTGATTGATCTCGATCACATCGCCGGCTGAGTGAACATCCACCGCCGCCAAATGTCAGTCCAGTTGTTCGCTGGAACCTCAGTGTCTGACCACTCGCCTCGACTCGCTTCTTCGCCACGGGTTGCCATCGTCGCTCTTCATCGCGCCCTGTACTGGTGTTGTCGCAAAATCCCGATCTTCGCTCCTTTCTTCGTCAGACTCGCAGAAGGACTAAGCTGAGGCAGCAGCGGCGGCGGGCGAAAGACACACCGAACAAGGCTCCCTCAAACCTTGCATTCCGCATCGCTGGCGTCGAGGCCCAAGAGGAGCCCGCGGCATTGAGCACCCGCACCACCACCGAGACACCTGCCTACCCTACCCGCCCCATCTATCTCACCATCTTCAAAGACGGCGCCTTGTCCTGCGACAGACCACCCCTTCGCCCTTGTCGTCCCGCAGCCGACAATACCGGCGCCCTCGGCCGTGCTAGACCATCCTGAGACGACCTGATGCAAAGCTTAGGCAGTCTCCAACGAAAAGCGACAGGAATTTGAGCCCGGCTTTATAACTATATAAGGTGAACGAAGGCGTTGACAGTCACTGCTGGAACCGCCTATACGTCTTGGCGTACGATCGAGAATCCGCGAACGCGCCCCTGTTGTCATCATCACAAACCCAACCGCGAGCGCGATAGACTGCCGCCGAAACTTTTTGAGGAAGCCCCGTAGGTCCACGATACAGAATTCCAGGCCGGTGTGTGGTGGTTGGCGTGCTGCAAAAACGGCCCCATCTCGGGACTGGGTCTGGAAAAGGATACTCGCATCTCCCTCTAGCGACCGGGAACTCTTGAGTCGCTTGCGTGAGTCGCTGCTGGCTGTGTCGGGCTTCTCGAGTCCGACATCGTCTGGCTGAACGCATGCTCGCGCCTGTTATGTCGTCGCCAAATCCTAGAAAACGACCAGCCCCCGGCACTGCTCCTATGGTGCCTCTGACACAGATGCAGCAACAATTTTCTCCCGTGCAGCCGGACCAGTTATTCAGGTGGAACGGTGCCGCAGATAGCAGCGGCTTTGTCGAGTCAACGTCGCCAACAGTAAACTCATTCCCCATGATGTCACAGTCTGGCCAATACGGACAAGCAGTTCCGACGCCTTCAACGGCACTTGCGCGCCGGCAGAACAACCGTGCTCTTGTGCCCTCCGCCAGTAGGCTGCCCTTCGACAATGTCCCTGAAGTCTGGAGCGGCTTTACCGAGGACCCAGCGTTCCTCTCGGGCTCAAACGGGGCGCCAGGGGAGCATGACAGTGTCGAGCACCTCGAGGAGCTGGCCCAGCGAGCGAAGAGAGAGGCGCAGACGAAAAGGAAACAAATCCCTCCTTTCGTGCAGAAACTGAGCAGGTTTGTCAGACCCGTGAAAATCACTACGAGATGCATACTCATTGTCACATAGCTTCCTTGACGAATCACGGAACACGGAGCTCATTCGGTGGTCCGACAAGGGGGATTCCTTCGTTGTTCTAGACGAAGATGAATTTGCAAAGACGCTGATTCCAGAGCTCTTCAAGCACAACAATTACGCCTCGTTCGTGCGGCAGTTGAATATGTACGGGTTCCATAAACGAGTGGGCCTCTCAGACAACTCTATGAAGGCAAGCGAGAGGAAAAACAAGAGCCCAAGCGAGTACTACAACCCGTACTTCCGGCGTGGTCACCCGAACCTGTTGTGGCTCATAAACAAGCCAAAAAGCGGCAACAACAAGAAGAAGGGGAAGAAGGACGACGGCGATATGGAGAGCGACGAAGACGGTATAGTCGAGGAGACGTACACAAGTCAGAGCGTGCCAGTGGTTCCCATGGCCAGAGGCGCCTCGGTTGTCAATGAGGTTGGGCCGCTGCAAAAGAAAGACCTTGTGCAGGTCAGGACCCAGCTGGATAGACTCCAGCAACAGCAGACGGCGATATCTTCCATGCTTTCCAAATTACGGCAAGAGCACACCCAGCTCTACCAGCAAGCCGTCATGTTCGAAAACATGCACGAACGGCACGAGAATTCGATCAATGCAATATTGAACTTTCTAGCCAACGTTTTTAGGAAATCGTTGGAAGAACAGGGCGGTGCGCAGAGCGTGCAGGATCTCCTGGCGAGCATCATCCCAAACGCGCAGGGGCATGCTTCGGCTCAGATACCTCGCGGCGGCGTCGTTGAGATAAACGACTTCATCCCACAGTCCCAAAAGGTGACGGCAATGAACACACCGAAGCGCCAGCAACGCTTGCTGCCGCCAATACCGCATCAAGCAAGCAAGGCCAGCACCATGTCCCCCTCCCCAACGCCCGCCGCCACCACCCCCCAACCGTCATACCAAAGGCCTCAAATGGGGTCTGTGACGGAGGTTTTCGACACCTCTCCCGGTGACAGTTCCTCGCCAGCCTACATTAAGAACGAACTGCAAAACAATCCCCAGGAGGGCATGATGAAGATCATCCAGGACACCAACGCGGTCAACAACAATACCTCGGGGATTGACCTGCCGAATGTCGCTGCTAAGACGTCCACGAACATGAGCAACGACCAACGCAGCAAGATGCTCAGTATCATGGCTGGCCAGATGCCAAACCGCGCTACCACCTCCACCCCTAGCTCGCACGTCCCGACTCCGGCCCCACCGGCCCCAACTCCAGTAGCCTTCCAAAATTCCAACGTGTCTCTCTCCCCGATCTTGTCTTCTATGGCTCCTCCGTCTTTGCATAATGTCCAGGCCACACAAGCGGACCTCGACGTCCTGCAGCAGCTGCAAAGCGACCAAGCCAACCAAATCAACCACCTGTCCAGCCTGCTCGGCCCCCTGAGCCCGTCCGGCCAGATCCCCGGCATCGACGACAGCGGGAACCCGAGCTTCTTTGACAACGTCGACTACGAGCAGTTCATCAACTCGAACGCCTTTTCGGACCACCACTATGACACCAGCTTCGCGGGTCTGAACGGCACGGGGGATACCAGCGACTTTGATTTCAGCCTCGACGGGGTCGGCGCCGGCGGCGTCGGCTTGTTCCCTGCGCCCGCCGATCAGGCGACGGCCACTGCCGGTGGTGTTAGCGATCACAATTCTGCTGCTGCTAGTGCAGCCGCCACGTTCGAGCCGGGCCGCGTCTTTGAGACGCACTCCACCTCAGACACGCCCAGTCCGTCGGGCACCGAGGAGATCTTCCGCAATGACCTGGGCAGCCCGGAACGCGATGCTAAGCGCCGCCGTAAGGGTTGAGATTGAGGAGTTGCGACGATTATGATATCTCTCCCGTTTGTGAACCGTGGGGGCGGTGGCGTACACTTGCTTTGCTTATTTCTGGGGATGGCGCTTCGGAGTTTTCTTCTTGCCTTGCCCTGACTTCCTCTCCCTTCTACCTTTTTATCTTGGGGCGGCGGCGTCATGGGCCGGCAGGCAGGAGGGCACGGGGACTAGTGCAACACGGGCTGGGCTGGGACTAGGTCGGGCTTAGGATCTTAGGATCTGTAAGCATAGGCAGGTTTACTCTCACACACACGCACACACATATATGCACATATAGGATAGGCACAGCGAGAAGAATAGTAGGAGAGGCCGAGCTCTTAGCATTTCGGAAGATGTTTTTCCTTAACATTAGATATCCCTGAACAAAATTTCAGATTCAAGGGCTTTTTCTTTCTCATCTTTTTTCTCTTGCCGGTTTTTTTCTTCTCGTTTTTATTTACATATTTGGGGGGGAAGAGACAGGCGATATTGACGAGGTATGGACGGGACGAGATGGGATGTTTGATGAACTTTTGGGTGGTTTTTTGTTGTTTCTGTCTTTTATTTATCGGTGGTGGTCCCTAAACTTTTACTTCTCTTGTTCAATTTTGATTACTCGTTCGCGGGGAACAGAGGGACGCGGTTTTCTTTTTTGGTGGTCCGGGGTTCACACAAGATTTGGAAAGGTCATAAATAAAGAGATAAGAAATATACGACTTGATGACTCTTACTCTTGTTTGTTTACCCTGTCTGGAGTGTTGGTTGTGTGTTGTTTTGGATTGATTCTGGTGAAGTGGGGAGTGAAATCAGGTAACGAACGCGTAGGACGGGGCAGGTGGCCTTTCAGACTTTGACTCCAGTTCGAGACAAGGTGAACGGTTTCTGTGCCACTGTGGTTTGATACCCAGGGTACGGAGCAGATACGAGACAAACAAAGCAAAATTTTGTTGTGTAGTCACAGCTTTGGAATACTAGTACTCTGTTTAAATTTATCATTCTTATTCATAATTCTTTATCTATGTCTGGCTCCTGGAGTGACTCTTGATTGTCTTGAGTTCGATACAAGGTTGCTTCTTTACTAAGACTTGTGAGGCCAACGGCCTGCCTCTGCTTTGATTGGCTTTTGTCTAATTTGTCTGGTATTCATAGACGAGCTGGCTTTTGACTTTAAAAAGTCTAAAAGGCCAGTGCGAGAGATCAGGCAGGCAGGTTTGATCACCTGATTACGGAGCATTGAATAGGAAGCGGCCGTGGCTGCCAAAGTCGCTTTATAGTCCGAATGCCTCTATGATCACGCATGTGCATGTCTAACTTCTTATGCTGGGTTTGTAACGAGCTCAGCCTGTAACAGCGCAACAAGCTGTCGTTCGCTGACTCAATAGCCCGCTATGCTGCCTGGATACGATAACCCCTAGAACGAGCCCAGCACTGTTTTATGTGCCACTTTGGATGTAATAGATGAGCGCGCAGAGAAGCCTGCAAAAGTGGACCGCCTGACAGCCCTGTCCTGTGTCTCGCATCACGCCGCCAGCGGGTTTGCGTGTATCGTGACGTTGATTATGTGGACTGGTTCCTTGGGGCGGTTCTTCTTGTCGATCTCAACCTGCTCGATCTTGGCCAGCGTGTCGAGGCTGTCGTCGCCCAGCAGCTTCCCAAAGACGGTGTTTAGCCCATCCAGGTGCGGCGCACGGTCAAACAAGACAAAAAACTGGCTGCCGTTGGTCCTGGGGCCCTTGTTGGCCATGCTGAGCACTCCGCGGCCGTGGTGCTGCAGCGCCGGCCGGATCTCGTCCTCGAAGCCCTCGGCGGCGCTGAAGATGGAGCGGCCACCCTTTGGGTTTTCTGGGGGATACGGATGCGCCGGCGCGCCAGTCTGGGCCATGAAGCCGGGTATCACCCGGTGGAAGGGAGACTCGTCATAATAATTGGACGCGCAGAGGGCGAGGAAGTTCTGAGGGTGACGTGTTGGCTAAGCTGGAAATCGGAAAGGGATGTAGCTTTTCAGAGCGGGCTTACCTCGGCCGTCTTGGGGACGCTCTCACAGAACATCTCGATTTTGAGGTCCCCGAGATTTGTGTGCAGAGTTACAGACATGGTTAGTGGGGGTGGAAAGCAAGGCTGTCAAAGTCGCGATCGCGCCGTCGTTCCTTACCCCGTGGTTTAATTCAGTACGCGATGAGAAAAACAGCTCTGGGCAGAAAATGGCCCCACCCCCTGCCCAGTTGACGTCTAACGCCAAGCAAAGATCCACGTGGGGAAGCTATGGCCGCATTTAGGTACTCTCTGCCGCGAGGTACTGTTTGTTAGCGGCCAGCAGCCGAACTGTGTTGGTGACCCTGATTGAACCTGACGTACACTAGAAATGCATGAATGCACCTAATAATGTGACTTGGGCCGCTTTGATGGCCCGGCCCCCACCGACTGGAGACCGGGGAAGGTCGCGCAGATCCCCCATCAAACTTCAAACCCCCAAAGCTCAATCTAGACTTCACCGATTGACGACATCATCCTCGGGTTTGTTTTGGATAAAATCCAACATGAGTAATCCATTCCACTCAACCTCGGGAAACATGAGGGTAAACTCCCTTGGGATGGCTCGGGACTAAATGTGGTACATACAGGCCCTAGTATCGGCAAGACACACCAACATGGAACTGTACCCGAAAAAGATCCACAAATCACCTCGACTCCAGAGGTCAATAAGTCACCCGCGGCTAGGTATGTAAGTCTCGTGTCATATTACAAGAGGCTAGAGAGGAAGAAACAGTCCAAGCGTTCAAGCTGCCTGCCTGGTGTACCATGACGGGAAAGGCGATCAAGCGGTCAGTCATTTAGGGCTTCTCGCATTTGGATGGAGTCGGCTCTTCTTCGTACGGGTACTGTGCATGATGTAGGTGGTCAACCGTTCCGTTGTTGATACCGAAATCCGGAGACTGGGCCGAGGTCGATCATCAGGGGTTTCAACTGAACTGTTAACATAGGGCCCGACTACTGCAGGAACGATACAATATATTATCATAACTTGGTTTGACGTTGGATTCCCTGCGACGGGAGGACGGTGGTCTAATCAGCCCCGGTGCTCTCCAGGGGAGGCATTCCATGGCACCATCCTGATTGCGATGCACACCCGACCCTGCTGGGCCATCTCACTCACGTCCTCCGCATCCGCCCACCTACCCACCCACCCACATTCTCATCGATGCGACCCGCGCTGGGAAACTTCGCGGGACGGCAGGATGACAGGTCATTGGGCCAATTGCCAATTGCTGCGGCTCAGGTCTCGCAACGGGCACCCACTCAGGGCGTAGTGTGTGGACTGCACTGTGCTGTAATGTACACGTTTATGGTGGTATGCCTGACTTTGATGTTGTCAGCGCAAGGCTGCCTCTGCCTCATCCAATTCACTTGCAGTTGGCATTTCGGGACTGTTCATCGCAATTGCACATGACCCAAGAGCGTTTTGGATTTATATTTACATCAATCAGGAGGGTTGGGAGACATCAGACTAAAATACATGTGTAGATTGATTAGACCCAGTGACTCTGAACCAAGTCAACCTGCTCTCGCGAAGTGTTCCAGTCACAACGGCCTTGCCGCACCCAGAGGTACCTCATGCTGTGTGTATCGTCAGGTCATACCGTAGGTACCGCATACTACGAACTCCGAACTCGACCAGACAATCGCCCTGTTCGCGTGCGACTGGCCCGGCGAGGGGCACGAACAAGAAGGCGGTTCCCCCGGTGCGGCACGGTCCAAACGATCAAAGAACGGGGTTTAAGGCCTGGTTCTGATACATAGAGGTCCAACAAGGACGGCTCCCAGAGGCAAGGCGAAGGCGAAGGCGACAGGGCGGCGAGAGATCCCGTGCAGTTGAGAAGCCGATGGAAGTCTGAACCGAACAAGGAACGAGACAACCCACCTACCTACCTCACCACTAACCACTAACCCAAGCCAAACATACCCCGACCACGGCGGCTCGAGGTGTCTTTCCATTTGAGGTGGCCCCCTGTCGTCCTGCGACCCAACAACAGCTCCGAAAAAATAAGCCTGGCCTGCAGCTGGCGCCTCAGCAGTAACCTAGGTTCCTTAGTACGTACTGTAGCACTGTGGGCTGCAAGCGACTGCCGCGTGCTTTATTAGTGAAGTGACGGTACATCCGCGCGCAGCGTCTCACCACCTTCCCAAGGTAAATCCGCACACAATCCGAACCGGGCCAGCCAGAGCCACAGCATACCTTCCTTACCTAGGCGACAACATTGCCCACGCAACTTGCACGGCAGCCACGATATCAATCGCGAAGCACCGGCGCTCTCTCTCAGTCTAGCGGCGGCGGCAATCCCATCCACCCTCAGTAATGCTCAAAGCTCCCTTATCCTTATCGACAGCAAGTCCCTGCGACGTCCAAAGCCAGAGCCGGGTACCCCTCACCTCGAATCCCACTGCCCTGCCCGCAGTCTGCACCAGCTCGAGGTCCGCCAGCCAACTCCACCACAACGCATCACACCCGCCCGATCCCCAGCCAAGTCTCAGCCGCCCCGAGTCGCGGCGAGGCCCGCCTCTGGTGACAGCTTCATGAACGGCGACGGCCGCCGCGCCTGCGCTCCTCCTCCTCCTCCCTCTTCTCAACGACGACGACGACACCGTCCACCCCCGACGCAGCACCCCGCCCTCGCCAACCGCGGGCGCTGACGCCAGGATGAATGCGTTAAATGCCCCTGCCACGGTTCGCATCTCGGGCCCGCCCAACAGCAGCTTCCTTGTCGGCTACCCGGGCATATCCGCGACGCTGGTGAGTCTATGTCCGCGTACTGCATTTCCTTTCTTGCCCGTCGCATGCCCCCCTGCAGCCCATCCGCCGCGCACAAAGCGGTGCCAACCTTGGATTGCGAACTGGCATATACGCCCGTCTATCGCGGCCCGCTCCGTGCTGACAGCGCTCGTGTGCGCAATCGTAGCCTAGGATCGTGGGCAAGGTCGAGATTCGGCCAGGCGCAGGCTATTCGGCCCCCGTCAGTGTGTCGATGGTGCGCATCTGCCTCCAGCGGCGAGAGACGATACACCCCGCGGCCGAGAATGTCGCCAAGCGCCACCTCGGCACCCCGCGGCGCGAGACCATGGACCTGGTCGGCAAGGAGGTCCTACTCTTTCGCTGCGTGTCGGGCAAGGAGGCGGAAAGCGTGATCGCCATGGACTTGCCCTTTCAGATATTCATCCCGTTTGGGCGCGGCGGCGAGGAGATCAACCGCCGCATCCCACCAGCGAGTTTACAGCTACCCAGCCGGACCGCTGAGACTTTCTACGAGCTGGTTGTCACGGTGCAACAGGGACAGAGTATACAGAACCGATACACATTCCCAATCCCGCTCCAGCGGTACGACACCCTATCGACCTTCGGCATGTACAATCGCCCAGAAGAAAAGGCCGTCACGGCAGACAACATCGTGACACTAGGCATATCCCTTCCCAAGTGGAGCTACGGCCCCCTGGACCCCATTACCGTCTACATCAAGCTGGCGCCCAACCCGGACTGGCTGAGCAAGGCGAGGAGGGTGACGATACAGAAGATCACCCTGGCCATCGAGGAGGAGATAACTTACAACCCCGAGGGAGACGAGCCGACTAAGAAGATCAACAAAATCGCAAAGCACACGCAACCGGTAGGGACTAAGATGCCCGAAACCGGATACGTGACCAACCTGGGGTTGGTGTTCCCTGCGCGCGATCTCAGAGACCCGGACGGCATCATCAAACGAGGGAAGCCCCAATTCCCCATGTACGAGGTGACAAGCTTCACAACAACATCGACGCTGTACAAGATCGAGTTCTTCTTGACTATCAAGGTATGTTTGCGCACTGCAGCGCGTCGCTTTCTGAACTAATGGCTCACTGTTTTCCCTAGGCGCACATGACTTCAGCGCGCGACATTACGCTCCGCCAGCCGATTGTAATATGTCCAATGGACCAGCAGGCCTGCAAGGAAGAGATGAATGCGATCGAACAAGCGGCGAAGGACGCCTCACATGTCGACCCCAACAACCCGCTCCTACCGGACCGCACCATCATCCTCGCGAGCGAGAGGGAAGCGATACGGCACCTCGGGCTATGCGAGGTCGCAGGTGTCAAGAAGATGCTCATCGAATGACGGGCCGTGCAAATTGCGTGTCTGAGACATTTGGCTGGGGGACCGGCCAGGACGCAGATATGTCTGTCTCTGCACCATCTGCCACTCGAGACGGGTCCGCCCCAAAGTCTTTCGCGCGAAGCTGAGCCGAGATATGCTCACACGACCGGAGGACCAGGACCCAGAGCACTCGACTACTTTTGGGTGTTACTTGCCGCCACAAAACACTGTTCAGATGAATCTTGTGTGTGTGTTGGCAGACGGGGATACGGCCCCTCTCGGGCTCCAGCAAGTCTAGCTAATCCCAAGTGGCCTCGACTTAGTCCGTCTGTTACGACGGAGGGTGAACAAACCGCCCCCGCCTACGGTACGGTTGTGGCTGTCGAGTTACACATGAGCGAAGCCTTTTATTCGAACATCGATACGGAACTAGACCAAGGCTCTCGGGAGAAAAAAAAAGAGGCCTGAAATATGTTTAGAGCTTATCCGGCCACAACCCAGCAGCCTTGAGGGAAATAGGGAATGTGACCTACCTACCTACTTCAATGTTGATGAATTAATTTAAGGGAAGCAGTGATTTTTTTTCTTCTTGAAGAAAAGAAATTCATCTACCGGCGCGGGTTTAGCTTTGGCATTCTTGCTCGAGTTTTCTTCCGTGTTGGTTCTGTTTTGGCTAGGGGTTGGTTGGTTCTGGGAGTGGCTTCTGGTGTTTACTGGAGACGTGGCTGGAACACTTGGGAGGGGGGAGGAATGGGATGGGATGGAATGGGCGGCGGATTTGTTGTCATGAGTTCTTGGGTTTTTTGGTTCATGTTTTTCTACTCTGGATATCATGTCCGCTGCCTCCTGTTCTGGGGGTGTGGAACTTGGGTTGATGTCGTAGGACGGTGGCTTGGGTCTTGTGTTTGATGAGGGAGTCTGTGTGTGAGAGAGGGAGAGACGGTGGTGAGGCTTGTCGATAAGGGTGATGGGTTTCTCTCTTTGCCACTCATGATGAGATGATGATGATGACGATGGGGGTGTTTCGTGTATATATTGTTCTTACAGTTAGCAAAAGCAAAGCAAACCGGCGAGCCTAGGAGACGGAAATTGGAGTGCCGGCGCCATGCATGGATGGCGGCGACTCTGGTTTCTGGCTGGACCTGGGCAACTGGGCTTTTGTTGCGGATCGATCTTATCGGACAGAGACATGTTGAGGAAAGAAATGAAAACTGCCTAACTCTACCTTACTTAGATCAGATATTTTACCTAGTGGGTGTTATCTACTAGAAGGAATACTCCTTACTATGTACATAAAGTCAATCACACCCATGGTATTTACCTGGTCTGCTCCGGTGTTACGTGTACAGGGCCATACGTCCTAGACACCTTTAATTCAACTTCCTTCAGCCGGCCTCACCTAAAACCAAAATTGGTCATCAATGATCAAACTTCGCTTTCGAAACAACCTTTTGATCTCGGTTCAGACAATTCCCGACTTGCAGCTTTCTCGTAAACCATGGAAGCCGAAATGGGAATGCTTGCAGTTAAGCGCGCGTGCTTAGAGGGACCGGGCTCTAGGACCAACGTTCCGACCTAGTTTGACTGCAGTACGGATACGGACTGTCACGGAATAAAATCATTGCGGCCATTTGGGAAATAGAGACGTACAATCCCAAAATAAAAAGGTATGAATAAGATCGCTCGATGCCTCTTCACAAGGTAGCTGCAAAGCTCCCAGTCTTGGGTATAGATCCTATGACCAGAAACCGACACTAACATACAGGCCGCCAAGGCTGGATTGTCAATCTGAAGGAGGCAAGGCGACCAATGAAGAGAGGCGTCCGTCTATGGCTGCCACAGCCCTCGACACAATATCTATTACTATCTACTGTCATCACAGAAAAGCGCGCGTCAAGCTAGAACCACCAGGCCTTGTTACCACCGCATCGTCGTCAACGTCCACCACTGACCGAGCATACCAACGGGCCGGCTTGGCCATGTAAGTAGATAGTCCAGGACATCGCGGCAGTGACGGACGGCCATGTCGACTGTACCGGTACATCGCATCGGCTTCACTCAGCTCGTCGGGCCACGGAACGACTCGAACGAGCGTTACCGAGTTAAGTATGTATTGTTCCAACCAGATCGTACATCTAACCGGCGCCTAGTCAGAGCTAACTAATGTGTATCAGCATCGTCTTGGTTCGTGGCTTGAGGGGCCATCCCAAGCGCACTTGGGAGCAGGACAGCCAAGATGCAGCCGATGAGGGCGTGACGCCCTCCCCGCTGCCCAGGAGGCCCACGAATCTCTTATGGCCACGAGCGCCGCCGGCAGCCGAAATGCAGACCAGCGAATCAGCCTCGGCTTCCTCGCCCAAGGTTTTCTGGCCCAACGACTTCCTCGTCGACGACATGCCCGAGGCGAGAGTGTGGACGTACGGCTACGACGCCGATGTCATTGGCGACATGTTCAAAACAGCCAGCAAGAACAGCATCTCACAGCATGGCTAAGACCTCGCCGCGCGTGCCGAGCGCGAGATTGATAACCCGGACCCCATCATATTTTTGGCGCACAGCCTCGGCGGGATAATCGTCAAAGACGTATGTCTCTGGTGGTGTTATGGGTGTGTGCTTGGTCAACCATATGCTTACAGTGAGATGCAGGCAATTCACCGATCAGAGGAATGTCGAACGCGATCCAAATACGTCGTCTTCCTGGGGACCCCCCATAGGGGTAGCGAATCTGCTCGCTAGGGAGATATCGCCTCAAACCTTGCGTCGCTGGCTCTGCAGGACTCCAACAGCAAGATTATTGGCGCACTAGAGGTGGATAGCGAGGTGCTCAACATGATTCACGAAAAGTTCGTCAAGACCATAGTGTCGGATAAAATCCACGTGTACTCATTCCAGGAGGCCCAGGGAATCTCAGGGATTAGAGGACTCGGCGGCAAGGTATAGATGCACATTTACCTCGTCTTGTCCACATACATCCATGGCTAATCACGCACTGGTGCGGTTAGGTTGTCGACGACTACTCTTCGAAGCTTGACATGCCTCGCCCACTCGAAATCGTGGAGAGCATTGACGCGAACCATGTGCAGATGGTGAAATGTAGCTCTCGGGCAGACCCCCAATATCGCGCCATTGTTGGCGTTCTTAAGAAGTTCGTTCGAAGCCTACCCGGAGCTACGATAACCAATACTCTCCCTTCATCTCATGGTCAGTACAATATATCAGTGGAACCTAATACCTCGTATCCGGCCTCGAATTTTGGCGCGAATTACCTGTAGGCGGCTTGGGTAGTGCTGGGATGGTGTGGAGGTTATACTTTTAGGTATCTCACAATGTCATTCAGTCGATGTGTGCCCTGGGGCCATGGACTTGCTTGTATCTTGTATTTAAACGCCCCCCTTCTATAACTCCCCGACTGCAGATTTAGACCTGGCTATGTTAGTTTCGAGATGCTAATGGATGAGATATAGGCCCTGCCACTCAACCTCATTTCTATCTCCCGATGACACAGAATTCAGGCTTTGTTGGACGCGAGTCAACGCTGAAATCGCTCAAGAAAAAGCTCTTTCTCGATGGTGGGTGTCGGACCGTCGCGCTCCACGGACTGGGCGGCATGGGTAAAACCCAAGTGGCTCTCCAGCTGGCGCACTGGGTCAAGACCAGCAAGCCCGGGTACTCGGTCTTCTAGGTGCCCGCAATAAGTGAAGCGAGTTTCGGGCGAGCTTATGCCGAGATTGCAAGAGAGCTTTCCATTCCCAAGGCTAGCGACAAAGAAGACGTCAAGGAGTCGGTCAGGCGACACTTGAGCTCGAAAAGCGCTGGGCAATGGTTCCTCGTCGTCGACAACGCAGACGACAACACCATCGTGGTTGGAGACTCCAGCAGCGACAAGTCAACAGGCATGTGCGACTACCTGCCCGAGAGCGAAGCCGGCGTGACTTTGTTTACGACACGCTCCATGGAGGTGGCTGTCGGCGTTGCGAGCTCCGACGTAGTCGAGCTAGGCGATATGAGCCCGGAAGACGCGACCAACCTCCTGGAAAAGTCTCTCATAAGGAAAGACTCGATCTAGAGCGGGACTAAAGCAGCCGACTTACTGGCCGAGCTCGAATACCTCCCCCTGGCAATCGTCTAAGCTGCAGCGTACCTAAACGTGAACATGGTGCGCGTCGCCCAGTATCTTAAACTACCCCGGGGCACCGAACAGGATTTGGTCGGCTTGATGAGCAGAGAGTTCCCGGACAATACACGGTACAAGGAGTCGCATAACGCCGTCGCGACTACATGGCTGGTGTCTTTTGAACAAATTCGAAAGTCTAATACTATTGCTGCTAACTTGCTATCTTTCATCACCCATATCGAGCCAAAAGCGATTCCGATGTCTCTCTTGCCCCACCCCGAGTCAGACGTGCAAATGGTCGATGCTATCGGCACACTCTGCGGGTACGCTTTCCTCATCCGACGGGAAGGCGACAGTGACGTGTACGACATGCACAGCCTCGTGCACCTGGCGACGAGGATCTGGGTCCAGGAGCGCGGAGCCTGGGATCAAGAGGCCCGCAAGGCAATTCGCCATATCGAAGAGGTCGTCCCCTGGGTCAACTACGAGAACCGACAGTCATGGAGAGAGTGCATACCACATTCTATCAAGATACTGAAGGGTGGCGAAGGGCTGGACATGCGAAAGAGGGCTGAGCTGCTTCTCTGGGTTGGGCGGTGTCTCGATTATGATGGCCGGACTAAGGAAGCCCTGAGGTGTCTTGAGGAGTGCCAGCAATGGTGTAGAGCCTACCTTCCGGAAGACGACCCCTTTCTACTGGCAACACAACACGATCTCGCATTAACATACCTAAAAAGCGGGTAAGTCAAACAAGCGGTTAAGTTGCTCGAGCACGTCGTAGCCGTACAAAGCAAGTCGCTCGCCGAGGACCACCCTAGCCGAATATTATCGCAATATAATCTCGCATTAGCATACCGAGAAGACGGGCAAGTCAAACAAGCGGTTAAATTGCTCGAGCACGTCGTAGCCGTACAAAGCAAGTCGCTCACCGAGGACCACCCTAGCCGACTATTATCGTAATATGATCTCGCATTAGCATACCGAAAGAACGGGCAAGTCAAATAAGCGGTTAAGTTGCTCGAGCACGTAGTACAAGTAAGAAGCGCGCTCGCCGAGGACCACCCTGACCGACTAGTATCGCAATATACTCTCGCATCGGCGTACCGAAAGAACGGGCAAGTCAAACAAGCGGTTAAGTTACTCGAGCACGTCGTGGATGTAGATAGCAAGACGCTCGCCTACGACCACCCGGACCGACTAGCATCACAGCACGAGCTTGCGCTCGTATATAGAGACGACGGGCGGGTCAGAAAGGCGCTTGAATTACTCGAGCACGCCGTGGCCGTACGAAATAAGACGCTCGCCCACGACCACCCCGACTGGCTGCATTCAGAACGCGAACTCGCCAAAACTCGGTCTCTGATTTCGAATGGTGACCACGGCGCTAGCCCGACTATTCCATTGACGCCGCTTCCTTCATCTCCCGCTATCCCGATCAAGCGAAAGGCTCAACCGGAGCCCAATCCTACCAGACGACAGCGTAGGAGACGGTTGATGGAGTGCAAGTATTGGAGCTGATGTGTCTCGATGGACGGTATTGCTGGAAGGCATCACCGATGGGTCAACCGATTGCGCAGGGCTAGCGGGAGTAAGAGGGACAGTTGGGTAGGTAGACATTTCAGTCTCCGTCGGTTGCAAGGGCCGTGGATCTGCGTCAGTGCTAAAATTGTGCACCATTATTAGAGAATCGATCAGCAAGCCCAAAGACCACGCCAGAGCCGGTAGACAAATCTAGGCTCGTGGGTTTTGCCTAGTCAGGGACGGCTGCGAGAGATGTCATCCAGGGTCTCGCGAACAGACCGTCGCTTCTGTTGTCTTGTCTTGCCGCAGAGATAGTGAACTGTCCATTATGACAGAAGAGGAGAGGAACTGGTTTCAACACCACGGTGAGCTAGAAATGTTCGTTTTGTACTAGCAAGGCAGTCTACGGAATTAACGACTGCTACCTAGTGACTAGGAGGACACGAAAAGAATCAGACGGTCAGGCCGCCGCTGTTGCGCTGCCTCGGCTCGCTAGCGGCGTCAAAGGTGCCGTTCCACAAGCGCATGACAGCCTGGGCGGAGCTTGCGCCGGGGCCCATCCACGTGGCGTTGTGGTGGCGGGAGGCGAGGGCGGCGAAGACGGCGCGGTCGAAGCCGTCCTCGACGAGCAGCACGTCGGGCATGAGCTGGTCGTGCAGGCGCGGCGCGGCGACGGCCTCTCCCATACCCATGCCCGCTTGCAGCACGTTCCACGCGATCAGCGTCGTCGCGCTGATTATGCGCGACCCGCCCGCCGCGCCCGCCGCGAACAGCAGCGTGCCGTTGCCCGCGAACTCGGCCATCAGCGGCGTGATGGACGACAGCGGCCGCTTGCCCGCCGCGATGAAGTTGGCCGGCGACGGCTCGAAGCCGAACGAGTTTCGCCGCCCCGGCTGCGAGAAGTCGTCCATTTCGTTGTTGCTGTTCGGGATCGAGGATGAGTGGCAGGGTCCTCAGGAGCATGTTAATGGGGAGGGAGATACGCACAGTATTATGCCAGTGTCGGAGGTCATTATCTGCGCGCCAAACAGCAGATTGATGGTGGTGGTGGACGAGACAGTCAGGCCCGAGCTGTCGGCCGTGACAATGTGCGACGTGCCCGAGCTCTCGGCTGCGTAGAGCTCCTGCGGGTTGTAGGCGTTTATAGGCTGTGTCTGGTTGTCCTGGATACGGCCGCGGACCTCCCTGGCCTTTGCGTCGCTCGTCATCAGCTTCTGGTATTGCTCGATGTTGCTGATGAAGTCTGGGTCGCCGAGCTCCTGCCGCGCCCCGTAGGCAAACTTCATCGCCTCGACGAAGCGGTGCGTGGTCAGGTTTTTGTCCGTCAGATCCTCGAGCGGATATTGCTCCATGGTCTTGAGGATGCTGAGCGTCACGGCCCCGCTGCTCGGCGCTTCGGTCGTGAAGAGCCGATAGTCGCGATAGTTGATGCTAAGAGGCTTTTTGATGCTGACGGTGTAGTTCTTGAGGTCGTCGGGCGTTATTATTCCGTTGGTTGACGACAGAAGTCGAATCATGGACTGAGCTTCTGGGTTTTTAGAATTATGTCGAATATTATGATGGTGTACGGGAGACGTTACCAAGCTCGCCCTGGTAAAAGATATCTGCGCCGTGTTTGGCAATCTTCTCAAGAGAGCTTCGAGACAAGAAGAGTTCATTAGCATAGTAATTCTCAGTGAGAATCCAGCGGCTGGCTCACTCTGCGTAGCGTTTCCTGGTGATGATATCCCCAAGTTTAACCAGCGTTCCTGTCCAATGTTAGTAAGCCAAGACTCAAAGACGACAAAGCGCAAGTAAATGTTCCAACCACCTACCATTAGGGGAAAAGTCCTCGGCCCAGACAGGGTCATCCATCAAGAAGGTGTTGTTCTTGCTGGCTCCCTCCATATACCGAACCAAGTCCTCATTGACTGCCAATTTTATGTGTGTTAGTAAGGCTATATACTAGGGAATTTCCCAGAGCTATAAGTGCTCACCCTTAAAACCGTCTCGCGCAACCCGCACTGATGGTGTGACGACTGTACTCCATGGCAAGGCCTATAGTGTTTCCGTCAGCAACAAGACATGGACATGTGGCCCAGCAGGCGAAACATCCGAGGACTAATCACTTACACCGTATTTTGTGTGCAGATACTCGAGCCCGCGCAGCTCGCCGGGGATGGCGACGGCGAGGCCGCCAAGAACGCTGGCGTCGGGGTTGTTCTTGTACATGTTCTTATGAGCCGCAGCCGGCGCGGTCTCCCGGTAGTCGATGACCTCGTATCTGCCGTGCTTGTCGCGGACGAGCATGAAGCCTCCTCCCCCAATGCCAGAGTGGTACATGCCGATGACACCCACACATAGCTCTGTTGCCACCATGGCATCAGCCGCAGAGCCCTGGGTGGTCGGTCAGTCAGCAAGCGAGCCAAACGGGGAGCATAATGGCGAACGGCGTATGACTGTCTTTCTTCGCGCCGTTCCGTTCTCTCGTCTTACTCAGGCAAACAAAACAGAGCGGGGGCGGACAGATGGAGCATCACTCACACCCATTCCAATCATGTCAACGCCAATCTGAGAGCATATGATGCTCTCGCTGGCAACGGCGCCCCTAGTGCCCCTGAAGCCCGGCTTGAGCACGGCTTGGACAAGGCCCGCCGAGCTCGGGCCGAGTATCGACAGCCAGCAGCAACATGTCAACAGCGTTGAGTGACCTGTTGTTTCGGGGTTTCCTTAGCATAAGTAACAAAATCCCACACGGGGTTTCAAAGTCTTGCTGCTTGGTTATAAGATGATCACACTCACGCATTGCAGATATTCAAGACGCTGTGAACTAGAAGAGAGAGGAAGGAGGTGGCGAAAAAGAGTCTCGTCGGATTTCCTTATCTTGGCGCGTGACGATCAATGGAGGTCCGCGAGGCGGTTTACCTACGGGAGAAACACTCAACCCGTCCAATCAACCCGACCGATCAACCCGACCCAAATATCCTAGCCCAAGCGAAAAAGGGAAAAAGTCAAATTTCGTGTGCAAACCATCGAGGCAAATTCCAGAGATAGCCTTTCAAACTATCGAGGAAGCATGAGCAAGAGAGGAGTTACCCTCGCCGCAAGTGGTTGAATGTTGGTTACCTTACCTATTGAGTATTAACCCATTCTGGCAGTTGGAGCGAGCCAAGGAAGAAGCCGCTAAACGTTAAAGTGACAAACTGCCAATGACACCACTTCAAGCTCCAGACAGCCAGCCCAACCCAGACTCGGGTCGCCAATTGTGCAGACCCCTCTCCTGCAACTCTCTCAACAGCGAGATCGGATAGGCATTCTTCTTTGGGGCGCGTCTTGGAACCTGTACCGAGTGTGGTTAAAACCTAGCATCGCTCTGATGCACCTCAGCTCCGAGGCTCTTGACGCATGCTAGCAAGGCAATGCAGGTGCAGCCGGGTCTAAAGTAAATTTCCCAAGCTGTTTCTCCTTCTCTCTTGCCCTGTCGCTAGCTAAGGAAGGTAGCAAGTTCGTTTCTACTTTCGCCCCTCTTTATCCTTTGCAGAAGGCGATCGTCGCTCACGGCAAACAGAAGGGATTTGCCTGGGAGGGAGTGGGGGCTTGTTTCGCGTAGATCCGTCTGCCTCGTCGGCGCGGTTGAACCTACTGACACCTGCGTCCAGGAACATCACCGGGCTATAAGCTATAAGAGGTGGAGACGTAGGTATTTACCCTGGGCCGCTCGTGCAAGAAACAAAAGCCCCATAAACTCCGGGCTGAGAGAAGCAAGGTGCCGGGCGTCGGTACATATGCACCTCGAATATAGTATTGGCTGGACAAGCCGCCCAGAGAAACAGAGAGATGAAGAATGCAGGTTCAAGCCTGGTTCTATCTATTATTGCGTTTTCCGTACGTGTATCACACGACGTAGTGGATAGGCACACTTCAGACGACGGAAATGAGAGCAGGAATAAGACGAGGCACAGCTTAGATCCTACTGGTAAGGTAGGCAACGAAGAGAGAGGCTCAGGTACCTCGTTGGGGGTGGGGGAGGGGAAGCAGGAGAATGTTCTTCTGCGCGGGTCCGAACCCAGGTCGTCGAAAATCCCTTCATCTCGTCTCAAACAACCACACAACAGGTATTCCCCTGCGAGGGCAAGCCATTCCGTTTCGCCTCGGATTCCCCAGGCGCTGGGGCGGACCCATCCCGAGGGGGTGGTGGTATTCAGGCTCAACCGATGTTTGGGAAGACACCTTTTTTATTCTCCAAAAATAACATAATCAGAATTGTATTGACATGATGCATTTTGCCCTGATGCCTCGGTGCTATCCTTCTTCTGCAAGCTCGTTTCGCATGCTAAATACCCACAGCGAGCGAGCCTTTTCGTTCCCTTTCGTTTCTGCCCCCAAGTCAACTTCTCTTGACTCCGCAGACTACGTCCGGATTTTCTCCGCCTGCCGTGTTTGGCACTGTTTGTCCAGAGATCGGGGCCAGGGCGGACTCTTCTGTCGAATCACGGCTGGTGCCGAGAGCGGGGGCTGCAGCTTTCAAGACCAAGCGGGTCGGCTGGTGAAACGGTCTCCTTTTTTTTTCTTCTTTCCAACCCCCCTTGCAAACTCTTCGTTAGCCCTCCTCCGATTTCCCCTGGCACCGTGGGGTATCCATGGGTGAGAGTCTTGGTATTGTGGCTTGCGACTGATCATTCATGCTCGCGGATCCGGAGGGCAACAAAGAGAGAAATGATCAGTTCACTCCACGACCACTGGATCTCAGCGGAATAGCCAAGACACGGGGCTTCAGGACTGAGGCGTCGCACACCGATGTCCTCTCGCTAGTTTGGTGTCACGATTGCAAGAAGGTGATGCAGAGGAGCTCGCCGTCGTTGTGTTGTGTATTTCAGGAAACTGCTCCGCAAGGCAGCCGAACCGCCAGCTCGAGCCCGCGAGATGAAAGAATATTCTCCGAGACAGATTTCTGGGCGAAAATGTTCGACATTGATTGCCATGCAAGATTTCCGTCTGTTCATGGACAGGCTAGTGTGATGTACCTGACGGAGACCCATGGCACGCACACGTACGGACGGCAGTGGCTGAGGCCCGTTAAAAAGCCAAAAACTTAAAGCCGCACGGCAGAATTTCCCTGTGAGGGGGACGACATTCCATACATGCCAACGGATAAGTCTAGAGACTTTCTTCAACCGCTTGCTGCTTGCTTGCCTCCCGACATCAAGAACTCGAACATGAGACATGATCTGAGATACCGGCTGAACGAAACCAAACGACACGGCTTTGGCCGACAATCCCCGCATAAACAGGCGGAGGAGGAGGATGGCTGCTGGAAGCAAATAGAAATGGCTAACACCAGCGATAGTGAGTAGAACAGCCACCTCAGGGCGATCATTTGTCTCGCTTGAGCCAGATTCCCGGTCGACAGAACCGTCTGGATTTACTATGCTTTGCCGCGGGGAGATCACATAGGTGGCCTGTCGATCGCGAATCCGACAAGAGCACTGAGTAACACGGGGCATTGTTGCACTCCTCCTTATAGCTTGTACGCATGAAGAGGCAGTGGCCCGTAGCCCGTGGGCAGGCCAGGCCACCGCCACACCGTCCAATGTCGGGTCGGGCAGCTCGAGGCTCAAGCAACCAGGGTCTAGGGCAGCTTCACCACGCGCAAGCATTCCTGTCCGCCTCTTGGCAATCGCGCAATTGCAATTGGAACCTCGCCGGTTGCGCCTCCTGTCCCGGCAAGCGGGCGGGTTTGGTGGGCTGGCCGGGGGCTCCTTCCTTGCCCTGGCGCTTTGCCCTAATTGGGATGCCACACCCCACTTCCATTGGCTGAGGGGCTGTCTCAGATTCCCGGTTCCTGCATCTGCCCCTTGCCCCGTGCGACGACGACTCCTCCTGGATCTTGTCGAAAACCACTGCCACTGCCGTCACTGGCCCTGGCTTTTTGTCTGTATTTTGCAGCAGCAACAGCAACAGCAACAGCACGGCTCGCCTATCCCGCCATGCCCGCCCATCCTGGCCTGCCTGACTAGTGGCGAGTCGCGGCCCCAGCTGGGCCCTGTGGTGATTGCGCGGTACGTACTGGAAAGAGACATGGGTTTGGTAGGTACGATGGGTAAAGCGGTGGAGTCCATGTTCCCCAGGCGGCTGTGCTCGCTTCTCCCGTTCGTCGTTCCATGCCTTGGATTTCTTAATCCCTATGCTCCGTGCTAGCGTGGCGTGCAGGACTGCAAACTCGACCGATTACGACGGCCCCTCCCCGGGCCCATGTCCGCGATGCGTGGATAGGACACGACAGGGTAGGGCTCCGACGGGAGGGGTATCCTCTATCCTATCCTCGCGCAGCACCACGCACCGCCATGTGGGCTGCGAACATGCTGCCCAGGCCGAGAGGGGCTGGAAATAGTTAAAGACCGTGGATGCCACCGCCAGCCCTCTTGTCTACCCCCTCTCGACTCTCTCTATCCTCACCCTCATCTTCTTCCACTTCCTTCTCTTCACCTTCTTTACACAGCCAAGCATCATTCCTTTTGCTTGTCTGATTACCTGCCAAGTCTGCAGCTTCACTTCTCTTGTTTCCAACTGTATCTTCACTCTCTTCTTCTGCGAAGTCGATTTTCGCTCCTTTACGCCTTCAAAGAAAAAACAAGCTTGAGTCTTTGCGAACACTACCAGACAGACTACCAACTTCGGATCTGCCAAACTCACTACCAAATCCAAAACCAAAACATTCAGGGGAAAAACTACAACTCAGAGTCAAGATGAAGGCCACCACAGTTGCTCTTAGCCTCTTTGCCACTCTTACTGCCGCGTACTCCCACCCGCGCCATCTGCACTTCCGCCGCCAGAACTCGACCGCTCTTGTCACCAGCTCCGAGGTCCCAGCCGCAGTGGCCGCGGCGGCTTCCGTTGCCAGCAGCTCAAGCGTCTTGTCGACAGCCCTGTCGGCAACAATCCCGCTTGTCACTGGTGTCTCCTCCGCGGCGGAGCTTGCCGCAGCCCCCACCAATGGCACCGTTCCCGCCGGCAGACTAACAACACTGACTGTGAAGACCACGTCGATCCACACCATCACCTCCTGCGCTGCCACCATCACCAACTGCCCTACCAACACCAAAGATCTCGCAAGCCTGCCTGCCGAGGCTCTCTCTACAATCATTGTCACTGACGTGGTCGTGCTCACCTCCACCGTGTGCCCCGTTACTGCCGTCGCCTCCATCTCGTCCAGCGTTGTTGCTGCCCACTCGTCCGGTCTCATCAAGGGGAGCACTCTGCCTCAGTCTACTGTGAAGGCCACAACGGCCGTAGCGCACGTTGCCAGCACCGTGACTGTGGTCTCGACGACTATTGCTACCTTGACCACCGCTAAGACCATCACCATCACCCTGGGAGGAGGAGGCGGCAATGGGAACGGCAACGGCACCCCGCGCGTTGTCACCAGCACCATCCAGTCCACTTTCAAATCCACCATAGAGCAGCTTGTAACTGTCACCATTTCTGCTGATGCAACCTCGGCCCCCGCTTCTGCCGCTACCACCGCCGTCGCTGCTGTCGGCGTCGAAAAGGACTCCACCACCACCAAGACTACAACCTCGTATGGAACCCGGACAGTTACCGTGAAGACGGGCACTACCACCTCGGTCGTTAGCGGTGGTTCCAGCTCTGGATCGGGCTCTGGCTCCGGGTCGGGATCGGGTGGCTCGTTCGTCGAGTGCGCCAACAGCGTCGTCACTGTCACGCAGGCCGCTGTTACCGTCACCGAGAAGGCTTCGACCGTCACTGAGAAGGCCTCGACTGTCTTCGTGACCGTGACGGCCCCTCAAGAGGCTTTTAGTGCTGTCTTCTCCACGTTCCCGGCCAAGGACGTCGTGGGCTCGGTTACTACCTCGGCCGCGGCTCTTGCTACCAGCTCCAGCTCCAGCTCCAGCTCCAGCGGCGCTGACGAGGCGTGCAGCACTGAGGAGGTCGTGACCATCACTCTGTCATCCGCAACCGGCCGATTCGCTGTCCCCAGCAACGGCACAGTGGCGTTCCCTACAGGCACCGCTGCCGCCAAGCTGCGCTAAGGCAATGGGATAAAAAGGCGATACCCCGTCGGGCACCTTGATGATGCCCATGAAGCCGCCTACGGGCAAAAGTAAAGAGGACGCCGAGGAAGGGGCGATACCCGCAAGGGGTGGAGAGAAAGAAAGAAAGAGATTCTGCTTCTTGAGCACTTTTGATGTGTCATTTTGTTGGCCGGAGGCTTCGTCCCATATGCTACAGCTACAGCAAGTCTTGGCTTTGGGCATACGGGAGGGGTGAAGCGCATTTTACAAATTTTCTGTTCTACCTTCCGTTCCTGCCAGTCATGGAATGGGGGTTTTCTGCGAACCAGGCCTAGTAGCCTTTTTGTGTTTTAGGGGGTTGGTCGTTTGATTGCGAAAACGCATCTTGCTGTTTTTTACCGAGACCTTACTTTCTCTCTTCCTCCTTGCGAGAAGAAGATGCTGATGCATCTGTTTGTTCCCGCCAGTTGGGCTCTGGTTGGCGGTGACAATATACATAGACCAGCCGCACTTGCCACGTCCTCGGATGGGGACTGGCAGTATATGTATACCTGTCTATATAGGAAGCCATATATATATATGCTTACAAAAAAACGTGGAATTCCAAATCCCAAGTTTCATAACTCTTTCAGATTCGTTTGCCTCGTGTGAATGAAATTCAAAAACACTCAACACTCAAAGAACATACATGTATAAGAGAGCTTACCTATACACATCACAATCAGTACCTGGCTTAAACTTGCGCCCCTTGTCTTGGCTAAACCTAGTCTGGGGAGACAAATAGTAACTGATAAGGAGGATCCTCGTTACAGGGCGCATATAACTACCAAGACAAACAGAACACAGGAGGTGTAGAAAGAGATAAAAGGTTTAGGAGACAGCTAGCGAGAAACCTCGTGAAGTCTTGTATCTTCCAGTTTCATTTTATCTTTATTTTGAATTTCATCTCATCCCTAATTTCTTCAACTTCTCCAACCCCAGCTGTATCAACCACCTCGCCTGCCTTACCGCGCGAAAAAAGCAGAGAAGCACATCCGGGTAGGGATTTGTATCCCTGTCTATCTAATAGGCGCCCCATCTAGACAACATGCGCATGTATACCTATTTACAAGACATTTCGTAAACCGACATAGTAAGATTTTTTTTCAAGTAGGAAACAAGAAAAACAAGAAATAATCCGCCCAAAAAATTTATAACAAAAAAACCAAAGCCAACCCCCCAAAAAAGCAGGTAGACAACCTCTCGCTCTGCCTCTCCTCTCTAGGTACCCAGCCACTAGAATGCAAAAAAGGATGACGATAATAAATTACGACAGCAGCCAAAAATCACAGAGCAGTCAGCTCCTCAATCCTCCTCTCGAGCTCGGGGACCTGGCGCAGCAGGACGTCGAGGTCCTCCTTCTCGTCTTCGAGGGCGAGGCGCTTCTCGGCGTCGAGGCCGGTGAAGACGTAGTTGCCCTGGCCGTCGAACTGGAGGATGCGGGAGTGGTACTTCCACAGGGAGCGGCGGTGGCTGACGGTCATGAGGGTGATGCCGAGGGCCTTTGCGTTCTCGTACATGGCCTTCTCCGTGTCGAGGGTGACGGAGCTGGTGCACTCGTCGAGGATGGCGTAGCGGGGGCGGTGGTAGAAGAGGCGGGCCATGGCGACGCGCTGCTGCAGGCCGCCCGAGAGCACGTCGCGCCACTCGGCCTCGGCGTCCCAGCCCTCGGGGTACAGCTCGACGAGGTGCTCGAGCCCGAGCATGCGCAGCACCGCCATCAGGTCCGCGTCCGACACGCCCTTGGCCCGCATCGTGCGCAGCCCGTCCGGGTAGATGATCTGCTGCCGCAGCGACCCGCGCGACAGGTACGGCCGCTGCGGGATGTAGAAGATGTCGGTGAAGGGCGGCTTGTGCACCGTGCCGCCGTAGACGGGCCACAGCCCTCCGAGGATGCGGAACAGCGACGACTTGCCGCAGCCGTTGGGCCCCACTACCAGCAGGTGGTCGCCTTGCTTAAGAGAAAAGGACAGCGCCTTGACCAGTACGTCGCCGTTGGGGGAGATGATGGGGCTGCAACCTCGCGAGTCAGTGCAAGAACATGGCTGTGGGGGGGAGGGGTGTTTTGACATACACGTCGATGAATTCGATATCTGTACTCTCAACCACCTTGCCCCTGCCCCGGAGCACGGCCTCGTTGTTCTCGGTGCCCGAGCTCGAGACGAGCTTCTTCTCGAAATGCCCCGATTGGATGTCGTCCATGACATCGAGGAGCGAGGCGACGCGCGACGTGTAGCCGGCCAGCTCCATGATCTCGCGGTACGAGAACATGACACGCCCAAAGGCGTCAGACGCTCCCAGGAGCATCCTACGGTTCGTCACGAAGCTCTCTGTCCGGTCACCCATATTCAGTACGGCCTGGCCCGGCAGCTTGACGAAAACTGGGACGCTGCAGAGCAACAAGCCTAGAGCGCCCCAAAAGTACTTGATGACAAAGTCCTCCATGAAGCCGTGGTAGAAGCGCCGCCGCAGAATGTAGTTGACGTGCTTGATCAGGGTAAAGTAGCCCTTGTCTAGTGTATCCTTCTCGGCCTCGTGGCCGGCATACAGCGCCACTTCCTCGGCGTGGTCGATTAGTCTCGAGTGCTGGAAGCGGAACTCGCCCTCCAGCCTCGCCTCATCCGCCACGTATTTGCCGAACGGGGGAGTTAGTACGCGCATCACGTTTGCCGAAAGCTGTACTAGTAGGGCCATGAACACAACCCCCTCGCCACCGACGCTCTTTGAGAGAGAGAGGGTGTAGATAGTCTGATGCTGTTAGCTTAGGGCGCTCAAAGACAAGAATGGCACTCAAGGGTACGCACCATGTCGAGTATCGGCTTGGCCAAATTGCTGTACAACTCCGCCAGGCTGTTGGAGAACTTGGCTACGTCAACGGCGATGAGTTGATCTGGGTTCTTAATCCTGTCGTCGAGCGCCGAGATACCGTAAAAGGTCAACTGCGACAGATACTTGTCGTGGATGAACTGCGTCAAGCGCGTCCGGTACCTCAACGAGAGCTCGGCCTGGTGATATGACAGCTGCACAGAAGCGTTTTAGTAACATGCGATGCGCCGGTTCACAGGGAGACGGGGGCGGGGATTGCATACCATGGAGTTTGTAAATGTGGCCGGGACGGCGATCAACATCCACCAGACGATGCGCATCAGGAACTCGCGGCCGTTTCCCTTGACTAGGGCCTTGACGATGGCGCCGTCCATGGCAGCGACCTTGAGACTGATGAGGGTGCGCAAGACGAGGAAGAAGCTGTGGCTGATGAGGAGGCGGGTTTCCTTGCTGCGCCAGCCGGGCACAACGATGCGGAGCAGGCGGAGGAGGGAGCGGAAGAACTCGCGGTTGAGCTCGACCTTCTTCTTCTTCTTTGCGGCGGCAGCGGCGGCGGCGGCGGCGTCTTGGTCGTCGGCGGCCGTCGAGACGGACGACGTGGTGCCCTTGCGCTCGGAACGCTTGGCGGCGTCATGGGCCGAGGCGGCCTTTTGCTCGGCGATAGCATTGCGCACGCGGTTGATGAGGGCGACGAAGAGCGTAATGTAGACGGCGCGCGAGATGCGGGTGCGATTGGAGAGGTAGAGCTGGGTAAGTTGCGACACGACAGCGCGGATGGTGCTTTCGCGAAGCAAGATGGGCGTGGCCAGCTTCGACTGTGCCGGCGCCATGGTGGGCGAGAGGCGTGATTAACAAGGGCGGGGAGGGGGAGAGAGATCACGGCGACTGGTTGGCGATAGTCATCGAGGACGATCTTGTTTCTCGGCGTCTCGTAGGCAATACTTTGGGGTTTGGTATTCCGCAAGGCCCGAGGATGAGGATGGACGTCGTTAGCCTCGTGTCGTCGATGGTTCGTTGCCAGGCGAGGCGTCCAGTGTTAGTGGATTCTAGTTACTGCGGCTAATAAGCACAGCGCACTGGCGGCATGTCGATCACTAGAGCAAACCAAGCAGTCGGAGGTCCAGCAGGTCCCGTCTAATGGCAGTGAAGCAATAATCCGAACTGTTACGATTGTGTATGTACTACACCTCAAGCTACGCGGGGCGACGAGGATGGAGGTTGTCGCGGTTCGTCGCAATGCGTAAGGTGAGGTGCCGCGCTCCATCCCTCGGCTTTGCGTCACCCACAACGGGGTAGCCTAAGGATGCTACGCTTTCTGCAGCGCCCTTGCTCTAAGGCAAGCATGTGATCGATCCCGTCTGGGCCGCTGTAGGCCGCTTCCCCAGTCCCAGTTCCCAAATTGGCACCGAACCCGGGGAAAGCAGTGGGGCCTGATACTTCCATACACCTCCGCCGGGGTTTGTTTTGTTAGCTCGGTACATGCCCCACATTCTAACAAGGGCCCCTTGCTACATAAAAGTAGCCTGGTATAGAGCCAAAATTCAGTATTTTATTGTACCACCCTCAGCATCTATGCACATCTGCAGCCTGCGTGGCATCGAGTGTGCCAGCCGTAGAAGAAGATCTTCTGGCACAGCCTCCCACGCCGCCTCTAGAAGCCTGCGAAGGTCTGGTAAATCTAGCTCCTGAATATCCTCGCAATTACATTCAATCCAGTTTTTGATCCACGGCCAGACATTCTCAATAGGCGAGAGGTCTGGAGAATAAGGAGGCCAGCGAACCACATTAACTCCTTGCAGGTTGAGTGCTGCTTTGGTCCGCCGTGCCCGATGTGCTGAAGCGTTATCTTGTTGGAAAACCGAGGCTTGAATCTGGCGATAGAAGCGGATAATAAGCGGAATAATATGCTCGATATAATTATTAGCGCCGATTCCTCCATACTCCTTCTCCTAAACAAACCCTGGCCCTTTTATTCCACCTGCAAAACATCCCCAAAACATCCAACCTTTTGGTTTCCGCCGTTGAAGAGCAAAATCGGCAAGATCTTGCCCCCGGAAAAGGATAACGTGCTTTTTCCACATTGGGTCATTTATTGCCCAAGTTTCATCAGACCAAATAAAATCATCCCAATCTTCTGGATTTGGACGGAGACGAAGCTGTTCCTGGCACCAACGAAGCCTCTGCTGTTTATGGGCAGTAGTAAGGAAAACTCTTCTTGGTCGAATCCGAGATTCTCCTTCTAAATCGTGGACTGCTCGAACAAGGGCAGTTTCACCGTATTCTGCTAACTCTAAAGGAACGTAGTATTGAAGCTGATAAAGGGGAAGATATTGACGGCGTTTATCTTTTAAAAACCATTCTTTTAAACGTTGTTTCTGAGGGGTTCGAATCTTTCCTCGTCGACTTTTGCTTTTCTGTGGTGTCAACGGGCCCTCCTTACAGGCAGATTGGATTTGCCGGTTTGAGAAGGGGGTATTTTCTGCAATCTTCTCGTAAGTCCAACCAGCGTACTTCCGTAGGCCTCGAATTTCGGCCTTTTCTTCGCGTGTGAGGTCTTTGTTTTTATGCCGGCGTTTAGGGGTTGAGGGTTCTGGCAATTGCTCTGGTGGTGGCTCTTGTAGTGGCTCTGGCAGTGGATTCAGGAGGTCTGCAATTGCAAAGGGCATTTTTGGCTGTGGGCGACTGGCTGCACTGCGGGGTGTTCAGCATGCGAAATTTAACTCGCAGGTATTTTGCCACAGAAATTGCTAGAAGAATGACTTGGTTTCTATTTTCCGTATGCGGCTAGCCCAGATGACTAAAACACTGTAATCACCCCTGTAAGTCACTGGAGCTAACAAAACAAACCCCGGCGGAGGTGTACAACACTCCACGTAATTACGTACCCTACGTAGTGTTGTGGTCCAGTCTCCACTGTTACTGAACCGACCTCCAAGTCTCATCAAGACGTTAACGCCGAGCCGCCGCCGCCGCTACCAGCACTTCCGTCCCAATGCTGAGGTAACTCGGCCTATACCCGACCGGAACGAACCCAATATGCTACCACTATCGCGGCCCTTCCTGGCGGTCTGCCTGCAGGCCGTTCTGGCGGTCGCCAATACCGAGAAAGCGATATTCCTCGGTCCGGCCAGCATCGCAGTCCCGCTCGAGCACCCGACGCTCGACGACCTCGGCCTCGACGTGCTTAGCCCGGCCGCCGCGTCCTCTCCGTCTATAAGAACGCGCCTCGAGGCCCAGTTCCCAACAGCCTCGTACCCGCATGGAGCAGCCACATGGCTTCTGCTGGACGGGCTCGAGGAGGGCCGGCGCTACGAAGTGCGCGTCTGCTGGGCCGCCACGGCAGGTCCCCGTATTCACCGTTCATCCCATGTGAAGCAAAGCAACACAAAACAAACAAAGCCAAGCTGACCAAATCCCCCCCACCTAGCAACCTACCGCATTTAGAGTTATCACGCACGAGGTCGAGGACGTCTGGGCGACGCCCGAGCTGATCACATCTCTCTGGGAGTACTCGACGTCGCGGCTGCAGGCACAGGCAGCGTCCGACGACGACGGCAAGACCAACAGACACAACACGCCCCCTCCATCCCCAATCATCGCGCCGCGGAGCCCCAGCGATGGCCAACCACAAGCGCAGAAACAGCGCGAAGCATCCGTGCTGCTGCTGCAGATCCTCGCGGCGGCCGACTACGTGTCGGCGAACGCGACGGTGATGCGCGACGTGGCGCGCGTCGACGCGGACGTGATCCTCGACCCGTTCGTGCTGCTCAACGCCGTGCCGCGGTCGCTGCTGCCGACGGCGGCGTACATCGTGGTCGTGGCCGCCGCGGCGTTCTACGTGGCGCGGTATGTCGTCGTGGCGCGGCTGCGGGCTTTTGTCGCTGCTGCTGCTGCTGCTGCTGCTGACGGTGATGACGATGATGATGATGGTAAACGCGATGATGCGGGAAACGCTGCGAAACAAACGCAAACGAAGAAGCAACCCCATCAAAAGACGAAGAAGAAGAAAAAGACGCAGTGAAACTAAACTACCCCCCATCTCGCTTCCCCTTCTTCCTCTAGTCCGCTTCTACAGATATATCCTTGTTTTTTTCTGTAAATACCCACCTATACTTACTATTTTGGCGTATATTCGTGCCGCTACTTGATAGCAGGCGCACATTCGCTCCGAGATAGACGCGGCACGGCATGGCATGACGTGCTACTTACAAATAAATAGATAAACAAGGAGATAGAAAACGCCCTAATAAAAAGACGAGGTAGAAAAGGGCCAACAGATTTCCGGTCCGAACCAACATGGAGAGGCAGACCTTCGTATTCTATCTGCTGACTTTCCGCGCACGCGGGACAGAGGAGGGAGGCCCGGGCAATACGAAGCTAAACGACGGGAGAGCACACTGGATGGATGCATATTTGTTGCAGACAAGGCAAAGAACAAAAAAGCATGGCCGATTCTACATGCACACGGCGCAAACATATCTAACGGCCCCAGTTGGGGCCAGCTACGTACCTCCTACATCTGGCTTGGGACTCCCCCTTCTGCCCCCGATTTTCCTCGACCGAAGGATATGTCCAAAGGATATAGATGTCTTCTGAAGAAACCTCGCTCTCCCGCCTGCTCTCCGCTCTCTGTTCTACGCCCAAAGCTTCACAATCTACGCCGCCGAGCTTCTCGCTCCGCTCTCAGCACCAACAGCCGACCGCACACGCACCACTTAGTACTGAGAACCGCCGTAGTGGTGCTGCTGCTGACCACCGTACTGGGGCGGGTATGGGGAAGAGCCAGGCGGCGGGGGTGGCTGGCCGCCATATGACGGGTTATAGGACCCCGGCGTCCCGTACTGCTGCGGCTGGCCGTACGCCTGCTGGGGAGGAGCCCCGTAGCTGGGCTGTGGCGGGCTCTGCACGCCGCCGTACGAGTGCGGCACGCCGCCGCTGGGCGGAGGAGGATAGTTCTGAGCATGCGACTGCGGACTTGCGTAGGACGACGCCGCTCCTGGGCCGTAGCCACCGTGCTGAGGCTGGCCCGTCGGGTTGTAGGGCTGGCTGGGAGGGGAGGCGTAGGATGGCGCGCCCGTGTTCTGGTATGACGGGGCGCTGGGGCTGCTCTGGTAGGATTGGGCGCCGCTCTGGTGCGATGGCTGCTGCTGCGCGGGCGGCTGGTACGACGAGCCTGAAGCGGAGGGCGACTGGTACGTCGCAGGCGGCGCTTGGCCGGTGTATCCTCCGGTCTGCCCAGAATTAGAGTAGCCAAAGTTCTGGCCGCTCTGCATAGATAACTATAGTCAGCCTCGGAACTCTGCAAGTGAAGCCTTTGTCAGTCATCCCGAGTGTCTGGCCCAACGTACCGAGCTGCCGTGCGGTTTGCCCCCAAACAGGCCGGCGACGCCTCCCATCATGCTTGAAAGGCCTCCGGAGCTGGCAGGTGTCGACGACTGGCTGCTGTGGTAGTTCTGTGACGACTGAGCTGGCTTGTTGCTGCCAGACGAGAACAGCCCCGAAACCACCTGCCCCGCTAGCTTGCCACCGATGCCGCCGGCGCCGCTGCTGTGCCCGCCAGAGCCGCCGCCCGAGTGTGTGAGGCCGCTGAGAATCGAGCTGGCTAGTCCACCGCCGCCCCCGCCGCCGCCGCCGCCGTGTGATTGCTTTCCGCCGCTAAGGTTGCTCATGAGGGTGTTTCCGAGGAAGGACTGTCACGAAAATGCGGTGGTTAGCGCCATGAACCCTCTTTCTCTCCTCGATTCCGAGTAAATGGACAGCCCATAACCTCTTCCCCGAAACCAGAACAGAGGTGCAGAGAGAAACAACTCACCCCAAGGCTCCTATCCCCCGTCGGCCCGTCCATGCCGCCGCGCGTGCCGTCCTCGCGCGGCAGCACGGGCTCGAGCCGACCGTCGGGGTAGCGCGCCGTCTGCGAGCCGTCCGGGTGCACTATTATCTGGGCGTCGCTGTCGCCGCCACCGTTACTGGTGTAGCTGTTGCTCGCGCCGTTATTGCTGTTGCTGCCCGCGGCATACTCCGCCGCCGCTCCTCCTCTTCCTCCTCTGCTGCTGCCCTCGGGCACCCCATACGGGTGCTCGCTAGCGGCGCCCGGCGTGCCGTCGCCGCCCACAGGCGCCGCCTCCTCGGGCGTCTCCCACTGCGTCACCCCCGTCGACAGCTGCACAAAGTAGTACTTACGACTCGTGCTGTCCCACTGCGCGATCCACCCCGCCGGCAGTGGCGGCGGCGCGTACGTGGGCCCGTTGCTGCCGGGCGATGCGGTGCCGGACATGGTCTCGGTTCCTGGTGTGTTGTGCTTTTGTTAGATGTGATGTTGTCGAACGTGGTGTTGGTGAAGAGCTTTTTTTTCTCCCTTTGCTCTGTTTGTCGTCCCAGGGAAAATGGACAAGGCCAAAGGTAGTATGGTATGGCGGGATCTCGAGATGACGAGGTGGTGGGGTTCGCTAAATTATTTGTTTGCGTAACAAAAGAAAGATTCCGATACCCAATGGTTTTTCTTTCGTTTTATTACTTCGGGTACCGTTATTGACAAGCTAGTCCGCCCCCCGGACTGCTGCTACTATTTCCTTGCCGAGTTAGTCAAAGCTGGGCGGGATGGCCGTCTTGTCCTTTTCGGGATCCCGTCGACTGCCTGACTCATGTAGGCCGTAAGAAAATGGGTAATAGGTTTGCGGGGCAGGTTGGTGACAGCTGCCGTTGCGATTGTCGGACTCGAGAAATAAATAATGGAGGGGAAAAAAAAAGAGGGAGCCCTTTAAGAGAACCCAAAGCGGCCAGCAGCAGAAGCCAGCTGAAAGTTCGGGTTTGATATGGGTGGGTGAGGTGGGCTTGCCAAGTTGGGTTGGCAACAAGCTGGGGCGCGGGTCGTAGAGTGGGTAGTGAGTGGCGCGGGGGAGGGACGGGCGAGAGAGAGAAGGGGTGCCCGCCCGGGAGCGTGTTTGATTCAGCCCGGGAACCTGATTGCTTTTGGCCTCGTCGATCAGCGGCGAAGGTGAGGGAGGGCGTGTCGAGCTGCCTTGTAAAGTTTGTCCACTATAACCAAGGCACGTTTGCATTTCACAGCAATAACCTTTTTATCTATTTTTATTATTGCATTATATAAAAATGGCTGGCTTATTATATCAGCAGGAGAAGGACGGAAATAGGCCAGTAAAAGGAATCATGTAAGCAGCCAAGCAAGGTATCTTACAATGGAACCCACACCTTCAATTCAGTGGAAGCTTGGGAGGCCGCGGGCTTGCCTCTTTCCAGCGACTCGACGCACGCCGCGCGAAGACGGCCGAAATGGGGGATGCAGACGACCTAATAATGGGACTCTCCCGCAGCCACGCGGTTTTCAATATTAAAAACGAAATACTAGCATCGGCAAAGAAAGCCTCAGCAAAAGAAAGCTATCAAGGGCACATCTACTCCGTAACACCACATCGTTTTGCAAGGTAGTGAGTGGGTGAGGCGGTGCTGCTCCCGTCAACGCTCTTTCCCCCCCGCCGTCATCAACCGCTTCCATGTCGTGCTTCACTCCATTAGGTAACCTGCACGGCAAAGATAAGTACCTAGCCAAGATACGTATTTTGTTTAATCCGCGGATATTGTCTTTGAAGGGTGGGTGTTTCCCCATCAAGAAGACAAGAAGAACGGCCAAGGGATGAAAAAAAAGCCCCAAGCCACAGCGGCTGGCGCGTCTGGTGTCGTAACTCATTGGCCACCTACTTCCGCACCAACATCAAACACACCCAATTGTGCCATGTTAAGTGCCCATGTTCGTATGGTTAGTTCATATGAAGGAGGAAGATCGTGATGGCGAGAGAGGCAACCCAAAAAGAAGCCACATCGTCCCGGATCTTTTGTTCCCACTCAACAATAACATCAACTTGGATCAGTACACACACTCTCTCTTACACACGCAAACGCAAATAGTGAGACAAAAGGCAACGCTTGACGCGATATCGCCGCAGCCAAACAAACATCGAAGTCCAAAAAACAAAACCCCTCTCCCCTCCCCTGGCAAGAGAAGAGAAGAAGATACAGAGAGAAAATCCGACAGTGCCCTCCCTTTCTTTTACTCATGCGCCGTCTATCAACAAAAGAATAAAGACCCCCAAGAAAAAAATCCGTGTCTGTCTGTCTAGATTGCTTGTTATGGGGTGGGTGGTGGATGCTGTTGAAAAAAAAACCCCCCCAGTCCCAAAACAAATGGATATCGGTGGAAAGGAAGAAAAAAAAAGACGTCTTTGTAACTCTCCAAAAGTGTCGTGCCCCGGCGCTCCATCATCATCTCTTCCATGTGTCTCAGCAAAACGGCTGCACTCACTCAATGTGCGACGTGTCGCAAATCAATACTGAGAGAAAATAAATTTAAAACAAAAAGACCCCCTCAGGCTGTGCCGTTCCCCCCCTTGCCGTTGGCCAGATTGTTGTTCGCCGGGCTGCTGTTACCGTTGCCGTTCTTGACCGCCACTTCGGCCACCTTGTCCTGGAGACTACTGGCGGGGAGTACGGCCTCTTCCTTGGTCAGACCCTTGCGGATGGCCAGCACGCTGTCGACAATGACGGCGTCGATGCCCTCCTTGACTTGTCGCTAGAGAAAAGGGGAAAATGTTAGTTCCCAGGCTTTGGAGAAAAAGGAAGAATTCATGGAAAAGAAAGGAAAAAAAAATATTTCACGAACCTGGACTAGCTTGGGGTCGTTATTCTGCGTGCCGTAGCTAACACAGACCAACCCGCTCTGCTTGACCACCTTGACCAGGCGCGGGCTGTTGATGAGCGGCTCGGCGTTGCTCACGATCCCCAAGAGGTTCCACCTGCTCGCGAAGCGGATGGCCTCCTGCAGGCTGCTGGCCCTGATGTCGCCGACGGTGCAGGTGCCGGCGTCGGTCAGGAACAGGATGGGGATGCTGGGCTGCTTGAAGCTCAGGCACAGGCAGATGTCGGGGTTGAAGGAGCTGAAGATGATGTGGCGGTCGGCGGCCATGTCGTAGACCTTTGTCAGCACCGTGTCGCAGAACGAGTTGAGCTCGACGGCGTACGTGTCCATCTCGTGCTCCTCGCTCTCGTGCAGCATCGGGTACTTCATCTCAATGTTGAACCCGATCGACTCGGGCAGCTTGCGGAACAGGTCCTCGAGCGTCGCGAACGGCGCCTGGATGAAGTTGCCCCGCGAGTTGGCCTTGAACCCCTTGGCCTTGAAGTCGCGCGTGTGCTTCATGCGCTCCTCCAGCCCCGTCTCCTTGGCCGGGTAGTCCATCGACATGGACCGCTGTCGCAGCCCCGGGCTGTTGCTGCGCGTCTGCTTCAGCTGCTTGTGCTGCGCCTTTCCACCCCCGGGCACCGGCCGCGACGGGTCCGAGTTGATGTGCAGGAACTGCTCCAGCGTCAGGGTGTGCACCGGCGCGTCGAACCCAGTCTCGCTGACCAAAAAGTCGTGGTAGATGACGGGGACATGGTCCTTGGTGAGCTGCACGTCGAACTCGACGTACTGCGCCCCCAGGTTCGCAGCCGCGATGAAGGACGGCACCGTGTTCTCGCCCAACTGGAGCGATTTGTTGGAGGCCAGATTCTTTCCCAGGCCGCGATGGCCGATGACCATGGGGGACGTCAGTTTCCGCCAGTACGTCTGCCTCGACGTCACTTCCATCTTCGGGTGCGAAAAGGGGGTGATGACCAAGAAGTTGAAATTGACCGTCCCAATGACCTCGAGATTCGCCCCCATGATGGGAACACAGACGTCTCCCTGGAGATTCATCCGCTTGGTTCCAATGGTGGGCCGAACACTCGAGAGTAGGGCCACGCCGCGCCCGATCTTGTTCTTCTCGTTGCCCGAGTAGGTCGGCACAATGTCGAAGAGCAGCTTGACCTTGGCGGCATCCGTCGTGGTGAACACAATAGGCTCTGTCGATATGTTCTCGTGGACCGGGAGGTCAACGACGGACGGCTCACCGTGCGCGCCATGCGCGGATACCACGACCGAGAGGGCCGTGTCCAGCTCCGTTGTGTGGGCTTCGGCGAGCGGGACTTTATCCAGCTTGACCGCCTCGATGTTCTTCCGTATATCCATCGAGCCGAGACTGACCAGCACCAGGCTTTCGTTCTTGAGATAGCGGTGGCCGAACGTCTTGACTGGGTCTGCCGGCCGCGAAGAGCCATTCGAGCGCCTATCTTCTAATGAGGCGACTTCTGGCGGCGAGACGTCAGCTGGCAACTTCTCGTCATCGGAGCTGCTGGCCGTCGTCTCTACTGCCGGTTGACTATGCAAGGCTAGGAGGCGGGCGATGGGGAGGTGGCCTCGCAGGGCTGCGTGCTCCTTTGCCGTCCACCCCGAAGAGTCTGGCTTATCGACATCGGCTCCGGCATCGACCAGCAGCCGGGCAACCGAGAGATGGCCGTCGACGGCTGCGATGTGGAGTGGCGTCCAAGCAAACGACTTCTCGGCAAGCTCCAGGTTTGCCTTTTGCTGCGCTGTTCCCCTCAAGAGCACCTGCGCACATGCGTCGTGGCCGAACCTGGCCGCAATATGCAGCGCCGTCTCGCCCGTTTCGTCTTGCCAGTTGATATCGACTCCGGCCTCGACCAGCATTTTGACAATGCGCATAAAGTTCGACTTCGTGGCAATTGCCAGGACTGCGCTAGACTTTGATATGGAGCGCCTCATCTCAGCTTTGTGGTCGCTCACGCCTTTCCAGTTCTCCCCCTGAAGAAGCACCCCCGTCGTCAGAGCATGTCCGCCGAGAACGCTAAGATGCAGCGGCGCATTGCCGTCCTTGTCCTGCCACTCTGGGGCATCGATGCCGTTTTCAACGTTGAACTGACCCCACTGCTGCATCTTGCTCATGAGTATTTGACAGACAACCACAAACCCAAACTGGGCAGCATAGTGCAGCGGCATACGGCCAAAGACGTCTCGAGTACTTAGAGCACTCCTCTGGTCAGGCTTGAGGTTTTCCAGGAGGTAAAGGAGCATCTGGACTGCTTCATCTCCGCTGCTGAGCAAATTCGACTCCTTGAGATTGCTTGTTCTGGGAGCCGGAAGAGGTGACGTAGCCGGGGTGAGGTAGTGCTGGGCATACTGCACCGAGCCGCCGGGGAAGGGAAAAGAGCCAGCGTCGGGCTCGACCTTGTTTGACGAAGCTGTCCTGGTTCGGCCAATGTGGATCACCAGCCTGTGGATACAGTTCCGCTCGTTGATGTCATCCGGCTCGTCGAGAGACGTGATGTTGGCGAGAAGAAAAGTGATGGAGTTCCGGGATCGTGCGGAAATTGAGCGCTGGAGGAGATTGAGGAGCATGCTCTGCGGGGAAACGCCCGAGGCTGTGATGCTGCCGTCGGCCAGACCGGCCTTCAGGGCTTCCACGTCGTCCTTGCGGATGGCCTGGTCCAGCCTGTCGAGAAGCGTCGTCGACACGGTTAGCATGGCCTTTGCTGACGCTCGTCCAAGAGACAGCGTTGAGCGCTCCGACTTTGCGCCGCCGTGGTGCTGAGCCTCTCCGAGCACGGAAAGCCACCTGTTTATCTCGGACAGTAGGCGCGTGATGGCCACATCTTTGGCAAATGGGCGGGGATCGACCTTTGTGGAAACGTAGCGGTGCTGGCTCGAAGAATCTGGGACTTTCTTGTCCAACTTCTTGGTGATCTTGACAAAGCCGCGGCGGTTGATTTCGCCAAACCACTGCAGGTTCCGCAGCTGGCTCCGCAGCTCAAGGAGGGCACCCATGAGCTCCTCGATCTCGTCATCGTCGAGGTTCTCGACGACGTCTGGGGTCCTGCCATATCTGTCCTGGAGCACCTTGAGCCGGCGGCAGGCGTCGGCATACTTCTTGTTGTAGAAGGAGTCGACGTCCTCCAGATTCCGGTCCAAAGCAAAGAAGAACTCTGAATGCCTAGTTAGTACCTCGGGTATGCCCACGAAGCCAGCGAGCCAAGTGATATTCCATATCACGGGGCTTAGGAGCAAGCCAACAACATGAGAATAATAAAAAAACAAGCCTACCTGCTAGATCGACTGGCTCTCCATTCTGGGCGGCGGCAGCCAAAGCCTTCACGAGCTTTTTCAAGCCCTTGTAGTTGATGTACGAGGCTGCCCACTCGGGTACCTGGTTGCGCGGGAGACTGCCAAGCGAGCATGAGCCGTTTGCACTCGGGGGATCATAAGGTAGATACCACGGTTGAAGGGGAGGTGAGCTGCCCTGTTTGGGATCAGGTACTTACTTCCTACCAAACTTCATCTTGGAGACTCAGAAACACTCGCGTTGTGTGGGGTATCGATATGCCGAGGCGAGAGCGGTGGCTGTCTTGGCGGACAACTCCAAAAGTGTAGGTAGCCAGGGAAGGAAGAAGGTTCCTTAGTCAGGGCCGAGTTGCGAGGACGTCTAAAACCGAGACTGAAACCGGCAGCAAACTGAACCAGCACAGGTCGCAAACCAATGGCGAAGAGAAAAGGATCGAGAGGAGATGAGGGCGACGGCAGCGGAGAAGTCTACCGCATTTTTATTTTGGTCTTATATTCCTGTAAATCGAATTGGGACGAGGAAATGTGTAGACCTTTCGGCGACGACGGGACAATGGACGATGCCGAGTGTCTTGAAAGGCGGCCGGGCGCGAGGGCGGGCGCGGGTGCGGGCGCGGCGAGCACAAGTTGTGTCTAGAACGCTCAACTTTGCGCCTGGTCGGCTTGTGCGGAAGGCAAAGCGGACAAACAGGCCGGCAAGCAGGCAAGCAGGCAGGCAGGCAGGCAGGCAAGCAAGCAAGCAAAGCGGCGGTTCCCAAAGACGGATAGAGGAACGAGGGGGGCCCCAGTCGGGAGGTCTCGGCAGTCAGTCTCGGGCGGCCAGTTGCAGTCAGTGTAAGAGGGGACAATGATACAGCGCAACGCGAATTCAAGAAAGAAAAAACCGGAAAAGTCCCCGACAACTCAGTGAGCTGCCTGCAACGGTCGGGACTGGGCGGCAGAGGCAGGATCCATTGAGAGCGAATTAGAGAAGCGTCTTTCCCCTGGTGGCAGCGGGGAGCATGGGATGGGATGGGAAAGGGTTTGAGTTTGAGAAAAGGGGAGGGTTCTCCTTGAATTGTTGGTTGGTGTTGGTCAAGAGAAAGCAGGGGCAGTGCCGTGCTGGCGAGAGCCTCCAAGGATAGGTATGGGAATAATATACGCAGTAGGATCCAATTCAGCTCCAAACTAAAGGACTTGAAGGTATGGCAGGCAGGGTACCTCTATCTTAGCTTGGAAACCAACCCCAAGGTTCCATTACATGTATTGTATGAACTAAAAGCGTACCGAGTATACGGGGCAGTAACCTTGTCTACCTAGCTAGTGGTTGCTTGAGTTAGGCCCAAGGGATGCGTCCACGTGTCGGAATTAACCCGAGCCCCGAGCGAGCGAGCGAGGGAAGGGGGGATGTCAAGAGCGCCGCAAACAGCCTGTTGGATGAGCTCATGAAACACACTCTCTCGGGCTATTTTTTTCTCTTGCATACGAGGTAAAGGGAACCGGTTGCCAAGCGGCGGGAGGAGGAACAATAGACCATCCACTGACGCCTAGATTATTCGCCTGCATCGACCAATCAGCGCCCGTGGTGGCGTATGGTGGGGCATTGCACCGATGCCACTGGACACAATCGGCTTGGCAGGTCTGGTGCAGATCCATGGAATGCGTGCCGCCCCGGTTTGTGGGATCTTGGCACGGACGGGCATGGAAATGGGGAAGTGGCAAAAGACAGCCAAACGTTGAACCTAGTCCTAAAATAAGAAAGATACCAAAATTACAGATAAGAATTCACTTTATCCAAGTCCTATTACAATCCCAATCAACTACACATTTTTGAGAAATTGAGTTTCAGCACCCAACGTCTCTTTGGCTGGCTGGTCGGCCCCAACACAACCATTTCACACCGTATAACATGTAAAAAAAAAGGACTATACTTTTTATTTTCTCTGTGGAATTGACACGTCTAGCTGCATACACGCGGTCAGGGGACTACTCACCGCTCCAATTCCGTCAACAACCCCTTTCATCGACAAACAACAGGGACTCGTGACTCGTGGCGAGAGACCCTTCCAGATTCAGCCAAGGCAGAGGCTGCTAGTTAGGCACGCCACGTCTGGGCAGGTGGCAGCTGATGGCGGTCAAGTGATTCGGGCTGCTTGGCTTCCAGGGGCTCCCCGCGTCAACGCTCGCTCCAAACCAGGTATTCCCAACAATTAATTGCCATATTCACTGGGAGCACATGACTTTAATTTTTAAAGAGTATTGGATAATGTTTTTCGTTGGTGTATCGGTTTATTTCCAACCCGTGTCTTCTCTCTATTCTAACCGTTTAGGGGTTTTATGTACGGTTCCAATCCGAGTTCTCGCTGACCCTCCCTTTTTATGTACACGCCTTCACCCTCTGTCTGCTTCCAGCCATAGCGCCGTTTGATGTGAACACTCTTATTATATACTCGTTCACCAAGTCATGGCAGGTGGGGGGCCATTGTAGTCCGATGGCAAAAACTCCTCGAGGATTGCGAAGGGGTTTGCTTCGGGTTCGGCTTCTGCTTCTGCTCCTGCTCCTGCTCCTGCTCCTGCTCCTGCTCCTGCTTCTATTCTCAGACTCAATAGGTACTGGTCAATAATTCGTAGCATTCTCTTGAGGGAGACATGTTCTGGTCCCATGGCCAATTCCTCGGGTACAAGCTCCGGTGGAAGAGCCTCTTGAAAGGCCAACTTGAGCTGTCGATTCGCCTCTCCGAAAATTGCGAAGCATGCATCGCGCTTGACTGCCGGCAAAATTACAATCTCAAGAACCCGAAACAGAAGCTTGATCCCCCCCTGGTCAGCAGCTGGCCCCTGATCTGGTTTCTCTACTGAAAACCGCGCCCATTGCAGTAACGTGTCTTCGATTTCCCTCCGTAATGTGTAGTATTGCTCATTGAGAAAGAACATGGAGGCCATCGTTTGCACACGTAGAGTACCATATAGCGTGCGTCCTGAGCGACCTTGATACTGGTCGGTGATTCCTGCTGCCCACGTAGCCCTGATCAATAGTGGCCACCGAATTTCATTTGGGAATAGTGGGCGCGTGCGCTGAACTCCGTCGGCGGTTGCTCCTGTCGACACATCATCGAGGTCCGCCCGTTGGCCCGCCGGTGCGCGGACATTATCGGTAATCCGAGCTTCTATTCTCCTCAAACCGATGTTCTTGAGATCAAGGTCGTTGGAGGATTCCCTGATCCAGATGGCTGTCGCAAGATGGACTAGGGTGTCTCCTCCCGGCGACATCTTTGAGTGAGGTCGAAGAGGAGAGACACTCCGAGACTTCAGTGTCGCTGCCTGGCATATGACAAGCAAGTGCCGTAACTTATTAACAGCCTCGCCGCTAAAAGCCTCCGAGTCGAGGATCATCGATGTTGCCTCGTCGATGTTCTCGAGAAACCCTTGAATGAGAATGCGCACCGCCACGTCGTCCAGCCTGAACATGCATGCATTGAGAAGGTCTAATATAAGCTCGGGACTTTGAGCCCAGTATCCTCGCAGATAAACGACAAAGACTCTGGCGGCGAGTCCGAGCAGGCCGAAATCTATCAAGCACTCCACGATGGCCTGAAAGTGAGTATGGTCCAGCTCAGCGCGCTCGACAAGCACACCTTTCGTGAGGGCAACATCTGAATTCAGAACCCATTCCCGTAGGAAGTTGCTGTTTTCCAGGGCCCTCAACGGGTTCGACCGCAACCTCATCCCCCGGACGTGATGGCCGATGATACGCCGGATGAGGTCTCGAAACCCGGCAACATCGTCGCTCAGTCGGTAGTACTGGAGCAGGCACAACGTCGTCGCCTTTGTAGGTCTGAGACGAGAGGAAAATATAAAGCGCACAACAGCCCGCGCCAGGTCGTACTCGCCGATCCGGGTAAAGGACAGTAGGAGCGTATTGTAGTTATCGATCCCGGGTGGGACGGGGGAGACGAGGAGATTATAGCATAATTTCGCCACTGAAGCCACTCTGCTGCGTGAGCCCCATGCGCTCATAATCTGGCTGTTTAGCTCGTTCAAGTGGGAGCGAGAGAAGGCGGCCTGCTTGGGATCGAGTTGAGGGTAGGTGTAGTTGGGATAGCCGTCTGACCGCAGCATGCGGATCTGGTTCCAAGCCGAATCAAGGCGTGTCCGCGGGTCAACCTGGCCGGGCGCATTGGGTCCGACGTCGATATTGTACGCCTCATCAAGAAGCCGATCAACAAGCCAGGTCACCCCGTTCTGACCATTCTGCATGTGGATTGGTTTTTTGGGTTCCCGATGATCTATGCCCTCCTTGACTTCGAGAGCGATGGCTAGTTCACACTTGACCAGGCCCTTTTTATTTCTGACTGTTGGGTTTGTCCTAATCCATGGGATGCCGCACATCTTATTGTAGCTCCAAATCCGCCTCTCCCTCCTCTGGAGGTAATTTGCCTTGTAGCCCACCAAAGAACCACGCCTGAAGGCACAGATGGAAGCCAGGACATTTTTTACTCGTAGGGGGTCGGAGAAGACGTCAGAGTAGAAGTCTGCCGACTTGACAAGATGCGCAAGGTCTCCTGTGTGCGTTTTCTCCATAATCGCCGCAAGGGAGAGTCTTGCCTCTTCGATGTCGCGGGTACTGAGCCGGGGTACCGTTGGTGTTTCCGAGTGTTTGTGGCGGGCGGCAATGTCGGCATCGGCATCGGCGATCGCATCCGCGGGGCCGCCGGGCGTCGGCGCAGGCGCGGGTGTGACCGTAGAGTAGTCGGCCGTAGACACGTGGCCGGGTCGAGCTCTCCTCCGCCAGGGATTTGGCGGATTTGCGCCATGCGATTGTCGCGAAACGGTATTTGTCACGCAGTACCATGCCGGGCAATGGCAGGCTCGGAGTCGGGGGGCCATTGATCAGGACCTCCCTCTGCATTGTCGAGGCATGTCGTTCAATGCTGAGGTCGCAGCACAGTTGGCGATTAGGTGAGGGTCGACTGTCTCCGGCTCCGGGCAGTGGGCTGATTTTGCTTGGCGAGCTCCGAGGTTCGAATTATTTGTCTGGGCCCATTGAGCAATTATGAGGCTCGGGCGGGCCAAGAAACGCTAACCCCGTTTTAGCTGACAAGGCCCAGCACCAGAACCTCACAGGATATACAGACACGCCCTGGCTGGGGGTCGGCTTTGAACATTTCACTGTATAAGCTAGGTGGTTAGGGGGGAGGGGCAATATGTTTCTCTAGATCCAGGCATATTTGATACACAAACGAATGAAAAGATACTCCGAGTTTGCAGTGCCGTAGTTCATTTCGGCTCATATCCGATCTTGGAGAGCTTGGGGTGTCGTTTTATCAAGCGGGGCATTTCCAGTGGAAGCTGAGTTCTGGGGGGAGCTGTCCCTCCATCCATTCCATGGATGTCAACTGAGCGCCTCAAACTACGAGCCCAATTAAGCAGACCTCGCTATCACAATCACAAAACCATACTGCAACAATGTTCGCACTAACTCTGACGGCAGAGCTGGCAGGGTAAGCGTTGCTATATTCCGTATTGAAAACTTTTCTTCCTAGACCAATCAGGTTGGGCGCTGACATGGTCATCCAGCGTTACCAACCTCCGACCCAACGACACCGAAGAGAACCCTTTCTGGTACACTTTCAAGGTGCAATGCACGTCTTGTAGAGAGACACACGCAAAGCCTGTTGGCGTCAGCCGGTTTGTAAGCAGAATTGCCAGGCCGAGGCTAGTAATTATCGATTCGTGTCTAATAATTCATGTCAGGATACCAATGAGATGAGTGGAAGCCGCGGTGAAGCCAACTTTGTCTGGAAGTGCAAGAACTGCAAGGTGTGTCTATGCCCTTCTCACAACACGGCTTTGGCCCAAAATTGGCTCATAATAATCCCTTATCAACAGAGGGAGTCGTCAGCGAACATCATGGCTGCCCCAGGCCCATATGAGCAGTCTGACCCGGCGAAGGCTCAGAAGATATTGACCTTCGACTGTCGTGGTTTAGAATTCACAGAATTCATGCCCGAGGTTTGTTGTTCTCGCAGCGTCTTTGTCTCCTAGACCAGACCATCTCCGAGTTTGTCACTATTGCTAACTTGGATTCGAAACAGGGGGAGTGGCTCGCAGAAGGTGTCGAGTCAAATTCTAAATTCACTGGTATTGACTTGACCGAGGGTGAATGGTTTGAGTACGACGAGAAGACGGGTGAGGAAGTGAGCATTAAGGAGCTGAAATGGGAGATTAATCGGACCTGATTTTATACCAACGAGATCATCTTGATATGTGCCGACTTCGTTCATCCAGTACTTGCAAGCGCCAATTCATTACCGAGTCATATAGTTTAGAGGGCGCCGGGCAGGAAAGCCTTGAAGGAGTCCCCAACTATTGAGCAATACCCAAACAGTAATATTCCACAGACTGAGCATAATAGATTTACCAGCAATAACGTTCGCCTAAAGGGAACCGCACGATGGTGGTTGGAGGCTCAAGTCCTTGACCAAGGTAGTTTAAAAGTGTGGCCGACAACAGTCCGCGAGGTCGCGATATGGGGCTGAAACGTCTCAAACATTTGGTTTGTATTTTTATAATGCACCAGCAAAAGCAAATTTGACCCGACTTAGATTTTAACGAACAATGAAACCGGCGTCGACTTTGTGATTTAAATGACTTGATCGACAAGAGTTGTTCAGAATCAATGTATTGCTCTATTGCAACCAATACAAAACAGCTCCTAATACAGCTCGATACAGTTAGCTTGCGGCCAGTGCACCCGAATAAAAATTGGCCTGTGTATTACCTACGTATTCATACTTACCGCACGAAGATTTAGCTTCTCTCAAACCAAACCGTCCAACAAAAGCTGCACGCCCCAACCCTTCGGCCTGACCATGGCCATGAGCGCCACCATGTCGTCGGACGACCTGTCTGCTGCTCTCAAGTTCCTTTCAGATGCAGGCCATCTCTTGGCGTCCGCCTCCCCAGAGATTTCGGCATCCATCATGAGCCACCGAAACAGCTTGATGTTCGAGAATGAGCTAGCACAGCCCGATACAGAGCGACAGCGTGTCTGCGGTTGCTGCGGCTATATCATGATTCTAGGCCACGGCAGCAGCTTGGACATGAGGCACGAGAAGGCCGCGAAGACGAAACTTCGGTCTCTGGCGGGCGGGAAGCGCAAGGAAGCGCGTGTTCAAGAGCCCCGTTTTGGACCAACTAAGGTCCTTACATGCGGCCACTGCGGAAGACTGACAGAGGTCAAGCTTCCGGCCCCCCGTCGGATCGCAAGGCGCACGGCGCGGACACCGAAAGCCGGAAAACCAGGGCCGCCGCTCTCGACGTCGGCTCCTCCTCAGCTCCAACCAGTCCAAGACATCGCTCCGTCACTTAAATCAAACGCGAATGCGAATAGCAAAAAGAGAGCAAAGACCAGAAAGGCAGGGCTGCAAGCTCTGCTCGATCAGGCCAGTTCCTCCAGAAATTCCAAACTCGGGCTTGGATTGAGTCTAGCCGACTTTATGGAGAAGTAAGTCGGTCGGGCAGGGCGATCGACACCCGACCTGACCTGGCCTGATGGGCCGAGGCCGACCTTGAACCCAGCGCTGAAAACCTGGAACCTGAAACTGCACGAAGGTTCCGGAAGCTCGGGGGCGGCTCTCTGTCCAGTCCCCAATGGAAGGCCTGCGCAATGAATAAGCTGCCCTCAGAGTCAGACAGAAGCTTATTACCCCACTCTGCGCGCCTCCCCGGTACGCTACAGCACTGATCGATTACCCCGCCAAATCGTTCAATATGCCCAACTACCCCTCCAAAATTTTCTTTGCAGAGCCTTGTTCAGTCCCCAACATATCAAGTCGCTGCGCAAGATGTCTGAACTATTTAACCCAATCGGCGAGAAAGTCGAGAAGGCGGTGCCTATCTCAGATGCAAACAACACAAATGAAGAAGTCCCAGAGGGCGACGAGAGAGTAGTTGACGAGGTCGAGTCTCTGTGCATGAGCTGCGGCGAGAACGTAAGTCAACGAGAAAAGTGCCCCCCCCCCAATCAACCACCCTTAGGCTTCTAGAACTAACTGAATCTTTATAGGGGACGACGCGCATCCTCTTGACCAGCATCCCGTATTTCCGCGAAGTGATTCTAATGTCCTTTGCGTGCGACAAATGCGGTTACCACAACAACGAGGTGCAGTCCGCCGGCACCATGCAGCTGAAGGGCGTGCACTACGAGCTTCGCCTGACCTCGATGAGCGACTTTGACCGCCAAGTTGTCAAGTCTGACACGGCAACAGTGAAGTTTATCGAACTGGATGTTGAGGTGCCCGCCGGCAGAGGGCAGCTTACCGACGTCGAGGGCCTGCTGTCCACAATCGTCTCGGACCTCGAAGACGGACAAGAGACGCGCAAGGACCAATCACCCGAAGTCTACACCAAGCTCGAGGCGGTCATCGCCAAGGGCAAGCAAATGCTGGCAGGCAAGGCGTTTCCGTTCCGTGTCTCGCTTGACGACCCAAGCGGCAACTCGTTTATAACACCAGACATGCGAGACGGCGTGGGCAAGTGGGAGAAGCGCGAGTACCTCCGAACTTCCGAGCAAAACGAAGCCCTCGGGCTCGCAGATACGGCCACTGAGGGGCTTGACGAGGATGGGAACATCATTCCCGATCAAGTATACGAGTTCCCTGCGGCGTGCCCGGGCTGCATGCACCCGTGCACCACCAACATGCAGATGGTGGACATTCCACATTTCCGTCAGGTCATCATCATGAGCACCAACTGCCAGGACTGTGGTTACAAATCTAACGATGTCAAGACAGGCGGTGAAATCCCAGAGAAGGGTGTAAAGACAACGCTCAAAGTCAAGACGCCAATCGACATGGCCCGCGACATTCTCAAGAGCGAGAGCTGTGCTCTCGAGGTGCCCGAGCTCGATCTCTCAGTTAATGCAGGAACGCTTGGCGGGCGCTTCACCACTGTCGAAGGGCTGCTCACGCAAGTCCGGAACGACCTCCATAGCCAAATATTCCAGGGCGGGGACCATAGCGGCGATTCCTTGCGGTCCGAGGAGCGGGCACGGTGGGATACCTTCTTCAAGGGCCTAGACGAGGCTATCAAGAGTGAGCGCGAGTTTACTGTAATACTCACGGATCCGCTAGCGCAAAGCTATGTACAGAGTCTTGCGGACGATCCGGCAAAGCCCGACGACCAGATGACGGTGGAGGAGTACGAGCGGACACCCGAGGAAGAGGAAGAGCTAGGCCTAGCAGACATGAAGGTAGAGGGGTACGAGGAAAACGCCGAGCCGAAGGAATGAGCTGCCGAGATATTTGTCGAGGCCGGCCGTCTGCCCGGTAAACAGTAAAACAAGATAGACGGATTTGATGATACTTCTTTTGCTACCATCTGTGCTAATCAGTATACGCAATAGATACCTGTCTAATTTGAGTGTTGGACGTGAGATAATACTCTCGCAAGAAAGAGACGAGAGAAGGAATAAGTTCGGCTATAGCAGAAGCAACCTACATATTTCTTTCTCCTACTTTACATGTCATTTCATTAGGCCGAACAAATAATAATAAAGGTACCTTTCTAGGTACGGTGAGAGATAAACATTTCTGCATCCTGCTTCTCGTTGGTGGGAAGCCTACGTACCTAGGCAACCAGCCAACCTGACCCTACTCGGCGAAAACTATCATCAGAGCGAAAGGTCAAGAAGCGCGGGGACTTCATGTCTTCAATGTAGGTCTCTCGACACGTAACAAACGTTCAGCTGTATATCCACCGCCACCATATTAGGTATCCCTCCCTTCTCCCGTCTGCCCCTCGGATCTTCCCTCTACTCAAGCCTAAAAAGGGATCGAGACTAGATTGGACTACGTACCGAAAGGAATTAAGACATATAAGTAATAGAGAGGAAGGAAAAGAAAAAACGCCCCTTGTCCCATTTCCTTTACCGAAAAAAGAAATAAAAATCCAGCAACAACCACAATAGACTAGCATGGAAAAGAATGGGGGGGTTAGAGGACGGAAGTTACAATACGAGAAAGAGAAATCTGGGAAAATGAACGCCCAGGCTTTCGCTTGTCGCTCAGCCTCTCTTTCCCTTTTCTCTCCACGAGGGAAAAAAGGAGAAAGAAACGAAACTATAGAAAAATAGACTTATACAGGACAAGAGAAACAAGATAAAAAGAAGAGAAAATAGAATCGGGTATATATGATCCACCGTTTACCAAGAGAGAGACCGTACCCCCCACAACCACCAACGCGACCAAAACCCCTCTCCCTCCTGTGTCATGTGTTTCGCTCCTCCAACCTCCCCCTCCGACAAGAGACCCGAGACAGATAGATAGCCGAACCTTATCGGCTGCTGCAAATAAAACGACGGGCAAAGCCAGGCAAGCAAAGAAATAACGCTTCCATGAAAGCGCCGTCGAAGAGAAGACGACAAAGACGCAATTGCCAGAGGCTTGCACCCTCCAAACCTCCCTCTTAGAAAAAGGTCGGCTTAGTGAGGACGCGGTACTCGACGTAGTCCTCCCCGTCGATGCTGATGATAGAGCCCTGGCTGACGAGCTTGCCCTCAAAGGGGCCGTTCTGCTTGCGCTCGTACTTGACGCCCATGTACATCTTGGCGTCGTCTCCGCCCCCCTTGAGCCGGTTAGCTTCCTGTGCGGCCCAGACCTTGTTCAACCGCTGCACCGACTCGTCGAATTGGGACCGGTTCGACGACGACGCGTGGTGGTATTGGTTGTGGTTTTGGTGTTGGTGGGAGGAGTATGAGGAAGAGGGCCCGCTTACCTCGCGGCTAGCCGCGTGCTGGTCGGCGCGCATCTGCACCGCCTCCAGACGCGTAACCTCGCGGCGGGCAATCGTGTGAGTGCGCTCCAGGGCGGCAGCCGAGCTAGACGAGGCGGCAGGCGGGTTGCGGTTCGCTGGGCGCAGCTCGACGTCCGGCAGAGAGTGACGCCCGCGCATGCCCGTATCCGAGCGTCGTGACTGGCGGTAATCAGAAAGGGAGCCGTTTGCGTCTCCATTGCGGCCCAGAGAGGACATGGAGCGGCCAACGACGTCGGGGCCATCGTCGTACCCGTTGTCGCCGTTGACCAAAGGGGAACCCTTCATGGCGAGAGCAGGTGGGATGCTGCCGCGCTCTTCCTTCTTGGAGACGTAGGTATTTGTCGAGGCATTTCGCACGACATTGAGGGCCTCGGTGACAGCAAGGGCCTCGTTTAGCTTTCGGGTATCAACGCTCTCGCCTTCGTCAATCTGGCGCTGGCGAATCCGGCAGTACTCCTTGATCTCGGGCCGGGGAAGGCCTTGAAGGTGCTCTTCAAACCGGACATCGTCCCAGTTGATCCAGAGTGCGCCTGCGCCTTGCGGGAAGTTGCCAATCATGGGCCGTCCGTCACGCGTCTCTCTAACGAGCTTAACTCGGAACATGTCATTTTGACCCAGAATTCCGTACACCGCATGCTTGTCCGCCTCCTCCTCCTGGTCTGACTTCTTCCAGTACCCTAGAAGGATTCTCGCGGTTCGAGAAGCAACGGGGCTAGGCGCTGCAGAAGGCGAGTCCGTCGCCTGGCCGCCAAACGAGCCCATCATGCGGCGCTTCTTGGTCTCTGGCCGGTTCGGGAAATAGGCCTGGGCAGGGATATCTATGCCGTAGGCGATGGCGGGCTGGACTCCAGACTCTGGGGGCGGGTTCAGCTCAAGACGGCGACGCGCCTCGGCAAGAGCCTCGGCGTTGAGGCGCTCTTTCTCCTCCAAAGTCTCATCCTTGCGACTTGTGTCTGCACGGATCTTGACGTATTCCTTGATCATGTGATGGTTCAGGTTGACCAGGTGCAAGTCGAAAGCGACCTTTTCAAAAGTGACCCAGCTGCCGCCGGGGCCAGGCGGCAGAGGGAAGTCCTCGGCGAGGCTCCGGCCGTCTCGAGTGTGGGGCTGGATACGAGTGCGCAGGCGATCACGAACGTCAATGAATCCAATTACGGCATGCTTGTTGATGGGCTCGAGGGGTTCTGAATCTCTCCAGTGGCCCAGTATGACTCCCTTAACTCCACCCGTGCCGTGCGTCTTAATCGGGCGAGGAGGGCGAGGACGTATATCCTGGTCGATGCGCGCCTCAGAGGCCTCGGGCTCGTCATCTTCGGCGAGATCTTGGTAAAGAGAGGTGCGCTTGCGCTTCGGGTACTGCGCGACAGTCAAGTGAGTTTCGCCGTCGTCCATATCGATGTCTTCCTGGTCAGACGTAACGCGGAGGGGCGATGACTTAAGGTTGTTGTGAGAGTTGCTATTGTTTGACTTTGTGCCGACAACGATCTCGTCCTCGAGAGCATTGACAATGGGACTTGACGATTGGCTCATGGTTTCATCGATTGGTGAATCAGGTGGCGGCGTGAGCTCCTCGTTGTTGATATCGTCGTCTTCAGCTGGGTAGCTGTCGACCGGAGTACTGGAAGGTTCCGTGTCAGCCAAGCTCATCTTGAATAGCATATATGAATATGCTCAGTGACGGTCTTGAGAGTTTGGGTAACAGAGGGCTGAATGTGCGCAAGAAGCGGCGTATAAATGAGATTCACAGCGACTCCAATGGTGATGATTGTGCTTGGGAGGGAAGAGCAGCAGACATATTCTCAAACAATGCGAAGTCAATCCGGGTCCGGGCTTAGAACTTGCCGGTGAGGGAATTTGCGAGAATACGCAACGGCAGGGATGATGTACAGAACCAGGTAACACGAGCAAAGTCTGTGTGGCTGGGCAGCATTGCGCTCTGTATCCAAGGCAAAAGTTTACAGGGGAGCGGCAAGAAAAGCGGGGGAATATGTTTTTGGCAGAGACTTGTGTGGCTTCTTGCACAAGTGAAAAAGATATGCGACCTTGTTCGGGTGCGTGTATGTGTGGTGTTGGTCGGGTAATAGACAAGGGAAGTTTAAGTGGTTTAACTTAAAAGTGGGATGAGACTGCCAACTTTGGCTGCCGCCCTAGAAACGCAGGCAATGAATTCACTGACTGAGAGCCTAGGACTAGGGCATGGCGCGAGTTGCTCTTTCTAAAAGACAAGTAGTGGTAGTTGACGGGGAAACAAGGGGAACCAAAAAGAAATCAGACGGTGAAAAATGACTTACCCTTTGACCGAATCGTGGTCAGGTGTTCTAATTGCTGGTGATTCTGAGATAGCCATGTCGCTGCAAGAGTCGGCAAAAGTTAGCGCGTCCTAGGACAAGTGTAGTTTTAGGAAAGAAAGACTCGGATATAGTCAAGATAATAGCGCGTGCTCGGGCTAGTGGACTCTGGAAAGAATTTGAGCGCAACGCGATGGCCAATAATGTGCGAGGCAGCCTGACAAACTCTTTAGGCCTGTGAGGAGGAAGACGGGCCAGCAGAGAAGAATTGTATTTGAAGTGAAGTGCTGTAATGTAGGGTTGTGTGCTCACGGCTTGTGAAAGGCGGGGAAAGAGCTTGCCTTAAACTTTTTCGCTATCGCAATGCCATCAAGATGCTCTTCATATTTGTTAGGGTGTTCTGCTCCACCTGTAATATAGCAAAGAGTGATGGATAAGAATAATGGATGATGAACGACTTCTTGGCTTTGGGAAGCGCAAGAGGGCGAGGACCAGTGGGTATTGGCTGGATTGAGGCACAAAAGTTACAGAACAACGACTGCGCTGAACCGACACTGTTGTTCACGAATATCCAATCCAGAACCAAAACCACTGGACTAGAAACGGCCGCCCTCTCCCCGAAACAGGTGGCGCCAGCCCTGAAGCAACAGCTCATCTGCTTTACCAACAGTCACCCGACGTCGACGACCAGCATGTGAGCGAAGCTAAGTTGTGGTGAATTGGAGTTTGGGTGGGGGTTAGGGACTGGTGTTAATTAGATGACGCCAGGCCGGCCGTCCCAAGTTCAACTCGAACAGGGGACTAGGCAACAAGTGTATTAAGTGCTGGGCCGCTCTGTCTGACTTGCCTTCTCACAGCAAGCCAGCTTGGCGCGCGTTGCCCCAAAACATGTTTGCCAGACAAGCCTCGAAGACGAATTGGCAGACGCCAACAGCCACCAGAAACCCGACTTAAGGATGGGGAAGAAGGCGACGACGGTGACATACGATAACGAAAGAAGTCGAACACAAACTCGGAACGAACACGAACGTACCTCTCGACCTTGGGAACTTGCTCTTCGACGTGCGTAGGCTCTATTGAAGGCGGTCCTTCCACCGGCCTAACGTGGTTGGTAACGGTCATATCCATGGTTGCTGAAGCTAACTATCACGAGTGGGTGCAGGATAAGAGGTCTGCATTGACAATTAGTGACTTTTGTCGACGACGATGTGTAAGAGCAGAGTAGAAATGGTGGATGAGAAGAGAGAGCAAGCATAAATGCCAAGTGTTGGTTGGCTGGGACCCGACGTTGTAAAGCGAGTATTAAAAAAAAAGAAAAAAGAGACAAAGTGAAGCTAGAAGACAATCCCCCCTTATTAGGAAAACGTGAAACAGAAGTCGGGGAATCGGGAAAGCAGAAAAGTTGCGGAAGGGTGAGGGGGAACGCAAAAGGCGGGCCGAGCGGGAACGTCGAATCGAGCAAAAGAGGAAGATTGTTTTGACTGGATGTGACCGAACTAGCTCCCTCTCTCACCCCTCAAGCCCCCAAAACCCTCGATTTGGCCAAATGGAGATGGAGGGGGGGGGGAAGTTAGGAGGGATGAACCGGGAGAGGGTGGGTTTCTCTTTTTGGTGTGGTAAATAGCCACGAGGCGACCCACAAGATCAATTTAAATTATTGGCGATAGAACCAGGCAACGATGAATCCCGACTCGACGTAGCCCGACTTCAGGCCGGCCACTTGACCTTTTTTTAACCTCCTTATTCTGTTGCCGAAGCGGGTCTTGTTTATAAGACGAAAAAAATAAGGGCAAATAAGTAATGAAAGAGAGAGAGGAAGAAAAGGGGGGAAGAGTGCTCGGAAGTTGAAATAGAAAAGAAAACGCGCTGTGAATATATTTACCTAAAAGTGATGTTGCTCAAACGTGGCAACAGGCTGGTGGTGGACTAGCCTCCTCCTTCCTCCTCTTTTTTCTCTCCCCCCGTTACCTTGTTTGCCCCGAGACGCACACGCAGGCGCTCTCTGCCAACACGAGATTAGGGTGCGGAAAGAAAGTGTTTAAAAAAGAACCACAGGTGTCGTGGGCCAACCCGACAAGGAGGCGAGGCGATGGAGCGGCAAGGGGCTTTTATCCCCCAATCAGCAACGCGCTATAGTGACAATCTTGGTAGGTCGGGATAAAAATAAAAATAAACCAAGTTCGAGATGGCCTTTCTTCGCGCAACGATAGTTTCGATGGGGGAGGTTGGTTAAACTTTTCTGTTAGGGAAGCCAAGTTGTTGTTGATGAAAGCCAGCCAGCCAGCTAGACTCTTCAACTGAATGGGAGAAAGAGGCGTTGGCAACCCAGTGTATCTTAGAGAAAAAGACAAGGGCGACGGATGTGTGTGGCAGCAGCGACAGCAGCAATCGCGGTTCCTTCTGTCTTCATGGAACTAGGGTGGGTGGTTGCGGGTTATGTATGGATTGTGGTTGGTTCACGCGCCGAAACATGCAACACACACACACACACACACACACAACACACACAACACACTAGCAGGAACACAGAAAAAGAGAGCGTGGATTCAGCGTCGCAAAACAGATTTCGGGAAGAAAAAAGTGCTTTGGCTGCCAGCGCAATGCGAAACTCTTGCCCAGAAAAGAGTCTCGATTAAGTTATTAGGAGTGGTTTGCTGGGAACAGCGATGAGGGAGGAAGGTGGTTGCCGTGTTGAGTGTATGCGTTGAAGAGTGTGTGTGGGCGTGTATGTCAGTGAGCAAAAAGAGTGAGAGAGAGAAAGAGGAAAGAGATGTAAGAGGAAAGGAAAGTCTGTGTGGTGAGGGAACCGGGGGATGTTAGTGGGTAGATAATAATAATAATTGAATCAAAAGAAGACAAGGTTATTCGGTAGTCTGGGGGAGGGCGGGGGGACTGGGAGAGAGAGGAAGTGGGAAAGAGAGCAGTACTTCGTGGCTACCGCTCGATCAGGTACAAACATCAAGTACCGCAGGATGACGGGATGATTCGCACTGCCTTCAGCCAAATTGCACCCAAGTTGATCAGAGACCCCAGGATGGGATTGGAGCTAAGCGAGGGGACTCTGTCCAGTTTTCCCATTGGAGACGAAGTCGAAACTGCTCAAGCAAACAGAAGAAAAATTATTAAAACCCATAATTACCTCTTGAATTGATGCATCTCCTATTAACGAGTACTGTACCATATGTGGCGACGGGTCCCCCCCTCTTAGCGAGACAAGACCCCGAATCTCTTCCTCGGAGGGTACTCGAAAGACGCAATTTCGGCCGGCTATTGGGTCGTGGGCTTTTGCTGACCGTGGTTTCGCGGCAGTTGTTGCCAATGTGTCATTCCCTTACTCAGTACTAGAAGCTCAGCTTGGACAAAATTTTTCCTTCCCTCTATTTCTGTCTCTTCTCCCTTTGGTAAGTCGTTCCTCCCTCCTCCCCATCTTCTCCCCAATCCAATTGGGGGGGGGGAAATACACCTTCCTCTTTTTTTACAGCACGACTCTACTCTGTTGGTCTCTAGCGTTTCGCACTGTGCTTATTCATGCACGGAACGCCTGTTCGGGGAGACGAAAGTCGAAAGCTCATCTGAAACATTTCCACTGTTGCATCAGCGTGATGCAAGTCCCTTTTTTTACCCTCTCACGCCTCTCCGTAACTATCTGTTTCCGTCACACCGTCGGGGACACTATCGAGGCACGGGGGAGAGGAGACGAGGGAGCGCGGCGGCGGCCAAAGAGACGCAAGGAGCGATAAGTTCCATGGTGACAAGACAATTTGCGCCGCTAGCAATGTAACCTTGACGTCTTTTTTTTCTCGCCCTTGGACTTCTCTATCTCTCTTTCCTCCAGGTTGCTGTCTTGTTGTCCTCGATTGCATTCGGTACAGTAGGTATTATTTCCGTAGGTAGGTCAAGGTACCTCAGCTCAGCTCAGGTTGAACTGAAAATGAATAAACAGTGCCGAGGAGCATGTCAGCACTAGGTAGGTAGGCAGGCAGGCTACGGCTATACCACAGGCAGGATGATGAGCGAACATCAAATCAGACAATCCACGCCATCGATAGCATTGCGCAAGAGACAGGCAGGCATGTAGGCAGGCTGAGCAGGCTGATGAGTTGAAAGTAGGAAGAGCGAGAGCGAGATGGATTGTGTGTCTGGCCACTCTTGCAGAGTCCGTCCGCACTGTGTGCGGTGAACCCTGACTGGCCAGCAAACGCGAAACTCAAACCGCGAACAAAACCCAGCCTAAAAAGAGCCCGTCAGGCGATCAATCAACCATTTCGCAACTCGCACACATCAGGCGTTCTATCGTCGAAATCGCTCTTCAGCCCAGCAGAATCCCGACGCGCTGCTTTCTGAATTGATCTGCATCTGGGCTCTGGAGAGGTTTTGGGGCGGGGGAGCCGTTTGCGTGTTTCTCTCTTTTTTTTCCCCCTCTGCTCAGAAACCAGGAACAGACAGCAGATAGAGAGAGAGAAAGCCGATGACACACACATGCACATACACGCACGTCTGCGGCCGTGAGCCCGCGACTAAGTCCCTGATAAGATGATTACTGTGCCGTACTGTACATGTATGTACACTACCACTACCTCACCTGCGCACGTATACTGTACTGTGCTGTAGTGTCCCGCCTCTCCTTCTCAGCCCGCCACCGCCAATCATGTGATTTTGCCTGTTGCGGCACTGCAGTTGGCTCTGCTGCTGACTGGTGGCTGCTGACGTTTTCGCGCCAATTCTCTTTTCCGGTTTTTTGCTTTTTTTGCAGTTGTGTTGGAGCTTCTCATATACGCAAGGTAGGTAGGGCAAAGTACCGGGTAATAATAGCGTCCATATAATAATCAATGGAAACGGGAGGGTGGCATTCAACCCATGAATACTCCGAAACCTATCCATGTATGCAAAAAGGCATGCGCACGACGACGACAACGGCGGCCTGGTCAATCTGACAGAATTGTGAATTAAACAGCAGCATGCAAAAGAAAACTTGGGCTTTCGGTGTCTTGTGCAAAGTCTTATGCAAATGTAACCTTGCAAGTTAATAAATAAACGTACATATATTTGCACAATACAGATTGACATTCAAGCCAGTAAATTGTCGCGCGCATGTCTCTTATTTGTTTTTTTTGTCCGAGGGGGTGGGGGAGATTGAGTTTATCTCTCCTCGAAGTCCTTCGCGGTAGTGGCCGAGTAGAAACCGGCTCCGAGTGGCCAGATATAATATCTCAAGCATAGTCGCGCCACCCGGCTAGCGGGTGACCCTTTTTCTCTATTTCCTTTTTTTTCGTGTGTGCGCCGTGAAACAAATTTGTCTTAACGGCAGTGCAACATAACCGGCCAAGGTCTTCCCTGCAAGACAATCTATGTACTATACTGTACTTGTACTTCTGGTGCAATTGCTGCATTTGCTGCTCATTTGTGGGCTGCCTTGGTCCTTGTCGTTTTGTGTTTCTCTCTCTCTCTCTCCGCGAGGCAGGCGGGCGAATTTTGGTCGAGAGTTTTACGGGGTAGCGAATGGGCTGTGCGGGCACGCTGTCCTACCTTTGATGATGCTATCTTGAGGTTACGGATATAACAGTACCCGGGTCGACTTGGGATGACGGCATGCCTCTTACCGCCTCCCCCTGCCACCTCCGCCACCTCTGCCACCTCTGCCACCTCTGCCGCCCGCGCCGCCCCTCCCGCCCCTTCCCCTTCCTCCGTGCCCGCCGCCTCTCTTGCCTCCGCGGGTAACTCCCCTACCATCGAAACGATGGAACAAGAGCTCTTCGCCAAACGCGCCTTCAGCAAACCGTATGTAATTGATGACGCCATGGTCAACAACGGCTACCAGCACGTTTCTGTGCCCGTGCTTCAGTCGCGCGTAGAGCCGGCCCGGCCCGGCCCACTCAGGTTTCCCCGGTGCCGGCGGCGTCGCGTCGATCAGCGCCGTGATCTCCTCGAGGGAGGGCACCGCAGATTCCTGCGCGTCGACCACGGCAAGGTAAAAGTCGGGCGGAGGGTGCCGGGTCTTGGTCCACTTCTGCGCCGACTTCCAGATGTGATAGTGGATGGCAAACGGCGCCTCTGTCTGCCACGGACTCGAAGGACTAGGTGAGGGTTTATGCCGCGGGATCACAGCCATTTGAGTATAGATGGGAACATAGGATCTGTAGAGACCCGGCTGGACCAGGGGCCCGTACGGCCTGTGGCCCGGCTCGCTGCGCGGCAGTAGTGACGATAACCACTCCCATATTCTAGTTAAAGTCATTGCCGATGCGGTAGATGGCGTCGGCTGTTTGTAGATGGGCGGTGCCCGGAGAACATTGTAGCCCGCCCGCTTGAGATTTGAGTAGACTTGGAATTTTTGCAGGCTGATCTTGCCGCGCTCACCGTCGTTACCGATGAGCAGCGCGTAGGCGGCCTGGAGACTGAGGGGCACTCCCCTCTCGTACTCGTCGAATTCGTCTGCGACGTCCGGGCTCGGCGCGTCCACGTCCTTCGCGACAGGCTGCTGAACAGGAAATATGTCTTCCAGGCCCCGGGTAGGCCACCAGAGGTCCAGCGACCCCCGTTCGATAAGATAGAGAGCCTCTTCAGGCAGGAGCCAGTCCTTGCCCCTGCCCGGCTTGTCCTTGGGCTGTCCGGTTATGACGCGGCCGAGGTTCGTGCTCGAGACGGACGTGTTCTCGACAATGACGACACGGTCGCGCACATGGACGTGCGCCTTCTTCTCTGCAGGCTCCCTGCCGTCTTTGGGCTCTTCGAGGTCGTGGTGCTCGTCCTCGGGCCAGTCGGCCCACCAGTCGGGAAAATACCAGCCGCGGACCCAGTTCTGGGGTGTATGAACGCGCGTGTAGCTCAGCACGTCCTGCATGGCGGCGCGACTCTGCTCGAGGGCATTGTCCTGCGCGCGCGTGCCGTGTGACTCAAAGTCCTTCTCGCCCCGGCGGATGGTCTGGGCCGAGATGCCCGTGCCCTTGCGGAATAGCGATGCAAAGGCCACAAAGTCCTGCGTCTCCTCCTCGAGGGCATCGTCGGCCGTTAACCCGCCCTCGACGTCGCCAGCTTGTGCGCTCGCCACTGCTGCTGCCGGCGCGGCGGTTGGGATGTCGTCATCGTCGAGAGGCATTCTAGCGGCAGCCAAAGCGTCTCGAGGATGGCGGAATACAAGACAAGAGTCGCCTGCAGATAGTCGGAGAGTTTGTGGGATGATGGTGTTGTTGTTGTTGCTGCCTCTGTTTCTCGCGTCTATTTCCGAGGTAGTTATCCTCTTGTGCTGCTATTCCAAAGTGAACCTAGAAAATAGGTGAATATAAAGTCGAGGGAGGTTAAAGTTCCCGTCAATATTTCTTCAAAGCCAGACTTTGGAGACATCCAGCCCCGCCAGGGGGTTGCACTTGCCGCAGTGGCCCGCAGGGAGCTAGGCGCCTGGGCCACTGTGGGCACTCGATCCACTGTAGTCTGGCGTGGGTGGTTACCTAATTAAGGGAAAAGACGGAACCCTAACCTAACTCCAACAAACTGACCCGACGACAATGGACTGCGGGTCTACCGGCCCAACATTCTTCAACTCGACAAAGCCAAAGGACTAAACAGTCGACGCCCTTGCTGCAGGGCGGTGTAGTGAGCCAAACTGAGTACCTGCTTCCAATTGGTTGTACGGATAAGACTATTCAACTCTCCATACAGTACGAAGCTTGGCGTTCGACAAATTTATGTTTATCAGAAGAGGAAGAGTTTGGATGCAATGGCATGGACAGTCACCCTCAGTAACTTGTTCGTATGACAAGTGATGAGTTCTGTATACTCGTGTAAATTTAGGCTTTTAATACCACGATGATAACGATGGGTCCCTCGCTCTTGCAGCGTGCATGGGGGACAAATAAGTCGTCGTGTTGTTAGACTTTGCGGTTTGCCCTAAAAGAGTTTCACAAAAGGGAGCGGAAGATCTCAGAACTCTTTATGTTGAGTCTAAGAGGCCTATCTTATTTCTTAGGTAGAATATGTATTAGGAAATGATGTTGGCTAGTAAGTTGCTAACTGTGCTATATTGAAAAGAAGACATTACTACCTACCTACGACGGCCGGGCCCTCATGCAAGGAAGGCAGCATTGTAAGCCAAACTAATGTAGATTACAAGCAAAGAAACGGAAAAGGAAGTCATCGTGAGGACTGCGGAGCTGTAGAAAGAGGAAGTGGTCTGAAGTGGATCACGAAGGTCATCGTATCGAGACTTATCAAGGCCCACAGGCTGTGGGTACCATGCCCGAAAGCTCTTCATTTCTAAGAAGAAGGAAGTAATTCTTAAAGCCTATAAGAAGGAATCTAAGAGGTATATCTCTTTATTTAGATATCCTCTAAAGGCCTTTCTTAACAACTCTATCTGAATTAATTCCTATTCTCCCAAAACAATAAACGAGAATAGCAAAAGGCTACAAAAGTAAGCTTGACAAGGACGAGATTCGAACTCGCGCGGTTTCCCATTGCGGATGGAGTCATTAGACCTAAACACAACGCCTTAACCAACTCGGCCACCTTGTCTGGCAATCTTTGATAAAGTTAATATTCCAGTTTCACAACCTATGACTCAGCTCAGCAATAGTACAAAACTTCAAACCATTCAATGTAGTAAGACCTAGGGAGATATAGAGATAGGCGTGAGCGGGTGTTCAGAGAGCTTTCGGACCTTTTCTCCGTTCCGTACCGCATCTCCTATCATGACATAATACTAACACTTCAACGGTTTTACAAACCGGCCTTGGGTTTCGGCTCAACGTATCAAGACTTTCGTCATCATAACTAAGGTAGGTAGCCGGGGCCGCTTGTCAAACCAGCTCCAGTATCCAGATCAAGATCACTAGGTAGCTTCAGCCGCGCAGTTTCCTTCCTTACAGTCGGGGGGCATGCCGGACCTAAGGGGGAAATCTAAACGATTTAGGTAAGTAGCAAATTATCTTATTATATTATTAATAAAGTAATTATCGTCGTTATTGGTATCCCGGCCGAGGGGATGCCTTATCCCGCACGCGATCGCGTACGGGACATGTTTACTTACTTATATAAAAAAGCAAGTCGCTCCGGGCATAGGGTTAAATTAACGCCGAGCTAAGGGGATATCTAATCCTGTACACGATCGTATACGGGATATATTAACTTACTCAACAAGGAACTCGTAGAGTTATAGATAAATATTAGTCTTAGAATAGGTGTTTTTACTTCCTAATTGCTGACTTACCTCTTTCCCTTATTATTATTAACTTACACATCATGCTCTATCCCGAATATGGCGAATATGGCGAGAATCACACTGCCCGCCCCCCCATTTCTATCAACCAGTGGTACTCTGTATACTGCGAGTTTTCCCAAGAATCTCATGTAATCAAGTCGCTTCAAAATGGTGGACAGCCCAATACAAATTGTTGCCCGTCAGCAGTATTCAAGAGTAGATTAAAGTTGTTTTCATTTCATCAATAAACTCATTCCTTGAACAAGGGATGTAACCCCACGATATATACATTAACATTGACAGTTCCATAACTCCGCTCACATCCCGCATTCCTAGTCCATAATCCGTTTTGTTCTATACAACCAAAGAGCCTCATACCCTACAAAAGACCCCCAAGCGTTTCTTCTATTTGCTTGTGTCAACGACATACCGGCCCACGACCTTGTTTTCGTGCATCATGGTGTAGATGTCCTGGAGCTGGCTCAGGCCGACTGTCTTGAACGGCGCCTTGATCATACCACGCGCGTAAAAGTCGATCGCCTCCTGCGTGTCCTGGCGGTTGCCGACGTAGCTTCCCTTAATCGTGATCATCCTCACGACCGTGTCGAAGACGGGCGCCTTGAGGTAGGCCTTGGCGGGGAGACCGATGCAGACGACGGTGCCCCTGCTGCGCACATACTCTGTTGCCTGCTGGAAGGGCTTCTCCGATACCGCTAACAAGAGCACGGCGTGCGGGCCGAGGCCTTCGGGCGTGGCCGCCTTCACCTCCTTGACCAAGTCAGAGGTGGAAAGGAAGTCGACGTACGCAGCGGCGCCAAGCTCCTTGCAGGCGGCGCCTTTCTCGGCCCCGCCATCAATTGCAATTGCGTTCAGGCCCATGGCCTTGGCGTATTGAATCGCCATGTTGCCCAGGCCTCCTCCAGCGCCGACGATGGCAACCCATTGTCCGGGGCGAGCCCCTGACTCCTTCAGGCCCTTGTAGACGGTGATGCCGGCGCACAGGACCGGGGCCACAGCCTCGAGATCCAAATCTTTGGGGAGATGGGCAACGTGTGCCGCCTTGGCTATGGCGTACTGCTGGAAACTGCCGTCGACAGTGTAGCCAGAGAGAAGTGCGTGCGAGCAAAGGGGCTCGTCGGCTTGCATGCAGAAGCTACAGGCCAGGCAGCTGCCATTCAGCCACTTGATACCGGCATGGTCGCCGAGCTCAACGTCCTTGACAAGCTCGCCCTTGGCTACCACCACTCCGGCACCCTCGTGGCCGCCGACAAGTGGCATCTTGGTCTCCAGTGGCCAGTCACCCATCATGGCGTGCAGGTCAGTGTGGCAGACTCCGCTGTACTTGACATTGATGAGTACCTCATCAGGTCCGGGCTTTTGAACGGGAATCTTCTTGTAGACAGCGGCTATGAAGATGGGTTAGCATCACGGCGCTACGATAAAGCCGGCCCCGAAATAGCCAATGTTGTCGTCTCGTAGCCTTTTATGCCGGAGGGAAAGAGGATAGGGGTCTGGGTGAAGCAACGGGGTGGTACTTACGACCGCCAGATTTTTCGACAACCTGAGCCCATTGCTCGGTTGGGATGTCAAAGGTAGCCATTCTGGATAACTTTGCGATTGTAATTGGAAGTTTCTTGAAGAAAGATAAGGGAGGGATTGATGCTCTTCTCATTTATGAAGTGGCGTGTTTGCTCTGAAGGAGGTGGGAGCTCTGGGCAGCGGCGCCTCGAGCTGCTTTATATCTATCATCTTGGAATGTTGGAACAGTATAACCTTGGAGAAGAGCATGAGCGATGGGCCGATGGAGTCGATTCCACGGGCGCGATCTGAAGCCCGTCATGTTGGTCACGGACACGCAGGAGACAGGTTGGGGGCAGCTAGCGAGTGGGGTGAGGACCAGCGGAAGACGCCTGCAGGGTTCTTGGCACCCGCTTTGGATGTCGTATGATCGTAAAACTAAGGCAGGTTACCTACCTAGGTCGAAAGGAATCGGAAGGTGCGAGGGGTCTATTGCAATCATGATACCTCAAAACCAAAACCTGGTCTTCAGCCTTGGTCACCCCATGAGATTGAGGTAAGCTACCTCTGCCATCGCACTTTCCGCAGCCTGCACCCGTGTCATTCGTCTCCGATTGGAGAGACGCCTCTGAGCCCCGTAGAGGCCCGTCTTCCACTTTTGGAGGACTGTGTCCCCAAGTTGCAAGTTCAGTGAATCTAGCTTGCAAAGGGAGTTTCAACAGACCGGCACTGTTTATCCTTGGGCAACAGCAATAGCACCAGCCGTAGCAACTTGGAATGTCTAGCTAAAATAGACCTCGGGCCTATAGACAATTGCCTGCAGCAGGAGAGGGGAAATTTGGACGGCTTCCTTGTTTTGTGCCCCGTAAGTCGGAGATACGGAACGGGTCACCTACAGGAACCAAATATCTGGTTGTGGATCCAGGTCATCCGATTGTCCGCAGGCCTTGACGACGAGTGTGTGGCATCGGGTCGATGGAGGGCGAGACCTGTACCGGGGGCCGGCGTTATGGCCTTCGAGAGCCGACTCAGGTTGTTGCTGCATTGGGAATCTCTGTAGCGGCGAACTCCTGAATGTCTTTAAATCACATATCAATTTCGATAGCACGTTAGTAGTTGAGCGTTTTCATGCTATACAGATTGAAGTTCCAGATATTTTGTCCTATACAATTTGTCTGGCCATTACACCTGTAACCACGAGCTTCAAACATAAGGTCTCTAGACACAACCCAGCCTCTTAGTTCTCTTTCTCTAGTTGTTAGGAGTAGCGTAGCCCCTCACCAAGCGCCTCCAAATATCCGCTGAACCGGCGTCTCTGGTGAAGTCGACGTAACTCTACCTAGGCAACCACGTTGCTTTCCTCTGGACCGGTTACAGCGTCTCTGAGCTAGTCCAAAACACCCCCCCAACCAACGGCGAGGACTGAGCCATGCTACGCAAAGTGGAACACACTAACTCAGGTGTCTAGGTAGGCATGGAAGTCAACTTATGTGTATGTTAGTAGTTTGGAGACCAGCAGAAACCTGGAAAGCATCCATAGCCTCTGTCGGAGAGAAAGGCAACCATGCGTACCAGGTAGGTAGGCAGGATGCTGTTCGCGCTGAGTTATCAAAACGCGGGGCTGAGTGGAGTTCGGGGTTGCCCTGGTATTTCCGCGTGCAACGAATCCGTTGCATGCATGCAGCTTCACAAGATATTCCCATGTTAGTTTGGTTCACGTTTACTCGACCGCTCAGTAGCGTAGGTTCCAAAGTCATCTCAACAATTCCAGGAAGTGTTTACGCAAGCCCAGCACGAATCTGATGATCCGGTCTGGGCCGAAGTCGCCGTTGGAGCCCAGCCCGCCGACGGATTGCCCGAGCCCGCCGAATCCGCCGAGCCCCGACTCCAAGATCATGCCACCTCGGATCGGCCCGAGAGAGTCCGATTCGCAACCGCAAACTCCATGGATATGCCCGTCTTCAAACCTCAATTGCAATGGCTACCCATCTTCGCGGGTGCGGCCGAAGCTCAACTAACCTGTCACGAACATGTTTGTGATTGGGTTTGCGACATATGTACGAATGCACGTCTAGTTCGCGTTGAATCTGACCTTCGTCACCTGCATACAACAAGACTCATCCATGAACTTCGTTTCCCATTTCTTTTTGGTCTCGTATTGAAAAGAAGGCTGCCGCGCTCCTGTAAAAATCGCTCTCGTTTTTCTACCAAAATATCGCCTATGATCCGCCAGGTCCTCCCAGGAGCGCGAATCTCCGCACAATGCCTGGGCCATACTCTTGGTACTGTCGGGGTTGTCAGCAGGAAACTTTCAAGGAGACAAGGTAAAAAGAAGCCGCATACCTCTGCCTTAGTATGACAATACGATCGAAATTCGGGCGTCTGGCCAAGCAAGCTCCCTCCAAACCAAGGCCCATGCCTTTGTCGCTTGTGGGAGATGACTTGAACCTCGAGCCCTCCGCTCCTTGCTCCGCCACTCCGCACCTCGCTGGCGTGGATTCTGTCGTCAACCAACTTCTTAATGTCGCGCTGTAGCCTGCGGCCGAAGTCTTTGTACAAAGTGCTTCCGCCAGAGAGGACAATATTCTTGTAGAGCCCTCGGCGAACATCAATCGGAGACGACTGGATCACTCCGTCGACAACCACGGGCAACGGCGTCAGGAAATCGGACGAGTAGATCTCGGGGTTGAAAAAGATCTCAGGGGCCAAGAAGCGCTCGTAGCCGACATCAACCGTGACTTGGCGACCGCCGGGCTGCGACACGACGTGCTTCAGGAAGCGGCTGCGGTCGCGATCAAAGCGAGCAAACTCCTTTACGATGTCGGGGCAAACGTAGCAGTACTCCTCTTTGATCTCCTGGGCCGTCTTGAGGGACGAATCGGGCTCGCCTCGATCCCTGAGAAGCGACTGTACAAAGTACGTGATATCGCGGCCAGCGATGGGGATGGACTTGATAGAGGAGCCAATGACGTAGCCCTCGGCCACCGGGATAACGTGCGTGACACCGTCACCCGAGTCGATGACAGTTCCTGTAAGCGATCTATCCTGCACCTTTGACGAAGTCCACGACGCAGCCAGCGCGAGCACGGCTTGGACGGCAATATAGAGCCCGGAGCAGTTGAACGACTCGAAGAAGATCTCGGCAGTGTTTTCTCGGTTCTCGGGCGGGTTCAGGGGCTAGTAGTCCGTGTTAGTGCCTAAGCTGGAGAATGGTTCGAAGGGGACTAACCGGTTCGGTAAGCAGAAAGCAGTGGTCTTCAGGCTCGACCCGTAGATATTTAAAAATTGAATTCGACCAAAATCTCTCCATATGATCCTGGAACAAGAGGTCAGCCATGTCTCTCGACGCGCAAAAAGCGGCCCGACTCACCCAGTTCTCTATTTGGCCGTGTCGGATCGGATAGTGTAGCCCGTAGCCTAGATCGTTAGTGCCAGGACGCAACCAACTGTTGGACACGACTTACCAGGGCCGGAGGCCGCATTGATAGCTTCGTCGCCAATAAAGAAATCGAGGTCCTCGGTTCCGCGCTTCATTGACAAGTGGCCCGAAGGCCCCGCGCCTCCGGTGAGGAAAGACGGCTTGCTTCCGACAGCGGGGCGTCCGGAGCCGGAACCGCCGCCTCCCCCAGCCGGGCCCTTGGTTGCGATTGCAGTCGGGAAGACGAAGGAAGGCGAGTCGTTGCCAGCGAAGCCTGGAAGAAACAGCAGTTAGACATGGAATCGAAATGCGCAGACCTGCACTCTCTCTCAACATAGTTACATACCTAGCTTAGAGAAACCCGTGCCGCTGCGAGTGAATAGTCAGTTGAGGGTTCCTATGGTCTAGCAACGAGAGCGGGGCCCCGGGTCGGCTGGGCATCAGCAGGGTGAACATACTTGTCCATGACAACGGCTGGGGTTTGGTTGGCCATTGTTGCAGATTTGCGCTGCGCACAGCTCCCGCGGCCTTTTTTTTAAGCGCTCAGGGGTAGCGAGACTGTGTCGCGAAGGGCGGCGATGCGAAGGGCGAGACGTAGAGCGATGGCGTTCGAGGAGGAGAACGGTTAAGTCCACGATTACGTGCCTCCTCTGAAGCTCTGTGTGGGGATGAGGCTGTGCGTGCACTGCGTGCACTGCTTAGGTCCGCCCCGCCGGCTATGGTGGGGCCATTTGTAAAACTGTCCAGGGTTAGGTATGTGCCTGTTGTGCATATCCCCGACAAGGTATCCGTATCCAGGCTGAATACCGTACCTTCTAAGAAAGGTCTTGCAACTCGAAGACCACGCCTGTCTGTCTCTTTATTCCAGACAGTGACGACAATAACAAAGGCATTGTGTTTGTAGCACCCGGGTGCTCCCAGTATTTCCAGAGAAAAGCGCCCCTCTGGCAACAGTGTTGAGAGGTAAGGTAGGAGCATTCACGCAACGCCTGTCTTCACATACACATGTGGAATCCATTATACTTGGATGCTCCGAGCCCTCCCGTTTGAAGTCGTTTGAATATTCCTGCCAATGTAGGTTCGTGTGCCTCTTTCAAGAGCCGGACCACCAAAAAAATCACTTCCCGGGTTGGTGGTTGAGAGGCAAGAGCGAACAACTGAGACCGGGATGAGTCCCCTCGATGCCACTGGCACTCCCAGGCGGTCAACTTCAACGGGAGGAGCTGTGTCGTTCTTGCCTGTCCATGGCATCTGCATGCCGCCACGAGCTTGCAATTCACTGTACCAGTAGCCAAAGACAGCCTGAGCTTCCTACTCTTTATCCCGGCTGACCGGTTGCCGCGTCCTCCTCCAAGCCTCCATCCTCACCCTCGCCCTCGGGTCCCTCGCTGACCGTCCTGTCCGTACACAACCAGCATCATTACTTGGGTATCAACCCGCTTCCTATGCGACGCGCATCAGACGCCAGCCAACGCATATATCCTCATTGATCATTGTTTAGAATTATCTTTCGTTACTCTTTGGTCAGCCTGAAGCTTGCCTTTCGCTAGGTTTCCTGCAAACCGCTAGACAACTCCGCTCCTTTCTTGACCGCGCCCAGCAAACTTGCCGATTGTGAAGTCCGGTGCGCTTGAAGCCAAGCAGTCAGTCGGCTTAACAATCACTGTCCAGAACAGGAGCATTCATATGTCATTCGTCGAAGGCTGACCTGTCTATCTCTGCCCTGGATTACCACGCCCAAGTTCTTGTCCATAACGCCCTAGACCCTCTATCGTTTCACACCGACCTACGATTTCCAAAGCCCCTAGCACAAAGTTGGCAGCTAGACGAAATCCAGAGCTCCCAGGAGCGGCACAGAGCAGCCTTGTCTCCGAACCTGCACTCCGGGGGTGACCGTCTTTGCCGCCCTCACCTCTTCCGTCGCCGGTCCGGCCGCAGTCACCGTCACCCTTCCATACCAAGGCCAAACGTCCTCGGAAAGGGAGCAACTGAAACACCTCCGGCACGCAGTGTAATGGCTGGTAGTCTGCATCCTTGGTCAATCGCCGAAGAAGGTGATGGCATTGCCGATAGAATGTGGAAGCGGGGGGCTAAGTCCCCAGTTGGTGCCATGTTCGTCCACGCAGGGGCAGGATACCACAGCGTTGCGAACGAAAAGATCCATCTCGAGGCTTGCAGCGAGTAAGTCATTGTGGGCGGCTTTTTGTTGGCACAAAACACAAAAAACGCCTACTGACAACTGACATTGGATGAGTGTAGAGCAGCTCGTGTTGGTATGAAGTTTCTGAGATCCGGCGCTACTGCTCCCGAGGCTGTCGAAGCTGCTATAAAGTGCCTCGAGGATAAGGAGATCACGAATGCTGGCTTCGGAAGCAATCTCAACATGGACGGAGTTGTCGAATGCGACGCAACCATCGTCGACCACTTGGGAAGAAGCGGTGCTTGTGGCGCCGTCCCTGGTATGGATGCCTGCTCGCCCATCAAGACCGAGATCTATCTTTTGAACTTAAACTGATCTTGTGATTCTATAAGGTATCAAAAACCCGATCTCTCTTGCCAAGGTGATTCTCGATACCAGTAGCCAGCCCTTATCACTCCGCCGCGTCCCGCCCAACATTCTGGTGGGGCAGGGGGCAACTGAGTTTGCCGAAGAACATGGGATACCAAGCACTGTCAACGAGTACCTCGTCTCAAAGAATGCAAAGGACCGCTATCTCCGTTGGAACGATGACCTGAAGAAGGCTGATGCCAAGCTAAATTCTGCCGCGGCTTTCGCCTGCAGATATCAGGAGAGCGAGCCGAAGAGGTCGTTAACTCCGAATGATTATGACAAGGCAGCGAATCAAGCCGGTCTCAACCAGGGGCGAGACCACGCCAGTGCTATCCTGACTGGGACGTGGAATGAGGGCCAGCCCGATTCGCCATATTCCGGAGGCTCTCCTCTTGGGGAAAATGGGTCACCTATTGTTACAGCGGCTCCGACTCCACCCCGGTCTGCCCCGGGCCCAGCACAGAGAGTGACGACGACAACGACAAGTAGGGCCACGGACCGAAGTCCCCTAAACTTCATGACTTCCGCCTTCCAGTCACGCGTGACTCAGTCTTCGTCCAAGCGGCCCAGGATTCGCAAGAGCCTGAGCGACAACACCGCCTGTCTCGCGGCCAAGTCGCCTTCTCCAGCAGGATCGCCCCATGATGGGTCAGATGATTTTTCATACTTCGACGACCGTGATATTTATGCCTCGGACTTGGCTCACGATCGGTCTAAGAAGCCAAAGACGAGTAAATACCACAAGGGCATGCCGAGCCAAGATCAAGACACAGACCTGGTGACGGACACTATTGGTGCCATCGCCATTGATTTGAATGGTAATATCGCAGCAGGGTCGTCTTCTGGAGGAATCGGGATGAAGCACAGGGGTCGAATCGGCCCTGCGGCCCTGGTAGGCATCGGCACTGCCGTTGTGCCCGAAGATCCCGAGGACGACAACGGAACGTCTGTGGCGGCCGTCACCAGCGGAACTGGCGAGCACATGGCTACGTCCCTCGCCTCGGCGAAATGTGCTGAGCGGCTATTCTATGGTACTAGACGTGGGCCCGGGGGGTTGAGCATCGAGGAGTTGGACGAGCACAACTTGATGGAGGCCTTTATTCTTGACGACTTCATGGGACATCCAGGGGTCAGGAACCAGCCTTCAACTGGAGCAATTGGGGTAATGGCTGTGAAGAAGGACCGTACTGGCATCTACTTCTACTTTGCTCATAATACCGACTCCTTCGCCCTCGCTTCCATGTCGACTACAGAACGCGACCCGGCTTGTGTCATGTCGCGCCTCGGAGAGGGCCGTCAGGTGACACAAGGTGCGCGGAGGATTCGAATCGACTAGCACGCTTCCTTTGAGTCAATCCTTTACGGAATACATGGCGTTGGTGCGGGTTTTTAGAAGTGTTTCGGGTTGGAAAATGCTAGAAAAAAGAACTGCACTGAAAGATTGGCGTAACTGCGACATTGCTTTGAGGCGTGACGCTTGGCTCAGGCAGCCCCCGTTATTCGCGGCATCAGAATAGATTAATGACCACAGTGGGTTTGTAGGGTATACCCAGGTATTAAAGGCATCTAAAGTTTTATGGCTGCGTCTTGTTTACTGTACACTTAGTGTGCTTGATACTAAGAACAATATAATCCTGATCTGAAGTCATTATTAGCACACCTGAATTTCTATAAGCATCTGCAATGACCGAGAAGCGGACTTTGGCGAGAGATAGTCGGCCTTGTTTATTGCCAAGGTCTCATGGGCTCATAGTTTCTTATAATTTCTTGTCGACTCAGGTAAGTACCTATCGCGGACAGACTGCAATGTCTGACGATGCGAAGTACACGAATTATATACCCCCCCCCAACCGTAAGATAGTCTCTTGTAGTAGTAGTAGCAAGTCATAATGTATAATACACATCCAGTTATTTTGTGTGTAGTTTAATTGCTTTCCATCTTAACGATTCGTTTTCCCCTTTCCCCTTTCCCCACATCCATGTCTGTCCTTAACGCCGAGGCAAACCTTGTCCAGACCTACCGTAGCTGAAATCCCCTCGCTAGACCCATGCTGTCAAAAATGCCACTCAACTTTAAAAGGAAATCGGATGAAAAGAAGAAAAAACTCAAAAGAAACAAATATATATATCCCTTTCTAATACTATTTTGTAGGGTTGAGACGCCGTCCTCGGTTAATGACGGCCACAAGTGCGTAGTAGTAATTACGAGCGATTTAATCTCGAGTCTTTTGGTCATGTCATGAGACTTCCCCGTTGGGGCCGAGCTTCCTCTTCTCCTTGCGCTTAGCATTCGGGGATGCGGTCGCCGTGTAGGTCAAAGAGGGAAGGACGGAAGAAATAGCAGCGGGCAGTACGCCGTAGTTCCCCAGCTTCAATTTTGTGCCGCACGTTAGACACTCGCCGCCCTCGGGCACTTCGCAGAAGATGCTCAGGCAGATGCTGCAAACGAAGCCCGTGTCGACGACGTTTCTGTGGCAGAAGCAGGCGGCGCGGAAGTCCACCAGGTCCACGCTCGGCATGACCAACAGGTCAGCCACGCTCGCCTTGAGACCGGCAACCTTTACACCGCTGGCGGTGGGAGCGCCGCCCTTCGCCTTCCCGGCAGCTTGGGCCATTTTGCTCTTAGCGCTGCCGCTGCTCGCGGCCCCCTCTAGCTCGTCCAAAGGCCGTGACGGCGCGCTACCGCTGCCGAAGCCAAACATGAGGTACTGCAGCAGGCCCTGCGGCTCCTTTGCGTGGATAAAGGTTCCCCGCGTGATGAAGCTCGCCTGCTGCAGGAAGGTGGCGCTGCCGCGGAGGGCTAGCGTATCGATGGCGATGCGCGTGTGCGCGGCTGCGAAGACGGCATTCATCATTGGTATGTACTGGGCTGCGCTGCTGTCGCTAACTGACACTACGAGAATGCGCGCGTGGAGACCAGCCAGCCCGCCCCCGGCGGTCCTCGCCCCTCCTCTACTGGCATTGCTGGCGTCGGCGGCTGTGCGGGCTGCGGCGAAGGAGAGGGCGGTCTTGTTGATGTGGGTGAGCGCAAGGGTAAGAGCGCCCGAGACTTGGGTCGTGGTTGTTGAGGCAATGTCGGCAGAAGTGGTCTCATCGATCAGGGCTCGAAGAGCGGTGAGCAGCGACGCCTCGATCTGGGCGAATTGCGGATATTTGTTGGCCGAGTGCTGAGCAGCGGCGTCTGGAGCAGCACTAGCGGCATGTATAGGGTTTCCGCCGGCGGCATTGCCCATCTCGACATCTTCCAACGTTGATGTAGGGGGCTTGGGTGATGTTGGGTAAAGCCAGACAGCCCTCTGGGGGTGGGCAGCGATGAGAGCGACCTGATTTGAATTATTGAAGGCGAGATGGGTATTGACAAAGACGAGGATGTTTGCTACGGCTTTCGAGAGAGGAAGCACGTTGGCGATGGCAGCCCAGGCGCGGGGGTTGGTGTCGATGACGATAACGCACAGAGAGGGAGTGTCGTTGGTCGTGAGAACCTCGTAGTGCTCCGAGGCGTCGACAAAATCCTGGGCGCTCATAGTGGAATAACAGCCTGCAAGCACGGAAACTCGGCGGGTTGCCCGGTGGTGACCTCTGTGGATGCGGATGCGGATGCGAGCGGCGGGCGGCGGGCAGCGGGCAGGCACCTCGAAAGATCTGGGTTCGGTTCTGACTCTTTCAGATGCTTCCCCACTCAGGTACTCTGTAAGGTACCCAAGATGGGTAGTCCTCAGCCCCGAGCCTGCTTTCTTTGACAAGGTTCGTTCATTGAGGATCTGTGAACAGGGGCAGGAGTCCTATGCGGATGCGTGTGCGTGTGCTCGTAGGATGCGTTCTGCCAGTTAAGTCAAGTGGTATCGACGTCAGCTGTCCTGCCCTGTACCGATTATACCCGCAGTGTAAACGCCTTCGTCGTCGCGTGTTCTCCAATTCAAATAGCGGGCGCGCGCGTCATCTTGAAAAATTAGGCAGGGCCCTGGCCCTTTCTCAGCACGCACCCACGTGATGTGCTATCGTACCCTGGCAGGATTGCCCCTCTACCAGCCATATCCGGTTAGAACCTGTCAGATTTCAAGATGGGGGGGTCGCGTGGGATGGAGGGGCCCAGAATCCCTGCGCCTAGGGACGAGTCCCGCCGCTGAGAAGCTCCGACGCTCCCTCTTCTTCCCCCCCGTGTCACGACAGGTGCATCCTATTCGTGATCACGTTAACGGGTTCTGATAAAAAGGCCTCGCTGGGGGCCAGTCCTTTTGTTACTTCCTGTGCTCGCCAAAAATCTGTAGATAAAGAGCGATAACCCCTCGTTTCCGTCTCTGCCCTTGTTCCGATCAACCCCGCGTCTCCTCTGCGTTTACCTTTCTGCGTTTGCCTTTTTGGCTCTCGCTCTCGCTCCACGGTGTCGCCCCAAATTCGCAGCATACCAGCATCCCATCATCTATTATCCTGTCCCTTCTCCGTTCCGTCTTCTCCAAATCGGGCTCAATCACCGGACTCAGACTCTTGGGGTCGCCCAGTCAAAGCAAACTAGTAGTTCGGCAATCTCGACGTATCAAGCTGAGAGCTACCCCTCCACGGTCGGGACTTGCGGAACCTAGATACCCTCCATCACCCAACACCACAAGCTGCCGCCACCTTCCAATTATCATGGCTGCGGTTGCCGACAGCGCGCCTTCGGGTCTGCCGCCCCTGAGCAGGGAAGACCAGACCCTGCTTCTTTTCGCCGGGTTGATGGAGGGCGGCCAGGAAGATGAGGAGACGGTGTCAGACTTGGGAAAGTTGACCAAGCTCCTCACCGAGGATATCGAACTCGCCAAGGCCAGCGAGCCGTCCATTACCAAGATCATCGACGGTGATTGTGTCGACACCATAGTGTGCTACCTCGACATGCGACAGCCCGATATTGTGCGAGCCCATGCCACCCTCTGCACCTCGGCCTACCTCAAGGCTGCTGGCGAAGACGGGAATCGCAAGCTCGCCGACTTCTTCTATGACAGGGTTCGGCGAGGCACCTACGACGACTACATTGTCGCCTTTTGCGTTGCCGCTACCATCTTCCCCATCGTGCCGGACCTCACCTCGGAGCTGTTTCTGAGCGGTGGCTTTCTTGCCAGTCTCGGCCCGCTTATGAGGCGGAAATGGAAGAGCAGGAAAGTCGAGACGGCATGTCTGGATATGCTCAATGCCGCATGCATGAATGCCCATTGCCGCGAGGGAGTCCAGAAGTACTGCGTCGAATGGCTCGAGGAGATTGTCGACCAAGACCCCGAGGATGCTGTGCAAGCCATGCGCGCCTCCGAGCCCGACGTCAACGTGCGAGAGGGGTCCATCTCGATGAGGAGACACTCTCTGCAAGTTCAGAACCTCGCCGCCGTGGTTTTGGCCAAGCTAAGGGTTAGCAATGGCATCTTCACACCTTCTTCTGACTCCGCCGCCATCCCATGCTGATGATGTCCCACTGACATCGGGCGTAAAGGTACAACCCGTACAAACCCCGTCCGACGGTTCTGCGCCTTCTAGAATACAACCCGCAACAACCAGCATTGAAGATCTCTCCAAGATGTTTACCAAGATGCTCCTGGAAAATCCTGAGCATTCCACTCAAAGCTCGATCGAGGGGCTGGCGTATGCATCTTTACAGTCCAAGGTCAAGGAAGACCTGTCCCGCAACAAGACTTTTCTTGAGGGCCTCGTAAAAACCCTCGAGACTGCCACTCCCAAGTCGCCCCTGACGTACGGGGCTCTCAGCATACTGTGCAACCTCACCCAGCACCAACCCGTCCAGTCGGAGGAAGAGAAGAGAATGAACCAGCTCAAGGCGTATGCGAATGCGGCCGGAAAGCTGCCGACAGATCCCTTGAGTGACCACGACCACGTCAACGAGCGGTGCAAGCGTGTCTTTGCGGCGGGCGTTACCCCTGTTCTAGTTACCCATAGCAAGAATGGCTCAATAGCATCCCTAACACTTATTATTTCCATCATATATTCCCTTTCAATGACCCCATCTCTCCGTGGGCAGCTCGCACAGCAAGGCGCCGTCCGCCTCCTTATCGCTGCCTGGACTGCACTGCCCGAAGCAGAGCCAAGAACCCGTCGCGTCGCAGCCCAGGCGTTGGCTCGCATATTAATATCTACAAACCCGTCTCTTGTCTTTGGTGGAACTCGTCCTATACCCCAGAGTGCTGCTATCCGGCCCCTGGCATCCATAATCCTTCCGGACCCTAGTGCAGAGACGCGTGATCTCCTGCCAACTTTTGAAACCCTCATGGCGCTGACAAATCTCGCCTCGACCGACGACGATACACGCAGCAGCATCGTTCGCACGGCTTGGACAGATATCGAAGATCAGCTACTCAGCTCCAACTCCCGGGTCACCACCGCTGCTGTGGAACTCATCTGCAACATCGTGCAGAACAGTGCCGAAGCCTTTGCTCTATTCGGAGACGGTAAACAACAAGCACAAAATCGCCTACGGGTGCTTGTGGCACTGGCCGACGCTGAGGACATCGCGACTCGTAGTGCCGCCGGAGGCGCCTTGGCAAGTCTGACGGGCCACGAGGCTGTAGTGCGCGCCATTGCAGCCCAGGAGCGTGGCGCCGGACTCGTGCTGGGTCTGTGTGGCGAAGACAACGAGGACCTGCGGCACAGGGGTGCGTTTGTCGTCTACAACATGGTCGCGGCCGAAGGTGAGGCGGGCCGGCTCGCCCGGGAGAAACTGCGGGCGGCTGGCGGCGTTGCCGTGTTGACCGAGTGTGCCAAGAAGAGCAGGAGATCAGAGGTTGTGGAAATCACGGTCCAGGCACTAAAGGGGCTGCTTGAGCAAACATGAGGCCAGCAACATGCCTTTTGTTACTTAGAAACTAGAGCGGGCAAGATTGCTAGAGCATCGGTATCTGCATGCTGTTGGTGAAACTGGACAGAAAGTGTTGTATCAGACAAATAGATACATTGACAGAACCGAGCCAGCATGATACTAGCCATAAAAGACGACAGCGAGTGTTGCAGCTCAAGCTCGGTGGACGGGTTTGGTATCTTCAGCAGCTACGACTGGCTTGTACATAGCCAATTCTATGCACCGGGACAATCATGGCTGCGTGGCTGCAGAGAAATAGTTGGCAACGCCGAGGGAAGAACACTTTGCTATTGTTTGTCTGACGCCCCTGAAGAGCGTACTTCCATAATGTCAGGTATTTAAATCATAATATAGACATGGCTATAATCGCATCACCCATGTACCAGAACCTCTCCCGTTACAAAACCATGGCTATACTTTCGTAAAGCTGAAATACATGAAATACAGAGCCAAACTCCAAGAAGCCAGATAAAACATAAATACCGCTGCTTTTTGGACTCCTTCCCCAACCGCCTCACACATCTGTGCTCAGCTCATCCGTGCTCGTAAAAATCTTGTGCAGACGGCGACTGAGGGCGGGCCCGACGGCCCTGTCGGAGAGGGCGCCGTCTTTGTTGGCGCTCCTGCGGATGCCCTCGAGGGTGAGGGGCCCGCCCTCCTCCAGGCCCCTGAGGAGCAGGGAGACGGAGCTGAACTCGTTGGCGAGGCCGTAGGCGATGGGGGCCGTGACGCGCGAGACCTCCTGCAGCATGCGCACGTACGTGTCGCGCACGCCGTCGCCCGTGCGGACCTGGCCCGACTCCATGCAGAAGCCGGCCGACGCGTCGTTGCTCTCCTCGCGCTGCTTGCGGTACGGTACCGTGCTGATGTGTTGTGTGAACACGGCGATCCACTGCGCCGTCGCGACGGCTGCCGTCGTATGGTGAATCAGCACCCCGTGCATGACCTGTAGCTGCAGAAGCGCGTCCTCGACGGTGTCCTCGTCAATGTAGCTGTCAGGTACGTTGTTTTTGCGGCGTCGTGGGTTCTGGGTGCTGGGCGGCGGCAGCCCAGAGGTGGCGGAAGCGTCATTTTCTAACCCGCCTCGAACAGCCGACAGGTACTGGCGGTTCCGCACGTTACGGTTCTTGCGCTGCCATACAGCTAGTCCTTCAATCAAATAGATGATGGTCTGGTTTGGGAAGCGGGCCTGCATTTGAAGCACATGCGACTCAAGGCTCATGCTGTCCGGGCCACTGCCATCGATGCCGCCAAGCACCAGTTGAACAAACTGATCTGCTGTGATGATCACCATTGCGTACGTCTCAGACTTGATCTGGAGGGGGACTGGCTCCCAGTGGCTAAGCTCGTCGCTGTATCGGGCGCGCACCTTGCGTCGCCACTTGATAACGTTCTCTACGGGGCTGTTCCAGGAGGCTACCTCCACGTCCAAGTCCTTAAGGAGCGTTTCCGCCTGTAGCTTGATGGTGGGGGAGAGCGTTGACGGAAGATCGACAATCATTTCCGGAGTCGAGATCTTCTTGTCTGTCCGGATCTTGTTGACTTCGGCTAGTGCGGCAGCTCTCTCCTTTTCTAGGACCTTTTGCTCCTTCTCTAGCCTCTTGCGTTCTTGTGCTGCCTCTCGGGCTGCGGCCTTCTCCTTTATTTGTCGTGCCTTTTCATCGGCCGTCCTTTTTGAAGCAGGCAGTCGCTTAGGTTTACTTGCTGCTTTTGATGCAGAGCGCGCAGAGGGCGCAGCCCGTCGAGGCGCTACAGCCGCCTTCGACCTTGGGACCGCGCTGAGGTTGCCGATGTCAGGGAACTCATCTTCCGAGGAGCTCGAACGGCCAACATCATCGTCCGAGTCATCAAGGGCAATGACCTCTGAATGGACTCTCCGCAGTGGGTGGGAGGCATTCAGAGGCTTGCCGTTGTCGGCCTGGGCAGGTAGTGGTGCAGAGCTTGATATGGGATCCCACGCCACTGCACTTTTTGGTGATTGTCGTGGCCGAGGTTCCTTGTTTCTGGGCGGCGAGCTCAAGCTAAAGGGGTCAAACTCGTCGTCTGTTACTGTAGCAATAACAGATCTTGGGTTATTCTCTTTTTCCTGCGAAGAGGAAATAGCGAAGGGGTCATCGTCAAAGTCGGCCGACTTGGACTGTGCGGTTTTCGTGCTCAGCTGCTGCTGCGGCAGGGGCTGGGAGCTTGACAGAAGCACTTCCTCTAGAGCTGGCCTCGAGCGGCCAAGTCCGGCACGCTGGAGCGTTTTGGATCGACCGGGCCGTGCAAAAGTTGCTGCAGAAGTTGTCGACTGGGACGATGGGTTCTCTACCCTGGCAATGCCTCTATTGATGCCTGATAGGCGCTGACGCTTCGGGGCGGGACTGTTGAGAAGGTCATCGTCGGACCTGCCGATGTAACTTGGAAAGTCAAAGTCGTCAGAAAGGAGCAGGGAATCCGGGGCTGCTGGCAGCCGGCTTCGCGACAGGCTGGGTACGGCATCAATCCTACGACGAATGGGGCGACGCAAGGTGTCGCCTGTCAAGTCGAGTGCATCGTCACCGTAATCTAGCTTTCCCGCAGGGAGGGTTGGTTTTGTTGGCGGTTGTCGGCGCAGGTCTTCGGCAGCTGGCGGGGGAGGCTCGACGACGGGGCTGGACAATAGGGAGATAATCTCAATGGGCATTTTGGCAGCGATGCAGGGATGGCGATGGCGATGGCGAAAAAGGGACTCGGCACGGCACTGCCATAGCAGGACCCATGGGCTGTCTGTCACTCGGCGATCAATCAAGCATCTGCAGCGGTGGCTAGGCTCATGTCGAGATGGACGGCTTGAGAGTGGAGGCAGCAAGTGCGCGTCAGATACTTGCGCCGCGACTCACGGCAGCAGTTGCCCCATTAAAATCAATGACAAGACGCGACGGCAGGCGCGAACTAAACACGAGCCACGTGATGTTTATTGTAGCGGTTGGTTCCTTCCGGGCAAGCTTCGTAAGGTTTAATGGCGGGGGAAGACCCTGCGTTGTTCCCGCCTGCCCCTCACCTCGCACCTCATTTGCACCAAAAATATATCAATCGCAGTAGTTAAAGCCGAGGCTGGTGACTGAAATGAGACCCCTTTACAGAGTACGGAGTAGAGCCTGCATGGAAGCGATTTGAAGTCTGTAGGATGCCAATATCTTGACTATAGTTCATGATTCACAATAGACGTAACATAACCAGCGCCCTTCCATGATGTGCGTCCTCCCAGACAGGCCACCTTCTCTCCCACGGTGGCCCGGAGGAGGCGTCGCCATGCACTTACACCCGCCACGCCCAGAAGGCACCTCCTGATTTAGAACCAAAGACGAACCAGATTGACGCCGCCACCAAGTACATACATTTCGGGGGGCAAGGAGACGTTCGGGAAATATCCGCACGTGGATCGGTTTTTGCCCAGTTTCACACCAGTTTTCGGACGAGACGATGTTTCTTCTGGCCTGATTCTCTCGATGGAGGGTGGGAGAGGGCGTCTTGGCACACGCCGTGAAGGAGCATGCGCACGGTCGAGGGATTTCCCCTCAACGTCCGTGTGTTGCCCAGAACAGGGTTGGCATCATCTTCAACAGGACCGCCGTTGGTGGGTAATGTGGGCACCCGGTCGACTTCGATTTGTCCCCAGCGAACCGTTGCGCGCCCTTTCAGGAAGCTCGCTACCACCGCTTACAAACTTTATACCGGATTGATGATCCATGGGCAGAGGATCGTGACAAGAAAAGGGAAAGGAGGCCTGGTAGGGCGCGATTTATCTCCCGCGACTCCCGAAAAGGGTCGCGGCCAGCCATCGGGGAAAGTGCCGGCTTCCTTCAGGATGACCGCCCGCCCATGCTCTTCCGGGGCAGCCATGCCACCGAGAGACGCAATCGGGGACAAGTTATTGTTGGCCATGGACTGCTTGGTTCGATCCTCCGCCAAAGGACGCTATGAAAGGACGCTATGTTACGATGGGCAAGCCATGTCCAACAAAAACGTTGGAACTTTTGGCTCTCGCGCCTCATCTGCCGCCGGCCCGCTTCTCGAACAGATACCCTCAAGTCCCGAGGATGATCCACGAGCCGGAACTAAGCTGTGTGACCTAGAGGATCGCTCGGTTTTCTCTTCCATGGTGTTCCAGCCCTCGAGATTATGAGCCACAGAGTGCGATTCATGCATGGTGGTTGAGGAAGGCGCATGAGAAGGGTCATGGCGTACATGTCGAATCGAGCCCCTCTGTATATATACGCGCGGCTCAAGTAAATGCTAACGCATGATCAAGGTAAATGAACTCGATGAACTGCAAGTCCAGACGACAGCAAACTATGGATCCGCCTATCATTTGGTCCAACAGTCAGTCACGGACTGCGACTTTGGGCAGCTCTTTACCATTTCCCCGCAATCCAAAGCGCTCGATGCTCCTGCGAGCACGGGATATTGAACGCGGAGTATAGGCAAGCTGGCCGTGACGGATCCGTGCCTAGTTCTGTTTACCTTGTGAACCCGAGCGCAGGACCCCATTCGACCGACTTGCCCCGTATGCTTGTCGGAAGGCAGCAGCTGGTGAACGGCGAACCGCTTCTCGGACTAGCAGCACGAGAGCGTCTGGTTGAGTGAAGCGCGAAGAGCACAAGACTCGGAACGAGTGGCGATGGCGATGTATCGAAAGCGGCTGAGTTCCGCTGCATGTCTGGCTTTTATTGTTTACCTCTTCGCGGGCGCCCCAACCACAGTACTAGTGATTTTCTGCGGGTCAAAGGAGAAAAGGGAGAAATAATGTGGTTATCGTCGTCCGGAAAATCATCGCGAGAGCGTTAACGCTCTCATCGGCCGATCTGAGCTGGTGTCTCTGTTCCCTGAGCCAATTCTCGACTGCTAGAACGGTGCATCGAATGACTTGAGGCTTGGCTGAGCTGCATGGAAAATCTAGAACCTGAAGAGCTCCGAACTAGCACGGTGGCTGATGAGATGGATAGCTGAGCTACGAAATAAGCATGGAAGAGGAAGAGCAAAATACTTGTCGAAACTCGAAAGGGAGGAAAAGGAGGCGGCGATATCCCCAAAAAGGTGGTGGGTGTGGGGGCGCACATACCTCTTCGGCGCAGCAAGACCTCGACCGCCGGCCGACTTTCTATCACCTCACCACCCTTTTCCGGATCCTCCTCTTCCATTCCTGTCCAGCACCTCACGGAAACATTGTCACTTGCAGTCCTCTCGTTTCTCGGTTCTTCTCCGCGGCGAATTGAGAGAGCAGGAGGAAAAAGGATGGCTGACATGGCTGAGACAATCCCTCACTTCTCGCCATCTCTCAACCTGCCGATGACAAGTCTCGGTATTCCGTAACACCCTCATTTTTGCGAAGCATTTCGAAAAATATTCAGCCGACATCGTGATGCGCCGGGTTATCACACGAGGGGAAAAAAATGCAATAGACAAGTCAGGGAGCACACACCATTGCCGACAGAACGCCATGTCACCCTGCTCATTGGACCGCGGCCTGCATCGTTGAATTTTGGTGGGGTGCGGAATAGGTTGTTGTCGGTTGTGTGCCTGCAGCTGGAGTCTCCCAGTGTGCATGGCGAATGCCTTCGACTGGCGGATCCCAAGGCCGCTAAAAGCCATCTTGTCCATTCACAGCGGGCAATTCGGCTGCAACTCTGCTGCACCCCTGAACACCAACAAGAGCGAATGAGATAAAAAAAAAAGGAAGGAAACTGCACCCTTCTGGCAACCCAAAACCTCTGCCGCCCGTTGGCGCTGATATGAGTGACCGAGGTCGAGAGAAAGGATTCCAGGTTCCTTGTGCTCGATCCCGCTTGTGATCCCCAGGACCCCGGGAGAGAATTGGAACGGGCTGAGCTTTAAACGTAACCTTAGCACTCGGTAGGTAGGCTTCATAGGAGCGGTTGAATTACGCCTCGAAGTTTAATCCTGTCGTCCAGGTCCATACGTAGGTGGAGGAATAATCCACTCGTTCACCAGTGAACTGCACGTCGACCCGCCGGGACTTCCTGGGCTGGAGTCTGGAGTCTGGAGCCTGGGCATCGCGTCATGTCGGTTTGCTGCCGCTGCACAGGCCAGAAAACTGGAAGGCCTGAAAAGGAGTGTTCGTCTGAGTTATTGAACGCATTGGCTGCCTGCCTAGCCCAATTGGGGCGGTATCCGTCTGCACAAACAGGAGCTAGGCCCGCATGGACGGATTGGCAGCACGTCGGGTCGCTATCGAGAGCTCGCAGCCAATCATGTCCAGGAAACCTTCTCTCCCCCACAGAGGTGTGCGGGATTGTCTGTCACTTGTACTTGCACTTTCTCAGTGAATACCTCTAGAGGAGAGACTCCCCGTTTTGTAAGCCGTGGCGCACAGTCTTTTCTAGTTTATTTTATTTTATTTTGCGCCATTCCGAGGTGAAGACTGTCCTAACTCACACTGCTTTGGGGTTTTGGGTTTCTAGAAGGGCGCAATACCCCTCCCGTATCCGTGCCAAAGGTACCTTAGTTTCACTGGAGGACTCACGGGCTAGGTGTGTAGGTGAGGTAGAAGGTGTCTGGGCTCTGTTCTCGCCCTTCTAGCCTTCGCGACCGCCGCCCCGGTTAGAGTCCAAACCCAGATTCGAGGTCGACCTGAACTCGCCGTCGAAATTCGCGTGTTTCCCTGGCTAGGTAGACAGGGTCTTGCAACGTGTTTATTCGCGTTCGTCGTCGAAGCATTGACGAAGCCCACCTGCTCCCTAGCTTTTCGCCGGCAGCATCCCAATCGGATTATCAGAGCAGCGCAGGCCCTGTTCAGGGGACGCGTTTGGTAATTTGCCCCCCCCCCGGTCGGCGCAATCAAATAAACAAGGGGCTCCCTAATCGCCCCAAGGCCGAGCAATTCCCCCCAGAATACCCGCGCGACAAGACAGGAAAATCCTCGTTTCTGGCACGCATGACGCCTGCTGAAGTGGAAGCATAAACCCTCCTCCGTGGGGCAGTCTTGTGTGTTTATCCTGAGGTGCCTCTTCTATTTTGGTGGGCATTTCCAAACAGCCAGCCAGCCGTCAGTCCGACGCAGCTCCCCCATTGCCGAGCGACCTGAGCCTACGAAGTACAGCGCCTCGAGACCCTTTTTTCCCAAGGCACGTCCCAGCCGACTGGATCGCCAAGTTCCTAGCTACCTACTAGGTGGGTGCGGAAAAAGGAGACGGCTCCAAACCTACAACGGCACGCCGGCTCAAACGCGATTTGCCTTGAGTAGCCGAAAATACCCTGAGAGCAGACCAGACAGCCGACGTGTTATTAACGAGCTACACGCCCCGCGTCGCCTGCCAGCATGGCGAGCTCGCCGCCAGCTTCGCCAGGCACACTGCCTCCGCGGCCACTGAGCGCCATGGTCCGCCCAGCGCCGAGAAGCAACAGCCGCATGAGCGTCGGCAGCAAGACTGGTGGAGGAAGCAGAGCATCCGATGAAGACACAAAAACGTCGGTGAGAGTTGGTAAGTGTGGGTTTTGGCTTCGGGTCCAGCGCTGGCCTCTGCGCGTCATTGCAGCAGTCGCGGCATCGACAGCAGCGGCGGGCGCGCCGTCCTTCTCGATTGCCGTGCATCTTGTGTACCACTACCTCCTGCTTAAAGTAGCAGCCGGTTTTTTTCTTGTTGGACATAGACACCTCTCGATTCTAACACGTGTTTTCTGCAGCGGTTCGCGTTCGCCCGCCACTTGGGCCGAACGACCCAGGCTTTGACCTCATACCGCAGCGGTTCCAGCGGTCTATGGTTCACGTCCAGACGCCCACAAGCCTTTCAATCGATTCGCCGCAGGGTAGGAAGTTGTTCGTGTTCGATCGAGTGTTTGGGCCCGAGGTGGACCAGGCCGGTGTGTGGAACTATCTAGAGGATTGCGTCAACGCCTTCGCCCAGGGATACAATGTCTCCCTCCTCGCCTACGGCCAGTCAGGCGCCGGCAAGTCGTACACAATGGGCACATCAGGCCCCGAAGAGCAAGAGGATACCGAGATAATGGGCGTCATCCCGCGCGCCGCCGCCGCGCTCTTCGAGAAGCTGGAAGGCTCCAAGGGCAACCCAAACCGCAGCTCCATGTCACAGCTCCGTGCACCAAACCGGTATTCCACGCAGCCGGCGGGCGCATCGCGGGCTGAGAAGAGCTGGAGTCTGCGGGCAACTTACGTCGAGATCTATAACGAGCAGCTTAGAGATCTCCTGATACCAGAACACGTGCCGACGCACGAGCGAGGCAGCGTCACGATCCGCGAAGACGTAAAGGGCAATATCATTCTCACCGGCCTGAGGCAGATTGAGGTCAACTCGGTGGAGGATCTGATGGGCGCATTGAACCAGGGGTCGACGCTCCGACAAACGGACGCAACGGCCATCAATGCACGGTCGTCACGCTCTCATGCCGTTTTCAGTCTCAATCTGGTGCAGCGGAAGAGCAAGCTGCAAACGGCGCAGGGCGCCGAGAAGCGGTTTTCGGTACCGCTCGAGGCCATGACGGGTGCGGAGACGTGGGTCACGACGGACAGCAAAATGCACTTTGTGGATTTAGCCGGCAGCGAGCGTCTCAAGAACACGGGCGCACAGGGGGATCGTGCCAAGGAGGGCATCTCGATCAACGCCGGGCTGGCGGCGTTGGGCAAGGTCATCTCGCAGCTGTCGTCGCGCCAGCCCGGATCGCACGTGTCGTACCGGGACTCGAAGCTGACGAGGCTGCTCCAGGACTCGCTGGGCGGCAATGCCATCACGTACATGATTGCCTGTGTGACGTCGGCCGAGTTCCACCTCAGCGAAACGGTCAACACGGTGCAGTATGCGCAGCGCGCCCGCGCCATCCAGAGCAAGCCGCGCATCCAGCAGGTCGAGGAGGGCGACAAGCAGGCCATCATTGACCGCCTCAAGGCCGAGGTAGCCTTCCTACGTGAGCAGATGCGGAGTGCTGAACGCGGCGGGGGCGAGCGGACGGGACGCACCCTGGCCGCAGGTGAGAGGTCCGAGCGGCAGAGCGAGCGGGAGTTCGAGCTCCAGAACCAGCTACTGGACTCGCAGGAAAACTACTCGACCCTGAGCCAGCGGCACGCCAAGCTCATTGCCGAGATGGCAAGGGCCCGAGACTACGAGCTCGCCGAAAGCGAACGCCTCGACGACACCCTGGGCGACAGCGCCACGGAGCGGCTAAATCGCTCCATCCGCTTCACCCAGGACGTCGAGCAGGTCGTGCTCGAGTACGAAAAGACGATCCAGTCCCTCGAGCAGTCGCTTGCCAGCACCCGCGCCACCCTGTCCAACACGGAAACCTCGCTTCTCGAAAAGGAGTCCAAATGCGCCTACTCGGAGACCATCACCTCCCAGCTCCAGGCCCGACTGCACAAGCTGATGGAGCGTGAGGCGAGCACCGAGAACTACCTTCACGATCTCGAGGCCAAGCTGGACGGCCACACTTCCGGCGAGGAGAAGAATGCCACCATCATCATGGAGCTGCGCAAAGAGATATCGCGTGTGCGCGAGAACGAGGCCGCCTGCGAGGACTACATCTCCACTCTCGAGGAGCGCCTCGCTGAGGCTGACCAGGACGCCGAGCTGATGCAACGCGAGATTGACCGGCTTGAACAGGTCGTGGAGCGACAGCGCAGCCTTGGTAAGCTGGACTCGCTGTTGTATGACCTCGATCACATCCAGGATGCAGCGCCGCCAGTCGAGCCTGAGCCCAGCCTGGGCAACGGCGCCGGCCACCGGCGCACGGCCAGCCGGACCTTGGCGGACCACTCGCGCAGCCAGAGCCACGCGAGTCGCATGAGCCACATGGAGGAGCCGATCCCTGAGAGTGGCGAGGAAGAGGAAGACCTCGCAGAGGCGGGCGTAGAGCGCGAGATGTTAGCTGACGAGCAAAAGCTTGCTCGTGAAGCAACACCTAAGGCTTCGCAGTCCAATCTCTTAGAGAGTGGCTATGACGCGACCGAGTACCCCCCAAGCCCGGCGCAGTCCAAGTTTGTCGCCGACAAGCTAGAGTCTATCACTCAGGAGCTTTTCGACCTAAGGGTAGAGCATGAGGCTACGATCAACGACTACGGCATGCTCCATTCCAAATACGAGGACACCGTCCGCGCCCTGCGGGAGCTTCAGGATGCTATGGATGAGGCAAAGCACCCCGGACGGATACGGGACTCGATGCTCTCGGTCATGTCGCCCGTCGACACCAGACCACAATCTTACTTGTCAGACGCAAGATCCAGCGAGACCAGAGACGGCACGCAGTTCTCGTCGCGCTCGCTCTCATCCGAGTTGACATCAGCCATGCAGTCTCCTGCTACTATGTTGGACAGCTCCGACGCAGAAACGGCTGTGCCAAGATCCGACTCCCGCCCAGCCACCCCGATTAGAGAGAATGGCGCGGCTACGCTTGCTTCCGAGCTCAACCGGCTCAAGTCTGTTGCTGCTGAGAAGGCGTCTGCGGAACGAGAGCTCTCCCAGCGCTATGCGCAGCTGGAGGAGAAGCACCAGGAAGCCCTTGACATGGTGGAAGAGCTGAAGACTGAGGTCGCCAAAGCGCACCAGGCAGCTGCCAATACGGAAGCTTCATCGCCGCGGGGTAGCACTCCTGTGATCCGCCGCAAGTCCAGCCAGAACGTCATGATTATCGACCGAGCTCACCGATCCTTTGCCTCGCTCCGTAACATCGCCGCGGAGAACTTTGAACACCAGCCAGATGTGATGCAAAATTTCGAACTCAACCTGAACGCTGCCATGCATGAGCTTCACGCTAGATCAGAACGGATTCAGGAGCTTGAGGCGGATGTTGCGTCAGCTAGGAAGGAGATGGAGACCAAGATGACCATCATTTCCGGGCTCACCCGTGAACGCTCCAGCTTGAAGGCGTCCCCAATGGACATGGCCGTTGTGTCAAACTTCCGTGAGCAACTCGAGAAGAGCGAGAAGCAGATGAAGAGTTTCCAGGATTCACAGGCAGCGCGCGAGCGGGAGCTGCAAGCTCAAGTGGCAGAGCTGCAAGAAGCACTGAAGCAGATTCCCGCACCTGCCGAAACTTCTATTTCCGCTGCCCACGAAGACTCCTCGGAGGAGCTCGAGGCGCGGGCTAAGCGGGTCTCGGAACTCGAGGCCGAGTTAGTGAGCTGGGAAGACCGGCACAATACGGCATTGCAGACGATGCAAGCCGCAGAGGAGGATATGAAGAAGACAATCACAGAGCTGGAGGGCCAGGTCGCCTCCTTTACCGCACAGCTTGCCGAAGTCGAACGGAGAAAGCCCGAGGACGACCAGATCGTCAAAGAGGCCGAGCTCGAGCAGCAGAAGCTGGTTAACCTTCTCCGCACTGAGATTGACGAGCACAAGGCGGTCATTAATCAAACCGCAGCAAAGGTGACAGACGCTGAGCAGCAACACGCCGCTACCAGGGCTATTCTTGAGGTCGCCGCCAGAGATCGCGATCTTGCTGTAAGTGAGGTTGAGAGCCACAAACAGTTAATGGCTAGGCTCGAGGACCAGATCGCCGAGCATGAGCAGACTGTTAAGGCCCACCAGGAGAGTCTGCACGACCTTCAGATTAGGCACTCCACAGAGCTCGAAGAAACCAGGACCTTTGCGAAGCGAGAGCACGACTCTCAGCTGGCGGCCCTCAAGGCCCAGCATGCCAACCAGGTCAAGGCCCTCGAAGGCGACCTGACCGAAGCCCACGAGGACCTCATGAAGGTCGCCACCCAGGTGGCATTCGCCCTGGGGCTAGATGTCAGCGTCGAGAAGATCACGGCGCGTATCGACGACCTAATTGCGGACCAAAAGGCATTCAGCCAAGAACAGCGCAAGTGCAATGAGCTCGAGGGCCATGTGGCAACTCTCACAAGCATCAACGACACCGTGATGCGCGATCTCGAGGCCGTCCGGGCGACGCTAACCGAGCTGTTAGCTGCCGAAGAGGAGAGAGAGGCCAAGGATACATTCCCGGTCAAGGAGCAAGTCGCGTTGGTCAAGAAAAAGGTTACGGACCTGGAAAAGAACAACAAGAAGAACTCTCGCCTCGTTGAGGAGCTCGAGGACCAGCTGCAAAACAACTTTGACCAGGCTCAGCTGACAAACAACCGGCTGTCGACCCTGCAGACGGAGCGAAATGTGCAGCTCGAGGAGGCGAACGCTGCCAAAATCAGGCTGCAGTCGGAGCTTGAAACCATCAAGGAAGAATATGCTTCCCTTCAAGTAAGTCAAGAGCGAGACGCACGCATGGTCCATTTTACCCGTCACAACCTACTAACAGAATCTAGGCCAAGTACGACGCAGCTTCGGTCGAGAGCCCCCAGCGGTCCAACTCTATCAACTCGCACTTGCGCAAGAGCGCGTCAGTGGCATCGCTTCCCTCTCCCCCACCCGCTATTCCCCTCCCCCCACTGCCTTCTGGAAGCTCGGGAGGCAATGCCTCAGGGACGCCCGGGTCGCCCACGGGCAGGCCCGCAAGCAAGGACATAGCCATCTCGCAAATCCAAGAAGACCAGGAGGCGCGCATCCGGCTCATCGATAAGCACCTGAAGGCAGAGAAGCAGTTGACAGCGACGCTCGAGGAGGCGCTGACGGACCTGGAGCACCAGCAGAACAAGATGAAGGCAGACTTAGACGCGTGGCGGCGCCGCGCCTCGGAGCTCGAGTCGGAGCTCAAGGAGGTCAAGGAGAAGCCGCAGCAGGACAACCGCTGGAGCCTCCAGCAGGTCGAGGAGGAGCGCCGCAAGCGCCACGACGCAGAGGTCGCCCGCGCCCACCTTGAGGAGCGCATGAACACCATCTCCAAGAAGAAGAAGAAGAGCAGCCTCAACTGCTTCTAGGAGCCCGGCAGAGATGCTGATCGTCATCTTCTGTCCCGGCCCCCGGACACGCTCCTGGGCTGGGCTCTGCTTGTCGTTGTTGTCGCCGTCGCCGTTGCTGCGGCGGTGCTTTTGGTTTTCCTCTGCGCCACTCGTTCGTGGTCATGGTTATGGTCGTGGTTGTAGTGATTTTTCGGTCGGCGCGCGTGAAATAGACTGAAGTGATGAGAGTATTGGGGAACGAGTTGGGCACTGTTTTGTGTTTTGATTTCTTTTTTTGCTGCTGCTCATCTATCTTGTCTTTGCAAGTTGATTTCCAGTATCTTGGGTTTACCTTTCGCCGGCCTATACCCCCTCCCCCTCCTACGCACCCACTAACACATGTTCAGTACTGCTACTGCCTCTGCCTCGCTTAACCCAGTGTTTTTTTTTACGGCGAGCGCATGTATGTATGTATGTATGTATACATACATATATATATATATATGTGTGTGTGTGTGTGTGTGTTTTATTTTTGTATTTCATCTTTTTTTCTCTTGGCTAGTGTGTTTGGTTTGGCTCGCTGCTTATTTATTTCCCCACCCCCTCCCACCTAACTACTATGATCGGATTGCATGGCACAAACACATATATATTCATCTCGTCTTGCGGCGTGGAGTTGAAATGGCAAAGCTTTCGGCTGTTGTTTGGTTTTATTTATTCTTGTTATTTTTTGCGCACTCTCTTCAGACATACCCACGGCAACGGTCATTTCGAGTCTGTCCCTTTTTTCCCCGTCTTTTTGAGCATCGGTGGTGGTGGTGGTGACGGTCGTATGTTGTTGTTGTTATTGTCGTCATCTCGCTCTCTCTGTGTTTGAGATCTTTCCCTTTATATTTCAGAGTCCATACTTTTTTTTAAAAATATCTTGCTGCTCCAAATTCTTCTTTTGATTCCTATATACACCTACTTGTATGGACCCGCTTCTGTTGGACACGCCCCGTGAAGGAAACGAAGCATGATTCTCAATGCGTGCGTGGCGAAAAGAGAAGGGAGCACCGGTTCTCTCAGCGAGAATGGTGGACACAGAGAGATGGAAATGAGATGATTTGGAAGATGAAAATCGATATCCTGGTCTGAATAACTCGTCTGATATTATATACGGTACCCATATGCTATTAGTTGCGTCACTGCTGTCGTTGTTATCGCTGCTAGTACCTGTCTTGTTTGTTTGCCATTCGTTGCATGTTTGTGTGCTACGATGGAACAGCTGGTGTGTAGGGGGAGGGGGGTGTTTGTTTTGTTCTCGGCTTGGGCCGGTGACCTCTCTGTCTTCAAGATAACAATGTAGCACCAGCACGTGGCCCTGTCGGCTACCTAGGTACTTCACTGCCGAAAGTGTTGAAGCGGCTGGGAGATCAGGATTACCTGGTAGCCAAGGGGTTTCTCTCCCCGTGTAAGGCAGCCGAGGATAGCTAGCTAGCCCGTGGCATGGTCAGACCACCTCAGCTTCTTGCCTCAGAAGTTCCTTTTGTCCACAGTGGAGTTCGCCCGCCCATTGGTTGGTTGGAAGAGAAAATGGGCGAGGGGAGAACTTGGGCATGGCACGTGGGACTATTCCAGAATCCTGTACCCGTCGGACTAAGGCGCCTTTGAGACTAGACCAAAGTCTTAAAGCTTACCTGCACTGGGCCCGGATCGGTAGGTTGCAAGACATCTGGTCTTTCGGGAGAGGAGAAGGGGGATGGGGGCGAAGGGATGCGGTTGCCGCTGGGTGTTAGGTTAGGTTGTGGGGGAAAATGGGGAAATGGATGCTCCTCGGAACAGAAACCCTGCACAAAAAAACGTCAGCCAACCCCCTTCTGCACACGAAACCAATGGCCGAGGTGGTGGTGAGATGATGGATTTGGGGAAGGGGCGAAACCCGCATTAGAGTCCGCGGTAGTCGGGCTCTCCCTCAAAGGACCATTCTGAATAAGGTAGGGCAGGTGCGAGTGAGTATGAAGTCTGTTCCCGAATACCAGGGATAGACCTTGGGCCAGGGGGTCCGTCATCTCGCAACCCGGTTTCGGTCTTCGCGACAATCCCCAACCTGACATTCTAGACCAAAGCGAAGAGGAAATATTTCAACAAGGGGGGGGGGGGGAGGGGAGGGGCTAGAGAGAGAGCCCGAGCTACGGAATACTCTACGGAGTACTACCCAAGGCGCCTGTTTATTCGTACCTACTGTAATTAAGGTAAGGTAGGCAGCGAGCCTGGACCCTGGAGAACCATGGACCGCTCGGCCATGGAGGGCCGTCTGATCCGACCGGTAAACAGCAGTGTGCGGTCTGAACCCTTTATTGTGAACAAAAGGTAGACGGACTGACATACATATGCATCACCTACAGAATGTCACATTCCTATCGTATTTCGCTCAGGATGTGGTTGGGATTTCCTGAGCAGTCCTGAGGCTGATGATCAGTGTTGAATAATTTGCTGCGATCTTAGCACGTTAAGGCAATCTTTTTTGGTCGTGTTGCCGTCTGGGCAGGCTTGGCTTGGTAAAGTCGATCAAAGAAAAAAGCAATCACGCTCAGCGCCTCCTCCGTCAGTCGAACCCGGTCGGCCATCGGGGAGCGGCATGGCCAAGACTAGATCGGGCGGCCAAAAGAGGGGCATGGAGATGCGGGGGAGAGGCAGGCACTGCAGTGGCAGGGCAGCCTCTGCAGGGCAGGCGCCCGGGCACCTCAATCATGCAACCGGGGCATGTTTTGACGGACAGATGGCCGCTGTTGGTCGCAATTTTGTCGTCATGCAGCCGGACAGCCTTTAGTCCTGCTGTCCACTCACCTACCTCTTCAGTGATGTGAAAGACCCAGAGTGGCTAAATATTAGAGGCAGGCAACGAACCTGGGAGCCAAAAACCGACGCTACCTATAGGTAGCAGCAGAATGGGGCCGTACCGATACATGTTCACCTCGAGCACTCACAGGCCGCTCCTTGCAGATGGAACGAACGACTGTCGGCAAAAGCGTGTGGTAGGCAAACAATAAAACGTGCCTATTGTAATAGCCGTTGAGAATGACTAATAGGGCAGGCTTCTTCTTATCTTTATACAAGTTTTATCGTATTCTTTACATGAGGCCCTCTGGTGGAGCACACTTGAAGAGAGACCAGGGACACAGCAGACGGCGGCGGCCCGGCCCAGACCCAGCGACTTCCTCTGATGTATCTGCAACATATGTCGTGTATCATGGCATCCAGGCAAAAAGCACAAGCTTAAGTCTACCGTGATTGTCCAGAAGATGGGCAATCACAGAAGAGAGGAGCAGACTGCGGTACAATACCTCAACCCGTGGCTCCTCCGGAAGGCTTCCGAGTCATGGGTGTAGAGGCTGATTCAAGCATTTGGGCCTTTTGACTTCCCGCCATTTGCATCCCATAAATCCCCGTCGACAAGGCAACAGAACAAATCCTACGGCAATTAGCCAGCCAGCCGGCCGGACACGCGACGCAAATTAAGTCGCCCCTCCAGGTTCTCGGTACACGTCGTTGAGCCCATTTTGCCAGAAAAGCGCAGATATTGGGCAACATATGCCCTAAGAGGCGGCGGATAACCCTGGCGGGGCTGCTGTTATGGCTGCTGGCTGCTATCCATTCCTGCAAAGAGCTCAAATGCCAACTCCCCTTCAACGGGGTGGTTTTTGCCATGGGTGTCCGCGTGAACCCGCAAGGTGAGAAGGGGCCCACCGTTATATACACGGGCTTGGCACTAGTACTGCACCTACGGATACTTGCCCGTTCATGTCCTATTTGCAACCACGTTTCATGTTCCTAGGCGGTAGGTACATGTAGCAGTCCCGACTGAGCTCGACGTCAAACTAGGGTTGCGCAGTAATAATACCCAGGCTTCCCATGCCGTGTCCGGAGGTCAATATTGGGTAGATGACACCAGCCCAGGTCCATAATCGGATGTGCACAAGGGAAGAGGGACACCGACACTAGAAGTCGTGATGGAACCTCCCGTCGCGTGTCTGCTCCCACCTCCCTTACTTACCTTAAGCACGTACCCATTTCTCGCTTCAAAGTCCATCCTGACTATTACCTCACTGCGATAATCAATAGGTTTACGGAATATGCCAAACTTCCCACTTATTGCTATCCACATCCAAAGATGCAACTAACACAAGCACAGTACAATGCACCGCCCAGGACACCTTGCACAGGGATGTGGACTATGGCAAATGCGTATTAGTGGGCGTTGGGGGCCCCTCTTATATATTCGCGCACTTGCCCCCTTCCAAGACTTTTTTTGGTGCCCAGCTGGCCCGCTGCCCCTTCCGGCAGAACAATGGCGACACTTTTTCTTTGGCGGGGGTTCCCCTTCGGGCGGAAGGAAACCCACCACCAACTGACTGTTGCGCGGCGGCCAAGCCCAGCTTCGTCCATGTAGCAGTACCTTGGAAGCTCCGGGTCCGGTGCTTTCGGTGGGGATGCCTACCGACAGTACCTTGCCCCTCCAAAGCCCGCCCCCCCTCGAAGAGCATTGTCCCTCACCCATGCCCGCATATCTTTCCATCCAGGCGGATACCATGGATGCTTCGTCTCGACTTCTGCCATAATTGCGAGGGAAACTACCTACCCCGTGCCTCCATCCCAACATTATTCCAGCCGGATCTTCACTTTACATAACTCACCTGTCCGTCCCCCTTTCATCCCCTCGTTCCCCCCTCCCCTCGTCCCTCTTTCCTCTCTGCCCCGCGTGAACATCGAACCGGCCTGTCCCACCCATCTAATACCCAAGCTCTCTATCAGTCGAGTTCCACAGCTGTCTCTGCTTTGTGGCATTTTCTTCGCCTCTGAACCAAGCCTGGGCAATTGCGCTCCAGCTGCCTCCCTCCGCGTCATTACGCCGCGTGCTTATTACCCCGCCCGTCGACTACGAGATGGCTGACGCAGCTCCGAATCAACCTCCCAAGGCGCCCGTGGTGGCCGAGGCTCACGAGGTAGACACGTACCGTAAGCTCGAAAGGCCCTGGAAAACGCTTAATTGGCCGTGTGCTGTTCTGCTCCTGGTGCAAGAGGAGCTGCTACTGCAGCCGTCACAGTCAATGACCGCAAGCTGACGCGAATATTTTGCTCTCGTCTCTAGACCCTCCCCAGAAAATGCTCGAAAGTACGTCGTCTTAGTCCGTCCCGTGTTGCCATGCCATGTCATGTCGCTGTGCATCAGATCACCTAGGTCTTAAGTGGGGTGCGGGGCACACCACCTGGACCAAAGGAAAGAACGTCGAGCTAACTTGGATGCGGCAGAGCATCCGAGCAAGCCTCACATAAGCGGTAAGCTTCACCCCCATATTTCCCCAACCCGTGCCGCGCTCCCCCCCCTTGTGGGACCCGTAGGCCCGGCCGGGCGGGAAAAGCTGCCTGTGCTTGCCGGCAAGGTTGCACTGGACCGAGCTGACGAACCGCGCTCCCCTTCCCAGGTATCGAGGAGTACCAGCAGCTGTACAAGGAGTCCATCACAGAGCCCAACAAGTTCTGGGGCAGGTTGGCCCGCGAGCTGCTGACCTGGTCCAAGGATTTCCAGACTGTGCACAGCGGCACTCTTGAAGGCGGCGACAATGCCTGGTTCCTCGAGGGAGAGCTCAACGCCTCTTACAACTGCGTTGATCGTCACGCCTTCAAGGACCCCAACAAGGTTGCCATCATCTACGAGGCGGACGAGCCCAACGAGGGCCGCACCGTCACATACGGAGAGCTCCTGCGGGAGGTCTCCAAGACGGCCTATGTCCTGAAGCAGATGGGCGTGCGCAAGGGCGACACAGTAGCCATCTACCTGCCCATGATCCCCGAGGCGCTGGTTGCCTTCCTGGCATGCAGCAGAATTGGTGCCGTCCATTCGGTTGTCTTTGCCGGCTTCTCGGCCGATTCTCTCCGCGACCGTGTTATCGATGCCCAGTCCAAGGTCGTCATCACCACAGACGAGGGCAAGCGTGGCGGGAAGCTGATCGGGACCAAGAAGATCGTGGATGACGCGCTCAAGCAGTGCCCCGACGTCAGCCACGTGCTTGTCTACAAGCGTACCGGCGCCGACGTCCCCTGGACCAAGGGTCGCGACTACTGGTGGCACGAGGAGGTCGACAAGTGGCCTTCGTACATCGCTCCCGAGCCTGTCAACTCGGAGGACCCCCTCTTCCTGCTCTATACCTCTGGCTCTACCGGCAAGCCCAAGGGCGTTCTGCACACGACGGCAGGCTATCTCCTCGGTGCTGCAGCGACGGGCAAGTATGTCTTTGACATCCACGATGGCGACCGGTACTTCTGCGGAGGCGATGTTGGCTGGATCACAGGACACACCTATGTCGTGTATGCGCCGCTGCTTCTCGGCGTTTCGACAGTCGTGTTCGAGGGTACGCCAGCGTATCCCAACTTCTCGCGCTACTGGGATATTATCGACAAGCACAAGGTGACGCAGTTCTATGTTGCGCCTACGGCCCTGCGGTTGCTCAAGCGAGCAGGCAATCAGCATGTGCGCAACGAGATGAAGCACCTGAGAGTTCTAGGATCCGTCGGCGAGCCCATAGCTGCCGAGGTCTGGAAGTGGTACTTTGAAATCGTCGGAAAGGAGGAGGCCCAGATTATCGACGTAAGTCTTGACCCTTGATTCAATCTGAGCTCTTCATCGTTCTGTCTCTAACCCCGTGAGCAGACGTACTGGCAAACCGAGACTGGCTCCAACGTCATTACGCCTCTTGCCGGCGTGACGCCGACGAAGCCCGGTTCGGCCTCTCTCCCGTTCTTCGGAATCGAGCCGGCCATTATCGATCCCGTCTCCGGCGAAGAGATTCACGGCAACGACGTTGAGGGAGTCCTCGCTTTCAAGCAGGCGTGGCCCAGCATGACTCGGACTGTCTGGGGCGCACACAAGCGCTACATGGACACGTACTTCAACGTGTACAAGGGCTACTACGTAAGTTATTGCCAACGTCGCGTAGACGATGGGATTGTATTAACCGTGATGTAGTTCACCGGCGACGGTGCTGGCCGAGACCACGAGGGTTTCTACTGGATCCGCGGCCGTGTCGATGACGTGGTGAACGTCAGCGGTCACCGTCTTTCAACTGCCGAGATTGAGGCGGCTCTTATCGAGCACTCGGCAGTGGCTGAGTCGGCCGTTGTTGGTGTGGCCGATGAGCTGACGGGTCAGGCCGTCAATGCCTTTGTCGCCATCAAAGAAGGCAACGATGCGACGGATGCGCTCCGGAAAGAGTTTGTGCTGCAGGTCCGCAAGAGCATAGGACCCTTTGCGGCGCCCAAGGCCGTGTTCATTGTGCCCGATCTCCCAAAGACGAGAAGTGGAAAGATTATGCGGCGCATTCTGAGAAAGATCCTGGCCGGCGAGGAGGACCAGCTGGGCGATACTTCAACCGTAAGTTGGTTCCTGTTACCTGCCTTGTTGCGTGAAATGTTGCGAGTCCATCCACTGACGATTCACGCCCAGCTCTCCGATCCCTCTGTCGTCGACAAGATCATCGCGGTGGTCCATGATGCCAGGAAGAAGTAAACGAGAACATACGACTGATTTTTGGTTTCTCTTTATCTCTTCACTTTTTTTTTTTTTGGAACTTGGGAGTTATACCACTGTTTTTGGGCATCCCGAAAGGATGCATGCTTATGATCTAGAGTGTCGCGACATGCTATTATCGCGGGCCTCGAGTTTGGATAAGGATAGTTGAGATGACAAACCCGTTTCTAGGTTGGCTAGTGCAACCAATGTTGGATTGTAGTGTATGCGAATCGAACTGTCTTCCTTGTGACGGTGCCTTTCAGTCCTGAGTTCAAGAGAGAGGGTTGGCGTGTGGCTGTGTCTAGCTAGCCTCGTCAGCATCCGGGTCGTTTCGGCTCTGCAGCGTTTCGATCTGTTTACCGGACCGGGAGGTAAAAGCTACGGAGCGAACCAAAGCGGGAATATCCGTACTCCGTAATCGGGCAACAACTGGTGGTGGCGAGGCTGAGACCGCCAAGCGAATGTTTACGCCGCAGGCCAAGGCCCCCGGCAACCACGGCAAGCCGGCTTCCGTGGCTGCGGAAGTCTTGGAAACTGACGCGTCAAGGTCAAATTCTTGGATTTCTGGAAAAAAACAAGTCGCCCGACTCGAGGGTAACCTTGCACACAGTATGGGACCTTTATGGGGTACGTTAGGGTTTTTGATTTCCTTTTTGGAGAGGCCAAGTCTCGACATTATTATCATCTTATCATCATACGACTTTAGTTTCCTCGGCGACGTTTCTTGGAAGATACCAAGTGGAAGCCCGCTCTTGTCTAAGTTTCGTTTATAATAAATAGAAAAAAATGAAGATAGTCTCTCTCCAGGAGACTCAGCTGCAGGTCACCCTTGACAAGCGTGAGGCGGAAGGCTAGAGTGAGGTGCGGTTAGGCGGTTGGTTCACACTTCACTTTTTGCAAATTCGCAAACACGCCAAATCGATCTCACGATTGGCCATTAATAAACGTTTTTTCTTTTCTTCTCTCCTTTGCCCCGCACCACATGATGCGGCGGCCGCACCCCTGGCCACCGTCCCGCTAGCCACTCAGCACTGGCAGTCAGCCGTTCAGTGGCGTTTCTTCCCTTGCGACTGGTTTTGCGAAACGCCAGCCAGCCAGCCAGGAGTCCTGGAGGCAACCGACCGGCTGACTGGCTGTCCGGTTATTAGATTCCAGAAGAACCTAGAGGGTTGTTAGCCGTCTTTTCGAACTTTCAATTCATTCACTCAGAACACAACAGCGAGCGACTAAATAGCCCAGTTTGTCTCGGGACAGGATCTTGTTATTTTTCTTCGTTCCGTGGCACAGAGTAAGGCTGACTGACCGACTTACTGACCGACTGAGCTTGAATTGCTCGAGATACCTGGTTTGCGTCAGCACAGGTAGGTCCCTGCCAGTAGGTAGTATTCCGCGGATTTATGATCATGATGGTGAGGAGAAACACAAGTTCTAATTCGCACTCGGCTTCTGCAGTCAGTGTCATCTGGCACTCAATACTTTAGTCTATGATCTGCACTGATGACTGATGAAGTTTTCTGGACAGTGTGTGCGTGTGTGTTATAGCAGCAGCTCGTGTTTTTTCGTTGCTGCTTGGCTTACGGTATACTGTGCGAAAGAAACCCCTTCGGACTTAACAAAAGTGCTCTGCCCTAGAGTTCGCAGCGGCCAGGAGCCAAGCATGGAAAGGCTTAGAAGATAAGCACCCGAACACGCCGCCCCCTCCCATCGTGGCTCCTCGAAATCCTTCCCCAATGCGCTGGCAACGCCAAGGGCGAGCGAAAAAACGTGTATCACCAGGTAGGTATTGGGCAGAATAGAAGCCGGTGCGATGGGAGGAGTTTGTATATTATATACTCAATTTGTTTTCTATTTCAGAGGCGGGGCTGGTGACTTACAGGGCCCCTTTCCAGTGATTCGTTGATGAAGGCCGTTGGCAAAGCGGATGCTCCCAGGTTACAAGTTCCTTGGCAATGGCCTCAGTCTCTGGTCCCCAGGAGTTGCATGCAACATCATGAAGGAATCACAGACACAGAAAGAAACCAAAAGCAAAAGTTGGGCAAGGAAAATATTTGTCCATCGATTTACCCGCGGGTAAACAAACAACACCGGATCCGATGTGTCCCAATATGCACGTCACTCGGGAGATCAATCTGATCGAGGGCTGAGTCTAATAAAAGAGGTCACGTAACGATTTTTGTTTAGAATTGACTTTTCTGTCTTTTCATCCAAACTTTTTGCCCCAAACCCAACAGACTACCTATTTAAATAACGAAGTAAACTTAACCCTCTCTCTCATCGTCAAGGCGCAGCATTCGCCGTGTGTGTGCATAGCCCCTTGCCAATTGTCAGTGCGAGGGGGAACACAAGCAGGGCCTCCTACTAGTACCTAACAAAAGCGCCCAGGGCCAGGGCAGGTTGCGGCGGCTGTTTGAACGGGCTCCTGAAACCGCGACAGGAGAAATACTGGGAGATTAAGAGTTCCCGTGGCCTATAGCCTTGCTTTGTGCGACTACCTATGCATAGATAATGGACCAAAGACAAGATCGGATTGATTGAATGATTGATTACTTTCAGTCTGTAGCTTTTTTCCTTTTCGTTCGATAATAAACTAGCTAACCTCGGTCAGCCATCATGTCGCGATAGATAGTTCAGACCAACCCAAAGTTGTAACCTAAAACCGGAATCTGAAAGGGTGCTTTTCTTGGCAGCTCACGCTGCCAAGCTTGCATACGCGGCCTGCGCGTTGGTAGGTGTGGTCTTTTGACGCTGGGACAGACGCAGTCTTTTTTAGAATGCTTGGGGGCTTGCAGCCGTGTGTGCGCTTGCTGCTGCTGCTTGATTCAGGGGGTCTGCGGCGAGGCTTCCGAGTCTCTCTGTCTTTCCTTAGCCCGAACCTGGCGCTCACACTGTGCTTGGACTTTCTTGGCTCGCTCGACGTTAATCCCAAAGGAGGCAGTCAAAGAGAGAAAGAGGGCTGAGCAGAGTGGCAGACCAACCCCCATCCATCCGCCATCCGCCCGACGCCGCCGCCGACGCCGCCGCCTTTCCCTTCATTTCGAACAGTAAAAGAACGGCAGGGCTGTCTGTTCGTTCATATGCTGTGACAACCCACACTAGCAGCGCTCGTTGAAACTATTTTCTTGTTTGAAGCTGCTTGTATTGCGCGCCTGCGTGTTGTTGTGTCCTGTCTCTTTTCCATTAATTACACTGCTATACGGCCGAACCGCCTGATCTTCTCCCACCCGCCCATCCACCCACCACCCCCCCCTTCCCAGTCCATCCAGCGCGAGGAGGGCTCTGCTCTGGAAGTCGATCCTCAAAACAAGGCCTCGGGGCGCACAGAAGGGGAAATACTTTGGGCTGGGAAAATCGGCGATAATTCTCCCCCTCGACAACGAACCAACGTCGCCGACGCTCGTTCATTCGGTCGGCCGTCATTTTATACTATCCATGGACTCGGGCGGCCGGTAGAGGACCTGCTTTGACCGAATTATGATCCTCCCCAAGGCCTTCGCGGCCCTTTTCGCAGGCGTCGGTCTCTTATTACAGCCCACAACAGGTACGTCGCTAATGGGGTGCATCGATTGTGTCGTCTTGAATCGGGTCAATTTACTGCCTCGCGCCTCTGGACGCAACTCGATGGGAAAGAGGGTTGGATGGGTGGCGGCTGGGTGTGGCAGAGGTTGAGATGGCGACGGCGAGTGCTAAATAGCAGGCCAAGTCGAATGGGGACTAACATGACTTTTGTCGGCACGCAGCACACTCGGTACAACGGAATGCCCTATCATACGTGACACGCATCGACGAAGCCGTCATCCACTCGCCGTCGCATCGAGTAACTGCGCTCTCGTCGTTTGAACTCACCTTCCGCCTCCACGATGGGCGGCAAAAGATCCGCCTCTCGCTCGAGCCGAACCACGACATCTTTGGGGAGGGCGCCACGATCCAGCGCGTCGGCGCCGACGGTAGGATACACAGCACCGAACCCATCAACAGGCTAGACCACAAGATATTCAAGGGCAGCGCCTTGATACAGCACGAGGGCCATTCCGAGTGGACAAATGCTGGCTGGGCCCGGATCAACGTGCACCGCGACGGCGACAAGCCCATCTTCGAGGGCGCTTTCAGGATAGACGGAGACCACCACCACGTGCAGACGAACACCAACTACCTGCAGACGATCGTTTTCGGAGACCCGCATGTCGACAGCTCGGTGAGCGAGGGCGAGTACATGGTTGTATGGCGAGACTCTGACATCTCGGTACCGGACTTCGACAGGGATCTGAAGCGCGACCTTGACAGCAGGAGCAGTGCGAGCTGCCAATCCGACGGGCTGGAGTACAACCTGGACAACGCCAACGTCCTTTACCGCGGCATGGAGACGCGCGATTTGTTCGGGCGCCAGATCGACACGACGCCGGGGGGTAATGGTGCGGGCGTCAACCTGGCGAGCACGATAGGATCGACTGCCGGATGCCCGTCGACGAGGAAGGTCGCCCTGGTCGGCATCGCCGCCGACTGCAACTACAGGTCGCAGTTTAGCTCTGAGAACGCGACGAGAACCAACATCATCCAGCAGGTCAACTCGGCTTCCCAGCTCTACGAGAACACGTTCAACATTTCGCTCGGCATTCATAACCTGACTATCAGCGAGAAGGATTGCCCCAGCCAGGCGGCGCCGTCGGCCCCCTGGAACGTCGGCTGCAGCGGCTCCACTAGCATCTCAGACCGCCTCAACCTGTTCTCGGCCTGGCGTGGACAGTCCAAGGACAACAATGCGTACTGGACCCTGCTGTCAACGTGCAACACGGGCGCTGCCGTTGGCCTGGCGTGGCTCGGCCAGGTCTGCCAGGAGGGCGCGCAGACGTCGGCTAATGAGACTATTGCGGCCGCGAACGTCGTTGTCCGCACGTCGACTGAGTGGCTGGTCTTTGCTCACGAGACGGGTCACACGTTCGGCGCAGTCCACGACTGCACAGTCTCGGCGTGTAATGACGGCCTCCAGACGAAACAGCAATGTTGCCCGCTGTCTAGCAGTACCTGCGACGCAGGCTCCCGGTTCATCATGAATCCCTCGACAGGGAGCGGCATCACGAACTTCTCCCCGTGCAGCATCGGCAACATCTGCAGCTTCCTTGGTCGCAGCAGCGGCAAGATCAACTGCCTGGCCAACAACAAGGACGTGACCATCATCACGGGCAGCCAGTGCGGCAACGGCATTGTCGAGAGCGGCGAAGACTGCGACTGCGGCGGCGATAGCGGTTGCGCAGGCAACCCGTGCTGCGACGCCAACACGTGCAAGTTCACTACTAACAGCAAATGTGACCCGTCCAACGAGGACTGCTGCACCAGCCAGTGCCAGTTCTCGAGCGCCGGGTCCGTCTGCCGCCCCAGCACCGGCTCGTGCGATCCCCAGGAAGTCTGCTCGGGCACCACGCCGACGTGCCCTCCCGACCAGAACTCCCCCGACGGCGACAGCTGTGGTACCTCGGGTGCCGGGCTCCAGTGCGCCTCTGGCCAGTGCACATCGCGCGACCTTCAATGCAAGACGCTCATGGGCAGCCTGACTACGAGCAACGACACGTACTCGTGCACGCCGCCCGGCACCATCGAAGGCTGTGTGCTCCAGTGCTCTTCGCCCCAGTTCGGCGCTAACCAGTGCTACTCGATGAACCAGTACTTCCTCGACGGCACCCCCTGCGACAGCGGCGGCAGGTGCTCCAACGGCAACTGCCAGGGCGCGAGCCTCGGCAACCAGATCCTGAACTGGTTCAGAGACAACAAGAACATCGTCATCCCCGTCGCGAGCGTCATTGGTGGCCTGATCATCATCGCCCTCGTCTCGTGCTGCTGGAGCTCGTGCCGCCGCCGCTCGCGCCGCGCACAGATTCCCAAGCCGCCATCCCCAGCCTGGAGCGGCCAGGGCTACGGCTACGGCCGCGCGCCGCCCCCGCCGCAGGCCATGAGAGGCGCCGCCGGCACCCCGGTACTACAGCAGCAGCAGCATCCGGGCCAGAGGCCGCAGTCGTACGCGAACATGCCATCGCCTTTACCGTACCCGGGACAAGGCCCGCAGCAACCGCCGCGGCAAAATGGGCCGTGGGAACCATTGAGGACGAGAAGTTTCCGATATGCGTAGTAAAACGCCCACTCGGGACTCAGCACCATGGGCCCAATCTTTAATGTCACTTTCTTTTTTTGTCTGTTCTTGCATATTCCTTTCTTGTTTTGTTTTAGAAAACCCGGTCAAATCTGGCCGCGTGGATGGATGGATGGCAGGCACCCTTGCATAACTCCAGCATCTTCTTTGGCGTTCTGGGATGGAGGGAAGGAGGGAGAGGAGCTTATATGTTTTTTTGTTTTGTCACATCCATTTAGGTATTTAGTGTCTTTTTTTGGATTTGTGTTTTTGAAATGAATCAATTATGACTGATAAGCAAGTTACTCGTTTTATATCCCTCGTTGATGTGTTAAAAGGGTTGGTTGGCTTTTTCTTCACCCGCCGTTTCGCTGTCTTCTTGTTTCTCCATGTGGATGTGGATGTGTTTTGTTTTGTGTCGTGCCTAAGGGATAGGGGATAGGGGATAGGGGGTATGGGAGAGGGTCATCGGGATGAAGTTATATGATGAGCTTTTGGTTTTGGTAGGCGAGGAAAGTATCTTTATATCTTTATATATAATTGATATATACCAGCCATGAACCTACTTGTGCGTGTCTCTCCTTGCTTACCTGTTGCGTGGTGATACGCGCGTTGACGAGGGGCGGAGAGAGAGAAGACATACGGTCATGTTGTTTTGTTGTCCTGAAATGAGTGAAGAGGAGGTAATAGCAGGGAGGCCGGTTAAGGGAATTCGGGAAGGGCAGGATGTGGAGGACCTACCGGCTCGTGGGGGCATATATGGCGCTACATATAACAAGAACTTCGTGAGGACGGATGGATGCCTCCGGCGATGTTTGTGTGTTTCTTGCTCATGAGCTGCTCATCAACTGTAGTTCTAGAGTTGAGACTGAGAGTGTTTTCAGAGAATATATATACATATACACCACACGAGCTCAGGGAGACGACTAGAAGAGTGAGGTGAGAGCCTGGTGATCCCTTGGCCTGACGGCGGGAGGGCTCATTCAGTATTTATTGTACACATTTTCTCTTCTAGGGGTCTTCATCATCCCCGGAGAGAGTCCTTGATCTATTATGCTGTTCGTTATCTCATTAAGTTCGTGATTTCCGGGTCTCGCCGTCGCCACTTTTTTTCTCTCTTTCCTTGCCTCCCTCCCCGCCTCACGCCGCCGCTCATTGCTTTCAATAGCATCATACCGCAGCGATCTTCTGACCTTTACCGCCTCTGCCCCTAGCTCTGGCAAGCAAAATTCACGCACGTACAGACAGACGCACACACAGCACCAGCCCGTGACACGCAAATCTCATGACGGAATAGAATAGGCCGATGATCCTCCGGTCCTTGCTCAGTCTTGAATGACAAGAGCAAAGCGGTTAATTAGTTAGGCGCGGCCCAAACAAAGTCGACATTCTTACTCTACCGCGCAGAGTTCGTCTGTCCCGCACTGCATCTCATCCTTCACCGGGCATTCGTCCGGTCGCCACCCCGCCGCTTGTCCGAGTCTCGGCGGGAAGAATTGTGCACGGGAGGTGGCGGTGCCGCCCTCCTCGCGTCGTCGAGCGACTCGTCGTCGTACCCGCAAAGCATCTTCATGAAGTGCAGCCGGGCGCCCGGTAAACTCTTTATGGTGTCACGGCGTGTGAGTAACGAGTACGCATGATTGCACACCACAATACACGAGAGAGAGAGAGGGACATGGGTGGTAAAATAGCTTGACGGTGGGAAGGGTCAAAGCGGCGGGAAGTGGTTTCGAGGGCGGCATGGCAGAGAGGAGGTGCATCAGGACATCACCAACTTACATCTTCAGTGCTCTGAGCATACATCATCAGGAGTTCGGGGTTGTCGAGGTAGGTGACGGCCTTTTGGCGCCGCTCTGTTCGGGCAAAGTCTTCCTTTTTGGCACTGTAGTTTTGGTCAGCTTGGGAGTCGAGTCGTCAATGAATATCAGAGTGTTCACATAAAACAAGGCCAGCGAGTGCATCAACAGGGATCGAGATACAAATGTGGCCCGAGTTCAAAAAGGGAGAAAAAAAAAGACGTACTGAACACTAGACAGCCGTAGTTTGCTGGTGGGGTTGGTCTCGCGGTCACTGAGGTCGCTTCCTTCGGAAGCCTCGCCCGAGTGGTAGGGGTCCTTGCCACGGGCTTGCCGGTCCCGCATCTGCGGCGTGAAGGCGTCGTCCATGACAGACGAAGAAGATGCCGAGACGGTCTGGTTCATGTAGGTCGACTGCCGCGCCTGGTTGAAGCCGCCTGGTTGGGTGGGGGGTCGAAAGCCAGACGACGAGCTCGAGTTGCCGCTGGTGGACATGGTTGTTATAAGTAACGGTAGTTAACAAACCTTCCTTCCTTTCCCGATATCTGACTCGGAAGTGTGTTATTGGGGGAAGGAGCGTAAATGGTCAAAAGAGCCACCTAGGGGAGGTCCCTGCCCCGCGCCAAACGTCACGCGGCCGAAGTCAAAAGTTCAGTCGGAAAACCAGGAGATCCCCCAACAGCCAGCGAGACAAATAAAGGAATCCCACTTTGTGCATCCGAAAAGGGCGGGGGGGGGGGTGGGAAAAGGGTGTTTGGTGACGTGAATACAATACGCCTCCCACCTAGTGTGAGCGAGGTGAGAGGCAGGTAAGGTACCTAAGGTAAGGTAAAGCTTTGTATGGAGGTAAGTCGGTTGTTGGACTAAGGTTGCTCGCCCGATTAGGCCAGTTTCCCGCCCTGAGGCCTGGGACAATGCGAGCTCCCAAGAGGCTAGCCGTCAAATGGGCGGTGGGGCAGCATGCCATCCCTGGGGTGCTTCACAGGGCAGCACTTGCCGTGGGCAAAGAAATAGCCTACCCAAGGCAGCATCTACCTGTTTAAACCGTCGCCGCAGCTTTAGTTGCAGTCCATTTATTTAGACTATATGGCGGCAGCACGGGGAAGTAGCAAATGGATGTAGCTAGAGCTCCTCTACGTAGGTAGATACACCTTAGGTACGTCCACGTGGTATGTATATACAGTGCTTACCTGGCAGTGTCTTATACATAAACACATATCCGTGCCTTTACACCAGACACTCGCTGTTGTCTTACCTGCAGACGAGGTTGCTTTCCGGAAATGGAGGGTTTGCTCTATTATCGCGATTCCATTGGTTCCGGTGCTCGTTTTTCTACCTTCTACAGGATTCTTCCCCCTGGGTGGTGGTGGTGGTCGGCACCGACCGCTGCAGCAGCGCCGGGCTGCATCTCTCCGCATGGGGACAAACACTGCACCACGCCAGCAAAGCAAAGAGAAGGCGCCGCTTTCCGCGTTTTCGTCTGCCAAGCCAAGCCCACGCCAGCGAGGGAATATGTGAGGAGAGATAAGTGAGAGAAAGAGAAAGAGAGACAGACAGACAGGCAAGAAGAGGCGGGCGACGGGAAACCCTTTCCGCCTTCCCTCATTCCTTCACTCTCCACGATCCTTGCCCCCTGCTTTATTGGCAAAGGACGTCGAACGATGATAATAATAGCCATTGTGAGGATCTCTAGGAATTAGCCTTAACCACTAATAACCCCTACTGCCTACCTACCTAGTCCCGAGCTTGTCTCGGGCTGGGCCTGGTGACGGCGCCGCCGTTGTGTGTGTGAGACACTCAACAGCTAGACCGTGCCGGGTCTGTTTCTTTGTTCACTTTTTTCTCGTCGAATGCGGGCCACACACATTCGTAGTTTTATTAAAACCCTTTCTTTTTCCTTGCCCCGCAAAACAAACAACTCGTGTGTCACACGCAACAAATTAGCGAATATGCAGCTGGCCGCCTTTTTTCGGAGGCGAGGCAAGGCAAGGCAAGCCGTGGATGGGGAGAGGAGGGTATGGATGGATGGATGGAGGGAAGGAGGGCGGGAATGGAGTTGCTTGCCACAAAAAAGAAGAAAAAGGATGAGGTTGTAACCGGATCAGCCCCCCGGGCAGCCAGCCGGCTGCCAGGTGGTGTGTTGTCACACTCTCTCTGTCGCAATCTTGATGGCGCCTCTTTCTTCCTCTAATCTCCCTTCTGCTTCTCAAAGGTGCATAAGAGAAAGAAGAAGAGGGCGACCAAAAAAAAGTTTCTCACACGCCACAGACGGCTGCATTCTGTTTTCAGCTTGATGTGCACACTAACTCCCTGATGTGCGTGTGCGTGTGTGACGGAAGCACTTATTCTTGCATACCCGGACCCGAACTCTGGTGTAATACAACGACAGTGTGCGGGTGTGCCCTCTTCTCTTCTTCTTTCCTTTGACTTGCTGTGCCACCTATGTCACTACTACCAACTGACCGCGGAGGACTTTGGCCCTTTTTCTCAGCCGGGCAACATTCTACAGTCCAAGCAGTTTCTCTAGAGCAAGCCATTGCTCAAAGTGGCGGGTGGTACATACGGCACGGTGCCATGCGGTGCCCTATCTCCAAGCAAGAGACTCCTCGCACCCACCCACCAAAGATAATATGGTGGACCCGAGATCCGGCACCAAGAGTCTCATGGAAACTTGGACCGAATATGGTCCCGGCTGTGACGCAACAGACAGTACGGATAGATTGCAGCCTGCCCACCACCGTTTGTGCCCCCTTGTTCGGCCTCCCTAATGGGGCAGCGGTAAAGCGGCATGTCCAACCTTCTCGGGCTGCCTACTCCCGGCAGCAATACACAAGCGTAGACGTCTCTCTCTTGCTCACGACATCTGCCCTTTAGGTGCACACCCCCCTTTTCCTAACAAGTAAACACAAGGCTGTAAACCATCAATCGCCGTAACTGGGAATCCCCCTGAAATTTCCCAAAAAGGACAAATTCTCATCCAAATGTCTTGTAGAACTTGGCCAGACTACCTACCAAGGCCTGTTCAAATACCTGCTTGATCCCCCTCCCAACGCACCCGTCAACCCGGTCCGCTCAGAGTAGGTACAGACTCAGCTCTCGACCGAAAGGGCCTTGACACCCACGAGCTTGGCACCTTTGCCCTTTCCTTCGGTGGTGACGAGCCAGTACTCGGCCCGGACCCCGCCCTTGGCCACCCTGTAGACGCGCACGTCGTTACCGGCGCCCGCCTTCCTGACCGCGTCGATGACGTGCTTGTACTGGCCCGTGGTGTCCCAGTCGACGGGGTCGAGGATCTCGATCTCGGCCTCGGTGGGCTCCCAGTGGTTGATGAGCTTGGCGAATTCCACTGCGGATGGTAGAGATCACACGGTCAGCGACGTTGATCAATTAACCCAGCGAGCAACTGCTCCGGTCTCGTATATATTGTCTCCCTCTCACTTCCCGCCACGTGCTTGTACGCGAAACGCACGCAACACCCTGCCCAGGAAAGGAAAACAGGGGGAATGATAAGAAACGAAAAAAGCTCCCACCTTCATCGGGCAGCCCCTTTCCCGACTCATCCCAGCTCAGCGCCACAGGCTCAAACGGCTCGTCGGCGTCGCTCACGTAGTAAGCATCCTGCGTGGCCTGGACAAGCGGCTCGGGGATGTCGACGCCCCGATCGGTCGTCTTGAACTGCCGCTTTGCGCTGCTGATCTCCTGCGGCTTGGCGTACCCCTCTGAGGGGTCCTTGTTGGCCTTGTCGAGGAAGCTCATGTAGTCCTCGTCTGATGCCATGTTGTTGTTGTCGCTGCCGCTTCGGGCAGTAGTCGTCGCAAAGGTTCTCCGTCCACTTCCCAGTGGCGGGATAGTGCTCGTCGGGTCGTCGAGGCGATTCTTAGCCTTGAAAGTGGGCGGCGCGTATGGTCTTGGAGAAGGGAGATTGCGACAGCCGTGGCAGTAGCGCGATAGGATGTCACTGGGAACTTGGGCAGCAGTGGCTGTGGAAGCTATAGTTGTCGTCTGTGGACGTGGGGTTCGACGACGAGGGGTGCCCTGAATTGCGGATCGAAGCGCAATGGTCTTTATTGAACGGCTAGCAAGGCAGTTTGGAATAACAATTATCTGGCCAAGTACTGCACGCGGTTGTCGTCGACTGAGAGTAAAAAGACAACGGTCAAAGAATTGAGAAGATGGGATCATGGCGTGTTCGTCTCGAGATAATGTTCCGGCATACAAAAGTTGGGGTACCGATGATGTAACCTGCCCGGCCTCAAAGTTGCCCAGACCTGTCCCGCCAGAGCGGGGCGCCAGAGCCACGGCAGATTTGCTAAAATCAGGCGAGCCCTGATGTCACGCATTCTATTGACAAGAAAACGAACACGAACCTGGAACATGCGTAGTCACAATCATTACGCAAAACGTGAGTCCTTATTGGTTCATTTTTTCCCATCCCTCTTCATGCAGCCTTTTATTAAGCTGAAAATGCTAGGTAGAGTTCCTTATCTCCACCAACCGAAGAGCAACGAGAGAACCGGGACACCAATGCCATTGTAGAAAGAACAAGAAAAACAAGAGACCACTGCCTTAAGCGGTGGTGGCCAGGTCCTTCTTGAGCGTACCCTGGTACTGCTTCTTCTCCGCCGGTGTCTGGAAAGCACCATGTCCGAACTCGGACGAGGTGTCGATCCACTTGAGCTCGACCTTCTCGAGGGCCTTGCGGGACGTGTGGATGAACATGGACTTGCGGAGCGTCATGATGCGCTTCTTGGTTCCGGGGATGGAGCCCTTGACCATCACGAAGTCGTTGTTGATCTCACCATAACGGACAAAGCCACCCAGACTGTGTTATATTAGCTTCGTGCTCATATCCACGTCTCCGCAAACAGGCAAACTTACGGAGTGATCGTCTTCTTGGTGACATCAATCTCGGTCGAGGCGTTGTTGTCGGCGTCACCCTTGCCGATGCGGTAAACCTTGTGGTTAACCGACGTACGGTGGTGATAACCTCTCTGACCAGCACGGGCAACAGTCCACTGGACGTGGGACGGATGCCAGGCACCGATACAGGCGACCTTGCGGAGACCCTTGTGTGTCTTGCGCGGCAGCTTCTTGGTTCCCCATCTAGCGGTGACACCCTCGAAACCGTGACCCTTGGTGACGGCGATGATGTCGATCATCTCGTCCTGCTCGAAGATGGTATCGATAGACACCGGCTTCTCGAACAGGCCGTGGCCGAACTCAACCTTGTCGGTAATGGAACCGCCATTTATCTGGATCTCCATAAGATGGGCCTTCTTCTGCTTAAGAGGCGTCTTGCGGATCTGGGTGTGCGCCAGAATGCGGACGACGGTGCAGTACTTCTTAATGCGCTCAAGCTCACGGGCAATGGACGAGCCGCTGTTCTCCGAGTGCTTCTTGGCGTACTTGGTGAAAGCCTTCTTCTTGCTCTTGTACCAGTTCTTGTAGAAGCGGCGCTTGAGCTCGTCGCCCAAGTGCTCTGCCCAGACGGTTGTCAGGGAACGCAGACCACGGGGAGTCTCGATATACTATGTTGTGTTAGGAACGATCGGCCCGTTTTTCGCTCAAATGCGACAGCTGGACAGCAAAGACTCACTCCAACCAGACCCACAACTATCATCTGTAAAAGATGTTAGCCATTGACACAATAAGAGCCAAGCGGGCTGAGTTGCGCGTACAGGTGGGGTATCAATGATAGACACAGCCTCCACAACCTCCTTCTTGTGTGCCTTCGCGCCGGGGCGGTCGAGGTCGCGGACGATTGTCGTCATGCCAGCCTTGTATCCCATGGCGGCGGTGAGGTGGACCGGCTTCTTCGGGTCATCCTTGGGGAAGCTGCCGTCAAGACCCGAGTCAGTCTGTGTGAACTACCTCGCAAATCTACGCACAAGGGGAAGGGGGCAGCTCAAGATAATGCCGTGTTGGTTTTGTAACTTACGACTTCACCTTGCCGCGGTGACGGGCAGCCCGCTTCCGGGGCAGGTACGCCAAAGAACCATGGCGGGGGGCCTCGTACTCTGGAATCCAGCATTAGCATCAATTGCTGCCGCATGTGCGCGACGCCGCAATCCCGCCCTCTAGATCGAACCAGGAGATCTGGCGCAGAGCCGGTTCCCTTGGGTAGTTCCGTTCGAGCAGGATAACGGCGGCAGGGTGGTGGACATTTTCAAATACTCACTTCGGTGAGACATGGTTGCTGACGTCCGAGTTGTGTTGTGTGGTTAGTTGAAAAGAGATCACAAGCCCAGGCCTGCAAAATAAAAGTCAAGAAAATTGGAGGCGAGCTCGAAAATGTGTGCGAAAATTGCTAATGGACGCTCGGGCCAGTTACAAGCGGAGCCCTAACTCGGTGGGAAGCCCTGTCCCAATTTTGGCGGGCAGTGGGTGCATACGCGTATCACGTGATATATCTCTCCCCTGGCGGGGAATTGTGTTTATTCGTAAGTGCTTGCCGACCACGCCGACTGCCCCCTGATGAGACTCATGAACTTAATTGTTTTGAATAACAGGTCTTGTGTGATTTTGACTATTCTCTCCTCACTGCCTTATGGTTCAGTCCACCAAAAAAAAATGCACTGGGACAAAACCAGACGAGATCTCATTTACAATATGCTCATAGTTGCTGGGAATTCAAGTGCAACCCCCTATACTAAAGATACTATGCGGCTAGAAACTGAAAGCCGATAGGCTCCTTGGTGGATAGCGTCATGGACTGAAATTAACTATAGGAGAATGTACAAAGAGACACACTATCTTGGCCGTCACAGGGCCCTCTAGCAACTGCTCGACGGAATTCCAACGCTCACCTCGTTCCTTCCCAACTCGCCTCAATCCACCGTAGATACATTTACCACTAGAATATTAACGAGAATATGGTCATTGCCACAACTGAAGCTGAATATCGGCCCACGGTCTTGGAGTGAATGAAGGATAGATCCTGAAATCCATGCTTCCTGTGAAGAATGAGGGGGCTCGCTAACAAAATATTTCATGGTGCTATGGGGAGAATAACGCCGTGTAAGTGCGTGAGCATTGGGAAAATATAGGTCCTAACACGGGATAAAGGAAAAACGGTCAAGGTGGTCAAGTCGTGAAAGACGGTTGTCGGCAGTAAGGAAAATATCGTGAAGGGTTCAGCTACACTCCACCTTTTGCCCCATAATACCGTTGATGCTCGCGCTCGTCGGGGTCCCATTCTTCATCTCGCCCGTGGCGGACCCTGGACCCGAGGTGGGCCCGGAAACAACCCCTGCCTTTTTATCTTCCTCACCACTGTCATCATAGTCCTCGTCAACCTCCATTTTACGAGCGGCACGTTCGGGCTCGTTGATGATGGGCGGGTGAGAGGAGGGATGCTCCATTCGCCTTTCCTCGGGCGCAGGGGGGTATTCCTTTGGAACGGGGCCTGGCTGAGGTCCAGGACCGTCATGGATGAGATTTTGCATCGGGGACGGGCCATGCTGCATAGGGGACGGGCCCTGCGGCTGCATTGGTGGCAGATGAGCGGCCACCGAGTGCGACTGGGGATGATGCGCGGCCTCGGAAGGATGATAGCCGTCATTGGCGTGACGCTGCTCGTCCGCGCGGCGCATCTCCTCTACTCGTCGCTGGTCTTCGGCCCGGCGTGCGTCTTCCATGCGCCGATCATCAAACCGGCGAGCTTCAGACGAGTTGCGGCGATATGGTGGTTCGATGCGAGGGGGGGTTGATGGGCGGCGATGTCGCACGTCATCCATGCGAGCGCGGCTCTCCTCGGTCGATGGCTTCTTTACTTCTCTCTCGTCGTCCCATTCCGGTCTACGCTTAGGACCGACCGACGGCGGGCGCGGGTCATGGTCGCGGTGCATTGAAGGATCGGAAGGCATGCCCGGATGGGGAGCAAGGGGGACACCAGGCTCAGGGCCGTTCGGACCAGCCTGCTCAGGGTGCGGCGGATATGGCGGCTGATGCTGCGGATACGCCGACTTAGGCGACGGCATACGGCTGTCGTGCATGGGAGGTCTGCCATCATTCCTCGGGCTACTGGTGCGGTACGGCATCAGTGGAGGTCCATTTGGTCCCAGTCCGGACGACGGCTGGAGGGCATTTGACGTGAGGCCGCCAAAGGTAGGATTGCGTATCCGCGGGGGCAGCTGGGATGGCTGAGGCGCCTGCTGAGCTTGCTGGGGCGGAGGTGGCGGCGGAGGGGCGGCGTAGTGCGAAGGGGGCGGAGGAGACAATCCACGTCGCAGGGACTCCGGCCCCCGGCCGGCATCCAAATATGGCCTCATCTGATGCTCCTGCCGGGGGCTGGGCTGGCGTGGAATGGGGGGAGCTTGGCCACGAAAGGGCTCACGATCTGGGGCATATGGGTTGGGCGGTTGCGGAGGAGGGTTAATCTCCGAGATCCTTCCGCCCCACGAATTAGGGCCCTGTCCTGGTCCCGGAGCGGCGCCGAGCATGGGCTGCGGCCCTGGCGGAGGTTGCGGTGCTGAGCCGGATCCGGCCCACTGGGGGCCAGGAGGACCAAGAGCTCCGGAAACTTGGTATGTGTGCGGGTGGACATCTGTTGGCATGGGCGCCTGTCCTGGTGGGGCTCCGTTCGCTGGCCCATTCCGCAGTAGCTGCAGCCTTGCCTTGATATGTTGGTTCGTGGGGTCCAGTTCGGCGGCCCTTTGATATGCGTCGAGTGCGTCGCTAACTTGGTTGTTGCACGATTCATACTATATTTCATAGTCAGTGAAAATCCAACATCGACATCTTGTACGGTAAAGGCAAGACTCACCAGAGTACCCAGGTCATACCAGACTTCTGAGATGTACGGGTTCAAGCGGATGGCACGAGAGTACGCATCAAGTGCATCGCGATACTGGTTGATCTGGTAGTAGAGAACACCAATCGAACACCAAAACGTAGGGTTCCGGCCGTCACGGTACACGGCCTGCTGATAGGCCTCATACGCTTTAGGGTACTTCTGCTGTGCCATGTAACACCTTCCAAGGAGATACCAGCTCTGAGCATCCGTATTATCTGCCACGTGTTAGAAACGGTCATGTCAGGGAAAGGGGGCGAGAGAAAGCAGGACTCGGGCCCTCAATCGGAGGAAACTCACCAGCTGCGACGGACTTCTCGAGGTAATCGATAGCTCTCTCCTGGGCGGAGAAGCTATTGCTCTGCTGGTGGTGCAGCCAGCCAAGCTGCTGCAGCACTTTTGCATGGTTGGGATCACGGTCGAGAACACGAAGGTATGCGGCCTTTGCGCTGTCGTACTGCGACAGGGTCAGTACTACAACGGTGCGGGATGTCGGGTTATACATACATCTTTTTGCTGCTCGTGGACATGGCCAATCTGGAACCAAATGTCCTCTTCGGTGAGGGGGGTTGGCGGCGAGTTGACAATGTACTTGAAGCACTTGAGACAACGTTAGACGGGACTTGTTTACTAACGTAAACGCACATTGGTGGGTGGCTTGGAATATACCTCGAGCGACAAACTGTACTTCTGCTGCTGCTTATATATGATACCGAGGCGGAAATAGATTTCGTGCGCCTTGTCAAAATCTGGTTGCATTTGCATGACCTGAGAGAAGGCCTCTTCGGCGTGTTCGAGAGACCCATATCGGTCATACAGGATGCCTATGCCGTACCAAAGCCTTGGCTCCTGCGATGGCTGGATTAGCACAGAGCGCTCACGTGTCAAGGCAACATAACAAACCTTTGGATTTCGGAGATTGAGCAAGGCTGACTGGTATGCGGCATATGCCTGCTGTAAATCGTCCATCATGAGGTAGCAATGTCCTGGAATAGTCGCAGTCAGTATGTTGTCACAACAGAGATATCTGATAAGGAGCTATCCCGCGCACCTAAACTCCCCCATGCATCTCCGTTCCGGTCGTCGAGCTTTAGAATCGCCTGGAGGTATTCGGCCGCCTTTGGGAATTCTTCGCGCGTCCTGAGGACAAGACTCATAGCATTCATAGCCGGAATAGAATTAGGGTTGCCCCGCAGAGCGTTCTCATAGTATGACAAGGCTTCGTCGAGATTGCCCATAAGCTCCGCTACGGCACCTACAGCAGTGTTAGCAATCGAACTCCGCAAGTCATATATAGATGCTGTTCAGCAGCGGGCAGGAGAAACCTACCTAGCTGAACCCATACTATCTCGTTCAATTGCATCAGTGTCTGGCGGCCTTGGACCCAGCCGGGCGATGGTGGAAGGGCACCAGGGGGTCCCGGAGGGCCATGATGCATTTGGATCTGCATTGGCGGAGATGGGTGATGGTTCGCCATGGTGCTTAGCGCACGTTTCGTCGCCTATTGTTGAGCTATAAGCTCAGATGCGGCAAAAGTAAAGACACGGCTCGGATGCCGCGACTTAAATTTGTCTCGCCGAAATTCCGGCGCAGTTGCTTTTAAGTAAAATGAAATAAGAACTTGAGCGCCCAAGAAGACCCGTTGCGCAGGAAGTCAAAAGAAACACGCGTGGCAGATTTCTGGGCGGCGGTTTAGTGGGGAGATTGAAAGGCTACTGCCGACGAGCGGTCGGGCGAATGTGACGACAACAGCTTGCTCCCAGCCTTCGGCGAAGCTTGTCAGCCCATCAACCAGCCGAAGGGGAAGCTCGGGCGGCGGCGCAAAGAAAAGGGCTTAGGATAGAATGAATACAATAAAGCGACAGTGCTCTTGTTAGGATCGTAAGGTCCTAAGCAAGAAGTCGCAAGCAGGCGCGGGTCCGGCTCGGGGCGACGCAAACAAACTAGAAACGGGAGGGAGGAAGGAGGAAGATGGGGAGAAACCCCAGGTAGGAAGATAAAATCCAGCAAGCGGGTGCGATTCTAACCAGCCGCCCAACTCCCCTTACCCTTCATACAAAAACGTGGGGTGTGTCTCCAGTGTACGTGCTGTGAAGTCGCTCAACGCCAAGGATGTCGAGGTACAGCGCTGTACGGAGCCGGGGGCAAACCCTGCATGTGCGCCACCTGTGAAGGGGGTGCGGGACCATGGGGCCATGTCAGACATGAATGGGTGGGCGTTGAGATCCACCGGACCCACTTGGCTTCCAATCCAACCATCTCCACCCGCAGGGGGGGGCCCGGGCCATTCTCGCCTGCTTCGGAAGGAAGGGTTTCCACTTTAGCACTGTAAAGTGGGTGCCGCTGGTTTGGTCGTTGTTATTTCCGTGCCTCCCGCACTCCAAGTCAAAACACAATTCGCCGTCTTTTCAGTGCCATTTCAACCAGTAATATGTCCAATCCCAAGGTAATTGCTCACACATCTTTAGCCCCGCGCCTTAGTGCAGGTGTGCTAACCTTTTATTCGACAAAATTGCCTACTCACCTTGCCCGGACCAAAATTACAACGCTCTACAAATTAACGGCGGAAAGTACTAAGTATGATCTCAATCTGAAGGTAATTGCTGCCTAAAATTTCCCTAGGCTCGATCGACAATTGTCGAGCCAGCGTGTAGACAGGTGTTGTACTCCGTACTATCAGCAGTTTTTGTATTGTGTCCACCATGTCGTAACCAATGTGAGAGTTGGTAAGAGATCTCAGAATCCTCAGACTACTATTAGCTACCAGCGACATCAGACACATGAATCTGGAAAAGACATGTTTTGTGTTTCCTCAAGCCGGTGGATTTCTCTTTCGGCTTTGGTAAACTAATGCCGTTTTTCGAGGCGCTCCTACTTCCAAGCGAGATATCTAGTGAATTATAACAAGCAAGGCATATATATGTTGGACTGTCAAACTTAGTACACTCTGGGTCTCTGGTTCTTAGACAGTAGCAATGAGGTATAGAAGCAAATAATCTTGTACAGAGTCTTGTTGTACTCTTAACCAATGCGGCTACTCAAGTCTGTGGCATACATCAGCGACCTTTAAAGGACTTGTCTAGCCTTTGAGGCCCGAGCTGTATTGGTAGCCTAGACTCTGGACGAGAGGAAACATGCCATCAGCACGTCAGCATAAGTAGAGAGTGTTTGCAAAGTCCTGAGGACCCAAGAGCATTCCAGATGCTCTGTGTAGTACTAGTTTGCTTATTTTCGAGTTAATACGAAAGAATAGGCGGCAAGAGATTTAAGTGAAGGGAGATATATGAATCATGTATACACAGTGGAACTCGAGTTGGGAGAGCGAGGGTAATGCAGCTCGGCCTATGGATGCTAAACTCGTTGATGATTACATTGCCGAGGTTGAAATGGTTCAACTACACTGTGTAAAGAGAATCATGCCATGGCTATCCGAATATATCTTGAAAAATTCAAGAGGTATAAAATCGGATCATGGGCGCCGGACGCGGTGGAAATTTATAGGCACCTATTCATTCCGAATTTCCCGTCGTTGATCTAAGAGCGAAGATGAGAGATGCGCCAACAAGCGCAGCCGTTTGAAATCTACATGTATGCAAATGGAAACAATCATCTTCATGCTTCAATTGACTTCGCTTTGAAAACCGCTTCCATAAGCTTTCTTAGCCGTGCAGAGCTTAATATAGCGAAACCCACGAGTTTGTAGAATAGCCATTCCGGTGAAACAAAAAATATGCTTTATCAACATATGACTTAGTTAGCCTTCAATATAAAGCAACCATTCCTTTACACTTGCGATGCACCCAAGGAGTAAGGGAAAGCAGTCAACCTCTAGTGATGACTAAAGCTAGGTCGTCAAGCCAAGAGGTCGAATGGCTGCAAAACCGTGTGACTGGCTAACCGAAGGTGATAATCATGATAGTCACATGGCTTTTTATGCGCTGCATTGCAGTGCACGTGTTTTTGACATGCTGCGTTATGATGGAGAGATGTTTACAGGTTGCGGGCCCGTTCAAGTAATTGTAACCTGGCTTTTATTTAGGTTCGGGAATGCATCTCTCTGAGTTGTTCATGCGTGAAAATCTCCCTGGGCTTAGGTTGCCCCAGTTTTTATTTTCCATGGACTTTTTTGTGTGCTGCCTGCCTGTAAACAGTGCTGACTGCCGGGGCATTGCTGCCGGGGGGGTACATGGGGCAGCCCCGCACCTAACCCACAGCCCGACTAGCTCCAAGTAAAAACTACACTATGGAAAAAGCAGTGGAGATTTGGCGCATTTGCAAATTGGGCGGAAAGCGCAAAAAAATAAAAGAATGGCGATGCCCGCATGCTGAATGAAAGAGGGGGGTGGGGGGGGGGGTTTCGATTTCTTATTTGTGCTCGGCCGGCCGCGAATTATTCAGCATTGTGGTTCTTGGTTGCGAGCGAAGATCGTCGCATCGTTTATCCACTTAGGAATTTCGACGGATCGGTTGGCTCCTATAAAAGACATAGGGTGAGCCAGGTTTTACGAGGATACTCGGGAGGACGTTTCATCCCATGTTGGCGTTATTTCCCCCGGCCGGGATCCCGGCGGTGTTTTTGCTCAAAAAACTTATCGTGCCTGACGGCGGCGGCTGACCAGTCGCGGGCAAGGCCCCAGAGAAGGTCGGTCCCCACTCCCCAGGGTCAGGACTCAGCTTGTAGCCGGTACAGCTGGTACGACGTGAGCTGAGTTACACCCCCCAGGGGAGGGTGTTTCCTGAGCGAGCGGCAAGCCCATTTCTTTTTAGTCTGTGCTAGAGGCATCTGTGGCGGCTGGGAACGGACTGGGAGCGACCAGCCGGTGTCCATCCATGCGTTCCGCCTGCATCAGCATCCCAGCCAAGACAGGGGGGCGTCCTACCACTCCACCCGTGCCTCCACACGCCCAGCCCGTCACCAAAACGCTGCAACGCAGCAGAACCCTATCGACGCAAATGAGGTGGAAGGTTTGTAATTGGGAGCGGGGTTCAATAGTGCCGTGGTGGCAGCAGGTTGGCGCAAGAGCAGCTCGCTCTCGTCGGAAAATAATTGCTGCGGTGCACTGCTGTCAGAAAAAGGAAAAGCGTGCCTTCCCACATCAAGGCCCCTCTCTGCATGGACAGGTTGTCAGCAGTGAAACACCAGCATTGCCGTGTTTCGATTCACCTCACTGCGCGATCCACCTTATCGCAGGGTGGTGCGCAGCCGAGAATGACTCGCCGTCCACGGCACTGAGTGGTGATAACCTCATGTAAAGCTGCTTCCGGCCGTGGAGACTGAATATAAACACAGCAAAATAACCTCCAATGGGATTAACAGGCCCAAAGATACCACGCTTCCGGTGCTGGCCTTACAGTTTTGGAGTTGGTGACGAGGTGAAGAATGAGGCGCGGATGAGGCGCCTTGACCCAAGGCGGGTTCAATGGCGGTAAACGATCCTCCCAAGCTGTCCGATTAGGCAAAGGTGTTCCGAAGCAGACAAATACCTACCTGATGGAATGCACCACCACGCAGCAAATGCCTAACCTAGCCTGCAGCGGGAGGAGCACGCTTTTGCAGGCAATTGCATTTACAGTCCCAGGCTTCCAGAAACCCCCGATACAAAACCAGGTTGGCTGCTCCTCCTCCTCCTCCTCCCCCAGAGTCAGTCAGCACGACATCACACCCTGCCAGAAAATCAGACATGCCAGCGACGTGTGTCTGAAACAGAACCACCACCTTGAAAAGAAGAAACAAGCCGGGCTAGCCGCCCTTGTGAACTCTAACGCTCTCGGCCGCGGGGTGGAATGAAAGGTTCCGAGGCGCTAGGAATAGGCAAGTAACAAAGAAAGGAAAAAGGTTTAAAGTTTTTGCCGTAAACGTCCCAACTCCCAATTGTCGCGATGCCTTCTTACAATAGAAACAAAGAAACAATGGGCGGGCTCGTTAAATCACTCACCTAGCCCACATGGAGAAGAGGAGTTGGCGCTAAAAGTTAGGCGCCCGATGCAGAAGGGAGGCGACCCGGACCAGGCCCGGCTTGCCTCGGTGGGGGTGAAGAGACGCAAGCCATGACAACGATTTAAAATAAATATAATTATGAAAGAGGCTTTGAAGTTTCCAAGCTTAATAGGGGTGCATTCCGTATTACTTATCCATATTCCTGAAGTGGTTCTCCGCTCCCTTGCCTTGATTTAGAATAGCGCAGGTGATCTCCAGTGCCGAGGCATCCCGATCCCACCCCGAAACCGCAGTCCCCAAAAGGTAAACGTATCAAAAGTGGGAATGGGGAGAGAAGACGGAGAAGACGACGACGACGACGACGACGACGACGACGAAGAAGAAGAAGAAGAAGAAGAAGAAGAAGAAGAAGAAGAAGAAGAACGAGACCCGAGAGAAGATCTGTAGATGCAACATCACGGTCCCAGGGCAAGATATCAGCCTCCATGCTAAGCTATCACCCGGGAAAAGGATGCCCGCCCCAAAGAGACTCTAGCAAGGGACGGGGACTGGATTGATGAGCGCGACTCGCGGCGCATCACTGGTCTCAGCTTTGTCCTCGTTTGATCGGGCCCCCCAACAGCCCGCACGAGGCGAGATGGGATGAGGAAACACATATAAGAGACGAAAAGGCCATGGTCGGTTCCTCGCCTATATTCCTGGCCCATAAAATACCCGCCAATCCGTTCCGGGGATCCGCTGTTACAAGAATCTTCCGCGCCAGCACTCGCTCGGCTCGTCCATCATGTCGTGCGGAGTCTGTGTCACGGGTCGATCAAGATCGAGAAAAATGCGGCCACGCTTGCCGTTCGCCAACGCGACAAGCTACACCATGGTAATATAGTCTTCCCGCTGACATCCATAAGGTAGTGACAATAACCGAACCCATTCAATCAATCTGATAAACCCGCATATTACCCATATGGAGAGAGACACGGCGGCTTCTGCCCCCCCCGGATGGATGATAGAGACGATGCACTACATAGTACTGTAGTTCTGGCATATAGTCTAGAAGTTATATCCCACGGGGGATATATGCGGTGTATCACTACGGCATACCTTAGCGATGCATGCGAGACGTTTATTAAAAAGATGACGAACAGGTCCCCTTTCCCCGGGCGCTGCTAGGGATGGGAGGAGCGTGACGAAAGAGAGCGGGCCTGGATGGGAGGGGACTGCAGGGGGGGCCGTCTGGGCTGCTGCCGATGTATCATCCCCAACCGACAAGCTGCGGGATTGGCAAGAAAAATAGGAAGAAAAAGAAAGCAAAATAATAATAATAAGGCAAAGTCCGCACATTTAATTCGTCCGGATGCGCTTCGGTGATGATCACGGGAGGGTACTGGCCGGGCATCAATCAGGTGTTCGCACCGCACACGCAAGCAAAGCTGAATTGGGCGGCCGGGCGCGGGCAACGCCACCACACACCATCGAGCTCTCTCCACCTTGCTTTTTGGCTATGCCTTGGGTTCTGCAGCGTGCAGTCTGCAGTTTGCATCACGCCCGGGACGTCTGTCCGGGTGTGTTGATGATGCCCAAGAGTTTTAGGCCCCCCCTGACCTCCCCTTCCCCGCCCGGGATGGATCAGCATCCACGGAAGAAAAGGACGCAAAGGGGAGAGCGCCGAAGACTGCCAGCCGAGCCATCATCACCGTCCGGGTCCGAAGAGGGGAGGGGAGGGGGGGCCAAACGGGATGGAGAGGAGGTGGAGGTGGGAGGGCCGGTGAAGAGAATATTGGGTGACGGGTGATGAGAAGCGACGAACTTACCGTACGCTCCCCCCTCCGATATGCTTGCCATCCCGGGCTGCACCTCATTCTCACGCATATGCAGGCGCCGTTGATGGAAGGTGGGTTTCCCTGTGTCTTATTCGCCAAGGCTGAAAAACTTTGGCCGGCTTCAGTGTCGAGCCAGTCATCCCACGGACACGCACACAAAAGAGGCTGACGGTGGGAATCTAGGCCCTTTTGCCTTGAACGTTTGGCCTTTGGTGCTTCTGTGGTGGTGGGGGGGGGGGGGAGTGGGAGTCATTTCGCACAAGGGTGGTAAGGGGGGTGTGAGCCCGAAGAGGGAGGGGGTTGGGTCGGTCGGTGCGGAGATCCTTTTGTGGATAGGACAGATGCAGGCAGGGGAGGGGGACCCGTGGAGGGTGCAGGGCCAGCGCAAGCCTTGCAGGACGCTGCCGTGTGCAGCAAGGGATGACAGGGAGTGGGTTGGCGGCACAGGATGGAAGTCGGGTGGGACGGGGGAAAAAAGCTGCTTTGTCTCGAGCATCAATCAACCTTGCCGCCACTTTTACCCTATCACCGCATCACGGCTTCCCTGGTGAACAGAGCGCCTGCCTTAGCTATGCAAGCTTCTGACGCCGAAGGGTCTTGGCACTAGATGGTCACGTGCTCATCCATGTGGGTTAGGGCGCAGATCTTGAGGCGGCAAGAATAAGGCGCTCTCAATTAGGATACCGCGGCCTGATAAGGAAGGCCTCTCGAGGTGCCCGCCTCTCGCTTGTTCCCCGCTCGTTCCCCGGACCAGAGCGCTGCTAGTATCGGGCTTTTTCTCGGCCCGTTAGATGAAAGAGGTTCTGATACTCTCGATAAATATCAAGCGATCTTTCCTCTTGTGCCCGAATGCAAGCTTGTGCTAGCTTGCGTCGAGCTTCCTTTCAGCCCAACCCAAATAGCGGCGTTGTGATAATTCAGCCCTCGCTTGTTTATTAGGTTGGTTTTGGCAAAAGGGGTTCCTGCCAAATTATTTAAAATATTATAGCTCGAAGCGGACTTGATTGGAGACTAGCTATAAGAGACATGGGGAAGCCTTGGAACAAGATCTAATCCATTTATATCGTGGTTTCCAGAAGGATATTTGGGTAGGTTATGCCATGGTAGTGTTGATATCCGTATCGCACTTACAATTGAACCAGGGCCGAAGCGTGTTCAGAACGGGATGTTATTGCGGATGCGGAGCTTCTCCCTTTTCCATAGTTCTGTTCATCTTTCCCTTGGCTCAGCTCGCAGGTTCTTGGATCCTTGGCGATGTTCGCCTGAGACATTTCTCCGCCTCCACATCATTGCATGGCATGCGGGTCGGGCCCGCAGATTTCACTTCACCTCGCTGTTCGCCGTTGCACATCTTACCCGATCTCCTGCCGAGCGAGTTTGGCAAAAGCACGCAGAAGCGGTCACCTATCTACGTATTATTATTTTCTAGACCCTGTGTCAGATTGCGATGCGACGCGTGAGCCCTTTGTCTCGCCTGTTTTTGCGCGTGCGATCCAGCAAGAGCAGCGGCGCGGTTCCTCATATTCTCGCACATCCAATCTTACCCAGCCGCTAGCATGCTGTGACGTCGTTGTTCTAGAGAACACTATTGTTTCCGGTTGAACCCCAGTGCATTTTCCGATCCCGACTCGGGCTCGACTCGGGCACAAAATAGACCTGAGGTGTGGTTCGGAACATCTCTGCCGATCAGAAGTCACCGGAAACTCTGGCACAGACGATGTGGTCTCGCTTCACAGCTGCGGCCGATGGGCTAAGGTATCCGAAGCTGCTAGCACGTGCGTGTGAGGTAAAATTGTTTGGGGGATGGTGCCTTCCCCATCTTACCCGATTCGGCACTCGCCCAGAAAACGCCCAGAATGCTTGAATCACCCAACCCTTCGATTTGAAAAGCCCGTAGTTTTCGACCCCCCTTTCCCCCTTTCCCCCTTTCCCCCTTTCCCCCTTTCCCCCAAAGAAAACTGGACCGAAGAGTGGGAGGAAAACTCTCCGCTAGAGACCAAAGTGTTATCGCTGCGACGAGACAAATGCCATTTTGTTTTCCAATGCACGTAAGGTAAATAAACATCCAACCAACGGGGCTATTTATTTTTAAAATCGGCACCATGGCCGCGCTCGACTCGGCCTGGCCGCTTTTAGGACCTGCCTAGCGACGCTCTCTCTACCTTCCCTTTCGCGGCAACAGAATGGATGCGGAGTATCAAGGGGGTTGCTAAGAGGGGGGCTCGGACGGGCGGTTCGCTGGATGTGGGAGGAGCCAGCCCAGTCCAGGGCAGGGCAGCCAGCCCGCTGCATTTTTCCTTGGGTCTGCAAGGATTTGCGGCGGAGCGCAGGTGTGGGCAGATCGAATCGCCTGGCGCAGAAGGTGGTCGTCTCAAACAGGGCGCGGGCCACACAGGCCCAGAAACCCTTCCCGGCGGCGCTGCTGCTGGCCCGCTCGCACATGGGTTTAGGTTCCTGTGGCTGTTGGCCGCTGGCCAGTCCCCAGTCTAAGGCAGGAATGTCGGGGAGGAGCTGCCCCCGTATATGTCAGGTGCTCCGCGCCAGGCACCGAACCCGAGTCCCGCTGGTAATTAGTAGCCTCATCAGCTGCGAGTTCCTTTCCCTGAAGATGTGTGACTTTACCATGAGCTGTTTTTGTATATGTATACCTATCCCGCCACTCCACTTGGTTCGGCTTTGACTTCCATAAATCCATGGATGGTAGTCAACATGTCCCAGCCCTTCGCGCCTGCCCACCTCGAGGGACGAAGGAATGCCATTGCCTTGCCGTTGAAATGATGACGGTAGCTCCTTTCTGCCCCGTATCTTACTAGTACGAGGTTAAGTTATTTATCGGGCAACCAGAAAAACCTTGTTGGCTTGCGAAGCTGCAGCCTCCCGGCTCGAAAGGTCTTTTTGTCTTTTCCCCAGCCTACTTAGGACAGTGGAGGTGGAAGTCATGGGGTGTTGGCTTCTCCGAGACCTTCCTTCCCTTTCCCCTTTCCACCGCACCCCAGTGGAGTTGTGGAACATTGCATCATGTCGCCGCTGGTGTTGTTTGTTTGAGACAAGGAAATTGTCTATCTATCCTTTCCTCCCCCCCTACTCTCACACGCCTGCCAGGGAGGCTAGAACAAACTGTAGACGGGTACGAGGTAGGTACGTTTATTTCTGTGCAGGAAACCAAATGTTTGACACAACAGCCGACCGGCCGGCCGGCCGACGGTCTCGATTTTGCAGATGATGGCCGTCGGGTCTGCCCAACGCGACGGGTCCGACAACAGAGACGAGGCGCAGGCGGCTGTAACAAGGTGGCGGCCTAGTTTGGTCTTGTCCCCTGGGCGGAACCGAGGGGAAAAGGCCCGGCCAAGACTAACAGCGGCGCGGATCGGTTGACAAGTCGTCCGCGCCGCCCAAGTGTGCGGCTTGCCGTTCCGGGGTAATTATGTTTCACCCTTGCGTATGACGTGTGCGTTTGTACCACAGGGCACGAAGTAGCACATTCCAAAATACGGACTTGAAGAAGGGGGGGTGTGAGTTTGTCGCTTTCTGTGTTTGTTGTGCGCGGACTCACCCCTGTGAGGCCGAAGAAAAGGGGCGGTCCCAAGGAAGAAAGAAGAAAAACAACCCGGATTGCACCGCTTCTCTCACTCAAGCTTTATTACCAACAGTGTGTGTACGCTCTAATTAGGTATGTTTCCAGCACCCCCCCCCCCCCCCCCAAACGCTGAGCCCCTTTGCTTTTCGATAACTTAGCCTTTCCCACCAGACATGCATGCAAGTGGAGGTGGCATCCGCCCTCGCCGCCACCGCCGCCCACGCCGCCGCCAGGCTGACGACTGGGGCGCAAGGACCTGACTGGCAGAGTTTTGCGCATCGTCACACAGGAGGAGGCAAGGACTGCGGCAGATATGCCTCCTCGGCCAGGCTGAGAGTATAAATATATGCATGGCAGATATGTCCAGTTGCGTTGTCGAGAGCCATCATGCCAGTCATTATCTACCTTGATAGCTTCCTCCCTTGGTGTCCGCAGTAGTTACAATGAGGTGATTACCGTCCATGGAAACTTTGTCTCGACAGCCAACAGAGCGTTCTTCCCGCAGCTGCTCAAACCTACGAGAAGCCACGGCGCCGAGCAGAAAAGCCGAAGTTAATCCTAGATGCTGGTACCCACCGCTCAGTACCTGCTCTTCGGTTCCGCACCATATCTAACGGCGGTCTTGCTCGAGGCTTCCCAAAACATGCTCAGGCCACTTAACCCCAGGCATCCGTTGAGATTGTGACGTCGGCTGTTGACTTGCACATGCCGGGACGGGCCGAGCTGGTTTGCCGTGACTAGCCGCTAGACTCTAGAGTAAATGAAGAGATTCGAGAGCTGCGCATCCGAACTGCTGGTCTCTTGTCAGTGGAAATGCAAGAGACAAGAGAACGCCGAAACGAGAACGTCTCTCTGACTTAACCCAGCGACCTGCCGTCGTCTCGGTCAAGGAGAAGTCTTCTGAGCCGTCATCCCTCTTGCGCCTCTGACGGGCAAGAGAGCAATGTCAAGAGTGTTTCGGCAACCTTCGTCTCTCCATCGAAGAGTGTGATGCCCTCCATTTTAGTGAGCGATCGTTTAGTTTGGGCTGGCGGAGGGTGTCACCGGTAGAAGCATATAGCGTCGGCGAACAGTGTCGAGATGGCTCGCCAGATAAAAGAAGGTAAACATCGCACGAGAGTGCCCAAGTTATACATGGACAATGTCATGGAACCAATTCTAGATCAGTCTGGTCAAAATGAGCCCTCTGCGGCTGTAGCACCCCCTCTCCAAAGGTGAACTTACCCCCTATACTTAGACCAACCCTCTTTATTGCCTGCATCACCGTCAACGTCGAGACGCGGCAGTCAACTAGGTAACATGAGGAAACCAACAGCGGAGGCCGCAGAGAAGCTTTACGCAGCTCGACCCCGTTCCCCTTGCCTTTCACGACGGCCCGGCCGCGGCAGCCGAGTGTGCTCTAGGCACTAGCCGGGGGAAACAAGGATTGGTATCTCTGTTGAAGCCCTTGCAGCATTTAACAATGGCGACGATCGCCCCCTTGGGCCATAGTCCCGCAGATCTCTGTCGCTGTCTAACGCCAAACAGGAAAGTGACCAGAGCCCGCGACATGCCCAGACATGCTATGGACAAGACCACACGCCCAAATCGCTCCCCACGTCTGACATGCCCCGGTGTGTATCAGCGTCGTGGTAGGTGTATACCAGCGGGCGGCCTCGAATGGGTAGATGGAGGTTTCCTTCTCTCCAGAGCAAATACATAGCCCAGTCAGTGCTTTCGACGGGGGGCCAGCCGACACCTGACAGGTGGTCAGGGTGGGCTGCCAAGTGGCTAGCAGTCCTGCCACAGGGCCGTTGCGAGTTTGGAAAGGCGTCGAGTCAGCAATATAACCTAGGCATGGTAATTACGCGTATGTCGCTGGGGAATTCCTTACGCAGATAAGGCAGTAGTAACTCAATAACCCCGATATTTACCCGACCACAGTATCCCCCAGTTCTTATTCGAATAGGTCGCTGAACTCAGCTAATCACCGATCGACCAAGGTCCGATGTAAATCCGGCATGGCATATTAAACGAAAGGACGTAAAAGAAGAAGTCAGTCTTACTCAGCTTAGACTGAACAGTCCAATCCCCGAATAACCACCAAGGTAGGTAGATACCTTACGTAGCGGTACTTGAGGAATAATAACGATCATTGGCAATAAATGGCCGAGCAAAAACTTCTACGACGTAATTACCTAGTAATAGTCCAAGCAAAGAGATTGGTCCCTTCCCTTTGGATACAAACCACGAGGCATAAGTATTTTTCACAATAGTAGAGTCATTGGTAGACTAAAATCATATCGTGTAATATTCGAGTGGAAGACCAGCTCCCACCCCTAGACTTTGGTTCTAAGCTTTGAAAAAAAAAGAAAAAGAGAAGTAACCGACATCAAGTCGCCTGTTTCCCGGTAGAAGTAGTAGGCAATAATAGGCATGCCCTGCATTCCTCAACCAGTCTTCTCTTCTTGTCAGAGCCTTGTTGCACCTACTTACTTACCTCCCTTCTTCTTCTTCGCAGCCTCGACGGCAGCCAATTCAGCGACCCTGTCGGGCTCTTTCTTCGCTGCCTTCTTCGCTTTCTTAGCTTTTCCCTTTGCCCGCCTTGCTTGCAGGGCCGCCTCGTTCTCGGGGTTCCTGAGGACCTCGGTAGCGACACTGTTGCCCTGCACGTAGTGCATCGTGTAGAACTTGCTCTCCCCCCGCAGACTGGCGGTCGAAAGGCGGATTGTAGTGTGGGGTGGTTTAACCGTGCTCGTTGAGGCCGCGCTGCTCGAGGCGCCGGCGGCGCTGGTTGAGGCGGCTGTCACGGTGGTGCCGCCGCCGTGCGGGCCATTCCTAGATGTAGGTTGGCGGTTAGGGTGTCCAACGCGAAATTATCACCACAAACACGGACTGCACTTTTTCTTCTTTTACTGCATGAAAAGTGGGATGAGGCAAGTTTGAACTGTTCACTCACATAACCTCGGCCTAGTCAAAGGTCATCGGCCCGAGACTTCCCCACTGGCCTCCTGCACTTTGTGATTGGTGGACGTTCCAGGTATGAGTGCTGGATTGTTTGAAGTAGTCCTCTACAAGGTGTTGGTTCTGGTTCTTCTAGGTCTGGTCGCAGGAGGCATTCTATATAACGTTAAAAGGCATGTCGACGGTGTTTGGCCTTGAATTCCTGTGCTACTAGTCGAGTTGGACGAGAAACAGAAAATGGTGGAGATGGAGAGTTGAGGATGCTTGATTCTGGATGCTGAATACCAGACCAAAGCCCACAATGCAAGGCCGACGGTTTGGCCGTGATGATATTGCAGCTGTCCATATAGCTACTGAAATCACCATGGGCGTGGAAACATGTCAGCCGGCCCCAACGGCATCCACAAGAGAGAGACCTTGGCTGACATGAAGATGGTGTTGGCATAGCCTCTAAGCTTAGATGAGTCCGTCTTGCTCACTCAAAAGGACATGCTTGTTTCCAACAGAGGCCTGTCTCGAGGCTGTGACAGGCCAGCTGGCTCTGTTTTTACTAGCTCCCTAGACTTTGTGCCGCCATTGCCCCTTGCAATCAAGGCCGTCTAAGTTTCAATCATAATCATGTGAGAGACAGACGGCCGCTCAGCATTGTGCCTCGCTCGATACAGTGAGATTTAAACTGGGCCTACGGTGGTTGTTATTGAATCGGTTGGAGCTAGAGCTGGAGCATCTCAGGTGTCTATTTTCAGATCTTTTCAGAGCCCACTGTTCGTGCTCCAGATGTTGGCGCATTGTGCCGTCAGCGAGGGATATATAACCGGGGCTAGGGATGATGATTACTGGTTGATCAAGGCGGAGCATGCTATTTCCAGGTCCAAGTGGTCCAGGTATCGGGCACACTATCTCGGAATGGCTAACTGACCGACTAGGTAACTAGCTTCGCAACAAAAGTCGAGTTGTTTTGGACTACGCCGTCGGCGGGCGCAAAGAGTCAGTGACGCAATAAGGAAACAGGCTGCCTCGGATTCATAAGGGGCGTTGGGAGTGAACAAGGTCAGCTTACACCGCTGGCCGTGCGCACTCACAGGATTGGGTTTCAATTAGTTCGAGGCACAACTGTTCTTCAAACGAGTCTCACGTCTACCTAACTGGCCGAATCAAGGCGGGTATCTTAATATGGACCAGCCACCTTGGGTAAGGTATTTGGTGCAGTATATGGTAAATATACCTACCTACCTACATACCTTACCTTACCTACGGGGTACCACCTTGGACTCAGTGTTCACCAATGGAAAGTGCCTCAACCAGGAAGTCCCTCACACTTCAATTAATCTGCCCAAAATGGGCGACCTCGCGGAACTCTCAGCATCAATGCCCGTGGGACACTTCTGCATATAAGGAAGTAACCATTTCCATACCTATCCAGGCCATGACAGCCTCGTTGCATTCCCCATTCCCCATTCCCCTTCCATAGATGTCAATTGAATCGGAGCGCCGCCATCATCATCACCATCCAGCGAGCGAAGGTAAGACGACAGACGCGGCAAAACCAGCAAGCGCTCAAACAAACAACAATACCTAAGCAGCCACAAAGCACACAACATCAAGCAACGGCCCCAACAACATCGCGTACGCGCATTCGCTTTACAAGCCGGACAGGTCGTCGAATAACCTCCTCCACAAAGAGGAAGACCTGGCGAGATACTACAAGGGTGACCATCATCCTGTCAACATCGGCGACGTGTTCGAGGGAGAACATGGCCGCTACAAGGTGGTCCGGAAACTAGGCAGAGGAGGCTTCTCCCTCGTCTGGCTTGTATTCAAGGTGATGATGGGGGGACAAACACGTTATGAATGGTTTTCCCTCAAGACCGTAGTTGCTGCCTCCGCGACGGGCCCCTCCAGAGAACTCGAAATGTTGGACATGCTCAAGGACACACCAGGCATTGTCAATACCGTCGAGACATTTACCTACAAAAGTAGTAATGGGATCCATATCTGCATCGTGCAAGAACTCCTAGGGCCCTCGATTGCCCGCGCTCTCGCGAGGAATCCCCCGTTTGACCCATATCTGCGGCTGGAACCCACGACGACACTGCGCATGGCAAAAGAGCTTCTAACTATGCTCGTAGGCCTGCATGCCAGGGAAATAGTGCACGGCGGTAAGGGCTTCTTTCGAGCCACAGACTGACTGCACTCTCGCACTGGAGGCTGACTCGAACATGGAATGAGACAGACATCAGTGCTGGCAACGTCGCCCTCACCGTCAAGGAGCTGCAAGGCCTGAATGAAACCCGGGTCAACCAGTTTCTGGGAGAGCCGTACTTCTGGCCTCTGGAACGCGTGGACGGAAAACCCCTTGGCGCCGGCCTGCCCAAACACACCGTGAAGAAGGTCCGGTGGGAAATCTGGGAAAGCGAACATACCGAACGCAACCACCTTCGCCTCCTCGACTTTGGCGAGTCCTTCTTCGAAGCCAGACCTCCCCGAGAGATTGGCGAGCCCCGTCAATTGAAGGTCCCAGAGACTATCTTCAAAACTGACAGACCGCTCGACCACAGACTTGACCTGTGGCGCGCAGGCTGCGTAGTATTTTACCCCTCGAAGCCTGCACACCTAGGGAGCAAGGGAGAAACAAGGGGAACAGACAGCTGATTGATGGGTATTAGATATACTTCATGGTGTTCGGCCGCTATTCGTTCACGGAAACCACTCCTGATGCTGCCCTCGTGCACCAGATGATTCACTTTGTCGAGGACCTGCCCAGCCAGTGGCAGCCGCAGTGGGAGAAACTGAAGAGGCAAGACCCAAGCGGATATTCCAGCGGTGAGCAGAAAAAAGCAATCCCCTTCAAAGTGACCCGTCCCACCTCTGGGCTCTCTATCTCAAGTACCTTAAGTTGTCTCAAAGGGACCACGACTGCTAACAACGCGATTCATAACCTCAGCCGACGTCAAGCCCAGGAGGTCAAAGCTGGCCGAACAGTTTCTCACCGTCTTTGCTAGCCCGTCCGAGGATGATGACGAGGATGAGTGGAGCGACTATTGCAGGCTGAAGAAGCTGCAGCCCGTGATTGAAGGGCTGGTTCGCTTCCGCCCGGCCGACCGCATCGGGGCCCAGGTTGCCCTGAACATGGTCAATCGGATTATTTCCGATGCCTACTAACGATAGGTCGTGTCCGTCCGTATGACGGCGTGGGGTTAAAGTTGCAGAAAACTGCCGCGGACAACTAAACGGCTGGACTGTTATTGTAAAATACACTGGATCCCGCTTTCTTCTTGATCATCGAATCCTCATTGTAGGCTTAAGGGTTGGCATGGTGAAGAAAGGGAGAACAATAATCGAGGCTAAATCGAGACCCAATCGAGACCCAATCGAGGCCCAACGAGTGTGCTGCAATATTACGTTTACTGAGAAATACCACTTGCAATGCGCTTACAAAACGGCATCCTCTCAAGCCATCTGCCTACTCACTTTCTAGCGACTTTACTTTGGCTGTCCACTGTCAGTATCTATTTGCCGAGTTTTCAGGGGCGTCACACAAAAGACAAAACATGTATGCAATTTCAGTGAACAAGGACAGAAAGACAGAAAGATCGGCCAAGGGACAAGGCGAGAAGTCCATCAGCCTCAACCTCGACACACCATTCGGACCAAATCCAAACAAACACACAGGTAGGTAGGTATGATTCATCAAAGCATAAAAAAGGACAGCCATCGTGCCAACTGAAACCCAGGACAAACCCCCATTCATCAAAAAATACGCTTAAACGCCTTGATATCCCACGAACCACGATTGCTCAAGCACAAAGCCAACCCCCAAGGCCAATCATGCGCAGGGAGACCGAGAGAGCGCAAGCACGCAAGAAATCCAGAGCAGAGCAAAAAAAAAACAAAGAGAGATTCCCGATTCCTATAGAAGAATTAACGTCCACACACACACCCACACAGACAGACACACACACCTAGTATACAACTTTAAAAGAGTCCAGGCCACTCACTCCCCTGCTCCGTCCCTCCGTTTTGGAACTCCTAGTAAACCCCCTCCCCAGCTCCTCCTAACACGAATCTGAACCTTTGACATGTCCGTATCATGCCCATGCCCATGCGGGCGCCGCGGCGCGCATGTAGTTTCCTCAACATCCCAAAAAAGGACCAGAACAAAAACAACCGTCTTTGTAAAAAACTCCAACTCCGGAACCTGCTAGACTACCAACTTTGAGACAAAGGGGGGGAGGGGCGAGGGCGACCTGAGGGGGAAGGGGGTTAAATATTCATTATATATTGTAAAAAAAAAAAAGGCAGTGCCTGCCCAAGGAGTAAAAAGATTGGGGGGTGAATAGTACCAGAAGAAGCACATGGGACAAAAAACAAGACACAATAACACATATCAGTCGTCCCCGTTATTTTTTAAATTCATTTCAATCAAGCACTGCCCCTATCGCCGTCGCCGTCCGGGTTATAGCTCGTCTCCCCCAGGAGCCCGCCGGCTTGGCTAGTCGTCATGGCGCTCTGGGTGCCAACGTGGGGTTGGGTCTGGACGGTGGGGCCCGAGGCCGAGGGCGGCGGGGGTTGTGGGATGGACGGGGGCGGCGGGGCGCTCTGGGCGCGGGACGCGGAGCTGGCCGTGGCGGCGTGCAGGCGCTGGTCGAGGGCCTTGAGGGCGAGGGCTCTCCTCCGCTCGGCCTCGGCGCGGGCGCTGCCGGGGACGCCGCGCGGCACGAAGCTGCTGCTGCTGGTCTCGCCGCGGGCGGCCGAGATGTCGGCGGCGCTGAAGGGCGCGCACAGGCGCATGGCCACCAGCACGCCAAAGACCTGCGCCGACAGGCTCTCGACGAAGGGGCGGACGGGACCGGGGAAGAACTCGGCAAAGGCGAACGTGTCGCTGGCGTCGCCGCGGAGGGAGCTCGACTGCGACGTGTCGAGATCGGGGAACACGGGCTTGTAGAAGCGGAGGTAGGTCCAGCTCGTCAGGAGGCCGTAGACGGACAGGAAGAAGGAGGCGCTCGTCAGCATGGGCGAGAGGCACAGCAGCGTCACGAGGCCGATGTAGACCAGCGGGAAGCGCGGCACGCGCATCGAGAGGATGCCGCGGAAGAGGGTGACGGTGTGTGCGGGGACGAGCTGGCTGAAGGCGACGAGGAACGAGATCTGTAGCGGGATGGTGCCGGCAATCGTCATCAATCTAAAGCAAGCAAGGGGCGCCCAAGGTTAGCGGACAGGAATCTCTATCTCCCCAAGAGGGGTGCTGCTGCTGCCAAGGACACAACGGGGGTACACAACATACGTCCAGCGCTCGTTGCGTGTAAAGGCGAAGAAGATGATCATGGTGCCGAAGCAGAGCGTGTTGGGGATGAGGGCGGCGATGAGCAGAAACTTGGCAAACTCCCTCGACGACCAGGCCCGCTCTAGATAGCGGCCGCCATGGTAGAGGGTCAGATAGGCGATGGTGAGGGTGAAGACGTTGCTCTCGACCAGCGTCGTCGTCAGGAAGGTCCAGGGATAGACGAGCGAGAGCTGAGGGACGAGGTTGAGGTAGGGGAGGACGACTTCCGTGTGTGCCGACCACTGGCGATACCTGATGGCCGCGCTCAGCACCGACTGGAGCGTCAGCACCACAAGCAGGATGCGCGTCACCGGCGGTATGTTTATTCGGGGCGGCATGGTGGGCGGTCGGAAATCGGGAAATGGACTGCGGCGGGTGTTGCAGTGCGGTGCGGTCCGGTCGGGGCCTGCTTGAAACTTTTTTGGAGAGCTCGTGTGTCGGGAGTCGGAAGTCGGGTGTCGCGCCTGGCTCGCATCCGTCCCAGTGGCTTCCTTCAGGTCTGCTGGCGGGTCCCACGATGCGATGTGCCCAGGCGTGCCAAGGCGTGCGGCAGGATTGTCAGCCCGAAGTTTTCCCCTGAGCCCGGCCAGATAAGGAGCTTATCGAATGTGACAGGGTGAAGGAAATTCAATGTTGCTGCCTCAGGCTGCAAGGCACAAATAAGCTTGTTTGATCGAGAATGGTTCGCAGAAATTATAAGGCTGGTCCGTGCTTCGTTTCCTGCGGGCTGACGGGAGGCAAGCACAAAGCCCGACCCGCCTCCGGTCCAACCGCTGGGGACCGATGGTGTCAGGCAGGGGCACGGCCTTCTCCCGCCTTGGAATTTGTCCCCAACGCCCCTGGTCTTGTGTCTTGTATTTGGACATACAGCACCGAAATCTAGCAGGCACCCGAAGAAAGCAGATGGACGGATCACCTCATCCTCTGGCCGATGTAAATAGGTAATCGAAGCTCACCTGTCACCAAGCTTGGCCATGGCCGAGTGAAGGTGAAGGTGGAACCCCAAAAGGAGAGTGCTCCCCGAGTCAAGAATCGAAAGCTACACTAGCCGAGCTTTGAAGGGTCCGAGACGGAGACCTAGCAGACTGCACACCCCTGCCTGCCTTTTCTGCCCCAGCCCCGGACACGTGTAAAAGTTTGTCAACCATTTGTTCGATCCTCCTTCCAGAAATCAGCCCAGGTCCACAAAAAGCCGTGCACCAAACACCGAGAAAAAGCTGCCTGCTCATGCCAAACACTCGCATTTTTCTCTCGAGAATATCGTGAGAGGCCTGCTGTGAACCCTCGTATGCCTCTCTTGGAGGAATACTGAGTACGGGCATTGTAGTGGCTGTGAAGACAAATGGAGAAAAAGGCACTGCGGGAGCCTCCACCGAGCCACCCCGGGCCGCCCGCACCTCCTGTAGTGTGCTGATCTTGCGCCACCTCACCTCTGCCCAGACCGCCAACGGTCCCCTGACATGACACAACGCGGAGAAGCAACTAGGCCTCATCAAAGGGCTAGCCCGCTGTCACTTTCTTTCACCTCAGGATGCAATGCCCCAAGCCCTGCTAACAACACCCAGTTTCAATCCAATCCGTCCGTCCAGCCATGTTGGTATATTCCGTACGGATACTGCGTGCTACATGGAACGACCCGTCTCAAAGCCTATTGTGGTCGAGCCGAGGGAACGGCGGCACGCCGTTGCTTCTCTCACAGTCCCGTCCGACACGTTTGTGCATCGCTGATGCAGCCTTTTTTCCTCCGCGGCAAGCAATGGGACCCCACGCGGGATCCATCAACGGTCGAATGCTGCTGTTGTCCTCCCCCTCCCCATTCCATCACCCCCCGCTTGTTGAATGTCCGCCTGCCTTTCTGCAACCTACCTACCTTACCTACCTTAGGCACACTCCGGGATCTGTAGGAAGTCGTCCCGTATTCCAACCATGCCATGCAATGCTAGGCCGGCCTTAAAAGATCGAGTCTGCAAAAGCTTAGCGAAAGCAAACCCGGCACCCTTACTGATGACTGATGACGTGCGTGCGTGCGACGGTGCAATGATATGTACCAATGGTGTGTCCTCGACCTGCACGTTGAAGCGCGGGCCTGTCCTGTCCTGTCCTGTCCTGCGTTGTCAAAAGACTGGCTGGCTGGTGGTCCATTACTTATCGCCCATCTGGTACGGTATTGGTAGCACAGTGCAAATTATATATATTGCCCCAAAGATAGGAACTTAATGTGCGGCGATGTGGCCGTTCGCCCGCATCCTGTTTCCCAGCGGGGTCGGTGGTTCCAAGCCTGCCCGGCTGGCCGTGACATGCGAGGTACGTATACTCGGTTCCACCACATAGGCATTGCCTCCTCGCCACTGTCGGCATCGACCGTCTTGCAGTCTTGAAATACATTCATGAGAATGCATCTTCTTTCACTCTAAGCAGTTTCTGTAGCTGTTGCTCCATATCTCAGTGTGAGAAAATAGGGGGACAAGAGGCGGGTCACGATGAGCATCTCGCACCAATCGAGAAATGTGGAGTGCCGCGGCGGGGGGACGGCTTGTTCTTGTATACCCCTGAAACCCAAATCCATCCAAATCGCCCCCCCGAATGGCCATGTCAAACCTGCGTCCAATCACCGACGCTCGTCCGAGAGATCGAAGACCCCAGTCCCATGGCACCCCGGCTCGCAAGCCTGGCTGACGAGCAACCCTTCCCGCGCCCCGTCTGATTGGCCGTCAGAACTCGGAGGGTAATGATCTGAAAATGGAGGTGTGCGGTGTAGTGCGGTGCGGGTCGCGGGTTGCGTCTGGAAACGCCAGAGCAGATCACACAACCGCGTTTCTGTTCTCCCCGAATAAGGCATGTACGTAAGACGGTGGTGGGACGGTACGGTTCTGGACGTTCGGATTGCACGTCCAGTCCCTCACTTACCTACCCCCTTCCATCTCCAAATCCCCAAATCAGTTCCCCCTTCAGGGATCCTGCAACAAGCCCTCCTGGGCGACCTGAGGGCCCTACTGTCGCTCGATGATGCGTTTGCCTTTTTGGTTGAACCATATCCGTAGCACCACATCTATATCCGGATTGCCGCTGTGCTGACACCGTTGACCGAGTTCAACTGACGTATGCTCTAGTACTGGCGCTTGTATCGCGATCGAAGTGCTAGACCAACCTAAAGTCTTTTCATCTGTCTCCGGGAAATATCACACCTCAAGGGTCTTTGAAGTGCGAGTTTTTTTTTTACCTCTTTTTCTTGTGCCACTGCCACTGCCGCGGCCCCGGGGCGTTTGCAGAGTTGCACCCCCCGTTGCAGAACCGAAAAGCCCAGATTGTGTGCATCTCAGCGGCGCCTTCCTGACACATCCCGTCAACATCCCATGCGTTTTCGACGCCGCCAGCCTACCTACCTAAAACTACGACACTAGTGGAATGGAGCAGGAACGTGGGAAAAGGGAGCGAGCGACGGGATTTGGATTTAGCCCGCCCTACCTAAACCAAGAGGTGCCTCTCCTTGGGTAAAACAAAAAAAAGAATGGAATTCTTCAATATTGGTAGTAGTTGTACGGGTTGCAGCCTTTTGCAGCGAACCACTCTCGCTCTCTTCTTGTCTCGACTCTTTTCTTCCTGGGTCTCAGGAGGCAGTCCCATGTGCGCTCGCATGAATTGCAGATCCCCCCCGGTCTTTATAATTTGGCATCGGATTTACGCGTACAGTCGTAGTGGAAATTTTAGAGGGTGTGCAGGGGGGGGGGGGGGGGGGGGTGGTCTGGTGCCTTGGTTTTTCCTTTGCGCACCTAAGCAAACTATTCTAGATCATCAGTCACTTTTTAGGTTGACGTCCGACATAATGCAAGCAAGAGACGGAGCGGGACGTTTGACGATACGTAAGCGGTGGTGGGAATGATCTAGAGTAGTTGAATGTCAGTGGTTGGCTCTAGTACGGTACGGGGGGAAACGTGTGTACATACGTATCCGTACTACGGTGCTAATATGGGATGCCCAAGTTTGATATAAGGCATCGAGGTTCGACTCTACGGGCTGACCAAAAGTACATACCTTGCCTTGGCATAAGTTGCCTTTTCCTGGCCCAACCTAAAGTATGGATGCATTCCCCGCCGTCAAAAGACGGAATAGATCATCTTACACTGCCTGCTGTTCTAGACTAATGGCAAAGGAAGCTTCACTCCGATAAACATCTAATATTCGTGGACAGAGTGTCTTCCATTCCATCTTCCTCGGCCTAACTTGAAAGTTCGAAGAAATACTAAGGTAGTATACCGTCTGCCTGCAACATCTAGTTTCGCACATGTGCGTGCACTAGATCGGCAGCAACGAGACAACCTGCAGCAGCGAAGAAGCCGGTCATTTTTGGGAGGGGGTTAGATCCATAACGTGCATGTCAGGCAGTCTTGAAGCATCCAATGTTGTTCCCGAAGAAATAAATCCCTAGCTGGGCCTGGGAACCCGACGCTCGGCTGCTCGTGCCGTCAGTCATATGACGGGGAGGAACCTGAGCGTTGGAGCGCTGTGCTGTGATTGAGGCAAAAAAGGTACATCCCAGATTCGTTACTCTCAAGCCCTGAAGAACAGTGTACTTGGTCGATTGGTGGGCGCTGTTTCGAATTAGAGGTACCGACAGGGGTACGTCTCCCCTCCAAGCCGGCCTTGTGGTGGCAGCCTCTTTTTCCCGCGCGTTTTGGGCGCTGCTGTTGGCTGCCGCGGCTGGCTCACAGTCATTCACCTTTGCTGCTGCTCCATGACATGGCGGGCGGGCTTGCAGTTGCTACTCCGGAGGCGTGCTGGGGTGTGCTTTCTCCAGCTTCGGGCTAGCGCCGTAGGTACCCAGGTACCTTAGCTTTTCCCTGTTTAGTCGCTCGCCTAAACACATGCACGCACGCACGCACGCACAGGGCCAGCACCCACTGGAGCATGCTAGGTTAGGCTGTTGCCCAGAGGCTGGTGGGTGTGGGGACACCTCGCTGGACCGAACCCGCCCTGGGCTGGACTTGACGGGGGTCTGGGTGGCGGGCGGGCAAGTGTGCACCAAATCTCAACCTTGCACTTTCGAGGTTCCTTTTCTTCATCCTTCAAACACCAAACCGAAAGCCAAAACCACCAAACTAAGGTGCTCTCGTTCGCAGGCCATCGCAGACGCGCCCGTAAAAAGATAGCAGCAGCAGCAGCACTGATCCCGCCGCGTCGCTCTCCATCTGCCGACTGCTGAGCATCGACCATGAAGGAACTGCTCGACACGGATCGAGTAAACTTTCTCGTCTGGAGGTTCGTTGTTTTGCCCGCCCTCCAACCACGGCCAAGATTTGAGATTTGAGGTACCTTTGGATTGCTAACCCGTCTGCCCTGCTTCTTGCTCTGCCTTCATTTCAGGTATCTACTCGAATCAAGTAAGTTTTTGTCACCCTTTTCCGGTCTTTAGTGCTGCCGTGTGTCCACGGCCGCCTGATTGTCCGTGTCGCTTCGCTTTTTGTGATGGGGTGGATTTCGAGACTGACTGACCGGCACGCTGCGCTGCTCCCGCCGTATTTCAGATTATCGAGAGACAGCCGCCCACCTTCAAAAAGAGTGGCGGATCCGCGCGCCTCATAGGCATTTTGATTTCGCGCCTCATGTCAGCAACTATGCACTAGTCGGTCTATTGCAGGAGGGCCTCATCTACGAGAGCTACCAAAGACAGTTCGCCGAACAGGTACGATAAGTTGCATCAATTCTACTTGCCCGCTTTTGCCTCATCTCATTTTTGCCCCGTCTCGTCGCTGCACCCGTCTGGGGCAGGGCAGGGTGGGACGGTGATGCGCTGGCTTTTCTGGGCAGCCGCAGTGCACCAGTGCAGTGCCGGGGTACTGACATTTTGGGTGCAGCAGGTGTCTCGTGGTGTGCCGGCAACGGCCGAGACTTCACGGGGGGTGTTTGGGCCGCTGAAATTCGAGCCCGCACACAAAGATGGAGAAGACGACATTGAAGAAGAGGACGACGAGTCAGATGCCGACGCTGATGCAGAGGCCGAGGCGGACCCAGAGCCAGAGCCGGAGGAGTTTGAGAACCCGCGAAAGCGCCCAGTTGATAGGCAGCATCACGCATTGCCCAATGCGTCCCCTGCTAAGCGGCAGAGACTGAGCAACGGTCATGAAAACGGGGCCGATTCAGCTACCCCAATGGACATTGACAACAACCACGCCTATCCGTCACCGCTGGAAGGCGAGCAAGCCGCATCGCCGCTGCCGCACACAGAGGGCCCCGACCAGGGCACGCAAGTCGACAAGGTGCACGAGCTCACGCAGGAAACCGTGTTTTTGCGCCTGGGCGTCGACGAGGCTTCTGAAGCGTCGCCCGCCCGAGCTAGCGAAAACCCTCTTGTACTGCTCTGCGAGTGGAACCCCCAAGACCCATCCATCTTGGCGGCTGCCGGCACCGATGCGCTAGCCCGCGTTTGGACTATCGATGCGCGTGGAGCCGCCCTAGAGTCGTCGGATAGAGAGGGCATGCTCGGTCACGTGAGCGACGCTGGTGTCAGCCGCCCCTTCATGAACCTGGTCGAGCCCGATGTACCCAAGAACGCAACCGTGTCCGCCATGGCCTGGAACTGGAGCGGCGACGCCATTGCAATGTCGATCGATATCGGCAGCAAGGCGCGCATCACTATCTGGGGACGTGATGGTACCAACTCACACCGTTTCGAGGGCCTCGAGTCGCCCGTCATCAAGCTGCGCTGGAATCCCAACAACGACCTCATCCTCGGCATCAGCCCCGAGAAAAGCAGCAGTCTGATCACGATATTCTCCGCCTCGACTGGCAACTCCATCTCGCATCTCGTTGAAGCTCACAACCTAGACGCCGATGCGCTTGATGCGACCTGGATCAGCGATACGGACTTCATCCTCTGCGGAGGCGATACTCTGATTAGCCTCCGCCATGTCCAGGGGCAGGGTATTACGCCTGGCAGGGCTTTCGCCACGGGGAGCGAAGAGGCCTTTAGCCATGTACAGTTTGACTGGCGTGGTGGGCTGATCGCCACGGCCAGTGACAAGGGTCACATTGACGTAAGTATTCCGCCTCATGATTGCAGAGCGAGCGTGGTCCTGATAGCATTCTACAGATTTGGAATGAGGCCGGCCAACGCCGCTCCATTTCCGCACACATTGGTGTGATTACTACTCTGCAGTGGCAACCACTGCAATCAGACGCTCCTGACAATGAGAGGCTGCTGGCTTCGGGCGGAGAAGACGGCGCCATATGCATCTGGAACGTGCACAGTTCGGACAACCGACCTAAGTATTCCATGACCATGACGCATTCGGTGCTCGCCCTCTCAATGACTCCTGATGGAGCTTTTATTGCTGGGGCAACGAGCGATAGGGTATTGATTTGGAAGGTAGGCGATCACGCCATGCCCAGAGCTAGCTGGACTAGGGTCCCACATCCCGGCTGGCAGAGCCCAAAGGTTCCCCCCGAGTCAGATGAGGAGTTCACGCCGTGTCTGGGATGGGATTCCGAGGGAAAGAAGCTCGTCTACGGCGCCAACAGCCGTGTAAGTTTACATCCTTCTATTTTCCGGTTCCCTATCGCTGACGCTATGTAGCTTGCTGTCATCAATTTTCGCTAGGTACGGAAAGCACTGCAAACCGATAGTAGCGGTCTTTCCCCCGGAATTCATCATCCCCGCCTGTCAGGATAGGGTCCTGTCCGCGGCGGGAACTATCGTTCAGTCTCTCGTGGAGGGCCAGGAACGTTCAATGATGCTCGACTTGGAACTCGACTGTCACGCCCGGCCGAATTAAGACGTGGAATTGCCAGACGGATTTTAGGGCGAAGCCATCGTTTACAGTCTGTGGTTCTCCAGCAGCCACCAGAGCCCGCCAATCCGTTCCTTTGCACAGAGGGCAACTCTAGGGAGGCGTCTGCAAGACGAGAAAATAGTCCTGGGCTTCTGCCAGTCCCACATCACAATCCTAACGCCATCCAGCCACCGGAGCCTGTTAACCCTTCCATTGGTAGACTGGAGAACTTTTTCAGGGAAACGGCGGCAAGGCGACGAAAGAGCTCCGAATCCTCCACAGTCCCATTGAGTCGTGGAAATGCCACACCAGCTGTTGGATCAGGCTCACGTCTCAACCCCCGTGTTCCAGAGCAGCCATCAGAGTCTGTCAAACCGTCCATCCGCGGCTGGGGCGACTTCTTCAAGGAGGCCGCAAGACGAAAAACTCTTTTGGGGCCCCCCACCCCTGACGCCTCCGATCCAGTCCCTGCCCCTATCGCCTCCGATCTAGCACCAAAGCCGGCGGGCCTATCTGATATGTCTGGACTTGGGAAGTATCTCTAAAGCAGCCTCTGAGCTATAGAAATCAGATCCGGCAGCTTAGAGAGGTGCGCCGACCTGCCTAACACCGCAAGTCATGTTCGCGGCAACTCGACGAAGCGGAGGCTACACTACTACGGCGGCTAGAATACGCGGCCAATGTGTGAGGATTAGCGATATTGGATATCGCTGATTAGCTCTGTTAGGGCATTGTTTGTTTGTATATGTAAGGTAATTAGCTATGTCTTCTCACGGCAGCGTGCTTGATTATTCAACGGCCTATCTGCCTATCTTGTTACGTTTATTGAGCGTGAACTCTCGCAGCCCAGAGAAAGTGTTTTAACATTTACCATCTGCTCTACCTTGTACTACTTCTATACAATAGAAGACAGGTATATACGGTAGTCCCAGTTCGCCCGATTATATGCTTTTACCAAGCCAAAAGCTAAAAACCACAGGTAGTCACTTAGCAGCTATTACCAACACCGTAATTTCACCAGGGCGGAGCTGTTACGGCTATCAGGTAAATTGCAGGATCGTCACATGATACTGCTACCAAACTATTCGCCTGTGTTGAAAGGATGAATGAAAGGAGACTCGCAAGTGCATGGCCGAGATTTGTTGCCGTATGCCCTGTCGCCCAGGCCCGTGTTGAGTCCAGCCCAGCGCGTGCTCTATTTGGCGAGATGGTCCCAACGCCCATCGGCTGTCTGCCATGCACGTTAAAAGACGAGAGCCATCGACTTCTTACTATATCGGTGGCTGGCTGGTAGGGGTTATAAAAAGATAGCCTGACTTCGTCAATACGATTCGCCGAACTCCAAATTGTGGAAATCACTATTTTTCACTTCATGTGGTACTGCTGCTAGTCTCTATGCCATTTATGCTACTTTTATTTTTCATTTTTCCTCTCAGAAAAAAAGTTAATTAATAATTAATTATATCCAGGATACGGAATATGCATTGAAGACGCTTGAGCAAGCATGCATGCTTTGCAAGCCACAAAATATATGAACAAGAGAAAAACAAAACAAAAACGCCGCTGGCCAGGGTATTTATCCTCCCTCCCCTTTTCTTTTCTCTCTCTCTCGCATCTATGATAGCAGAATGTAGATACCGCAAGAAACTAAAATAAAAAGGCTTGCTTAGCTGACTGATGACGCCAGCCGTCAGTCTCCTTTTTCCCCCCTTATCATTCTCCTATCTGGTTGGTGTATACCAAGCATGCCTATGTGAGGGTATATGATCAGACAGCATTGCCAGGCTCATTCCTGCCGGCCTTCTTGGGGACCGCGGCGCTGTTCGCATCGCCTGCAGCAGCCTCCTTCTCGGCGGCCGCGTCAACGGCGCCGTCTGAAGTGTTGTGGGCCGTGTTGCTGTCTCGGTCGTTGGCGACGGCGGCCAGCGGATGGACGCCGGGGGGCGCGGTCGGCGCGAAGGCACTCTTGGCACGGATGCGGTGGCCGTACATGTAGAAGATGACGGGGATGGGGACGAGCACGACGGCCACGGCACCCAGCAGCGTTGACGCCCACTGGATGCCCAGGCCGTCGAACATGTATGTAGAGAAGAGAGGGAATCCGGCGCCCGCGAGGGAGCGCAGGAAGGTGTTGCCGGCGATGGCAGATGCGGCGCTGTTGTTACCGTGTGGGTTAGCATTTTATGCATGACAAGGGGGAGATTAAGTCTTGATGTGTGGGAGAGTAACGTACAACATGAGATAGGCATCGACCAGATAGTTGAGCGACTGGAGGAAGATGGACATGAGGCCGAAGCCCGACAGGATGCCTGACAGCGTGGGCACGATCCAGTGCACGTCGGCACGGTACCCAGACCACCCGAACCAGAACAGACCGGCTGCGAATGACACGCCGCCCGCAATGACGCTCGGTAATCTCCATTCGGGAATTGGGATGCCGTTGTTGGCCGCCAGCTTGCGCTGGTACCACGGCTGCTGAAGCAGGACACTAATGCCGGCAAGAATTTGACCGAGAATCATGCCGCTAGTTTTCTATGTTAGCAAATATGCTGATGTAACTACGTATGAGGAAAGAAACACATACAAAAAGGTAAGGCCCGACTGGCCGGCGTTGAAGTGATGCACGCCCTGGAAAACAAAGGGGTATGCCGTGAGGAAAAGGTACAGCAGGCCGTAGATGAAGGCCATGTAAATGGACAGCAGGGTGACGATGGGCTCAGTGAAGAGCAGCCGCATCGGGCGTGAGAAGTTCTTCGTGATGAGCTCGCGGAGGTCGACCTCAATCTCCTCCTGCTTGGCGTGAATGCCCCAGTTCAGGGTACGGCGGCGCAGCTCCGAGGCCTTGCTGACCAAGATGACGGGCGGGTACGTCTCCTCGAGGAAGATGACGTCGAGCACAAAGGCAACGGCGCCCATGATGGCGACAATGTACGAGGTCCAGCGCCAGCCTAGGTACGACTCGACGATGAAGCCGCCGACGAAGGGCGCGAGCAGCGGGCCGGTGAAGACGGCCATGGAGAAGAGCGTGATGGCGATACCCCGTGTCCGATTGTCAAACATGTCCGAGAAGACAGCGGCCACGACGGCCAAGGGGCAGGCGCCAAAGAAGCCGGCGAAGAAGCGGCCGATAAGGACCGTCTGCAGATCCTTGGCCACGGCCGTGGCGATGTTGAAGATGAAGAAGCCGAACATGGCGATGAGAAGCGGCAGGCGGCGGCCCCTCAGCTCCGATAGAGGAGCCCACAGCGTCGGGCCCGTGGCAAAACCGAGGACGTAGAAAGACACACCCAGCAGGGCCACCTCAGACGACACGCCAAAGGTAGCAGCAACGGCACGAGTGGCGGCCGAGAAGATGCTCGACCCAAAGGCAGCTGTCAAAGTAGTGTAACCCAGCACGCCAGCAGTAACGAGTCTAGAGAGACGTGTGTCAGTGTCTGTTCGACCAAGGGGCTAGAGAGAAAAACAGAGAGAAAAATAGGACACACTTCTTGTTCAAGGGCCAATTCTGGGCGTGCAACGGGTCGTCAGGGCCGTCGAACTCGACGACGTAGTCTTCGCGGTCCTGGAGCATGGGCGGGTAGGGCTTGCCGGCGCCGAAGGAGGGCAGCGGCTTCTTGGATTCTCTGCTCCTGGGGTCCCTGCCGACGGTGGCGCTGTGCTGGCTCCGCGCCGTGTGGATGCGGCTCAGCTCGGTGGGATGGCGCTCGAGGTCTCTCTGGGTGGAAACACGGCTCATGGCGCCGAGGCCGCTTGCCGCCGACGACGACAAGCCCCCGCGCCGTACCGCGCCCCCGGTCTCGGATGACGACGCTGTCGAGACCGACGATGCCGATATCACCCTCTCAATCTCCTCGCTTCGTCGTTGGGGGAACATGTGCGGCGAGGCATCGCGCTCGGCCGCCTCGAGCTCACGGTCGACTTCGTCGAGAGTCATGACGCCTGTTTCGGGGCCTGATCAGGCGGTGGGTGGAATTGCCCCCCTTTATCTTTCTTGGCCGTATTGCGTTGTGTGTACTAAAACAAAAAGTATATATATATATATATATATATATATATAAGGTATATATATGTAGGCAAGTTGCGTATATATCAACACACTTAGCACTACTAATATGGAAGTAGAGACGACGGATTGGAGAGAAAGGGGGGCGCTGTGGAGGGTTTAATAATAAAAAAGTAGTTGCTAGACAGGGAAGTCCGGCACAACAGTTTCGCGGGTCGGAAGTATTATATATGTGATCCAATGTGTGCAAGGCAAGACAAGGTAGCCCAAGCTGCGCTGCAGGAACCAGAAAGAAACGACCCAAGCGAAGGTGGGATAGGTCGATTTAGGGTTTCTCTGTTCCTCCTGTCTGCGGGGAGTGAGTAAGTGACGGACGGGTGATTGTGGTTGGGAAGGCGGGGACGGGAGAGGGGGGATTGGAGCTTCCAATTGAGGATGCAAACAAGGTAAAAGTATTTAACAGCTTGTTCCCGCTTCCCGGTACGTGTACAGATAGATGTTCGTCCCACGGAAAGCAGGCGAACGAAACAGAGAGAGGTGTGAAAACGTGGTAATCATGGAAATGAAATTTTCAATCCTTCGCAAGCTCGGGTCCATAGAGGCGAGGCGACCTTCGGATGTCGGCACTCGCGTTTTTCGATCTTTGATCCACGGGCCCGTAGCAAGCAGCTCTCGCCAGGATCTTCCTCGCCAAGCCCCGTCATATGTCATTAGATCCAGTTTTCTTTGCCCCTTCCTCCCCGCCTTTGTTTGGTGCATTGGATATGTGCGTATCCGTACTTCAATACATGTGAATTGTGAACACCTGAGTAAGGTGTTTTGGCATAAATCGGCCCTGCAGCTTCCTCACCTTGCATTGCATGCGCTGCTCTGTGGATTATCCACTCATCTGTTGACAGTATCCGTACTGATCAATATTTGGAGCTTTCTGTGAGGAGCTCCACTGCATCCTGTCAAGCCCGCGTATCTACCTCGGTAGCTTCCTTTCGCTTGCCTTAGTCAGATTGGTATAATGACGCACGGCAACGGTGCTGGGGGACTCGGGAGCAATAAATTCCCTTCAGCATGCCAATTGCAGTTATATCACCCTGAATGGTAAGACCTCGAGCATGCCGTTACTCAGCCCCTATGTGACACGGCACCGCGCTAGCTGTGCTGCTGTGCAAATATAGTGTAGTAATCGTAAGCCCCGTACAGTTATACGCCGAGGCCCACGATGTGTACTTCGTACTGAAATTACCGAATAGTATTCTGTATTCCGTAATAATTCCAGCCGGAGTACGAAATAGAAGCTTACGTCCGTTGTGCAAGAAAAGGGAGACATACCGAAACTTTCGCTACGGAATACCCGGGTTTAAAAGAGCCTTGGAGAGCTCACTCGGCTCTTCCCGCCGCTGACGCAGACGTGAGGCGGGCTTGGCGGGCTCGGGGCACCCGAGTTACCACGGCGCAGCACTATGTCGAGCGTCACCCTAAACCCCGTGTTGCGGCGAATTGAGGCAAAAGCACGGCGTTAAGATGAGTTGGGAGGCCGACCATCCATCGTCCCATCGCACTGCCGATCCTCCGACTACCGATGTCAAACGAAATCCTCTTTTTTTTTTTCCCGAGGCGCAGCCACTCCATGTCAAATTCAGATTAGACCAACAACAACAACATTGGAAAGCGGAGTTCCGCCAAGTTAGCGGCCGCTCCTTGATTTTCGACTTTGAACTAAATCCGGCTCGCATTGACGTTGGTCTGGAGTCTAGCTTGTGTCAAAGTGGGATTCTCCTTGCCATGTGGAAACCATGTGGAATTGTCTCATGGGCTGATCCTTGAAACTGCATCACAGCATTTCCGCCTCCGCCAGCTAGGCTGGGATCGCAATTGCTGTCCCGTTCGTATAAACCATATGCCGCGAATTTCCGTCCATAGCCGTCTCTTCTCCATAAGGCAAACAAGGTGAGCAGATACTCCATACTCAGTACCCAGGAACGCACCATAGTCAGTTGCCATGACTCAGTATTTCGTGGTGTACAATGGTGTACAAAGCTGTTGACACGCCATCTGTACGGAATGGCGAATTACGTATCCGCGGTTCGGTTACCAGAGCTAGCGCTGTAGCACATTGTGGCACGATATGAACCCCGGGTTACTTAGCCCGGCGGCCGGCGAACTCCCCAATTGTCGTCTTCCAGAAGCCTCGCCGCAGCTTCTAGAGTCAGCCCTGTGGTCTCGGGATAGAAACCCCAGATCAAGCCGTACCCAGCAACGCAGATCGCGGCATAGAGCACAAACGTCCACGACGGAGTGAGGGCGTCCATCAGGAGCAGAAACGTCAGCCCAATGACAAAGTTGGCGCCCCAGTTGGTCGCCGTCGCTATGCCGCTCCCCAACGACCGCACATTGAGGGCGAACAGCTCGCTCTGCATCCACGGCACATTACCGAGGCCGATGGCGTATCCGGCGACGTACGTCATGATGCTGACCAAGATCAGTATCGCCGCGCCTTGCGCTGGTCGGGTTGCTCCCAGCATGCCGGACTCTAGTTCGGCCGATAGCGTGATGAAGGAGAAGCCATATGCCGCAAAAAGCAAACCTGCCACCATGAAGGGAATTGACCACAGGAGAATGCATCTCCTTCCAATATGGTCAATCAAGAGGAGCGCAGCCATGGTGAATGCGAAGTTCGTCACTGCCACCACCAGCGACGTGAGGGTGGGTACTGGGAACCCAAGGAGCGTGAAGATAGTAGCCGAGAAATACATGAGCGAGTTCTATACGCCGTGATTGTTAGCACATGTGCACCAATGGCCCTTTCAAAAATTACACAGGGAGAACCTACAAATCCACAGAGCTGCTGGAGACCTTGAAGCAGGCAAGCGATTGCCAGAGCCCGCCGGTTTCTGCGGATCCTCAAGAGTTCGCCCAAAGAGTCGAGCCATAGTCGCCGCCCAGTTCTATGCCGATTGCGGGCCCTCCTCTCGAGCTCTTCCTCCCTGACTCTGGCCTCGATGTCTTTCCAAGTAGCATCGACCTGCCTTGACGAGCTGGGCCCACCACCGACAACTCGCTCAATGACCGATCTTGCCTCCGCCGACCGCCCGGCCTTCATCAGCCACCGAGGGGACTCGGGCATCAGGAAAAGAATGCAGGCCTGAACAAAGGCAGGAAGGGCTCCCAGGCCGACCATCCACCGCCAGGCAGTCGCCTCGCTCGCATACTGCCCAAAGATCCACCCGACAACATACGCGACTACCTGGCCCAGGGTGATGAAGACGACGTTCATGGTCACCAGCCTGCCGCGAAACGCCGCGGGAGCGAGCTCCGCTATGTACAGCGGCACGACGAAGCTGGCGGCGCCGACGGCGGCGCCGACGATGGAGCGGCCGGCGACCATGCCCGCCACGGTCGAGCTCAGCGCCTGCGCGGCGGCGCCGACCACGAAGAGGCAGTCCGTGGCCAGGATCACGCGCTTGCGCCCCAGCGAGTCGGCCAGCACCGAGGCGAACGGCGACACCAGCAGCGCAAATAGCGACGTGCACGACGTGATGACCGATTTGTCCAGCGACGACAACGGCCTGCCGGACAGGGAGGTGCCGATGGACACCAGAGTCGCCGAGATGACGCCCGTGTCGTCTGGGGTTTCACAAAGGGAGCCTTGCCTTTAGCATTCCCGTTTTCCTCTCATGTTTTGGGACCGAAAACCCTCCTCTTTGCGACGGAATAGACTAGGGTAAAGTAGGGACTGAAAAGAATGGGAACCCACATCCGAACAGTAGGCCGCTTATGCCGGCCGAAAACGTGAGGAGCCAGATGAACAGCCCCGGCGAAGTGCCCAACTCCTTCCCCAGCGCATCAGCGCCCTGGGTCTCGGAGGTGTCGACAGCGACCCGCACGTCAACATCTTCTTCCTCGCCCGTGTCATGATGGCCGGCCTCGGGGGCGCGGGGTATCAAGGGCTCGATCGAGCTGCTATTATTATCCATTATCCGCCAATTTTCGCTGCTTGCTATGCTGCTGATGATGCTTGCTGTTGCTTCTGCTTCTGCGCCGCCGCTGCGGAATTAGGGGGAGGGATCGCAAGACTCATGCTCTTCCCGAGCAGGAGCGATGTCTATACAAATTCGCCAAGGTATATGCAATTTGTTGGAGCGGCGCCGTGATCCGATCTCGACGGATGAGGAAGACGTGCCGCTGCAGAGCCGCAAATTCCAAGCAGTTGGGATGCTATCCTTCAACAGCTTCATTTCACGCTTAAGAAGATAGGCAGCGCCTGGTGCCAAGTTGGTGGTTAGTTGCCCCTCCAAACCCTTTTTTTGGTGCCGCAGCACGCGCTTCCGGGGATTGGCTGCCCTTCTCGAATTGAAACATGTCAGGGGTCCAGCGCTTGGACCGAGCGCGTTTCAACCTCTGTCACAGGGAGCTCTAGACTTCGATGTGGGAGTTGTGTCCCTTACACCGTCGTCCTCTTTTCTTTTTAAAACCTCCTGAAGCTGCCTCGTCTGAAGATTTTCTCCTCCATTTCTCTTCATTGCTGATTAGACGACGAGACGGCGAAGAACCTTGGCATTTCTGACTGTACTCGACGCGCGACGAGCGAACAGCTTGCTTCTCTTATTCTCCTTCTAGACGCCTCGGCATATCCCAAAGATCTCCGGCTGTATTTCGCGCCCCTGTTCCGCCTCCTTTTCCTTTCGAGAGACTCGGCCGACGCCGGCTACAATTAAGACGAAGACGAAGACAAGAACGAATTAAACCGCCCAAGATGAACGCTCGTTACACGACCCCGCCGCAGCGCGACTCGTGGTTCGCGCCGCTGTCGATCGACATGTTCATCAAGGTGCTCAAGACGAGCTTCTTCCACCCGTTTGTTGCATGGATCATCCCGCTCTGCTTCCGAGCGCAGAACATGTACTGGGACGCCACTCCGATGCTGGTGTCGATCGGATGGGCCTCGCTTATATCGCTCTCCTGGATACTCAATGCCATCAACAACCGGCTGGCATTTGGCATGCCGCGCGAGGTGGACCTGAGCGAGGAGGTCATCGTCATTACGGGCGGCGCTAGTGGGCTCGGCTTGCTGGTTGCCGAGGTCTATGGCATGCGCGGCGCCACCGTGGCTGTGCTGGACGTTCAGGAGATGGAGTCTGGGGAGGCGCGCGGCGTCACATATTACAAGTGCGACGTGACGGACAAGGCCCAGGTAGCTCGTGTTGCGGCCGAGATTGAGAGAGATGTGAGTTTTCCCCCGACCCAAGCATTTGTTTTACTCCTGCCCAGCATTACGGCAACGCTGGCTGACACGAAGACGGGCAGCTTGGTACACCGACTGTCCTTATCAACAATGCGGCTATTGTCATTGGCAAGCGGCTATTGGACATGGAAATTGAGGAGGTCGAGAAGAGCCTCGCTACCAACCTCATCAGCCACTTCTACACACTCAAGACATTCCTTCCCGCCATGGCGCGGAGTGAGTCCGGTGGCACCGTGGTGACAGTGTCCAGCGTTATCGGACAGCTGGGTGCCGCGCACTTGACCGACTACGCGGCCGCCAAGGCGGGTATCACGGCCATGCACAAGTCGCTGGCAGCAGAGCTACACGAGACGCACCCCCAGATCCGGACCGTGTTAGTAACGCCGGGCCAGCTCAGCACGCCCCTTTTCTATGGCGTCCAGACGCCCAACGCCTTCCTCGCGCCCGTTGTCGAGCCCGTCGATGTCGCCAAGGAGATTATCAGCGCTATCGACAACGGCCACAGCGCGGCCATCGGCATGCCGCTGTATGCGCGGTGGGTTGAATGGTACAACGTGCTCCCGCTGGGTATCCAGGCTGTGGTAAGGAGCCTAGCGGGTCTCGACGTGGCTATGCGAACCTTTATTGGCAGGGAAGGAACCAGGCACAGTGAAAAGAACGGTGTTTTAATACAGGGCTTCTGAGCAGAAGTACTGTCGTGCAGGCGCTGGCGCTAGCTATATCTGCGAGACGAGGAACGGATTTAATGACGCGTGCTGGATGCACTTGGGAGGTCAAGTGCGGAAACAAAAAATACATATGGGTGGGCGGGCTGTACACAAAGTGAGAGAAGAGCATCAGCCTTCCACCTATGCAAGTGTAAGTGTAAGTATACGAAGTACTATACTATAAAGGACATATTAGCCGTGTACAAAATATCGATTCTTGAAAAGGCAACGCGCACTCCTCTTTAGGCCATCAACAGCGGGAAACTGCATGGAGATATCGACTTCGGGGATACGGTGGGCGTGGTTTGAAGCAAGCTAATCTTGCCAACAGCGAGTCTGAGTCTGGGGCAACTGATAAGGAAAGTGATGGGCCTGCTTCTCGACGCTGCAAGCGTACGACGCCGACTTAGCCGAGACACTTTTCGTCTGTCGATGCATGCATGTTCGGTGCGTCCAGACACCATTTTGGGAGGTTTGCTGATTTCGAGACCCTGGGGCTCCTGATCATTATCTACCTTACCTACCTTGCACACCTACACTTCGCTACCCCACACAATGCGAGAAGATGGGGAGCCGGGTTTCTTGCGGGGGTCGCCCTCTTCATTGACCGGCCCCTGAACCGTGCTTTAGGTGGGCTTGTAGGTAGGTGGGGGTTTGGCGATATTCTATCGTCCAAAGAGGGGTCAAACGACCGACGACGCAGCTCATCACGGCACCCTTCATTTCCACCAAGTTCCCATCCACCCTGCGAGTTCCCAGGGTCGCGTGCCATGTAGCGTGTCGTGTCGCACTGGGCGGCTCCGAGAACATGGTAATGTGCTCAAGGACGTGCAGGAGGCAGGCGATCCACGCTCAAATGGGTGTCCACACGCAAGCCTCGACATGTCCATACTCCCATGTGGCGTATTAGTTAATTACTGTGTGCACGAGTTTCAAGAGATTTAAATATCATATCATACTGCATTATCAGCGTTCCACAGAAGGATCAAACTCACTAACCGCTGCATCGGGCGGAATTTCTCTTTGTGCGTAAATAATTGCAGACAAAAGAATTTCGCGCAGACAAAGCCCGCCGTTCGATCCCTACGTCGTCAAGGACGGGAGATTGTGGGACTCCTTCCCGGCTCTTGCCGGCCGGCAAAGCCGTTAGGGTTCACGGGGCGGGAAGCCACAAATGCCTCAACACACGACGGGCGGTGTGGTATTTTCGCCCGAAACTCGAGGGCAAGCCTGGAGGTGGAGGTGGCTTGCCTTGCCGGAAGGATCCTTTCCCGTCCCACGAAAAAGAACCGACAGAGAGAAAAAAAGACAAAGTTGATTCAAGGTTCTGTGAGGGGCCTTGATATTGGCGTTAGCGTTCAACCTCCCATTCTCAACATTGGACCGGCCTGTCAGCCTTGACAGCTCAGTCCACTGAATCCAGAGCATTTTGTTCAGCAAGCTCGTCCGCCATCATTATTAAACGTCGACCTTGGCGGAACGAGATGTAAAGTTTCCCGCAAAAAGAAAAGAAAACCACACGGTAGTAGGTGATTAATCCTGCGGCCACCACGAGGGCCCCAAAAGGACGTTTGAAGGAAATCCGTCCTTGCCTTGCGTGGCGCGCATGCTCTGGTCCTTGCCGTGCTAGGAGGGGAGTTAGACTGCGGACTCCGACTGAGAGCCCCCCACGTCGCTTCCCCATGCTCTTTCCGTCTTCTGCCCAAGCAACTTCCAGCCTAAGGGTTATCCATCGCTGCTGTCCCAAGTGCCCATGGTGTGAACGGCAACGCGCCTTCCCCAGCTTGGGTGGGCAACAGCAGTGCCAAGACGCAATCAAGCTGCAATCTGCAGATCAATACGAACGAGCGTCTTCGACAGATCAGTATTCAGGCGTCATGATGTGGGTGGGAGACCGGACCCTTGTTCGCTGCAGCCCTCTGCATCGTGTGTTCTCGGGGCCGAACTAAGCCTGGCTGTTCTTCAAGGCCAAAAAAAAAACCATCCCAGGCTCCAAGGAGCAATCTTTCATCCCGCGTGAAGTGGCGCCTGATGCAGCTTCGCCGTCGATTGGCAAGGCGGGCCACACAGAGTTGAGCTTTCTTATCTCTGCGCTTGGGTCTAGCCAATGAGAGCTGCCGCTGGCCTTACACATGGTCCCTCGTCGTCGCCTCTCAAGGGCTTCTGATATCAATGTCAGGCGGGGATGATGAGAAGGCCTCGGTCTCGCCTGCCCTGCAAAGCCTTTCACGCCGTAGGGTAGCAGAGGATTCCGAGGTAGGCAAGGCAGGCAAGATCGGTAGATAGGACATTCCTAGCACCTAGGTCGGTTGCCTAATGTGCCTTCTCTGTGGGAGTCGTATGCACCGATGCGCCAGTGCGTATCGATTCCATGTATGCCCTTTCTCCACCTCAGTTCATTGCTAGTCCTATTTCCCAGCCGGGTGGTTGTGCCGTGGGGAAACTTTGGTGGCCCCATTCCATCCCAAGACTCCAGAATCGGGTTATCAGCACTTGCACCCCTCCATATATTGCGGAGAGAGAGCCTCCCACTATCTGAGGCTACACTCCTCAACTTCTTATGCAACACTCCAGCCCAACACTGGAACCTTTTGCGCCCCTCGTCACATCAAAAAGCAGGCCATGTGCCAAGCAGACCGCCGAGCAAATAGCAGCACCTGAAACCCTCAACCGCATTATTTAGTCACTGACGTCGATCCAACATGTGGTGGGATCCAGATACCATCGATCGCGCCGTGACCCGGGAGTTCGTCTGCAGTCAGCTCCTCCCCGGAGAGATAGAGCGCCTGGACCGCCCGCTGGGTTTTGGTGATGGTCTCACAGACGGCACGTACTGGGAATGGATCGATGAGAAGGCAAAGCGCATCTTCCTCATCCTCGTCGACCTCGGTGTCCCTGACCAGATCTTCGGCGTCATCGACGACTCGTGGGACGACGAAGACCTCCCCATCGCCCTCGATCAGGTCGAGCGCCTGGCCCTGACTCCCGGAAAGGATGAGAAGTCTGAGAGGAGGTTCTACTATCGGCAGTTCTACTATCTGCTGCGGCCGCTCCAGAAGGGCGACACTAGCATATACCAGGACAACGAGGTGGTGCCCCTGGATGTCGTCGACAAGAAGCAGACCCTCGCTCCGGGGCAGGGCCACCATGTCGACAAAGTCGTGCTTCCGAACTATCCGGGGATGGTCTTTTGTCGTCGTCGGATACCGGTTGGGCCCGGCCAAGGCTTGAACTACTTGAGCCAGGAGGATTTCTTGTTCGAGGTTAACAGCATCAAGAACGTGCAGAATGAGCATCTGGCCTCGTATTGGGGTTCGTACATCTTCCAGGGATATGGATATGTTCTGTTCACGCCTGCACCAGACTTTACGCTGAAGTCCTTTCTAACCACGACGCCGAACTCGATAAAGAACTTGGACAAGCAGAAACGGAGGGCGCTCGTCATGAACTGGATCCACTGCCTGGTCGATACGCTATGTTTCATCCACAACCGGGGTCTCTCCCATGGAAACATCAAGCCGTCGACAATCCTCTTTTCAAACGACAATCAGATAGGCTTTGCTGACTTCTCTCGGTTCAACGCCGAAGGTTTGATGGAGAAGACCACCTTCGACAAGGAGTCGTACGACTATGCGGCCCCCGAGCAGTGGTTCCGGCCAACGTCAGGTCCTCCGAGCCCTGTCCATCGAAGGGCAACAATGTCTTCGCTGTCTACTTCACCAGAAAGCCACAATTTTTCCATCAGCCGCGTGCCAACCGACCTCACCAGTTCCAGTCCGATGGCCATGATGCATGCCCCCACGCCGCATCTTAACCCGCAGGCTGCCGATGTCTTTTCTCTAGGCTGCGTTATACTTGAGCTCTTGAGCTTCTTGCTCAAGAAGCAGGGACGGCCGTTTGCAACCCACCGCGCAGCGAAGCACAAAACCCCGGGCCGAGGCGGCGCAGTGCCGGATGCATCTTTCCACAAGAACCTCGGCCAGGTGGAGGTCTGGATGACGCAGCTGGCTAAAGAGTCGTCGAAGAAGGATGGCGCAGTGTTCAAGGGCATCGCACCGATGCTGCATGTCGTCGAGCGCATGCTGTCGTTCCACCCTTCAGAACGGCCAGCTGCCCACGACGTGCAAACCAAGATGTACCAGATCCTGACGGATTCTTGTGGCATCACGGAACCCCACTGCGTCCACCAGTACGGCGGCTGGGACTTTGGCATTGGGAGCCTGAAGCTAGGTTCGCCGCCACTCAGCAGAAACGATAGCTACGAAACCATGTCGATTGCGACTAAGCGTAGTAGCGGCTCGCGGAGCGGAGATCACAAGCGTAACAACAGTGGGGGTAGTTTACGCAGAACCGATAGCATCAGTCGCGAGTCGGAGAGAAGCAGAATAGGGAGCGACTTGAGCAGTGGCTTCCAAGCCATACAGAATCTCCGCATCAGAGACAAGGTGAGGCCGTGGCAGGCTCCCGTATATGCAGGTATTTGAGAACTCCCTCGACTAATCAGCTGCGCAGACAAGAGCTGACCAAGGAGCCTGACTTTTCAGATGTGAGCGTCGGATAAAAAAAGGACGGTGAGCATGATGGGGCATCCAGGACTGCAAGATGACGACAATTTAGGAAATGCTGGGTATGACTGGGAATATGAGAATGCAATTACAGCGATGCTAGGGGTTTTTTGGTTGTATTCGCGAACACCGTGCTGCACGCTCCCGGAATGTCAACAAGCAAGCGAGCCCTACTCCTTGTAGCCGCCCTGGGTGCACACAAAATTCTATCTTCATCATCATCAAAGCCATCCTAATGCGCAAGCATGGAAGCTGGTTTATAGAAGGTGGTGATCTTCTTTCGTTATGTTGTGTGGACTTGAAGACCTCGGCTGGCCGGGCCTGCAACTTGACGTAATTGTGGTGGTTTACCGAGGTGTAGCCGAGGTGTAGGACGTACCTAGGTTGAAGGCCAAAAATCTACACATAAGGGGGGCTATGTCAAAAAGTACCGATTTTACCGCTAAAAAGGCCGTCAGTTGAAGCTGCTATGGCGGGGTTTCGTGGATCGGTGGGTGCCCGAAAGGTAGCAGGGGGCTAGAGTCTTTTCACTTTTGGCCCCAAACTCCGTATTTGGGGCTTATTTGGGGCTTATATGTAGGTCTGCGGTGACTGTAGTTGGTGCTTATCCATAAGAACTGATTGACGGCTATCTATACCGATTACGCTGTTATATGCGGACCGGCCACGATACCTACACCTCGGTAGTCACCTTATTAACCACGCTGGAGTTTGAACTCTCGCACGCTGAATCTGTAGCTAGCTTCCTCATGCCCCACCACCGCCACCGCTGTCGACGCCACCATCGCCACCGTCGTTACCACCAAACTGCTTGCGAAACCAAATTAGTGTCTTTTGAAGCCCGCACCACTTGGACAATATCGCGACACAAGCGCAAGCAGCATTATACATATACTATTATCTGTTAGTAAGTAATCACATGGACATTAGTTAGGGAATGAACCAAGATATACATACCCCCGGCGCCCCATTTTGTTGTAATGCTGTAAGTTGCATATTCATCCACCCCAACCTTTTGAACTAAAAGAGGTTCCATGGAGAAATTTCGTTCTTGAGTTCGGTGATCATCTTGTGGATATCGGTAAACTTGGTGTCAAACTGGGTTTGAATGCTGGAAAGCTTGCCGTTAAGCTTGTCGTCAAGCTTGTCGTCAAGATTTCCAACCTTGTAGTTAAGCTCGTTAAGCTTGATAAGCTTGGTTGCGGTGCTGGCGATCCTCTTTTCGTTACTGGTAAACCGGGCTGCGACACTGGTAATTGTCGAGCGGTTTTAGTATTGCGAGGAATCCCTTGAATATCTCCGGATCGACGAATGGGGAACGGGAGGTCGTATTAGCAGGGATCGTATTAGATGTGGGCGTATCGTGGAAAGAAATAGGCGTATCGTAGAAGGAAATTGGCGCATCGTGGAAAGAAATGGGCGTATCGTGGAAAGAAATGAGCGATCTATAGCAGGCGGACGCTATATTGTGATATAATTGTAGCGTATTTCCAACGCTCTGATAATTTAGCGAAATGGAGAGGCTTGCGACGATGGTTGACAATTTAAAGGAAACTAGCAGAGGCTTTAGTCAGCTATTGGAGAATTCAAGGTATCCCTCGTGATAACCCAAGATTTTTCGGAGAAAGAAACGTCGGGTGGGAGAGGGGAAGAAAACAGAAAGCTTTCGTATTATTGCGTTACGTTCAGGCGGAGGAGGTTTGGTCGCTCTGCCTTCTAAGATTATTTATTACGACTATATATAGCCCGCAGCCAATGGTAAGGTTACTTGGCCGACTAAAACCTCGCCTGGTATAGCTTCCTAGTTACTAAGTGCTCTAAGCTTAGCGATAATACCCAGCGTATTTTGGTCGAGCGTTAGGGCGCTATAATGAAGAAGTTAGGAATATTATTATTTAATATAAAATATATTACTTAGGCCTACGATATTATAATTGAGGTAGTTCGAGACGATAATCTTCGAGGTCTTAACGACAAAGCAAAAGATATCCTAATCATCTCGTTTTACACCGCCCAGGTCTTCCAGTACTAACGGAACTAGATCGCCGAATACGAGAAGGTGAGCTCAGCTGAAGCGAACGTCAGCGAATTATCCTGCGTACTATAGATAGTTCGTAAGGTTTCTCGGCTGATTTTATCATCGTCGATTTTGTATAAACCTTCTGCCCCGGCTTTACTTACGATCGCTAGCGTATTTATATCGCCTTAACGCGCGCTCGATAAGCTAATGTCATCTTCATACTACGCGGTATATCGATCCGCAGCCCCCTAGTGATACGGATACCAAGTTGATATCAATACTCGACAACCTTGCACAACATCGTGAGCAAATACAGAAGATGGAGGAAAGGATCGAGAACGTTGCACAACATCGTGAGCAATTACAGAAGATGGGGGAAAGGATCGAGAACGTTGCACAACATCGTGAGCAAATACAGAAGATGGGGGAAAGGATCGAAAACGTTGCACAAAGAATCGAAAGGCTAGAGGATAGAAAGTGTGAGGGACCTCGCTATCCATGGCGTCTACGTCGATAGGTTGACAACGCCGGACCTATCGCTCTCTACTTGAGCGCATGTATTCCGGTTTGGAAAGAAGCTCGCGAATCCTGGGTAAGTTTGTCTCCGGAAATTACCCCTTTATCATTGGCACCTACTCACTGAGGGTGTATTTTTCACACTCAAAGGTAGGGGGGAAAGAATGTAAAGAAGCTAATTTTGAGTTAATTTGCGACGATGTGGCGAAAAGAAGTAGGGCCTTTTGGCAAAAAAATCCATACTACAATTAAACTATATGCAATTACAAAACCATCCCAATTGTCTAATTGCGAATAGCTTCACAACTGACTACGTCGTTGTTGTTCAAAAAGGGAGTGTTTTGGTGTAAAAGGGTGATCCACTGCTAGGGTGATCCGTTGGGGGGTGGGGTATGGTAATATCCACGTTTGCCAATTAGGCAACCTAATTTCTCTTTATCATTCACGGGACGGGCAACATGACCGATCCCAACGGCTCACCCACCGGGCCTGGCCCTGGAAGGCCACTACCTTTCCTTCCTGTGCCTGAAGGAATCCAGACACGAAACAAGAACCTCCTCGAAGGAGGTTTCACATACCTTGACGTCCCAGCCAGCGCTTGCTGCCCATTCTTCCAAAGCATTACGGCTACGTGGGCGTGGTAATCAAGTTGTTCGTCTGCCGCGGGTCTAACCTTTACGCCAGCGGTTGGAAGATTTCGCAAGGTGCCGCCGGCGTTACGTTTGGGGTCGACTATAGAGGCGCCCCAGTGCTATGTCGAAAGCATAACCAGACGAAGAAGCTCAAGAACATACCCTATTTTACGAAACAAGTCATGAAAAATCGGTGTCGCCGAGTGCGGGCGATTCTTTCACCAACCATTTTATCCCATTCTCGCACCTGTTCCTTCAAAAGACATGGCTTAAGGTCTTGGAAGCCACTTATTCGGACAGCAACTTCAACGACGCAGACGTCTTGCAAGGCCTTTGCACTACGGGAATATTTCCCGAAGAACCCTCTCGACAACTTATTTGTCTTTCAAGGCTACGAAAGCAACACCCCACGCCAATCACGATATGTGCCGATCCAAGTTTTCCTCAGGAATACTAGCCCCAGCAATTACTCTTTTTTTACCCTACCAGCGTTTGGACTCGCCCAAATTGAGTCCGATTCCGTTCTTTGGGATTTTGCGAGATCGTTCTAGAAAGCCCACCCGACTACATACATCACTCGAATCCAAGTCATCTATGCTATTCTCGTGTTTTTCTGGATTAAGCAAGATCCGAAATCTCGCGCAGAGCCGCACAGGTCCAAGGTTATGGGTGAAAAACCCTCAGCCGTGTCTCTCGGGGTCTACATCGCCTACTTCCCATCATTCTTAACATTCCGCGAGGTCCATCGCCTTGGGGCCTTTTGTCACCCTCTCGGCCTCATTAAGCAGCTCTAAGAGGACGATATGTCTGATTCAAATATCTAGTACGTATTACGAGATCAAAGAATTTGACTGGGAGCAATCTTTCGCCGAGTTTTCCCACTCACCGAGAACCCTTCGGATTCCTAACGCCAGCGATGATTGAGAGGTCGAGTTTAGGAGGCCCTTGTCTCTAAAAGGGCTTCACTCTCAGTGAAATCCAGAATCACCTAGGTTTGGGTCCAATTTGGACTACTGGGCTTCCTGACATTTCTCCCCGGGGTACTCGCTACCCATTCGGATGGTACATGGCTCCTTGGCACTGGGTAGAAGAGCTCGGGGAGGAAACAAGTGGCCATTACCGGCAATTGGCAAACACCACCTCGAATTTTAGTCAAATCCAGGGCCTAGACTCAACCGAATAGGCTCCGGATATCTCAGGAATTGATGGACAGTCTGATATCTCGGCCGGGTTTCGCTTGTCATATTGGGGTCAAAATAGGGGCCAGGGACTTGACCGAAAACCCAGGCTGGAGCATGCACCCCCCGCGGAAGGAAGGCCTCCTATGCGCGACTGGATGTCACAAAATCTTAGACTCGCAAATCCTGGAACGCCTCCAAAAATTGCCCCCGGGTTGGTATAAGGACCTCATCAACAGTTAATTTGAAGGTGGTAACGACACTATCATCCAATTCGGGAAACCTGTGAATCTTACTGAGGTTCCAAGTACAGTACTCCTAAAATGGCCGGAGGTTTCAATCAATAGGGACTTTTTTGCGGCCCAGTCTAATCCACTACCTGACATTTCGCGTCCTAGTCCTCAACTTCCCGCTTCGCTTCATAATCCTGGGACTTCACACGACAGCTTCAAGCCCGGAGAGTCTGAGCCCCAAGCTCAGGTAGCTCCCAAGGGGAGACTATCCAAGAGGGAAGACCTATTGAACAAGGAGAAGAAGGACGTCCTCGTTTAACAGCTCCTAATGACAGAAAAAAATAAGCACTCCGCCGGAAAGAGGTTTCAAAAATAAATCGACGCTCTCAATACTTGAGTCGACGGCTTGGAAGCTGAGAAAATCAAGTACCTAGAGGAAATATCGGATATTCAAAAAGATCTCGAAGGTCTCCGCCCGAAGGACCCGTTGCTCAGTGGCGCCGATAACGTGCTCAGTGACGAGACTGCAGCTCGCTGGCAAATGGCAGAGAAATTAGCTGGATTAAAATACGAACTCAGAGATACTAAAGTCCAGCTAATTCGTACTCGAGCAGATCTAAAACCTCTCAAGCCCGTACAGAAGAACTACATAATAACGCAATATCGGCGCCAACGAAAATACAACTCGGGCAATATGCAGAGGAGAAGGATCAACTCGAAAGACAAATTCTCAAGCTCCGAGAGGAGTCAACGAAATTCGGTAGTACTGGGGCCCTAGAAGCCCAAAAATACGCTGAGTCGATGTAGGAAGCTACCCAAATTGAGCTCAAACAGGCTATTAAGATGGCCACCCAGAGGGAATCTGAAGTCGAAAAATTCCAACATGAGCTTGACTTCGCACAAGAACAGTTGTCAATCTTGAGAGACTCGGGATCTAACGTAGACGTGGTAGTTCCGTCGCTAAAGCCATCGGTACTAGGTACGCCGCTGGAAGAGATGACCTCGGCGGGACTCAAGCGTACAGCTGAAGAAGCACTCTTTGTGAAAGATGGACCTAACAAGAGGCTTGAGTCACCAAGTGCAATTACCCTTGACCTTGAGCCATATATCGGCGAAAACCCTGGCGAACTGTTGAGCGTAGCTCAAAATATGATTCTCTGAGAGGGGGCGCGTGGAGGTCTCTTTAACTCAATGCATTTCAAGGTTGGGGGTCAAGGCTCGTATGTATTACTGAGCTCGGCCTCGAGAGGGCAAGACTCTTTAAAGAGAGCCCATCGCAGAGAATATTAGATGAACGCTGGGTAGAAGAGAAAACCACCGAAGCGAATAAGAGGGCGGGAGAAATCCCAACCACGGCTAACTTCTACAACTATGGGCATAAGAGCCTCCTCGCATTTGTAACCGAAATCAAGCGGGACCAAATATCTACAGGGAACCTGGTCGAGGGTATCTAGGAGGTCGATGCAACGACTCGACAAATTATTGGTCGAATACGAGAGGGATTGAGAACTATCGAGACGTATCTGAACGCTCATATAACAGATTATTCGGCTTAGGCTTTTCAAAATCAAGTTACATCCACGGAAAGAAGAGAGGGAATGAAGAGCACAGTCAACAAGATCATCGAAGACCTCAAGCTCATCTTTTCCCATTATCGCGGCGGAACCCTCCCAGGAGATTCGGCTATTAATTACGATGACTCCGATACCCGGACTCCCCTTAATCAAAAGATTTCGGAGTATCTGCGACTTGTAGTCAAAGCTCATAGAAGAGGGGAAAAGCATAAGGGAAGAGAGCAAAATTCCCCGTCACCACCACGTAGCTCCATGGGAAGAGACGGGGATCTAAGTTGACGTTAAGATGGGCCTAATACTAGACTGGACTTGAGAGGCAGGGGAGAAAAAGAAGGTTAGGTCGATATGGGGGGAAGGGGCGAAGAAATGGGTTGGTGGTGGTGACCAACTGGGATGATGGCAAATGAGCCCTCAGCGTCAATTTGACCCCATTTATAGCTGAGGTCGAACTCGGATAACTTGTCTACGCACGCTGTTTTGGGGGCATCGTGCAGGCTAATAATAATCATTGATGGGGAGTGGGGGCATGCATGGGGGAATTTGCCTGCCTGAGATTGAGGAAGAGGGTCTCTCGATTGGACTTCCTCTGAATTCCATTTCCGATTCCTGAAACAGAGAAGGAATCCTACTATGGACATAACCTAGCTACCCATTTTGCATTAGAGGGCATCTTACTCGGGGGCGAGCCAGCAGCTCTCAAGCACTGTTTTACAGACCCCAGTTTCCTATACTACGTCGCAGTGTCTTTTGTGCCAGCTATGAGGCCATGTATCGGTTAGATGCGCTAGAAAGGTTGCTGTGATACAAGTATATATGCAAGAGACTTGCTTATGCGCTCGGCGTTGAACCCGCAGAAAATGGCAGCACGCGCCAGCCAAATTCGGCGACCGGAACACCGCATTCTCGGTTTTAGGAGTATGTGGATGGCGTGCCACATATTCCCCGGATTGTGATTTTCTAGGACGAAAGGTTGGGGCAGATGGGAGGTGCGGGACGGAAGTTCGTCCTTGGTTTAATAATTTATGTACGTAGCTTATGAGCTGGCATCAGTAATCTGGATCGTTTTCACCATCAGGAACAAGTCGGACAAAATTATTTGCGATCCATGCCCAGGCCTCCAGAGTACCATTGGCAATGACAAAATAGCGACAGTACATGGTACCTGCCAAGTGAAGTCATTGCAGATTCTCAGTCGACCCGGTGCTAACTTGGTTTGGACGGAGAACTGCCAGGATCAGATGCTTGAGACTTGAGCGGACCGCTTGGAAGTTGGCAGTGACAGAGATGTAACGTGCAGATGTGGGCGGGCCGTCGAAATGTTGCATGGGGTGGCACAGGCCCATGGTGTGACAACGTCATTGCCTATCAAAGACAGCCCCACTATGTTTTCACCCGCACTCCTGATGGGCTGTTAATTGGCGGATCTGCATCCATGTGTGGCCCCCCAATCACGTTTGCGCAACGGCTCGAGAAACGCTTCTCGACAATCTCGAAGACCCGGCGACTGTTTCAAACCAACCCACAGGCTTCCGGGCTACAGATTCACGGCAAACACCCACTGGTCGTCCTAGCCCGGTGTGCTATGAGCCCTGTGAAACATTTGTCTCCTCTCTCTTCCAGCCTCTCAACATGGATGTCTTTAATTGGGGCCAGGCAGTCAATCTTTCGGGAAGGTGGGAGTTGGTAGGATGGTATTGCCCAGTAAACGGACTATTTCATGCGAGCGAACAACGAACACCCTTTCAAATTCCAACAAGACGACAGCAAACGTGAAGTGAAGTGAAGTGAACTGGGCAGGCCACGCTCCAAGGCCGATCCCGGAATCTCTTTTCAGCTTTCCAGCCAACAAAACCCGATCCGGCGCAGAAAGCTGAAAGACGTGTGTTGTTTTAAAGACCACCCCCATCGCGGCCGCCAGCCTCCGCCAATCAATTGGCCGGCCTATCTCGAGACCCGCGTGTCGACGTTGGGCTGGGCAGCTCCTGATTGTGTGTGATAGATTTCGGAGACTCGACTCCTTTTCTAGCGCTGGTAGTGGCGGTTTGCCCTGATTTGCCATGCTGGTTCGCTGCAACATGGTCCAAGAAAAATCAGGCTTGGCTGCAGAGCGTGCATGGACTCGACAGGGGTTGCAGGCTTCCCGCATCCAAGTTTATCTATCTCTCCACTCCAACGGAGATCGCGCGCAGCCTATCCCGTAGTAACCATTGGAGATTGGGAATTGAGGAAAGGAAAAAAAAACCAGCGTGGCGGGTCTGCGGGTGCTGTGCTGTGTTTTGTTGGCTTGTTGCTTTATTACTCAAAAGACACGCGCTCCCGGCAACGAATCTCTCTCCACATCCATGGCCCTCTGTGTTTCTCCAGGTTGTCACCTCATACTCTCGCTTTTGAACAAGTACTGGGCGGTTCAATAAACGGTTAGGTAGTGTTGTTGGCATCTCTCGTTCTTTTGACAACACGTGCATCTCAGCTTTATCGATCCATCGCCTCTTGGGAGCTACCTCGCCCCGAGTTTCAAGTTGGGAGAACTCGACGACCACTCGCTCAAACCGACGTCACCGTCACCCGCGGCCACCGTGACCTGTCCGTCTGTACCTTCCCGCCTTTCGTTCGACCCACCGCCGGGGTTTTGAGAAAAGAGAAGCCCAGGGAAAGAAAGAGGGCAGATGTAGAGGGGGGGCAGTTTCGTTTTCGTCCTAAGAGCAAGAGAGGGCTTCTTCTGCGGCGCATCGAAACAACTCTTTCATCCTTCCTTCGCCGTTGGCAGTTTTCCAGCCGGGTCGGTCAGCTCCAGCTCCGCCTTGGACCAACGTGCAACGTCTTCTTCTAGCGACACGGGCCGCATTCTGCAGCATATCCCAGGAACCGGAACTGCATCTTTTTTTTTTTTTTTTTAAAAAAAAAAATTTTAAATTTTTTTTTTTTTGCGTGTGTGTGTGTGTTTGCCTGTCTGTCTTTTAGACGCCCTCGTTCATCGTCACTCGAGCATCTTAGATTTATATCTTTGCGCCTGACACCTCCCCCACATACGAAACCGAGATCATGAAGTTTTCAGGCATCGCAGCCGCCGCCATACTGGGCGTGGCGGCCACAAATGCCGTTGAGACTATCTCGGCTGTTGGCAACAAGTTCTTTCTGGAAAGTGGCAAACAGTTCTTTGTGAAAGGTACGTTTGGATGCATTATGTTTGTTGTTCTGAGGAGTGCCGCAGCTAACTGCCCCCTGTAGGAGTCGCTTACCAATTGGTAGAGGGTGAGATCTTTCTTCGCTCCAGAAACCCCTCCTTGCTCTTGCCGTGTCTAACGTAGGACAAACAGAGGACCCCCTTGTGGACGGCGAGCAGTGCAGCCGGGATGCTGCGCTCATGAAGACGCTGGGCACCAACACTATCCGCGTCTACCACGTCGATGCTACCAAGGACCACACCAAGTGCATGAACGCGTTCGCCGACGCTGGAATCTACACTCTTATTGACTTGGATACGTTCGACACATATATCCTGCCCGTAAGTTGTTCATGATGGCGACTAACAGCTGGAGTCGGGCCGCAGACTGGCTAACACTTCTCGCAGAATGCACCATCCTGGAACCAGACCCAGGTCGATGCGTACGCAGCTGTTATGGATGCCTTCATAAAATACGACAACGTGCTGGGCTTCTTCGTCGGCAACGAGATCATTGCCATTGCGAACCAGTCCTTGGCTGCGCCCTACATCAAGGCCTCTGTCCGCGACGTGAAGAAGCACCGCGAGTCCAAGGGCTACCGCAAGGTGCCCATTGGCTACTCGGCTGCTGACATCGCCGAGCTGCGGCCCATGCTCCAGGACTACCTGACCTGCGGCGGAGACGACTCCCAGAACGTCGATTTCTTTGCGCTCAACTCTTACGAGTGGTGTGATGTCACGACCTACGACGTCTCGGGCTATGCGAACCTCCAGAAGCAGGCCGTCAACTTTCCCGTGCCCATCTTCTTCTCCGAGACGGGCTGCAACGTGCCGGGCCCCCGCCTCTTCGACGACCAGCAGGCCATCTTCGGCAAGGAAATGTCCTCGGACTGGAGCGGCGCCATCATTTACGAGTGGATTGAGGAGGCCAACCACTACGGCCTCATCTCTTACGGGCCCCCCGTGGCCCCGACCGCGACGGGCAGCAACATCAGGGGCGGCTTCTCGCGGGCCGGCACCCCGACCCCCGTCTCACCCGATTTCAACAACCTCAAGTCGCAGTGGGCCAAGATCACCCCGTCGGGCGTCGCCCAGTCCGACTACAGTCCAAGTTTGGTCTCGACCCGCGCCTGCCCCGCCTCCACCCAGGACGGCTGGCTAGTCAATGGCAACGTCGCCCTGCCGAGCATCGGGCAGGTGTTTACCGGCGCTTTGTCTACGGTGCCAATCGCGATCCCGACCACCACCACCACCGCCGCCCTCGGATCCGCGGCTACGACTTCGACGACAAAGAACCCGGCGCCTGCGAACAAGGAGATTGCCGGCATGAGCGCCGGGCTGGCTGGCGTCATGCTCTTCTTCACCTTTTGGCTCTGAGCGCCGGACGGGATGGTTTTCTTTTTCTTTTCTCTTCTTTTTTTAATGAGGGCTGGGAATAGGTAAATCCATCAAGCATATGAGACTGGGCAGACTATGGCGTACGGGGTTTGACATTATATGGTGCATCTTTTTTCTCTTCTCTTCTCTTCTTTTCTTCCTCACCCTTTTTTCTTCCCCCTCAACCTCTGGAGTTGGGGCCTCCAACTCCCCTTCCATTCTATTTGGGGTAGCTAGCATTGATAAACGGCATGTTCCTCATGTTGATATTCATGGACGGATACCGAGAGCTGGGTTATACCGGGGCGGGAGTTGGGTTGAAGAAGCACAACAACAGTACACCCGGCCGAAGGTGGCGGCGATGTTGAGAACAACTCTCCCCGTCAAGGAAACAAAACCAATCAAGAGAAGAGGAGGGTAGTTGCGACTTGAACCGCCGGGCAGGCTGGGCTTTGCCACACGGCAGCCATCCATTCATGTGTGCATGTGTTAGGGGGGGGGATACTAATCCTTAATGGGTCTGTCTGCTTCACCTCTAGGGGGGCAGACGCCAAACTGTACACACATACGTATATATATTGTAAACACACACCTTTTGTGTTGTTTGCTAGGCTCGCCGGCTAGGAAGCGGGCTGGAAACGGCACAGCACAGTACATACATCTAGAAGAGTAACCCGCGCTAGATAATAGAGCTGAATAAAATATTCCTAAACGTATTTCCTGTCTCTTTTTCTGCTTCTGTTTCTTGATGTTGATTGTGGTTGGTGTGTTGCTCCGGTCTGTCTGTCTATCAGGGAGAGACTCTCGGCAAGAGATGTCGCTGACGTCCATGTGGCGGGTTTCTGAACGGAAAGGGGCTCGTTGTCCCGAGGGTTCAGTATTAGGTAGTTGTACGACTTTGAGAGCTCTCGGAGCCGCTTTGAGGCATCTATGTATGTATGTAGGTAGGTAGGCAGTCAGCCCCCACGACAAGCGAGTAAACAACTGTGGGAATGTGTAGGTTGTTTCTTTGGTCTTTCTTTATTTGGGGAGTAGAAAGCCATGTTTCTAGTTGCTTCCCCCCTTTTCCTGGCTGGGAGAAAGAGTTATAAAAATGTAATGCTTATGTTTACCTAGGTACCTACGTAGCTTCATGATCAAATCGAGGCTTGCGGGAACTTGTCCACGGACCTGATTATATATACATTCCCTCTTTGTCCCGAGGTATCCTCCCAGTTTGATACATCATTTTCCGTAGATCCTTTTCGGTAGGACTGGCAGAGATGGATGGGGGTGTGATTTATTCTCCTTGTGTTCTCGCACTTGTCTCAGACAAAGCTTGAGTATGGGTGTTTAAAGATACATGGGCATGGACTCAGCTTCGCACGAAGCTCGAGAGAATTCCCGATTCGTGCGACCCAAACGAGATAAAACCAGGACCTTTACAACCATCCTGCTGACTGGAGGCTTGGTCGAGGGAGGGATGATTCCCTCAGCCCCCGGATACAGAAGAAACCGGCAACAGATCACCTACACAGCACTTGGTGTTTCTATAAGAACTGCCTCGGTGGATTGATTCACTGCTAGCTCGATAGTTGCAGGGAGAACATAACATAGGACTATGAAGCTTGCCGCATGATCGTTTTCTCGGAACTTCTGGACCAGCCAGTCAGGCCTCTTTCCAGCAGCAGCCTCACAACACGCAGCCCGTTCCTGCGCTGTCTTGCTTTAGGTCCGGTGGGCTGCCACATCATCATTTCGTTTCTGGCCCCCTCTCCAAGCGAGGAAGGTTAGCAAGTGGAGAGAGCAAGTGTTTCGTCATGCTGTGAGGTAAGCTTGAGAGGAGCAGGACATCATGATCTGCGTGTTTAAGAGATGGACCATGCCGTTTTGTGGCCATCGATGGGCGGCGTCATGCTGGAGGCAGTCGTTTTGTTTTCTGAGAGGATCGCAAGGGCGGAGCTATCACCGCCGCAGTCACTGCGCTGGATGAGCTGCCTTGATCCACGATGGGATGTTCCTTGGTTGGACGAGCGGTCACTGCTTGGGGGAAGCAGGAGGGAGACAGCCTTGGAACAATAGACACCTGCGAACGGCTAGGGCCTACCGTTGAGCATGCCTGCTTGGTCGCCGAACGCACTGCGGCTGGGTTGGGTACCTAACTACCGTAGTTGATGCTATGATGACGCGATGTGCTATAGAGAGAGCTATAGCACTCGAATAGCTTGAAATGGATGAGGCCATCCCCGCATTTTGAAGTCTAGGTGGGTATACGAAACTTACTAGGGCCTAGACGCGGAGCAAAGTTGGAGAGGTAGCTCATGCACCTCGTCGACGCTGCTTTCTCGTGATGCTTTGTTCGCTTACGTGTGACATGAACGTCAGATATTACTCAAGGCACCTTGGTTTCGGCGATCTAAGTCCTAAGCTGAGCTAGGTGAGATTCCTTACCCATCTTCGTCTAACATCGTCTCGGGAAGGAAGGGGGATTTTGATGCAGGCTGGGAGCTTAGGTTTGGCAGACGAACTTGAAGGACGTCAGACTCGGAGACGGCTGGCAGTTTGAGGGCAAGCACGACAGTGTAGATTAAGGTTTGTGACTGAAGCTCCAAGAGTTTGCTGGGCTGGGCTGGCCCCCGCACCCCTCCCGCTTATCATTTTATGATTCTTGGTAATAAATATCAGGCGATCTGAAACGGGTCTCGGAGCAATAGCCCAGCATCGCGCCTTCCCTTCCCGATCTGAGCAAGGGGGGATGCGGGAGCAGCGGAGCTACAGGAAGGTGGCGCCCCGTTTAGGCACGCCCCCTTCTGGGCCTGGTGGCATGATGGCCTGCCCGGTAAGTGGTGACGGGACCACACCGACCACAGCAGCGGCGGTGCCCACCTCCCTTCAGCGGCTGGTGCTACCCAAGCTCCGAGTTGCCATATGAAAGGGGGTTTCACAATCTTCTGTCCTGCCCGCCGTGTCCAGCGCAGATTGGCGACAAACTGTCATGATCTACGGCTCCGTGCGCAGATGATACCCCGCGCCGTTGAGCCCAACCCTCCAGATAAGTAACCAGAAACCGAACGATTTGTCGACACTGCACTCTAAATGTCCCGCCTCTTGCTGGCGCGCGTGGCTGTGCGCGTTATCTGGGAACTCTCCGAGTACCTAAGTAGACAACGTTGGTCTGACTGATTAAGCAATCGGAAGCTGGGGAGAAAGCTGCATCCCGGAATCCAACGGGCTCGGCAGTTGAATTCGAGACAGAGCACGTTCCGAGCCAAATACAGCTAGGCTAGGGCGACGCGAGCTCGTCCAAAGTTCCCTAATTACCGTTGAGCCTCAGACGGCCCGCAATCGACGACGCCGCCTTCCGCTTGCACATCTGCTGTGATGTCCTGTGATATATTTAGGGTCGCATCACTGCGTTTCTGCTGAGCATAGCTGTCATGTTCATCCAGAGGCCACCGAGCCTGGCCGACGCTGTCGGTGGCACCCCATCTTTCATAACAGTGCTGGAAAGATTGGTTCCGCCCACGTGTTCAGGGAGCTCTGACACCTTCTCTGTTCCATGTCTCAGGCATGAAAAGAGCTCTCTGCGGTGTTGGCCGACGTGGACTTCCTGGGTCAACCAAGTTGTTGGTGCTAGTCTCCTGCCCTGCCCGCCCTGCCCCCGAGCTAGCTACCCCCAAGCTGCTGCACGGACATCTGAAACACCACACATCTTCGTATCCCATAGGGAGACCTAGCCAAGAGGCTTGCGGCTTGGCCATAGCAGACTAGCCGTCCGTGTTGCGGAACCATAGACGGCCAGGATTTGGGTCTTGCCCCGGATTTGAAAAGATATATCCGTGGTGATGCTAAGGGCAGTGCTAGCTTCCGGTCTCGACCTGCAACAATGACGGTTGCCCTTCGCTGACGAGTCCTCGCTGGCATGCCAGTCTCTGTTTGAAGCAAGCCCCCAACCGAGTTGATGATCACCAGCCGGGAAGCCAACGCTAATTCCAGTTCACAGTCGCACTCCATCCCGGCTTGCAGTCCATGCACTGCTATGATCTTCTTCGCCCCCATCCCTGCATGATTACACGCAGGCCATGGGGCGGGAGCCGTCCATGACTTACAGACGAGAAGAGCAGGGCAGCTTGCTCACCTTGCCAGCCACACTTTGTCAACCCATGACCCCTGGCCCCCCCTTACCATGTAGCCTAGATCGTGATATTTGGGTTACCTTCTGCTTTTGGTACACTCCGAGTGTCAAGGCGCCGAGTTGGCCCGGAACCAGGATGCGGCCGTGATTGGTGTCCCGGCTCTTTCGCTCGTCTTCTCGGTCTCGAACAGGATATTTGTGTTTGAGGGGCGGCATAGGACTTACCTATACCCCATCGTGGCCCTCCCGTTTTGCATGTCATGACAGGTACCCGCTTGTTGCCTCACCTGACCGAGCTTTCCTGGTTTCGTTTGCAGCGTAGGGCGTCTCCAACGCCGCGATCGATGAAGATCCCGATCACAGAGCCCGGCATATTTACCTGCATGTTTGCCCGGCTGAGGTGCTCTGCTCTTGGGGGGCCAGATGCGTGTCCTTCTCGTTTTTAACGAACACCGCCGCATGTGGCTACGGACCTCTACACATACTGTTCACCGCCCCAGTGAAGCAAGCGGAAATGTCCGACTTCGAATCAGTACACCAGCTGGCGCAAGCCACGGCCTCCAATAAGGACATCCCAGATGAACTCACGTTCGCGGAGGTCATCAAGAACCGAACGGCTCCTGTTAGTTCAACCATGCCTTTTGCGGGTGAAAGGAGTTCGTGCTGATATCATTCACTAGCCCTGCTCGCTGAGTAACTTCATGGACTACTTGTACTACGTCGAACACAACGCCGAGCCTCTCCAGTTCTTTCTGTGGTACTGTGACTACATCCACAGATGGAGTAGCTTGCTGCCCAGGCAGAAAGCCCTTGCTCCGGTCTGGGATCCAGCCAGGACAGCCGAGCCAAGGTCTCGCTTCATCACATACAGCCACAAGAGGGCTAGGAGTCTGAAGATGAGCAAGATCATCTCCATCATGGAGATGAATTTAGAAAACGAGACGTCTAGCCCGCCTAGAGACGAAGGAAGCCGCAAAAGCACTTCCTCGTCGTCTTTGAGCTCTTCCCGCCCACGAACGCCTCCGTCCGCTGTGCTCAGCCCGACCGAGTCCACAAAGGGAGACTGGCAGCCATGTAAGCAAATCAGCCACTAGAACATGCCACTTGACGGCGGACATGGAAGCTAATCGCCACTAAAAGTTACGATCCAGCCCTTCAGGGACGAAGTCAGCCGCGTCGTGAGGCAGTACATAGCGGAATCCGCGCCTCGCCAGCTGAACCTCGCGCCCCACGACCGCGAAGCGTGCCTGCGAGCCGCTCAGCACACGACACACCCGTCCTCGCTGCTGCCCGCATTCACGGCCGCCGAGGCCAACCTCAGGGGGACGTCTCACCCCAACTTCATCCGCTGGTCCAAGTCAAACGCCAACCGGGCCCGCGTCGTCTTCATCCGCGTCATTGGCATCGTTCTCGTGCTGCTAGGCCTGGGCCTCGACCTGGTCCTGATTCTCTCGCGGCGCAACAACTTCCTGCGCGTCGTGTGCATCGTGCTCTGGTGGCCCGGCTTGGCCAGCCTCATCGCCTCCGTCCACAACCTGTGCCCGGTGCTCCACTTCAACAACAAACGCCAGCTGCGGCCGTGGGAGCTGGTCGACGGCGGCGGCGGCGACCAAACCGACTATGCCTTTGAGCAGCAGCAAGACGAAAACCGCTTCACAACCCCGAACAACAGCAGCATCAGAAAGAGCAACGACGATGACGAAAACGCCGCCGCCGCCGCCATGACAAAGGCCGACCGCATCCGTAGCAGCTACCACTCGCACTGCCGGCAGCACCACTCGCGCAGGGGCACGCAAACCAGCATCGCCAGCAGTACCAGCAGCAACAGCAACACGGACCCGCTGCGCAAGACGAGCCTGCAGACATTCGGGCCACGGAACCAGTACGCGCGCGACGCGGGGTGGGCGGCGGCGGGGTGGGCGCGGCGGCCGCTGGTGCTGGGGAGGATCTTTGGGGAGACGGTGCGCGTGCAGAACGGCGCGCTGCAGCTGCTGCAGGACCGTGCCGTCTTCTTCGCGGTGCTGTACGGCGGGCTGGCGGCGTCGGCGCTGACGGCCGCGTCGCTGTTTGCGCCCGCTGGGAATATGTTTCTCTGACTAGCTGGCTGACTGGCGGCCGGTTGGTCATCATTGAAATCACAGATAGGGGGTTTGATTCGATGTTTTTTTTTTTGGATATGATATGATATATACCCATCACCGCTCCTTTCTTATATAACTTCTTGACTTCACTCCCACTTAAGGGGTTGATTTTTCGTTTCTGCCAGCTAGCTGGGGCATCCACGATCTTTTACGATTTGAATGAATAAGCCACGGACAATATATCAAAATTTCAGAATCTGATTTGTGCAAATAGTATATCATTTTCTCTTGTATGGCTAGATCGCTGCCTAGAAATCACAGTAGCCCCTTTTGAGATTTGCGCACTGGTAACGCCCGTCAATGATGGTATCAAATTCCACATGCCAGACCAAACGGTTAAGCATCCAGACACGACGGCCAGCTCTTTTGTCTTATTCACCCCAAACGCCGCCCAATGCAAAACATCTATAGACCAGGACCAAGCGCCGCAGTCTACGGCCCGCAGGCTGCCGCCTACTGCTCCTTGGCGAGGATGACCTTTTCTCTCTCGCCCTTGCGCTTCTCGAACTTCTTGGCCGAGTGCTTCCTCTCGTTCTCGTCTCTCCGCTTGATGGCGCCTAGCTCCTCGCGCTTGATCTCGCCGGCCTTCTTGATCACCTTGGGGACGTGCCTGTGGCGGCGGATGCGGCGGATCTCGGGCATGTGGCCGTATCTCTCGGTCAGGGCCTCGTTGTACTCGAGGGCTTCTCGCTGCCTTGTCGACTTGACCCCACTCCTCTCCGAGGCATTGGCACGCCATAAGCGGATGTTGCCCTTCGTTCAGAGTTAGCATGCGATCTAGGGGAGAATAGCGAGAGGGTTATCATACGTCGTCGCTCCCGCTAAGGAGGTATTTGGAGTCCATAGTCCACATGGTTCGGAAGACCCTGACAGTATTGGTTAGTGACGTCATATTTTAGTCTGAGACAACGAGAAACAAACCTCTGCATTCTCTTTGTGTGGTAGATATCACGAGATTGACCCTGGTCACGGCGCCATATCCGGATGGTGCGGTCCTATGGTAAGTTGGTTAGAGGAGAGTTTGGCAGTGGGAAAGGGGCAGGTTTGCTTACGTAAGAGCCGCTAACAAGCTCCTCGCCAGTGGGAGAGAACTCAACGTCCATTACGGCAGCAACGTGACCTTTTTGGATGTTCTGGGCTTTGCTGAAATTCCTTGCGTCGAATAGATAGCTAGAGCCCTAGTTAGCAAGCAGTCCGTTATCACCATCGCTTGAGAAGGTTTGGTTACATGTTATGATCTAAAATTTAAAGTCAGCATTGTGCATTTCATCTACTTCTTGTGGTATCTTACCTTCTGAGGCCACAGCCATGTTCATCGCTTCCATGGGGTTGAAGACGATGCGGTTGGACGCGAACTTGAGCACGGTTTTCAAGACGGGCACTGCCAAGAGTTAGGAGAGACCTGACCATCAAAGGGCTGAGCAGGGGCCAAGCATACTGTTTGTCCGCAGATCGAAGAGAATTATGGAGCGGTCGCTGGCGACAGACCCGATAATCGAGGTCTCGACCTTGTTGAAACAGACATCGGTAATCGTATCGGTGTGGTTTGGCCACTGTATCTTCTGAGGGGCGGTGCTGTGCTCTAGGTCCCACACGCTGATGCACCCGGCGCCTGAGGAAGCAGCAAAAACATTGGCAGACCGGTGGAAGGAGAGAGACGTATACGGGCCGCCTTCTTGCCACGAAGCAAGCGGAGCGGAGCTGCTGGGTGAGTTGTACGGATCCCACAACTTGATGCCGTCGGTACCGCAAGACAGGAGTTTATTGTCATTGGTGAAAGTTAACCCCTTGACAATGTTTTCGCTGCCCGATTGGCCTGAGTCAGCCATTGCCCCTAAAGCAGGAGTGTATATATACTGACTGTGCAGAGGTGTGCCAGGACTCCTCTCGTGAGGTGAGGCTCCAGACCTTGACAATACCGTCGGCAGCGCCCGACGCCATAGAGCTCAAAGAACTGCTATTCTGTAGAAAACTGTTAGATGATGTTCTTAGAGAGTGTGTAGGAAATATGTAAGAACAGACCTTGCACATGCTGAACACGCCCTGGACGTGGCCATTTCCCAGCTGTGTGAGGAAAGGCTTCGCAAACATGCGCTCTCTTTAGGACTGTTAGCCAATGGCGAAACACGAGTTTGGCGACAAAGCCGGCTTACAGCTTGACCGAGTTCAACGCTCTTTGGCTATTTCGCAGCGTCAGCACTCGAGGCGCAAGAAGGCCACGACGTCGACGTACTATTCACGGGCTCTCTCGAAGGGGTGGATTTCGGGGGCAAGGTTTCGGGGCGCACGCTGGACATCGGATCCCGGCGCCTGCTGAGCGGTAATGCTCCGACTGAGCGCTTTGATCTATGGAGGCACAGGATATTAGCTGAGGCGCAACAATTCGCTGGGGAGACAGAGCTCATGACAACTGCTGGATGAGGGAGCGGTACCTTCATGATGCCCAGCTGTCTCGACCCTAGACAGACTATTCTCGGAATTGCAAGGTAGTAAGTAGATAGATGCGTGGTTCGTTTAGGCTGCGAGTTTGGTGAGCGGCTTTGCGCTGGGCAGGGCAGGAGCTAAATCGAAGAGCATCAATCGGCATCAGTCGATCGCCATTGCCATATCAGATCGAAGGCCGCCAAACCCTCGAGAAATTTTGGCGGGGTTGGATGGCAGAAACCGGTACCGCCTTCCAGTCACCAGCCACACTCCACACTGACGCCACAGGAATGCGCCAACCAGAGTTCATTACGTCGTGGTAAGGCAACCTAGCCTAGCTGCATCCGGCAAGTGAGGCTGGACTTTTGGAGCTGTCCTGCCTGCGACCACAATGTCCTCGTCCCCAACACCCGCCGCTAACTGGCTAACAACAATAACTTTGCGAACACTTCCCGGCCCGACACAACACCTTAACACAGCACAGCACACTGCAAGCACGTCGCATACTCCGGCTACCTAGCTCGATTGGCCCCATCCGATAACGCACGCACGACGACAAGCCCGGCACGGCCCCGACACAATCATAATAACTGCAGTAATGGCGCAGGGCGACTCGGAGAGGGTGGCTGTGGCGGCGGCGCCCAAGGATGCGCGGAAACAGGAGGCCGTCTACAAAGAGATCCTTTCCAAGCCGCCATCAGTCACCTCCGACGCCGCCATCCGAGATTACGAGAGCGCCTTGATTGGCTTGGGGGAGCTCTATCGCGATGAGAAGTAGGCAACGTCCACCCAGCACCAACCCGGAGTCGAATGTGGAGGACACTCGCTAACCTACATCGCTCGGCTGCAGGAACTCACAGGAGCTCGTTGGCTTGGTGACAAAGAGCCGGACAGTCCTCTCGTCGTTCGCAAAGGCAAAGACGGCTAAGCTGGGTTAGTTGCTCCTCACCCCTCTCTCACTTGACCCGTCGCCGACAGCTGCTGACCCGCGCCCGGCCCGGTGCGTCCAGTCCGCCAACTGCTCGACCTCTTCCACGACATACCAAACACAACCGAGATCCAGATCTCGGTGACCAAGTCATGTATAGAGTGGGCGACGTCGGAGCGCCGCGGGTTTCTGCGGCAGAACCTCGAGACGCGGCTCGTGACGCTGTACATGGCGAAGCAGTCGTACTACGAGGCGCTAACGCTCATCAACGGGCTACTGCGCGAGCTGAAGCGGCTCGACGACAAGCTAGTGCTAGTCGAGGTGCAGCTGCTCGAGTCGCGCGTCTACCACGCGCTCGGCAACATCTCCAAGGCGCGGGCGGCCCTGACGAGCGCGCGCACCAGCGCCGCCTCGGTCTACACGCCGCCCCTGCTGCAGGCCAACCTCGACATGCAGTCGGGCATGCTGCACGCCGAGGACAAGGACTTCAACACGGCCTTCAGCTACTTCATCGAGGCGCTCGACGGCTACCACACGCAGGACGAGCCGCAGCGGGCGCAGGCGGCGCTGCAGTACATGTTGCTGTGCAAGATCATGCTCAACCTGGTCGACGACGTCAACAAGCTGATGGCGTCCAAGCAGGCCATGAAGTACGCCGGCCAGTCGCTCGAGGCCATGAAGGCCATCGCGCGCGCGCACTCGAACCGCTCGCTCGAGGAGTACGAGCGCGCCCTGGCCGCCTACAAGTACGAGCTGGGCGGCGACGCCTTCATCCGCAACCACCTGCACCGCCTGTACGACGCCATGCTGGAGCAGAACCTGATCAAGGTCATCGAGCCCTTCAGCCGAGTCGAGATCGACCACATCGCCAAGATGGTCGGCCTCGACACGCAGCAGGTCGAGCGCAAGCTGTCGCAAATGATCCTCGACAAGGTCATCATCGGCGTGCTGGACCAGGGAGCCGGCTGCCTCATCATCTTTGACGAGACGCACCGCGACGAGGCCTACGACTCGGCCCTGGCCACCATCGAGAAGCTGAGCAACGTCGTCGACGTGCTCTACACGAACCAGGCCTCGATGCTTGAATAGTTGCCGGCCCGAATGTTGGAATTAGTTTCGGGGAGCGTTCAGGCGCGGTCTGGTTTTTGCTTCCATTGTCTCCCAAAAGGAGGGGCAGCGGTGGTGGTTTGTACTGTAAGATTAGGTACGCAACTGACGCATACACATACACACGCAAACAAGTAGAGCGACGGATATCCATGCATTCCTCAATGAAAGTGAGAGTGACTTTCTCACTCTGCCAGGTCATTGACGGCAGGCACCATGCAGATGCTGAAGGTGTTTGTTCATGGTGCTTGATACCTCTTCACGTAAAGCAGTAGACGCGGAGAGGCGGAGGGGGGAGAAGACTCAGAATACAAGAAAGAGATGTTTTAGTTCTCTCCCAAACGCCCCGCCCTGTCTCTGTCGTAACCAAAAAAGAGAAACATGGATAAATAATGTCATTACGCAAAACCGATGACAACAAACTCCTGTCCTAATACGCACCTTACATACGCAGGTAACTTGAACAAGTAATCCCTTTCACAGATAACGCCTTAACCCAATCCCAGTCCCAGTCCCGATACACCAACACGCCTCCTTCCTTCCTGCCTGCCTGCCTGCCTGGATAGATTTTAAGAATAAAGTTCCCACTGACAGACTTTTTTTTAAATTAAAAAAAGCCAGAAGAGAAAAAAAGAGAAAAGCCTATCCCAACCATTACAATCAGGATACAAACTGAATTGAAAACCAAAGGTTCACACATCGACGGGGCGGTGGTCTCTCCTAAGCGGCACCTTGCCGTCGCGCCTGCGCTGCTCGCCGACGAGGAGCGCGAACAGGCGCTTGGCGAGGGCCGTCTCGTCCCATCCGCTCCCGTTCCCGCCGTTGGTACCCACCTCGGTGGCGAAAGCGGCGACGACGTCGAGGTGCCACTGCTCGAGGGCCACAGACTCGCCCTGGGCGGTGACGCGCTTACCGAGCAGGCGGCGGGCGGTGGCGGCGCGCTGGCGGGCGCGGGCGGCGGCGGATGCGGCAGGCGGGTGCTGCAGCTGGAAGTGCAGGGCGCCGAGGTGGCGGCGCGCCTGCAGCAGCTCGTCGAGGCGGAGCCAGTGGTCGCGCGACCACTCCGTCTTGGAAAGCGCCGCGCGGGCTGCCGCTACGGTGCCGGTGCTGCCGCTCTTGTTGCGTCTGCTGGTGGTTGTTGGTCGTCGCGCCTCGGGGTTAGAAGCGGACGGCGATGCCGAGAACGAGAATGCCTCTGGCACCGCGCGGGAGCCTGTCGGTTGCTGCTGCTGCCGCTGCCGCTGCCGCCGCCGCTGCTGCTCGGCCTCTTCTTCCGCGCTTTCCTCGTCATGCTGGTTCTCCTTGTCATCCCTAGTGACAGCCAGGCCGCCTCTTGGCGGGGAGGGGCTGGCCTCCTTCTCGGGGGACGCGCTGGCCCGCCGCTCGGCACGCACCTGGGCCTGTGCCAGCGGAGAGAGCGTGCTGCTGGTGAACTCGACGACGCGGCCGGGGGTCTTGGGCTTCAGGGGGGAGCGCATGCAGGTCTTGGTGGGCGACATGGCTCGGTCCGGCCGGGGCCTGGCATGCGGGCGCATCAAGTCTAGCTCTGGGCTCGTACTGGAGGGCTGCCCTTGCTCGTCCTCGGGAGGGGGTGCCGGGTTTAAGAAGAAGTTGGAGACGCGGCTGTCGCCAAACAAAGAGTTGCCTGGCGCTGCCGCCGCCATAGGCTTGAACAAGTCGTTCTTGGACCGGCGCAGAGGCGTAAAGTTCATCTTCTGTGGGACGTGGCCGTACATGGCGTTCTCGGGAGAGCTGGAGGGCGAGACTTGCGCGGCCGGTGCTGCTCTGCCGGCTGGCTGTCGGACAGGTGAGAACAAGTCGGGGCGGCGAGGTCGGTCCTCAATGTGAAGTTCCTTTTGGGGGACAGACCGGGGCAACTTTTGAGCTCGGGGTTGTGGTTCTTCGGGCTGTTCAGTGGCCAAGTTGTTTCCAGCTGTCTGTGTCGCCGAGGCAGCCTGAAACCCTTGCGAGGCCGACGGCCGATCTAGGGGGTTTTCCGTTCTCCGGGCGTCTAGAGCCTTGAACAATCCAAAGCCGGGTGCTGGAATCTCTGGAAGTGCGGCCGGCGATGAAAAGAATGCCGAGAGATCCACCTTTGTGGGTAGGGCCGGGTTTCGAGGATTTCTCTGTTCTTCTCGGAGCCCCTGAGAGATCATGCTAAACTCGTCGGCCTCGTTTGACCGCGAGTTCTCCATGGCCAGTTGGTGCAGCTCGTCGCTGTACATCAACCGTTTGCTATTCTTCCTCCAAGGGCTTGGCAGCTTGCTCCTCCGAGGGGGGATGAAAGACTCTTCCCGCCTAGACGACGCGTTCTCGGTTGAAGCCAGGGCTGTACGCTGTGCTTCGATAGCCCAAATATCATCGTCGTCGTCTTCTGCCACTTCATCGTCTTCCAGGTCCAACTGCGGGCCAGATGATTCGTCCTGGCTCATGTCTTCTGGTCTCTCTGCTTCGCTATCTCCTGGTCCATCCATCTCATCCTCATCACCAACCGAGGATCCTTGAGCAGCATTAACACTCGAGCTGGCAGACGGAGACCTCTCCTGGCCGCCAGCCCTGCTGGGACTGCCCTCTGCCTCCCAGCTCATGGCATCGCTGTCGTTGACCTCTGGGGAAGTGGCTCTAGCAGGGCTGACAACGCTTCCGCTATCACCCACGCCCACACCCTGGCCACCGGCTCTTGATTTGCTTCCGAGATTGAATATCGATATGCGCACGGAACCCGGTCTAGACGACTCGGACGGGTTGGGAGCAAACGGGTCTTCCATGCCCGCGGTCGGGAAATTCCGCGGCGAAAAGGCTTGGGCACCTTGGACAACCAGGTTCTTAAGCTGGCTTAAAGGCGCAAGCCACGACTTTTCCGGTTGCTCGGCCGGAGCGTCAACCTGGGTTGGCGAACGAGGTTGGGCAACCTGGGCGGCAGGAGCATCAACCCGGGCCGGCGAAGGAGATTCAACTACTTGAGTAGGTGGCAGTACCGGCGACTGGCTAGATTTTGTGACCGATCTCCGAAAGGGACTCCCCAAGACGCTGTCTCTTGCTGGAGGTGACGGGGGATCAGACGTGACAAGTTGCAAGGCTCGGCCTGCCCGCACAATTGGGGACAGGGTTGGCCGCGGCTGGACCTCTGGGGGTGCCAAGTTTGGTACTTGGGCGTTATGAGCTGCCACGGCGGGGGACGAGAAGGATGATTGCTGCTCGGCTGGGGTTTCGGTCGAGTTGGTTCTGGAGTGACGCATGACGGACACATTGTGGTGTTGCTGTGGGACGTCGCTGCTGATGGGGGGAGACGAGCGGACGTCGGTTTCTTGGTCAGGGGCCGGCTCAGTGGGCACTGTTTGTTTTGGGTCGTCCTTGTTGTCGGACTGAAGCGGGGAGGGTGTCTCCTCGGGTGTCAACAGCCTATTCGACTCAAATTGGGGATTGGAGTGATTCACTGTTGAAGGCCGTTTGACAGACGGCTGAATGTCCATGTAGGCATCTTGTTCTCCGGCCTCGGCTTCGGGCACCCGTAGTCGCCGCGGTGTTGCTGCGATAAGGACCTGTTCGGGGATTTCCGAGAAGGAATCGTCGTATATGCTCGTTTCGTGTGCCTCTGTGGTCTCGGGAACTGCAAGACGATGTGGCGAGCCTATTGAATCTCCCTGGTGCAGTGATTTGAGAGCCAATTGTCTGCTGAGGGGCTGGGCTTTTGGCCGACGGGGACTTCGTGTGAACGCCTGCGGTGACTGTGGCTGTGATTGTGGTTGCAGCTCCTGTTGCGCCGGTTCCTCGTCCGGCTGGACATCGGCGTTCTCGCGGGGTTCGGCTTCGGCATCGGCAGAGGATGGCTGCGGTTCGGGAATGTCGTCTACTGGTCGGTTATAGCTCTGCCTCAAAGCCTCCAGAGTCCTGTTGATGATCAAGCTTGTGGCATCGCCAATATCCTGGTGCTCGGGGGCCATCATGCTCGAGTTTGGCTGCATGGACGGCAGGGAGCCAATGGAGATCATGGTGAACTCCTCGGCTACCACCGTGTCCTCCCGGTCCTGCAGATCGAGGCCGTCGCTAGCCAAGGATTCAGCCTCGCTGTGTGGATCCATGCCGCCGCCGTAGGAGTAAGCATCGTGCTGCGAGAAGTCCATCTCGGACGGGGGAGCATCTGAAGGTGCCTGGGCCTGCTCCGGTTCTGTCTCCAGTTCTGGCTCTGGCTCTGGCTCTGGTTCCGGCTGATCCAGAGCGGGTAGCATTTCATCGTCCCTTTTGTGCGATCGGCGGCCGACGGGACTTGGCTGGTCCGATAGGGTGGCGAGCCAGATGTCGTCCTCCGTGTTGTAGGCTTCGCTGTTGTGGGGCTCTTCGAGCGGCTCGCCTCGGGCAACCGAGAAGTTGTCATCCGAAGGTGCCACGGATGCATTATCCTCCACCCCACCGTCGGCATTGCTCTCCTGCTCCGACAGCGGCACAAGGTCCTCAGATGCCGTCGCTGCGTCTTTCCTCGGGCGACCTCTTTTCCTCGGCTGCGAGGCTGGTGCGCCGTCGTCTTTTGCCGGCGAAGTCGCCTTCCGCTTCGGCGTCCGCCCTGGCCGGGATTTGGCGCGCGGAGTGGCCAGCTCGTCTTCGGCGCCAATATCCGACGTCGCAACATGCTCTAGAGAGGCCCTCGGCCCACCCGTCTTGCTAGCAATCTTGGGCGCGGGAGTTGGCGGGCGCTTGCGGCGAGTTGTAGTTGGGGTGCCCGACAGACGTGGCTTTGGTGGCCTCCCCCTACGCCTGGAAGTGGGCGCGTCACTTGTGGCGTGGGCCTCGTCGTCGGTCAAGCCGCGCAGAGGCACCGTGGTGGTAGTGGTGCTAGCCGAGGGCTTGGATCGCCGGACAGATCGCTTGGGGGTTGGGGTCCCAAACAGACGGCGGCTGGTCTGGGAGGCGTTGGCATCTTCGGCCTCGACGGTGACGAGGATTTTCTGGGGGGCCAGGTCGTTGCCGACGTCGAGCTCGAACGTCTGCTTCTTTGGCGAGGGGCCGAGGGAGAAGAGGCGCTGCGAGGCCTGGCTGCGTGTCACCCGCCGCGACGGCGGTGTCAGGATCGACTCGTTGAGAGGGTCGGGCGACGACATGAGGCCGGCGAGCGACGCCATGCTCCAGTCGGCCGCCATGGTCCAACTCGCGGTGTGCAGTCGCAGTGCAGTGCAGTTACAGTCCTGAGCAGTGCTGTGCAGTCGAAACGAAACGAATCAATCAATCAATCAATCAATCAATCAATCAACCAAAATACAAAATAAATGTCTAACACGCAACACGCATCTAACAGAGAGACGTAGGTCGTGGCGCGTCGTGTCGCCTATCGCGTGGTCGCTATCGATACGGATTCCAAGGATGCTGCAAAAGTCGGTGGGGATGGGATGGGGGGCCATTTGTCGAGACGACTGACTGTCCCGTTGCTATTTTCACGTCTCAGAAATGCACACGAGCCACACTGTTTACTCTGCTCCCGATTGGGAAAGGCTCGCCTGGGCCCTAGCTTGGCGGGCTTCGGCAGCTTTGGGCCAATCAGCCGCTAGGGACGCCGAGTCTGGTGCCCGAATCAGTCATTCACTGCTGGTAGCTTATTCCGTAGTCCGTACAGCTCCTGTCCTGGTTTGCCATGTAAAACAGTAAAAGCCCACGGATACCTTATTACCAAGTAGACTCTAACTTGGCATGGCAGATGGAGCTAGACGCCATGCAGTATCCGTACTTCTGCCATCCTATCCTACCTCCCTCGGAAGAAAAACACCCACCGCACACCCACTACAACTTTACAAGACGCCCGACTTGTAATCACACCTCATGTTCACGTCACAGATTGCTCGTTATCACCCAAACATGGAGACATACAATATTGGCAAGGCCTGTTCCTTTGAATGCTTCAATTTCAGCTTTGATCTCTCACTCAAAAGTGTCTTACACGAAAGATAACAAGTCAATAAATGACGTAGTGGCCGGCGCAATGAACGCCGCACAGCCCTCCCCGTCATGTCGCGGGGTGAATATTGGATGTGGCTTTTGAGCAACCCAGCACTGCACGGCTTGGCTTCAATACTGCGCCTGCAGTGGCTGCCGATTGGTGTGCCTGTGCCCGCGAGGCTCTGACCGGCTCTCTGAGACGGCCTGCACAGCCCGCTTCAAAAGTCTAGACTCGCTGTGTCAGGGCGTGAAACATGGTCTAGATTTCCGACGACAGTTCTTGGCAACCAGCAAGCACGGGTCTCAGAGCCTCGCGGACATATCACACTTCCACACCAATAGGCAGCCACTGAAGGCGCAGCATGTATTGGGTTACCCTTGGGAATGGGTGATGGTGTCGGTTGGGGCCCGCGAAGTGAGGCTCTGGGCTTGGTTGACTACTATTCCGGAGGTGTATATAATCTCAAACAAATTCGCCTTTCTGTGCCGTCTTGAAGCTCTCTTGTCCAGATCATCAAGTCAAAGCACACACTCAAGAACGCAACTACAATCTGCACCAAAGAACCACCGCCAAGATTCGCTCGGGACAACGTGCAATCCATCTCCAACTCATCTAAACACACGCACACCACTCATCACGCGGCCCCATCCCCCTTTACAACTACAAACCCAAAGTAACTTCCAAACCCCACACTCTCAACCATGACTTCCATCACGATCAAGGTACGTTTCCCCTCAATCCATTTCCAAACACCTCATCCCGACACTAACCTCCCGACTGCACAGACTCAGTTCCCTTCGGTCCTCTTCCTCTTCATCGTCTTCATGACCTTCAGCGGTTTCGCCGTGGCTATAGACCCCGTCGAGGCTATCCTGGATTTCGGCTCGCACATAGCGCGAGAGGCGGCGTCCAAGTTCTGGGAGTGGGTCTCGTCTGGCGAGGCCCCCGACGACATTGTCGACGTGGTGACGACCGTTGCCGACGTGTTGTCCTAGGAACACATCGGGTGGGTGGGGTGACGATGGGAGAGAAAATGAGGACACACGAGATTAATGCGGGCATGGACTTTCTTTTTGGACTTGAGCTTGGGAATATGGCGTGGGAACTTGCATGGGATTGGATTGGAGTTTACTGTGATGGTCAATGGTATCGCGCGGCTTGTATATTTCACGCTGAGCTCTGTTTTAATTGCGCTTGCATTTATATGCTGTTGTGAATATGTATCTATATCAAGTATGAGCTGAGCTATTACACTCAATCTGAACTTTGTGGACCTCGGAAGCCACAACGACACATCATGTCTTTTCCTGCTTGTTGCTGAAGCTTGAGAATATGAATAATGGGTCGGTCGTTGCTCTGTTCAACTTCTGCATTGGACCAGCCACTAGCACCAGTTAAAACCGCTAGCCCCTGATGATTCGAGGATTGATCTCTTGTGGCATCTGGGCCAATACTTAATTCTCTCTGCTCTTTCACCAGACGTTGCTCAACGAGGGCCAATCTAACCTTTTTACACGATTCGCCTTAGATCCGTTCAGCCCTCAGAGATTATTCTTAGGGTTAGATTTGAAATGTCCCGATCTAACAAACATCCAGAAATTGGACCGCAGGTTGGTAATGAACCGTTTCTACAGGGCCCACTGCTTGGCCAAAGCCCAACACCGAAATTTATGGAAAACTTCCTCCTCTCTTCTACATAACCAACCGCACAACACCTCTTCCCAAATCTCCAACCGTCATCGATTCTCACAAGCAATCCGATAATAACCCCCACGCGTGCGCACGAGAGATTAATGGCTAATTCGTTACGGGTTGTCTATCGGTCTGTCGCCATGCCGCTGAAACGGAAGGCTGACGATTGCGCGCCTCTGCCGATCGAGTCAAAGTTCCTCTACAATCGCTCCATCGACTGGGTGCCTCATCCGCTTGCAGATTTGCCCGTTGCCGGACCCTCGACAACTACCCATATGCCCTCGTATGACTCCCCTGAGTCGAGCTCGCAGCCGTCAGATTCACACTTTCCAACAACGGATGAAGAGCTAAAGCGGCGGTTCGCCGCCTTTCTTCAAGGCGAAATTGTTGCTCTTTCTAGCCGCCCCAAAACCACAGCGCGTGCTAGCGAATTGAAAAATCTATTCGCAATACAGGCTATAGCCCTCGATCCGTCCTCGAAGTTGGCTCATATACGTCTGAGGGATATTGAGGAGTCTATACCGCTCGACGATTTCTTCCGGGGTCAATTGTTCGTGTTGATTACACTGGTCGAAAAGATTACCGGCATCTAGATCAACCAGCCTATCGAGAAAGAGGAAGAGGGAGGAGAGCAAACATCAACCAAAAGCAAAGGCAAAGGCAAAGCGGAAGACCGCAGCAAAGAGGACAAAACAGTCCAGCGGATGGTACCACCTTGGTACCAGAACTGCTGCTCCTTAACCGGCGTTGAGGCAGTTGACGCCGTACACATTGTCGATGTCCGAGCAATAATATCCATGAATAGCCCTATTAACTTTTGGTGGGTACTTCGGATGTTCTGGCCTTTGGAAGCCATCCAACAGCTCGACATCGCCGGCCATGAGAAACGGAACATTCTCCCGTTGTAGCCTACCGCCCATCGGCTCTGGGACCGGCATAAATTTGCCCTCCGTCCCATCCAGCACCCAATCAATCCAGAGCATAAGATGTACCTTCAAGTCGTCTGGTTTAAAGAACGGCATACCGAGATAGGTCTTGCTAGTGGCGGCCAGGGTTATAGCAAGGAGACTAACTTGATGGATCGTAAGCGGACGATACAGGACTCGATTGGGGCCAGCGCCAGATATGTCGTACACGGCGATATCTATGAGTTAAGCACGTCTGACTCGGAGAAACGCCCGCTACCACACATCCGCTTCTTCCAGATGCGATATGCCATGCAACAGATATTTACCGGTATAAAAGCCGCCGGAGCCCTTCAAGCTATCTTTGGCGGCGACCCCCCGGACGATCACATACCAGGTTCGGTTCGAAACGAGGCATTTTTACCTACCGATTGGGACGATATGCTCAAAGAGGCTCTCGAGCTCGGCATCTTGAACGAGAGGACAGAAGCAATTTGGAGAAAATCCCTTCTCGAGATGGCGTACCATGAAGCTATATGGAAAGTTCAGTTTCCTAAGCGATTGCAAAGAGAGCTAGGCGAGAGCGATTCCGATCTGGAGGCCTCAGGAGAGGAGTGCGTGGATACCTCAGGAGAGGAGTGCGAGGACGACTAGAAGTCATGCTCCAACACCAGACTCCCAGCGCTGCGTACAGATAGTGTTCAGGTTAGCCAACATACCAAGACGGGCAGCGGGATTAGTAGTCTCAAGGAGGAGGAGAAGGAGGAACGTCTACCAATACAGCAGAGCAAGCATGATAATGGCCACAATAGCCACGAGGAGAAGATGGAGAAGTAACGTCTACTAATAGAGCAGAGCAAGCATGACGATGGCCACGAGGAGCAGAAGGAGAAGGAACGTCTACTAATAGAGCAGAGCAAGTATGACGATAGCTACGAGGAGCAGAAGGGGATGCCGGAGGGAAGAGAGAAGGGAAAGCAGAAGATGAGTATTAGTACGGACAAGGACAAGGGCACTGACAATGGCGAGGGGGAGACGCTTACGCTCACGCCCAAGGCTCTCCAAGCTGAGCCTCAAGGGAAGCTACCGCAAGCTCAAGGAGGTATCGGGCAAGTTCAAGCGGTCTCGAGTTGTGTCGTTATTCCAAAATCTGAGGGACGAGGAGTGGGTCGGAGAACAGGAGTACTGGGAGGTATTCATAGTTATCTAGTCTATGAATCACACCGAAGGCAAGAGAGACGGTCCGGCGGTCCTTCACACTCTTCTCTCAAAGCTGCACGACTCACTTCGTAAAGGATGCGGGGTACTAGCGCGAAACTACTTCAGTCCCGCGGCCAGATGTGATGCCAGCTTGGAGCCTGCTAAGTCATCGCCGCCAATTACTAATAAACGCAGGCAGCTAGCTCGGATTTGCCGTTTCGCCTCTGCTGCTTTTGGGGGAGGGCGGGGAATCTAGATTATCCATTCAACGTACCCGACAGTAGGCGCGCCCTTTGCACCACCACGGTACCACCCCCAGCTATGACGTGATCGGGACGGCTAGCGAATGGCCTCGCCCGCCCGCTCCGCTTCCGTGTGTAAGTCGGGGATTCGGAGAGTGTTTGGCCCAAACTCTGTTATTCAGTCCTCTTTTCCCTCGCCTGCTTTGAAATGTATGCAGATCCGGACATGGCCGATTGAATGGCGCAGAGTATTCAGGAACACCTAATTATAACCAGAGATTATGTGAATAAATATTATATATATGTTGGCCTCCTTCGGCGCTACTTCAATCCTATCTATCTCTCTAAGCGCAACTACTCTAACCACTGCATCTCTATTGCCGTCACCCTCATACCTCCAAATTTGCGTACTTGTTCTGCGTGTAATCCATCACTAAAGCTCACATCTGCGAACAGCAAAACTTCGAGACAGACGCCACCCTCCGTATCCAAGTCCAGATCAAACCTGAGCAACACCGCTCTACCCCTATATCTCTCCGTCCCCCCAAAACTAAACACAAACACAACCACCACCACCACCATAAATAAGAAATGGCCATCTCAGAGCAACAGCCACAGAAGCCATCTCACGACTCGCGCGTCCCACGAGGTCCTGTAACCGCCACCCTCAACTTCTACTCGCCGCCGTCCGACGGCTCCGCACCATTCAACCACGTCGACACGCCGCCCGCGGGGCTCCCGCAGCGCAACTTTAGCGACGCGGCGCACGCCGTCCAGCTGCACGACGCGCGGGGCTCGGAAACCAGCTTCACGCTGGACAACGACGCGTTCGCTATCGTGCAGAACGTGCCCCCGTCGGCCGAGAAATCCTTCACCGACGACGACTCCATCCGCGCCACCTACTACCCCGAAGTGAAACAATTGCTGCTGTCCCAAATCCCGGGCGCGGACAAGGTCGTCATCTTCGACCACACGATCCGGCGCACATCGCCATCGGCGCCGCGCGGGCCCGTGCAGCGCGTGCACGTCGACCAGACGGCGCCGTCGGCAGCGCAGCGCGTGCGGCGGCACCTAGACGCACTCGAAGCGGCGCGGGTCTTCGAAGGGGTGCGGTACCGGATCGTCAACGTGTGGCGGCCGCTCAACACGAACCCGGTGGAGTCGTTCCCGCTGGCGTTTGCGTCGTCGGCGAGCGTGGCCGATAGCGACGTGGTGCCCGTGCAGCACCGGTACGTGGCGACGGGGTACGTGGGCGAGACGGCGGCGATCCGCAACGCGCCGGACCAGCAGTGGTACTATCTCAGTGGCATGACGGGCGACGAGCGCATATTGCTCGAGTGCTTTGACAGCGCGGCGCTCGTTCCGGGGTCCGGCGTCAAGGGCGGCCGTGTCGCGCACACGGCGTTTGCGGATCCGCGGACGCGCGGCGATGCCGAGGGCCGCGAGAGCATCGAGGTGCGGGCGTTGGTGTTTGGGCCTTGAGCATTCTTACGAGTTAGGATAGATGTTGGAGTTGGTGTTACATGTCTTGAATCGGCAGGCGGTGCGGGAGGGCGGCGAGGGCGAGCTTGAAAATAATTTGTGACACTGCTGTAAATGATGTCTTTTCTTCAAACACTGGCGTTTGGTATAAAAATGCTATTATATTGTCTCTACCCCCCTTCAGTATAACACATTTCATTGATGATGATGCTCAAAGTCGTGGGTATAGAGCGAAAGCTACTCGGTAAGCCAGATGAGAAAGCCTGAAATCCAAATCCGCACAAAACTGCCACGATGTTTGATCGCTTGATCCATCAGCCGCTGATGATAAGCGACAAGTCCGCCGTCACGAAGAACATATCCTTAAAAAAAACGCCATGCATGTGGCTCATAACCGTGCCCGAGTGGCACTCCTTGATGCTGTCATTCCCCCTTTTCCCCCCCCCCCCCCAAAAAAAAAAAACACAAAGTCCCCGCAAACACACAAGTTAACCACCGCGAGTCGGCCGCCCTTTTCGGCTGCTGCTGCGGCTCATGGGCGCACCGTTTGCGCTGTTTTGCCGGCTTAGGGGCACACCACCAACTGGCGCCACAACTCCCTTGGCGGGGGATTGCTGTGCCGGCGTGCCTGAACGGCCCAGCTTTGAGGGCACACCCTCATGTGCCCCGCCTTGGTCCGCGCCGTGATTGGGCTCCGGTACCGCTGGAAGGCCGAGCCGCTTTCGGACTTCGTTCTCGGCTGGCCGTTCCCCTTGTAGATACGACACGAACCGCTGGTCGCGCACCGGCATGGACGCTGCCTCTAACAACTTTCGGCTCCCATTCTCTGCCGCAAAATTCGAACCGACCCCATGGATCTGGTCGTAGTGGCGCAACGCCTGCATAACCTTCCAGTCGCCATTGACGTCGTCCACGTTGAGCGCCGAGGGACCGTTGAACTCTGTGCCCTTGGCATGCCCCTTGACGTATGTGGACGGGAATGTCGGTGGGAGCTTGGGGTCGGCCCCCAGCATGCGCTCAAAATTGCCTGGGAAGTCAAAGTTTGCGAGCGCCTCCAGCCCCATAAGCTTGTCGTCGGTAAAGTTAGGATTGTTTGCCCCTGCGCGGCCACTGCGTGTCGCGTGCGAGACGTTCCGCTCCATCGCCGGGGCGTAATACGGGACATCGTCGTCCCAATGTTCGCCAACGTCAGAGCCGCTGCCCTCGGAGAAGGCGAGAGGCACGCCATGCTCGTCGAACTTGGGCTTGTGTGTCAGCATATGCTTGTGCGCAGCCACGGCAGCCGTATTGTAGGTCATGGACAGCTCCTTGTCTGTGAAGAGTTTGTCGATGCTGTATACTGGGCCCTCGACCTTGCGCATGGCCAAACGATCATTTTGCCAGAGAGGTGTGGTCGTCGATGGGTCAAGGGCGCGGCGTTGCGGGGCCGGCGATCCGTCGTCGTCGTTGTGGCCGCGCTTCCGTTTCTTGCCGTCAATCGAGGGAATCTCCTCCACCTCTCGTCGTAAGCGTGTCGCTCTCTTGCTATGTGTGCCTCCGGGGCTGGCGGGGTTTGCCACGCTGAACTGGTTGGGATGCAGCAGCAAGGCCGGAGACTCTATCTCGAGCGCCTCCTTCTCCTTGTTCAGCCTGAATTTTTTAGTCGTGATGGCATTGATCAGGCGATCGCGCAACGTCTGGGACAGAGATCGGTATTCGCGGTTCGCCGTCTCGACCTTGTATGCATGCGTAGCGAGGTATTCGGACGTCTTCTTCTCATAGTCAAACTGCGTAAACGGGTTAGCTTAGTCTGGGACAGCAAGCGGCCGAGGGAGCGGGGTGGGAAGCGAGCATACCTTATACTTTGTAAGTGCGTAATCACGCTGCTCAACAAGATCTTGGACCTTTTCCATCCACTGTGAAAAGTGCGGGCCGGCCATCTCGAGAAGAGTTCGCGGCCCCGAGCCATTCTCCGAGTCGCCATTCAGCTGCTGGAGCCGCCTCTCGTCTTCTTCGAAGCCGTCCATGGGCCGATCGACGTAGGGGTCCATTCTCATGACTAGATTGGTGTCAATTTGGATCTTCTGTAGCTGCTCGCGGAACGCCTGATCGCGGTCCTTGCCAAACTTCTCTGAGAGGACGGCGAGCCGCTCAGTCAGCATGTTCCGGCGCTTGTCCCGCTTGGACTGGGTCGGCGCGGGAGAGCCGTTGAGGCGGCGGTCAGGGCGGTGAGGTGGCGCTTCGGCCATGGCGGCATCGGTAGTGGCCATGGTAGATCTGATGTAGAGTGAAGAGTGTCGAGTAGAAAGAGAGGCGAGAGGGGGCAGCGGAAGGATGTGCTGGTCGCTTGAATCAGCTCACTGGCGACTGAAGCAAGGCGCGCGGACAAGCCGGGGGATTAAGAGAGGGCTTGCCCTAGACTAGCAGAAAGTGCTGCGTGCGAATTGGAAAAGAATAAAGGAGGGCCTTGGGTTTTGTAGAGGCTTGAGCATGGTCCTGTTGCAGGCGGTTCTTGTAAGTGACTGGGTTGACACTATTTCAGGTCAGGGCGTCGGGCGAGCAAGACGATACGAGGCGGATGGGCTTGCGCGGGTGTAAATGCCAATGGATGGGGGCCTGCTAAAGTGGTAAAATGCCCAGGGCAGCCGACGGCCGGCTGGCGTTGCCGTCCATGCCCTGAACTGCTGGTCACTCGGCCCACTGACACTAACAGATGGCTTGGCTTGGTCGAGCAATACTATAGGAGTGGGGCTGAAGCGTGTTAGTCAAAGGCGGTGAGCCAGTGGGGGCAATTCGTTCTACCCCAAGTCCAGGCTAGCCTCACACCTTTACCTAAGTAGAGGGGGTGTTTATACACTAGGAGTGCAGTGCTCCACAGCTAAGATCAGCCCAACTCGATTAGGTAGTGGGGAGCTGAGCGCTGTACGTTGCTTTTAGCGGGTGCAGTGTAGTGCAGTTGCAGGCGCGGTGCGGTGCTGTGGTGCGGGCGCTGTTCGTGCCACATTGGAACAACCGTGCCGTCTCCGTAAGGCAAGGTAAGGTAGCTCCATAATTTTTGGGCCATGATGCAACAGCGGCAGTCTTTAAACCTTTCATTCTTCCGCACCCAACAACACAACACAACGCAACGCCACGCACCTCCGCTGCCCGAACCTAAGCTCTCGACGCAGATGGACTGGACGACCCGACGACTCCGCTTTGCATGCTGCTCATGACCTGGTTCTCGTAAATGGAGAATCTCTCGCTTTCCGACCTGCCACCTCACGGCGCGGGGGGGCTCCCGCAAGCCCCGGCCCCAGGCCCCGGCCCCGGCCCCGGCCCCGGCCCCGGCCCCGGTTCTGCTGCCCCTCTGGGCCGCCCTCCCCAGCCCCAGCAGCTGCCCGCCCAGATGTTCACCACGGCCGCCCAGCTTCTCGATCTTACCGACAGTCAGCCGCCACCACCCCCGACCCCATGCAGCTTCCCATGCCCGTGTCCATGTCCGTGTCTTTGTGCGCCTAGCTAACCATACACTCGCGCGAGCAGAGAAACTGATGGTGGCCCTGCGCGATGGACGGAAGCTTCTGGGTATCCTGCGAAGCTGGGACCAATTCGGTACGCCTACCCACTCACGCGTGATGATGTGTCGTATTGCTGTCGATCTGACCGGGCCTCCCTCTGCTTTTCTCTTCTAGCCAACCTGGTGCTGCAGTCGACCAAGGAGCGCATCTTTGTCCCGCCCGGCGCCGGGCCCGACTCGACGCGCGGGCTGTACGCCGACATTGAGCGCGGAATTTATCTAGTCCGTGGCGAGAACGTGTTACTGCTAGGCGAGATCGACCTCGACAAGGACGACGACGCGCCCCCGGGCTACGAGCTGGGCGACGCCAAGCTTGTCCAGGCGCTGGCCAAGCAGATCAAGATCTCGGAGAAGACCAAGGAGAAGTCAAAGGTCAAGAAGCTGTCGACGCTGGGATTTGAGGGAGAGAACTTGGGCGAGGTGCTGCTGTGAGACCGGAGGGTTGGTTATAACTAGATGACGACGCGTACCATGACTACCAGACGCGCCAATTGTCGATATATCCAATAGGTGAAAGGGGGGGGGGGAGGGGGGGAGGGGGGGGAATCAAGGCTGGGTGATTGGAAGCAGAATATTGTGAAATGCTGTCCGTCCCCCATTTGCGGTCGGTCGCGGACCGCGAGGCCTTGCGTCGGACAATGTTCATATGATTATCAAAACGAGCTAGAACAAATACCAGCAAGAGGCCTTACCGGGCTCGACACGGGATTACAGGAGTTAAAAATAGTAACCTGCCTCGATGCTGTGGCGGGGTGTAAGTAATTAAATAAGCTGATTCTCTGTCTGTTTGTAATTAACTTGCCCCAGCAAACACATCTGGCTCATAGAGACGTTTGCGGGGCGTGTAACTATTCACAGCCGAGACTGGAGAGGCCTCGCAGTGAGTCCCAAAGATGCGACGTTGATGACGTCTCCTGTTCATACGTCCACCCCTAACCTCAAGCTCGGTAACGACAAGAGGGAAGCTAAATTAGTTAGGGATTTTAATTTCTGCTCACTAGCAACGGTTGTATTGGAACAACTATGGATATATACGGTTCACACCCAGAATTATCTACTATAGCTCATAGACCACACGGTTTGTTTTAGAATGCACAGTGGCTAACCAAGCACAACACACAGTCAAACAATGGGACAACACTTGCAGACCCATACCGTCCGACTCGCAAGACTACTGACGTGCAAGATCAGAGACCATGCCCAGGACACAAAAGGCCAGTCCACAAGATAGGTTTCAAATCCCTCACACTCCGGCGGAGAACTAGGTACCGCCAGACTGCTACATGGCCGGCACAAAGCCGTCGACGTCCACAGCCCAGCCGGCCGGGAAGTGCGGGCCCTCGTCGCCGTCCCAGCCGCCGGCCATCATAGCGGCGGCGAGCAGCAGCGAGGCCGAGTTGGGGAAGTAAGGGGTTGGGACGCGCGCGCCGCCGACGGGGTATCCAGCATCATCAAACTGGAAGACGGGGTGCAGGAGGTAGTCTGCAGCCTGGGCGACGTTACCAAGGCGCAGCGAGTTCATGGCGAGCAGGGCAAAGTCCCAGCCGTACGACTCGTCGAGCGGCCACACGGCCTTGATCTTAGCGGCGGTGGCGCGCAGCACGGCAGGGTCGAGCGGCGGCCCGCTCGCCGGCGGCGGCAGCAGCCCAAAGATGCCCGCCATGGCTGGATGGTCGCTCGTGGTGGCGCGGTCCGTCCACATGTGCGGGATGCCCTCGTAGACGGCGTACGTGCCGTCGACAACGGGCAGCGGCGCTAGGCCGTCGCGCACGGCGGTCCACGCGGGGGGCACCGGGCGGCCCTGTCGCGCCCGCCAGCGCGCCGCCACGTCGAGCCCGAAGCGCCAGTAGGCCAGCTCGAAGGTCGGGTTGACCGTGGCGTTGGGCGGCGTGTTCTCGGCCACGGGGTACATGGGCGGGCCGAGGTCGTAGACGCCGGTCGACGCGTTGAGGAAGGCGAACGACGCCATGAAGTCGGCCGTGGCCGCCAGCACGCCGTCCCACCGCTGCAGCGTCGTTGCGTTGGGGAACGACCGGTACTCAGTCTCGGCGAAGTACATAGGGTGAGGCTGCTGCCAGATCAGCAGCGAGTTGATCTCGCCGGGCGCGCTACGGCCCGTCGGGTCCGTCATCTTGCCCCAGCGGGCGCCGGCGTAGCCCTGGGTGCCGGCGCGCTCGAGGGACGTTGCGAGGAACCGCTCGTACAAGTCGGGGAGGCTCCGCCAGAGGAGCGGGAACTGGCCCCACCGCGCAAAGGGTAGGGTGTGCCAGAGGTTCATCTCGAGGTGGAACTTGCCGTACCACCCGTTATTGACCAGGCCTGACTCCTGGGGCGGGTTGGACGACGCCGAGTTCACGGCTAAGAGGTACTGTGAGGTGATAATCCGCCGCTGGAGCTCCGTGGCATCCGTCGAGTTGGCAGCCGAGAGGTCGATGAAAGCCCCAGACGACCAGAACGACAGCCACCAGTCGCGAGACGCCGACGCAATACCCTGGGGTGTGCCCGTTTTCGTCTGGGGCTCAGGCGAAAAGGAAAGAGTCAGCTGCAGTCGGTTGGTCTCCGCCGTGATGAAGTAGCGATGAGTCCCGTCGGCAGGTCCGGCTATGGCTGCACGGCCTTCCCACGCCACGTTTGTGAAGTACGTGTTCTGGTCCATAGTGTGCTGGATGGTGGCCGAATGGCTCGACGCGTCCCGTAGAACGGTCGAGTGACTGGAGGTTGCGTTCCAGACCCCCACAAACGGAGCATCGAACTTGTTTCGGTCAGGATAGGGGAAGTCGAGGAAGAGACCCAACCCGGTCGTGAGCAGCTCAGACTCAATGATGATTGCCGCAGTATCCGACTCGGGGTCAGCCCACGTCTCGACGGCAACGGCAGATCCATTGTAAACAAACGACGACGAGAGCTTCCCTGACCACATGTCGAGCAGCTGCGTCTTTTGCTCGAGGTTGCTCTCGGTGACATTGGACGTGCCAAAGGTAAAACCCACGTTGGCCAGGTTGGTCCTCTGGGGGTTCTGTATAAGCCATGTTGATATGTCGTTCTCGGCCGGGTTTGGCTGGGCATATGTCACCAGCCTGCCGTGTGTCCACCATTCCAGGCCGGTGAAATCTTGCAGCCGTCAGCGTACCACGCACACGGCGATGATGCTCCGCAGGTAGGCAGGCACACACCTTCAACAGAGGTCTGATTCACCGTCGTCGGCAGACTGAAGTTGTGCCAGCCCCAGGTCGACAATATGGCGTAGGGCTGGAAGGTCTGCAGGCCGGTCACGTCGGCGCCAAAGGCAAAGTTGCCGTTGCCAACCTGCAGCGGCGTCGTGCTCGAGCTGGTATTGCGGCGGACATTGAACGACTGCACGACCTTGCGCCTCTGCGAGACCGACACGGCTCCTGAGAGGGGGGCCAGCACGACGAGGAGCCACAGAACGCGCATTGCCGCCACTGTCAGAGCGTGTGTGTACATAGTCGCGAATACAGGAGACGACAGCGGGTGTCGCTTCTTGTGGGAAGGACCAGGAACCAGGGACTAGGAACCGGGTATTATATTGCATCCTATCATTACTCTCTCCAGTTCATAGCCCGGCCAGAGGGTTGTGGCTGCATTGCACTGCTTATAACTGACCTAGCCCGCTCGCTAGAAGCACCGACTACAGTACCTACCTACCAACCAATTAGCCTTGAAGAGACGGTACATAAAGGTTCGGCGATAGGCTAAGAAAGGTAGGATGTTTATCAACCGCGCGTGCACTGCGTCCTCACTGGCAATATCGCCATGGAGTACCGAGTATTAAGCTTCCTTTTCCTGTCACACAGCCAAGGCGAGTATTCAGCCTCGTAGCTGAAAATATAGACACAAATGTGTATCTGTGATCTTCGTCGACAGTAAGCTAAGAAGAATACACAGGCGACCATGCTAGGGACGGGTGATGGTGTCTGTCAACCTCCACTCCTGCATAGGTATGCATGCTTGGTCAATCTGGGTCTGGAAGGCTGCTCTCCGCTTGGGGTATTAAGGCTATTTGTGAACAATTGAACTTGCATGCTGGGTCGTCTCCACGAGGCCGTCCCGATGACGACCTGCTGTGCCGATTCTCGGGCGGGCGGTGGCTTTCACGAGGGATTGTCAGAGTCCTGATTTCGTAGTCGGCTGCATCTGTAGCTTTGGTAACGCAGTTGAGCCCATCTTGTACTGATTTGTAGTTGGCCTGGAGTCATCTGCAGTTGAACCTCTGCTGTCATCAGAGGAATTTGAGGTTGGGTTTGGGATTGGAACAGATGATTGGTGCATGGCGATGGAGCCAAGTCGCCCAAAGCCGACCTGTCGAAATCTGGTCTAGCCGCTGGCCAACGCCACCACCCCGCTACACAGTAAAGGGTGCAGTGGCAGTGACGCTAACAAGACCCCTGCGGGCAAGTTGGTGTAACGCCAGTGGGTGTTGCCCGAGCAGCTCGACTCTGAGGACGGTATCCGTAGTAAACACGCCGCTGCCATTGTTATGCCACACCCAAACTGCACCACATCATCACGGCCACATTCAAGCCCGCCGGCCTGCTTGCAAATTCTTGGGCACAACCTGATATTTGGTATTTGGTTCTTTGCATCAGTCAGCTTCGCTTTTGTATAGGTACGTACGCAAACCATCCGTCTCTGCAACAGGGATGCGCTCCAATGTGGGCATCATCAAGGTGCCCGCCCCAGCAGAGGAAGTGCCCCGCTAACCTTTGAGTTACTGCTGCCAGTTCCGCAACATCATTTTGGGAATCTCTACTCGAGACCGCCGCCATGAGTTCCTTTCTCACAACAGTGTAAGTTGGTCTGCCGTCCCATCCTGGTGTTCTAGGGCCCTCTCCCCCGCCCCCGATTGCCATAGGTTGGTCGTCAAAGTGCACCGATTCGCACCCTGGGCACCCGGCGCCTTATGCGCTTCACCACCTTCAAAACTCAACGGACCCGAGAAGCTTTTCCGTACACCGCAGCTTACACATTATGGATGACAGAAACCAGCGGACGAAAAACCAATTCCGCCCTCGCGCAGGAGGGAAGGGGGGCGCTACGAGCTACCAACTTCGTCAATATGCAGAGGCCACACTTGGAGGAGGAAGCCTGCGGAAGGTGGTGAAGCTTCCCGAGGGAGAGGACGAGAACGAGTGGCTGGCCGTCAACAGTGAGTAGCACCTCCCGATAGCTACCGCTGTCGCATCGCTGTGCTGACCAAATGCTGCAGTGGTCGACTTCTACAACCAGATCAACCTGCTCTACGGCGCCATCACCGAGTTCTGCTCTCCCCAGTCGTGCCCCGAGATGAAGGCTACGGATGAGTAGGTGCGCCAGACAACGCGCCCCCTGATATGTTACTGACAGTGGCCAGGTTCGAGTATCTGTGGCAAGACTCGGAGAACTACAAGCGGCCGACAAAGATGCCGGCGCCTGCCTATATCGAGCAGCTGATGACCTGGGTCCAGGCCAACATCGACAACGAGTCGGTTCTGCCCAGCCGCATCGGTAAGCTGTCTCGCTCTAATCCGCTCCAATTGTGCGTGGCGAGCTAACAAGGCCTAGGCGTTCCATTTCCCAAGTTGTTCCCGGCTCTGGTGCGCCAGATATTCAAGCGCATGTACCGCGTCTACGCCCACATCTACTGCCACCACTACCCCGTCATCCGCGAGCTCGGTTTAGAGCCGCACCTCAACACCAGCTTCAAGCAGTACGTGCTATTCATTGACGAGCACAACCTGGCCAGCGGGAAGGACTTCTGGGGTCCGCTAGGCGATCTCGTCGACAGCATGCTGCGCAGCGATTAGACTGTGCAGACCTTCGAGGCGTTTTGATTTTTAGATACAGCAGGAACTGTGGCATGTTGGCGTTTGGGTTGGATTGGGTTAGCAGGAGCCTGGTGGTTGTATTGGTGGGGTTTGGCTGGCAAAGCATAGTAGGATTGTAATGGCATTCGGGAATAAGGGCAAACGGCTTCTATTTTTCAGTGAACACGATGCAAATGTCCTCGTGGGCATTTGTGGCACGTCCTATTCCGTAGAACCACATGAAATGCAGTACTAGCTGTATTTCGTACTTTGCTATTTGATTGCCTAGGTACCTAGGCTATGAGTATGCTTATTAGCTGAGTTACCTTCAAAATTAAACAGGACTTTACGGAATAGCCTTTTAATCGTTTGTACGAGAGTAAAGTCTGCACAATCGAAAATGATGGGGGGAAATCATAAACATGACTTATTAAACGGCTTGCATGGAACAAGGCAAGATGCAATAATAATGCACGCACTGCTCGCTGAGGTGCCATGCAAGTCGGCACGCACTTTATGACGGCCCCACAAAATGTTTGTTTCCTAGGCAGAGAGCGCCAAGACAGCGAGAGCCAAGAAATGCTGCCTCAGGCAACAGTCGATTTGCCGAGAGCCCAAATCCCGTTTCTGAAAACTGAAGCTCACTTCACGACATTTAAGGCTCATCACCACATCCAATCCCACACGCAACCATGCTGTCGCGACAGGCATTGCTCCGCTCCGTGCGGGCCGCAGCTTCCCAGCGGGCTCTCGCCACCCAGACCCGATCGTTCGCCTCGCCGGCGGCGTCCAACGCCAAGGTCCAGCCCCCAGTCGCTCTCTTCGGCCTCGACGGCACCTATGCTACTGCTCTGGTACGCTACCTTCCCGGCCGCGAGCTCAATTGGAGCCCCCCGTGTAGCCGATTCTCTGTGCCTAACAGATGGCGTGGCCAATTGGTTGGCGGAATGGAGTGTCAATACTGGGAGACGGAGAGGGATGGGAAAGCCGCTGTGAAGGGCCAAAAGCTAACCGGGTGCTCCTGCGTCATTTTCCCATTGCGAATAGTACACGGCAGCCGTCAAGACGTCGTCGCTCGAGCCCACGGCCAAGGCCCTCAGCAGCCTCGGCAGCCTGGTTGAGAAGGACGCCAAGCTCATCACCATTCTCGATGCGCCCACCCTGTCCATCGCCGACCGCAGCGCCATCATCGCCGAGCTCGAGAAGGCCACGGGCGCCGCCGGCCAGACCGTCAAGTCCTTCCTGACCACCCTCGCCGAGAACAACCGCCTCAGCCTCCTACCCGGCATCTGCAGCAAGTTCAACGAGCTGATGAGCGCCTCGCGCGGCGAGGTTGAGCTGACCGTCACCAGCGCCCAGGTAGGCAGCTCCCCACACATGTCTGGTTGGGAGGGAAGAATCGGACGGAATCCCGCCTCTTGAGAAATCGGAGGGAACTCACCTTTGTCGACCACGTGTATACAGATGCCGTATATGACACAATGCTATGTCGATGGATTTGCTGACTAGATCGTCTACGAAACAGCCGCTGGACGGCAAGACTCTGTCCCGTCTCGAGACCGCCGTCGCCAAGTCGGCGTATGTCGGCCAGGGCAAGAAGCTCAAGGTCACCAACACTGTAAGTCCAAACCTAATCCTAATCTGGCCAGAGTTATAAATAGCTGACGGCACAGATCAACCCCGACATCATCGGCGGCCTCGTCGTGGAGATTGGCGACCGGACAATCGACCTTAGCGTCTCGTCCAAGATTGCCAAAATGAACAAGCTCCTCCAAGACACCCTGTAAAAGAACAAACCTAGCTCTCTTAGTTCCCTTGCTTTTTTCATTGTATTGGAAGTGTGTTTTGCCGGGTAGAGGGTGATGCGGAGGAGAGGTGGAGGGCGAGGAAACCTATCTTAAGATAAAAACGGATCGCCTGCTGGCGTCGCGCTTTCGTGGGGGGCCCTGTGTATATGATGAGCCTGCAATAGAAGAAAGCCCGTTCTCCCTGCCATGATCTGTTCTTTCTCCTCGGGTTTAGTGCCTTTTACTTGCCGATTTCCCATTGTCAATTTCTTCAGGCTTTCCGTCATCATTATCATCGCTTCGAAACCTTGTTTGGTACAACTATCAAAGTCAACCAAGACACAATTCACTCACGACAAGACCATCGAGAATGCCGCTATTTCACGAAACGAATCTTCCTACCTACTATGAATAAATAAGGACCTTACTTAGAATTTATCGCTGTATGAGTTGATTTACATGTCTTGTACCGAAATGATTCCCAGCTGCGAATTGATGAACGCATGCATTCATTCGTATCCTGCACATCTTCACCGACCTTGATTATTGTCTTATCGAGGGTCGGTGAAATGACCTCGTCAACGCTAGGCCCCTTCCGGCCACTTACCGCCGCCACCCACATTTCGCTATGAAATCGCGTGCGCAGGCCCGATAAGGGGATCTCGATAAGCTCCCCGCCTTACTATCGTCGCCGCGCTTCAACCACACCACAACACGCGCTCCGCTCGCGCATACGCCACATACACACACACGAAGCATACTCACACGAAGCACACACACATGCGAAGCACACACACACGCGAAGCACACACCGCCATGGCAGACGACTCGTACGCGGCCGCAGAGGAGCGGGCCCGAGGGGCTCGGAGGGCCGGCCTACAAACGAAGAAGGAAGAGCAGCCGGCCAATACGGCCAGGAGCTATGTAGCCAAGCAGCGCGAGTGGAAGAGCTGGTGCCAGACGCCCCGCGCCGGCCCAGACGTCATACCATATACCTGGCCAGATGGCGAGCTCGTCACGCCCGATAAGCTGGCCGCGTAGCTCAAAGAAGACATCCTCCTACGGCGCATCAAGGTGCCTGACAATAAAAGAAAGGGCCGTATACCACCACCACAGGAGGCAGAGTCCGAGGCCCTTGCAGAGGCCCAGGTCCTGTCCGAGGCGCTATCTATACCGGTGGCTGAGGAAGTCTAGGTCCTTTCCAACGACCGGGAAGACTATATACCACCAGCCATGGTGGCGGCTAGCAAGGAAGACGAGGGGACCCTATTTACCAAGGGTACGGTAGACGCTTACATTGCAGCCGTTATCGAGCTCTGGCGAGTGCAAGTGGCCCACGGCAATAAGAACACCGAGAACCCTCGCGGCGCTGCCGTACGTGGCTTTCTCGAGCAGCGCGGCCGCCAGCGTGGCCGCCACGATCGTGCCAGCTACAAAGACCGTAGCAGCGAGGGCATCCAAGCCGGTTACTCTACTACAGAGTGGCTCGAAATCCAGGAGCACCTACGCACGGCTCCCACAATACCGCAAAACTTCCGCACACGCGTGGACCTACTTTTTGGCCATTATTACCTGCTCCGTGGAGAAAACCGCCGTAAAATGGAGCTTGCCGACCTCTCTCTCCTTGATTACCCGCTCTCAGAGGGCCCTACTCTATGCGGTTGTCTCGTGTTGCTTCTCCAAGACGGCAAAATGAACAAAACGGCTAAGGAGTTTATGGGGTCTATTCGACATAAAGACCCTTTGCTTTACACACAAGGCGCCTTAGCACAGCTACTTTTCTGGCGTTGGCATATTACCGGCGAGCCAGCTCCTACTTTCCGCCGCCGCCAAGACTGGTACCATATTAAGGTTTTAATTGGCCAGGACCGCGAGCAAGAGCTCTCATATAGCACACAACTACAAGAGACCTGGCGTATCTTCAGTGCCATTGGGCTTACTACAGCTAAGAAGAAACACCTTCCGCGGCGAGTTGGAGCGCAGGATGCAGAAACCTACGGCACCTCACTCACATAGATTTCATAGGCCGGCCGCTGGAATCAGAGTGTGTTATGCCAGGCCTACCTTACCCACCTACCACGCCAGTTCATGCGTATTGTAGCTGGCTTTTCCAATGCTCCAGGGGACTACTTTCTTGCACGCGCGGTATACGAGCCCCCTGCTGCCCTGCAAAGGCAGCTCTGGCCATGGATCGAGGAGTGGGAGGCTCGCTTTGAGGCGCGCGCACGCCGATGCCGGTGGGCACAGGGCGGCCTGGATGAGGGCGACCTTGCCGGTGACGGCTTCCTCAAGCTTATGCGGCGCCTCCGTATAGTGCTCCTCCAAGACCGGGCCGTTTTGCAGCCGCGTTTCCCATTGCTGCCCTTCTTTACATATACTCCTTTTCACGGCCTAGAGTGGGAGGAATTTGCCCGTGCCGTACAGGCCGGTATAGCCGATACTACCGAGCCACCGAGCCTCCTCTTACAACGTGCATTACCAGAGCTGGTTGAGAGCACACGCACAGCCATCCTCCATAATAGCCGCCAACTAGCTAGCCAACTAACCAGCCATATAACAAACGAAATAACTAACCAACTAGCTAGCCAACTAGCTAACCAACAACACCAACTCCTTCAAAACTTTCTCAAGCTCCCCCTTAATATTACTGGCTTCCTAGGAGCCGGCCCAGGTACAGGGTGGCCACTACCGCGGGCGCCAGAACCAGAGCCAGTTAGCCAGCCCACTGGGCCTCCTATCATGACTGGCTTAGCCAAGGCACACACTGTTGCAGATGTTTGGCGCGAGTGGAAGGAGGGCTATGCCGGCCAGCCGGCCATTCATGAGCTTGAGAGCCAGTGGGGGAGCCGTTGGCACCCAGGGAACACAATCAGGGTACAGTTCTGTCGCCGTAAGGTGATCTGGGATGCGGTCTCGGCCTGTATAGCTAATGGGAAGAGCGAGAAGGAGGCGGTTGATAAGATAGAGCGGTTACGAGCTGGCGAAAGCCTTAACCGGCTTGTAGATCAGCTTAAAAAACGTAGACAGAATAGATTGGTTGATACTTTTTTATTTTATTTTATCTCACTGGCTTACAGCGGCCTGCAGTAGCTCCATTGCCCTAAATTATAGTGGGCTTATAGTGGGTGTGGGGATGAGGAGGTAAAATCGCTTATGTGTAGGATCTGAGTAATCACACCCGATTAACGGAAGTTACTCAGCAAAACGCCCCCACGATAAGTTCTTATCAATGAAACTAGGGATTTCACCAAGGTTCTAAGACGGCCCCCAATACAACCCGCCATCTCATCTTGTGTGCGAGCATACTTCGTGAAAAAACTATTATTATGCTCTTTTCTCTCTATACTTGCTTTTTCATATCGACGCTTAAGACACCTTCTTTCTACAAGTATGCTTGTACAATATATGTCTTTCCGTCCGTCTTGTCTTGTTTATCTCTCAAAGAACCGCTTTACTGATGCACACACACTCCATCATGGTTTCAATGCCAAAGACTAAATTAAAAAAATAGAAAAAGGGGCGAGAAAGAAAGCAACGCACAATTGTATGCCGAGTCCAAGGAAATTCTATCTTCACTATCTTCCACATCTACCTGTCCTCTACGGCTGGGCCTCAAATTCATCCCCGTCGCTATATCCGTCAGCGCCCTGCTCGAGACGAACCCGCTCGAGCTGCTGGGTGATGTAGGTGTGCAGGTGAGCGTTCGCCTCCGTCCGCTCGCGAAGGCGCTCAGGCGATCTCAAGTTCACCACTGAGCCCCGTCGCGTCGCAAAGTCGCCGTCGGTCTCGTCCTCTGAACCGAGATCTCGGATCTCGTTAACATCAAAGTCGCTGCGGGTAGCAATGGACCGGCTGGTTGAGCTCCGACGAAGGCGCCCCGGGGACACCGGTGACTTGGGTGTCTGAGTACCGTCCAAGTGTCTGTGAAAGATGTCATCGAAATAATGTGACATGCCTACCGAAGGCGTCCGGGGAGTCTGGGGCAGGCGGCAGTTAACACTATAGTCGGGAAAGGTTAGTAGACGCCCAAGTATAACATAAAGAAGCACATGGTTGAGGCCAGTGAGAAAAACGCGCTACCTACCCAGTGTCATGAATCATGCGAGCGATAAGCCCCGTCCAGCCGCACTGGTGAGTTGCGCCGAGCCCACGCCCAGTATCGCCGTCGAAGAACTCGTAAAACCAGAGGTAATCCCTCCAGTTGGGGTCGAAATCAAGTGTGTCGTTTCCGGCATTGATGCTTCGACGGCCGTCATCACCCCGGGCAAAAAGATGCTGCAGCCGGTGCTGGATTTCTTCCGAAACATGGCCAAGATGCATGAAGTCGCCCGAGCCCACGGGGCACTCGACTTTCAGTTCTTGCCCAAAAAAAAGATAGAAGCGCTGCAGGGACTCAACCAAAAGGAAGTTGACGCACAGCCAAATGGGCCCTCTCCAGTTGCTGTTGCCGCCAAAAAGACCGCTGTCCGAGTCTCCAGGAACGTAGCCAACCTTAAATGTCTGACCATTGACTTCCATCGAGTACGGGTTCTTCTTGTGGAATTTCGATAGCGATCGAATGCCGTGGGGGCTGAAGAACTCTTCCTCGTCCAGCATGCGCTCCATAATCTTCACCAGCCGCTCTTTGCTGACAAGAGACAAAAGAATCCTGTTGCCCTTGCCACGCTTTCGAATGCTGTGCATTGTCCGTTCCGCCACGTCGCAGCGGTTCGCCATGAACCATTCGACGCGCTTCTTGAAACTCGGGAGCTTGTTTAGGAGCTCCGGTTCAAGAGTCAGCGTTGCGTAGAGAGGAATCAGTCCCACAAGAGACCGGACAGGCATTTGCTGAATCCAAGGGCCACCCCATGAAATGGCATCGTAATAGAAGCCATCCTGCTCGTTCCAAAGGGATTGCTCTTCCTTTTGGCCCATTCTAAAAGTCATCGCATCGCTGATGAGGATGAAGTGCTCGAAGAACTTGCTCGCAATGTCCTCGTAGATGCGCCGGTGTTTGGCAAGCTCCAAGGCGATGTTGAGCATGTTGAGACAGTAAAAGCCCATCCAGCCAGTGCTGTCTGCCTGCTCAAGGGTGCCGCCAGTGGGGAGCGGCTCTGAGCGGTTGAACAACCCAATGTTATCCAATCCTAAAAAGCCACCCTCAAACACATTCTTGCCCTCAACGTCTTTGCGGTTGACCCACCATGTGAAGTTAAGGAGCAACTTCTGGAAGACCCTCTCCAGGAAATCTAAATCTTGTCTCCCGAAGAGCTTCCGCTCGATTTTGAAGACGCGGAAAGTAGCCCAAGCATGGACCGGTGGGTTGACGTCGCCAAAATTCCATTCGTATCTAATCTTGTTAGTCAAAGTTGTCCATATACCAAGCATATGGGTGTTCACTCACGCGGGAAGCTGGCCATTTGGATGGCAGTACCATTCCCGAGTAAACAGATCAAGCTGCTTTTTGGCGAAGTCGGGGTCAATCATAGCCAGTGTGATACAGTGGAAGCTGGTATCCCACGCAGCAAAGAAGGGATATTCCCACGAGTCTGGCATAGACAGGATATCGTCGCAATGCAAGTGCTTCCACGCCGAATTGCGGATACCCTTTCGGCCAGGGGGTGGAGGCGGCTGGGCCGGGTCGCCATTTGCCCACTCGTCCCAGACAAAGAGATAATGCTGCTTGCACCACATCATACCGGCAAATGCTTGCCGCTGAATGTTGCGGAGATCGTCAGTCATGGGCAGGGGGCTGATGGAATAGTAAAACTCATCAGCCTCCTCCCGCTTTCTCTCGATGAGGTCGTCGAATTCCTCCTCATCAAGGTAGGTATCGTCCCTCTTGGAGATGCGGAACCGGACAACTACTCTTCTGTTAGCTTCTCTCTGGGAAAGTCCGAGCAACGTGAGATGTCTCACCTGCGCACTCGCCCGGCTTTACTCCACCTCCTTCGTTGAAAGAGAACCACGCGGCGCATTTTGTTCCCCGCTGAGCTGGGTTGACGGCCTTTTTGTCCCCATCTACTATGTAACGGTGGAAGGCATCCTTGACATAAGGTTGCTCGTTCTTCCCGTCATAAAGCAATTCGTAGTTTGTATCATTCTCGGTGAATATCAGCTCTGGCTGTACGTCTTCGCCGCTCGAGCCAACACCGGGGGAGGGAGAGAGGAGAAAGTTCCGTTCTCCCAGAGAGTGGTGCTTTGACCTAGCCGTATTTTCCGCGTAGGCTTCGATAGACGGTTTTTTATCTTCAGGCTCGCGGCCCCAAGACCAGGTATTACGGAACCACACATGGGGAACGATGTGGAGTGGGGCAGTTTCGGGGCCCCTATTCCAGGCGGTGACACGAAAGAGAAGCTCATCCGGGTCGTCGTCTTCCTTTGCAGTCTCGATGAAGATGTCCCAGTAACGATCTTCCTCGAAGACGCCGGTATCGATGATCTGGTACTCCGTGTCTTCCTTTGTCCGCCTGGCGTTCTCTTTGATGAGGTCGTCGTAAGGGAAAGCCTTTTGCGGGTATTTATAGAGAAATTTCATATATGAATGCTATTGATTGTAAGCCCCTGCCGTCTCTTGTCAGTTTGCGGGGAGTCTTACCGTCTGCGTCGGTTATAGGTTAGCTTCGAGGTCAATTGAGTTTCTAGGTGCGGAGACTGAGCTTACCGGTGTGTTATCTAGATGGAAGTGGGCCTCTTTGATGCTCTCGCCATGGTTGCCTTGCGGGTTGGACAAGCCAAACAGCCTCTCCTTGAGGAAAGAGCTAGGGGCAGTCAGCAAGCTGTTCCGTTACAGTATTAAAATTGGCTGTTGGTTGAGTCGTACTCCTTCTCGTTCCAGAACGCAAAGGCAATGTTTTGGAGCCCATGCGTGTCACAGACGCCAGCAATGCCATCTTCGCCCCACCGGTATGCGCGTGATCGGGCGTGGTCGTGTGGAAAGTCTACCGGATAACCGTGGTGAGCTGCATGCGAGGACGGGAGGGGCAGAGTCGGGTGGGGGAAACATACGACTCCAGGCGTCACCATCGGCGCTGTAGTCCTCTCTCACTGTCGCCCATTGTCTCTCGGACACATAGGGGCCCCACTTCTTCCAGTATTTGACGCGGTTGCGGTCCTCCTTGAGCCTCTTCTCTTCCTCGGCGAGGTACTCGTGGTTGTCGAGGACGACCATGGCGGCGGCGGCAGCTGTGCGCGAGAAACTGCGACAAACGTTGGGTTCTATGCGGGCGATGAGTGTTGCGGGTTGCGTGCCACGATCGATCTGCGAGATCGACGATCTTTTTTCTCAGAGCAGCTCCAACCAACGTTAAAAGCTTGGAGGCGGTACTCGAGTAAGCGGCCAAACCGACCGTTGTCGAGCGGCGAGGTAAGTCCCTACCTACTTCTTGCCACGAACACCCAAGGTAGCCAGTGTAGAGCGCCTCACTGCTTAGATTCCAATGGTCAAGAAAGCGAAACCCAATGATTAATGACAGGTGAACAGCAGACGAGTTGTCTTGAAGCGCTGCCCTACCGAACCTTAAAGTTGTGTCTCCGGCAAAAGGTTGGGCGAACGGGCGGCGAGGGTAGCGTAGTAGGTGGTTGGCTGTGGAGGGGTCACTCGCATGTGTTGGTTAGAGGCTGGATTCCACCTTAGCAGGCGGCCCTGGGCGCTGACTGGCACCTCTGACGTCAACATGTGCCGCACTAGCGCACCTTACCCCTGACAATCCTTTTGTTTCTGCCCAACTTACCGAGTATGTTCCAGGGTATTTAGCACCAGAGAATAATCAACTTGTTTGTTGCCTACAGCACTGGCATCCCGTCAATATCGAAGAACAATGCCATTCGATCAAAGGTCAGAGGTGATAAGACTGCAGGTGACCCGAATAAGTGACCAAATATGCGCTATACCCACTTGTGGCGACTGTTAACGCCTTAGGACGCTGGTAGGCGAGGTACCTTACCCAGATAAGATGTACCTTGCCTTAGCTTTGAATTGCAACTTGGCACGGGGGCTTGCATAACCGTTGACTCGCCAAATATCTGTACCTTGCCAAAATAGACAAGGGACGTCCTATACCTGAATCGGAAGCATTTGGTGTGCGACCTCGAGATTACAACTGGTCACAATGCCTTTCGTATTCCCCTAAATACCATTCCTGCAAACTCCGTGGGACCCTTCCTGAACAATACGCTGGCAGCCCAATGACGAATCCATACCTACACAAGAAGAAAAACGACCCACTCTTCGCTAGGGATCCCATTCGCTATCCCCGACCAAGCGCTAAACTAGCCATTTAATACCAAGGTAGAACATTGACAGCTCAACAAGGGCAATGCCTACTACTCATAGCTTTGCCTTGAGAGACGCCATTGCATCCGCCGTTGCCTCCTTGTTGATGACAACCTCGCCTGTCTTTTCGCCGTAACCGAAAAAAATGACCTGCACGGTCAAGTCGTCGCGATACCGCCTCGAGTACGGGGACGGAAGTGTCAAGAGAGCAGAAATCTGCTCCTGGTTCTTTCCGCCAAGTGCGTTGCGGATCAGGTGCGTAGCGACATTCTTGTCCTTGACTACGAAGCGGTCTAACTCGTCCGGAGAGACGCCCCACTGTCGCAAGCGGAAAGGCGTTTTCTGGCCGCCCGAATCGCCGCCGTTGCCGGCGTTGCTCGCCTCGACGGGGAGCCCGGCATCCCGAGAGCCAAAGACCTTAGACCAGACCGAGTCGAATTGCGAGTTCGCTGTCGTGCTTGCCTGGCTCTCGATCCACTTGCCAACGAGTCCGATGACCTCCTCATTGGTCAGCATCTCCCAAAGGCCATCAGTCGCCATGACGACAAAGTCGCCCTTCTCGGGCTCAATCTTGGTGGTAGTGACGACAGGCTCGGCAGTGACATATGGCGGCGTCTTCAGAAAGGGGGAGACGGTCTTGCCGAAGAACTGCTGCTTAAGTCTCTCGGCAATATCTCGCGGCCACTTGTAGACGGCATCGCCAAATGCGCGTGTCGGCTCCAACCCTCCAAGAACGCGGCCGTTACGCACAACGTGCTCTTCACCTGGATGTTGCTTTCTCATCCTCGCCGCCTCGTCAGGGTTGCTTCCGGTCTGGTCAACCGACAAAGGCGTCGCCGTCCATTTGCCAGACGCCGAGCGGCGTCCTAGAACTGCCCGAGAATCGCCCGTGCATGCCACCCGTAGTAGCTTGGACCTGCTGTCGTAAAAGGATAATAGAGCGCAGGAGCCCGATAGCGCCGGTGCTAGCATCTCGGCACCAACAATTTTGCTGTTGGATTTCAGAACCTTTTGCACACTCTGGTGGACAATCTCATCATCTAGCCGTAGGAAACCGGTTTTGATGGCGGCCTCGACTGCGTCCTGGGATGGCGTCAGTCCGCTGGCAGCCTTGTAAGTTTCGTTAAGCTCTCGAGCAACAAAGCTGATCAGGGTCTGTCGCAGCTTGGCCGAGGTCGTCCATCCTCTATAATACCCTGTTAGATTGCAAAACTTGTTTTTCGTAGTTCAGTAAGAGCAACTCACGAATGGCCGTCAAAGACGCCCCAGAACATCCAGTCGCTGTTTCCGCTGCCATCGGCGGCTCTACTGCTGGGCATCTCGACAATCTTCTCCGCATGGTCATCCTCGATGGGATCATTGCTCGGCAATTGAACAATATCGTATCGAAGCACGCCCTGGCCCCGGTTCACAAAGTACGACTCCTCGCTCTTTCGCAGCTTCTGGGTCGCCTGCTCCGGGGTCAGCATTTCGAGCACCCTCTGTCCGTCGCCGTCAGTGGTTTTGGAGATGGGGCCTTCGCCGACGAAGGTGCCCGTGTGCAGCTCGTCTGCGCCAATAACGAGCACAGAGCGGGTGGGGGCAGAGGTATCGGCCGAGGACGTCGAGGACGAGTAGCTTCGCGAGAGAAGGGCGTCGGTGCTGTTGCCGCCGTATGAGTACCAGGCCCCGTAACCCACCAGGGCCGAAACCAAGGCGAAAGAAGCGCGACGGAAGTACATTGAAGACCGCATAGGCTCGCCTAGCACATTGTCGTCGGGCCGCCGACAGCCAGAGCGAACGGGCGAAGTCGAGGAGAGGTATCGAAGGGCGGTAGGGCGAGCGTAGGCGGCGACAGTGCCCTGCACGAGAGCAGCCCGGCGGCTAGCTCGAAGACCCCGAACGGTGCATTGAACGGTGGTCCGGAGAGTTTTAGTAGCGGCACGGCGCATGGCAGCGGCTCAAAATGTCGCCGAAAAGACCGCTTATTCCCAAGGACGTGTGGTGAGGATGAAGCAAAGCGAGGCTGGGGAACGAAGGTCGAGCGAGCAAGGACCCGCCGACCCGGTATAGGCACAGTGTTAACCACTTACGACCCGTAGCTGGTGCCTATTAATTAATACTTCCAGGCCTTTAACGATAACCGTGGACAGTTCTGGAAGCTGATATGACCAATAGGGCCTAGACTTCAAAGCGCGCTGAGGGATGAGTCAAGCGAGATGGTCCCGTCGACTATAATTTCTAAAAAAAAAAAAAAAAAAAAAAAAAAAAAACTCTATCTCTCGTCTTTCATCTTTTGGGGCCTCTTCTCTTCAGTTCTCTTCTTCACGTGCGCAAGAGCCAAGATTGGTGTAGCACAGTGTCGACACGTGCTGTCGTTGAACTATCATGGCCCGTGCGCTTCCCAAACCCACCCAGGACAAGGTAAGGCGGGCGGGCGGGTACGAAGGTACCTTTAGTATTTAAGCTGAGGTTTGGTCTGGCTGGCGGATTCCACCCCACCCCACCACTCACTTTGTGGCTTCCCCATGCTCGCCAGGTTATTATTATTATATGTGATATACGATATACGGAGATAGGGGACTGTCAACCTCTTGTTGTATTATGCTGGTAGGCGAAAGGAGTACGGGTTAACCATTATCATAGCCTCAGCCGCCCGAACGGTTCCATATTCTAGGTCGTTCATGTATCGGTTCTAGATGGCTTCACTTAATGTGGACGAGGGCGAGGTTGCCGCCATTGGCCCCGGCTCTACCTTCTTCAAGAAGTTTGACGACTATCCCTGGACCCGCGATCGCGCGTTCCTGGTACGCTGAGAAGCACCAGCATAACCAACCCATGCCGGTAACATGTTTATGCCCGCAAACGGCTAACTCATCACCCCTCCGTCACAGCAAGGACTAGTCGCCATGCTCGGCCCCGTGAAGACCAACGGCAACGCGGCTGACAAGGAGAGGGCCCTGGGCATCACGCTGCAGGCCCGCATCTGGTGGTACCAGAGCCACTTTGGCGTTTCCATCGACCGCGCCGCGTACGAGGCGTACGAGCTTTTTAAAGCCTCGTCTTCGGGAACAGATGCCGCCATTATCGCCAAAATCGAGGACATCCAGCAACGCATGGGCCAGGGAGGCGCTCCTCCGCCCAGCCCTGCGCAGGCCATGGGCAATCTTCCCGCCTGGCAGACCCAGGCTTTCCAGAAAGTCGATCTCGGCAAAAAGGCCGACGACGGCGTGAGTGGCAGCCGCCCCGACGGTGGCGCCCCGTATCCTGCCCACTTTCAGGCCATCATTGAGGCTGTCACCACTGGTAAACCGGTTCCTGGAGTCCGTGAGATTCCCAATACGGTTGTTCGGCAGGAGGTTTGTTCTACTTGCCTAGTCTCTTTCTTTTGTCGCCTCCTCAATCTTACTTCTCTCTTATACGATAAATATTATCAATCACCCTTTCTAACCTGCAATCAATTTTCTCCAGGGAGTCTACCCTGTCGGCAAGATGAAGCCGCCTCTGAAGCCTTGGGAGAAAGCAAAGGGGGTGACCACGCCTGTCAAGCCCAGACAGAATGTCATCGACCAGGAGTTTCCCCCGGTGTGATGGCTCGGGTAGTTTTCCTGTTGAAAAAAAACCTTGAGACTGTAGCTTTTATGAGATAGGACAAAAATAACGGATACCCGGATACTACTGATTTTACGGATGGGGGAGAAGAAACAAGGACAAGGCACAAAACCTAGACATGATTTCTTTGGTGTTTCTTTTCAGCCTTAGGGCTGTTCACATACGCATCATCATCAACAACAGGAGGAACATGTCTTATCGCAGCATCGTCTATGAGTGTTTAGTCGGCTCCAGTCTCTTGTTCATCTCTATCTTCTGATGGTTGAGACGGCATTTTAATTAATCGGGTACCTAATTTACTCATCATCCAGGCTCATGTGCCATAATATCAAACAAAACGCTTCCTCCCAAAATAATGCCAGACGCACATGTTTGAGCGATTAGACACTAGATGATTGCGTTGATCTAGTGGACTGAACCTATGATGTGGTTATGAGCCCGGCTTAGCGTCAAAAGCCTGACCAGTAAAACAAAACTATCACTACGCACCCAAGGTGGTGAACTCTGTTTGCCCTGCCGGAAACCGACAGGTTGGCAACCAACCAGCCTGCAAAGCAACGCAACGCAACGCAATACAACGCAACGCAAACGCCCACAACATGCACATGCACATGCAGACACAATAAAAGTAAACCGTATGAATCGGCTAGATGGAGGCGGCTTCTACTTCCATCCTGCCTGCCTGGTACCTACCTAACCACTTCACAGACACATACACAAACACGCACACAAACACGCACACAAACACGCACACTTCAATTCACAGACAGACAAATACATCAACACGAAATAACTGACTAGCAGCAAGAAAAAATCACGCTCGCGACTCCCGTGTTCGACCCATCCTCCCCATGTATCGTATGTACACCACACCACACTACACCAAGCATCTTCTTCAACCGACAGAACAGAAATCGGGAGCCGCGAGCGACGTGACGTGACAGACGAGACAAGACAAGACCAAAAAAAAAAAGACGAGACAGGACAACAACAGAGGGAGACAGAGAGCTAGCTATAGACATCCTTTTCTTCTTCTTCTAATGCTTTACATTAAAAACCCAAGACGGAAAAAGAAAAAAAAAGAGAAAGCAACGCGTTTAGGCTTCTTTTTTCTTTCTCTTTTTATCCCTTTCTTTCTTTGGTGTTTTATTTTTATTTTTATTTATCTATGCCCCGTACGCGACTTGGCCCATTGGCCTGTCCTCCTCCATGCCAGGCGCCATGAAGTTGGTGCGCGGGTCGCCCGTCTCCTTGGCTGCCGAGCAGCGCGCCATGGTCGGGGAGCTAGATTATCCAGTTAGCAAAACAGCGCACCGAGAGCCGGGCAAATCGGCAAGAGGAACAAAACAAACCTTCTAGAGATGACGTCTGTGAAATAAAAGTCATTGATGACCTTGGTTAGCGGCTCGCCAGTCGTCTTGGCGCCCTTGTTCTGGTCCACCAGTTGCACCTTGCTCAGCTGCCCGAGGGCAACGGGCTCGACCATGTCGTACGCCGCCAGCGCTGGGCTGATTTCCACCATCCTGTCTCGGAGCTGCGCAACATCGTCGTACGGTAAAGGGGCACCGAGGAACTCGCTAACTGCACGGATAATCTTCCAGTCTGTGCGGGCACCGCCGGGAAGCCCAGTTGCTGCGCGCGTCATCTGCACGCGGCCCTCCGTGTTGACGTATGTGCCGGCCTTCTCTGTGTAGGCCGCACCGGGGAGAATGATATCGGCAAGCTGGGCGCCCTTGTCACCATGGTGGCCTTGGTACACAATGAAGGCGTCCTTGGGAACATCGGCTTCGTTGATCTCGTCGGCGCCGAGGAGCCAGACAAACTTGGGCTTGGTCTCGGCGACAGCAGCAGAGGGCGTGACAAAGCCAACCTCGAACGCGCCGGCTCTCGAGGCATCCCGCTGGAGAACGTTGTAGCCGTTCCACTCTTCCGTCAAGAAGTTGGCAGCGTTCTTGTCGACGAACGTGCCAACCACCTCGTAGAAGGCCTTGGCATCGACGTGGTCAGTGACACCGGACCCGACAATAATCATGGGTGCCTTGGCTGCCTGGAGCTTCTTGCCAAAAGGGCCTGCAAGCGCCTTCTTCAAGGCGCCCAGGTCTGTTCCTAGGTGCTCAAAGTCAAAAGTCGACTCCCACGTCTCACCAACAACGCCAATCTCAAGGTCTGAGCGCAGCCACTGCTTTCGGATGCGGGCGTTCAGCACGGCAGCCTCATGCCTGGGGTTGGTGCCGATAAGAAGGATGCAGTCGGCTGACTCGACGCCCCAGATGCTAGAGTTGAAGAGGTAGTTTGACCGCACATCGATACCGTGGGCGATGGGTTGACCGCCCGAGGGCATGTCCAGAGCAAGGTTATCTGAGTCCAACTTGTTCGCCAGGTCCTTCATGGCGACTAGCGACTCAACCTCGGTGAGTTGACCAGCAATGGCCTTGAACTCGTTCTCCTTTGGCTCTAATGTCTGGTATGCGTGCGCAATCTCGGTCAGAGCCTGCTCCCAAGAGACGGGCTCGAACTTTCCTTCCCTGCGGACGAGGGGGATGGTGAGTCTCTGTGTCTTGAGGCCGTCGCAGGCGAACCGGGTCTTGTCATCGATCCACTCCTCGTTGACGTCGTCGTTGAGGCGGGGAAGAATGCGCATGACCTCGAGGCCACGGGAATCGACGCGGATGTTGGAACCAAGGCCGTTAAGAACGTCAATCGACTCTGTGCGCTTGAGCTCCCAAGGACGTGCTCGGAAGGCATAGGGTTTCGAGGTCAATGCTCCGACGGGGCAAAGATCGATGACGTTGCCCGAGAGCTCCGTATTGAGGTTCTGCTCGAGGTAGGTGCCGATTTGTATGTCGTTACCTCGTCCCGTAGAGCCCATCTCAGGGGCGCCGGCAATGTCGTTGGCGAACCGGATACACCTTGTGCAGTGGATACACCTGTTCATGGACGTCTTGACGAGGGGTCCGATGTTCTTGTCTTCGACCGCACGCTTGCCGCCGACCTCGTGGAACCGGCCGCGGTCGGCGCCGTACCGCATCGACTGGTCCTGGAGATCGCACTCGCCTCCCTGGTCGCAAACGGGGCAGTCCAGGGGGTGGTTCGCCAGCAGGAACTCCATCACGCCCTCGCGGGCCTTGTGCGTCAGCGGCGAGTTTGTCTTGACAACCATGCCGGCCTGGACGGGCCATGCGCACGACGCCACGGGCTTCGGGGACCGCTCGACCTCGACTAGGCACATGCGGCAGTTACCTGCAATCATGAGTTTCCTGCGTGAGGCATATCGTTAGCAAGGACGTGGCGGGGAGGGCAGGATTCGGCGCGGTCGCGGGCGGGCGGGCGTACTCATGGTAGCAGTATCTGAAGGCGATGAACAAATTAGCACAACAGGCTCCTCACCCGGTGGCAGAGATATGCAGCCGATTAATTGGTTTATGGGGTGAATTGGGCATACCTGGGGATGGTGACCCCGGCTTTCTCGCAAGCTTGGATCAGGGCGGAGCCAGCTGCAACATCTCGATCAGCGACGGACACGCGACACATCACGGCGGGGAGCACTGCTCACCCTCAATCGACACCTTCTTTCCATCTGGCAACTGGTTAGCAAGATCCGGGACGCCAATGGCGGGCTGGCGAGGCGGTGGAATTGGTGGTGCTCACCAATTGTGAGCTCGACCTCGGCGGGCCGTTGCGCTGTGGCCGAAAAGGCGCGGCTGGCTAGGCTGGCCCGCTGCTTGCCAGTCCGCCAAGCCGAACGAACCAATGTCTGCCTCAACATCGCGCCGTCTTGACGGAGGATTCGGGAGGGCAGTGGTGGTGGCGAGGAGTGGTGTCCAACGGTGGGAGACAGCAATCTGGAGCTCTATCTCTCTCTGTTTGCTGTCTCTCGGCTGGGGCAAGGTTCAATGCGTCTGAGGAGTTCGGCGGGCCGGAAGAAAGTCGAGCTAAGCTGTCGCTTAGCGAGCCAATGAGCGCCTCGGAATTGTCAGAGAGCGTCATGACCACGAGCTATAAAACCCTGCGCTCAGCTCCAATTCTTCTGATTTTTTCTTCTTCATTAAATTGTACTGCGCACTTATTGTAGGAGACACTTGCCGCTGCAAGCCCGGGGCTCACGCTTTTAGACTTGCATCCTCTCGAAGGGTCTTCCTCTATCATGTGCTCTAGATTAATTAATGGCCCCGTTATGGATGCATGTGAGATCGCTTTCGAGCGCTCCTTGATCAATGGTTCTTACCGCCGGTGGCCACATCCCCTTTACCAGATAGCTCTGTTTTTGTTTTGACTGTGTTGTCTGGGCATGAATTGTGCAGACAGTATGTTTATTGTGGGGTTGTTCGAGAACGGTGTGGAACACTGAGTATTGAGAAGTAGATGCATGGAATGGGGCAGCATGAGATTTTGATGTCTACGGAATAATCCGTCTGCCATGGCCAAACGTGTTGCTCGAGTTCAGAACTTCAGACAGAACTTCAGAGAACGGCAGTAACTGGACTCCTCGACGATGAAAGTTGTTATTTTACACCCTGTCTGGCAAAATCGCTTCCCTCTTCTCCTGCTCGCCCTGCTTGCTTCACATTTGAGCCTGAGCAACCCGCTGTGGCCGTTCCTCGGGCCGCATGCCGACGACTTCGAGCCTCTCCAGCTCCTTGTCGAGGCAGCCAATGTAGTACCGCCTGATCTCGCCCATGTGCGCATCGTAGCCGGTGAGCTCCTGGATCCCAGCCTCTACAAGATGCAACATGTTGGCGGTGGCCTTGTCGCGGATGGTGGCGGAGGGCGGCAGCACTGGCCGTGACTGCTCCGGGTACGGCATTTGCTTGATGTTGTAGTCGAAGCCCGGCTGCGCCTTGGCCGCCATGTTGCCCACCACCCAGTCCACCTCGCGCGGCTTCAGGGCTGGCTTGTATTCGCCCTGGCCCGACTTGAGCTCCTGCGCCAGCGACTCCTGCATGATGCGCGTCTTCTCGCGCTGGAACAGGAACAGGAGGTTCTCCTTGACGCCGTCGCGCTGGTAGTCGACGCTCTCGAGGATCCGCCGTAGGCGCTGCATGCGGTCTCGGGGCCCGTCCTCCGTGTCCTTGGTCACGTCGTCGTTGAAGGGGATGAACACGCTGGGCGCAACATTGGTGAGCTGTGGGATCTTTTCGGGGCCGCTTGGTTTGCTCGTTGTGGCACCACCGCCGTCGGCCAACTGGCTCGCCCGGGAAGGCCCTGCTGCACCTGGCTGCGGCATGATTATGGCACCATTGGCAGTCCCCTCTAGCTTGGGCTTTGGGCTGTGCAAGTTGGCAATGCAAGGTTCCGAGGGTAAATCTCTCTGCTCGACCTTGAAGTCACTGATTTTTCTCCCTCAGGCGCGGGGGGTGTGAGTACCTGTAAGTCCTGCCTAGGGAGTCAGCGATTTGCCTCATGTCAAAGTAATTAAAGCACCCACAGGTTGGCACTAAGCTTCAAAGAGCTTATTGACCGATATTTCCTTTACTGTGAGACAGGTTCGCGGTGAGTTTGTTTTGGTTCTGTGGGTTTGGATGAGAAATTGTTAAGGGAAAGAAGCGGCTGGGTTCTTGGAAATATAACTGGATACCCCGCCAAAAAGAGCTGAGATGTGAAACTAGCTGCCTGAGCTTCTCTACTGCTTTGGGGAATGCATAGACATATCCTACCACATACGTATTGATCTTGGTATAAGACGAACTCAACAAACTTATCGCATTCCTAAATTGGCGATACATTCCGCAATGAGTTACCAACCTTAATTGGGCAGGTCTGATTATTAAATTTATATACACAACTTTAGTAGCTTGAAGCCGGCAAGGTCCAACTCGCCAGTTTCTCCTAATAGATATATACGACTCATATGGCCATTTCAAGGTAAATGGCGACCATTATGTACATAGGTCTCAGTACTATAAAAGGAAAAAGCGAAATATAATATGCCTAGCCCTCCCGTAGGGGATGAAAACGCCAGCACCAGGTGTCCGTTGAGTTCGGCACCTGATGAGAAAGACAGTCCGAGTCGAGAATGCAACCACCCGTGACATGTGGAAATATTTCCTGCAGGACTCTTTGTCAAAGAGGTTCAGTAGATCTGACCATTAGTGTTGATCTAACCCATGAAATCGTAGATCGTTTGTCGATGTTATCATAATCTTGTAGCGCTAATTAAATAGGCGCGGCGGGTGAACCCGATCGTGGTACGAGTAGATACTGGGTACCACCTCGGCAGGAGCCAGGAGGTGTCTCGACAGATTCATCGGATGATAATGAGCTGGGGCCAAAATCACCCAAGCCGGAATGGATGCAAAACGCTCGAACCAGTCTTTTGGGCCTTTGGACCCATCACTCTCCTCGGACCGCGGCTCGGCGTTTGGTCGAAATCCCAGCCCCAAAAGCGAGCCCAGTTTGACATCTCATGCCTACTGGAGCCTCCCAGCTGTAGGATTGTGTTCATGTGTGTGTGCTGTGCTAACATGACTGCAGCAAACAGCAGAAGATGTAGCAATTGCCGTATCAACAACCAAGATGTGACGAACAGATCTGGGCTCATCGCGACGGCAAGATTTTCCTCAAGTACTCCCGAATGAGTCTCGCGGTTCCTCGGGCGTAGTCCTCTAGCCTCCTGTCCTTTCGCTTCCGCATCCAGAGGAGGATGACGGCGAGGACGATGAAGTCGGCGACGAAGTGTTTTGTGACCAGCCACATGCCCCATTCGAGCCAGGCAGCCAAGCTGCGCTCCTTGCGGGACCTCCACTCGCGGCCCGTAGCGATCTGCTCGCGCAGCGCGGCGATTTCTGCCGAGAGCCTTACTATGGCGCGCTCCATCCTCTTGGACCGCTTGTCGTTCCTCCGAGCGTAGTCGTCGGGGATCTCGTCGCCTTCCAGCTCGGCCACCTCCATCAGGCGCTGCTCCGACGCATCCTCCTCGCTCATCGGGCTCAGGACTTTCATGGGACCGTCGGCGCCACTCTGCGCCTGCTGGAATCGGCGGATGCCTATCCCGGAGCCGTCGCCGCCCCCGCCGCCCCTGCTATGGGCCGACGAGGATGACTCTTCGCCGGACGAGCTGGGGCTATTGCTCTTGACCTGGTTCCAGACAAACTCAAGCTCGGCCACGAGCTCGAGGGCGTTGGGCGTGTTTGCGTACTTGTGCATCGTCTCGATGAGCGCCTCGACGTAGCGTCGCTTGGCCTCGGTGCGGCTGAGGCCCTTCTGCGAGTTCCACGCGTCCCACTTGTCCTGCTCGCGGGCGATCTCGTCGCGGGTGCTGCTGCTGCCGCCTATGCCGAGGCCCGACCCTGCCGTCGAGGGCCGCTCCATCACGCCGTCCACGTCGCCCTCCATCGCCTGCTTGTAGAGCCCATAGAGCCGCATGCGGTCCGACGGCGGCGGCCGGGCGGCCCCCGTCTTGGGGATCTTCTTGACTGTATTGAGGGCATGGACAAAGACTCGGTCTGCGCGGATGGGGCAAGATAAGGCTCTGTTAGTCAAGGCTGGCCCCAGCGGCCGCGGTTCGCGGCGAGAAAACGGGAATGGAAGCCAGGGCGGGAGGATTGATGCACGTCACTCACCGATAGAGTCGGCCATTTTGCGAACGACGTAGGCAAATCCTCCTCCGTCGCCTCGGCGCAACGGAAACCTAGGAATTCGATACTTCGTGCGCGAGAGCGTGGGGCTTGGTGTCGGCGGCGGCAGTGTTGTCGAGGTCGGACAGTTTGTCGGCTCGACGCGGCGGCACGGCGCCTGGATCGGGCTGACTGGCGCTAGAAATGGAAGATTGACGCATTCAGTGGGCAGGGCAATCGTGTAAGCCTCACTGTAGCCTCATGCGGGGTGGGTTTCCGGCTGCTAAGGGTGCAACTTTAGTCGAAAGGTGATGGAGACGGTTCGTTCATAAGCATGATGGGATGATGATGTGTTGTTGTTTATCTTCGATAGAGAAACGGTACTTAGACAGCTCTACCTGTACCTAATTACTTTACATTCGCAACCCATCGTGTAACCTAAGGTGGTCCGGTGATGTCTTGAACATGATGGCCTTATCCGTGCTTTCCCCAGCTGTCCCCAAATTAGAGGGGCCCCAATGCCTCGGCTCACTGGACGCGAGTCGTTAAGACCCCACTTCCCCATCTCTTTAGTCCACGACAGTGCTGTTGCTCCGAGCCAAGGGCACCTAGCCAAGCCCCTTCCCATAACTTGGCTTCCAAACAGCCAACGGGCGTGAAGCACACGAAAGCCGTCGTGGATACGGCATAACGGATACAACCCCGTGTCATTAAAGAACTACAAATATGCCCGTCAATTTATCTAGCGTTCAGGCACCATGTTAGCAACACTGCTTAGCGCGGGTTCCACTTCTTCTCGAGTATTACGCAGCGGGCTTGAAACCAAGGGGGGGGGCAGGCCAGGAGGTGCGAATAACGGCTCCTCCCAAGAAAGGTATAATCTTGCTCTCACGCCCTAGGACGAACCTTTGTGAAATGACTTTATTGTGCGCTTGGGGCAACAGCTGTGAGAACAGAAACCAAGAGTAGTCAGCCTGTGAAAGCCGTACCTTAGTCCATGTCTTTGGCTCCGATGACCAAATTTCTTCCACAGTGAGCTTTATGAAAGCCAATATTCGGCAGTCTGCCACGGTAAGCTAGCTGTAAGGGGCGGCAGTCGATCGCCAAACACCAAGCAACGCACCTAGCTGGTTTGCTGGTCTAGGCTTCCTTCAGCCGCGACTTGAGCGAGTCTCGCAGCGGTAAAGGCCGCCTTCTTCTCCGAGTATCGTTTTATCAGCTTCTTGTTTTCCAATGCCATCTTTGCGGCGTTTTGTCCGGCTTCTTTCTTGCCGAGAGCGTTTCCGAACCCGAGCTGCTTGTCCGTTTCGCCCCACCCGTTGAGGATGCAGCCAACGGTGACAAGAGGCAGGTTGGTATCCCTATCCTTCTTGCCCGTAGAAGGGAGATCTCGGTACTCAATCTTGACGCCCTTGGTGCCGATGGCCGCCTCCAGTTGTGTCTTGTAGCTGATGGCTTCTTTGGTCGTCACCGGAACTCGGTGTTCCTCTTGGCGGATATGTCTGTCTAGTATAGGACCCCACAGAGCCTTGAGCCACGCCGAAGCGCGCCTGATGCCGTCCTTGCGGTCGGATAGAATCAAAGCTCCAACATATGACTCAAAGATGTCGCCCTGGGCCTTCTCTCGCTTGGCTCCGCTCGCCGTGGTGCCGGAAAGCCTCCCTTCGAGGTCAAACTCCTCGGGAAAGTTGGCTCGTTTGTCCAGACCGTACTGGCGAGAGAACTGTGACAGCGTCCTGTTGCGGACAAGCATCTCGCGATACTGGGCGCATTTCCCCGGCTCGAGAGTCGGGAATGTTTGGTAAATGAGCGAGGTGGCAATGACTTCAAGATACGCATCCCCTATCCACTCAAGCCGCTCATAGTTGGGATCTGTCCGGTGCTTAACTTTTCCAGGATGCGTCAACGCGGCCGTTTCCAGCGCTGGATCTAAGATTTGAGGAATTGGCGGGCAAGAATTGCCGAGGTCTGCAACAGTCCATTTGGTGATGGCTATGTGCGAAGGAATCTGTAATGAAGAGTTGAGGTCGACCTCAACCTCGGCTTTGACCTCTTCCGTAGGTTGACCCCCTAAAGTCTTCAAAGCGGGAAGGAGCTTTCTGCTTAAAGATGAGAGTGCCTCCTTGGTAGTAGCCTTCAGATCTTCAGTGCCGAAAGACTTGCCGGCCCTCTCTGACTGCTCTGATTTCAAGGCGCGTATGCACCCGAGGAGCTCATCCGCATTCTCCAAAAGCAAGCTAAGCGCATCTGTCCCCCCGGCATCATCAGGCCTTGCGCGCTTAGGACTTAGATAGGTTGAAGTTGCCAAGTCCCCAGACACTGCTTCGCCGCGTGTCCGTTTCGCCATCGAGACGCAGTGAGGAGGAATGACGGGAACAACTCAATTCAGACGACGAGGTGGAATCTGTACCTCAATACTGGTGCGGGTCGTAACGCTCACTGAACTCAAATTTGAGAATTCCGTTCTTGAAGTATGGAGTAAATCGTTGGCCGGCCTCAAAAGTTCAGCTGCCACCCACTTCTTCATCGGTGGGCAGTTTCTGAGCCCCACTCCAGCAGCTGGGTTAGCGTCTGGGCAAGCCGGCAGGCCGCAACAGGCTGGCGCAAGTGCGGCTCAACCCACGGCCCAGGGGCCTTTCAGTGTGCCCCACACTCCTGGCGAATTTGATTGGTAGTGCACGGGGAGACGCAAGAGATCCCAGAACGTCAAGGCATTTCGCGATCTTCATCCCAGCACGCTTCGGTAAGCCGTCAACTCTCGTGCAGCTACGAAATGGCGGTCCCGCGCGCCCGCTTGCTGGAGCTGATGAAAGTAAGATGTTCGAAAAGAAGCAGAGCGACTTTTAAGATGCGGAGCTGACTTTCCCAGGCTCAATGCCAGCTTTTCTCGACGACATTCAACCCCGAGCGCGTCCGGACCGGCAACAAGATCCTGCGCCAGAGGCTCCGAGGCCCTGCGCTTGCGGCATACTACCCCCGGAAGGGCCCCGATCTCCTCGACCTCCAGAGAGAAGTCGATGATCTCGGGTTGTTGGTGGACAACGATGAGGCCGACGACCGGCTAGAACATATTGCGGCGTACGTCTTCCCCAGCAGTCGGCATATTCGTCAACCTAACATGTCGCAGCCTGAAACTCCGCGGAAAGAGCGCGCCAAAGAAGAAGAAAGGCCCATCTACAGGTACGGCTATCTCTGGGCTCCGCCTTCCCAGGTCGCCCAAGCTAACCTGGTGCAGAATCCAAACACAAATAAGTTACGGGACAGAAGGCGAGCCAGACGCCGTCCAAGAAGCCTGGCATTTGTACTATATAGAGGACAATCTAGAATATACCCTGATCGATCAGTCCAGACAACGACTGCTTTACCACCGAAGTCACATTCCAAATCACCGAGCAGGTAACCAATTGACAAACTCGTCTGCTAGGTCAATTCTGACGCTCTAAGTGGCTTTTCCTATCCTTTACACAAGAACTTTTTTTTGTGATAAGTTGACGAAATATGCCCATTCAAAAGCTTCCTTTTTTCTATCCGGGCTCTATACTTTCATAACCAACAGGATCCGACTTGTCCAAGACTCTGAAACCCCCATCGTTCTGGGTTCAATCCTCTGTAGTTGAGATGGACTGGGTGTTATTGTATACAACCAAGTGGAGTGGTTTATCGAGACGTGACCGGTCGTCTGCCTGATATTACATCCTTTTTCCTCATCAATTTCGTCTTTCGTCTGTTAAAAACGTCATGTGGTGGCGGAAATGGAATGCCAAACACGGCGAGAAGCCGGAACCGAGATGGCTCTTTGGTATCCTCGATGCGTGCCGACGGGTCGGACCGAAAGCTGACAAACAACCCCAAAGCACTTGTCATCTACAATAGTTCCTAGGCCGCACACAAGGTACCCGGGTCTTCTTTTAAATCTTCTGCGTCAAGATTGACGAGCAACAGCTGCAGCCCTCAAATAGCAGTCTGACTAGGTCCCTAAGGTAGGCAAGATACTAGAAGCTACCCGAGGCAGGTAGTCTTCTGATTTCGTAGCCCCCAGGTTAGCGTACCTTCCTGGCCGGGACATCGAAATGCGATAGAGAGATTCGTGCCTTCCTTCCCTTTTCAGGTGACGGCTCGCCTCGTCCGATGTTGGCCGCCAGCAATCCAAGCTGACCATCGGGTGCCCAAACAGGCTCCCGCTAGTCGTGTCTCGCTTAACTGGTGATTTCTATTTGTTCCGTTCCTTCCTGCGGCCCCCTCGTCTTCCACCTTCCCCTTCGTCTCGGCAGCCTCAAAATCACCAAGCTACGCGCGCGCATCTAGGCCGCCTCTTCCTGCCCTCCACTCCTTTAAGAATTCCCGACCGCAGGACTTGGGACCTGACTTCCTCGAATCTATTCCGCCTACCAGTAGATCTATAGATACACCTACCTTATCTTACTGGGCGCCTTACCTTCGACACCCCATTTACCGCACCTGGACCGTGGTACGTACATTCTCGGTCCCGTCTCCGGACTCTCGGGTATCTCGTCTACGTGCGGTGGTTCCTCCCTTCAATCTTTCACCACTTTCACCTCCTCCGAGGTACAGTCGGCGCATTTACTTCTTCAAATCTTTCTTCTACGGCCACCTCGGGACCTTCGTGGAAAATCTACTTTCTCTGCTTAAGAACATCTTGATCATTTTCCCAATTGTAAGGCAACCACTGAACCGTCCCCGTCCCCCTTCGCCGAGGCCGTCGAAGAACACAGGACGCCATGTCTACCGCCGCGTCCACGGGCTCGCCCAACGAGCGTCGCATCTCGGGCTCAAACATCTCGGGCTCAAACATCTCGGGCTCAAACATCTCGGGCTCGAAAAGCTACTCACAGGACGAAAATGCAGGCCCTCCCGACGATTTCCTCTCTGTTCCACAAGTATGTTTCTTCTTTATTGTCTCCCCACTCTAGGCGGGCTGAATGGCAAAGGCGGGCACTTTGATCTATATTGTGCTCTGCTGTGCTTTCAGAGATGAATGCCTGCCCACCTGCCCACGTCGTCACTGATGTTGTGTTCTCCAATCTTTTATTAAGAGTGCTGGCTGACGCTGGGATGCACAGGAGATCACAACAAACTTGAAAAAGACGGTCACCGCTCTGACAACCTCCAAGCTGGTCAACCAAAGCTGCCCAAAGGTAGGTAGTCCTGATCTCCAGAAACGTGGTTATTGAACTGATCATGACAGAAGTTGAAGGTGAACCACGAGCAGCTCTCCTCGGTCGATTCATACTCGATGGAAAAGCTCTATGCAAGCCGTTCTGAACAGCAGGCCCTGCTGCAGCACCAAAACGAGGTTCTAAAGTCGTTGGATGACGAGGCTATGTACTCTCGCGGCTTTGACCACCAGTCATCTTGCAGCTCCTTCCCCATCACCCCAGCGACGGATGCCTTTGGTCCGACTGCCCCAACGACTCGGTCTGCCAGCGTTGTTCCAAACGGCCAAATCCCCTCCGAGGAGCTTCTGCATCTCAAGTTGGAGCTGGCGCAGGCCCAGAACAGGATTTCGCGGCTTGACCAAGAGTTGGCACAGACTCGCCTCGCCACCCAGGACTGTGGGCGTGTGACTCCGAGCCTTCTCCACGAGTCGGACTTCCCGATGGCGCTGTCAGCTGCGACGTCGCCGGGCACTTCTCGAGGTCCAATTAGCCAAGTCTTCAATGTTCCGAGCAAGGCGCCTCCGTCATTCTCTCGGGAGAATAGCTGGATGTCTCAGGAGGACACTCGCCCTGACACCAATGATCCCATGTCGGCTGGCGGCCTTATCCGTGCTCGTGGAATCTGGAACAATAAGACTGCATTCACTAGTCCCTTTCCGCAAAGCCCAGCCCCGATGGCAGAGGGACCTCAGTCGGTGCCGTGGCCCAATGCCCGTGTCGCCAATCAGGGCTTCGAGCCTCCCTTTCAGCCACCAAGCATGGAGTCATACCGGCCAGATCGAATGGCTCCTCCTGACCATGATATGATGCGACCGGCTGGACGCCGCACAAACAGATTCGACAGCCGCTTTGGAGTGCCGAACAACTTCAGCGGCGGCTATGGTGGATACAACAACATGGGAGCCGGCCAGTACGAGGCTCCCCAGGGCTATTCCAGTGGCCCGCCCGGTCCGGCTTCTGGTGGGGTGGGAATTGGGCTGTACACGGCATACCAGCAGCAGCCTGTTGGAACACCCCTGTCCCCCCATGCCACCGAGTTCACGTCGGGAACGGCACCATGGAAGTCGGAGGTAAGTTATGTTCTGGTTCGATTGTGATTTGTTTGCAGCCCCACTGACAATCCCTCTTCCAGTCTCTGGCCTCAGAGGGACAGACATATATGCCCGCCACGGAGCCACTCAACTATCGCCGTCTACTTGACCGTAATGTTACCTGCGATTGGAAGTATATCGTCGACAAGATTGTGTGCAACAACGACCAGCAAGCCTCTATTTTCTTACAACAGAAGCTCAAGGTTGGGACCTCTGAGCAGAAATATGATATTGTCGAAGCGATTGTTGCGCAGGCGTACCCCCTCATGGTCAACCGATTTGGCAACTTTCTGGTCCAGCGCTGCTTTGAGCATGGCACCCCCGAGCAGGTCATCAAGATTGCCGAGGCAATTCGAGGCAACACTCTCAACCTCTCGATGGATCCTTTTGGCTGCCATGTGGTACAGAAGGCCTTCGACTCAGTTCCCGAGGACTACAAAGCCATCATGGTGCACGAATTGTTGCGGCGCATTCCAGAGACGGTCATTCACCGGTATGCCTGTCATGTCTGGCAGAAGCTTTTCGAGTTGCGATGGACCGAGTCGCCACCCCAAATCATGAAGTACGTGAACGAAGCGCTTCGTGGCATGTGGCATGAAGTGGCGCTTGGGGAGACCGGAAGCTTGGTGGTTCAGAACATATTTGAGAACTGCTTGGAAGAAGATAAGGTTGGCTCGCCCCCTACCTAAGACTTGAAGGGGTGCCTTGGCTAACAAAACACACAGCGCCCCTGCATCGAGGAAGTGCTGGCGAACATTAACATTGTCGCTCACGGGCAATTTGGCAATTGGTGTATTCAACACATTTGTGAGCATGGAGCTCCCGCGGACCGAAGCCGTGCTGTCGACCACGTCATCCGCTATGCGGCCGAGTACAGCATGGACCAGTTCGCCTCAAAGGTCGTCGAGAAATGTTTGAAGATTAGCGGTCCCGAGTTCCTCAGCCGGTACCTTGACCGTGTCTGCGAGGGCAGGGTCGACCGGCCTCGGATCCCCTTGATCGACATTGCGAGTGACCAGTACGGGAACTACCTTATCCAGTACATCCTTACGCATGCCAACCCACAGCATCGCGAGATTGTCGCCGCCCATATTCGCAAGCACATGGTGTCGCTCCGTGGCTCCAAGTTTGGCTCCCGGGTTGGCATGCTCTGCACCAACCACGCCGTCGCCACTCGCCCGGGCCCTGGAGTCGGTCCGGCCATGGGCACTCGAATGGGACCGGGCCCGCGGTTTTCCGGCGGCTACCGCTAGACTGCTTCGATATCAAGGCGCTGTCGTCTTACTTCCGGTCACGGGACCTGTGGTGTTTTTGTGGTGTCATTCAGGCTTACGCTCCTTTCTCTTTGACCCTGCAATGAATTTTTCGTGATCGGTTCTCGGGAGTTCAACTATACCATATGAGACTCGGTTTTTATGAACATCTTCGCCAGCAGCTAATTTTACAAATCACCCGACATCCTACGCTCGGGAGGCTACTGCCCATTCGAGTGCTTTGGACACATTATGTTTATGGATTTTGCAATATTGAACGGTTGCGGTGCGCGACCTGCTGTGGGGGAAGGCCGAATCTGTCTTGTCCAGATCTAAGAGGGACAGGGACCAAACGACCTCTTCCAGGCGGGCCGCCTTGACAGACCTTTCTGCTCTAATATAGCTGCGAGGAATCACTTTTGGTGGGCGCTCTGCCGCGAGGGGAGGTGGGTAATGGACGGCAGAGGCGGTGTGGGACTGAGGTTGCAGCAGCCGAGACTGCCTTGTTTTTTTTTGTGCTATGAAGGAACCGAGGGACGCATTGATGGAGAAGATGCACGGCCTGAAATGGATCACTGGGCCTTGGGCATGTACCAGAGATAGTAATGAGTCCATAGTCGCTCCTTTAATTCCGCAGAAGAATATATTATTAAGCCTTAGATCGTGTCTCTCGCAGCTTGAGTGAGACTTGGTGTTGCGGAATTTAGGATCGTCATGTGCAGAATTTTAGGACATGCGAGATACCAGTGTTTTTTGCCTTTGCTTTCTGGCCCAGCACGCCTGTACCCCTTTCATCCAGTTTTTATTTAATATATTTTTTAACCGGACTCTTCTTTCTTACCCCCTTCACGCCTGTTTTACCACCATTCTTAGCGCCTGTCATCGGCCGCAAACTTGGCCGTCCAGAAGCCGCGGTAGTGTTTCAGCCTACCGGCGTCGGCGATCTCGCGGATCTCGTCCGGGGCGAGCGTGAACGTGGGCAGCCTGGCCAAGACGCCCTGCAGGCGCTCGGCGCTGGAGCTGGTGGTGAGGGTGACGATGTCTTGGTCGAGGCACCAGCGCAGGGCGACGTCGGAGGCGGGGACGCCGTACTTGCGGGCGAGGCGGTCGTAGACGGCGTCGCAAGGGCCCGGGGCGGCGCGTGTGATGGCTGCCAGCGGCGCGTACGCCTCGACGGCGATGCCGTGCCGCCGGCAGTAGTCCAGCAAGCCCGCGTCGCCGTCCGCATCGTGCTGCAGGTACGGGTGGTACTCGACCTGGTTGACGACGGGCGGGTGGCGCGGCGCGGCGGCCAGGATCGCTTCCAGGTGTGAAACCAGGTAGTTGGACACGCCGACGGACCGCGCGCGCCCGGACGCTTTGATGGCTTCCATCTCGGCCCACTTGCGCTGGTACACCTCGGGCGCCGCGTCGGCGACCGCCCAGAACGGGTTGTGGATCAGGTACAGGTCGACGTACTCGAGCCCCAGCCTTTCGAGCGACCGCGCAAACGCCGTCTCGACCGACTCGCCCGCCCGGCAGCTCGTCTTGGCCGTCACGAACAGCTTCGACCGCGCCACGCCTGCCGCCTTGATGGCCGCGCCTAGCTCTTCCTCGTTGCCGTATGCTATGTTATGTTGGTGGTAAGCAAACAGGAAGGGGGGGGGGGGGGGCAGGGTTTTAGCGTCCTGGGCTCGATGGCCCTCGAAGCGGGCACAGACGGACGTACCTTCGGCGCCGTCCAGGTGGTAGTAGCCGTTCTTGATGGCCATGACGGTGTTGTCGACTATCTGCTGGTTGAAGGCCGCCTTGTTGCCGCGCTTGAAGTTTGCCGTGCCGAGGCCGTAGCCAAGCTGTGTTTTTGCTTGTCAGCGAGTGTGCCAACCAGGTGACTCGACAAACGCAACGAACGGAAAGTATGCACACCGTACCATGGGGATCTCGTTGCCGTCACTCAGCTTGAGGTTCGGGATGGGCCCAGCCCCGGACGTATCGGGCCTGGGGACGGCCGCTGCAGAGCTCATTCTGGCGCGTGGCGATGCTGTTCTAGACGAAGCAGTCGAGAAGAGCACGCGGGCTGGGGCACGAGGCGGGGAGGGAACTGCAACGACGACGGCGCGGAGATAGGATGTGTGATGGCCGGCGAGGCGAAGAAGCATAGAGCGTTGACTTTGGGTAACAGATGTGACAGAAAGCGCGCAAAAGGGGGATATCGATAAAGCAAAGCTTTTTATATGTATGTATTCCTCTGCCCTGCTCAAAGAGCTCGCCCGTCTTGAGAAGAGATAAAAGGGGAAACGGGATGCCGAACCCCGTCCGATAAGCGGCGGGTGTACGTGTTTCGCCGTTTCGTCTTAGGGGTCTGCAACTTCGCCGCTATATCCGGCTTGTTCGCGAGAGTTGCTACTACGTCTGGTAGTAGAATAGGCCATGCATTCATTGCCTCGCGTGCTCGCTCGCATCACGCAGCCCAGCCAGAGCTCTTCCCTCAGCCGTCGCTGGGAAGGACCCCGCAGTGATAGCTTCAAGCCACAGCTGCGGGGCGTCATCAGTTTGTTCTATGACGCCATAGTTCAGACGGTTAGGTTGGGGGTTACTGCGTTTCAATCCGTGGTGCAGCAAAATATTAGTTGGGAATGAGATGGAAGTAAAAGACGCAAACGATGGGGACACAAGATAACTGTACCTTGTTAGGTAATCATTGATAAACACGACCTTGTTTCTCACTACATCATTTCTTGTGTGCAACTTTGTACCGACGGGCGTTGAATTGAATGCTGACGCTCGGGTTAAGGTTCTCTCTGCCCCATGCAGGGATTATTTAGCGGACAACGGCACTGTATCTCGGCCGCTGCGGTGCGCCTCCCATTACTGGTGACAGGGGGGCCCTCCCGTTGTGGATGAATTACTGGCATCCGGATCGGATGGATTTGGATGTCGTGCAGCAGCCGCGAATTGCCGATGACGTTCAACTTTAACGTCGTCTCCCGCCTCCCGCCTCCCGTCAACGTCTCCGCGGCACGATTGTGCCGCCACCTCGCCGAAACACCCGCAATCTTTATCTCTAACCCCGAGACTCTAGACTGACGGCGAGGGGCCATCTACTTGCCATTGAAATCTGTGTTTTATTCCCACAAATAATTGAATTTGATACGTATTGATGCTGGCATCATCGCGGTTCCTTTTCTTTGACAGCCTGGCGCAAACATAGCACTGCCCCTTGACCAGACGATGTACATCCACATCGCCACCAAGCCGGCCGGTACATAAGATACCTTACACACGTTCAGAAAGAGCAACACACAGCTGCTAGACACGACAGCGCAGCGCAGCACAGCACAGCACAGCACAGCACAGCACAGCACAGCACAGCACAGCACAGCACAGCACACGACCGAGGACAAGACGGATGCGCCTGCAGCCGGCAGCCCGCTGTCTAGCACTTTCCCAGCACATGACGTTGCGACGCCCCTTTCTCAGTCAGCCCTTTTCATCCTCACCGCTCGCACTCATGGGCGACACAGCTGCCAACGGCTCGTCGCCGTCACCGCACAGACAAACAACACAGGGCACGACGCTCGCGGCGCTGCCCAAGTCGTGGCATTTCACGGCGTCGCTGCCGGCAGACCCGATGTTCCCCACACCCGCCGACAGCCACAAGACGCCGCGCGATGAGATCTTGGCCCGCCAGGTTCGCGGTGCACTGTTCACCTGGGTGCGCCCCGAGCAGCAAAAGGACCCCGAGCTGCTGGCCGTGTCGCCCGCCGCCATGCGCGACCTCGGCCTGGCCCTGTCCGAGGCCGCCACCGGCGGCTTCCGCCAGACGGCCGCCGGCAACAGGTTGCACGGCTGGGACGAGGAGAGCGGCAGCGGCGGCTACCCGTGGGCGCAGTGCTACGGGGGTTTCCAGTTCGGCGACTGGGCCGGCCAGTTGGGTGACGGGCGTGCCATCAGTCTGTTCGAGGCCACCAACCCGACGACAAACGTGCGGAACGAGGTGCAGCTCAAGGGCGCCGGCATGACGCCCTACAGCCGCTTCGCTGACGGCAAGGCCGTGCTACGGTCCAGCATCCGCGAGTTCGTCGTCAGCGAGTACCTGCACGCCCTCGGCATCCCCACCACACGCGCCCTGGCCCTCACCCTGCTGCCCCACAGCCGCGTGCGCCGCGAGACGGTCGAGCCCGGCGCCATCGTCGTACGCTTCGCCCAGACCTGGCTGCGCTTCGGCACCTTTGACCTGCTGCGCGCCCGCGGCGACCGCCCCTTGCTCCGTCGCCTCGCCACCTACGTGGCCGAGGACGTCTTTGGCGGCTGGGACAGGCTGCCGGCCCGGCTAGAGGGCACCGACGTCGCCAAGCCGTCCGAGGCGGCCGCTGCCTCCCCCGGCCGCGGGGTGCCCGCGAACGAGCTGCAGGGTCCCGCCGGCAGCGAGGAGAACCGGTTCGCGCGGCTGTTCCGCGAGATTGTGCGGCGCAATGCGCTGACGGTGGCCAAGTGGCAGGCGTACGGGTTCATGAACGGCGTGCTCAACACGGACAACACGTCCGTGTTCGGGCTGTCGATGGACTACGGGCCCTTCGCCTTCATGGACAACTTCGACCCGACCTACACCCCCAACCACGACGATCACTTTCTGCGCTACAGCTACCGTAACCAGCCCACCATCATCTGGTGGAACCTGGTGCGCCTGGCCGAGGCCCTGGGCGAGCTGCTGGGCGCCGGCGGCGACGTCGACGACGCCACCTTCGTCGCCGAGGGCGTCAAGGACGACGCCGCCGCCGCGCCCCTCGTCGCCCGCGCCGAAAAACTCATCGACCAGGCCGGCGAGGAGTACAAGACCGTGTTCCTGGGCGAGTACAAGCGGCTGATGGCGGCGCGGCTGGGCCTGCGCACGCAGCGCCCGTCCGACTTTGACGACCTGTTCAGCAGCCTGCTCGACACGCTCGAGGCCCTCGAGCTCGACTTCAACCTCTTCTTCCGCCGCCTCAGCACGCTGCGCGTCGCCGACCTAGCCACGCCCGCCGACCGCGAGACCCACGCCGCCCGCTTCTTCTACGCCGACTACTTCACGTCGCCCTCCACCTCACACACCGCCGACGAGCAGCTCGCCGCGCGCCGCCGCGTCGCCGACTGGCTGGACCGGTGGCGCGACCGCGTCATCGCGGACTGGGGCACGCTGGAGGGGTGGGGGTCGGCGGGGCCCGAGAGCGCGCACGGCGGCGTGCCTCCGGAGCGCGACGCCGAGCGCATCGCCGGCATGAAGGCTGTCAACCCAAACTTTGTGCCGCGCGGCTGGGTGCTCGACGAGCTGATCCGCCGCGTCGAGAAGGACGGCGAGCGCGACGTGCTGCGCCGCGTCGTCCACATGGCCCTGCACCCGTTCGAGGACGTCTGGACCGGCCAGACGCCCGACGATACTAAAGAGGGTGGCGGGGGTGTATACCAGGGCGACGCCGACGAGGAGGTCGGGTGGACTACCGACGTGCCGAGGAAAGGGAGGGCCATGCAGTGTAGTTGCAGCTCATAGAACTTTCTTAACCTGCTACTTTAGGTCGTATCACTACACAGAAGTACTCTCTAATGTACATACATGTGTGGCCTCGTAAGCACGGTTCTATAAACAGTCATAATCTGCAGACGTACATATCAAGTTTGAATAGTTAAGCGTGCAGTGGGTGGGTGTGGCATTTTGTTTTTTAGGGGGAAGATAGGATAGGGTTTGTGCTCTATAGCAAAGCCCTACGCCTACATTTGTGTGTTTTTTTTGAACTCGAACTTACAACGATGAAGTTGTTTGTGTATTGAAAGAATCGTGGATTCTTAGTTCAAAATGAAAGAGAAGACGCGGTCCAGTAGTAGCCGACACCTGTAGACACTCATACACAGAGAGCCTTGTATTCCTACCGAACCTACACCATAATTAAGAAACGTATCCATGGGGTAGGCATTGAGCCTATCTCTGTACTCATGTACTTGTCTGTCCTCACGTGAGAAGTCTCTTATAATGTGCGTGGTTGGAGACGGTAGCTGAATCTAAGCGCTATTCAAGTCTCTATCCCGCCGGTTTTTAACGCCTCCTCTCCTCAAAAAAATAAAAATAAAAATAAAATTTGCCGCCCCCAAACAGTATCGTGATTGAATGCCGTGTCGTCAATCGTGTATCTAGGCCGTCATTGGATACCCCATCCCCGCCGAGACAGAAGTAGTAAGGAAAAGCGGTAGCATATATTACATGGTAAGCCCCTTTTCATGGTCTTTCCTCCTTTTCTCATATTTTTCATAACTCGTCGTCCGATTCGATCTCGCTTCCTTCCGCTGCTATTGCTGCCGCCGCTGGAGCCGGAGAGGGACTAGCAGTCGCCCTCGCCGACCTTGTAGTGGTGGCAGCAGCGCGTCTCGGCTGCATCGTCAGCGTCTCGCTAGCTTTCGTCGCCTGAGAAGCGGCTGCTGCGGCCGGGCGGCCCTTGGCGCTCTTCGCTGCCGTGTCTGGTGCCTTACGCCGGGTGGCCGGCGGAGGAGGTAGGTCCTCGTCGTCTGGCTCGCTCCCTGTGGCGTCGTCGTCTGTGGTCTGGCGCTCGTCCGAGTCGTTCCATTTCTCGGGCGCTTCTGCATCCTCCGTCTTCAGGTCTTGATCCACGCCCTCGTCCACGTCCATCCTCTCAAACCCGTCGTCCGAGGGGCCGTCGTCGCCAGACGCGTCTTCGAGCGCCTTGCGCTTGGAGGCGCGGGACGCTCTGGGGGCCTGCCCCGCCGCCCCGGCGGCTCTCGGCCTGGCGGCGAAAGCGGCGCGCACCTCGGCCAGCTTGGATGGGTCGACCCTGGCGGTGCTGAGCAGGAGCTGCTGCTCGCGGATCTTGACCTTCTTCTCGTTTAGCAGCCCGCAGACCTTTTCCAGGATCTCCGTCTCCCGGGCTTTCTTGGCCTCGAGCAGCTCGGCCAGCTGGCTTCTCAGCTCGGCCACGCGCGCTTCCAGGTCGGCGACCTTGGCCGTCTCGGCCGCCACCGCGTCCCTGGATTTTTGCTGCTCCAGCGCCGCGGCGCCGCACCAGTCGAAGAGCTGGATGCCTTCATCGGGGGTGTGCTTCAAGGTTATGGTGCCTAGACGTTGCTAGTTGCCATCAGTCTCTGTTAAACGCTCTTGTTGGTTCCAAGCCAAGGAGTCACTGGAGCTCACATTGATGCCGGCTATCCGCCTCCTGATAGTGATGGTGACCGACTTCCCCACATGAGCCTCAGCGCCGGCCTCGATGCCGTCGAGCGGGCTGTTATCGAGCAGGACGGACTTCAAGATGGCTTCCCACTCGCTCGGCGAGCACGGGCTGCTGCCCTCTAGCAGATCGCCAATACGATCGTGCTTTACTGCAACCGCCGGCAGACCGTGCTCGGCTGTTAGTGCTCATGTAACCATACATGGGATGAATGACACGGAGATGCCCGAATCTGAGATCCCCATGAGTGGTGCAGAGGGGAGGGCCGTATACTACTGGATGGCGGGACGGACGGCTCGGAAGTTTGAGGGGCTAAGAGGAGCGGAGGAACGGAGGAGCAGAGGAGCAGAGGCGAAGCTGCCAAGACAAAGGACTATAGCAACAGCTTAACACTCACGTTTGACCGCATATGGCTCCTCGCCCTCGGTGACAACGAGCTTGACGTTCAGGGGCTTGGACCCGGAGGGGGTGACCTGGCCCAGGACGCAAACACCTTCGTCGTCGGCGGCGTCAGTCCGGAGGATGCGAATGATCTGGAAGGCGGCCATGACTTGGCGGCTCGCTGCCCTTCCACAGACAGGACGGGATGGTGGTGGGGATGGCTTGTTTGGAGTATAAAACAGAGTTTAATTGTCTCTTGGGCTACCTAGGTAAGGCACCCGTGGTCCTGTAGCAGTCTAGCGTGCCGACTGGCGCAGTCTCAGAGGCTTCCAGATGTTTCTGGCCCGCCGCCGAGGATGAAACAAGCCGAGATTTGAGGGACGGCGTTTTATGACTTGGGGAGGCAATACTCGACCGGGTTTAATACCGCAGTACTTGACGGCGCGGCCGATGCGAAGGACCTCGAGCTCAAGGGAAACGAACGGCCCGGGCCTGGACTTAGAGTGCCAACCGGTCGATGTGATAGGACGACGCCGTGTGGGGAAGTGGAAACAGAACAAGTTCAATTTTGGAAGCCAATACAGTGCTGCTATTTTTGTTTGATCCGGATTCTGGATGAAGGAACAGGCGAGCAAGGAGCTCTCGAAGTTCATGCCATCCGCCTCTCCCGGCGGAGGCGAGCATCCGAGACAGGAAGGAGACAGATGATGGGATGACGCGCAGCAGAAACATGCCAAACAAAAATCTTGTTCCTCGGCTTTTTTGTAATTTTAAGACACGGCTGCACCATCTCGACTGCTGCCTGCATCACCTACGGTTGACGCTAACTACGTACAGTACATACTGGGAATTACAAGTTGGTGATTGAGATCGTTGCCTTGCCTGGCATTGCGCCGATCAGCGATTGGATGGCTGCAGGATGTAAACGATGGTACCCTAACCCTAATACGCAAGCCTGGGCAGCCACAAACCGGCCAAGTCTCCGATCTGGAGGGGAGGGGGCGGGGAAGGAAGGGGGCAACGAACGCGTCGCGTCATGGACGCGATCTGGCCCAAACAGGACAGACAGACCTCCCCGTTAATGGGACTGTGCTGCTATAAGCACATCGAACAACGAAGGCGACCTGCGCGGTTAGAGCCCCTCGAGTCATGACGCAGTTCCAGACATCGCCTGCAAACTCAATAGCCTCTGTTATATAAGCAAGGACCTGTCATTTGGAACTAATTGCCTATCCAAGAAATATACTAGAGAAAGCGGCCGAATAGAGAAACCAAGCACAGAGCACGGCTGTCGCACAGTGTCTTTGGTCATGGGGTTTCGAGTTTTCGCTGTCACAGGTGTCTGAGGTGTGCGTCTGTGCGACTGAAATATCCGGAGGGGGAGGGTCAGCCTGGCGGTCTGCGAGGCCGAACTAGCTCTGTCTAAGCTTGATCGGGCCATGGCATCACTGTTAGCGCGCGCCGTGGTTTACGCTGTCGCTCGCTCGTCCTTCGCTTTGTTCTGCGAAAGGCCAGGGCGGCGACACGCAGTGCCGTCAGTACAGCGCAGCGCAGCGCAGTAAAGTGACGTGCAGCGCAGTGCAGCGCAGAGCGGCAGCAGGAGACGGCCGAGGGTTTCCCGGAGTTAGGGTTCCGAGCAGGCAGTGTAAGCGGTGAGGTTTTACCCTATGCCGCCCAATGTCGGCTCGAAGGGAGAAGAAAGGCGGAGAAAATAGAGTTTGAGGGGTCCCACGCTGAGAGTTTAGGTTGCGCGTGAAGCCGGGGCGCCTGACAAGTCCTCGTCTCTAATAATACTGGACGCTAACAATAGTAGGAAGCCTCATGAGGCCACTATATAGCCAGCCTGTAGGATAATCACCACGACAAGCAAGAATCAAGAATTCTTGTGCCTCGCTGCGAATTGACAGTGACGTTACGGGCAGCGGCGGTGGAAATTGAAAAGGCGGGACAACCCTGAGCGGTGAATTGGTGGTGGCTGGCAGAAGGCCCAGCCCTGTTCGCCTCGCCAAATCGACAGCGGCTAAGCCTAATTTGGCCTGGACCATTTTGCGACGGCGGGCTCCATTCTCTGTCCCGCCCATCGCCGCGCTGCACTTGGAACACTTCTACCTTCATGACATTCACACAGGGGCCGCAATACAACACTGTCCGGCCATAGCTGGCGCGACAAACCTGCTCGCCGCCTGGATGCGAAAAAGGCAAAGGGTTCGCCACGGAATACGCATTCCTCCAGCACCTATCGCCCGCGCGCGCGCCGCGTGACTGCCAGCAAGGACACCGAGACCCGAGCCCCGACGACTTTGCAGGCCCGTAACTCTATCGCACCGCCCACGCCCGCTCACGCCCGCGACCACGCCCACGCCCATACAATGGAAACTTTACGCCTTAAAGCTCGCCCGCCCGTGGAGGAGGAGATTGAAAACTGGGACGATGACGACTTTATGATTGAGGGCGACGACCTCACCGTCAACAGCCATTCAACTTCCGCCAACGCCCCATCGCACCGCCGGGATTCCCATTCGTCCTTCCGATCCGACTTCGAGTCCGTCCACGGAGAGGAGGAAAAGCAGGTTCTCCTCCCAGGAGACGATGAAAAGTCGACACTGGACGCCATAGCGGCCGCAGAAAAAGCCGGCATTCCCATTCCCAAAAACGTGCCGCCCTCGGCCTTGATGGGCGGGACAATCAAGAGACTTGGGGGAAGGAAAATCAAGAGGATTATCCAGGAGGATTGGGTCGACGACCTGGAGTTCCCCGATGCCGGTCAGTCGCTTCAGATCAAGCCCCAGGACGGCTCCCAGTTTCCCGAGGTTTTGCGCCAGGTTAGCAATTCGGTGCACCCAAGCCCGTTAAAACCGGTGCGACCGTCGCCTACGTTCGCGCACGAGGAGCGTAAGGAACAGAGGCCGTCGCTCCCAACCGGGCTACTCAACCTAGACCGCTTCCGTGATATGGAGGACGACGACGACTTCTTTGGGGACGGCGCCGCCACTATCAAAGTGGCGAAGAGGCGCGAGGCGCCAAAACCCGTCCCAATGATAACGCCTCCGACCCCTCAGAAGAATGCCGGCGGTGATGACGACTTTGAGTGTGATCTCGAACTCCCAGTGGATGGCAAGCTGCGGCTCTCTACTCGGAGGGAAATCCCCAAGACGCCGTCTATTAACACTTTGGACGACCTGGATTGGGCAGAGGGAAGCCTGGGGACCAGGTTTGGCGGTACTCGACGCGATGGTCGGTCAAATCGGAGTTCATCTGCCTCCGCTCTCAGCCCAAGCATCGCCAGCTCCATCACTGCCGAGAGCGAGGACGAGACCTTTGACGGCCTTGTCCTGCCCAATGGCCCTCTCGACTTTGAGAGCCGGTTGAGGCGCCGTCGGCCAAGTCGCTCTCCCGAGCGAATAGTCGAAGAGCCGTCCAAGGAAGCAAAGGAAGAGAAGGAGGACTTCCTCGCGGGCCTTGACCTTGGCGACGTAGAGGTTTTTGATTCCAAAAAGTTGACGCTTCATCGCAATATCCAGGTCAAGGAAACGAGGCCAGCCAGCCCGTCCCGACCCAAAACCACAGTTGCCCTCAAGTTCACCCACAACAAACCTGTCAATGTTTCCCGTCTCCCACGGCCTATGGGGCCGCCCATGGTGAGCCACGAGCGAACACATACGCAGTCATCACTAGAACCCGTATCGGAGAGCGGAGGGCCCATCACGCACACTAGACGCTCCTTGTCACGTCTAGGCCACTCGGCTCAGTCTTCCGTCACCAGCGTGGCCACACCCACCACGCCATCCTCTGCCCACTCTCTGCCGCCGTCAACTCCGCGTAGAAAGGAGCTTGGCCAAAAGACATCCACCATCTCACTTAGAAATGAGCCGACTACCACGAGTGCCCAGCTGCTCCGACTTAAGCGGTCGCTGCCTGCGATGAGGCCCCCTCAGTCTCCAGCCCGGCCGGTGGTGTCTAGAGGATACGAACGGCCCCCGTCGAGGTCAGAAATGGCACCGCGGCCCCAGTCCTCGATGCGACCAAAGACTCCCGTAGAGCGGATGAGGACTTCGGAAAGCTCCGCATCTCAAGCCCGGAAGCCCCCTGTGCCGTTCCTGCCAGCCGGCGCGTCGGCCTCACAGTCGCACAACATACTTGCTAGGAGCTCTCGCGTCTTCCGCCGACACGATTCAGAACATAGCATCGATTATAGGCCAAACTCCCGAGCTGTCTCTCGCTCGACAGTCCGATCACCTAGTCCGCGAAAGTATCGTCCGGGCGAAAAGGCCGCTCCAGAAGGAGCCTGGCAACAACTCAACAAGCCTCGGCGGGCGAGGCACTTTGGCGACGGCCATGAACTTGACGGCTTTGACGATCTCCCCACGTCAAGCCAGGCAGAAGCCAGGTACTTGAAGCAGCCCATCACAGGCGGACCCAAGGCGCAGATGCGCAGCAGGATGTACCAGAATATCTTACCCGACCGAACCATGACGCCATCTCCCCAGCTACCATACTCTCCCGCTCGTATGGACCACGTACCGAGCTTTGCTCGCGATACCGCCGCAAGCCGAATTGCCCGGGAAACGAGTCTTGCCCAGCGCACTCCATCCGGCGCCCTTGCCCCCCTCACAACACAACGCGTAGCCCAGCTGTCGCAGAGGAGTAACTTCAACCCACAACCCCCGCAGTCGGCGGTGAAGCCGAAGAAGTCGCGGCGGACGCCACAACTCAAGCCTCATCTAATAGCCAATCTGAACCCTCCCAAAGATCCAAAACGTAGGTCTCGATCGATCGGGACTGATCAAGTCATTGAATCGCTGCTAACATGGCGTGCTGCAGTGGTGAAAGGGATGTGTTACAACCCGGAGACTTTCCGGTGGGAAGGCAACGACAACGTGTTGAGTGCCTTTGACGCGCCTGCGTCGTCGCCGTCGACGGCATCGGTGCCGCAGTATCTTATGCGAGAGCGGGAGAACGCCACGCCGCGCCCGGCCTTGATCACCAACTTTGGCGCCAGCAAGGGCGTCCAGGTGGTGGGGGGCATGGTGTTTGACCCGCAGAACATGTGCTGGCTCAAGCTTGCGCCGCAGAACGGCGGCAAGGCGGAGCAGCAGCAGAGCGACCCGTTGGACGGGTTCAACGGGCTCGACGACGACGAGGATGTGTTTAAGGACATCCCGGACCTCGAAGACCACACGCTCGAGTTGAGCGAGGGCGGCCACGGCCGCGTCAGCGACATTAAGGACGACTGGCTGGTGGGCGAGGAGTTCGACGTTGGCCCCGAGTTTGTGCGCCGCCAGCGCGAGGAAGAGGAGCGCTGGCGGAAGAAGTGCCACCTCTGGGTGGGCGGCCAGGCCGAGCGCGGCGACGCCTGGAAGTGGGCTATCCGGGACATTGTCAGCCAGAGCGCGCTGGCCGACTAAAACAAAACGGGGCGGCGGGCCGAGGGTTATGTTTGCATGAATAGACTACTGTGCTTTTGTTTTGGGTTAGCCCTTTTTGATAACGAAGACGACCTCTTCTTGGAACTTGATGGGTTTCATGGCGGCAAGCAGTGTACGGAAATATCTATAGAGGTATTGTAGGCGTCTGACTGTCGAGTACAAACGGGCTTGTATGGCTGGAAAAGGTCTGGTTGGTATCTGAGGGTGTTTGTTATTGGCGTTGCTTGTTGCGGACGGTTAGGTCTGCACTTGTTCGGTGGTATTCATGATAGCTTCTGAGGGAATAGATGGCATTTTCAGGGCGTCTGCGAGATTTGCATAGTGCTGGCTCTGTTGTGTGTGGAAAGCGCCTTTGGTATGTTTAGTACCTCGATGAGATACAGTACATACGGCTTTTGAAATTACTATAGTACCTTCAAATGCTTCAAGGTTCTTTTTGCACGTCACTAGCAGTCGTCTTGGTACACCACATTAATTTGCCATGGAATGTTCTTAAGTACTCTCTCCAGATTTTCTACTTCAGGGTTCGTCCATCGCGAGGAGCAAGTAGTGATTTCTCCAGATTTTCCTGCTCCGACCGACTGTGGGGGAAACGTGGAAGATGCTGTTCCCGCAATAAGATAAGCCACCCAGCCATCCATCTCACCAAGCTTATGGAGGGGTGAATGCGTCCATGCGTTCATCACTGCACGTAGGCAAGCAACAAACGACACTCCCCACCTACTTACCGACCTGCATAATTTCGTAAGGAGCAGCACGATCAAGCCAGAGTCGTATTATATTTTCTAACTGCATCAGACAGAGGAGCCCAGTGAGCAAACATAATCTTGCTGCACATTCTGCTGCTGCACATTCTGCTGCTACTCATCGTCTCGACCAACAGCAAACACACCTTTACCGATCGATCGATCGATAGCTCAAAACGATGGCCACCGAAGTCTCGTTCGCCAAGAGCTTCCTCGCCGCGCTCGACAGCAAGCCGCAGAAGATCGGGCCGGACCACGTCGAGGATGCGCGCAACTACCCGGCGAGCACGCCCGTATGTCCTTACTACCTCCCCCTTTTCACTTCTTCTCTCTAGCACATAGCACAACCATCCCCCTTCCCCCAGAACAAAACTAACGTGGGAACGAACAAACAGTACACGCTCCCGCGCATGCCGCGGGCGATGAGCAAGCGCGCACGGCCGGAGACCGCCTCCGCATCCGTCTCTACACCAGAACCCCTAACGCAACAGCCAGCGACAGCAACAGTGCGGGTGCGCTCGCTGCGCAACCCGCCCGTGGACGTGACACTCCCCAAACAAGCACTCACGACATCGCTGGTGGACATCAAGGCGGCGGTCGGTCAGGCGGCAGGGATCCCCGTGACAAAACTGCGGCTGCTGCATAGCAAGAAGCCGGTGGCGGACAGCAAGGCGCTGTCTGACGTCGTTGCTACCTCTGCTTCACAGGCAGGAGATGCACAGGCAGGGGGCGATGATGTTGTCATCGAGTTTTCGCTCATGGTCATGGGGGGTGCTGCGGCCGTGAAGCAGTCACCGTCACCGTCACCGTCACCCTCCCCATCACCAGCACCGGCACCCTCTGCCTCTGCATCAGAATCAGGGACTGGAGGAGGAAAAGGAGGATACCCAGCTAGTGTCGTTGCGCAGGGTGGCTTGAGCGGCGCGGCGGTGCTGGAGACGGACGAGTTCTGGGCCGACCTGCGCGGGTTCCTGCAGCAGCGGATACGCGACGAGAAGACGGCCGGGGAGTTGAGCTCGCAGTTCCGCAGCGCGTGGTCGGCGGGGCGGCAGGCTTGATTTTCTTCGTTTCTTCTCTCTCCATCTTGGTATACAATCATTAGATGGACTATCGAAGTACACATACACACACATACTTGGACTGGTAAAAGTAAGAAGTGCTTGCAAGTGAAAAAAGACTCAAGCGCAAACTCGGCAGCCGGGCGCAACAGCGAGAGAAAGGAACTGGAGCTTGCTATTCCTACCATCCACAAACCGTCATATGCGTGTTTCATTTCCACTGCTACCATTTGCGTGCGTACATGGCTGTGGCTGGTCTCTTACAGACTTCTCTGTCTTTCTATCTCTCAGTCTCACTCTCCGTGTCCGTCATTTCATCCGTAACCACTGTTGTGCGAAGAGCCAACCGTTTTGAGCTGGTTCATGTCCACCATCTCCCGAGTCCCCGTCCGTCTCCCTCCGCCTTGTCTCTCGCAGCCTTCCATTGCTTCACACACACACACACACACACACACACACACACACCAAAGCAATATCCGACTGCTAACTGACTGCTGCTGCCGCTGTCTGTCTGTCTCTACTACGTTGCCTGCACGTTTATTTTCTTTTTTCTTTTTTCCTTTCTCAAGTGCACGACCCGAGAGCTGTTGTTGCCGCCACCCTCCCCGCCGCCGAGGAAGAGGGCGCAATAGGAGAAAAAAAGAGAGAAAAACCAAGCACAGCGCCCGTTGGTAGCGCCACACAAACACGGACGGCACGCGCGCACCAAACGTGGCGCTGGAGACTTATACGGCGGCCTCGCCCTTGCTGACCGACTTGATTATCGTCTCGTACTCGACGTCGTCATCGTCGTTGGCCTGAAACTCGGGGCCGAGGCCGTTGAGCGAGCGCTTGAGCGCCTCCTTGGACGAGGCGTATATCATCTTGGCCTGTGTCATGGGGGGTAACTGCGGTTAGCGAGAGGCGTGACAGGGCGGTAGGAGAGGTCTGCGTACAAAGATTCCGGCATCGTCCGGCGACCAGGCAATGAAGGCGATCTTGTTGCTGTAGTTCAGGGCGCGAATTCGTTAGTTGATTTTTTTTGTTCACTATCTATAGTTGATGATGAAATGCCAAGCCCGCCCCTCTCTCTACGGCGGGGGGGCGGTGGCTTGTGAGGAGTGCACATACCGGATGCCCTCGCCGGAAGCGAGCTGGTACTCAAAGTCGTAGACGGCGAAGCGGGGACCCTTGCCGATAGCGCCCTAGAGGAAGCCGAGGCCGGTCAGCATTGGAACGGGGGGGGGGTCAAAATAAAAAAAAAAAAATAAAGATGGCCGCTACAAAGCTGGCTCGCGGCGCAGTTTTGGGGTGCTCGTGCGGGGGGGGGGTAACCAGTTTTAAAATAAAAAAGGGGGGTGAGAGAGAGAGAGAGAGAGAGAGAGAGAGAGAGAGAGAGAAAGAGAGAGCGCGTGCCTACCGTCTTGCTCTTGGTCGTCGCATTCACCAGCTTCTCGCGGAAGTTGTCGTAGTCTTCAGTCTCATCATCCTCGCTGGTGCTGTCGACAACGATGTTCTTGTTCTCGTCGTCGAGCTTGTAGATGATGTACTTGTACTTCTTGTTGATCTTGAGCTCGTTGAACGCCTCTATGCTCTCCGGGGCGACGGTAGCTCTGTGCATACACAAAACGTCAGTCGAACTGCCAGCGCCTATTTATTTGCGTGGGGGTTGAGCTCCGCATCCTCCCTCTCCTGTTTCCTCGACAGCTTTCCCCCGTGTTCCATCGCCGTGTTGGATGCGGGAAGCCGGGGAGTAGCAGGGAGAGACATAGAGACTCGGCAGCAGGAAGGTTGGCGGGCGCAGGCAGGAGCGCAGGTGGACTGACCCAGATTGAGACTGCGTACCACCAAGCACGGGTCAGCAACAGCCAGCAGCAGAGTTCTAAGCGCAGTGCAAATTACCATGGTGTCGAATGTGTTTGGTAGTGGTCTTTGGTCGGGGAGCTCGTGAGCGATTGGAAAGGTAGAGCTAGGTGGGTTGCAGGTCGTCAGTGTGGGAGCCGGGACGGGAGTCGGGCAAGGAGGGGTCGGTCGCAACTAAGATTGCCTGATGCGAAAGGGGAGGAGCAGTTTATAGGCGGAGCGTCCGACTGACTGCCCTGGGCTGCCTTCTGCTCGTTGGGTTAGGCACTCACGATCAAGGGGAGCAGTGTGATCCGATCAAGCTGGTAGACAGGGCGCTGGGTGCGATGTCTGTCAAAAACAAGGCGTCCGCAAGTGAGGCAGGTCAGGTATGTAGGAGGCAGGAAGATAATTGGTACAAACGAAGTTTGGGTGTGCGATAATCAAACTCGATGAGGGCGGGGCTTGAAAAACAACACACCAAGGTTGCGTGGTGGGGTTACTGTTACGGATACACAGCGGCGGTTGTCCTGGCGCTGGCGGCGTTGGCGGCAGGGCACCAGCTTGGAACCCAGCACAGCGCGGGCATGGCATGGCATGAGCCACAGGGTTACGTTATCGGCGCGGGGTAGCGCTGCAGAAAAGAACTGGCCAGCCTAGGCACCCCGGCCCAATTTTCTGTGACGCCATGAGGCACCAGCAACAGCACCACCAGCACCGGCAGCCGTTCCTCAGGCTACCCCTTAACCAAATTCCCCGTGTGGATACAATCTCTCTGCCTGTCGTGAGACGCCAGCCGGTGCGACGAGATGCAGCGAGATGCATACACGTGTAGGCCAGGTAGCAGCCAAGCCTCGTGTTCCTACGCGTCCAGGTAGGTAAAATCTGTCTGCCTCGTTTTCGACTCTAACCCAGCGTGATTGTATTATGCAACGCCACCAAATGGTGCCCTTAAGGAATATGGATACAGCTATGAACACAGACAGGGAAGTGGTAGAGAGGAGATTACATGGCACATAGTACAGCCCATAACACCGAAACCAAATGCTCCCCCTCCCAACCCAGTCGCCGTAAAACAAATAGCTTCAGTCAGTCTGATCAAACAGCACCGCTTTTTACATCATGCCGCCCATGCCGCCCATGCCGCCCATGCCGCCCATGCCACCCGCCGGCGGGCCGCTCTTGTCCTCGGCCTCGACAATGGCCACCTCGGTTGTGCCGAGGAGCGAGGCAACGCCGCTGGCATCGACCAGACCAGTCCGGACAACCTTGAAGGGGTCGAGGATGCCGGCCTTGATCATGTCGACGTACACGCCCTTGGAGCTGTCGAAGCCCTTGTTGAAGTCGGCCGCGTGCTCGTCGGTAAGCTTGCCGACAATGACGGAGCCCTCGAGGCCGGCGTTCTCGACAATTGTCCGCGCCGGCTTGGTGATGGCGTTCTTGATGATGGTGACACCAAGCTGCTGGTCAAAGTTTGTCGTCTTGACGTCGTTGAGCGCGTTGCACGACGCCTTGATCAGCGCAGTGCCACCTCCGGGGAGGATGCCCTCCTCGACAGCAGCGCGGGTGGCGTTGAGGGCATCGACGAAGCGGTCCTTCTTCTCGCCCACCTCCACCTCGGATGAGCCGCCAACCTTGATGACGGCGACGCCGCCAGAAAGCTTGGCAAGACGCTCCTGGAGTTTCTCCTTCTCGTAGTCCGAGGTCGTGGGGTCGCTCATGACGCCACGGATCTGCTCGCAGCGCTGGGCGATCGAGTCTTTGCTGCCTTCGCCGTTGAGGATGATGGTGTCCTCCTTGGTGATGGTGATAGAGCCGGTCGAGCCGAGCATATCGACCGTGGCCTTGTCCAGCTTGACGTCGAGCTCCTCGGAGAAGACGGTGGCGTTGGTGAGAACGGCGAGATCGCCAAGGATCGACTTGCGGTTGTCGCCAAAGCCGGGGGCCTTGACGGCGCAGACCTGGAGCTGGCCGCGGAGCTTGTTCAGGATGAGCACAGCCAGAGCCTCGCCGTCAATGTCCTCGGCGATGATGACGAGAGGGCGGCGGAGCTGGTTGGAGAGCTCGAGCGAGGGGATGAGGTCCATGGCCGACGAGATCTTCTTCTCGGAGAGAAGGATCAGGGGCTTCTCAAACTCGACCTTGTGGGACTTTGTGTCGGTGATGAAGTAGGGGGAGACGAAGCCGCGGTCGAAGCGCATGCCCTCTGTGATCTCGAGCTCGTCGTTCATCGTCTTGCCCTCCTTGACCGTGATAACACCCTCCTTGCCGACCTTCTCCATGGCGCTGGCAATCAGCTTGCCGATGTGCTCGTCACCGTTGGCGCTGATGGTGGCCACTTGGGCAATCTCCTCGCTTGTGGTGATGTCGCGCTTCTGCTTCTGGAGGTACTCGACAACCGAGTCAACAGCAGCCTGGATGCCGCGGCGGAGGTCCATAGGGTTGCAGCCGGCAGCAACGTTCTTGACCGTCTCGGAGAAGATGGCCCGGGCGAGGACCGTGGCAGTGGTGGTGCCGTCGCCGGCGACCTCGTTGGTCTTGGAGGCGACATCCTGCAGGAGCTTGGCGCCGAGGTTCTCGAACTTGTCCTTGAGGGCGATGGCGCGGGCAACCGTGACACCATCTGTCCAGAGTCAGCACCGTCTAGAAATGTGTAGTTGTCTTGAGGGGGACCAACCCTTTGTGATCTTGGGGGAGCCATAGCTGGACTCGATCAGGACATTGCGGCCCTTGGGTCCGAGGGTGGTGGCTACTGCCTTTGCGAGGGTCTCGACGCCTGCAAGGAGAGATGCGCGGGCCTCGACGCCGAACTTGAGGTCCTGCGAGAAACTGTGTTAATTTATATGAAGCAGAAGCTGGATGGTGTAGCCTTACCTTGTGTGCGAACCGGAGCTGCTGGGTCGGGCGGAGGCGAGCCGCGGCCGTCAGAGACGACGAGACCGACGCCCTTGTCAATGCGCGCTGCATCTTGTGTGCGTGTGTATTAAGGAATGAATTACGGATTAGAAGGGTGGCCGCGGGAATGTGGGTATCACAGTCGTTGGAGGTTTGAAGATGGGAATGAGCGAGAGAAAAAAGTTTGGATCGTGATGCTTAAGCAGAGAAAAAAAACCCAAGGTTCACCAATAGAACGGCCCGAGCTCCAATTGGTGCTAACCCGTGTTGGGACTAGGCCCAGTGGTGCAGGTGTTTCTGGAATCATCGGAGCCCCACCGCTTCATCTCAGAGCCGACGGCGACGGCAATGCAAGCACGCTCGAGTGCATACATTGGTGCGTGATGCACTCTTGAGCAAACTGCATGAGTTCCCGGCCTGAGACATTCTTTATTTTCCTCGTCTTTTCTCCTTCTTGTTTTTTATCTATTTATTTAAGAAACACGCCAAATATTGTTTCCTGGGACAATTGTCAGCGGTTGCTTCTCCAACTCTTGGTACACCGGCAAGTGGAGCCGGGCTGGTGCTCGACGCAATGCAGCTGGCAACTAGCCCATTGATTGCCGCTCAGAAAACGGCCTCGGATCAACTGACAATCGTCGACCTCGACGCAAACCAAGGTACCACCAGCCAAGGGCATAACACAACATCGCAGTCATTAAATCGCCTAGTCCAGGCTTCAGCCAGCTCTGACTTATTGGGGGTTCAGCAAAAGACTGCCAAGCCTGGATGAATTGGTGCGTGTTGCGACAACGGCAGATCGCTTACGAGTAAGTCATTGATCAGAGCATAATTGCTAAAATTCATTGTTGGTTGTTCTCTCTAGTCTCTATTATGCAATTTACGCCAGAACTGCCCTTACCGGTATTTTTATGTATCTGGAGGCTGTTGTGGTGAGAATGAGAAATGAGCGACTCGGCAAGACGTAGAGATGTTGAACTTCCCAACAGAACGAGTTGATGCAGTGTCAAAGCTAAATATCATCCTCTGCGGCTCAGCCCTTTTGTTCGTGTCTTGATGCCACTTACGTGAGGAATGCCTGGCTTTTTTTTGGGCGTGTGCTTTGCGCACGCGGAGTGTCTGTCTCTTGACGAGGAAGGTCTTGGCGGCATTCAGGGGCTCTTGACAACGTAGCTTTCAACCCCTGAGCACTACCAAGGCAGATATCATGTGCACATCGGCCATGAATTAAACTCGGCAAATATAATTCTAGTGTTGCTAATTACAAGGTTTCTAGGGATCGGGGCTGCATCGTCTAGTTTGCTCTTCCAGCCTTTGAGACGTGAGCGGTTTGCCATTTTCAGGGGTTTGTTGACGGCACAATGGGTAGCCAGATACGACCACATATGACAGGATAGTCTGGCTGCTCTTCTCCATTCCGTCTTTCGTATCTCTAGGTAAACCCGTCAGTTGCACACAGGAAGGATGAAGACGTATGGACGATGAGAATGCGTCTTTGTATGTGTTCATCTGGAGTCGTTGTCGTCTTCCCTCTGCCAAACCGACATCATGGCCACGCCACCCTCACCTTATTGTCGTGCATTCTTTCTTCTCCATCTCACGTCTCCCTCACAATAGTAACTGCCGCTTGCCACTTCCACATGCTGCCTCTTTCGCAGCCCTTACATGACCACGCCTCTATTCCGCAACTAGATGACAAAGAATCGTCGGACCATGGCTAGTGACTATCTAGAATGCCTTCTGGCTAGCCTTGGCACTCAGCCTTGGCATATTCAACTACATTGGACGGCAGAACTTGCTCTTAATCACGCCTGTCATCTCTTGAATTTTCCGCGGCTATTGTTCTCTTTTCCTGTGCGTTCTCATGCCCGCCTTGTGTTCCTGAATCTTGTATCACCTCCATTTAAACCCTTCTACACATATTCCTCCTTCACCATCTTCACCACCCGAGCTCTTCACGCCGGCCTACTCCTCCTTCTACTCTACTCGTATCTTCGCGGTTCTTGAACTCTGCCCCTTCTTGATATATACCCTTTCCAACATAAATGCCCAAATCAAAACATCGCTTCTGAGCAGCAGCCAGCATCATAAACTCCCACTTAAAGCTATCTCCTTCTTCCTATCATCAACCAGCGTTTTCCTCGTTGGAAGAAACCTGAAGGCCATCCGCAGCCTAGAATACACCGTGTCTGTTCTCCCTGACTTCTACTTTCTCATCTGCCTATCCATATATCAGACTTGGCTCACCAGCAGAGCCGGGCAGGTCCTGTGACCGCTCTTTTCGGCAGGCTTGTCACACGCCCTCTCCCCTTGTCACAATCACTTCACCTTAGCCCTCCAGCTCGGGGGCCCAGCTACTCCTGTAGCTGGTTTTAAACTTGAACTCTGCCTGAGATGGCCCGAGAATTCCACAACTTCTCTTCTACATCATCACGGCACATTCAGGGAAATTGTCTCGTTCACCACTATCACACTTGGTACCCTATCACAGTTGGTAATAGCTCACAGATGTCCAGAAACCCCAGCTTGTTGTAGAAGAAGCAGCAGATAATCAGCAAGCAAGAACGAAAAGGCTCTCCACAAGCTGCGGGATGAGCGAGGAATGGGGTATCTCGTCGACGCAACACCACAGAGTGAGTAAAACACCTACACCAGCACCGAAGGAAGGCCCTGTGGCCCTCTTCACACCCTCCCCAACAAACCCACAAGGCTCTCAGTCCAAATTCAAGCGACGCCTTGGACGCCCCAAACAACCCCTTGTTCGCAATCATGCAACGCCTCGGCCGCATACAAGCAAATCCTCGAACAGAACCAACCTGGGCGCTGGACTCTGTGTCACACAAGCAACGCCTTAACTAGAATCACGTACGCCTCAACCTCGCGCAAGCAACGCCTCAACCAAAATCACGCGACGCCTCAGCCCTTCACAGCAACGCCTCAACTAGAATCACGCACGCCTCAAAATCTCGCAAAACAACGCCGTGGTCAGAGTCAAAAACGCGCTTGAACTAGGCCAATACACCTAGTCATAAAAATAAAAATAAAAATCGAAATAACAATCTGCTGCCCTGCCCACCCGGGGGGCCAACCAAGGCAGGCGACAGGCGTCTCAACTTCCTACCGAGGCGTCAGCGCGGGCCATGGAGGCTGTCAACGGCAGCCTCCCACGCCGGACGACACTCAGTAGTACAACCCCTTGCCATCGTCGAACTCGCCCCGCTCAACCAGCCCGTGCGGCTCCGTGCCGTACAGCATCTCCCAGAAGAAGCCGCTGTGCTCCTGCTCCTCCTCGGCCATTTCCTCGCCGCCATGGGCGGGAACGCCCCAACCAAACCGCTCGTCGCCATTGCCGATATTCGCAGCAAGATCCTCCTCGACATGAACTGCCACTGGAGCTGGCATGGCCGGATCGCTGCTGCTAGGCAGGTCCTCCTCGGTCGTCGCGCCGCTGTTGCTGGTGCCCTTCTTCTTGGCGACGGCGACCGCCGGCAAAGTCACGGGCAGCACCTGGAAGAAGTCGTCGTCCTTTTGCGCACCGACCGAGTTGGACGACTTGGACGAGGATGCGCGCTTCTCCTGCCGGTGCGCGGGCGTGGCTGGCTGGTCGCCATCGGCTGCGGCATCGGTGCCAGCATCATCGACGACGGCGGGAGCAGCAGGCGAGTCGTCCTTCTGCTTCTGTTGCTGCTTAGGCTCGGCAGCGGTAACTGAAGGTGTAGGTGCGGCTGGAGAAGTTCCAGCGCCAGACAAGAGGTTGGCTAGGCCGTTGGCGCTCGACAGCTGCTGGACGAGGTTGGCGAGCTGCGGCGCGATGTTGCTGAGCATGGCAAGGTTGGCGTCGATCGGGGCAGCGGGTGTGGCTGCAGGCGCAGCGGTGACGGCGGCGGCGGCACGGCGAGATGACGCAGCGTGCTTGCTCTTGCTCTTCTTGCTTTTGTGGCCCTTGTAGGCGGCGGCAGCAACCGGCGGCGAGACCAAATTGCGGCGGCGCGGGAGGACGGGCAGCTCCATGTCGTCGTCGTCGTCGTCGTCATCACCATCCAGATCGTCCGCAATGACGACAGACTCGTCGTCGCTTCCGCGCTGGTAGCCCTCCTTGAGGCTCCCCATGTGGGCGGTGGCGCTGTCGCTGCTGCTCGAGGTCATGTGCGAGAGTGACTGCGAGTGCGACTGGACGACTGCGGCGGAGCGGCGGCGGCCCAGCGACGGCGACACCTGCGTCTCCCACAGCAACTCGCAGTGGGTGTCGGTGTCGGTGTCGGTGTCGGCCTTCTCGCGCTTGACGGCCGAGGCCGGCTTCTTCTTGGCCGACTCGCAGCGGTGACTGCCGGCGACGTGGCGGGCTGGGGCGGCCATGCGGCGGGCACGCTTGGCGCTGTGGCCAGCCGGAACAAACTTGCGGACGACCATGTGGTCGTCTTCGTCGACGGCCATGTCATCGTCGTCGGCACCCTCCTCTTGCTCGTCGTCGTCATCATAAAAAGTCGCCGCAGCAGCGCGCTTGCCGAGGGGTGAAGCCGGGGCGGAGGGGGGAAAGTCGCCTGCGTCGGGCAGGTTCCACTTGAGGTCGTCCATGGGTTCGTCCCATCTGACCTCGCGGACTGACGTCTTGTCGACGCCGTCTGGGTGGGCGCGCACGAAGCCGCGGATGTCATGGTTGACGGGGGCCACGACGCGGGCGTTGTGCTTGGCCGACACGGGCGGGACCAGGTGGCCCTCGGCCACCAGCGCGCTGCGCAGGCGCACCAGGTGCTGCTGGACCGCGCCGCCCGTCGAGCCCGGGTGCAGGCGGTGGGCGATGGCGTCCCACGGCAGCTCGATGCTGCGGCGCGCGCACTCGTACTGGATGTGCAGGAGCACTTTCTCCGCCATGCGCGGGCCTGTAGAAGCAAAGGGAAAGGGGTTAGCAAATCAGATTCAAAAGAAATAACCATGACAACACAGCCCAACAGCCACAACGACCACAGAAAGTCGGGCCGAGAGAAAACGAGCAAACCCGACAACGACAGAAAGGAAGAAACAGAAGAATACTAACGGTTCCAGGTGATGAGGTTGCGGCCCTCAACGCGGCCGTTCTTCTTGCGCTCCTCCTGCTTGATGGGCAGATGCGTAAAGTTCCACTCCTTCTGGGCGGAGGCACCCTTCTTCTTCTGGCTGCCCGTCGTGGCAGCAGCAGCGGTATTGGTAGTAGCGCGCTTGGGCGTCACGGGCGGCGCGAACGGGCTGGGAGACGGCGACTTGCCGCCGCTGCGGTGGACCTGGGCGGCGCTGCTCTTGCCCGGCTTGGCCGGCGTCTTCTTGCTCGACACCATTTTGGTGTCTTTCTGGCTGAAAGAGGTCTGTTAGCTTCATGGCGAGACGTTTTTCAGGGGCTGATTGGCGTGTGCCGGAAAGAATGAGGCGTGGAAATGAAATCCAGAGGTCTGCGAGGGCAATTAAGAGGGCTAAAAAGGGGATTGAGAGGCCTTGCAAGAGAAACTACCAGGCCCCACAAGATAAATGTCCAGCCCGCGAAACGAAGGCATTCAGACCCGAAAGTGCCGACCAGAACAAGCCGAGCCGCCCGAAACGGAAGCAATTGGCTATGCCGCCGTCAAGACGGGACTTGACGCACCGAGTGCTCGGTCGAATCTCAAAGGTACAGAAACAAAATGGGGGGGCAGTAACCGAGGCAATCGTAAGCCGTTTCTTGCTTGCTTGCTGCTCGGAGAAAGATATCGAAACAGAGAATTTCAATCCTCTCTAGAGCGCTCGACTGCGAGGTAGGGTGAAGTCATTGACTTTTGCAGGGGGGGAAAAAAAATAGACGCAATCACACGAACCAGCTGGTCAGCAACAGAGACTGGAGGCTCTGCTTCTCTTGAAGGTGCGGTGGTGCGTGGGCAGCAATATTTGTGAAGGCGGGTTGGAGTTGTGAACAAGGTAAGGTAAGGTAGGTGAAGTATGGTACGATCTCTTTGATCTTTCGAGAAAAGTCAGCGAGCTGCGACAGCGAAAGAACTCTTGAAATGAAGATCGAGGTTTCGGAACGAAAATTCGAAAAGATTCCGAGGCTCCAAGAGGAAGAAAAGCCTTTTAAAGTAGGCACTGCGAGGAGGAGGAGGAGGAGGAGGGGGAAGAGCGCACAACGACTCTATTGTGGCATGGGGCCCGTGCACTACAATAGGAACCGCTTCCTTTCCTGATCCTGAGAGTGTGCCTCTCGGAGAACAATAGGAAGGGAAGGGGGAGGGGGCTCGAAAAAGAGAAGCTTGCGGGCAGAACAATGCTTACAGGAGAGATCGGCGATGACGGCGAGGTTGATGTCAATATCGACGGCGAAATACTCAATGGGCACTGCTCGAGCGAACCAGACTCTGCAAAGCGCGGGGGAGAAAAAAACGACTCTGCAAATCTGGGGTGTGGTGTGCGTGAAGGAAAGGATTGGAGGTTTGGCCGCCGACCTACGCGATATACCTACTTACTACCTACCTACCTACCAATTGTGGACCCCTCTGCGCACCTCGATGGCCTCTCCTACTCTCTAGGACTGCTGGACCGTGCGCAAGTCGCGCTGGCTTGTCGAGGGGCAAGGCGTTGCAGGCTGGCCTGGGTGGTTACCGTATTGGCCGTACCGTATTGACGTCAGGGGGGCCCCTTTCACGGCGGTGGTGGGGGAGGAGGGGGGCTGTCTGTTCGACATGCTCACTGAGGATGGCCAGCAGAGCCTCTGATATTCAAGCCTAGAGGGCCGAGCCAGGCGTAGATACAGCGGGGGGCACTGCGAAAACCACACCTGGGCAACTATATGGAATGAAGACATGCACTTATGCTGTCCCATTTTTTGTTTTTGAAAATCAAACACTGCAAGACTAAAGACTGCCACGCACATCTACATATCGCCCTTCTGCCACGGCTGGCGGCCGGCCATGGCTGCTCCCCTCTGACTTCGTCTCGACAAATTGCTAACAACACTTGAGCTGAGCCACAATTCCGTTCCAGCCCGTGGCAGCAGCAGCCAAGCTAACCAACTGCCGGTTACTTTCACTTTCTAGGTCGTCACAACGCAGATCCGACATGCCGTTTGAACCCCCTCGTCCGGCTCCTCGGGAATGGTACCAGACCCCAGTGCGTCTTGGCTAAGGGCGCGTACTCGGGGATGGTGGCCAGGCCCCACCGCAGGATGGGCGGTGCTGGCGTCGGCGGCAGCAGCGCCCGGCTGCTCAGCATGGTCAGCAGCATGGACCACCCGTCGTCTCTGCGGTTGGTCGACTGTTGTTATCCTGTCGCTCAGCTTTCTCTCTCTAAGCAGCCAGGGTTTTACGTCATGTAATGTCCCCGGTGTCTATAACAAAGCAAGACGCTCTGTTTCTGGCAGAGACAAAAAGAGAGAAAGAAAGAGAAGGAGAAGGAGAAGGGGAAAAAAAACAAGGCAATCTTTGCTGCTTCTTTCTTGCCAGGCATCTAGAACACGGGCTGCCGTCAATGGCGACGCGAGCGAGGCAGATGACGATAGGGGCGTTGCGGAAGCCGCACGAAAACCGGAACATGGGCAGCCTGCGAGCCGGCTGGATGCCATGGCAAAGGTGTGTTGTGTGTAAACTGAAAGGTCTGCGGGATAATAATTATGGAGAAGGTCGTCTCTTTGGTATTTGGGCTGCCTGCTGCTCGAGTCGAGGTCTTTTGACTGAGGTAGAGAGAAGTGGTGATGAATGAAGGACGAAATATGAAAATATATTTATACCTGTCTGTCTAGCCACGAATAATTACTCTCTCTCCCCCTACCTGTTCGAGTCCCGGAAGAACCAGTCGTCGTGTCTGACATTGTTACCGTGACTGTTGCTGTGACCACACACCTCAGAAGCTCAGACCGGGCGCTTGATTATGAGTGGCCGCTCATCAGACTCTACAATGATTAATTTCTTGGGTAAAGCAGTCCCGACTGCCCTTTGTTTGAAATTGCGCAATGACTCTTTAGTAGAACCGAAATTCAAGACTGATAGCAAACAGGTTTAGTATCTTGGCTAATAATTACTACTTGTTTTACATATTCTCAGTCTCGCAGCTGAAACTTGAAACCCTGCAATGAGAAATTCAATATATTCGGGCTTCTTGCGCCGCATGAAGTCAAAACAGAATTCTAATTAGCCAAATCAACGCTTAGGTTACGGCAGACCGAGGGACGGTAGAGTCATGCCAAGAAAATCCAAGACACGGGCCGGTGGACCCGCGGCAAAGTCTATTTAGACATCTTATTTTTGGCCCCCTTTTTCCATCTCTCCGCTCTAATTAACTCCAGAGACAAATACAAGAACAAAGGCTACCCGGGTATCTAACTCCACTCCAACTCCACCATCACTGACTAGTCACTCATGCTCATGTCGCCGCCCGAGTCCGAATCCGACGCCAGGTCCCAGGCAATTGGTCTCGACGGGTCATACGTGTCGTCATCAACAGCCTTGCCCTTGCCCTTGCCCTTGCCCTTGCCCTTGTCCTTGGAACTCGCCTCCGCCTCCTCCGCCTTCTCCTTCCTAGGGGGGTCGTACAGATCATCATCAGTCAGAGTCAGCGACTGCATGGGCCGGTGGCTGAGCGGCTCGGGGTAGGTGTGGTTGAGCGGCGGCCGGAGCGGCGGCAGGTCCGGGAGGGGCTTGTACAGCAGGGCCGCCGAAGTGGGCCCGCCCACGTCCGCGTCCTGCTTCTGCCGCTTCGCCCAGCTGTCGTCGTTGAATAGCGACGACGGCCCTCTCTTGAGCGCGTTGAGCGAGGATTCTAGCACCGCCAAGTAGTTGTCGTCGGCCGCCGACCGCTTTGAGACGAACGGCTGCCGCGGCGGGTCTACGGAGAGCGTCTGGAACAGCGGCGGCGACGATAAGCTGCCGCCCGTGTCCGCGAGCGACTTGTACTGCGACCGGTACAGCGAGGGCGACGTTGAGCCGCCGCCGCCCGCATCCGCGTCCTGCTTCTGCGGCTCCGCCCAGCTGTGCGCGTCGGACAGCGACGGCCCCTTACTGAGCGCTCTGAGGGACGCTTCTAGCATTGCTGAGTAGTTGGCGTCGAGCGGGTGCCGCGGTGGGAGCGGCGGCGGCGGCATCCACGGGTTGCTGTTTCGCGGGTTGCTGCGCTGGGCTCCGACGGCTAGAGAGCTGGGCGCGACGTCTATGCTGGGAAGAGTCAGGCTTGTGGGCGCGGCGGACTGCGCGGTGATGCTTGGCAGAGTCAGGCTGTCGGTCGGCTTAGGGGCCTTCTTACGCCCCATGAGCTGTTTAGTTTGTGAGCTTGAGATGTATTTGCACACGGTTAAGAGAGAGAGGGGAGACGTAATTACCATGCATTTGCCGCACACCGAGTCCGGGGCATAGACATACTCGCCGCAGATAACGGTGAGGTCCATGAAGAAGTGGCAAGGCCACCTGTTGAACGAGGCGTTGAGGTCCATTTCGCAGTAGCTATGTGTAGTCTAGTTATCGAAGCGGTGCCTGGTTTGTTTCCGACCAGTTGCATAGGTAAATAACACTACAGTGTAGGAAAATTTAGGCGTATTGATACCTCGGGTTCTAGCGGCGGCGGTTTTCGCCAGTCATACATCAGAGACCAGAGGATGACTTCCCGGCTCGACCGAGGCGACGTGACCAACTGGCTGTGTCACTGAGGTCGGGCTTGCCGCGTTACTCACTCCAAGTGCCGGGCACCTTCTCAAGTTGCAGTGTTGCACTCGCCGAGACTACAGCAGCTGTCGAGCACGTGGCTGCCACCGACGAGTTTTACCTCTTCATCTGTAGCCAAGGCGAGCAAACCACAGCTTGAAATGTCAAATCTCTTGCTCATCAGCGTTGGGAATCAAACGGTCGGCGTTATGAAACCCTGCGTGGATGGCCTCGGAGGCGCCCTCGATTCGCCTATAAATACGTCCACCGCGCTCTACATTCACTGGCCCTACTCATGTACACTCACAGCAGTCGACACTGAGATTTCAAATCTTGGAACCAATTTGACCCTTGAAGCTTCAGCCTCGCGGAGTTCATAAACCCGCAGCAACGCGCCCACCATGGCCGGCGAAATTGTGACCGTGTACAGGTGCGGCTATTGGAGTACCCACGACTGCAAGAGCTTGGTGTTCATCAACCGTGCAGCCTGTCTTCATTGCACAGCGAGTTTCTTTTCTGTCTCAAGCTCTCTCAGGCTCTTGAACTGCCAAGAGGCTCAACTAATTATTCTTCGATAACTAGGCCGAAGGCCTCACATCGCCGTTCGCTGTCGACACGCCAGCCGTGAGGACCACCTTGGATGATATGTTTGCTGTAATGAAATAACTCCGCGCATCTCGTGGCTTGCAATGACCCCATTATCGCAGCCCCGACACCACCCCTCCCGCCAACAAGAACATGACGAGGGGGAGTTAGGCTCCCACCCGAGGAGACCATTGTGTAGATGTAAAACTCGTCCGCCGTCCCCTCGGAGAGCTATCTAGGGGGCAATCGTTTCAAAAGGGGCTAAAGGGGGAACGGAGAGAGGAAGTCAAGAGTGAAGAGATGCGAAATGTAATGAGCGTGGGCGAGGGAAGGGCAATTAATTTCAAGCTCGAGACTCTAATACCACTGAGTACTCTGCAGATGTAAACGAGAGTGGCCCGATTGCTCGCTGAAATATCGACAAGGTATTTGTTTAGAGGCCAGATATCAAAGGGGGAGACGCATAATTAAGAAAACGAGAGATATGGATAATAAACAGGGGCAACACAGCGGTTGTCATTACTTTATTTATTCATAGGGGATATTTCAAACAGCAAGACGTAGCAGATCGACTTGGCCACGTCACTCACTTGAACCACCAAACACCTCCCCAGCCGGACTAGAGGGGGAGGTTCGGGCAGCTGCCGAGCATGTGGCGACCCGCAGACTAGGACCGGCCTCTTCATCTGCAGTCAAGCCGAGCAAACCACTGATCGGCATGTCCAACTTCTCACAGACAGCCTGCCAGGACCGAGGCCAACAGAGCCCAGCACAAGGTTATCCGAACCATCCCTGCAGGTGGCAGAAGGCCAACAGCCAGCGTAGCACAGAAACAGCCACCTAGCCTGCAACCGCTTAAGCAGATTTTTGGTACGGACAGAGCCATAGGTCAGCAGCCCCTTACTAGGTACCCCAGCCGTTTGCATGGGAGATCCGAACTCGATGATCAGAGAGAGCTACTAGCGGACCAGCCCCTGAAGAGCATGGGAAGAAGACTCAGCTCTTGAGCCAGTTCCTGATCGTACTGGCATTACGTGGCTCACAGGAGGACGGCCTACCCCAGCCGTTTACATTGCGAGATCCGAACTCCATGGCCAGACAACCATCAACCAACCAGCCAGCTCATGAACAGCATGAGAGAAAGAGCCGGCTCCTGACCACACTGGCATCACGGCTCCCATGAGGACGTCCCACCTTCACCGCGTGCATGACGGGACCCGAGTTTGAGGTTAGAAAGAGCGGCTTCCCTTTGCGTATAAGTACGGCCACGACGCTCCCAGTTCCACGTTCTTGCTTGTCCACATCCACACACCAACCGGCGCTGGTCATCATCGTCGTCATCGCCATCGTCGCCATCATCGCCATCGTCGCCATCGTCGCCATCGTCGCCATCGTCGCCATCGTCAAGCCCTTGCCCTGATTCCACTGAAAGCGACCCAACCCAACGCCATTCTCCACGCAGCACTGCCCACCATGAGCGGAAAAAGCGGCTATCTCAGCGAAAGCGGAGGGTTTGCCAAATACAATTGCGAGAATTTCAACACTCCGAAGGCATGCGCGGTCAAGACGTTTGTGAACGGAAGCGTTTGCAGCGTTTGCATGGTGAGTTTTTTTTCTTCCTCGTCTTTAGGTTTGTCAAGCAAAGCCCCCCCTAGACCCAGACCTAGAAGCGTCCACTACCGGCCAGACCGGAGCAATCCATAAAGAAGCACTTGGGCTGGGAGGGAGACTATGTTCGGGGATTCGGCTAATAGTCCGCCTACCTATTCAGGGCGGAGATTTTGACTATCCCGAGCTTACCAAGGACCAAAAGGAGGCTCGCATTCGCGAGAATATGGCTAGAGCCAGACGTGGTGGCTCCCACGGTGGCTCCCGCGGTGCTTCCGGTGGCGGCCAGAACGGCTATTATGGCGGCGGACAGGGCGGCGGACAAGCGGACAGGCGGACAGGGCGGCTACAATGGAGGCGGACAATGATCGGGCGGATCGAACACGGCCACCATGAAGAAGAACCAGGGCCGCAACCAGCCCTGGGAAGAGAGCACGATACACTGCTGTGCGGATGTTGAGACTCACTCACCGGTCCCTTGGAATACACGATGGGTATTCACGTCACTGAGTGTCGGAGGGGGGATACACTGAGAAAATGGGGAAAGAAAATAACAAAAAAAAAAAAAAGCGAAGCAACATATGCGGCGGGCGAGATAAGAAGCAGATAACTTTTTGGGAAACATAATAATCAACAAAACGGCGTTTTGGGGCAAACAGACCTCTTTGCTTTGTTTCTCTCTTTTGCTGCAAGTAACCCTAACGCGGTTGCCTGCCGAGGTGTGAAAACAAAACACTAATAATGCATCCGAGCTCCTGTATTACGGTGTGACAAAACAGTCAGTCAAGTGACAGCCAACAAGTGGAGCGAGACGGGGCTGCGAATCGCAGCATGAAGGCGCCGTGTATGAGATCCGTTTGATGATAAGTATCGTATGCCTACACAAGGAAACGGATCCGCGGCCAAACAGATGCGATAGCCGCCAAAGACTTGAACCTTTTCGAGTATAAGTAAAAACATCCACGGCGTTTACTACTTCGTGGCCGTGCTGCCCCTTATACTCACTCGTCGACGATCATACAAGTTAACTTCATAGGGAATAATAATCACCCCCAGCACAGCTACCGCAGCACGCACCATTTCCCAACCATGGGCTGCCAACCCAAATGCAGCTGCTGCCAGTTCGACGCCTACGACAACCCGGCCATGGACTTCGCAAAGATGGCAGCCAAGGTGAGGCTCCCAACCCTAGACCCCCAAGACCTTGAGCTCACTGGCTATGTGCTGGGCGCGAGCTGCCGTGAGGTCACAATCATTGGCTAATTAGCTGTCCCAGAACAAGGACAACAACCCCTGGCCGAAGCCGGCACAGACAGAGGAGCAGCCAGCGTCAGCCCAGGCATCAAGTCAGGATGATAAAGATATCAAACCCGAATCCAAGGAGGGAGGAGCAACTAGTGTCAGCCAATGCTCCAAGTCAGAATGATAAAGACACCACACCTGAGCCCTAGAAGGGATGAGCAGCGCTGTTGAGTTTGGTCAATGGATAGCAAGGCTTAGATTCGCTAGACGGTCTTGCTTCTCTTTCTTCAGGCGCGAGCAAGTTCATGGTAACCAACAAGGGCAGAGAAATGAAGGGAGGTGGACAAGACAACGACGGGCTTTGCTAGCAAGGGCAGTCAAGAAACTGGTTGCACAATGACAAAGGGATTATACAAGCAGGCCTGGTGCAATATCACGCAGTAACCGGAATGATGTGTGGCTGGACTATGTGCGTATGAGAGAAAGGCCCGTGTCATTTCTTATTTACCGCCCGTTATATTGTGCAAGGAAGGCATGCTCTCCTAGTCACTCATGATCCTTCCTCGCCACACCCCCAAAAGACCAGAACCCGTCCCCCAGAGAGTGAGAAATAGAAGAAGAAGAAAAGAAAGCCATTGTCCAACCCAGCCCAACTGTCCAGACCAGAATTGTTTTTCTATTTTAGCCAGATATCCCCCACTCCCTGCTTTCCTGAACCCGCTGAGGTATACAAGCCGCGATTGATTGATTAGCTGGCAGAGATGGGTAGGGTAGAGGTAAAGTCGAAGCCGAGACCGAGAGAGACAGTGACCGAGATGGAAAAGGAAAAACCAAAAGTGAAAAGGCGACGGATCAAAACCATCAACGACGAGGGAGATACTAATAGAATCCTCTAAAAGATGAAATCTGTAATGGCACCAAGCACGGCGTTAGTAAGATATACAGTAAGTATGAATCTCACGAGAATACAGTGATGAATGGACAGATAGATGCAAATCTCAGGAACGGGAAGGGGAAGGGGGTGTCATGACGACAACGACAACAACAACAATATCATCATCACGCACAACCCCCATAGAAGGATGAAGTCATAGCTTCCAACCCTTCATGAACGCGGCGCGGTACCGGAGCATGTCACTCCTGTCCTCATCATCATCAGGATCATCACCGCCGTCAAATTCATCACCATCATCATTATCATACTGACCCTCATCGACGAGCGCCGAGACAGTGCCCGTGTTACGCGCCGGGACCTCCTTCTTGATGTGCACGTGGTTCTTGCGGTCGGGCTTCTCTTTTTTAATGTCGGCCTTGAAGTCCTCTTCTTCGTCGTCCTTTATCTCGGACACGACGTCCTCGCGCGGCGCCAACTTGCGTCTCTTGGCGCTCCTGATGGGCGTGCCCGGGTGGCTCGACTCCTTAGTAGCGGCTACCACCTTGCCGTGCGGCGTCGCCATCTGCGGCGTGATGTCGTGCGCCTTCAGCAGGCGCTCGTACCGCTTGGCGCTGTAGGAGGGGGGTGGTTAGTCAGTCAGTTGGGGGATTGTCTTTTAACAGTGGGGGCCAGGAGAGGGACCAGGAGAGGAAAAATAATCAAACGCCGCTACGTGTGCAGACACGAGACTTACGCGGCGGCCTTAGAGACGATGTTGAGCTCGTCGGCGACAGCTCCAAAGTTAATCTAAAGGCGTGGTTAGATTTACGAGGCGGTATCTGAGAGGGGATTGGGAGAGACGTACCTTGCCTGCGGCCGAGTGGCGGATGCAGGACAAGAGGAACTTGAAGTGCGACTCGGTATCGACGGACGGCATCTTGGCGGCTGAAACGAGGATTGGATGCTGTGATTGGATTGTGAGCCTTGCGTCGATGCTTGGGTGAAAAAGAAACAGGAGCGGGGAAGGGGCGATGGTGAGGCAGGTCCGTACCCAGAAAGCACGACGTGAGATGGTAACTGGACCACTCGACGAGACGTGAATTCAGAGTCACTAGAGGGTTTTGCGTGGAGTTGTGCGAGGACAGGGCTGGGTGAGGACAGAGCGCGACAGGATGTGTCGGAAGGTGCAAAAGATCGAGGGCAGGAGCGGGGAGGGGCAAGAGGCGAGGCAGGCAGGGCTCGAGACCTAAAGGATAGGCGGTTCGTCGACAGCCCGGGGAAGCTGCGACGGGAGATCTCGCCTGTCGCGCGACAACTTACCTCGGTCGGGGTCAGATCCGAATAATTATCTGGATCAGAGCGAAAGGATGCGAGATCACGACTGAAATCAAATCTTAGACCAGACAGTCGAGAAGACTGTCGGTGTCGAGTTGAGTGCTGTGAGACCACGAGAGAGGAAAATGAGTTTGTGTCGGGACGAGGAATTTGGCTGCCAGACAGATGGGCTTGGGGGTTTATAGGCACAGACAGAGTCTCTTGTCCGATGTGGGGTCGCCGAGGAGACGGTCGGCTACAGTACCGATACGGCCTGGTTGCACATCTAGTACTGGATATCGTCCATCCAAGCTATTTAATTCCAGGTGAGCTCGAGGGCCAAGTGATTTCATGCAACGGCCACTTGACTTCCAGTCGAGGATTGCTCCACTACTCTCCCGGGTCACGTCTCTCGCAGCCGAGATGCAGCCAATTATCTATCTGTCTGCCAATTTTGGCTGCCAAGGCTCCAAGTTAAAAGGGGTTTCTATCCTATCGTCTCATGAATTGCAAGTTAATCAGGCACCAATAGTTTGAGCCTTGGATGTCTTTTGGATGCCACTTGATGCCTTGAACTGGCCACGAGTGGCAGTCAATCGGGTCACTGCCAATTCCCCCGCCATTGGTTCTAGGAGGATTGTCTTGTCTTTGAAAACCGAACTAGCTTTGGGGTTTGGTACCCGGTGTCTTGGTAGCAGAGTGAAAGGCTTTTGAGCGTGAGACATGTCTGATATCGTGAAAGAAAGCCGGACAGTTCTAGTTACATACGAGACCTGATCCTTCCAAATCAATACCGTGGCTCGTTAGGGCAAGACCTGCAGCAAAAAGAAGCCCAAACCCGGGGCGGGCGTCCTTTTCTCCGTGGGCAGCCCGAGGGAGTGGTTGGCACTGTTTCGTGGCCGAGACCTCGGGCTCAACTTGAAGCTGGCCCGGGTGAGGAGATTCTCACTTCAACCCTCACAATACCTCCCTTCCAACCATCCTCTTACCTGCCAAAGAAGTGGGCCACCAACTCACCCAAGCACCAGATAGGGTAGGTTGTCACTTGAACTATTGTTCCTCCTGGTCTGGTTTCAAACGTGCTTTCCCCACCCACCCACGCCCGCCACCCGTCAGTCAACTCGTCGACTGCGTTGCTTGCCTATAAATTCCCGGCCCTCGTCCCCCTAACCCAGCCTTCTTCCTTCTTCCAACCCACACCAACAATTTTCGTGAGATCCTCTCCGTCCACTTCCGACCATTCATGTTTGCTATCAAGAGTCCGACATTGGTTTTCAAGCTTCATCAACTCAAACACCGTACGTCAACTCTTCCATCGATTATCTTGCACCTTCTCCAACCATTCATCATTCATTGTGCCATTGATGACCATGGCTTCTTCCCGAACGCAATTAGGCAAACCCACATTTCAATTCCAACAAAGATTTGGATGCCCAAACTACCTGGCGGCTTGTCTTTCCATCATATTCATGCCATCCGCGGCTTGGTCGTCTTCCCAAGTTTTCACTTCCCAAGTTTCATTTTCAATTTCCGTCATCCAAATGCACACACACTTACACACAATCCGTGTATGAGATCGCTTACTCACTCAATTGAATCCACAGGCCCAAGAAACACCAGTCTTCAAGACAATCGCCAAAATGCCTCCCAAGAAGCTAGCGGCTGCCACCTCGGAGGGCGCGGACGGCCCAGTTGTTCCCACCCTGAAGGGAAAGATCCCCACCGAGGGCGAGACGAAATTTATCTTCGCCCTGCTTGAGAACTTCTCCACCAAGCCCGACTTCGACTGGGAGAAGATCGCCAGCACCCTCAGCCTCAAGGATACAAAGTGCACCAAGGAGCGCTGGCGTCAAATCCGCCTCAAGTACGACATTGACGTCCCCGAGACTGCGAGCGCTGCTGCCACGCCTAGCCGGGGCAGGAAGACTCCTGCTACTCCTGCTACTGCTGCTACTGCTACTACTCCTGCTACTGCTGCTGCTTCCGGTGGCACCGGCCGCGATGCTGTCATGGAGCCCGTCACCCCGACTCCCAAGAAGCGTCGTGCTCCTGCAGCAAAGAAGGCTGCGCCGAAATCGGCATTAACTGTTGTTAGCGATGAAGAGACGGGCGAAGAGGCTACTCCCAAGTTGGCGGCCAAGAAGCGTGGCTCCGAGGACGACGATGCCCAGTTACCCCCCAAGAAGAAGCCTACCCCACGCAAGGGAGCCCCGAAGAAGGCGGCCGCCCCCACTTCAACCAGCGTCGCCAAGAAGACAGCCAAGCTCAAGTTGAAGGCTGGTGTGAAGGAGGGGGAAGCCGATGTCGAGGAGGAGCAGTCGGCCGAAGCTGCTGACAAGGACGGCGATGTCTACATGAAGGACGACGGCGCTAAGGAGGACTCGCCGCTTTCAGATGTTCCCGATGGCATCTAAACCTGGTGCTCATCATCAAAATTCTTTCTCTGGCTTGTTCTACCCCATTCGCCTTCCTCAGCACCTGGCCGCCTCATGATTGTCTCTCAACCTCTCTTTCTATAGTGCAGTAGTTGGACAACCTGTGTCGCATCTTCTGGGTACTGACGAATACCGAGCGGGGATATTTGGCTAGGCTGGGAAATAAAAGGAGGACATGTTGCGCTCGGGGTAGTTTTTTTTCTTTTCGGGTTGGGCACGATTTCTTTCACTACGGTACACAAGCTGCGTCGTAGCTAGGCAGATGGCTCTTACTCTCAAGCAAGAAGCATCATGAAACTAGCTAGGCTGATCGTACAATACACACACTTTATCATTACGCTCTTGATCTTGATGCCTTGTGAACTTTGAACTGTTCGTCTGCGCCTGTGGGGAGTGGACTTCGTGTCCGAAATAATTTCACTTGGGACTAGCCCGCCCCACACGTAGCCTTTTCATGATGGTCTTGCAAGGCACCTGCTTTTTCCATGGACGGCATCTCACCGCACTACCAGCACAACCAGAGCTGCAAAAAGCAGGCCACAGCCCTGACTAACTTTGGCCATCAGCGATACCCAGACCGCTCCGGCCAATAGACCCAGAAACAGTGGACTTGGCTTTCTTACCTACGGCCAGAAAATGCAGCAGCACCTGGATACAGCCAGCCAGACAGCCAACCAGCCAGCTGCCAATGGAAAGAACAGGCAGAACTGCCACAGCCAACGGCATCCTTACCTGTGCAGAAATCCACAGAACAGTCCTATGAGGGCAATCGACGGTATTTCCAGTCGCCCAACCGAGATGGATATCCCTCCATCTCGTTCAAAAGACCCAAACAAGAGATCAGATACAACAGCTCATCGCTAGCAGCTTAAACCAATCACGCCGCCTACTCTGCCATCCCTGCCATCTCCGCCGTCATACTACCAGCCAGCACGTCACCATGCACCAGCACCGTTCACCGCCGATAGGGCATGCCCCATGACTGAACCGCCAGGGCTGTGTTCTCGCAACCGTCTGATTATTGTTCTTGTGCTGGGACAGCCTACAGCTACAGCCTACAGCCTACAGCCTACAGCCAATACAAGAACCGTTGCCCAGACCTTCAGACAACAGGCGGCTGTTTTTTTCTGCTGATGCAGCGGTAGCTTACGACATTCCTTTGCAAGACAGGCCCGAAACCTCTTTTCTTCTCCCATCCAGCCGACGCCAGCCCCGAGCCAGGGCACGAATCTCTTTCCACGTCCCAATTGGCAGCGATAACGGTAACAATCCGACCGCATCAGAATGATAAAGAAGACGAAGAAGAGCAGTCCCAAAGTCACTCCGCTCGCCTGCCATAATTACTTTCCCGGCGCCAGAAACCGGACCAAGAGATCACTGGCGGGTCTAACTATTACAACCAGCCCTGATAAATCATCACGAGCCAGCCTGCTGTGCAACTACCAACATCAAGCATCAACCATGGGTCTGCGAAGTCATTCGATCTGAGCAGCTGAATCTGGAGAGTCTCGGTGGATCTTTGTATAATCAAGAGTGCAGAGGCAGGGATTACAGGCGAGGCAGGTCGACGACTGGTTGGTTGTCAGCAACAGCAGCAGCAGGAACAGGAACAGAAGGAAATAAAATCAAACTCAAAAGGAGAAAAGAGCTGGAAGGGGCTGTGGTGCTGGAATACAGTGGCAGGGAAATGTGCGTATCGTCGAATCCAGAGTTTCCATCCCTCTCTCTCTGTTCTTCTTCTTCCTGACCCCCCCCCCCCAACTCCACCGCACTCCACGATAACAGGCATCATATCCACCCAGGGAGATCGATAGCAATCAGACGAGCAAATGACCAGACACAAGCGTTGCTTGCAATGCGTGCATATTCACGTCTATATCTAGTCTCGCAGTGAGGGCCAGGAATCAGGTATCAAAGTTCTGGCACTGGCTGGCCCCAGTGAAGTTCGGACATGGCAGGGAGGTGTAGTTGATTATGCCGGGCAGAGAGATATCAGGAAACCAATCGCCTACACCTTGGTCAACCAACGATGGCCTTCAAGGCCTTGTTCGCGGCTGGAGAAAGTAAGGGGCAGTGGACAAAGCAGAACGTGCTGATAGGGTGCCTAGACAGACCAGCCAGCCCAGCCCAAAAAGAGTCACAAATTAATCCCGATCCCAATCCCAGTACCACACAAATCCATGCAACCCATCAGCATATTATCTGATCCAACCCGGTCCCATACCATACCACACCGTAGATAAAATGAATGAAAGAATGAATGAATGCTGACTCAGCAATCCACACTACACACAACTTACACACCACACCACCTACAGTCCCGCAACCCCCCCAAAAAACAACCCAGAATGAAATAGTCCGTAATATTCCAGCCCCATCCGCCAAGTTCAACTGCCCAGGTAGTTCATGTGCGGAAAAACAAAGCGACATGTGACATGTTTGCCTTGACGTCCGTTTAGAGGCAATTAGGCGGCGCGTTGCCGCGGCAACAAAGGCTTGGCGTTTCCCCTTTTTTTTTCTGTCGTCCGCTGTCTGTCGCTTTCTTGCTTGATCCCCACACCCTTCCCCCCCAAAATTAATTGAGCCCACATCCGCCCCGGGAATTCAATTGTATCTGATTGAAGGCACTGCAAGAATTGATATTCAGGCTGTGGCGCGTATTATTGCAGACATGTAGGTAGACAACTAGTCATGCACCACACAAGGCAGGCAATCAGTCACGCATCACACATTGTCAAGAGCAAGTAGAAAAATGACTGGCCTCCTATACGAGATGGCTATCTGCCATAACCAGCTACGATATCTGGCCTCCTATAATGAAGAAGCCCGTGAATGCAGCAAGTATCGAAAGCCTATCTCGTAAAAGCCGTGTCCCAGTGTCCCAGTGCCGTTTGATGTGCGGCCAGTGTAATAGACAAGGAGAACCGAAAGGACAAAGCCGATTCCGTGCCCTGCCGCTGCTTTTCAAGGGAAAGCAAAATCCGCAAAGCCAGGCCGGGCTCCAACGCTATGCTTCTTCTCAGTCTTATCTCCAGTCCGATTGCCCATGACGCCCAAATCAACCGAAGAAATCAAGAGAAAATCCCAACTCCATGAACCGCCCACCAAAGAAAGAACCCAGCAAAAACCACGAGCAATCCGCCATTATCCGAGAAGTATTTCCCAGAAACAACTCTCCCGCAAGGACCCCATGATTCCCTAATCAAAACGAACAAGGAATGCCGCCTCGACATGAAGAAATGTTACTGGACTCAAAGTCAAAGTTAGAGATAAAACCTTCGGCCCCAAGCTATGTCGAATGCTGCTGGTAGAAGCCGAGTTCTTACAACTCTTTAGGCGGCATCGGAAAAGCCGTTGGGGGGCAGCTCTTGGCTGTTGAGAGGATAAACTGTTAGCGATGTATCATGAATGAAGGCAGTGGGATACTTACTCCGAAAGACCCTCCTCCTTCTTGACTTTCTTTGAAGGAGTTTTATTGTCGAACTCATCGTCGTCCTCCTCAGAATCTTGCTTCTTCGCCTTGCGCTTGGCGGAAGTCTTGGCAGGGGTATTGGTAGCGCTACGCTTGCGAGGAGTCTTGGGCGTGCCCGATGCACTCGGAGCAGACTCAGCGCCGCCAGCGGCGGCTCCTCCCTCCTTGCGACGGAGTTTCTGCAAGTGTTGCCTGTGAAGAGAAACCGTTAGCATGTGAACATCCCAATTGAAAGTGGTGCGCTAGGCAGGCAAGACAAAGACAAAGCAAGCAGATGCGAAAAGAAAGTGACAGTGAAAGTAGTACGTGATCGCCTTCAAGGTGCAAGTATAGCCCATTTCATGCATCCGAGTCACAACACAACGGAGCTGCTCCTGGGTTGGCTGCAGCTCTTGGGTGATGGCCGTGAGGAGATCATGGTCGGCATGGTGATCCCAGTTCATACGATCGACAGCCATGTTTGTTTGGGTGAAGCAGTTGAGATCTTCAAAGTGATGAAGAAAAAAAGAAAAAAAGAAAAAAAGAAAAAAAGAAAAAAAGAAATCGAGCCAATTCGAAATGTGAATGCGCGAATGAGTGGTGCTTTGTAGAGCTGGTGCGATGGTGGGCGAGGAAGGAGGAAGAAGAAAGAGGTTGCAGAGGAGAGGAAGAGGGGCGGGGGAAATACATTGCGGCGCTCGCAGTGTAGCTGTATCCCTTCTCAGCAACGCGGTTGAGGATCTGTTCCCACTCTGCCTGATTTGGGGGCGCCTCCAGGACGACTGCCTGCAGCAGAGCCAGATGGGCATCTGCATCCCAAATAGTCGGCTTTGACATGATTTTTAGGCTTGATTCGGCGATATTATTGTTGCGTGGTGACGGTGAAAGCGGGTTTTGCGCGCACAAATGTAAAAGGTGCCGCCAGGCTTGAGAGATGAAGAAGCGGGGGGGGGATAGAGGTAAGGAGCAGCCAGCGACCGAGACGGGAAGAACTGGGGATTTTGGCTAGCCGAAAACAAAACTCAGGCAGGTGCCCCGCAATCAAAAACCGGAGTATGAGGTCTGGTGCACGAACATGAGAGCTCCCCTGGAAAACTGGTACTTGTCACTCACAGCTGCCGTGATGGCAGTGTAATCGTCCGGGCTCGGCCGGAAGTGAGCTACGAATGCCATCAGGAGGTCTGTGTGAACCTCGGCATGCCAGTTCATAAGCTGTCGAAAACCCATTGTAATGGCTTTCTGCCGATTGATGCCACTCACGTAGGGAGGTAAGGCAGTCTCGTCTGGCTCGGTGCAGGGTGGTGGGTGGTGTAGCCTTGAGGTTCGAGTCCCAAAAAAGATGAGGCGAAAGAGAGGTTGAGGGAGCGAGGAGGTGTGGGGAGAGAGGCAGACGGCAAGCTTTAATATCCGAGCAGGTAGGTAGTACAAGGCACTGCCCCATCCAGCTCCAGTACCTGCCGCCGCCTGCCGCAAAGTGAAAGCAAGGGAAAAACAGCAAAAATACCTGATGGCGTTCCAACCCATGTTGTGGCCTCGTGCTTGCATGATCTCGACAATTTGTTGATGCTGTTCCTTGGTAAGGGGACCTTGAACTTGCATCACCGCCTCGAATAGATCCTCTCGGATTTCTTCCCATTTGGCCATCGTGAGACTAAGATGCAACGAATAGGCAATACGCCAAAGAGGTTGCTGTGTGTAGCTGAGAGAGACGAAGTTGCGGAAAACCGTGATTTAGTGAAGCTGCCGGAGCAGAAATTTTTGGAGAAGGAGTGGAAGAGGAGAAAAGGCGAGCTCGGTTTGGAGGTGGTCCTTATCAACTGCGAACTACGCAGCCTCCAGACCGTCTCCGCAACGAAGCTGCCCGGAGCAAACAAGGGCACAGGTCAAGCACGGGGCGTCAGATAGTGATTCAAATCTAGACGCGAGATAAGGGGGGTAGCAGCAAGATAGGATACCGTACCGGATACTATCCCAGTTGGTTTCGTGGTCGCGCTCCTTCATGAGCTCCACGATCTTTCCCTGGATCTCTCGGTCCAAGAAAGGCTGGAACGCCGTATACATGGCGATCATCAGGTCCATGTTGGCATGGTCGTCCCAAGTGCATGAAGGCATCGTGTATAGCTTTATTGACGGCAAGGGGGAGTCGAGAAAGGTAGGCAGAAAGCCGCAGAGAGACGTGGTGACGGAGGGAAGTTTTTCTGAAACTGTTCAGAGGCCGCGAAAATACATGTACGATCATGCGTTCACAGCACGAAGCGGAACTTACCGAATACCCTCCCACGTGAAGTCAAGACCCTTGGCCTCCAGGAAGCCAATGACAACATCTCTATGCTTGGAGACCAGCACATTATTCATGGCCATCACCTCAGCCAACGCCCCGCAAAGGGCCATGTGGGCGTCGTTATTCCACTTCGACTCCTTGGCCTGGGCAGGAGTCTCCATTTTTTGCTGTGGTGAGATATGCGAGAAAGCCTGGTTTGAGTCGTACTGCTCGGTCATAATGGCTTGCTGTGAGGCTGCTCGGTCTGCACTGGCTCCGTGAAGTGATGCTGTTTGGAGAAAAGGGCAGAGTAGTTCGGTGCGTCAATGAGGTTTTGGATAGAAGGAAAGCGGAGGAAGAGGGCGAGAGCCCGAGCTAGTACTCTAAATTCATTTAGGGGGGGAAGGGAAAGCGAAAGTGGGGCGCGCGGATAGAGTAGAACCGACACCCTCACTACGGTATCACTTGAAGGTCTCGCTGCCGCCGCCACAGATATTACACGGAGCCGGTGTATGGCGAAGCATGAATTGCGGCCACGGCCTTCTCACAGATAGCGTATCCTCATTTCTAGCTTACACAAATCGACGCATTCCGCGTGCTGCTTCCACGCCGGCCTATACCCAACTGTTTCAAAATATAATACAGAACGAAGCTACCCAAGTCGAGGCCGGCCGGCCTCGTCGCCAGAACATCCACCCTTACTCGCCCATTCGTCATCAAACTGCCGACAACTAGGCTAACAACGCCCAGGCGCTCTGGAGTAAGCGACCAGAGACATATCATATTCCACATTGTCTCATCCCGTCATTGCCGTTCCAACCCACTCAAAAGCACCGCCGTCCAGAAAAGACTACGTCCAAAACTCCGACCCGTTCCAAATAGAAAGCAATCCTTGCAGCCAGCTGCTACCGACAGAGTCGACGACAGCGAATAGCTAGAGCTAAAACGCCGGACAGAGCTACCCGTCATTGTGAACCCTCATCAGGTACCCCACATCAGGCAACCAGGCGTTCTCGTTCGGCGATATGCTCTACGCCTCGCCATAGTTGAAGCTGGAAACAAGTCAGCACGGGCTCCGTCGCGGAAAGAGAAGGGAAAAGATATAGGAAGATAATACAAACTCTGTCGTGTAGCCATGCCCTTGTGGAGGGTTGCTATTGTTATGAGCAGCGAGAGCGTTCATAACGGCTTCGTCTTCCAGCGGCGTCGTGTCCTGGCCATTGTCGAGCCTGGGACGCTTTGCGGGTTGCTCGTCGTGATCGTGATCGTGATCGTGATCCTCAAGGCTGGGGTCCACGGCTATATCGTCATGCACGGGTGTCTGTTCCTCGCCCATGCTGGGCGAGCCTTCGGCAGGTGACTGCCGTGCCTCACCGCCCTGGCCGACCTGCACGCCGCCAGAGCTTGGGAGGCCAGCGACATCGCCAGGAACGCCAGACATCGGCAAGCCGTGAACGCCGGGCAGGCCGTGCATGTTGTGGACGCCGATGAAACCGTGCATGCCAGCAACGGGGGCTTGGTGAGGGACCCCCGAAAATCCGGGGACGACGGGCGAGGCGGAGGCGCTGCCTTGGCCCCCCTGAGCGCCGGCGCTGCCTTGCTTCCTTGGACGACCACGGCCGGGGCCAGGCCTGCGGGTGATGGGATTCAGGGTGGGATCAACTTTCCTTACCGGGTCGGATGGGGGCGGGTTGGCTGGCGGGTCGATTTTGTTAGAAGCCCGACGCAGCCCCTGGAAGTGTTGACTAGATACAGGTCAGTGAGGTCGCCGAGTGAGAGTGGCGGATAGAGGCAGATGGACGGGGACATGATATGACAAGACCATGTTCAACCTCTCAGGGACTGGGTGTCGAATACAAAAGGGGGAAAGAGAGAAGCATTCAATAAGCCTGCTCTGTTTGAGAGGACTGAGACTGGCAGAAACCGAGAGACAAAGAGACACGCCAAGACAAGAGAAAAGACTTGAATATTGTATGCTGATGCAGGCCGCGCAGCTATGAGATCAGTAGTGATGATGGTGGTGGCGATGATGGTGGTGATGGTGGCGGTGATGGTGATGGTGATGGTGATGGTGATGGTGATGGTGATGGTGATGGTGATGGTGGTTGGTGGTTGGCATTTGGCATTTGTGACGGGTTGTGGAGCCATCTTGTGTGGACTCAACCCGACTCAACTCGACCGAGACTGAAGACTCACCGACATCCTTCATTTGTAAAGCCGTAGCCCATGGAGCGCATGTGGTTGCCGATGGTGGTCCATTCTGCGCCGCTGATGACGCCAATGTTCTTGACCGACAGAATGGTGAAAAACAGGTCCTTGTCGGCCCGGTCGTTCCAGTTCTTGTTCATGGCGGGCGGGCGTCGGCGGGTGCGCGCGGCGGTGGCGGCGTCGGCGGGCGGGCGGGCGTGCGTGCGTGCGTGCGTCGGCGAGGCGATGCGATACTAGCAATGTGCAAGTGTCTGATAGCGAGCGCGCCGGTGGATCAGCGCGGCCTTTGAGAAAATTGCTAAGGGCTGCTAAGCAGAGATGTCAATCCAGCCGCCCGAGGCGACCTGGCCCAAACACTTGTACTGCGGGCTCAACATTTAGCCGAAAGTCCGGCAAACTTCCCCTCACCGCCAATCAGAAATCGGAAGGGCTGGGCGTGGTTGCCTCAGGCGGGGGCCCCAGAACGGCTCTTGGCGAGATAAGGACACGCCCCGCCTCCCGTGGGGAAGCACCCCACCCCGCCTGAAGTCGAGCCTCCAGGTCCTCGTGATTTGGCGCCAGGGTCGCGAGATCAGTCACACAGTGTCAAGTACGACGCGCTGTTAGCCTGGCCCGTTCCAACCTCCTTCTTTCCTGCGGCTGTAACTGCCCCTCCAAACCCGCCAACCCGCCGCTCCCATTCCAACATGCAAATCGAGGCAGCAAAGCAGCCTGTCAATTGTCTGCAATTGTTGGCAATTGGAACCGCAACATTTCATCCCTAATCTTTTCAATTATTTGAGTAATGGCCTATGACAAGAGGACAGACAATTGCGCACACTCTGGATGCCATTGACATTAAATTGACATGACGTGCCCATTTTGCAGCCTTGCGGAGGGTCGTCGTTGGATATACTATCTGGGCCAGCGAGCCTGCGGCCCCGACAGACTGCTTGAACTGAAATCTTCTGGGCGGGGTACCTCGCGATACATTCAGCAGTTGTCTGACCGCTACATTGCCGCTTTCGCTTTTGCAGCAAGGCTGGCCGAGACTTGCCCTCAACCGCGTCCCTTGTGCTCTGACGTGCCTCCTGTTGGGGCCACGTACACCCGACAGCCGCCTTGGTACTGACGATGTAGAAGAGCTGTATGCGTATGTGCAGGGCAGAGTTATCCAAAACGGCAAGCCTTGGCGCAGCGCGCCTTGATAAGTTTCATCCAGAGGTTCGCGGACCATTTTTCGCAGCACCGGGGCAGCGACGGTCGCCAATGAAAGCAAGCGACAAAGGGGACTCTTAAATTCCCAACCACCCCCATTTCCCCAAGTCTGACTCGAATGACTCACAGCTTCTTACGTTCTACTGCGTAGAGTGTCCCCGTACCGCCGTATCACACCGTTCCTGGGCTTGGTTTCCGATCTTGCATGGTATCCCGGACCTAGCCTGGGGAAGCGGAGGGCAATGCCGCAGCCTTTTCGGAGAGGGCAGCAGTTTGCTAGCTCAGCTCCGATATTATTATTGCGAGTGTCAAAGTTAAGCAGTTGCAGTTGTCCCGCCAAATGTTTTCCATTACCATGTTTGCTTCTTGGTCGGACGCGCAGTAGCAAACGACGAAAACGGCGTGCATTGGGCCGCTGTATTGGTGATTGGATTCGCCACTCGGGGGGGGGGGAATGTCTATCAATATCGCCAGATTGGGGGAGACACGGACTCGAAGCTGCCCGGGGGGAGGGGGTGGTGTCACACACACACACAGACACAATCCACTATCGGCAGGCGACAGGGATCTCGTCAAGCTGCCTGGGCATGTCTTGCCGAGGAAAGGAAAGAAAGGGAAAAAAAACCACTTAACGCGGTAGCGCCGCGATGGCGCGTCGCCCTGTCTGGGTCCCCCACCACCATCACGGCGTCGAGTGTGGGTGTGGGTGGGCGGACGGACTTGTGCTCCTTTTTTTCCCTTGGGGTTTTGGTCGAGATGTGCCTGCTTCCCCCCCTTGCCCCGCCTCCTGCCGCAATGCCCAGGCAACCATTGCCCCGGCAGCCATTTCAGGAGGCACGAATACAATACAATACAGGGAAAATAAAATAAGACACCAATATGTGGATGAGCCGAGTTCCGTTTTCCTCCTCGTGGGCGTATATGGATGCGTTACGGGGCTGCAGACTTCCTGTATTAGACTGGCTGGCTGGAAATAGAGAGGATGAGCGAGCTCAGTGGCGCCTGAACCCAGTCCTGCCTACCTACTACCTACCTACCTACCTACCTTGTGCTTCTAATTAGCTCCAGCTCCAGTTTTGACTCGAATTCTAATTCCAATTCTAGTTGCATTTGCATTTGCAGTTGCGGTTGCGGTTGCGGTTGCAGTTCCTGTCTGACCCTCCTCGCATTGGCAAACGGGCTTGACCTTGACCTTGCTTGACGCACCTTCTTTTGTTGGCATGGCATGGTGGCGGCGTAGAGAAAGGGCTATCTTTTTCTTCTTTTCTCGGCTTGCTACTGACCATAACTGCGGATCGATTGCCTGTCTTTGAGAAAAAGGGAACCTACTTGCCGCCTCTACCTGTCTGCTCCCCGCCAGACCACCCGGCAGAGGCCCTTCGACTTCTCTCTGTTCCAAACCCGGTGAAACAAGAATACAACTCCACCAGCCTCACTAAAGAGAGAGCCGTCCGTCCGTGACTCAATCCCCCACCCTCTGCAGCACCGTAGCGGGACGAGGCCTGCCAACGTCATCCTCAGAACCGCCTGATTCCTTCTCTATAGCATACAAAATACCTATCCGCTCAGCTGCTGTCCCCTCCTCCTCACTCGATTCCCCCGTGTCTTTCTCTCTCTCTTTCTCGGCTGGCTGTGTCGGCCGGCCCTCGACCGCTTGCCCGACCAGACCAGCGAAACCAGACCAGCGAGACCAGACCAGATCAGACCAGACCAGCAGTTGCCATCATGTCTGCCAACGACAGTCCCATGACGCGCTTTCTCTTTGCGATCCTGCAGCAGAAATGTCTCAAGGATGTGAGTTTCTTCCCCCCCTTCCCATTGTATCAACCAGTCCGCCAGACAGACAGACGACAGCAAGTGCAGCAAAGGCGACAATAATCATCAACAGCTAACCCACGCGTCCTTCCGCGATGTAGATCGACTGGGAGAAAGTCGCCCACGACCCGATCCTGCTGCAGGACATCTCCAACGGCCACGCGGCGCGCATGCGCTACTCGCGGTTCAAGTCCACCATGCTGGGCCTGCAGCCGCAGCGCCGGAACCGCACCGCCTCCAATCCCTCTCCTACTGGTACATCATCATCCCGCGTCTCCAAGAAGAAGCGAGACGACAAGGCCCGGCGCAACAACGAGCGAGACGCCGCCGCCGCCGCCACCGCCGCAGCCGTCAAGCTTGAGACCGGAGGCATCATCATCAAGCCCGAGCCCGACGTCCTCGGCGGCAGGCGGCTGTTTCCCGCCACCACTACCAGCACCACCACTGCCACCACCCCGGAGCCGCCCCACCATCACCACCAGCAGATGGCCGGTCTTGACCTAGGAGGGGGAGATATGCACGCGCGCAGCATGCACATGCAGCGGCTGCTGACGCCGTGTAGTGACTCGGACGTTATGGCTGCCTCTACCGCCATGGCTGCCACCGCACACCCCTTCTCTACCATGGCGAGCCCCGGCAGCGAGATGGATATTCTCAGACAACAGCAGCAGCAGCAGCAGCACGCCGACGCGCCGTTTGACTTTTCCGGCGGCGTGCACCACAACCAACAGCACGACAACAGCAGCGGCTCGTGGCACCACCACCACCACCAGGCCACGTACCAGAGCCCGTCGTCCTACCACAGCCCGGCGTCGTACTCGGGTTTTGCTCTTGGATATGGGAACGGTGGTGATGATGGCAGCGAGGGCGATTACGACGTGTTGGGTGCCATGCTGGAGCAGCATGACGACGGTGTTTGATGATGAGGATGATGCTGGCGATATTGCGGCCAAGCGCGAGTCGGAGTCGCAGCACTACCGTCACCAGATCCAGACACGATTCTGTTTGGGGAGAAAAAAAGGGGCTTCGCTGTCGAGGCGCGGTCTGGGGGTGTTGGTTTTCTTTGCATTCTTTTATTTCGTTCACTCGGTCGCTCATTCACTCACTCCCTCACTCACCTAGGGCTTTCTCCTAAGCTTGGGGGAGAGGGTGTGAATTCTTTGTTCGTTTGTTTGGTAGTGGTCTTCTGGGTTCTAGAGGCTGAGCCAAGGGGCTTGGAGGGGGGATTCCATCTGCCTGTCTGGCTCGGGGAACGGTACTTCAGGTTTTTATAAACGGTCTAGGGCTCGGGGTGTTTTCCATTTCGTCCTTGGGTCTTTTCATAATTGTTCAGGGGGGGTTAGGTTTCGTTTACTTGCCGGCTGCTGCTGCCGACTCTGGGTTAGTTAGCTAGCTGGCTGGCTAGCTGGCGCACATGTGAAGTAAGGCTCTCTCGAAAGAGTGAGCATTCTCACCTCTTCTCCTCTCCTTGATACTGGTCTCGCTAGCGGCGAGCCCGGCCGAGTTGGCGCAACTGGATTACAGCGTGTGAGTACGAGGACACTCTATCTCGCCTAGTAAATGAATTTATGACTATTACATGACATGACATGACATGACGTGACGTGACGTGACATGATATGATATATGGCGGCTCTATTGAGTCTACTTTTGTTATGAAACTCGTGTGGACGGCGGCCTCAGCATATCTCGCCTGCCTAGTGGTGTCGCTCGTTATCGGGCTCATCTAGCTAGCAGCTTCTGACCACCTCCGGCCTCCTCGGCTGCCTGCCTTAACGGTCTGATACTAGCTGCAGCAGGCCCGGTTCTTGGCGTAGCGTGGCAGCAGTTTGATATTTCATCCGAGGTATCCCAACGCCTCCTCAGCACACTCACAGACTACGAGTCTACGTCGCCCCCGCCTCAATGCCCTTCAGGTCTCGGGGCTATCTCCACTGCTTCCACACCTACTAACTCGTCACGGGACCAACACAACACTGCCTTCTTTCCTTCCTCGCCCACAAAAGTTCAGCTTCGCACCGTAAGACTTCCGAATCCGCTTTTAGCAACGATCTTGTCTTGAACCTTTTCACTTCCCTTGCCCGCGAGAATTCGATTCCCTCTTCTACATTCCTCCAGCTCGGCCCAGGCTAGTCTACGGCCTCAATTCTCGCCTCTGGTAAGTTTTGTCGAGCTACCCTCACTACGTCCCTCGGCACCTCTCGACTCGCCGCTCCCCGCGTAAAGCTTTCTCTGCCCTCTACATCGTCTGGTTCCCTCTCGCACCTTCTCACCCAAAACTTTTCCCGCCTCTCACACTATTCAGCTTCCCTGCTCTGAACCCGACAAGATATACGCCGCAGCATCACAGGTAAGTTGATACGCTACCTGCCTGTTACATTACGCATCACTTTCCCTCCGATCTGTAGCCCGGAGCCTGCCTATCTTGAATTCCTGCGCGTGGCCATCCCGTCTCGAGCTCTTTCCTAAATGGTTTTGCTCGCCGAGACCTTGCGAACCTTACCTCACATCACACCACCCGCCACCTCATCCTACTTTCCATTCCTTCTTCCCCTCACCTTTTCAATACGACTCGAGATTGTGGACCTGTTGGCCTCGTACATTCCGTTCTCAATTCTCCTCCTTACATGTTAATTCTCACACCTCACCGCCACTTGACCCGCACTCCAATCCCGGGATACTTCACTCACTGGGTCGAGTACTAATCAGCACCGCTTCAGATCCACACGTACTCCTCAACTCACAAAAAAGTCGCAGCAACCCCCAGAGCAAGAAATTCGGCAGCACCAAAGAGAAGGCCTAGCCAACATGACGAGCAAGGCCATGAGAGCCGCCGCCGCGGCCGCCGCGGTAGACGACGGCACAGGCGATGGCGACAGTTCACGCCCCCCCATGCCCAACCAGGCCGAGAGCTACCTGTTCTACACCATGCACCTCGCCATGAAGAGCAAGCCAGAGTTTGACTGGAATGCCATCGCCGAAATGAACGGCTTCAAAAACGCCGAGACGGCCAAGGTAAGCTGACCAACTCCCAATTCCGTGCAACGCGGCAACTCCGTCCGTACCAGCCCGCTAAGCAGCATGTGATTTCCTCGCCGTTTAGGTTCGCTATGGCCAGATCAAGCGTAAGCTCAAGATGGAGACCTGGACTGTTCCGGCCTCGGCGGCGTCGGGACCGGGTTCAGCCAAGCGCACGCCCGCTAGCGCCGGTTCCGATGCCAAAAAGCGGAAATCTTCGGCAGCCGGCTCGAGACTGTCGCCAGGAAAATCCTCAAAGTTCGCCACCCCGAAGCGAGGATCCAAGGTGTCGAGGGCGCTCGACGACGAGGACGATGGAGAAGACGACGAAGAGGACGCTGAGCGAGCCAGCCCTGGCACGCCGACTCCCGCTGCCCCGAGACAGTACCAAGTCCCGGCGAACACCAACGCCGAGCCATCCTCCAAGAAAGCCAAAGTCAAGCACGAGGCGATTACAAAGAAGGAGGAGCACGTAGACTATAGCAGTAGCGTCGCCAAGGAGATCCCCCAGTTCGCCCCAGTCGAAGACACAGCCGCAGCAACCATGCCCACTCCCACTGGTAGCAGCAGCAACAGCATCTTCATCCAGGGCAACCAAAGCCACGCCTCCAGCAACCTCGCTGCCCGGTTGCGGGTTCCCGGCAGCAGCGGCCGCGGCGGTGTTTCAGGCCCACAACGCAAGACAGCCGCCTCGCGCATCAAGACGGCAGCATCATCCAAGCACCCCGGCGCAGCAGCATTTAAGGACATGATGTCGGCGGATAAGGTTGCGGCTAATCAGGCATACGGCGCCACTGATCTGGGACCCGGATTCACCCACACCTTGACGGCGCCGCCGTACCTGTACAACACTCCGGCGGCCGCTGGCGGCGAGCACCAGCCCATCGTGCTCGACATGGACGACGACGGCAGCTACCACCCCAGCCAGCGCCTCGTGCAGGCGCTGGACCATATCGATTATGACGGAAACGATAACAGCACTGGTCGCGACAGCGGTGCCGGCTGGGACTTTGATCCCAGCGGCGCAAGCTACTCTGTCTAGGCTTGGCTGTTGCCACCTCTCGTTTCTAAACGAGCAGCCCACATCACGTCTCGTCTCTCGCGTATTCCTTTCCTCTTATCTACGATGGCCAGGCTGTGGAATCTCTGCGATTGATCACCGGGCCTTTGAGTAGGGCACATTCATGGGCGAGGAGACTCTGTCAGGGGGGTTATTGTATTGTATTGTACATTTTTTCTTATTTTCTTTCTTTTCTTTTTCCTTTTTTTCCGCGTACGTGGCCTGCGGATGCGACTTCATACGGCTATTCTTGCGTTCATGGTTTCCTTATATTTCCTCCTTCTGCAGCCGGTTAGGCAGTTCCGTCTTTGTGAAGGACGCCGCCTTCGTTAGCTGGCAGCCGAACGGACACGGACACGGACACGAACACGGACAGACAGGTAACCTCTCTCTCCGGAAGGAAACAAGAGGGCAGACGCACACAGCTGGATGAAATGGAAGGGGGGAAGGTGGGATGAATTGATGGAGGGCTGGGATGGGAGTTCAGGCTTGTGTGCTTGGCCGCGGCAGCTGGGGTGCTCTATCATGGATCGCAGTAGTCAAGAGAGATGCGGCCATAACTCTGTTGCTCTATCTAGCTGCACAGCGCAACAGCCACTTCGCCTCACCATTGCCCATCAACAAGAAACCAAGTAAGAAAAAGGGAACACAATCAGCAAAGCTCAACATATTCCCCGCCATGTCATCAGTGCCGCAGAAACCCCCGGGGGTGGCCTACGGAAACAGACCACAGGATCTGTCGCCGTTGCCGCCAAATCTCCTCCCTTTGCTTTTCACGAATGGACTGGGCAGAGGAATAAGCACCCCCACTTTACGTAGACAAGCCGGCTAGGGATGTCTGGGTAGTACCAGGCTAGTTGTCTCGTAATAGCAGCAGCTATTCTCTCTATACTGCTTTAGCATTTCTTCTTCTACTTGTGTGCGTATTTGGCTGGCTGGCTGGCTAGCCCTGTCCATATGGAATAGGGTGTTTGCCTCCTCTTCTGTCCAGCCCCGGGGGGGAAAGAAAGGACAGCGAGATGATGGCAGGGCTGGAAGTGGAAAACTCAAAAACACCAACCCTCCAGTGTCTCTGTGCTTTGTGCGTGTCTCGTGTGCGTTTCTTATGCTGCCAAAGATGGATAATGAATGGGATGGTTTTCTTTGGTTGCCCTGATTTGTTCATACAGGAAAAGTGACAGGCCGGGCAAACAGGGTACGGTTCTCGGCAGCTAGCTAGCCACTTGGGTGGAGGAATATGCCCCGAGTTTCGTTGCCTTAAATCAGCCAGCCTTCTTCACACGCCATGATTGTAGCACTCATGCCCGTAAGCCCGTATTGTCTTGTCCAGCCCAGCCATCCTGAGGGTCAAGGAGATGTATGTGTGCATGTAAACAAGGCTCCTAGACGGAAAGGGGGAGAGGTAGAGAGCCAGGCACAGGAATGTACAACCGGCAGACAAAGACAGGACCAAGTCAGCACAGCACATAGCGCCTTCCATAACATCAACCTAGCCTACGGACTAGGCTACACCCCCCTCGGCCCTACCAGCCGCAAAATCGGAGATCGACTATTTATTGTTGTTGGTATAGATGACAGCACCATTGGCGCCCAGTCGACTCTTTGTCTTTCCACCTTCTGTCCGGCCAGTGCACGTCAACTCACCAAAGCCAGCATACAAGCAATGTCACAGCCCGGCGGCACCGGGTCGATTCTCCTTTCCCAGCCAAACCCAGCCCAGAGGGTCTATCGAGCCCTTTCAACCCCTTTCCATAATTACGTTCAAATAGACAGCCAGAAGCAAAACCAAGAAAGAAGAAAAGCAAAGGAAATATGTTCCGGATCAAGGGGGAAGCGCCGAACTCACGGCCCAGAGATGCCGCTGGGGGAAGGGACAAGAGAGTGGGCGAATCAGACAAACGTGCCACTACCACGCAGATATAAAAAAGGCGAAGAAATTTGGGGGGGGGAGTCCTATACCTTGCCCCTTTCTTCCTCCGTCCTACAGCTAGCCTCGTTCGTACGCTTGTTGCTTTCTCTCGCGATGCTTGCCAGCCTGCGAGTTTCCCTTCCTCCTAACAAAGCACGTCCGTCAAACACTTAGCACACGGCAACCAACAGTACCGCAAGATGCCACAGCCGTTACTCAGTCAGACCGAATCAAATCAAATATGGGCAAGTCAAATCAAGCCAGGAGGTATCATAGCATAGCATAGCATAGCAGGCGTTTCATGGCATGGTAATTTCCCTCGCCCCTTTTCCCAGGGGAGGGCTTAATTTTCCGACATGTCCTACAAGAGAGGACCTGACTATATCTCTGCCCGTCTGCCCATCTGCCTGTCTAGGCAGCATGCAAACAGCAAGTAACAACATGTAAAAAACAAAAAAGATAAGAAAACAAAAAAAAAGGGAATCAGGTTTAGGTATCATGATAATTTCCCCCATGTGTGGTTTCTTCCCGGGAAAACAAGGAAAAAAAGACAAGAACAAGAAAAAAGCCCCAAAGAGGTTGCAACACAGTCCCAGAAACAACAACAACAACAACAAGCCCAGCAAGCCCAACCACTCACCTCGGCCGCGCCTTTCTCTTCTTCTCTCTTCTAATAACCCCATCCCTGGCGAGAGGGAAGGAAAGAAAAAAAACACCTCAACCAGCCCAAAAGCTACCAAACAGACTTCAGCACACAAGGAGCAAGAAGAAATACAAATTAAATAAAGTGAAAAGGGGAAACAAAACGCCCGCTGCTCGCCGCCGCCGCCAATATCAGGTCACCAAAAAATGGTGTTTGGGTATGTCGCATGTTCATTGCTGTACCTTGCTTGAAAGGGGGTGGGCAAGGCACCAAAAAGATTTCCCCAAGTAGAAATTTCCTTTTTTCCCTTCGTCCCTCCCTGTCACTGATCCGCCCTCCCATCCGGCAAGAGACGAGACAGACAGCCAGACAGCCCCCGTCAAATATCATTCCGAAGGGGAGGGGACTCGCTTTCATAATACACATGCCCGGATATGAAAACAAAAAACGTGAAGGTAAAGAGTAAAAGCCTCCTTGCCCTGCTGCCCGCTTGGCAAGATAAAAAAAGAGAGACAAAAACACCCCTCCCCTAGTCCCCGCCCTGTCCCCATACCTATCCATCCCCATCCCCGCATACATACACATGGGGAAAGAGGCGTAAGTAAATAATAATAAAAAAGCCGCCATGTGCAGCTTTGAAAACAACAGGTGAAATGAAATGACAAAGAAAAAACCGGCCGTATCGGGGCATCATATCATGTTAGGTCGAGGTGAGGTAGGGTGGGCGTAATAGATATGGAGGGAGGTAAGTAGGCGAGGTAGGTACTGAGAGGGGGACAGTGTATACAGGTCCGACCTAAAGATCCGTGTCCCTACCCCAGGGCCTCATAGTGAAACAAGGCTCCTGTGCTCTCAGTAAGTATGTATGTAGGACCGCCGTGATGCGGCGCGGCGCGACGCGGCTGCCGCGGTAATTCGGCTCGGGTCAGCCACGTAGGTAGCCAACTCACTCGCTCGCTATGTCTTGGTGCCGTTTGGTGGAGCGGCCGTCTTGGCACCCGCAGCGCCGGCGCCAGATCTGTCGCGGTCGCGCAGGATGACGGGCTTCCAGTCGACGCTCTCGCGGTCGGCCCAGCGGCGGAGGATATCGAGGACGGCGGCGACTACGTCTTCGACGGGGGTCCAGGGGCCGACGGGCGGGGTAGTCTTCATGCGGCGGTCGTCGACGGCGTCGCCAAGGGCGGCCGCCTCGGACCAAGTGGGGAGGCGCGTCTTTTCGTACCTGACCCAGCGCGCCCAGCCGGAAGCGGCCGCAGCCGCGTCGAAGGACCCAAATGCGAGCGTGATCTGCTCGAGGCAGACGGCGTGCATCTGGCAGGCCAGTACGCGGAGAGCGGGAATGTTGCGCACGCGCTTCTCGAGCTCGTGCAGGTGCGGCAGCAACGACTCCCATATCGACACGTCGCACACCTTGCGGTCGCGCATGCGCGCCTGGTTCAGCGAGTGGAACGACACCATGTAGGCGAGCACCATTTCAAAGTGCAGCGCATTCACGCGCCGCTCGTCGGACGCCGTCGTCTTGTTCCCCCGCTCCCGGTATATGTCGTCGCGCGTGTGCTTCAGCCGGCTGCCCAACTGCCGGTACGCCTCGTTCCGTTCCCGAAGAGACTCGACTGTGGGCCGCCCTTTTAGTGGCTCTGCGTTGTCCGAGCTCGTCGGCGGACGCTCCGAGGCCGCCGGCGTGAGGCCTGTCCAGTTCCCAGGCGTGTTCGACAGCGACTGATTCGACGTCACGCGCGACATGGCCGTGGCGCCCTGTTTGAGCGGCGTAGATGGGGCGGGCTTTGTTGCTAGCACGTCCGTCGCCAGCTTGCTCCGCTTAGAAGCAGCAGCTTCTGGTGGTGCGTCGTCCGCTCGCCGGGGGCGTTTCCTCGCCGGCGGCGGTGTGCCTTCCACGCTCATCGACCGCTCCTTCTTCAGCGCATCTTTAACTGCTTTAGACGGCAGACTCAAGAGATCCTTCAGTCTTTTGGCGTTTGCCTTCTTGAATCTCAACGTCACAACACGCGATGGCTTGCTGGGCTCTACCACCTCGGCGGCTTCGTCCTTTGGTTTTGTCTTCCTCGCTGTGGTCGTCGGCTCCGAACCTTGGCTGCTCGCCAAGCTTGGTGTCCCCAGGCGCGCGAGCTCTGCTTCGACAATTGGCGGAAGAGTAGGAGAAAGGAGCTCCGGTATTTTGAACGGAACCCTTGGCTTCTTCGCTGCCGGTTGGCTATCGGGCTTGTGTGACTTTGCAGGCCCTTTTTGTGCTGGTTTCTTCCGCGACCTCTCTTGTTCCTCCTGGTCGGCTCCAAACAACGAAGGGTGAAGCGGCGACAGCAGGACCGGGAGATACGACTTGGACAGTGACTCCCCCTTTCGAGGTGTTGATGTGCCGCTGTCAGAATGCGTTCTCGTCCCATTGACTTGTATTGTTGATTTCGGAGAAGCCGTGTCCCCCCTTTCCCTGTCGGCCGTCGAAGGGGCTAGCCCATTGGCAGTTGGGTGTAATGATTCGCTGCTCGCATCTTTGCGTGCTCTTTCCGCCACGCGGTCACGGCGGGGCGGTGTCTCGGCCTTTATCGGACGGCGGGGCAGTTCTTGTTTTGGGGGAGTGACTTCGCTTTTGGGTCGCTTCTGTGGAGGCAGACTCCCGTCTGTCTCTGCGCCCCTCTTACGGCTGCTCGCTTCGGGTTGCTGCGGCTTCGGTTGAGCAGTCCTGTCATTGGTGTCAGCCTCATGTCGATAACAGTTCGCGCCTGCAACACATACCTCTCGCCATTCTGCTCTGACCGCGGCTTCTCTAGCCGCGGGTCCTGGCGCGCCTCGAGCTTCTCTTTCGGCTTCACTTCCTCCGCCTTGGTATTCTCCGTAGCGGCCTTTTGGGGGAGGGCGCCATTTGGCCTGCTTTCTACCTTTGCTGGCAGTTCGTTGTCTTTGGGCGATAAAGATTTCTTCCTGTTCTGGTAGTCCTTGATAGATAGTTTTTTCTTGATCTCGCCTCTGGCGAGAACCTTGACAGGCATCAGTGGGTTGTCGCTTTCCTGGCAGACTTCATATGATGGCCGCGTTATCAGCACGCCGCGGCTCGCATCCGAGAGGTATGTCATGTACTGCAGGGGGCCGCTTGGGCCGGTGAACCAGAATCCTTCCGGTGTTGGGTATCTCTGGTCAAGCGACAATAAAAGATGGTGCGGGCGGTTGGGGAGCATGCGCTGGGCCACTTTGTCTGCATTCTTGGCCGCTCCATCCATCGTTCCATTCATTTCTGCGACATCGGATTCGCGCAAAGGGAGGGTCGTTCGCTCTTGTGGTCCCAATCGAATTGCACCGGCTAGAACCGAGCCGGGGAGAACAAGTAGCGACGTGAAATGAGGTTGGAAGTGCGCCGGGTGCCCGATGTCGACCGCCGTGTGTCCTTCGGGGACGGCTGAGTCTGGGCAGAGTAGCGGAAGCTACGCGCGCAGATGCAGGCAGGACGGCGCGTGTGAGGAAGGGAGACGAGGCAGCTCGATCGCGCAGCGCGGATCACCTGTCTGGCGGGCCCGTTAGCATCGCGTTCCAGGGTTTCGATGGATTGCGGCAGCGGCAGCGGCGAAGCTCCAGCACCGGGTTGCGGGGCAATTGGTATCGCAGCGCAAAGCTAAGAGAAGCCGAAGCCAGGCGGGCAGGTGGAGAGAGATGGGCGCGGGACGGCCCAGCGAGTAGCAGCAGTTATGCACTTACCCAAACAAAGAAAGTATGATGTCTCGAGACGATGGGGTGTGCGCGCCGTGGGCTGCAATCCACTTCACTTCGCAGCGGGTAGCGAGTCGCAGACCGGCTCGCGGCGTCAAAATGAGGGACCTTAGGGTGTCGGGTCTAGCTCTGTCCCAACCTCGGGGCAGCGACAGCGACCTTGACGACGCGGCCGAGCAGACACGAGCACATCTCCCAGGCGGCAAAATGTAGACCGTGCCCGCATGCGATGGCGACGGTGACGGTGAAGGCTGCCAGTCAATCGGGTCGAGGTTCGTCGCACGTGCGAAGTCGGTTTTGGCGCCTGGAAGTGGAAGGTGGCTCAGCGGTCGTCTGAGGCGCGGCGAGTCGGAGGCGGTGATGTGCAGCAGCAGCACCAGCAGCAGCAGCAGCAGGGCAGATGTGGTGGTGGTGGGTGCTGGGTGTGTTGCAGGGAGCCGAGGGTGGGATGACTGCCGTGGAGAGCGAAAGCTACGAAAGCTGGCAAGGTGACAGGGTCAAGGTTGTGCGTTGCCGTGGGTGTGGTGGTGTGGGCGTAGGCACCAGATCGGGCAGAGAGGATGAACCCACGGGCAGGCCCGCGCACAGCGTGCAATTAGGTGGGTCAAGATATTCCGGAACCTGGAAGTGCTGAAGGATGGAGAGGCCACGGATGCTCCGTGTGTACTGCCGTACCGTACCGTACCGTACCGTACCCGGCTTCTTTGCAACAGAACTAACGTAACTGCCTGAGGTACCGTGCCCCGTGTCGTGCCGTTGTACGGGTATTGTTGTTTTCTAAGTTGGCATTAAACCGTTTGACTCTTAATTCCACGCTGTTCTGTCTCTTCAACTTGTTCCTTGCTTCGGCAGGTGGCTAACGTGGGTGAATCTTGCCTGTTAATAGGTCGGGCTCAAATGGCCCGTCGTCATTCTAGTTCTACCTTTGCGAGGGATTCCGGGGGGTGGATCGCCTTTAGAAGAAGCTTTCTTACCTAGCCCAACCTCGAAAGCAACAGTCTAACCATGCAAATGGCATCTAGCTTTTCTGTGCTGCCTTTCAGGCATTGATGCCTTCAGCACGCAGCAAAAGACATTGCCCAATCATGCCTATGTGCAGTTCCAGAATTTTATCATAATATGTACAGAGCACTGAGCCGCATTTTCCCGCTCTGGGCCTTACATTTTCTTCTCCAAACCAGGTGAGTATGCGGCCAGTGCCTTGGCGGGCCCCGCCTTGAGACCTTTGACTTGGGCGGCCGTGTCAAGCAGCATGCGTCACCCGCGGAAAGGCACCCAATGTTGCGTGCACGTCATCAGAACCCTGGCTTAAGTAACAAACAAGGCTGGTGAGCCAGACTCCCCAACGCGTCGACACCGAGTTCAAGAGAATGACTCAAATGCTCACGCCGTTGCGGGCCAATTTGTGTGTCCTGCTTCGCCTTCCTCAGCAATTAGACAACGAGTATACCTAGCTAGGTATTTATTTATTATCCCCGACCAATGACTCCAACAGCAACCAAACACCCGCCCCCTTTTGCCCAACTACCTCCTTTTCCTGCACTCTAATGACAGATAGGACTAGCGAACAGGGTATCTCTATATTTTTACCTGGACTCAACCATGTGCCCATACATGCGTCATCCACAAGCCTTCAGCATCTGACGATACAAAAAAATCAGCAATCGACTATCCATCGTCGCTAGCATAGATGACGGCGCCATTAGCGCTCGAGTCGACTCGTCTTCTTTTATGCCCCTGTCTAGCCAGATCCTCGACTTGTCTGCCCCATTCCTTCGAACCCCCGTTTTGTTGCGAATCGGATTTCGTCTTAACCGAGCCGGCAAGGCCCGTGAGGTCGGTAGCTAGCTTCTCCTGGTCTTTTTCAATCTTGAGCAGTTTCGCTTTTATTCCGCCAACATCGATCTCCTGAACCTGCTTGGATAGGCTACCAATGTCGGCCATCATCTGGCTCGGCGTGGAGTAGACATGCTCCAGTTGTCTGATGATATGCTCAGCGAGCGCCTTAGTCGACAGATTGCTATATTGCGAGTCCAACACCGTGATTTGATGTGTGAGAAACTTGGTAGTCTCCGTACTGTCCTCGGTGACCCTCTTGACGGCCCTGTTCGCTTCCTCTAGTCGGTCAAATATCACCTTGATTTCTTTGGCAAGCCTATTTGCCTCGGCTTTCAGTGAATCGATTTCCGGGGCAGTCAAGACAGGGGCCATGGCCTTTTCCAGCACCTTAATCCGTAAATCATAGCCTTCGGTCACGTTCCTCTGGTCATCTATCATGCCTCCAATCCTGGCCATCATTTCGTCCTGGAATGTTTTGACCTTGTTCATAAACTGCGCCTGATCACTCAGTCCCAAGGCGGGTGCTGGTGCGGGTGCTAGTGCGGGTGGCAGGTCCGGTTTGAGACTAAAAGTTCGGATCGCTTTCGTAATGTTGCCGATGTCAGCCTGGAGCTGTCCTACATGCCCTTGAAGCTCGGGCCACTGGAAAGAAAATGTCTCGGCAACAGTATCCAGGACCGCAAAATCGACGTTGTCTAGTTTGTTCTGTTGATTGGAGAGTATTTGGTTTTGCTCCTCAAGTTGTCTCTGGAAAGAGGACACGGCATTCTGCAGGTTCTGGTCTTCTTGTTGACGCTGGGATAAACGCCCGTCAAGCTCGCCGACCCTCCGCGATAGGGAATTATTACTAGATTCGTATTTCTGGCGTAATGCGGAAATCTCGGCAACTATCGGTGCCGTATCTGGGATTTTTGTCTCTTGCAGATGCTTGTCAAACTTTAACTGCTCGCTCAGGAGCAGTTTAATTGTCTCAGTTTGCGCTTGAGCATCGCTCCGTATTTTCTGCATCTCAGACTGAAAACTCTGCGTGATTTCGGACTTAAAATTTTCGAGTTCTTGTTGATGCTGTTGCTTGAGGCTTTGTATCTGAGCTTGGAGCTCCTCCTTCGCCTTGTTCGCCTTTTCTTCGCGGTCGTTGAGTGTAGTCTTGAGAGACTCTAACTCGCGGGCAAACTCATTGTTCCGACTTTCGATTTGGGGGTCCTTGGGGGTTGCTTTTGTCTCACCCACGTGGCCCTCTCGTAGTGCGTGCAATACTCGAGATGACAACTTCTCTAGTAATCTCTCCTTTTGCTCCCAAGTCTTCCGCAAATCCACATCCACCTCATCACGTTGCTGTTTGTCTCGTAGTCTGAACCGACTCTGTAGTTCGGGAATGGAAGGGAACTCGGTATGCTTGGACATAGTTCTTTGGTGCTCGATCCGTCTTTGGGCCAAGATGGAATCGAGCTTTTCCCGATCAGAACTGAGCCGGACCTCTTCCACGACGAGTGTGGTCAGTTCCTTAAATATATCGGTTATTGTCCTCACTGGACTCCCGCCCTCAGCCTGTACCGGGGATTGTGTCATCGGAGAAGCTAAAAAAGTTGAGTCAGAATCCGAAACAAATATAAAGGTTTTAACGAGAAACTAGAACTAGGAGGATATACATGACTTGGCGCCATGGTCTGGTCGCAGACGGCTGGCGCTGGTGTCGATTTTGGCAACATAGGTCGCAGGAAGTTTCGGGGGCAGGTGGGGAGGCGGAAGAGATGTAGGATCGCGTTCACGGTCGCGTTCCCGATCCCGATCGCCCCAACGACTCCGATCCCGATCTCGATCCTTATCGCTTTCCCGCGGAGAGCCGTCGGGTTCCCAGGCAGAGGGCCGGTCGTCTACTCGATAACTCTCACGGCGGCGGTCGAGGCGGTCGGGACGGTCGGAGCGATTGCGGTAGTCGGGAGGGCGGCGATCGTCGCCGCTTGGACGGCGCCCGTACGCGTCAATCGAGCGGTTGTACGACATGACGATCTTCGAGTCAGCCCGGTGGCCACGGTCAAAAAGATCGTCTTCCTAAAGGCGACGACTACGCGTCAATCAGGCACGACACTCCCCCGAGAGCCAAGCCAAACTGTCATGGAGATCTGAAATGCGGGCCGTCAGTTGGGCTGGCGCCCAAATCCTCGGTTGGGATGGTAGGCTGAGGGACAGGGCGTTCCGGGGAATATATGGGATGTGCAATGGGAGACAGTGAGCACCGCGAGAATTACGCTGTGGTCCACGACGCCTCAATGTGCTGCCGCAATCCAGAGGGTTTGTGCAGCGTTTCCCGGCGCGTCGTCAATTCACCCCTGTCTGAACCTGAAATTCTGCCCCGCAACCAACACACGGGTAGGTGGGTACACGTTGAACTCTATCAGGACGTCCGGAAGCAGTAGAAGAAGCGTGTGCCGTCAAATTAATCGCAGTAGGCGATGGGGTTTTGAGTTCTTATAATGGCCCAAAGTTTTGGCTGTTTTAGGGGGGGAGGGAACTCTTTTAAATGGAGGAGGGATTTTAGCTCACTTGCTAGTGACTTGCACCCAGGCACCTTCAGTGACTTCATTGGGTGTCAGGCACCTGCCCTCCGTTTGTGATTGGCCAGGATGGCTCTTCCCCTGTACTGTGTGAAGGAATCGGGTTCACGCAACCATTCGAAAAAGTGGATGTCAATCTCCAAGTTTGTACGTCCCCAAAAAATCTTACCAACCCAAATTCTTTATTCACACCTTCCCATACTCCGTATATACCGTACACAGCGGAGCTTCTGGAATTTTTATTGATTTTAAAAAAATTTCCGCCCCCTTGCATGTTTATCTTCTTGATCTGAACTCTACACACTGTGTACACACAGTGTGCAAGAGCAAAGTCGAGCGTGTGGAGGCAGGAGAAGCTCGAGCTCGGACCAACCCGGCCGTAAAGGTGCCTGCTATGTCACACCACGCTCCCGTGCCAACCCCCCAGTGCATTTCTTGTGAAAACGTTTCAAACCATTGAAGCCTCCTAACCAAGCCGGCTCGGTTCTATTGGAACCCCCAAAATCGAATCGGGGGCTCTGTGGTTTTTTCGTGGTCTAGATCACCCAAGTGGGAGGAACTTTGTTCATGAATGGCCTATCTAATAAATCTTCAGTCTTCTCTGAATATCTTTTTCTAGTCGTTTTCTTAGTACTAGACATATTTATATTGCAATAGACGATATCGTAGTCACAGGATCCCGTATGATCAGACTGGGTTTAAGTCTAGTCGTATCTGAGTAGCTTCGAGCATGTCTGGAAGGATCTAATTAACAAGCAAGTAAAGAAAGCCACGCGGCAGAGCACGGTTCACGTAAGGACGTAACGAGTCAAGATACAATTGCCGGCATGTTATGCGCTTTCTTTATACGTATTCGCTCTCTGCTCTAGGCCCCATAAAACCACGACATATTCGATTGCCGAAAGGCGTCACGTAGTGAAGCCATATTTGCTTTCTTTTAACCTCTTTTTCTATTGCAACAGAGACGGTCGCCTTGGAATGCACTTTTCTCTTCTAGGCCTATAGCTTGCATTAGTTGACTCTGTATTGAATGAGTGCATACGGTATCTTAGCACACAATTCTCATTCTCCAAGGCGGTTCATGACGTCATCACACGTTTGAGCAAATCTGTAATTCGTGGCCGCACAGTGTCTTCATAACATGTCAGTTAGCTATACGGTCTAGCCGGACAAAACTTTACAATCTCTACCTGTTTCAGCTCTCTAGAGGTACCAGGGGACTTTTATCGAGGTATGGCGGTTGTTTGTGCACTCGAAGCCGGTTGTGTTTGAATTTAGTTGAATGAAAGCCCTAGTTTCTGGGTACTCCTTAGCATTTCACTAGTCATGTCTTTTAATTACCAACACTACGGACAGTCCCTTCATTCTTGTCTCATATTATGTATGAGAGGAACATTCAAGATTGTAGCCACTTCCAAGCTTGCGCCGTTTGAATTGAGGAGTAAGAGGAAACTCTGGCCTTGGGAAGCAGCAGAAATTGAATCTGAGTGAGGGCGGTGCAGTTCAGTGACAGAAGTTCTCAAAAAGAGGAATAAACTCAGGCATCTTAAGCTGCTATTCAGCTTCATCTAAACCCAGGTTTTCAAGAAAAGGGCACCTGCAAGCCATCTTCCCTCTCTCGCCACGGCTCAATTGCAGAACTGATCTGATTTGGTCAGTGGTTAAATGGCAGTTTTCCAACCGAGATTCGGGAGTTGTAAGTCTGGCAGCTGGGGTTGGAATGAATCCGGCGATATGATTGGGTGGAGTGTAAGTGGGGCGGCAGGAAGCGAACAGTGGGACGGAAACCCGACCGACAGGCGGCGGGAGCCAGAGAGGCGCAGAGAAACCATCAGCCTCGCGAAGACGAGTGCTCACCTCGGACCCTGCCCTCGCCCAGACAACACCCAAACTCACCAAACACCCCAAAAGGACCGACCCGCCGACAAAGCGCGCAAGATGGCAGCTGTAGGTCACCGATTAAACCCTCCCCCCCCCCAAAGGCAATGAATGGCAATGAGACGATGCTGACGAGATAACCTCTGCGATGCAGCAAGTCGTAACCGTTGGCGAGAGCACCGAGCTCCGCGGTCTCAACCTGATTGCCGCCCACTCGCACATCCGCGGCCTGGGCGTCGACCCCGACACCCTCGAGCCCAAGGCCGCCTCCCAGGGGCTCGTAGGCCAGGAGAAGGCGCGCAAGGCTGCCGCCGTCATACTGGAGATGATCAAGCAGGGCAAGATTGCCGGTCGCGCCGTCCTGATCGCGGGTCCTCCCAGGTGCGTTTGTAGCTCTCGAGCCGTTCGCATGCTTGTATGCCTTGCGTAATCGCGCGTTGTTGACTTGTTCCCGCCACTCTCCAGCACCGGAAAGACGGCGCTTGCCATGGCCATGGCCCAGTCCCTAGGCACCGACGTCCCCTTCACCACCCTCGCCGCGTCCGAGATCTTCTCTCTTGAGATGTCCAAGACGGAGGCGCTCACACAGGCCTTCCGCAAGTCAATTGGCGTGCGGATCAAGGAGGAGAGCGAGATTATGGAGGGCGAGGTCGTCGAGATCCAGATTGACCGCAGCGTCACGGGCGGCGCCAAGCAGGGCAAGCTCACCATCAAGACAACCGACATGGAGGCTATCTACGATATGGGTAGCAAGATGATTGATGCTATGACAAAGGAACGCGTGATGGCGGGTGACATTATCTCGATAGACAAGTCATCTGGAAAAATCACCAAGCTCGGCCGGTCGTATGCGCGATCCCGCGACTACGACGCCATGGGCGTCGACACAAAGTTTCTGCAGTGCCCAGACGGCGAGCTGCAGAAGCGCAAGGAAGTCGTCCACACAGTGACACTCCACGAGATCGATGTCATCAACTCGAGGACCCAAGGCTTTTTGGCCCTCTTCTCGGGCGACACTGGCGAGATTCGGAGCGAGATTCGCGACCAGATCAACACCAAGGTCGGCGAGTGGAAGGAGGAGGGCAAGGCCGAGATTGTGCCCGGCGTCTTGTTCATTGACGAGGTTCACATGCTCGACATCGAGTGCTTCTCCTACGTCAACAGGGCGCTCGAGTCGGACCTGGCCCCCGTGGTTATCATGGCTAGCAACAGGGGTGTCTCACGCATCCGGGGAACCGACTACAAGAGCCCCCACGGGCTGCCGCTGGATTTCTTGGACCGCGTGTCCATCATCAACACGCACTCGTACACGCCCGACGAGATCCGCCAGATCCTCTCGATCCGCGCGCAGGAGGAGGAGGTGGAGCTGTCGCCGGACGCGCTGGCCCTGCTGGCCAAGATCGGCCAGGAGGCCGGGCTCCGCTACGCGAGCAATCTCATCACAACGTCGCAGCTGATCTCCGCCAAGAGGAAGGCCAAGCAGGTCAGCATCGAGGACGTGCAGCGGAGCTTCAAGCTCTTCTACGACCCCGCCCGCAGCGTCAATTTCGTGGGCGAGTCAGAAAAGCGCCTCATCGGCAACGACGGGGCCGTCGACTTTGTCACGAACGGCCACGCCGCCGAGACCATGGATACAAGTTAGATCATTCGCAGGGAATAGAAATCGGTGGCTATGTGGGCGTTCTATGGTGGGGGGGCGGGGGCGGGAAAAATCATGTCTTTTTTTTCTTGTTTGTATTTCTCTCTCTTTCTTTAAAGAGGAGAGAGATAATTTTGGGGAAACTAACTTATTCATGTATGTACAGCACGGCGCAGTCCTGCGTTAATGGCCCTGGCGATGAAACCGAATCCAAGCTTCTGACATTTTTTAGTCTAGTTTGCGCCGTGCGCTGAGCGCCATGCGGCATAAATGAGTGCCACAACATGGATTAGATACACACATCCGCCTGAAAAGAATTTTCTAGATATTGATGGGTGCTGTGGCGTCCCTAAGCTCGAGAAGTTCAACTACCTTGCGTACCTCGCTGACAACGTCACAAACAGAGTCGCGCCGTCAACAACGAGGCTTGTCAGCATTGTTGGCAGCGGCGGATTCCCAACCTAGTTCCCTGCCCGTCCAGGGTATCGCTGTCTCCTTGGAACCAATGCTGTTTGCATTGTATTTCATTGCAGCGACCGACACGGCAGAGAACAGACTCTACTGGGTTCGTGCCGCTAAAGGCATCAGGTTTGAATATAGTCAGACATTGCACTGCCAGTCTGCTAGTGAGTCGTGTGTGTATGGTACGTAATCACAGTGTATATGCGGTTTGGCGTCAGACAGTTCTAGAAGGGCGCTGGGTATCGACGTAAGCGTTTTCACCGCCGACTTGCTTTGGGCTTAGTCGTGGAGTTACTTATGATGTGTATAGGTAAGTTAAAGTACTTGGCTGCGCCGCCAGGCTGAACTCTAGTGATTCAGTAACTGGATATCGACACGAGTAGTTAGGGTAGGTAACCCTCCGGTATCTAACTTGCATTACGCCTCCCGTAGGGAAGCGAGTATCTTGTTTGTAACCATATTTTCTTTCTGCCCCTACATTAGAACCCGACATTTGTCTTGAGGAAAATATATATACTAAATCTGTTTTGTGTCTCCAGATGGCCGCAAGCTGACATACTACAGCCGGTCATGGCATGGTATGCATCTTTCGTCGATCGATGATTATGGTTTTAACACGCTTCAGAAGAGAACTCTCTCCATCTTGCAGCCGCTGCCCTGACCACCAACTCCGCTCCTCACCTGCCTCGGGCGTCGCGGCCCTCCTTCGCGGCCCCCGCGTTCACGTCGGTCGAACGCAAGGCCGGCCAGTCAGCGCATAGCATGGCGTATAGTGATACCTAAGTACTGGGAGAAGGCATGTATGTACACGTTCGATTGGTGAACTTGTCAGCTGGCTCTCCGGGCGCGAGCTTTCAGCTTCCTTCTCCAGGATCGTGGTGACGGGGAGTCGCCGTTACCTTGGCGGACATAAAGCGGGCGGCCCGGGAAGGATTCGAAGTCCGGGTATGGAGGGCCGTCCGGTTTATTAGTGGACGTGGAGCTGGTCGCTATCACAGTCGGAGACATTGTTCGATCTATTGGTATCGAGATAGACTCCTTAGTCTATTGACATCCTTGTGTAGGGCGCGAAGGATATTCCATTCGCTCTGATTAGAACCGGAAGTATCGATCTCGAGCTCTTCACAGCTACGGCCGACGAAAAACAAGCCGGATACGTCATGATTCCCGACCCACCGCCCTAAGGCTGGGAAATGCGGTAGCTGTTGTCCTAGACGTCGTTGCCGCCCCCTCCCCCCCCGGAGCGATATTTCCGAAATTATGACAAGCACCTAGCGATTTTTTCAAGCTTCCCGGCCAACCCTTTCAAGCTTCGTTGACTATCTTGAAACTTAAAGTGCATAGTCTTGTCGAATGTTATGACGAGCACGGGTGAAGGTGTAGTTTTCACTGCAAAAACGGAATCACTTGAGGAAGACTTTCAGAGGAAACCCGTCAACGTCAACGAGTTTCAAGCGGGTATAGAGCAATAGACTACCTACGTTGACAACTTCAACTCTCCACCCTCCTAGCTAGGCTCGCGCCTTACAGAAAGCACGCTTGGCCCACCTTCTCTGGCAAGAAGAGAGAGTCTGCCTGGGACTACCTCGAGGTCAAAGACGATAGCAAGGTCGATGCCTCTACAACTTGGCTACAGGCTGTTAAATAGGAGTTAGCAGAAATCAGGCAAGGCAAAACATTCGGGAAGAGGGTGCCTGACACCTCATTCAGACGCATTTGCCCGCGACCAACTCATCCCATGCATCGGTAGGCGCCTCAAACTAGTTACCACTGCCTGTGCTAGATTCCCCGGACGGAACTGTCGACAAGCTGCTACGGGCCAGAGGCATTCAAATGCTGGTAGTAGTTTAGACAAGGCACTACATGCTCAGACTTTACGCCTGATACTAGCTCGGAGGATACGGGCTACGAGGACGAAGACTCCTAGAACGGCAGCCCAAAAAGCCTAGCGGCGAACCAAACTAGGCTAGATCTTGCCTAAGCAGACACCCCCGGACTTTTAGAATAGTAGCCGCCCAGATAAATCACTTACCTACATCATCCAGGTTGTTTTACTAGCCGTCCAAATGCTTAGTCCCCCCCTCTTTCCCTTATGTACACGGCGGGACTCATTAACTGAATAAGCCCGTCCAGTACAGTTCCTTCTCGGCATTATCCATACTTCAATGCAGCCGTGTAATATTCCCCCCGATATATTAGTATTAGTCGCGATCAGTTTGGAGATGTTTATAGTAGGAGCTTACGGGTGAAGCCCTATTCACAAACTCCATTACCGACCGAAAAGAAAAAGGACGTCGGCAAAGGGGACCGCCGCCGCGTGGCACTTATATTCAACGAACCCGGGGGCTTCCCCGAGCCGACTACTCCCCACAGGTGAGGAGGAGGGTTTGGTGATTACAGAACGATCAAAGCCCTTGTCGATGCCGGTCTGGTGCAGAAGACTATATATCTGCCTGCCTGCCTGCCTGCCTGCCTGCCTGCCGTCCGACGAAGCTCACGCTAGATCGGACAACTTTGCCCTCGCAATTGTTTCAATCTGTACAAGCTCGGCTTGGGATCCTGGGCATCCTTCATACCCATTCCTCGGGCAAGCCAATCGGCGAGGGATGTATCGGCTAGCGCCCGATGGTTACCGTAGTCGGTGTAATGATAGGAAGGGGGGGGGGGGGGGGCGAATAGCCCCAGCTCCCGGGCAGCGGAGACGGCGGGTCTCACGCGCGCGGGCAAATTCTGCATCCAAGTGACTGTGCTGGCTATCGATCTCATCGTCGTCATCACAGGCGTTGTCCAGGCTGACGGTGGTGATTCTCTTGTGCACATCTTCGTAGGATAGCTAGGTCTAGCAACCTATTGTAGTTGAGGTTCACGGAAGGACAACCACAGTCTGGCCTTTGCGTTTGACTTCTTCAGTTATTGGGTCGGGTTATACAAGTTGTTAGAATGACAAAGTCATTCGTGCTAGTCACTATAGTAACCGCTGCGAAAGGGTGGGGTGGTTGTGTTACTCGTATTCTTTTATGTCTACCAAAAGGATCACGAACTACGGGGACACGAAGGCGCTCAGTCAGGTGCCCCGCGGTCACGTCCTGCACCACGTGTTGGGCTGGTGTGGCCCGTGCGCTGACCTGATTGATCGGTAATTCCCACACAAGTGGCAAAAACTGGAGGGGATTATGTGTAAGGGTGAGTTTGAGGTTGGTTTTAAATTCATTACTGACTTTTTTGATGATTTGCCGTCTATCTAGGGATATGATCCTCCATCTAGGCTTCATTAATGTTCTATACATAGGCACCTAGGCATCTAGGCAAAACTGGTGCCCTTTCCAGTAAACTTTAGCATTGTAAATAACTTGAAGTTTTGGGGTTTCAACTTTCTTTACAGCACCCTATCAAGGGATTATCATCACATACATTATTTACAACGAGGGCGTGCTTTCATTACTCACAGCCCTCTTAAAGTGAAGCATATCCGCTACATCATACAAACGTTGCAACCCTTGTCCAGCCGTGCTCGTCGCCGGCATGGCGGAACTCGACGCCTTCGGCAAAATAGCCGGCGTCCTGCCAAGCTTTCATCGTCTTGCCATCAAATGGCCCTTGCTTGTCGGCGTCGTCGCGGCCGTCCACCCACCGGAACTCCCACGTCTTAGTCACCAGCCCCTCGGCCTCTTCGTCTTCCTGGGCGGGCTCGACCCAGTCCTCGCCCGTCTCGGTATGGTAGTCCCGCACGAGCCGCTCCCTCTCCGTGTCGTAGATGCTACGGTAGTCCCGCTGCAGGAGCTTGTCCGCGGCATCTGTGATGGCCTCGATGACTTGCGTGATCTTGACGTCTTTGGGGTCCTTTTCCTTGGCCATGTCAACATCCATGGCATCGCTACCCGTCTTCTTCATTTTCTTCAACTTCCAGCTCGGTACCTTCTTGAACTTTGTCTTGGCCTTGCCTAGCCGGGCCAGGGCCTCGAGCACCGTCTCGCCACGCTCCAGCCGCAGTATGAGCGCCTTCAGCAGATCCGACGTCAAAATGCTGTCGTCCTGGCGCTGTTTTTCGCGCATCTCGGCGTCGCGCTTCTCTCGCGCGGCCGCCGCTTTCTTCATGTCCTTCTTGCTAATGTCGTCCAGCCAGCGGTCGTGCACCGAGTCCGCGTCAATGGCCTTGCGGATGTAGTTTCCTGCATCATCGAACGCGCCTTCCTCCTGCTCCTGTCGCATGTTGAAGGCGTCTATCTTGGGTGCGTGTTTCTTAAGCCCTCCGAGACCGACTTCTTCATCTATGCCCTCCTCGGCAATGGCCGCGTCGATGTCGGCATCATCGTCGTCGTCGTCGTCAGAGCTCTCATTGTCGTCCATAGCGTAAGCACTGAGATTACCGTCTAATCGAATCCTGCCGCCGCTCTTGCTCTTGGCTTCTTGGCCCTCGATTTCGTCATCGGCAAGGAAACGGACGTCTTTGTTCTTCTTGCCTGCGGTTTTGCCGGGAGCCTTGCTGTTGGCTGCGTCGTCATCGTTATCTTCCCCAAACATATCGATTTCATCATCATCACCTTCGACATTATCGCCTAGAACATCAGACGAGTTATAACTGTCCATGGCTTTGGCCAGGTCCACGTCGTCGGCATCTACGCCCTTCTTCTTGCTCTTGCGCTCCTCAGCCCGGGCATTGAAGAACTCATTTTCCGAGTCTGAGTCATAGCCATCAATGTTGATGGCACCGCGTTTCGTAGCACGACCAGTTGTGCCAATGACATCTGCGGCAAGGAGGTCCTCATTGTCGTCCGAGTCCGAGTCTCGCGCGGTCGGTGCTAGCGCTGACGGGTTCCGCACGTCAAATCTCACTTTCTTGCTGCCGCCGGCTGTGTCGTCATCCTCTCTATGGTGCACCCGTGCAAATTCCTCGCCAGCCCTCTTAGGACGCGCTGCTGAGAATCGGGATGCCATGTCGCGAGATGCTTTGTGAAATCTGAACCGATTGGGCTGAGCCTGCAACTGTAATCCAGGCAGGCTCCCGTCACGTGCTCGTGATGCAGGCACCCAATATCTCACAGAAAATCCCCGGAAACAAACAAGCTGCCAGATGTCGACCGAGAATGGTTACAAGGAATCGCTTTCGTATGAAGTGTTGGAGTGAAGACGAAGGTGAAAGTGAAGGGGCGAGCCGGTATGGAGACGGCTGTAACAGTCCTCGTTCATACATGGCGGGGCTCCATCGTACCTTAGCCCGGTAATTTTGGGCTTCAGCTTTAGTCCCAGACAAACTAACTGGTTTGAGGCCGCGCCACAGCACACCTATTAGCCACAATTTACCCCGCCGCCCTGCGTGGGCTTAGGCGGCCAGGTACCTAAAGAACGTAGTCGAGTTGGAGTTATGTCATCCGCTGGTGCCTTCCCACCTCGCCCAAAGCTTCCAGCTTCTCGTCATTAACTAAACAAGCTTTGCTGAGCACCCATTTTCACTCTTGTGTCCTACGAAACGTTACAAACGTGACAGCACGCTGGTGATCGCATAAAACTTCGACACCGACGATCGCCGCAGCCGCAGCGAACATATCCTCAAGATGGCAGGCTATCCTTTCCTGGCGGGCCAGAGGGGAATAACCAGCAGCTAATGTTGTTGTGACCGCAGTTTGACCCCAGCAACCCAGACCATTTGTACCAAATGTCTCGTGGAGGCATGGGTCGCCCTCGAGCTACCCAGCGCTTCGATGAATACTACCGCTGCTACCCTCTGGCCATGGCACCCGGAGCGGAGCGGCCGGAGCTCAACTACGGCTCAAAGATCTTCCTCCCGCCTTCAGCCCTCGACAAGGTGTCACGGTTGCACGTCCAGTGGCCAATAATGTTGGAGCTCTTCAACGGGGAGAAGGGAAAGCACACACACGGCGGTGTCCTGGAGTTTGTGGCCGAAGAAGGAAGGGCCTACGTTCCGTACTGGGTATGCTTGCGCACGTGTTGCACGTCATGACTGTGGTCTTGTCTGGTTCTAACTGGCCTGCAGATGATGAAAAGCCTCGAGCTCGAAGTCGGCGATATGATCCAGATCAGGACAACCTCCCTGGAGCTAGCGAAGCTGGTAAAGCTTCAGCCTCAGTCTACCAACTTCCTCGACATCAGCGATCCTCGCGCCGTTCTCGAAAAGGCATTCCGCAACTTCGCAGCGCTAACCAAGGGCGATGTGTTCAATTTCGAATACAATGACGAAGTCTACTACATGGCGGTTTTAGATGTGAAGCCTGAGACTGACAAGATGGGCGTCAGTATGATAGAGACGGATGTTAGCGTCGACTTTGCACCGCCCGTTGGCTACGTGGAGCCCGAGAAACAACCTCGCGGAAGCGGCACGAGCACACCTCGTAGCGCGCGCGGAGGGGGTTTCGGTCCTGGCGTACCTGTCGGCGGTCTGATGCACAACCAAGGCACCATGGCACAAGCAATCAACTACGATGCCATAGCTCCAAGTTCAATGCTGGGGTCGGCTGGCAACTTTTTAGGAGAGGGTTTGCGTCTTAAGAGTAGCAAGGCATCAACACCCAAGCCTGCGACCCCCGTGGCGGGAACATCGACCAATGTCGGTGGCGACTTTGGGTTGTTGCTAAAACGGCGGAGTGGCCCGCAGCCGCTTCGGCTACCCCCGAACAAGCTCTTTTTAGGCTACGAAATCAAGCCTGTTAAGACTGCGGCCGATAAGGAACAGGAAGCGGCAAATGCTCTGCAGCCGCACTTTGCCGGGCAAGGCCAAACACTGAGAGGGGTAGTTAGGAGAAAGGGTGATGACGAGGATAAAACACCAGAGAGGCCAGAAAAGCAAGAAAAGAAGCCGCAAGACAGCAAAGGAAGAAGGCTGGATGGGCGGAACGTTTGATAGCTGCTACGATTTGGAGGGGCTCGCTCCAGGTGGATGGCGTTGTTAATTTAAGGCGTTTGGGACTGAAGGGGCTTATCGGGAAATGATAACACTACGACGGAAGGTAGACAGATATCTAGTTGGCGAAAGCGAAACATGTCGGGCTGGGCTGTATTTGGGCCGCCTAGCTGTTAAGTCGGCGTCTCTTGAGTTCGTTATTGGGAAATCTTGATACGTGATACAGTGCCAGTGCTTGCTCAAGTTGTTGGCAAGACAGACAAGCGCCATGCAACTGCGCGGATCTCAGCCTATAAAGAGGTAGGTTGTCATATTTGCACAACCAGCACAGTCCGTTTAACTTGAAGCCTTGCCATGGACTCGGGGCTTTCGGCTTACGAGTTCCAAGTCCCGTGCTTTGCTACTCAGTAAAAACTAATACATGCTCAGAGAAATGAAATCTCCAGAGCAAGATATAAAATTTTAGTGCCATAGATAATATGGGAAAATGGCCCTTTTCCCGTGAAATCTTCTTTTTCCGGTCATTTAAAACTCCCGTCTTCTAGGTTTGACGGGCGAAAGACGAACGACGAAAAATACAACTTGGATTGTGGGAGTACGACAAAGCAATGGGACGGCCCCAAAACTCAAAGCAAGCAAGCACGAGAGCTAGTGCGAAGTGGGGCAGACCGGGTAAACTCCGGCTCTGTTTTGGCAGGTGGGATGCAGCCGCCCGTGCAAGGTTTGAATAGCCAGGCGGACCAGGATAGAAGCTCTATTGTGGTGCTCCCCCCACCATCATCGGCCCTCTTTCAATCAACTTCGAGGTTGTGGTTCCGCTGCGACAACACTTTCTGTTGCCCGCTCCTTTCGCAAGCAACGCCTCGCGGTGGTTTTCACACGGAGAACAAAAAGGGAAAAGGTTCTATATACGTCCAACCGATTTTGAATGGTGCAGCCAGGGTGCTGTCATGACCATCCACGGCGAGTCGACGACGAATTTCGTCTCGACTGAGCACCGTCGATCGCTTCGGCCACGCCAAGCACCCGGGGCCCGGGGTGCTGCAGCGGGTGGTGAGACCGCGCCCCGCGCCGCAATTAAGGCTGGCGGCCGGGTCACGCGAAGCAGTGCTGGGGCTGCTGTGCCAATCGAGGCCCTTTCGGTCCAGGGCAACTCCGCACCGCCACCTCGCCCAAGTCCAACACCACCCCGTGCAAGCGCCAATCGTCTCTTAAAGCGGAGACGGCATCAGTCGGGATTTTACGACGAAGACTCCGACAGTGAGGAAGACCTCGACATCGGCGACCCCGATCTGGATCTAGATCTAGATGATGAAGATTCGGAGTTTTCCGCATTGGTGCAGCCGATATCCAGCGCTCGCGACAATGGTGCGAACGAGGCTCCCAGGGCATTGAGATCGAGGGCTCGTCCTTCGCCAGCAAAGAGAAGACATACGGCAGCTCCGGCAGCTCGGAACCGGCGCCATGTTGCACGCCCCGTCAAGCGCGTGGTGGGGAAATCGAGACCCGCACCCCAGCCCGATACCCTTCTCCTTCCCCAGACGGTGCCAAACCCCGAAAATGCCGTCATCCCGGACTGGGCAAGCCTTCCCTACCATGTATGGGTCCAGATCTTCCAACTTGCCTTTGCAGCCCTGGAGAGCGGCAGCATCCAAAACGCTGTAAACTGGCTTCTGTCGACCAGTCGTATCGCCCGTGCAGTGGCCGAGCCGGCCCTGACCGTTTTGTACTATTCCCCCCCACTTCTCACGAGACCCATGGCACACAAATTGGTGTCGCATCTGTCCAAAGACCCATCGACGACTATGTTCAACTACCGGCCAAAAGTGAAAAAGCTCTCGATTGATGTCGAAGAGCTTGCGGCAAAAACGTATTCCGGCAGCCCTCTGGATTTAAAATCGACGATCGGCCGTCTCCCTCAACTAAAAGTCATTGACTTCCATCACCGAAAAGACGAGGCGCCTTACCGCTGTCTTGATGAAAACCTTCGATGGCACTATCCCGCCGGCCTTTTCGAGGCCTTAGATGTGGAGGAGGCTGAGTTTGATATGCATGTCCCCAGGCTCGCTGGTTGGCGATGGAACCGCCGAATGATGGGCCAGGAGTTGGATCTTGCCAAGATCAAAACACTCCACATGTTGCCATCATTCAGACACTTGAAGAGACTCTCTCTTGTCAATTACCAAATCCCGTCGCTCCATGGTACAACGAAAGAGGACGACGAGGAAGCCATTACGCGGGACCAGGCGTACATCCAGAGCGTGGCTGATGCCATCTCTGTGCTTCCCGACTTGGAATACCTCTCGATCGAAACATCGACTGTCGTAACGGACGACTTCCTTCTTCTTTTGCCCAAAACTCTTCGGACCTTGTCGCTGATTAACTGCTGGGAGGTAACTGGACCCGGTTTTGCCACCTATCTGGTCTCGCACGGCCAAGCACTCCAAAACTTGACTCTGAATCACTGCCAGTCTCTCGACTTGTCGTTCTTGGCGGTTCTTGGTTCAGCCTGCCCAAACTTGCAGAATCTATGTGCGGATCTGAAATACTACAACCATCACGAGTATTACAATGATTCGGACCCCCTCTACAAAGATGTTCTGACGGTCGACCAAATTCCCGATTGGCCCGCGACTTTGGAGCTAATAGATCTGAGAAACATGAGAAAGTGGTCGGCTGAAGCTGCCGAAGTCTTTTTCCAGTCACTGGTAGACAGCGCAGCTAAGTTATTGAGCCTGCGGGCTCTTCACCTGAAGGCCATGTTGGACATTCCCATCCGCCAGCGCTCAGCAATTCGCGACAAATGGGATGCGAGGCTCAAGGAGGTTTTCCTGCGCAAAAAGACAGATCCTCTGCCTTTATTTTCTCTGCGCGACGGGCCTGTCGACGAGGAAGTCAGCCCACTACCCAAGTCGCACAGGATGGCGGTCGGAAGCCCGTCAAGACGAAGCACTCGTATCGTCGCCCAGCTGTCAAACCCATCTTCTCGCGCCAGTAGCGTTGGCCGGGATTTGAGAATTTGGCGCGCTCGGCCGTCGTATGCAGAGCCTAACACTGACGACGAGGACCTGGAAGCCGAGCCCGATGGGGCAGACTATTCCACGTCAAGCGACGAAGGCGATGCTCGCTCACCCACAACTACGACCGATGGGTTTATCCAGGGCTTGTGCGACACCGTCGAGATTCAGCTCGACAATCAAAAACTCACAGAGAGGATTTATGACATGAACGACTTCATGGATGAGAGCAACTCGGACGATTCGGCAGACGAAGACTATGGGAGCTAGAAGCGTCGACGCTCTACAAACGTGAGCTACCACCGCCAGGCCTCGCTTGTTTCGAACGGGAGACCAAGAAAGATACTAGAAAAGGCTGGACTAATTATTGGTTATAACAGACCCTCACTTTACTATGCCCTCGACCGGCTACCAGCCAATGATAGGCAACTACCTCCAGGCTGGTGGTGCCAAGTGCGGCGCCGCGAGCTGTGTCTCTTAATTACAGCAAAACTGTTGTCTGAAGGTTCTGCTTCTTTTTCGCTCCGATGTCTCGAAAGTGAGCAGGGAATGGATGGAGTAGTGACTGCAGAGGCTTGGTTCAGACTGGTTTGTGATTTTTCTTTCTTTCTTTTGCGTTTATACGGTTGAGGGGGCGGTCGGTTAGTCGGGTTCGGTTCGGATCGGATGGGGCAGCGTTGTTTAACGCGGGAGAAATGGGGCTAGCGGCTGGCGGTTACTGGTTTGTGATATTCTCGACAGGGCCTCCTCGCGAGCTTGCGTTTTCTCTCTCTCGTCTCTCATCTCTCATCTCTCCTCCTCTTTATAAGGTGTATATCACCTACACACTTGTTAGTTGTATATTTTTATCTGCATGGTCGGACATGCAGCCATGTATCTCTTGGTAACTGTACGTAGACAAACTGTACGTAAACGCAACGCGAGCACAAGGACAAAAAATGGAAATCTCACTTGAGCCCTGACTGGCTTCTTGAGGGATAATCAGCAGGCAGGCACGTTTGTTTCCGGTATGTATTTTACCTGATGTACTCGCGGTAATCATGTGTTTCATTGCGCGGCCTGCGCCTGTTTCTAAGCTGTTGGGATTCTCAAGCGACGAAGGTCCGCGCAAGGCTGCGTTTTTATTCCCCGGTTCCTATGGCAATGTGGCAATGTGCATTAATCACGAAGCGGCAGCTGCCCTTTTTCTTGCCGAGGCTACTAGAATAGTAAGGTGTCTAGGTAGGCAGGGTAACTAGTACGGGTGGGCCATGCGTTATGTGTTAAGTGTTTGGTGGTTACACGGCATTATCGGTCTTGTTGTGGTGTGTATGCGGTTCCGGCCCTGTGCTCCAATGATCTGTCCGCAGGTGTGTCTGTCTCTGACATGGCCGGCCTGCATGTCTGCCTATCCCCTATCAGCCTCCTTATTTGTTTCAAGGGATATATACCTATATATATATAGATATATTTATATACTCGTGCATTCGTTCATTTTTAGTGTGTGCACAGTGGTGGGTGTAAGCAATTTCGCCTTGCTTTAGTGATAGATCTAGCTATGGAAGTCGTTCCTAGCGTAAGGTAGACGAAAGACTCGTGCATTCGTTTAGCAGGGCGTGTGTTTTTCTTTTCTTATTCTCTTTTTACACTGACGTTTGAAACTCCGACGGGTACGCATTTACCTAATTCGGAGCCTAAGTCAAGTCCAGAGCCGCCGCAGGCTTCATTGCTGGGGAGCATAGATAGGTAGGTATAGCATATTTCGATGTGATTCAGAGAGCAGTGGAACAAGAAACGATGCCTCACGCTCACAGCAGTATTCGGGACTCGGGGGTGAGATTGTGGCATTTTAACCAACATTCGTATTGAAGAGCTGTTCCTTATTTCCGCTACTATTCAACTAGGGTAATTAATCACCTTGCTTTGAGATATGATTGCTGCTCAGCTTGCTTCTTCAGCTGGACCGCATCTGGATTTCCAGTGTTTGCGAGTGGCTCAACAAAATAGGACGATGGACTCTGGTAGGGGACTTTGGTTGACTCAACTCGACTGAGTCGAATACGTTGGTTGAACCAATTGGTACCTCGGCGTTAAATGTGCATTCATAGCTCTGTTTGTGAGATGGTGGAGGTATATTAACACGAGCATGTTTGGCATGCCCCAAATTGGTCGCCGCAGGATATTCAAATCTCAGACTTCAGGTTTACAACGAGACCAGTGTTTGCTGCCTCAGTATGTACCTACCTAAATTGAGGCCAATCGCGGGGCAGGTGGCACGCTTTCCAACTTGTCGGAATAAGAAGCCTTGCTACGCAAACACGCCAAAGGATGACTCACTGATACAGCTCGTGGCTGCCTAGGACGGTTTGAAAATGAACCGAAAACGACAGCTCATTTGAATACCATTTGCCCTGCCAGCAGTTAGATGCAGACGAAGTGGCGACTCGTCTTGGGGAGCTGACTAAGTTTGTGCACAACTCGAAACGGCGGAAGCCTTGCCCTTGTCCGCGAGAAACTGGCGTCCGAATGTCGAATCGACTAATTACAACGAACCAAGATATCTATTCCCCGCGGTACCGAAGAACGACTGGATAGTAGCTCGCTTCTTGGCGATGCCAAGTAGGCAGACAGGTAGCTCACGAAGCTGACAAACAGTGCCGCACAGCATTGGTTTTACTCGGTCAGGTTTGTGCCTCATGTGGCGGAAGATGCGATCCGACCAAGTAGCCAGCCGAACCAGAAATAAGAAAACTGCCCGTAGCATCAAAAAAGGCTTTTGTTTACCTTTTTATTCACTGCCAGGCTGGTTCGCGTTTCTATTCCCGATTTCGCCGGAACCACAATGGCTGGGCACATCGGGGAACATGGATGGCAGCCCTGCGGGTTTGAATGGAAAAAGGCTAACAAAACGAGAAAAGCCGCTAATGCATCATCTTCTTTGCACTCGTCTTCGACAGCCTGTTTGCTATCATGCCACCTCGACTTTGATTCCCTTTACTTATTGCGTTGACACTCTCGCGAGGGGTCCACATCATGCAACTGGGTGCGACCTGGCAACCCCCCCACTTTATGACATGCAATTCTTCTCGTCGGACCTAGACCTCCTGTAGACATTCCGCGCGGCTGCATCACACCTCAAGCTCAAGTATATTCCCACCGTTGACTGTGATGCCGAGAAGCCACCTCCTTACCAACTGTAATTCGAAATTCACTTGGCAACCCTTTAAACAAAGCCGCCCAGCCCTGGTTGTGCCTTTTAATTATGGTTATCCTCTTCTTTCGGTGCCCTCGTAATTAAACCAACGCTCAGAATCGATAAAAATCTTGCAGCCTTGCGCCGCTTTCGCCGTCTGTCTCGAAGTATCTGTCTCGAAGTAAGACATTGGCTCAACAAGAAAGGCCTTCGTCTATCAGAACTCGCCATTCTAGTAGCAGTACTCTGTACCCCGGCGAAGAGCAAAGCTTTGATCTCTCTCGCCTTTGCTCATCAAACCTGAAGCCTGAGTCGTGACCCTGGTCACCACTGCGGTCAGTACCACGTGCGGTCTTGATGGCCCCAAACAACCCGACCTGCAACCACCCAATTTGACTCGTCACCTACCAATTTCAAACTCAACAACACAACACCTTGTCCTTTCCATCTACCCAGAATACCCCGCACCATTAGTTTTGCGTGTTTCTGCAATTTTTAGTTCGTTTTTGCATATCGGCACGGCACAGACTCTCCCCAATTTTCTTCTCCGGCACCACTCGACACACAACTGCTGATTCGACTCGAGCCCCTGGCGTCGACAAGGGTCCCCCCAAACTAATGAGCTGTTAGCGCACTACCCGCCTTTGGAGCACCCGCGCACGCAATATCGGTACCGGCCTACCGCGCACCCTCCCGCTAGCCCTCTCGCAAAGCGACCCCACGACAGTGGTTTGAGTGGACACACAGCTGACGGGGATCGCGAGAATCTGTTCTCGCCCATTGCCCTTCCGTACGGTACGCGTCTTCTCCCACGTCCATCACCTCCCGCGCTCCCGCTGCCGTACAGTGACTACCCCTTACTATTCCCATCTGTCTCTGATGTCACCTCCCACCCGGACGACTGTATTTCCTTGATAACGGCGGCGGCCGTCGTGCGTCTTGCCATTGATTTTTTTTTTCGTGTTCGACGACGCCCTGCGCCGAGCCCCCCTTAGCTCCGGGACGCTCGTCGCTTTCGCGGCACCCCTGTCTCTGTTGTCGCTCAGGCTCAGACTGCCCCGACACTCTCTTCATCGGGCAACGCCACGTCTCTCAAGTTGACGCAGATGAGACGACAAGACGCTCTTGAGTGTCGACAGACTTTCGACTAGGCAGTCGTTGTCACTACAGTGCAGTTCAGTGCAGCCAGTGTACCTTACATAGTGCTCAATGCCTGGCCGCCTCTCTGTTATTATCCGTCGCACCTGCCTCTTCATCAAGACCATACACTTTTATTAGTCCGCCCAGTCCGGCTCTTCTTGTTCCCTTTCTTGTTTTACTTTAAACTTCTTTAAAACTTTGATCGTTCCTGACGCCTCACCAACTCCCTCGGCACCCGCAACCTGCAGACTCTTCAACCCACACGTCGTTAACTACCTACCTGCCTACCTATTTGCTATTATTCGGGTTCCGTGTATCCATCACACCTGATATCAAAAAAAGTCAGCAAACCGCTCATCAGCGCTCCGCCTCCCCTCGTTAGGTTCGGGCCGCACAATGCGGCCCTTGTTGTCGTCGCTGTCTCGTCGCTCATGCTATTGTCATTAGCTTTCTAGTTCACTCTCGGCCGTCTCCACCAGAGGCGGACCCTCTTTGTGTTGCACGCTTTCTCTGGCCCGTGGGTCTCTGATGTCTTTATCCAGCAATGACGGGCACACACTCGCGCAACCGCAGGCTGCCTTTCCTGCACCGGAACTGGATCAGAGCCACCAACCACTGGAACACTAAGATGGGAAATAACGCGTCGTCACCGTCTCGCGACGGTGTCGACAAGTGCGGCAACGGCGAAGATCGTTGCCAGCACAGCAACAAGCGCCCTCGCATCGACAACGACTATGATGGCTTTCCGCTCTTTGAGCCTTATGCCACCATCCCGCGGGCCCTCCGCATCGAACTCCTCAAGGTCTGCCACAAGGACGCGCCTCGCGTCAAGAATGGCATCCTCAACGGCCTAATTCCACCAAACGTTAAAGACACAAATCACTTCAGAGTCCGTTGCAGTATCAAGGTCACGTGCCGTAGAGGTGACGAGGATGTCGTCTTGCACGCCGACAGCCAGCTGTGCGACGTCAACATGTTCAAGAACCCCGCCGGCTCTTCTCCAATGGCCCGCTTCTCCTCCATCCAGCCCTTCTACATCCCCGAAGACAAGATCAGTCTCGAGCGTGACGAGGACATGGTCTTTGGCCTCGCCAACTCGTACCAGGTGGTAATCCGGCTCGAGTCCGGCGGTGGTATTAACTGGCCCCCCAATGACCTCCTCCCACCCGACAACTCAGCCCATTGGAATGACAGACGGCTCCCTCTTCGGCAGTGGGCGTTCACCGCCACCATTGTCGACATATACAACCGCAACCGCAAAACCATTCGACTGAAGCTGAAGAAGACTTCCCAGAGCGACGAGATGACTGATTTTTCCATAGACGTTGATGTCCGCTGGTTTACGCCAGTTTCCACCCAGCTTGCGCGTGGGAAGGATATCAAGCAGTCCATCACAGTGTCTGCCCGGAACGAGACCGTGCTGCCCCCAGTTAACGGTGTTGTGAACGGAAATTCACCCACAAAGGTCGTGAACGGTGTGAACGGCATCGATATCGGTGTTAATGGCGTAAACGGTGCCTACAGGCACCAGCAAGACCACCTAGATGACTACGGCCTCGAATACCTGGCTAATGGAGAGGCAGATAAGCTCTCGAGTGAGATTACAAATGGTACTTTTTCAGAGCTCCCCGACGACTTGGCCGAGGGCGAAGTGACGCCAAGTCGAACCAGACGGCCGAGGCCAGAAATCAACTACAACGTCAAGCACATCTGGAACACCGCCGTTGGGAAGGAGCCCAAGAAACGGCGGAGGTTAGACGACGAGATTGATCAGCCTGACGAGCAGTCCATCACATATGTGCTTCCACCCGAGCAAGTACACACCGAGAAGCTCGCGTGTCTGATTTGCGGTGCGGAGAACGAGCGGATCAGCCAGCTACGAGCTCATTACCAGAGCCACCCGCAGTATGACTTTTATTTCCAACCCCGGGACGCCCGGACGAAGGGAGAGTTCAGGGTTCAGGTCACGCCAAGTGCCACTGATCTTGCCCAAGCACTCCGGCCAAAAGTTTATCAGCTCGGTCTCCCAGTCAAGCCACTTGACCTAGATAAATATGTTGAGGGCGACCTCTCATGGGTCACGTCTCGTCTGGGCCCCGATGACGATCACGAGATTATTGAAAAATTTGTCCCGGCGAGGGCTCCTAAGGCAAGCCTCTCTACGGAGACAGTTCTCTTGCATACAAAACTAACACATTCCCAGAAATTCGCCAGCAAGCGGTCAAAGAAGAAGATAGTGGTACCCAACATCAAACAGCCGCTTTTCGACCCGCTAAGCAAAGCACAGCTTGTGCCAGGCGCTGAAATCCGCCAGCACCCGGTAGACGATTCATGGCTTCTTCTCAAACATCGTGATAGCTTGCAAGACTTTGTTGACGTCGAGCCCGGGGAGAAGGAGTACATGCAGGAATGGGACTCGTTTGTCTTGAACAAGCACATCTCTTCTGAGCAGTACCTGCCGCGCGTCTTCGTCGGCTTTTCGAAGGAGAAAGCGGGCTGGATTGTGTCCAAACGGAGTCGGTTGGAGGAGTTCAGTAAGCATGTTTCGATGTTGCTGGCAAGGCGAGCCATCAACGAGGCATCCATTTTCGAGGCCACCAAGAGCATCAACGAGGCGAGGACCAAAAATTCTGGCGAGGCGCCCAAAGTACTACCCAGGCATAATGTTACGGGCGGGTGCAATGCCTGCGGCAAACCTGTGCCGGTATCGGCAATGTTGTCCTGCTCTAACAAGGTAAGTGGTGTCTTATTGTTCAAAGCCTAGTGGGTAAATTTGAAGGAGCGCTTCTAACGTTCTCTTTTAGGCGTGCAAAAAACGTCTGTACCACGTGGATTGCGTGGACGGTGTGGACGAGGAAGTTTTGGAAGAGAAAACTTGGGTGTGCGGCAAGTGCTCCTAGAGCTAGTCTGCTCAACTAAGGAATATATGCCGGAAGCCGTGGCACAAATAAGTTGGCATGCAAAGCCATCCAAAAACAGGAACTACGTCGTCTCAGGGACGAGGCAGACAGGCATTAATATCCGAGAGAAGGGAGATAGGAGAAGACATACGCAATATGTAATATAGTCCCAAGCAAGCAACACACATCACGCGAAGGGACCGGTTCCCAGTTATCGGCTCGGCGCTATCATATATTAACAGGTGGAAGAGGTCAGGAGTCGTTTTGGTGGGGGGGAGAGCTTAGGGCTGGCTGGCTGTATCCATTTCTTGGCTGGATTTGTGAAAATGGAGATAACTCATTGCTACAAGTCCATGCTCTGTTTAATCGAGCCGCACCAGGCCGCAGAACTATCTTTGCTTTTTTTACTTTTTCCGAGGCTAGATGTAGTTGGTGAACGTGCTCTTCGTCTTAGCGTTGTTTTTGAGCTGAACCGGGGGCTCTTGGTTTGTTTTGCAGGTTGTGGATTTATCCACGGTACACGCGTAGGATTTGATACCATTATGGAAGCACGACAACATTGCACGCGAAAACCCTTGATATCTTCGTCGAGGGTTTACAGGTCTCCCAAATATGTTCCTTCCTTGTGATGTATTCTACGGTAGAAATTTGTCTCGGCGGGTGATTGACGGATCCAGTTTGTCGGTGGTATAGAAAGAACCGCTGGTCAGGTCAGGTCAGGTCAGGTAAGGTGAGGTATGCAGTAGTACTGCACGAGGCTGGCCGTCGGTATTCATGCCATGGCCCCTTTTTGGTTGCCGAGCGAGGGGGACGGCTGACTAACGGACTCGGTAGAATGTCGATTGCTGCTTATGCTGTTCCTATAACATGACAGGTGCACGGCCGCGGTGTATTACTAGATGTGGACTACCTTAAGGTATTAACTCACTCAAACACCGCTCTGTACGGCAGACGGCTAGCCATTCGAGTAGGTAGGTACATGGTCCTAATATCAGGCGATACTGGCGTGGCAAATAGATAGACGACGTGTTAAAAAACAAGGGAAGGGAGAGGTGATGTACAGATAATAGGATGATACCAAAATGTTTTTTGGCTGCTTATAAAGTTGTGTTTTGGATTCGGATACACGAACAGAGAGAGCCGGAAGCTACCTAGCTAGTTTGACACATGTATATTCACACTTATTATAGGACAGCAAAATCACTGCCAAAATCACTCAAGGCAATCCCTAGCAAGTAATAGGGCAAGGCAGGCAGGCCCTGAGACGAAAGAAAAGAGGGACATGAACACTGAAAAGCATATCATCGATGCCGTAGACGCCCTACATTTTTCTGACTTTTCTGTCTCACGTCCTGCTCGCTTTAACGAGGCGATTGCGAGTCTAGTTTCACGTCCTGCCCGCCGTGAATAAGGCGTCTACGGTTCTCCCTTTACGTCATGCCCGTTATGAATAGGCATCTACAGCTTTCGTCTCACGTCCTGCCCGCTATATGTGCGGCTTCTGCAATTTCGTTTCACGTGTTGCCCGCTATGTGAGGCGTCTGCGATTTCGTTTCCCATGTTGCACGTTGTGAATGAGGGAAATGGTTGCAGTAGCAAGGCGTGCAAAACTCATTAATATACCTACACATCATGTAAGTAAAAACGCAGGGGGGAGGTTTGTCCAGGAAAAATCGTACAATCTTTATCTTAGAAGGTGTACTTCTCCTTCTTCTTGTCATCCCTCTTCCTTTCGTTGGCCTTCTCGTCAAGCTTCTGGCGCTTCCGGCTCTCTTTGGCAATCATCTCCGAGAGATCCTCTCGGTATGCCCACTGAGCGCCGAGGCCATCCTGGCGACTGGTCGTCTCGTACTGCCGTCGTAACTCCTCCTTGTCGATGCCATTCTGTGACACCAGCGCATCGGGGTCCAGCGCCACATCAACATCGCCGGGCTTCTTGCGCTTTCGCGTGCTATCGTCCTCTTGGCCTAAGACAGGCGGGCCGTGGCCCGGGCCGTGCTTGGGTAGCTCGTACGTCTTGTCGCTGCCAAAGAATCCCTCAGCCCGAACTTGGCGTTCGGGGATGACCTGGTAGGCGGACCGGGGCGCCTCTTCAGTCTCAAATCCACGTCGTGTCTTACGCAGATCAAATTCGCCTCCAATATTGGTTTCAACGCCAGAAGGTACGCTGTCTGGGTGAATGGTGCTAGCGTACCCACCAGGCGTCTCGAGGCCGGTGAAAGTTTCGGTGCCGCCGGGGACATCGGCACCCTCGTCATCTGACTCCTCTTCGTCCGACTCTTCCTCCTCGGATTCTTCGGCAAGTGGCTGGAGCTCGCCCCAGAGTGTCCGGTCAATCGGCTCGACGGCAGCAGCAACCGCAACCGGCTGCTGCAGGAGTGGCTGCTGCTGGTATGGCGCGCCAGGTTGGGGGGCACCCATAATGCCAAAAATGTCACCGCCATACACAGGCCTGTTGAACTCATCCAGCGGCGGCTTGCCCCACTGGCCTGGTTGGAAGCCAAAACTGGCGCCAGGTGGCAAGGGCGCATTAAGTCCGGGGATTTTGAGGGTAGGGTAAGATGGAGGGGGTCCGACACGTTGCTGCTGGAGCAGCCAGGGCGGGGGGAAGTCGGGTTGCATGCCCAATGCCTCCCGCAGTCCCTCGCTAATCTCGCCGGGCTTGAATATCTTGTAGTCCGCCTCCCACTCTTTGCCTTCGTGGTAGACGTCGCCAAACCGCGTCAGCTCGGGCTTGGTCTGGTGGCGAAAGAAAGCGTCGTAGAGTTTCTGGTAGTCAATGTCCAGCTTGCCCATCTTCGGCTGCATTCTCTCGCGTTGTTTCTGCTTCAGGGTCTGCTCGGCCTGCTTTTCGAGGACAGCATCGCGCATTTCCGTGATTCCCGTGTCCGCAATGAACTTGGGCAGCTTGAAAGGAGGCTTTTCGACACCCCGTTTGCTGGAGAGGTACTCGCGCTTCAGCGCCCAGTGAGGCGGGACCGGGACAACGTTCCGTTGCGACTTGATGTGCACCAAGAGGCGCGGGTCCGATGACGAGACATCGTTCCACTCAACCACCTCGGGGTTCTTCACCGAAGCCTTCAGCTCGGCAATTGTGAGCTTGTTCAGCTGCTTGCGTTTCTTCTTTGACAGTCTGTTCCGTGCGTCATCTTCGCCTTCGCTAGGAATGCCCTCGTTGTCATCGAAAAACACCTCGCCCTTGTTCCCGGCGTTGGCCTCTCGTGCGACCTCGTCGTCTCCGATACCGGTTCCGAACTTCTCAAAGATATTCTTGTAATCGGCGTACGCGGGGTCGCTGAGCAAGTCGCCTTCATCGATGTCGAGGTCAATGTCGTCGTCAACAGCTGCTCCGTTTGCGCTGACTGTGGCAGAGACGCCTGACTGCGATTTCGCCTCGGCGGTTGACTCTTGGACGGATGAAGGGGCCTTCACGGCGAGATTATCTGCGTCGTGCGAAGGGGATACTGCCTGCTCGTCTTTTGGCTCGACCGAAGCTCTAGAGTCATTCTAGCACAGCACATGTTTTGTTAGACACCAACTGCCGCTATAGCAAGATGAAAGCAAAGTGGGGAGAGGGGAGCGAGGGGAGGTGAGGGGAGGAAATGGGGGCGCTAACCACAGCTGTGACTGCCGCCGTCTCTGCTGCTTTTGCCTTTTTCTGCTCTCTCTTTTTGAGCCGGCGCAGCTTGTTTTTGGTATCTTTTGACTGGGCCATTTTGTCGAGCTTCGAGGAGCCGGTCGCTCCTAATCACGCGCGATTACGAGGTTGTGAATCATCCAACAAGAAATGGTGCAAGGTTTTGAACGAGTGTGAGGGGTCGACGTGTTGCGCGATGTCGTTTGGTACTCGGAGGTAGGTGCACTGTAGGAAAGGTGCTGCGCGTAGTTGAACAAGTCTCGAACAAGGTTGCGCGCCCCAAAGGTTTCGAGCCCAGATCAGTAGCCCGCCAAGGTTCCCGGTGGGGCGGCAGGTGTGGCTAGTGAGCATATGGCCCGTGCTCCAGGCAGCCAGATCTAGCCGCTAATGCAGACTTGGTCGGAAAGTGAGGCTGACAATCAGAAAAAGGCCGTTAGTGTGGCGGTGCAGAGCGGTCTTTGGTTGGGCCTGTTGCGGATCCGGCGCAGGCGTAGCCCTGTCGCCTTTGCGCCGCGTGTGAGATGCCGCGCATCGGATTGGCAGTGCCAAGTGAGCTTAATTCTGATGGATGCTTGACATTTGACCTGGTGCTCGTCTCGCATCGGCCAACATCAAACAGCAATACAAGACGGTCTCACCAGTCCACGACGCCTCCCCCTGCGAAGTGCAAGCAATCTGCAAGCAATCTGCAAGCAATCTGCAGCCTTTGCCTTTGCCTGTTCCTTTGCCTGTGCCTGTGGAACCTCGAACCGGAACCTTCCCAATTCGTGTCAATCAATTTTATCCGATCCGCACCTGCTTCGCCAGTGGGAGCAGCGCAGCGCAGAGGCAATGACCAGGTAACTGGCAGCACACCAGCCGCATTGAATCGCAGCGTCGTCCACTCGTTTGAAGGCCGCCCCCGGGCCCCCAATTGCGCATCACGATGCCGCACTCGACTTCGCACTCGACCTCCCACTCGTCGGCTGGTGGCTCGTCTATGCGCACGCCTTCTACCAACCGCTCGTCAGGCACAAAACCCTTTGCCGATGCCAGCGCCATCGGGAGCAGCCCGGGTAACGTCAATGGCGGCACAGAGAAGTTCCCCGACTTCGATACAGGGCATGCCTTTGGCACCCCGAACGGGCGGGAGCCAAGCCCTCGTTGGCAGCAGAATGGTGCCACAAACCCCAACGAACACCCAGATCGCTGGCATCCGAGGAGAGAAAGTCGCGTTAGGTGGGCTCCAAGAGATCCTCCACCACGCTCGTTCGGCCATGGGAAGCAGAAGAGCATAAGTCACGCCATCCGCCAGATTCGCTCGGGAAGTATGAGCCAGAATGCCCATGAGATCGCGGATGCGCTTCGTGCGCCCGTCTCGTACAAGCTTATTGTATGCTCTACACTCTATCCGTCCCATCTCCCGCTCTGCGCTCCCCCAATGCTGACTGCGACTTGCTTACTAGACGCTTTGCGTCATGTGGTACTGGTCGTCTGCCCTGACCAACACCTCGTCCAAGTCCATCCTCACGGCCTTTGACAAGCCCGCCACGTTGACGCTAGTGCAATTCGGCTTCGTCTCGTCCTACTGCATATTGTTCTCCGTCCTAGCCTCGACCTTCCCGAGACTACGGAATGCTATCCCAGCCCTCAAGAATCCCATCCGCGCCCCCTCGCGAGATGTCATCGTTACCACGCTTCCCCTAGCGGCCTTTCAGATCGCAGGCCATCTCCTCAGCTCGACGGCCACCTCCAAAATCCCAGTCTCCCTCGTCCACACGATAAAGGGGCTGTCTCCACTGTTTACTGTCCTCGCCTACCGATTTATCTTTGATATTCAGTATCCTAGGGCCACTTATCTATCCCTAGTCCCCCTCACTGCTGGCGTCATGTTGGCTTGCTCGGGAAAGCACAGCTTTGAGGGCGAGTACCTGGGAATCTTCTCCGCCCTGCTCGCGACCATGATCTTTGTGACGCAGAACATATTCTCCAAGCGGCTCTTCAACGAAGCCGCCCGCGCTGAGGAGATGGGGCTCGGCGCGCAGTCCCGCAAGCTGGACAAGCTCAACCTACTCTGCTACTCGTCCGGCATGGCCTTTATCATCACGGGCCCCATCTGGCTCTGGAGCGAGGGCATTGGCATCATCGGCGACTTTCTGTGGGACGGCTCGCTGGACCTGGCCGTGAGCCCCAACTCGTTCGACCACGGCCGGCTCACGCTCGAGTTCATCTTCAACGGCACCTTCCACTTTGCCCAGAACATCCTGGCGTTTGTGCTGCTGTCCATGGTGTCGCCCGTGACGTACTCAGTGGCCAGCCTCATCAAGCGCGTCTTTGTCATCATCATCGCCATCATCTGGTTCCGCAGCCCGACCACCAACGTGCAGGGCGCCGGCATCACCCTAACCTTCCTCGGCCTGTATCTCTACGATAGGAGTAACATGAAGAACAAGGCCGACCAGCGGGCCCGCTCCATGACGGAGAGCAAGCTCGACCAGTCCATCCTACCCATCCTGCCGCTGCACGTGCCGAAACAGCCGGGGGCGGCCATGTCGCAGCTCGCCCCGGGCAGTAGCACCATCAGCCAGACCATCTTCGAGAGCCCCATCGCCGTTGACGCGCCGCCGCCGCCACCGCTCGGCAGCGGCGGCTACACCAATGGCCACTCGGCGTCCAACAGCCTCGCGAACGACGCCAAGAAGTCGGACGACCTCGGGCGCGGCCGCATCAGGGGTACCAGTAACGCCAGCTGGCTTCCGCCGGGGACGCGGCAGGAAGACACGTGGCGCCTTGGGGACGGCGGCATGGTGGTTGCGAGGTAGACGACGGCCGTGATCATGTCATATTTTGTTTTCTTCATTTCTTCCTCTTGGATTTTGTTCTTCATTTTGGCATCCAATCCAGAACCCAACTTTTTATCTATCTTACTCCTGTCCCCCTCCCTCCCGAAAAAGAGAGGAAAAAAGACAAAAGCTACTATTATTACTACGACTACTTATATTCTACGAGTGCTGCTCATTTCACGACAGGAAGGCATGGAAGCAAGTGAGCCCGGGACTCGTTGCAATCAACGTTGTGTGTGTAATGAGGGAGGTAGTGGAAACGGAGTTTCATCGCCATGTTTTGTTCTTGATGTTATATCGTCGTATCGTGGCGACCCGGCAGGAAGTAAGGCAGGGACAGCGACAAGAGTGGGATATGAAATGGAAAGGGAAATGGGAGAATAAATGCTTTCTTTTTTTTTCTCTCTCCCATGTACCCATAGAAAAAGAATGGTCAAAGGGCGGGAACGTTTTTATGTTTTACTATTCTTATTACCACTATTATTGTTGATTGTTAGAGATTTAGGATGGTTGCCATGATTACAATATACATGGGCGGACATGAGGAGGATTAGGATAAGAGGGAGGCATAGACGGCGTTATTGTTGGTACCTTTTCTCTTTGTTTTAGAGGGGCTGAAGCGAAGGGTTCGGCTGGGGTTTATTGTTGTTTAACATCAACTGTCACCCGTCACGCGTCAACAGTCACCAGTCACCACCCCTCTGATTTCTAATTGTATGATATATATCATACACCGAATTTGTGTCTGTGGAAGTCGCGCCTAGAGTAGACGAAATTAAATAAACATACCGAGTATGATATGACTATCGGAGCAGTGCCGTTCAATTTTTTTGACCTTTTTGCTGTACCGCGGCAAATGCTTGAGTGTGTTCATTTTATAGTGTGTGTGTGGTGATGGGTATAAGCCATTTATTTCACTTTGGTGATAGATCTAGCTGTAGAAGTCCGTCCTTGAGCAGGACGAAATAATACATACAAACATGCCGAGTATACATGTTCATGTTATGTTTATAAGTACGAAACTAGACGTTCAGTACCAGAATAGATAGACAATGAGTGGGAAATTAGCAAGACAGTTGATCACAGTCTCTATTCTTGGTTGTTTATTATTAATGTAGTGTAAAACCAGCCAGTTAGCTGACCAGCGAGCGAGTGAGTGAGTGAGTCATTCACTCAATCAGCCACTCCTCGACCTCGACGCCCATGCTGCGGCCCAGCGCGCGGATCATCTCCCAGCCGACGTTGACGCGCCACTTGCCGCCGCGGTCCATGGCGTCGCCGCCGCTGGCGCTGGCCAAGCCGCCGACGCGCACCAGCAACCGCAGGCTCGCCAGCGTGGCCATGGCCATGCCGATATCAGCATCCATGCCATCAACCAGCCCTCCCCATTCCCTGGAAGCATACCGGCCGTCCCACTCGCCGCGCACGGCCGCGAAGATTGCCAGCATGCGCTCCAGCACAAACGCGTGCGCGCCGAGCAGCTTGCGCGCAATCTTGCGGTGCTTGCTCCGGCCCGGCCCGGCCCCACGCCCTACACTTACCGACAGCCCGCCGCGCCGCCGCCGCCGTCCGTGGTGGTGCGTCGAGAACAGCACCAGGTCGTGCCGCGTCGCGTTGTGCGACGCCAGGTACGCGGCCAGCAGTAGGAGGCGCGCCGTCGTCGGGAGCAGCGCCGCCAGGTCCGACGTGTGGGGCTTGCTGCTGGTCTGGGGAGTTATGGAGTTGCTGCCGCTGGGGATAGGAGTTGAAGGAGCAGGAGCAGCGCTTGGCGGCCGCGCGGCCACGATGATGCCCGGGTCCAGCAAACACTCGTCCTGGAAGTGGGCGCGGGCGGCGATCAGCAGCTTGGAGAACTCGCGGGCGCCGCGGGTGCCGGCGACGACGGGGGTCGTAAAGCGCGGCCACAGGGCGTCGCAGGCGTGGCGGAAGGCCGGCAGCGTGCGCGTGGCGGCGCGCGCCAGCGCGTCGTGCACGGCCGCCGCGAAACGCGCCCACAGGTCCGCCCCCTCCTCGGGCGTGGTGTTCGGCAGCGCGGGCGCCTCCAGCGGTGGTCCGCCAGCCGCGACGATAGCCACGAACTCGGTCTTGGTGTAGTTGGGAAAGTGTACGTGCGGCGCGAACGCCGTGTGCAGGAAGCTGGCTGGCGGAGATGTCACGATGAAGACGCTCGTTATGCAGGGGATCTGGATCGGGGGACGAGAAAAGGGGTGAGCAAGACAAGAAAAGAAGGGGGTTCAAGGGGGAAGCTTACAATCTCGGCCAACCTCGCGAGAGCGGGCAGCAGAGTTGGGGTTGCTTCCCTCTGGCGGTCGATGCCGTCAAAGACGAGGACGAAGCGGAAGCCGTCGGGCCGCGGAGCGTACTTGAGCATCTTGGACAGCTCGACGGTCAGCTGCGACACGTTCTCGCAGCGGGAGGATGACGGGCCATGCCAGCGCAGGGCCTTGGCGACCTTGCCGACGACGCTCTCGAAGAGGTGGCGGCTCGTGATGCACTCGACCGAGTTGACAATGGCGAAGCGGAGGCGCAGGTCACCGTCTGGCGACCCGTCGTCTTCGCTGGCCTCGAGCCGCGCAAGCAGGGCGACGGTTATGGCGCTCTTTCCTGTGGCCTCAGTCCCATAGAGGACGACGTTCTGGCATGGTGCGGCATCCGGCTGTCGTCGTAATCAGTCAGTACGGCGGGTTATGTGGGCGGGCTTGTGTAGATGTAGATTCAAGCGGCGAGGCGCGAGTGGAGGGGAGGTTGAGTTGCATACGTGCAAGAGAGTCGCCAGGGATCGAAGTTGAAAGGATCGGCAAGGAAAGGCCTGGGCAAGCGACGTCAAGACCAGCTCGTCGGGGAGCTGGAACAAAGAATTCCGCATGGTCGGGCCCGACGGTGGAGGGGGTGCGGTGTAGATTGCTTGTTCAATTGGTCAAAGTGTGGGAGTTGGAAAGTCGCCGTCGTCGACCATGAATATCCGTATCCGTAGATGGGATGGATGTAATGGATGCAAGTCGTGTCACGCGTGCCGCCCCCAGGGTTCTTTCTAACTTCTACACAGTAGGGTCGTTTGCCAGTGTCGCGGCAGGTGGACTAGCCCTTGGCGCCTTGGCGCGACTGGTGAATTCCGTAAGCGTGCTCAGCAGCGCAGACTTGCCACTTGGCACAGTTGGTATTAGTTACGGAGTTTGGCTCTTTACGCCAGATGGGAGACCGGGCTTCTGAACTTGTTGAACTAAACCTCGATTATTAAACACGCATTATTCAGCGGCTGTGTAACTCGAAAAAACAGGGCTAAAATATTATGGCCGGGCCAAGAAGGCGCAGCCAGCCCTGCAGCCCTGCAGCAGCAGCAGCAGACACACATGGTGAGCGCCAAGCCGGATGTCTCGTCGACACTCAAAAGACTTTTGTTGGTGAGTGGTTGCTGCCCTCGCCCGCCCCGTTTCTCCATTTTCGATGCCACTGACAATTGACCAGTCACATCAACGGCTCGGCGTCCTGCTTGGCCAGATAAAGTGCTAGGTCAGCAGTATCCGTACTCCGTAGGGCGCTGCTCCTTCTGAAACCTAGCCTGACCAGACCAAGCCAAGCCGAGCCAAGCCGAGCTAAGCACCCGTCGGGATTATGCTTTCGGTCGACGGATTAACGGACGACGTTGGCCTCGTTGCCCCGATGTAAGCCAAGTACGTACAGTACTGTGCATACTCAATACGGATAGAGCTTCCAGAATGCGGCGTCATGGGAAGCTCAAACCTCAAACTATCTGTAGTACCTAAGTATGTTACGACCTGGGCAGCTTCGGAGGGGAGGGTTGCTGGAACTCTCCTAACAGTATGCTGGTACGGAGTATGTATGCACGACCAATCCCACCAGCGTGCTTTACACCTACCTATGCCTACCAATCCTTCGAGCGCGGGCTTGGCGCGCTGGGGCTATGGCTCGCTGATTGCGTAGTCATACATGGATGGGCCATTGATTCTATCGCAACCTCAGCTTCGATATTGTATACCTACCCAGGTAATCATATAAATATACGAGCTGTATACGGTATACGGTATACAGTGTCTGTTGGGATGCCTCGTTGTTTGTCATCATTGGCACTGACACTTACACTGACACTGACGTCGACGTCGATGCAACACAATGGACTACGCTGCTCGAGGTGACGGCGGCTACCCCGAGGCTGAGTCTTCGGCACAAAGTCTAAGCATAGGTCCGGCGAGTCCAAATTCAACCGCCGTCGACAGCTTCAAGCCCTACTACTCCAAGCGGCCTCACCGCAAGTCGAGGACGGGCTGCCGCAACTGCAAGCGGCGCAAGGTGAGCAACTTGACTCCTAGACAAACTGTTGGCTAACACCCTGTCCAGGTCAAATGCGATGAAGCCCGGCCCTTGTGTCGCCCGTGTTCCTTCCGGGGTGACACGTGCGAGTACCCCCCACTGCCCGTCTCTCATTCCTCTGGCTTTGGCTTTGGCTCTGGCTCTGGCTCTGGCTCTGGCTCTGGCTCTGGCTCTGGCTCTTCCGCTTCCAGCTCCGTATCCCCCCATGTATATACGAATACCGCCTCCGCGGCTGTGGTCTCGTACAATGGCCCCCTTGGCGCCCCGGCCTTCCCGGTTGTGCAGGAGCCGCTGTTCATACCCGCGGGACGCGAGGCTGTCGACATGCGGCTGCTGTGGTTCTACTCGACCGCAACCTTCAAGTCGCTCTCGTCCAACTCGGGACGCGAACCCACGGTCGACCACGCCCTGCGCGTCAAGCTGATCGAGCTCGCCTTCTCCAACGACTTCCTCATGAACTGCTTGCTGGGCCTCGCCTCCATGCACATGCAACACGTCGGCCACGCCGGGTCCGGCTCCCGCTCCGGCGCCCTCGACGTCCCGCGCTCCACCGCCCTGCTCTACCGCGGCCAGGCCTTCGAGGGCTACCGCCGCGCCGTCGAGGACGCCGAGCCGTCGACCTTCCCCGCCCTCGTCGCCGGCTCGCTCGTGCTGTGCGGCCTGTCGTCGTACGGCTTCCGCGGCGAAGACGCCACGCCCCTGTACATCCTCGACTGGCTAGTCCTGTGGCGTGGCGTCGGCGTCATAGTTAACCTGACGCGCATGCGCTCAAAGAACCCCACGGGGCTCGAGGTCCTCTTCTTCCGGCCCAAAATCGACTACGACGCCGCCACCCGCCACATCCCAAACTACCTGCTCTTTATGCTGTCGACCATCAAGCAGGGCGACGATAGCGGCGACCCCGATTCTGGTGCCGTCGCCACCTACTACCACGCCCTCAAGCTGCTCGGCTCGCTGTACGCCGAGCTGCTCAACGGCTTCAACCCCATCCTCGAGCTGCGCATCGTCACGCTCCTCTCGCGGCTGACGCCCGACTTCATCGCCGCGGCGCGCGCCCGCCGCCCGCGCGCCCTCGTCATCATCGCGCACTTCCTCGTCTTCCTCAAGCTCGTCGACAACATCTGGTGGATGCAGGACATATCCGACCCGGAGATCCGCGCCATCGCGGCCGTCGTCGGCCCGGATTGGGAGCCCATGCTGCGCATCCCGCTGGCGGCCGTCGACCTCGCCGACCACGCGGCCATCGCCCGCGCGCTGCTCGAGGACCCCGCCTGGCGCGCCCCCGACTGGGACGCCTGCAGTAAGGACAAACACCTGTATATCCAGTCTCGCGCCTGGCCCGATGATACGGGCATGCTGCTCGTCTACGACCCCGTTACGGGCAGGTTCAACTATCGCTTTCCGCCGGAACAGGCCCATCCCGGCAAGGGCCTGCCTGAGGATTGAGGGCGGGGATATATATCATGATGGCTTTTCTGATTTTTTTTTCTTTTCTTTTCGTCTTTGTTGCGAGCTTAAAAATGAATTTTTGGAAATGAAATGATGTACACAAAAAAAACACTCTCTCTCCTAGGGTGATGGGCTTTTTTTGTCTGTATTCTTCATGTTCTCCGTATTGTCTCGCTTACGTAGCTGGTGAGCTGTGTCATACAGGGTACATTGCAAATGTTTTCTTTCATCTACCTAGGTATCCGTATCCGTATCCGTATCCGTACTCCGGGAGCGAGAGCGAGAGCGTGTTCTATAGTTAACATCACGTATCACCAAAGTGGAATATTCCCATCCCATGCACCACACAAACACACTGAAAATGCCGCAACAGAAAGTCAAACAATTGAAGGGCTCCGAACAGAGTCATACCGGCTTGTGTAATATATGCACGTACAGTGCCTACCTTGTCAAGGTCTCAAACAGACATGGCCGTGTGAAATATATATGATATACCTATTGCACACAACAATCGACCTATATACACTCCCCCTCTCCCTCTCCCCCCCCGTCCATCCCCTCTCCTCCATCCGCTCAAAGCCCAAACCACTCCTCACTAGCCGTCAAGTTCGCCGGCACGCTGTGCCCAACGCCCGTGGCATAGATGCCCTGGACGTGATCTCCATAATTGTCCGTGCGGTAGTTGCGCTCGGGGAAGTTGGCCACGGTGCTGGTTGGGGTTTGGTCGACGCCGAACACGTTCGTCCACTGCTTGATCTCTTCCTGGTAGTTGGCTGGCGCCAGCGTGCCGTCGGCACTGCCGTGCCAGATCTGCATCTTGGGCCGCGGGCCCGTGTAGCCCGGGAACATGTTGCGCGCGACGTTGCCCCTGTTTTGAACGTTGTCAGTTCGTGTTCTTTCTTTACATGGACGAGAAAGGGGGAGAAAAAGGGGTAGACAAAAGAAAACACACCAAGCCTCGGGCGTGGCCTTGCTCTGGCCGCCGCTGCACGAGTTGTTCCAGGCGTCGACGCCGCCCGATGACGACACGAAACAGCCGGCGGCGACGCCGCTGTATAGCGATACGGCGCTGATGAGCTGGGGGTACGTGGCAGCCATGACGTTGGACATCATGGCGCCGGAGCTGCCGCCGGTGACGTACACGCGGGCCGGGTTGGCCTTGTAGTGGTCGATGGCATACAGAATCATGTTGGAGATGGCCTGGGAGTCGCCGCCGCCGTTGGTCCTGAGCGAGGCCTTGCTCGACACGTCCCAGCAGGTGCCGCTGTTGGGGCTGCTGGGCCACACCGTGATGTAGCCCTTCTTGTCGGACCCTTTCGCCCACGGGATCTTGGAGTTGCGGAAGTACGACTGCGCCGTCGACTGGCACGAGTGAATGACGATGACCACGGGCGGGTTGTCGACGACCTTGTCGGGCACGTAGACCCACATTTCGGCCTTGGACGTCGCGTTGTTGGGGTAGCTGACCCGGGTCAGCGCCGCGCCGGGGGCCAGGGACGCGGCCGTGAGGGCCATCGCCAGGGCCGTTGTGCCAAGCATTTCTGTTTGTCTCTCTCTCTCTCTCCCTGTATGTGTATAGAACCTTGAATCAAACAAAAGATCAAAAATCAAAGACTCACAATGACACAAACACACACACACACATAGCTGAGAACAGAGAAGTCAAGAAGAGCTCCCCTGAAAGCCAAGACCTGACGGGCATATATAGCTAGGTAGCTACACAGTGGCTAGCTAGCATATAGCCATCCATCCGTGCAAGCAAGCCAGCCTCCATCTCGGAATATGCTCTTTCCCCCACTCGCTCCCGCTTGCTCCCGCCCAACATATGAACCTACACACACACACACACACACAACTGACAGCGGAGAATTTACCCCATACCCCAGAATGTGATATGGCATGTATGGGAGGGCCACGGTAGGTAGACAGGGGGGAAGAGTGGACGGAGGCAATCTACACGCACATACAGATACCAACGAAGAAGGGGAAGAAATCAGTAATTTCTGCACCAACCACAAGACGCCCCTCCACTCTCCCCCGCAAGACGGAGAATGGGGAAAGGGGGGAAGAGGCGTATACGGTAGGCACCCGAAGACATGGAAAGGGCGGCTAAAACGACCCATCGGCGGCCGGAGGAAGACGAGCGAAAAGGGATACCGGTATAACACATGATCGAGCTCTCATTGGACCGCCGCATCGCCAGGACCCCGGGCGTCGTGGTTGGTTAATCCCGCGGAAGAGTGACAGATTGCCGCAACATCCGTTGAGAATCTCAAATACCTTTCTACTTCAATGGCCGGGCGCAGAGCAACCCTTTTGAGTTCACATGGCGAAACAACACGTGAGAAGCTTAGGCAGACGTCATCAACCGCTGCCACCAGTCGAGCATTTATCCTATATACCTGCAGTGTCAACAATAAAGAAACATGGTCTGGCACGTACGGTAGACAGGAAAAGACTTGATTGATACACAGCTCACACAAATGAAAAACTTGACTGAGCTAGGGGGGCCTCCCCGGCAACTTCTTTTCGCTTCTATACACAGGCCACCAGTTCATGCTCCGTTAAACGCACACTATTAAGAGCTCTTCTCCAGATCGGCCAAGATCTTCTCTCCCTTCGCCCGCGCCGATGCGAAGTCGCCAACCATGTAGAAGGCGCCCTCGGGCAGGTCGTCACCCTCGCCAGCCAGAATAGACCGGAAAGAAGCGATCGTGTCCTTCAGGTCAACGAGGCAGCCCTCGATACCCGTGAAGACTTGGGCAACCGTGAACGGCTGGCTGAGGAAACGCTGGATCTTGCGGGCACGCTCGACAGTAAGCTTGTCGGCTTCCGACAGCTCGTCCATACCCAGAATGGCAATGATATCCTGCAGCGACTTGTACTCCTGGAGGATCTGCTGGACGCGAGTGGCGGTGGCGTAGTGCTCATCTCCGACAATACGGGGGTCGAGCATACGAGACTTGGAGTCGAGAGGGTCAACAGCGGGGTAGATACCCAACTCGGAGATACCACGCGACAAGACAGTGGTGGCGTCCAGATGGGCAAAGGTAGTAGCCGGGGCGGGATCAGTCAAATCATCAGCGGGGACGTAGACGGCCTGCACCGAGGTAATAGAACCCTTCTTGGTCGTGGTAATGCGCTCCTGCATTTGACCCATGTCTACGGCAAGAGTGGGTTGGTAACCGACGGCGGAGGGGATACGACCGAGCAGAGCAGACACCTCGGAACCGGCCTGGGTGAAGCGGAAAATGTTGTCGATGAAGAGAAGCACTGTGCATGGTCAGCATTGCGTCGAGGCTTTTAGATATGAAGAAGCAGAATTTTCATACCATCCTGGCCCTCGTCATCTCGAAAATTCTCAGCAATTGTTAGACTATTTTGTTTAATATTAGTATAGAAGTCCAGCAGTGAGGCTGAGAGCTCGACAAGAAAACAGAATAGTAGGCGAAGATCTGGACAAGATAGTGGGATAGTAGGCTGCAGCTAGGCGCTTGCAGCGGCGGCAAAAAAACGTACCCAGTAAGGGCGACACGGGCACGGGCTCCTGGGGGCTCGTTCATCTGGCCAAAGACAAGGGCGACCTTGGACTCGCCATCCAGCTGAATGACCGAGGTCTCCTGCATTTCGTGGTACAGATCGTTACCCTCACGGGTACGCTCGCCGACACCGGTGAAGACGGAGTAACCACCGTGGGCCTTGGCGATGTTGTTGATCAACTCCTGGATAAAGACAGTCTTGCCGACACCAGCACCGCCGAAGAGACCAATCTTTCCACCACGAGCGTAAGGGGCGAGGAGATCCACCACCTTGATGCCAGTCACCAGAATCTCGGCCGCCGTGGACTGCTCAATGAACGAAGGAGCCTCGGCGTGGATGGGGAGTCTCTTGTCCGACTTGATGGGGCCACGTTCGTCAATCGGGTCACCGGTGACGTTCATGATACGACCGAGCGTGGCATTGCCGACACTAATTAGTATCATGGGTCAGCGGATCAGCTCGATGTGGCCGCATCAAGCTGCGAGCGACTCTCTCTGGGACCGACACAGGCGCTAGAACTTACGGGATTGTGATGGGAGCGCCGGCTGCGATTGAGGTTAGCCACTGCATGTCATTGGCCTCGGGGGGGGAAAATATCAACTTACTATCGGTGGCCTTGGCGCCGCGGGTAAGACCCTCAGTACCTGTGTCCGTTTAGAAAAAAACTTGCCAAAGCACTAAGCGATTCAAGAAGACGGACCGTCCATGGCAATACATCTCACGACAGACTCGCCGAGATGTTGCTGTGTTGCTAGTTAGCGAGTCATACCCCGAGCGATGCCGGGTGTTGGGCTTGGCATACCGCGACCTCGAGCACGAGCTTCTGGCCATCTTTGGTAACCTCGAGGGCGTTCAGGATAGGCGGCAGCTTCTCGGTGTCAAACTTGACTGTATTTGGCGATAGTTAGTCCATCGCTCAGGAGTTGGTTTTGTTGCGAGGCGTAGATTCCAGCAAGCAGCAGACTGACCATCGACGACGGCACCTATGGGTTGAATTGCGCGGTTAGCCGGGATGTTTCGGAACTAGTGTCGGACTCCTCCTGCGGCCGGGGTTGGCGGCGGTGCTCACCAATGACCTGGTAGATCTTTCCATCACCGACACTGGCAGTGCTGGCAAATCTGCTGAGGGCAGAAGGGGCGCGGAGATTGAGGCTCGCGGGGCGGACAGCGCGACGAGTGGCGGCCGCGAACGAGGGACGAGCCGTCCGAGCGAAGGCGGAAATGCCGCTGCATCACGACAAATTTGCTCTCGCATCAGCTCAATTGGCCTCAATTGGTCTCTGCGCGGCCTGGGAATGCCGTCCGCAAGTCGGGACTCACCTCTTGAACATCCTGACGATGGTAAAGGGCGGACTTTAGATGGTGGATGTGCAGTCGAAGGGTTGATGGCTTGGGAAGAGGGAAGAAACGGGTTCGAAAATCTCTCGACGAGGAACGAGCTTTCGGTTAGGTGCTGCGGAGCTGTGAGCCTGCCACGTGACCACCGCACTTGCCCACCTCACCTCCCGGACACCTCAGTTATTATGAAATGTGGGGCACTCGCCCAGGAGCCAGCCATCCGCTAGCCAATTTTTTCCCTCAGTGCTCCATCCATCAATTTGGCAGTTGCCGAGCAAATACAGGCAGTATACGCGCCTGAGGCATCCACATCCACCCGCTCTCCCGAAACATCCTTCGACTGTACGCTGCGGCTTTTTGGCGCCGGGGAAGCACCAAGTGCAACAACCAAGTGCAAGCAAGCCTGAGGGGGGTCCTAGGCCGACGATGGTTCAACCTGGTACACGTAAAACGGCATTCGTTCATCATTCATTGCAATTTGAACAAATCCATATAGAACAGCATCCATGATTTTAGGATCGGTATACTGGTCAAAAAATCCGTCAATCAGCCTAGACAAACTGCGGATGGGATGCGCCTGCTACTGACAGTAATTTTTCATTTTTATTTGTTTATTTATTTAGAATCCCTCATACCATCTATTTGTCTAAATTAGACTCTGACCAGGGGACTTGCAAATAATGAGCCAACCGAGAAAAGAAAGAAAAAATACAATAAGAAACACTGCACCTGGGGGGTCTTAGTAGCACTGGAATCCTCTCAGAGTCGCCCCTCCAGCCCCGATTCTCGACTCGTGCGCCAGTACCTGGAAATGCGTTAGATAATTGACTTTCAACAAGGGAGGGTCGGTGATGGCCAGCGCCAGCCAAACTTACAAAAGCCGTTCTGCTGGGAATGTAGACGTGAGTGCAGTTCTTTCGGTTGTTCCACTCGAGCGGCTCGGTGAAGAAGCGTGTCGCCTCGTCCAGCCGGTTGAAGCCGCCATGGTCCTTGCTGTCCGTGTTCAGGATGATCCGGTATGTCCCCGGAACCTCGATGCCAATGCGGTAATCCGTGAAGCTGTTGCTCGGGTGGAAGTTGAACACAAACACCAAGCCGGCACGCTCAAAGACAATTACCTTGTCGCCCTCGTGCTTCAGGGAGATGAACGCCTGGTCCGAATGAAGCCACCCATACTTGGCCTCGGTGGTGTTCATCGACCTGTCGAAGTTGTTGAGGAACTGGTACCTGAGAAGGGGGTCTTCTGTCAGGTTGAACTGGCGCCGAGCGTACCAGAACGAATTCTGGTTGCCCTCTCGGGGGAAGTCGAGCCACTCCGGATGTCCAAACTCGTTGCCCTCGAAGTTCAGGTACCCTTCGCCTCCCAGGCTGTGCGTGAGCAGGCGAATCATCTTGTGCAGCGCCATACCCCGGTCAATGACGGCCGTCAAGGGCGTGAGGGTCGACATGTTGGTGTAGAGCTCGGCGTCGCAGAGGTGCATCATGAGACTCTTGTCTCCCACAAGTCTGCAAAGACGTCAGTACAGCTCTGAAATAAGCACCACGTGCAAACCGAAACTTACGCTTGGTCGTGACTCTCGCAGTATGCGATCGTCTTCTCGGCATGTCGCCTGTTGGTCAGCGTCCAGCAGATGTTGCCAATGTCCCACTCTTCGTCTTTTTGCTCCTTTAGGATCTTGATCCACATGTCCGGGATTGCCATGGCGAGCCGGTAATCAAAGCCGACACCGCCCAAGGCAAGCGGCAGACACAAGGCTGGCATCCCCGATACGTCCTCGGCTACAGTAATAACGTCGGGGTACAACTCATGCAGCAACTCGTTGGCCAGCATCATGTACACGACGGCCTCTTCATCGACACCGGCGCCAAAATACTCATGGTAACCGCCTGAGAAACCACTTTTTACACATTGGTTAATCTCCTTATTATGCGAAACTGGAAAGGAACTGGGGTACACAAAACTTACGTCCCGATGCCGTGGTGGAGATAGAGCATGCTGGTCACACCATCGAACCTGAACCCGTCGAAGCAGTATTCGTCCATCCAGAACCGCAAGTTGCTGAGCAGGAACCTCATGACCTCGTGGTGGCCGTAGTTGAAGAGCCTGCTGTCCCAGAGTTCGTGTCTTCCCTTGACACCCTCATGGAAGTACTGGTGGTCTGTGCCGTCAAACTCGTTCAGCCCGTCGAGCACGTTCTTGGAGGCGTGGCTGTGCACCACATCTAGGAGCATAGTTATGCCCATGCCATGGGCCGTATCAACCAGCTCCTTCAAGTCCTCGGGAGAGCCGTACCGGCTGCTCGCGGCAAAGAAGTTGTTGACCTGGTAGCCGAAGCTGGCATAGTAGGCGTGTTCCATGACGGCCATGAGCTGGATGACGTTGTATCCCAGATCTCTGATGCGCGGGAGCATGGTCTTGGTGAACTCCTTGTATGTGGCGACCCGCAGCTCGGGCGAAGAGATGCCGACGTGGGCCTCATAGACTCTGAGGCTCTCGGGCTTCTTCGGCCGAGGATGCTTGAAGACATATCTGTCTGCAGGGGCCGGATTCCAGAACCGGCCTTCATACGCAGGCGAGATTGAGAGATCCTGCGTGACATACTTGATCCACGCGGGTATTCTGTCCACCCACATCCCACCTGGCAACTCAAGGGACACCTGGGCTTTTGTTAGACCTAAGAGGCAGCACGCAGTTCTTGGGATGCACAAGACGCACCTTGATCTTTGAGTTGTGCGGGATGGCGGCCTGGCCGTTTGCATTAGGGAGGATGGTTACGGAGAAAACACCGAATTCATTCTTCTGCATCGGATGTGTCTCCTGGTTCCAGTTGTCTGTAAACAGTAAGACAAAAGCCCCGAGCTAGTATGTAAATAGGGGGAAACATACTGAAGTCTCCGATCAGAGAAGCTTTCACGGCACCAGGCGCCCACTCTCGGTAGGTGATGCTGTTATCTTTGCCCACGTGTAGCCCAAAGCTGTCTGCGCCCTAGAACAAGAGTTGGCAAGGTCAGGAGGTAATAGGGGAGCAAAAAGCCCATCGCCGCGGATACGAATCACCTACTTTGCTGAACTTGTCGAGGCCGCCCTCGGTCTCGTTGATGCGCTTGATCCAGTCATGGGTCTTGGCGTAACGACGCTTCAACGAGTCCTGGAACGGAGAGAGCCAGGGATCGAGCTTGACAACGCCTGTTGGTCGAGTCAATCACCAACTCCAAAACAAGAGCACGGCGTGCCAAATAGAGAAAGAAGTCGTACCTGTACCATCCTTGGGGATGTCATCGCCGGCCACCTGGCCGCCGCCGGCCAGCGTGTTGGACGACTTCTCGGCAATGGTGTCCATTCTCTGCACAGCTGTCGTCACGAATGCGACGGGCAACTTGGCAGGATGGTAGTCTTCACTGGGAATATGCGTCGTGTTGGAATGATGGTGATGTGATGGCCCAGAAAAGAGGGAGTGAAGTGAGGTGAGGTGAGGTGAGGTGAGGTGAGGTGAGGTTAGGCTAGGCGATGCAGGACGTGAAATCCAATGCTGTGGATAATAGGGCCTGCTAGTTTTGGGGCACTAAGTCGTGGACGACGTGCACTAATCCTCGGGAACAAACACAGGGAAAGCAATTGATTACTATCGTCAGAGAAGAAGAGCACAGTGGACAAGGAGCGTTGTGGTTTGTATTGGCAGAAGCACCCGACCAAGTATCTCGATTTGGGATTTAGTGGTGTGATGGTGAGCTTGGGGGAGCTTGGGAGAGCTTGGGGGAGCTTCAGGGAGAGTGACTAAGGTGAGGTGAGGCGACACTGTTCGTGTAAATGCTAGATTACATCATTGCTCTGCCACCCAACTCAATTCAACGAGAAATCCCAGGCTCGGTTGCTGCTCAACGCCCGTTGGACACCCCTGCACGGCCTCCACTGTTGCGCCGCCGCCTGTTGGCAGACCCAACACTAATGCGCCAGCCCCCTCCCTGTTGCGCGGCGGCGACTTTCGAGGTGAGATTACGCCGTGAAGGGGCAATTGCGAGAGTCGAGGCCCTCCGTACCCGGTGCCAGGTGGCGCATCACTCCTGCTTTCTTTGGCTAACAGCCGTCGGGTAACGCAGGCGGCTAGAAGGCCCGAGGGCGGTGGGTGGGAAGCTCATGTTTCCCTGCTTTGGGCTGGCCGTTTGATTTGGCCGTGGAGCTCTCGTGAGGTACCCCGTACATAGCTCACATCCGAAGGTCGGCCTCGTTCAAAAAGTTCAGCGTCTTTTTATCTTTTGGCAAGCTCTGTATTTCGCAAAGTATCTAAAGATAAAAGATACGCTTAGATACGGAGTATTTAGGCGTGTAAGTGCGCGAGGTGCCTCGCAGTTGGCGCCATGGGCTAGGCAGCTGCAGCAGGTGCCGAAAGCTGAAAGTGGATCGGAGGGAGAGGGCTTCCGGATGTGGATGGAAGATGTACCCTGATGTAGCGGTTCATAGGAGGAGCAGCGCTGTATACATCCAGCTACCAGCATCTCGACTGCACATCCCCCGCACTCATGGCGGCGGTGTCGAACTCTCGCGATTCCTTTCAGAGGGCGTGCGATGTTCAGGCATTCGGCATTCTCCTCTGCCTCCTACAGGATCCTGACACCAATCCATCATGAAGCTTCGCCGCTGAACCCGAACCCTGCCCGAGTTTGAAGTTGGCAGGCTCAACTTGCAGAGCTGTGCAGAACTAATAGAAACCGAGCATGGCATGAGTGCGGTTGGGCGCATCACAGTGCAGTCACACCTCATATTGGCCGTTTCCCGAGAACATGTCGGCCCTCGCCCGACGGCGCGTCCCGTCGTGTGCGTCAGCGCTGCCGCCGCGAATCCGGCTGCGGAACCCGGCCTTCTCGACCTTTATTGCCCTCAACGCCCGCCGCGTGCCCTACTCGAATACCGGCTTCACGAGCAGCTACGACCCGACGCAGGACGCAAGCCGTGGCCCCATCTTCGACAAGGCCGCCTTTGGCGTTCCCCAGTTCTACCCCCGCGATCTGAAGCGCCGAGTCGACGACTACGTGGTCGGCCAGGAGCGGGCCAAGAAAACAATATGTTCCGTGATATTCAACCACTACCAGTCGCTCCGCCGCCGCCAGCACCACGACACTGAGGACCAGCGCTTACGAGAGAAGCTTCAGAGACAGTACGTCTGCCTAGACTGTGTTTACACTTGAGTGCAAGTGCCGTTCTAATCTGCCCCTGTCTCCAGATCTCGGCGCCAGGCCGAGGAGCGTTACCAGCAGGACGAAGAACGCGCGAGGCACAACGACTTTTCCCGAGGGTCATACCAGCTCCCGGAAGAGCCACCGGACAGTTCAGCGGACCCTTTCCATATCCCCGACGTCTTCGATGCGCCACCCCACGTCAAAATAGACAAGAGCAATCTTCTCCTGCTCGGGCCAACGGGCGTGGGAAAAACATATATCCTTGAGTAGGTTGAGTTCTACCCCTCTCGCCCCGAATCCGGGCCGTGCGCCGGTGGCCGTGCTGACGTTTATTCTTGCAGAACACTGAGCAAGAAGCTCAACGTGCCGTTCGCCATAAGTGACTGCAATGCTTTTACACAGGCGGGGTATATTGGACAGGACGTTGAGGCGTGCATAGAGCGCCTACTGATTGAGGCCAACTACGACGTCGAAGCCACCGAGCACGGGATCGTGGTGCTGGACGAGTTCGACAAGATCGCAAGGCGAGAGACGATCAATGGGAGAGACGTGGGAGGCGAAGGTGTCCAGCAGGCTTTGCTGAAGCTTGTAGAAGGGACAAAGATCACAGTCAATGTCAAGGATCACCGCTCCTCGCGCTCGACGGCCGCACCATCTAACAGCTACGGGTCATCGTCGCCGTCGCAACCATCCTCGTCGGTCCCGCCATCATCTGCCCCGGCATCCGGCAAGGTCGAACAGTTCATCATCGACACCACCAACATCCTATTCGTCTTCTGCGGCGCCTTTGTGGGACTTGACAAGACAGTTCTTAGACGAGTTTCCAAGCGGTCGATGGGCTTTGGGTCTGAAATCCGCAGCCTGCGGAATTCATCCCTCCCGGGCGCCGGCGAGGATATTCTCCCACGCGCCATGTACAACCACCTCCCCCACCAGCCAGCAGTGCCGTCGGAGAGCGTAGCTGCGCCAGCGTGGGGCGGGGGGTTCACTCCGCTCGACCTGACGACGCCTGCGGATCTCCAGGCCTTTGGCTTCATACCGGAACTCATCGGGCGGATGCACAACATCTGCGCGCTCACGCCGCTGTCGCTCGACGAGCTGTACCGCATCTTGACAGAGCCCGTCAACTGCCTAGTGGCGCAGTACGTGGCGTTGTTCGAGACGTATCCGAGCCGGCTGTTCTTCACGCGGCGGGCGCTCCTCGCCATCGCTGAGCGGGCGGCCAAGAACGAGACGGGCGCGCGCGGCCTGAAGATGGAGATGGAGCGCGTCCTGGCCGAGCCAATGTTCGACGCCCCGACGCCCTACGTGCTGATCACCGAGGGCTGCGTGGGCGGCACGGAGAAGGCTAGGTACTGGGGCAAGGACGGCCGCTTGGAGCTGGAACGGGTCATGCGCGACGAGGACGAGAGGCCGGCCGAGTCTGCCGAGCCGGATGCCACGTTTGAGCAGTTCCGCGAGGCCGGCCAGAGCGGCGCATGAAGTTGAATGGTGTTTTTTTGAGCGTTGGCTACTATGGCATACGGATGACAGACGGACGACACAGGCGTTTTGTAAGTAGGGTTTGGAACACAGGCGGGACATGGATAAGGACAAGAAGATAGGAATTGGGCGGGCTTTTTCGGAGAGTACTGCATTTTACATTTACATGGTACCTAAGGTATTCAACAGAACGGGCTTGAATTTTTGAACACGGAATATCTTTGGCTTGGTGCTTAACATGCCCCTTTTCCTCTTGGTCCTGTCCTAGCAAGTCTTTGATTGCATCATTGGGGCCGTTGGTGGGGTGGGCGGCATCGGAGCTTCACTGATTGCTTTCTCCAAACTTTTTGTAAGATGGAGGGGAAAAAAGGAGGGGCAGTGGTTTTCCATACGTTAATCCTCAGTTATCAAACACCGAGTCAACCTCCCTCCACAGTGTCCACGGCCAGCTGTAGACTGCAAATTATTGATTCGTTGCACAGTTGGTCTTGCGGCTTTGGTTGCATTGTGTTTCTGAACGGGTTTTGCTCTTCCGTCGAGACGCTTGCCGTTGACTTCGGTTCTTTCCTAACGGTTCTCAGCCCATATACCACAGTACTATCGGACCTGCAACTCGGCTACGTACCTCGCCTACCTGCCTGCCCATTATCTGTGTCATATCTGAGAGACAAAAACGACGACGGCGCCTTGATACTCAACTCACGCGCCGGCCACGTATCATGGCCGCGCCCACGCCCCCTTCCCTCCCCGGGGACAGCCTTCCTCACCCTCCTCCCACACCCGCAACAACAACTACCACCACCACAACCACCACCACGACCTCGTCCACAACAGCCCCCACCACAACCACCATACCCACGGCAGCGGCAGCAATCCGCATCGACGCGCTGCCGCCCTTCAAGCTCGACCTGGGCGACCGCGCGTGGACGTCGGTGCCGCACCCGACGCTGCCGCTGCTGGCTACGACGCACGACAAGGCCGCCACCGTCTTCTCGCTGGCCACGTTCGCCAAGCACAGCGCGCTGACGGGCGGCCACGCGCGCTCCGTGCGCTCCGCCGCCTGGCAGCCCGGCCGCGAGACCGCGCCGCCGCGCCTTGTTACCGGGAGTTTTGATGCCACTGCCGGTCTGTGGAGCTGGAATCCCGCTGCTGCCGTCAATAGTGGCGGGGGTGGGGGCAGGCTGGAGACGGAGGTCAAGGCTGTGGCTAAGCGGTCGGGGAGTGGTGGTTCAGACGAAGAGGAAGAGGAAGAGGAGGATGAGTGGATCTTCAATCTCGTGCTCGAGGGCCACGACAGCGAAGTCAAGGGCGTGGCGTTCTCGCCGTCGGGGCAGTACCTGGCGACGTGCAGCCGGGACAAGTCGGTGTGGATCTGGGAGGACGTGAGCGCGGGCGCGGGCGGGGACGGCGACGACGGTGAAGACGAGTGGGAGACGGTGGCGGTACTGAGCGAGCACGACGGCGACGTCAAGGCCGTGGCGTGGTGTCCTGACGTGCCCGGGCGGCGGAGTACTGGCAGCGGCACTTACAGCGCCGACGTGCTGGCCAGCGCGAGCTACGACGACACTGTGCGCATCTGGCGCGAGGACGCCGACGGCGAGTGGGTGTGCGTCGCCGTGCTCGAGGGCCACGACGGCACCGTGTGGGGTCTCGAGTGGGAGCAAAAGCCGCGCCCCGGCGGCAGGTTCCCGCGGCTGCTCACCTTCTCGGCCGACGCGCGGATCCGCATATGGACGCTGCGGCAGGGCGAGGCCGATGGCGAGAAAGCAGATGGCGAGAACGCCAGCAGCCACCCCATGTTCCAGTCCGGGTTCGGCGGTCTCCCCAACACCATGCGTCGGTCCCTGCGCGAGGAGTGGGACTGCACGGCGGTGCTGCCCCAGGCGCACACGCGCGACATTTACTCGGTGACGTGGAGCGCCGCTACGGGCATGGTTGCCAGCACCGGCAGCGACGGCGTCATTGCCGTCTACGGCGAGGATCCCGCCGCCGCCAAGCAGACAGCACCACAAACGACAGACGGAGCAGATGCCACCGCGGCAGCAGCAGCAGATGCAGCAAACGGCTGGCGGCTGCTGGCCACGGTAACCGACGGCCACGGCGGCTACGAGGTCAACCACGTCACGTGGTGCAAGCGCTTCGATCCGGGGACGGACCACAAGGGCGAGGAGGAGATGCTGGTGACGACGGGCGACGACGGCGTGGTGCGGCCGTGGCAGGTCAGGGCAGTGTAGTATAGTATAAGGTGAGATAAATGATAAACAGAAACATGAACACAAACAACAAACCTCCTATATGCAAGGCTGAAAACGCCCTTGTCACTCTGCGCATGTGAATAAATAAATATATAGATATTATATATAACAATAACGCTTCGCTGGCAACAAAACAAGAAAGCAGTTAGCTCCCCCTCAGCACGTCTAGGAGAGAAAGTCAGTCAGAGCCGCGCAACTTGGAGCACCCTGTACATGAATGGAATAGTAGCGGCGACGTAGCCAGGGTCCAGAACAGACAGTCATGATGATGCTCGGATGTTTGTTTGTCTGCCTGTCACGACCTTCGCTCCCAAGATGCGTTGATACAGCACAAAACCCGGGATGGCGACTTCCAAAACGGCCTTCGGCTATCTTCCTACCTGCCTCGTGGCACATAGCAACTTCTCTATAAAGATGAAAACACAGTGATCCCGACTGTGGTGATTTGGTCTAATAAAAAACGTGGGTGAAATTATGTACCAAAACAAATATCATCATCCCCCCTCCCTCTTATCCCTCTCTTTCTTGTTACACAAATGCAAGGTTACACTGGCAGCAGCCCACTAATCTAGCCGTTGCCGCCACAAGTATATTACACGAGAAAGAACCTTCACTCGACCTCGCGGCGAGCAGATCGAGTGCCCTTCATTATTTCCTAGCAACACGCCCATGGAAAGATAGAAATAATGCTCTCCAAGCGGTCCAGGGCAAAAAGAAAAAAAGGAAAGAGTTTGATTTGGTTCCTACCCATGTTATTTTGCCGTTTGTCGTTGTTGTCTATTGTGCTCAAAATCAAAAAAAGAACCGCAACCATGCTGAATGTGCCTTACTCCACCTTTTGCTACAGTACTCTACTCCCCCTTCAACTTCTCCTGAGTGACGGTGAACGCCTTCCGCAGCAGCTCCTGCTCCTCCTTGGTGTGCGAGGACTTGGCGCCCGTAGCAACCGAAGCGCTGGGGCTGCGGCCGGCATACATGACGTGCTTGCGGTCATGGTGCTCCGTGTGGTTGAGCAGCGTCTCGATGCGAGGCTGCGTGAAGCTCCACGCGCCCGCGTTCAGGGGCTCTTCCTGCGCCCATACAATGGTCTTGGCGTTGGGGTACATGTCGAGGTTCTCGCGCAGCTGCTCCCATGGGAAGGGGTTCAGCTGCTCGATGCGGGTCAAGGCGACGTTGTCGATCTTGTTGTCGGCGCGGTACTTGACCAGCGCGGCATAAACCTGACCGGTGCAGAGAATGACGCGATCAATCTCCTCGGGCGCCTTGAGTTCGCCCGTCTTGTGGGCCGGGTCAGTAATGATCCACTGGAACTGCGAGTCGCCAACAAAGTCCTCAATGTCTGAGCGGGCAATGGGGTGGCGCAGCAGCGACTTAGAGAAGAAGAGAATGAGAGCTGCGTAAAGAAAAGCCTTGTCAGTAAAAACTAGTCAACGGAAAGGGTATAAATAGACGGGGCTCACGCTTGCGGAACTGCCGGTTCATTTGGCGGCGGAGAATGTGGAACAGATTGGCCGGGGTGGTCATGTAGGCAATCTGCATGTTGGAGTCCTGGTGCTGGCGGTTGAGCTTCTCGGGCGAGGGGAACACGCGAGGATCCTCGTTGCAGAGCTGGAGGAATCGCTCGAGACGACCGGAAGAGTGCTCAGGGCCCTGGCCGTCGTATCCGTGGGGCAGAGACATGACGAGGCCAGTGCGCTGCATCCACTTCACCTCACCAGACGCGATGAACTGATCGATGATGCACTGGGCGTTGTTGGCAAAGTCGCCAAACTGAGCCTCCCACATGATGAAGCCGTTGGGGTCCGTAAGAGAGTAGCCGTACTCGAATCCGAGAGCGCCAAACTCGCTGAGCGACGAGTTGGAGATGACGAACTTGCCCTGGTCCTTGCTGATGTTCTGAAGAGGCGTGTATGTGTCTTCGGTCTCCTGGTCGTGGAAGACGGCGTGGCGCTGCGAGAAGGTACCGCGCTCGACGTCCTGGCCGGAGATGCGGACGTGGCGGCCCTCGGTCACGAGGGTGCCGAACGCCAACGCCTCGGCCGTCGACCAGTCGATGCTCTTGCCCTCGACAACCGACTTGGTGCGGTTGGCGAGAATGCGCTTCAGGTTGCGGTGGACGTTGAAGCCCTCGGGGGCAGTGCCGATGACCTCGCCAATGTGCTCGAGTGTCTTCTGGTCCACGCCGGTAGGGTTGTGGGGCAGGACTTCGGTGGCCAGCTCCTTGGGGGACTTGAATCCGTTCCAAGCGCTAGTCGTCCATTCCTTAGATGTAGGCTGATAGTCCTTGGATTTGGAGAAGCTCTCCTCCAGCATGCCCCACACCCACTGCTTGTGCTCCTCGATGTCCTCCTTGGTGAAGGTGCCCTCCTTGAGGAGCTGGTCGACGTAGATGTTGATCTGCGGCTCGTGCGACTGGATGCGCTTGTACATCAGCGGCTGTGTGAAGGACGGCTGGTCAGTCTCGTTGTGGCCGTGCTTGCGGTAGCAGACCAAATCGATGATGACGTCCTGCTTGAATTCCGCGCGCCAATCGGCAGCCAACTGGCAGACGAAGTTAACGGCCTCGACGTTGTCAGCGTTGACGTGGAAGACGGGGGCATCGATGGCCTTGGCAATATCCGTGCAGTAGGCAGTCGAGCGGGCGAAGCGGGGGTCTGTGGTGAAGCCGATCTGGTTGTTCACGACCAAGTGAATGGTGCCGCCGGTCGAGAAGGCCGGCAGAGAGTGGAAGCCGAGACATTCGTACACGACACCCTGGGCAGCAAAGGCGGCATCGCCGTGGAGCAGGACGGCCATGGCACTGCGGTGCGTCTGCTCGTCGTTATTGTAGTGCTGGATGGCGCGGACCTTGCCGAGCACGACGGGATCCTCGGCCTCGAGATGCGACGGGTTGGCGACGAGGGACAGCTGCACGCGCTTTCCAGAGGGCGTGGGACGCTCAAAGTTCATGCCCAGATGGTACTTGACGTCGCCTGAACCCTCGTCCTCGGCGCCAGTGGTGCCGGCAAACTCGCTGAAGATGGACTCGTTGGGCTTGCGGACGACGTTGCTCAGGACGTTGAGACGGCCGCGATGAGGCATGCCAATGACAATATCCTTGACGCCATAGTCGACGCTGCGGTCGATGAGAGCCTTCATGCCGGGCACCAGGGTCTCGCAGCCCTCGAGGCCGAAGCGCTTGTCGTTGGGGTACTTTGTGGACAGGAACGACTCGAAACTGGAGCTCCAGATGAGGCGGTCGAGAATCCTCCGCTTCTCGTCGATCGAGTATTTGAAGGGCTGAGGCACCTCGAGGCGCTCGCGCAGCCAGTCGCACTTTTCCCTGTCGGGGATGTGGATGAACTCGACACCGTAGTCGCCGCAGTAGATGTTCTCGCAGGCGGCGACAATCTCGCGCAGCGTCATCTTCTCGCGGCCGTCCTTCTTGAAGCGCGGCAGGATGCCGGGGCCTAGTGTGTACTCCGTGTCCATGTCCTTCTCGGTGAACTGGTAGTAGTCTAGCGACAGCTCTTTCGGCTTGATGTTGCCGAAGCCCTTTGAGGACTCGCGGATGCCCAGGGGGTCGATCTTTGCCCTGTTGTGGCCACGGGCCTGGTATGCGCGCACGAGCAGCTGGACCTTGAGGTGGTTGGTGACGTCAGAGCCTTCGCCGATGCCGACACCAGCGCCGCCTGCCAGACCGGGCACGACGGACGAGCCGGGCACCAGCGACGGGGGCGGCGTGAAGGCCTGGGAGATGGGCATGTCGCCGCTCTCCATGTTCCGGAAGTAGACCTGCCACGAGACGTGGACGCTCTTGGGGTCGTGCTTCCACTGCAGGTACATCTCGTCGACGTAGCTGGCCGAGCTACCCGAGAGGAAGTTGTCGTTGGGGTTGGGCGGGTTGGACGTGGCGCTCTCGAAGCGTTTCTGGGCGGCCACGGCCAGCGGGCGGCGCGAGGCCGTCAGCTTGAAGGCGGCTCTCGCTGACACGGAGGCTGTCGAGAAGCATCGTGGCGACGACGACACAGCCGCGCCGTGCAGCGCCCGAATGGAGCTGCGCAGCATCTCGCCTGAAAAGCCGGGAACCAGGCGGGTTCCAACGGAGTGCGACGAGGAAATAAAATACAGTCCAGCCCCAGCCGGGACAGGGTCGAGTCAGGTCAGGCTGGAAAAATAAGGTGGCGAGATCGAGAACGAGACAGCCGTTACCCGTCAGCGCTCAATTGTGTTGTATAGACAAGAGCACAATACAAAGGAGCGGCGGAGTAAGTCTGGCACGTTCAATCGTGGGAATCGGTGTCGTCGCTAGGGGACAAGAGGCGAGGTTGAGGACATTTGTGTCGGGTCGGATCCAAGAAAAAGAAGGCTAAAAGCTCGCATGCATTTCGCCAGTCACAGAACAGGCCTACCGGAGAGAGACCACGGAGCACGATGACGGCAAATTCTCCAAAGACGGCCAGGGTGGCCGCTGCAGACAGGCCCGTGTGGCTCATAGCCAACCAGGAGCCCGATATTTGGGGAACTCGGACCCGCTGTAGTGGCTTGGCCGGGCAGTCGCTGTTAGTGTTGCCATCAGGCGGCCCAGCCACTGTTGGACAGTTTCTGCGACAAGCGTGCCGTCCAGTGACCAGTCCGTCCTCATCCATCATTCCATTTCTAATTCAAACTTATAATCGACCAAACAGGCACCGCCATTACCTAACAGCAAGGTTTTTAGTATGAAATACGGAAGGAATAGCACGTCTCTTGACCACGGAGCAAATGGCGATGGCCACTCAGCGCTTCATTAGGGTGAGAGTGACTTGTTGATGGATAAATCACGTGTTTAACCAAATTATTGTTGGACAAAACACTCCATACTTGGGGTACACACGTATAGCACATAGGGATATTATCTAGTAAGCTAAGTTACTAAGCAAGTTTCCCGAAAGACGCAAGATGTTAGGCTCTGTGTCGGAATATGGATGCGCTTCAACGGTTTGAGAAAGGTTTCTGGTCCAAACTTCGAGTTTAATCGGAATTGTTGGACACAGTGAATTTCGCGCGGGACACCGCCGCTTTGGTCAATTCAATCCCTTTGATTCATCAGGCCGTTAGTACTGTGCTCCTCAGGCCGTACCCGTGCCCCGTACTTTACCGAGGAGTCCGTCAAATTGAAAGGAAAGAGCGGCCCATGTCCCTCATACATGGAACTCACTCGTTAAAATGCCTGCTTCCACTTCCAGGTTGTGACGACCTAAAGTCGGTAAAGTCGGTGCCCCGAAACACGGCAGCTGCCATTCAGCGGGCTGCACTTGTCTCGCACAGTACAGTACCTGCACCTGCCCTGCCCTGCCCTACTGACCGAGGGTTTGAAAGTCTACCGACGGGTGCGTAAAACTCAGCCTAGCCTTCCTTAGCCTCCGCCGCAGTCATCGCGACCGTGACATCCGGACTACATTCTCCATCTTCACCTTTGGTGAACAACCCGATCCCAGCTAGCGTTTTGGGCATCGACATCCACAACCGCCAACCTTGGTTGTCCCCGTCTCCTAGGACTGGCCTGGACCGGCATGCAGGCAGGCAGGCAGGCCAACTGAGAGCTGGATCTGGGGCAGCAGAATATTACGGGGAGCGTGGAATGCAGAATACAGCGGGAAGAATACGGAAACGGAATAATAGCTGCTGCTTCGTTTCATTCGCTTCGCATCGCATCGCCGTAGCTAGTTGATGCCAACATACTCCGTACCTAACTGATACCACCGCATACGGGATAATACCAGAAACACACACAGAACCACGTCGCAAGGGCGTGAGCTGGAGCTACGCCGCATGCCCTGGGCCACACGGGCTGACCTGACCCGAGCCTCGCGTCGCCGACGGTCGGCGTCGACTGAGCCTCTTCCCGCCGCTATTGTGCAACAGTGAGCCTGCCGGACCGCCGCCGCCGCCATGGCCCCGGCTACGGCCATCCCGCGCGGCCTCGCCTCGTACAAGAAAAAGGACGGCATCGTCACCCTCACACCCGACCAGAGTGCCCTGATATGGTCCCCGCTTCCCGGCACCGGCCCGCCCGTCGTCTCCCTCGCCGTCAGCCGGCTCAGGAATCTGCAGCGCACTCCCGACTCAGCTCCCAAGGTTATCCTCAAGGTCTTTGAGAAGCCCCGGACCCCTGACGGTGAACCCATACCCTACGCCTTCACCTTCACCTCGCCCACCGAAGCCAGAAACGAGGCCAATGCCCTCAAGGATTTGCTCTCCGAGTTCATCAAGGCCAACCAGCCCGGCGCTGCTGTTGGTCCTGCGACCCCCGGCGCCGGCCCGGCAGCGGGACCCGGAGCGGCCTCGTCCGCCGTTGCCGGCAGCAATGGCGCTTCGGCTTCCGTCTCCTTCGCCAACGCCGCCAACGCCGCCAACGCAAAGCAGCGCCCCCCTGTCGTGCGTTGGTTTGATGACGAGTCCCTCAAGACCAACACGCAGATGCAGCAGTCGCTCATGAAGCAGGATGCCGAGCTGAGCCAGATGTACGCCGATGCGCGTACCACCAAGCCCGACTCGCTCTCCGACGGGGCCTTCAACGCCCAGTTCTGGTCGAGCCGCGTCGGCCTGCTGCGCGCCCACGCCATCGAGCTGAACCAGAAGAAGGGCGCCTACAACATCCTGGCGACAGTCAAGCCGCGCGTCGAGAACGGCGAGCTACGGCTCAACATGAAGCCCGAGCAGGCCCAGATGATCCTGCAGCAGCACCCGCTCGTGCAGCGCATCTACAATGAGAACACGCCCAAGCTGTCCGAGACGGACTTTTGGAGCCGCTTCTTCAACAGCAAGCTGTGCAAGAAGCTGCGCGGAGAGCGTGTTACCGACCTCGACCACGACGACGCTGTCTTCGACCGCTACAACGATGCCGACAACTCGCTGGCCTTTGCCACCCGTATCATGTCCCAGCCCGTGCCGCACATGATCGACCTGGAAGCCAACGAGGAAAACCAGGGCGGCGGGCCCCGCAGCGGCAACCGCAAGGACGTCGAGATGCGCCCGCGCTACAACGTGCCCATAGTCAAGACGCTCAACAGCCTGAGTGAGAAGATCATGGCCAACGTGGCCCCCACAGACGGCGAATCGGCCTCGGAGCCCGCCGCCGCCAATGGTGACGGTGGAAGCGCCAATACCAATGCCGGCGCCGGTGCCGTTGGCGCGGTCGACAACACGCTGGGAGAGCTGACGCTTCGCGACCTCCGGGGCGACGTCGAGGCCGACCGCATCGTACTCAATGTAAAAGAGCAGAGCAAGTTCCTCTCGGACCGGCAGACCATCGCCGAGGACCAGTCGGAAGACTCCAGGCTGTACGAGAAGCAAGTGCCGGGCGACGTGCTGTTCGGGGTGCAGGCAGACATGGAGACGCTCGACGACGACGGGGCCGGCCGGCTGGACCTGCACCTGAGCATCGGCGTCGACGATAAGAGCGACAGCGACGCGGAGGAGGGCACGCGCATGGCGCACGTGGGGTCGCGGGCCGCGCGCAAGGACGCCCAGGACCAGATCCTCGACGGCATGCGCAAGAAGCGCGCCGAGTCCAACTACACCAGCGGCGGCGACCCCGCGTCGTCGCCCATGGGCATACCCTCGGAGATCGCGCTGCGTTGCGCCATCACCAACGCCACCACCACCGAGTTCCTGCGCCAGTTCTGGAACGCCTTCATGTCGCCTGCCGGCGGCGGCAGCACCAGCACCGCGCGCGAGCTCGCCCACCACGCCGAGGCCCTTGCCAAGTCGCGCGAGCGCATCGACGCCCTCGCCGCCGAGGCCGAGAAGATCCGCGACCAGCTCAACGAGAAGCGCAAGGCCCAGATCCGCGAGCACTTCAAGAAGACCAACAAGCGGCTCCGCTACGTGCCTGTCGGCGGCGGCAAAGAAGCCGTGCTCGCCCTCTTCGAGGCCACCCTCACGGGCCTGCACGCCGCCCAGGCCCTGTACAAGGCCAAGGCGGCAGCTGGCCGCAGTCACTGATCTAGCCTGGTTATGTCTAGGAAAGGGCAAGTTTGAAAGAACAATAACTAAAAAGGGAAACGGGGGGAAGGCGGGATCTGCATATTACTAGGACCTGGGAGGCTGCGATGAATGGGAAGGTTTGCTGCTGTGCTCCTTTCAAAAGTTCTGTATACCTACCTCCATGCATGTAACTGTATCTGTACTAGAAGGTTCTTTTTTTCCCCTCTACATAGGGGGGGGGAAAGGGAGAAAATAAAGAGAGAGGAGAAAAAGGGGGAAAAGTGAACCACGCTTCCTCTGTGGATGGTTCGGCCGTTCAAAGCAACAGGACAGGACTGAACAAGACAGAACAAAGTAAGACAAACAAGGACAAATACAACATTGGGTTCGATATGTGAAGTACGTTGAAGCAATTACGTTGTCAATATTTTATTATCATGACCACGCAGCATATATAGGACAAGTACACTTCTTTTTCCCCTCTCCGCTCTCTCTTCTCTTTCTTTCTATTTTCTACTTTTAGCATCACAACCAACCCCCTTCCTCACTGGCTACCAGAAAATTTCGCAAGTTTGAGACTTTTGGGTTGGGGGCTGGTTTCCAAAAAGACCTGCATTTGATCCGAGAAGAAGCCAACAAAAGCAAAAAGCAAATTCTACAAGCTTTGATCAGCTACCAAGTAACTAACTATATCCACTTGACTTCGCCTTTGCCTTACACAGTACTCCACAAACAGAGAAAGCGGTGTTCTAGCCGCCGAATTTGGCTGCGCATGCTGCCATTTTCGGCGGCTTTTAACACCCAGCGCACAAGTCTCTTACAAGTACCATTGGTATGCCTATATCATAGCGGCCTTTCTAGCGCATCTCCGTCACGGTCAAAAGAGTATCTAGGTAGGGCGCCATTCCCGGAGTGTGCAGCACCGTGTTCGCGATTACTTTTATATACATGTACAAAGACAGACAGACAGAGAGGCAAGGAAACATATTATCTATACCCATATCTATACCAAATGCCCACCCCCAAAGCTGTGGATGCAATGACATGAGGTAATTAAACAAGGCAATACAAACAGGCAAGGCAGTCGGTCCGTCAGTCAGTCTCCTGCCTCCTGCCTTTTGTCTTTATCTTTTCCGACGCTGTTGCTGCTTCTTATTGGTGTTGATATTGATATTGGTACAGCCCACCGAACAGCAAACAACAACAAACCGCCCCCAACTCCGCTAACATCTTGCAATTACACATCCACAACCCCTCCTCTCTTTTTTTCTTGTCTTGGTTTATTACTTTTTGAACACCACATCCAAAACAGGATCCTGTTACGGCACACATCACACATGACATCACACAACAACACCGGCGACGACCTGGCGGACGCGGGCCTCGTCGGTGCCCTTGGGCGCGTCGGGCACGACCTCGAAGCCCATGCCGCGGCGGGTCTTGCGGCGGCGGCCGGCGTCGCCGTACTGCTGGTCGAACTTGCGGATGGCCTTGAGGCTGTCCATGTCCTCGCTGATGCTGGCACTGATCTCGCGCAGGCCCTTGTCGAAGTGCGCGCGCGTGAGGATGCGCTTGGGCGGGAACACGAACGGCTCCGCCTCGGGTTTGCTGGTTTCCTCTTCGCCGCCGCCCTCCATCTCGGCTTCCACCGCGGCGGCAGCCTCGGCCTGGGCGCAGTCGTGGGCGTCGCGCGCGCGGTTCTCCTCGCGCACCGCCTCCATGGCGGCCGAGACGCAGAGGTTCTTGAGGTCGGAGCCCGAGTAGAGGTCCGCGTCGGCGGCGAGCGTGGCGAGGTCGACGTCGGGCGCGAGCTGCTCCTCGCGCAGCATGACGCGGAGGATCTCAGCGCGCTCCGTCGCGAGCGGCAGGTCGACGAGGATCTTGCGGGGCAGGCGGCGGAGCACGGCCTCGTCGAGGTCGAAGGGCCGGTTGGTGGCGACCATGATGAAGGCGCGCATGTCCGAGAGGCCGTCCCACTCGCGCAGGAACTGCGTTATGGTCTCGCGGTGGCCGGTGCGGCCAAACGTGTTGTGGCGGGCGCCGAGCAGGGCGTCGGCCTCGTCGAGGAAAATGACCATGGGCGCCATCTTGCGGGCCAGCGAGAAGAGCGCGCGCACATTCTTCTCCGACTGGCCCAGATACATGTCGTTGATGCTGGCGGCGCTGACCTCGAGCATGTTGGCGCCGCTCTCCTTGGCCACGGCCTTGGCCAGCAGCGTCTTGCCCGTGCCCGGGGGCCCGTACAGCAGGCAGCCCGGGATCCGCTCCGTCTTGAGCACTCCGTACGAGAAGGCGTCGGGCCGGACGAGCGAGAGCGACGTCAGCCCGATCAGAGACTCCTTGGTCTCCTTGGGGACAACGATGTCTTCAAAGGTGGTATGTATGTCTTTTGCGTTGATCAACCCCGAAAGCAGTTTCTTCTCGTGTTGGTCGTACTCCTTAGTAGACGTCGACGAGGGCGGGCCGCCCGACATACCCATCGACGCAGCCCACTCTTCGGCGCTGGAGGACCCGAAATTCTGCGATCTTTTCGGGGTCAGCGGAGAAAAGTAGGGAGCGCGGACTCCGGGGGAGATATCTGTCCAGTGCTTGTCCCTGTCTGCCATGAAATCCATGGCATATCGCAGGTGGCTGAGGTTGAACTTTGTGAAGGTCGGTGACCGGCTCCCAATCATGAGCGACACCAAGCGGTAGACCCACGAAATGTCAAACACCCGCTCTTGCAGCAACTTGAGGCAGTCCTGGACGGGCTCCCTCGCGGCGTGCAGGTGGTCGAGATGGGCAAAGTTGTCTGGGACGGTGTCGAAGTCGACGTCGACCGACGGTCCGAGTATGGCCTGCAGCATGTTCTTGATGTTTTCCGTGTTCTCGGTAAAGTTGTCCCCGGCCTCCATCCACTCGGATGACTCGGCCGCATGGAAAGGGATGATCTGGGTGCCTTCTCGGGTCATCTCGATGAGCTGTTCGCGCAGCTGTGGCGACTTGGCGATATCTGTCGACGAGGACCCGATGAGGACCACCCTCCTCCCCTTCTGCCACATGCGGTCGGCTATGGAACGCAGCTTGTTTATGATGCTGTCATTGGCAGCGCTCATCTCCACATAGTCGTGCACATGGATGATCAGGGGCCGCTCCGTTCCAGACCCCGAGTCCACTTCCGAGGCACGCTTGGCACCGGCGGCGGCAACTAGCGACTCTAGCGCCTGGTTCAGCTTAAGATCATCCCAGCGATCGTCCATCATGGTGGATGAGCCCAGCCCGCTGCCTTTCGGCGAGAGGAAGGACCGCAGCCTGGACGGGAGGTTGACGGTGATCATGCCCAGCTCCATTGACTCGGGCGAGGACCGCGACGCCAGTCTCCCGTTCATCTCGGCGGCGGCGAAGCCAAGCATGGAGACGGGGCCGCGGCTCGAATGCAAGTTTTGGCCCAGATGGTGCCCCAGTATGGATGCAATGGTGGCCGCGTCGAGGCGCACCACGTCGGCCTGCAAGTCGGTAGCGATGTCCTCGATGACCGAGTAGGCGATGCTCCGGCCTTTGCGGTTGAGCACCGAGAGAACAGTGATTGGCCTCTGCACGTTCCTCGGCTTAGTGCTGGGATATTCGGCCACGAGCTGGGCACGTACAGCAGCGAGAAGCTCCATGCACACTGAGTACTCGGGTTCGGGCCGGCTCGCTAGGGGGCTTCCATACAGGCCCGGCTCGTGGAAAATGCCGGGGTCAGGCCGGAGGTTGGCAAGCCAGCGCTGGGCGTCGGCAGACAGCGACTTGTCGGCCCACCACGACAGACGCAGCATGCTGTGGTTGGTGTCGGCATAGTGGCGACGCAGAGCCTCGATATGCTCGGGGTCGGCGTCGGGGCGGTGCAAAAGGGCCAGGACCTGGAGCAGGGCCGTGCGGTGGACTGCGCGAAATCTCGCAACAGGCAAGTCCAGAGCCTCTTCAGTCACTAGGGGTATCATTCTGTCGAACTCGAACTTCCACGTGTCGACATCGGCAGGGACCACAGCGGCGTCGTCAAAGTGCGACTGGAGGACATGGAGCACGTTCTTCCGGGCCTCGTCATTGAGGGGGTCCAGGGCGGTGGCGGGCCTGCCGATGGGGCGGTGCTCGTACAGGGAGATGTGCATGTCCATGAACCACGGGGGCAGCTGGACGGGGGAGAACTCTTCGGCGCGGGCACCGGCACGAGCGGCACGAGCACGAGCGGAGCCATAGCCCGGCGTCCTCTGCGCTGTCGCCTCCTTATAGGTCTGCTCGGGCGCTGGCGAAGCTGTGTCGGCAGCAGCTTGGGGGGTGTCGGCCGTGCCATTGTCGGAATCAACAGGGTCAGCAGCGACGTTTCGCCGAGCTTTCGTGTCGCGCGGTGGGTTCCGCGCCTTCTCGGCGGCGGCGGCGGCGGCAGAGGCGGCAGAGGCGGCAGCTTCGGCGTCGTCGGGGCGACTCAGGGCGGGGGACGATGTGCGGAAGCTGCGCACGGCTTGCAGACGAGGCGAGGGACGGTGGCCGTGACCGTGGGCTCGGGCACTAAGAGAGAGAGGGAGAGCGCGCTGGATGGCGACTTGGCGGGTTGCCGAAGCGCAGGCAGCACAAGCCGCACATGGCGCCGACAGCAGGGCTCGCGCCCCCGTGGCAGACATCAATCACTATGGAAGGTAAGGTGATTAATTATCTGGCCGTGGGACCGTCCAATTGGGTCGGGGGTTGCCTCGTCCGCCGTGTCGTGGCCGGGATTTGGCGATGTTTCTAGCTTCCTCGGCGCGGTCGTCGGTCAATGGTCCGTTGTCGTTAACGTCCGCGCTAACAATAACCGGGTAAGGAACGGAAGGTTCGCTATAGAAAATTCGCCGTCGCCAGCCGAGACCGAGACACTGCGATTCATTGCTTAGCGGCGTGTTACGTAAGCCAAGTCCCCGTTGGACGTTGACGCGATCACTTGGAACAGGGGTCCCTGCACTACTGCCCCGGGCTGGCAGTCATTCTGTGTGGCCGACAGTGCTACTACGCACATGTTGTGGCGACGCATGTCACCATTAAGCCTGCGGCAAGTCTCATTGAACTTTGTTTTAGTCCCAATAGATACGTAGGTATACTTAAAGTTAGATTCATAATATTGATTCAACTAAATATGTCAGAGAAAATGGTTCTTGACAAACAAACGTAACCTCGCAGAGCTGGTCCAGAGACCTTGATTTGAATCGCTTTGTGATTGAACTCTCGTATATTGAAAAAAAACCATAAGCCCCGTCTGTCTAACCGGGCTCCCTGTATTCTCCTAAATTTGTCTCGTCTAGAACAAGAGGTCGTCATCTACCCTCCGCACAGCTACTCCAGAAGCAGCACCCCAATGTCCATGCGTCTCCTTCATCCTCCGCTCCGTCCCCAGTTTCCACTGTCCAGCCTGGCTGTACAGTCGCTGCAGGAGCTCCTTCACGTTCCACGACCCTTGCTCGGACCAGTGGCCACCAGACAGCTGCTGCGTGGCCGTGACCACCCCGGCTCTGCCCGCCATCTGCAGCACCACACGGCTTTCAGTCACTATCCAGTTTTTCCGAACATCCACCGCGATCGTATTGGCAAAGTCCTGCACCCGCGCGTTTCTCCCTCCCGGCGGACTGTCGGCCGACAGGCCGCTCAAGAGCGCTGCGGCACGCAGGCTTTGTAGCGTAGTGCCGTCATGTGGCGATTCGGACTCAAGAATCGAGCCTATGTAACTGCGAGCCTCCGCAAATAGCTCCGCGAGCGAGTCTACTGCCTTCTCTAGCCTAGAGTCCTGTGTCTGGGCTTCCGAGAAGAGATATGTCCTCAGGCTCGGTTGTAGCATTTTGGCCACGGCTGCGAGAATGTTCATGACATGCAGCTGCTGCAGAGAAATGCTCCTATCACTGCTCCTCGCCGCGCCCGCAAACCATTCGAGTATGGTTGTGAGGATATTCGTGGCGTGTTCCATGTCGTCGTCGCTGACTTCTCTAGGGGCACAGGCTCTGGTGAGCAGATTCCCCAGAGCGCCCGCATACACCTCCAGGAGCAGCCAGGCTTCGTTAATCTGGGAGGATGCCTGGATCATTGCCGGTATCATGAACTGTAGCATGAACGTCACGATATGAGGATCCCCCATTGCCCTCTCCAAGATGACGCGCTCCTGGCCAAGCTTATCATTGCCGAGCGCAATCTTGAAGTTGTTGTACAGATAATGGAATAGCTGCGGAACCGCAGTCACGTCCTTCTCGCCCAGCCTGACGCCGTACGCGATGATGCCGGCCGTATGGAGCTGGGGATCCTGCATCGGTGGGGAGTAGTCGAGGCTCGGCTGGGTGAAGAAGGCATCGACCACGCAAATACCAACCCCGTGAGACTTGATCAGCGAGATCAACCGTCTCACAAAGCCAATATACAGCCCATGTTCAGCCGAGTCCGACCTCAGAAGCCCCAAGTCTTCTTTCATCCTCTGCATAGCCAGCTGGAGAGTCTTGGCAAACTCGTCTCGGAGTTGCTTGGATTGCGCTGACCCGGCCTCGCGGAGCGATTTGCGCATGTGGTTGATTGCGCAGGCGAACAGGTCGCGGTTCGAGCTGTAGTCTGGCGTCATCTCGGCGCCAACCGTGGCATTCTCCAAAAATGGTAGGTTATGGCGCTTCAGCACTTCTGCCAGGTAGTTCTCGTAGCCCAACAGCCGCGCTGGTTTGACAATCGATAGCACCCAAAGTCCTAGGATGTTTGTCCCAATGTCCTTGAAATCAAATACGTCATTCTTGACAAGAACTGCAAGGAACAGAGGAAGGTAACGCCTCTCTAGCGTGTTCAGGTTTTTGGGCAAATCCGAGAACAGTCCATACTTGCCCGACGAGAAGTATGGGGAGAGTTGCTAATAAAGTCAGTTTCCGTGTTTATGCACGCAACAAGAGGCTCATGACAAAACGTACTATGAGTCTGTCCTTGACAAACCGAGCAGCAATCCTAGCAGCCAAAGTGACGACCTTGTCGGTACAGGCTGCCTGCTCGCTCTGTTTACTGGAGCTCGGTTTTGGTGCGAGCCCAAGGATTGTCCGACCCATCCAAAAGAAGTCTTTGATTAGATGGTCGTGGAACAGCTAAGCCAGGCATGTTCAGTATAAGTCTACGGTAATTTTCAGCGCGGAAAAACATACGAGTACAGCGTCCTCAACTTGACGAGAGTCGACATTGTCAGCCAGTTCACTAGAGTAGTTCTCCTCGGATGCTTGGTCAATCCGATCCAGGTAGTGTTCGACGGTATTCAGTGCCACGCGCAAAACTCCCCAGTCAAAACAGGAAGAGTGTAAGTCGAGGCTTGTGAAGACTTTTTGTAGTTGGGCTAAAGCAGGTTAGAAAAGGGCCTGTCATCAACGAGCAGCTTTTTGACTCACTCTTATTCAATCCATACACCATGGCCTCGAGAGATGTGGCACACTGGAGCACGTCGAGAGATGTCTTGACCGAGACATGAAGCACATCCATAGCCGCTGCCTTATTCTTTGCAATCATATTATCCCTAACCTGAGTGCTGACTCTCGGCATGTCGCCAGACAGAGCTCGGAATTGCTGCTCAATATCAGAGGCCGCCGATAGATACTGGTCCAGGACCTGGTTGAAAATGTTGTTGCGCCATGCAATAAACGGCTTAAAGGTGGCGCCGCTCTCGTCGTTGGAAATGACGAAGCGTGCAAGCTGGCTCCAAGCCCTGATATTGATCAGACATGCTTCCTTGTGCGCGGTACCTGGGACGACCAGCTCCTCTATCAGATGAACCGCCGGCCGCAAATCAGGAGGGGCCGCCCAAAACAGTGTGCACAAGAGATCATGGTGGTTTCTTAGGGCTGCAAGGTCGTGTTGATGTATTATGTCCTCTTTGAGATATTGCCGGTTATGATTCGGCAGCGTCCGCGCCACTAGGTTCTTGATGTCATTGAAACGGCCGAGCTCTTTGAGCCGCTGAATCACCAGGCCCAAGAGCTTGACGAATATATGAAAGCAGCGATCGTCCAGCTCAATGGATAGGGATGGGCTACCATTGAGCTCTTCGAGGAAACGGGGCGACCTGTACACCTCCTCGTTGCGGAAATTTGCAAGGTTCTGAGAACCAAAGAAATCAAATATGGTCCCAATGATACCGGTACATTTGCGCCAACCCCATTGCTGGACGAGAAAATGGCAGCGAGCCACTAGAGCCCGACAATATTCGTTGAAGCTGGGTGGTTGCCGAGGATTTGATTTGTAAAGCTGGAAAACACGCCGTATGAGCTGTTGAGGCAGCGCCCATCCTTCCATTGAGGCCGCTTTCCTCAATCCTGGAATCAGGATTCCCGAGTTGTCAATCTCACAGAGAGGCAGTAGAGTAAACATGTTCTGCCAAAGTTGCTCAAAAATTCGGGAGTCTACGCCCGACGCAACACCTGGTTTGAGCATGACCGAGTGTGTAACGTCCCAAAAGGAGCATCTCGGAATAACGGCGCTTTCCAGGACTCTCATCAAGGTCACCCAGCAGTTTGTGAGGACTTTATCTCGGCGGACACCTCGTTCTCTGGCAGAGAAGTGCTGCAAGTCCTCGTAGAGTTTTCGCAGCTCCTCGACACCGAATTCCAGGAGACGTGACAAAATCATTGACGCACATCTCTTGAGAAGGTCTTCAACCTTGATGTTCTGCACACTTCCCGACGCCAGGCTCAATGAGCGCACCGCGAGAATTGCCACGGAGAAACGGACAGTAACTTCCAGATATGCCTTTTTGGTCGGCTCTGATGTTGTTGTCCAATCCGACGATTCAAATCGGCTCGCAAAACTCGAGAAAACCTCCAGGCATCTAGATATAACAGCCTTTTCCTCGGCATCATCCTGGACACTAAGTGAATCCAAAATATATCCAAGGACAAAGTCGGCCGCTTCGGTCACTCGTTCGCCAGCCACAGCCGGAGACGCAGCGGCTTCCGGACTTAGCTTATCAGCTATCCAATCGACGAGGATGCCAAGCTCAGACGATACCGTGTCGTTCCAGGGGCCCCATCTCAGAGTCTGCCCGTCCAACTCAAAAGACGTTGTCAGCCTCTGCTGGCGAATTCTGTCCGACAGGCCCGTTTCAACTGCTTTCCGGATAGCCCCGCTGCCAATGAGGGTGCCTTCGTGAAAGAAAGTGCCAGGGTCAAGAGGAAAGACCTCAAAGTGTTGAGTATAATGCGTCCCATATGGGCCGAGTCCCTGAAGTTTGTCTCGGGAGCGATCTTCTGGCCCCTGGACAACAAGAGAGACGATATCAGCCGGTAGGGGGTCGTTTGCACGGCTGTACTGCGGGGCCTCCAGGTCGATATGCTGAGGGCGCCTCTTTTTCCGAAACCGAGACTTGACATTTGTCGCGGCTTCGTTTCTTGTCTTGGGCGAGGCCTTTGTGCCTGCCGAATTGCTTGGGAGCTGACGAACAGGCTCTCGAGCCGTCGGGATATCCTCATGAATTGAGTATTCCGAACCATTATCGGTTGAGGCATCAAGAAATCGACGGCTTTTTCTATAAATAGCATCCAAAGAGCGTTTCTTGGAGCTAAGACGCCTACTCGAGCCCTCTCCCTCGCCTGTCTCGAGCTGTGCCGGTCGCCAACTTGCACTGCGTGCGAGCGGTCTCCTCGGCCTTGCGGGCTTAGACGCTACAGGGGTTTGGGGCGTGGTAGGTGGCTTCTCGCCGGTGGCCGTGACGAAACCACGAAGGTTGCTCTGCCTAACAAGCTTCTGCGGGAAGGATGACGCATGTCTCGGTCGAGGCTGTGAGGGCTTGGGTGCTATGTTTGCAGATACTTCTTGCAGAGCCGCTGTAGTACTCGGGGGTTTCGGCTCGCGTAATGACGGAGCGGCAACCCTCGGCCGTGTCTTGCCCGACTTCCAGTCCTGCAAAGCTGAGAGCGCATCGATGTTGTCTCTCCGGCTTGCCAGGCTGATGACCTTCCTGGAGGGGCTGGTCTTCCCTAAATTTTTCTTCTTCCTGACGGCGCGGGCAGCAATTTTTACAAAGTTCGGGGCCCTAGGTTCCAAGACATCTAGAATACTGAGAAGCGGGGGCGTTACCGCTCCCCTCTTGCGCTTGGAGGAAGAACTGTCTCGTTTCCCGCGCTGAGATGGGGCCTGGTTCTCTATCAAATCGGCAGTGGGAGTGCCATGGTCTGATCTGCCAAGAATCTGAGTAATTTTGGATTGTCGGAGCCTTTGGACTGGACGAGGGCTAAATGAAGACCCCGCTTTACTCCTCCTCTTCTTAGATCTGCTCGAGTGATTGAGCGATCCGGACTTCCTCTTCCTTCCAGGAAGCATCCAGTCAATATGATCGTCCTCCATATCCGAGGCGCCATCGCCGTCGCCGAGGTTGACTACTTCCGGCGTCGGTCGGACAACCTTGGCAACCCTGATGGGCGTCTGCGTTAGTCTACCCTCAGACTCATCGGACTCGTCAAATTCGAAGGCGGCGGCAGGATGGCTAGAAGAACTTTGTCTCGGCAGCGCCACACCACGTCTGAAGCCCTTGATGGGAGATGGCTCGGGGCTCTTCCCCACTTTCCGATTGACAGCTTTGGGCTTGGGCTGATCCAGTCGAAGCCATGAGGCTGGCAAGACGCCGCGAATCCTGTGCCTATTTTGGCGTATGGCCTCTGAGCCGCTCTCAGAACTGCTAGCGGAAGGCGAGTCCGAGCCACTCAACTCGCTGTCGTCGCGGTCTTCAATTGATATAGGCGACTCATCAACCCCGTTGATACGCGAAGCATCTAAGGAGAGTGGCTTCGGGGAAGAGGCACGATGTGGTTCTGGGCGTCTCCGAGTTGGAGATACGGGCGCATTACCCAGATCCTGCGGCTGCAACTGGGGTGTTGGTGGTTGCGGAGGCGACGAAGGCAAGTTCCAAATCTCGGGAGGCGGCGAGAAAGCTTGGGAAGAAGCCGGCAAGCGCTTCTGTCTTTTCTTCTGTGACGACAGCACCTTTGACATCTGACGCTTCAAGTAGTTTGGGCCTTTTGTTGAGGATTCCAGGCGAAGTCTATCCGGAGAAGGAAACTCGTCGTCGCCCGAGAGGCTCGTCATGTCGGTATGGTTTCCATTGGTCGTTTGGCTGCTTGGCCGTGGCAGACGGTCCCCGGGCGAGGTTTTTGGAAGTGATACAGACAGAGGAGAGAGGGCCAATTCGTCCTGATCGTCAGGCTCGTTGTCAAACAAAAGAGGGGCGCTCTCTTCTGTGTCTTCGAGGGGAGCATCACGGCTTGCATCTTGGCTGCCGTCGGCACCAAACTCTTGCTCCTGAGAATCCTCCTCTGCAGCTGACTGCTTGTCCATTTGCGCTGGCAGAACAACTTTGACGGGCTTCACTCCATGGGACTTCATGAAGTTGGCGTATTGCGCATTTTCGAGGAGGTAAGGATGCTGTTGAATGGGTTTCCTGGGCCGTAAAGAGCGCTCTAGCCGAACAGCCACCTGCCGCGACAGCTCTTGTTCGTCGTCTCCCGGGGTCGCACGGTGTCGGGGCGGTCCGGGGAGTGCTTGAGAGGGTCTAGGAGAGGTGCGAGATGGCGGACTTGAAGAGAGATCGAAGATCGACAGCGGTCTTGGGGGTGGCGCGCGAGAGACGCTAGGCGGGTCTCTAACATAGCTCGTTGATATCTCGTCCTCGTGGAATATATGCTCGCTCGGGGCCTGGGAAGACTGGTCTGGTACAGCTCGCGGTTCTTCCCTCGGTTCATTGGAGGCAGAGGAAGGGCTAATGTTGCCGTCGTCACCACCGTCGTCTTCGTCAGATGGAGGAGAGGACAAAGGAGGAGACAAGGTGGGCTCCCTCGATTTTGGTCGGGTAATCTTCTTGCCCTTACTGGGGCCATATAGCGGATAGGTTTGCTGAGGAGAGGAGCTGGGGATACTCCAGATGTCGAAATCCTTCTGCACTGCCGCCGACGATAGGTGGTCGACGGCCTGTACGCGAGGCTGCTCGACTGGCAGTTCCAGTTCCACACTGTCGAGGGCGTTGTCGAGGATATTTTCTGGGGCATTGTCGGGAGCATTGCCAAGGAGACTTTTCTCGAGGATCTCGTCGACGGCCTCGTCAAGTAATGTGTCGACATTGTCGTCAAATGGTTCGTCGTCAAAGTCTTGGTCGGAGGCGTCGTCATCCGAGTCCGGAACCTCTCCCAATTCCCTCCAGTTCTTCATGACATTGACTGTTCATATCCGAAGGTCATTGTCTTGTGTTGTCCAAGCAAATGGTCATTTTGTGGTGGGGGGTGGAGTACCGCACTGTGGCTTTTGCTGTCGAAGCCTTCCAGACGCGTAAGAACAATTGCTGGGTGACGCGACTTGAGCTGCACGCTTTAGCATGGTGGGGTCAATTGCACGGCAGCGCTCCGTGCCAATCGGGGGGAGGCGAGCTTGTGGAGGCGTAATCACTGTGGCCTACACTGTACGCGAACTCCGTACGGATACCAACGGGACACTTGCTATTTGCACTGGGGTCGACAAACATCCGAAGAGCCTACGCACAATCATTCCCAGCGCAGCACTCCACTTCGTTTGAGGGACTTGGTGAGAACGAGCTTCTCACTGGGTCTGCAACGAGCGAGCGAAGATATCATGGCCTTTCCCTCAAAAGCAATTGCACTCGCCTTTGTCGTGGGCATTGGTGTATTCAATGGTGCGAAACTTCCGTGCTCATCTTCTTGAGTCTCTGAAAGACTTCACATCTGACAGCACAGCCAGGCTATTACGTGTTCAAGCCAAGCTTTGAGGAGATAAAGGAGCGAAGAGAAGGCACACATCTCAAGTAATAACTGAACTCTCGGAAACTTTACTTGAAAAGAGAAGCTCACCTCCGCCACAGACTCTCACCAAAAGCCAAGGATCAACAACCAGAAACAGAGGACAAATAGGGGCCACGCAATTGACGACCTTCCATTCTTCATTCGCCAGCTCATCTCTCAATTCTGAATCCGTATATTGAAACCACACGGTACTCTATTATGGACTGCCATTTCCAGCCTTCATCAGGAAGGGGCTGGCTGCGTCGCCATGAGCCCAAGCGGCAGTTGTGCTAAAAGCCTCGCCCTCTGTCTTGGTCCTGACATGGTTCAGGAACTCGGACAAGTCCAATGCAACACGCTTGCGATGGAAGAGGGGAGGCTTTTGAATAAGTATCTCAAACATTTGTAAATATTTTCCAGGTATACCAAGGTTCCCCTGGCAGACCGGAACGAAGTTGTATTGCATTGTTCTGTGGTGGTAGACAACCTGTCCAAGCTCCAGCTGCAGCGGTGCCCGTCTCTTGTTTCTCCTCGAGCCTTGAGTCAATTATAAAGGTCACTACACCTCAGTGCTTTCTCGAGTTGTAAATTCAACCAAATCCTCACAGTCCCGGAGCAATTGTACCTAAGAGAGTGCTTGACACGTCGACTCAGCTACGAATTGCAGAAAACGAAAGATATTGGATCCGTTTTAGCTTCCATTTTGGGTCGCCGTTAGCAGCCTTCTGCACTGACCACTGGCTTGATTTAGGTGATTTTGTGAAGCTCCATTCACTGCTTCTCCACTGTATTCTTCATTCGAGAGAGGGGCAGTCCAGAGGGCCAACCAGGGATGAGAAACGGAAGCAAAACGGGCCCCATCAGACCACACACGCACACACGCTAGCTGGGGAGGTGCACCACTTCTCCTCTTCCGAGCTGAGGCCGTCTGCCCGCCCAAAAAAAGCTCGTTGGCATGACTTCACTCCTTGCACCAAAAACAACGTCGACGAAGGAGCTCTCCCAGGCCGTCATCCGCGCGGGCAGCCCAATTGGACCCATCTCCACTCTCAACCTCCCGTACTAAACCACGACTACTTCACCATGCTGCGCACCCCAACGTCGAGCGCGCTGCTGCGCAACGCCGCACGCCGCGCTGCCCGGCCCTCGGTCGCCTGCCGTGCCGCCTCAACCACCCACGCCATCTCCAACCCGACGCTGGCGAACATCGAGAAGAGATGGGAGGGCCTGCCCATGCAGGAGCAGGCTGAACTGTGGATGGCTCTGCGCGACCGCATGAAGGAGAGCTGGACCGAGCTTACCCTGTCGGAGAAGAAAGCCGGTAAGTTCCCAGCCCGGTCGACCTTCGTGGGCGCATCGCAACCACGCCGGCGGCCAATCGGTTCATGTTCCTTGCCCTCGAGGACGGGGCTTCGGAGCTTCGGCATCACTTGAGCAGCGAATTGAGGATAAACTTCAGTCTTTTCGCTGCGTCAATTGATGGACTGAAAAGGGGTAGATGACGCGCAAGGGGAAAGCAGTCGCTGCTCGGGAGACCTCTGAAACAAGCAAGCTGCAATGCAATTGAGGATGTATCGCTAACGATAAACCTTCCCGATGCAGCCTACTGGATCGCCTTTGGCGCTCACGGCCCTCGATCCCTTCCCCCTCCGGGCGAGGGCAAGAAGGTCGCTCTCTACACGGCCATCGGCTTGGGAGTCAGCTTGGCCATCTTCGGAACCCTGAGGCTCTTCGCCAAGCCGCCACCGCACACCATGACCAAGGAGTACCAGGAGCTGACGAATGAGTACCTGAAGGTCCGTCCTTTTTATTTGCCTCGCCGTTTTCCGTGTAGCTGTATGTTCTCTCATTTATTGATCTTATCGCTGACACTACTTCCACACTACAGGCTCAGAACTCGGACCCGTTGACGGGCATTTCGTCAGAAGGCTACTCTGGCAAGGGCCACGTCCAGTCTCCCTCCTCCAAGGCATAGATAGGTGTCGCTCTCCTTTGTTAATAGAAGCAATAATCCTCAACATCAGTCATCCGCTGGTGCATGGATGTTTTTATTTTACTCAATGGCGGCGGAGCATTGTGACAAGGGGAAGACAGTACTACCGGGGAAGTGTAAATATTGTACAACGCTGATAATGCGACATCGTTTCCTTGCCAATACGCCACCGTCTTTTTGTTCTCGGTCATGTACCTGCCTCTTTGCTTGATATAAATGGGAGATATTGTTGATCATCCTGTGTCAAAAATCTCGTCGGCCCGCCCGGCGATCTGCTTGATAAGAGCAGGCTGCCTGCTAAGCCGCTGGCCAACTGTCGTTCATTCTGCCTGTCATCTCCCTGTGAGCGCTGCCCAGAAGCTTTAAGAGTCGACTTCTTAAAGTTGAACGTGTGGCTATGAAGGGCATCGAGAAACCCCCTCTGTTTCCCTCTGAGAGTGAGCCGTAGGAACCTTTTAGAGTATTCAGACACTTGTGTAGCGTTTCATTCTAGGCTGAGTATGAAAAAAGAGAGAAACCCAAAGTGTGCTCCAGTATTTACAGAAAGACGATCTCTCGGCGAATGAATGGGATTAGGGCCCAACTCGGTCCGTCTGATACGCACACCTATGTCAGGTCATACGAACAAAAACTAACGAATACTTCTGCCACCGCGTAGGCGTAGATCCAGGAAGTTTATTAAGTTTATTTTGGTGTGTGCGTGGTGGTGGTTAATAAGCCATTTCAATTTTGCGATATCTAACTGTGGAAGTCCATCCTTGAGCAGACGAAATTCAATATAGATCCAGGCAGTGTCCTTGATCAAATGGGTTAGGTTTATCTATGTCAGTATCCATTTAAAATAGCGAGAAGGAGGCCGTCAACAGTGATAGGAATTGCATTTCTGAACCCGCCCAGAACAACTAGCTCAGCCTGTCCGAGGGGGGGTCCAGCCGAGTTGACTAACAAACCTCGTGCCTCCTGTTGTATTGACGCATGTAGAGTAGGTAGGTAGGCACTGTTGGTGGATATTCATTCTACACACAGACCGACCGACCTATACAGTTAGTAGAGAGCCGCAGCAAGCTACGTAGGTGCTGAAGTGTCACGTCGCGCAACGGCCGTAGCACACTATAACCCACTACAGGTTGCAAGTCGTCGACTTGCAATTCTGGCATCCTTTTGGGGGTTCTAGCGCAGTGGTAGTGGGTGCTGTGAGCTGGCGCCGTCACATGAAGCCAGTCCCAGCTTCGCGCCTGCGGTCGGTCAGGGCATGATGATCTGACCGACGATGACTTCCAGAGCCTACCTTACCTTAGCTACCTTAGGTACATACATATACCTCCCGAACACAACTACTTGTACTGGATAGCATAAGGCAAGACAAGCGGTAGAGGACAATCCAAGTCTCGTGTTCGATTAAATCTGATAAACACATTACGCTAATAGGTGCAGTTTTCCGGCATATGCCAGAAAAAACAAAAGCCGGTATTCTCAACCCTCCCACACAGCCCCATCATCGGGCTCTCTCGGAAGGGTTGGTTATCCGACCACGGTTCTTTTTTCAAGACCGTCCCAACTCCAAGCAATGCATTGTGAAGAAAGTGTAACAGCTATCCCGGGGCCAAATGTCGCCTCCGAGATTAATAAAAAAACACATTCCAGCATCATCAGTATCATGTCTAAGCCACACAACCCAATGCTACTCGTCAAACCAACGACACACAATAACGCCTGCTCGCTTTTTAAACAAAAAATAAAACCCGCCATGCCATGCCGTATCATTTGTGCGTGAGCATCACACGGACACCTCTGAAATGATGTGTCGTGAAATCTAAAAAGAAAATCCGATAGAAAGATAATGGGGTATTGGAGCGGTCAAGGAGTCGCCGGCCGTGTCAGGTCGCGGGGTCCCAGGCTAAAAACACGATGTAGGAGGCTGCGCTTGGCGCCTCCAGCACGTCGGAATTGATAGCTCGAGCAATCGTTCCCGCCAACTTCAAGCTTCCGTCCTAGTTCCGCTTCCCAGCCGTAGGGATCGTCATCGGGCACAATCCCCTCCGTGACCTGAGAACTGAGAAACTTGACCGAGTCAGAGCCGAAACTGTCCGAAGAAAAAGTAAAATTTAGGTGATTGGAGAAGTCCGTCATGGAAAGTCGTGGCGAAGGCGACTCCGACGGGGGGGTATTTTCGGCGTTTTCGCTATGCAGCATGTCAAGGCCGTTTTCCACATGCTCTTTGTCAAAACCGACGTCGACATTCAGGGGCTTCGGAGCCTTGTTGGCGCCTGGCGCCTCGGTTGCCGAGCGTGATGTACGAGCGTATTGAATTGTTGTCTTCCTCGTCCCCAGCTCGCGTGGGAAGCTGCTGGGAATCCTCAAGGGCTTCATCGGCTTAAACGACGAAGACCGCATTTTAGGGCGCGAAAGTCGTCTCGGCCCAGCTCCTCGATCAGGATATGGTGTATAGTTTTTTGCGGCCATACCAGCCTCTTGGCTTCCATTACAGTCTAGCCTGCCAACACCTTGGTCTGCGGTCCCCGCCGTAGGAAGCGGAAAACGCTGGCCAGGATGAGGCTCCTCCCAATCGTTCGACTTGCGCAGAGACGGCATCTCTGCCGCCGGCTGCGTAATATCGTCGCCGAACCTTTCGTCTGTTGGGGTGGACAAGGGGCGTTTCAAAGGGGCTGTAATTTGTGCTTCGAGTACTTGCATGACCTGTAATCCCTATAATAGGGGGCCGCTGCTGTTGCTCTGGCTCGGCTCGCCCATGGGAACATCGGTATCGGAGGTGGCGGAAGTGACGCTTGCGTTGTGAAGTCGCTTGTTGCGACTCTTCCTACTCAAACCAAGCTTCGCTCCCATCTTCTTCCATCCGTTGTTGTGTGCGCTGATCGCCCTATGTAAGCTTCTAGGAGAAGTGCTGAATGCCCAGTCGGACGTTGGCGGCGTTGTTGGGGGGGTCATTGGTTCGTTCCCGGATGGAGATCCCGAACCCTCAGTGTCGTCAGACAGGCCGCCCTCGCGCTCCACCGGCTCGCTCGACGACGAGCCGGTGCGGTGCGCGGGTTCACTGGACCATGCCATGTTGAGCATTGGCAAAAACCCGGCCTTTGATGATCTGTTCGACTCGTCCGGGTTCGAGAAAGACGTCATATCCTTTGGAATACGCAGTCGCGACCTCCCTTGCCTTGGCTCTTGCATCTCTTGGTCCTCAATCTCGTGCGACGCAGCGACCGACGCGAGGAAGGGTACCAGCACCGAGTCGTTCATGAGCTCGTACACGATCGTGACTGCCTCGTCGAGCTCCGAAGGCAGCGGGGGTGTGGGAATTGCTGGGAGGGACAGTAACCGATCGCGGACATGGGCAGGAAGATTCACTTCGCGAGGGCCGCAGGGCAGGATATAGGCATTTATTAGTTTCTGCCACAGCGAACGCACGCGCTCATTGGCATCGGCCGCCCAGCTTGATTGCCCTTGCAAGATGTCGGTGTGGGCGGACCTATAACGTTCAGCATCCATGGTAAACTCGAGCGTTTCCAGGCAGTGGTTCTGAGACAAGAAAGCCATGAAGGCGCCAAGAGAGTACGGAGGTGGTGCGGTGTTGGACAAAATGTCTCGCAATGACGGTGGTGATGTTGTGCTTGTGCCCGCCGAGGCGGGAGGCAAGAAGGCCATCGTCGATGGCCTTGAGGAGGACATGAGGGAGTCCTGGTCGCCGTCCTCGAGGAGGACGGATGACGGCCGAGGCGATGCGTCCCTAAGATATGGGCTTAGGATCGGAGAGGTCGGCGACTGTGCTCGTAACCGCGACTTTGGCATTCTTTCTTCCCGCAAGCTCTCCGGTGGAAGAACTACAGGCAAGGAGAAGCGGCGGCAAGGTGGCTCAGCGTGTGGGACACCAAACGGTCTCTGCTTCGACTATCGGAAGGTTTCGTATGGTCCTCTCTGTCATTCCATGTGCGTGAACACAACGGTGGGCGTCACTTTATAACACTGTTTGTCTGAGATGCAGGGACTTGCAGATGCGGTCGTTTTGAAGTCCGTCGCTGCCCGATATCCGCACACTGCAGTCACCCTTGGCCTCCGTTCCGGGACAAGTACCGACGGCGGTCCAGCCAATGGCCACGACAACTTGGCACGGCGCCGGCGAGAGATGGCAGGGCAGAGCGCAGCTTATGGACGCGCTGGACTCCAGTCGCCGGCCTGTCGGGAATGGTGTGTCAGGTTGGGGACGTCACCTATGAATCTGCAGCCAGCCGAGGGGGGGGGGTGGAGCAGCAGGTCGCGAACGAGATGCAATGGGTGGATCTATAAGCCAACAGCCACCTGGACGGGTAGCTTGATACAGCAGAGAGACACGAGAGCGTTCGGCGGAGTATGACAGAACCAGCCAGGCCTATCTGGCTTCACCAGTTGCCAGGATAGAGACGACTGCGTGTGGTTTGGCGTTAGGGGGTGCGAGTGCTCAGGCTCGCGGAGCAATCCGACTGCGGTGCAGCTCAATGCACCGGACTCGCCAGGACGAGCACGGCGTAGGGAACAACACTTTGGACGGGGGTTTGGGCTCTTCGCTTTTGATTCTCCTTTTTCGCTGTTGTGGTCCTGGTCAGGGGAGCCCAAAGTGGAGGATACACGGAACAGGCTATCTGGGCCCGGACAATCGCTGGCGGAGTGGCGTAGGCGTGCACAAGACTTATTATCGACCAGGCGAGCAAGCTTGCTCGTAGCGTTCCAGACAATACCACGCACCTACCGAGGCTCGGGAATCGGTTAATGGGTTGCAGGTTAGGGCGTGCGGGCCTTGGAGGATATAGATATGCCGTAGGTTGCGTTGAAGTTGATGGTTAAGGCGTGTGCGTGCGTGTGTGTTGTGTGTTTGTGTGCGTGCGTGTGTGTTGTGTGTTTGTGTGCGTTCGTTGACGTTCTAGAAAACACAATGGGCTGAACACCAGGCAGGCGAACAGCAAGACAACAGCGGATGGGAGACGGGTGGGATAAATTGCCGGCGATCTCGTAACAGAGACACGCGACGGGAGGATGGGAGGGGGCGTGTCTCGAGAGGGTATGGCGTGGAGTAGACGGGGGAGGAATGAGCGCCTTGTTTCCCTGGCTGTCCGTCTCTGGAAGGTTGGATGTACAAGGGTCGTGTAGCCTAGCGTACACTACGGGGACATTCGCATGTACATGTACTTTGCAGGCAAGTACGGGCGGGTACTGCGTAATGAAGTGTACTGAACTATTTGTACCAAGTATTGTAGCGAGCCCAAGTAACCTCTAGTCCCAACCCAAGACAATGGACCCAGAGGAAGGGATCGCAGCGCTAGGCGGATGGCAAAATGGCGGAAAGGCTACGCTTCTGTCAAAGAATGACGGACCCAGCGGCTTGGTTAACGAAGGCAAAGAGGCGGTTTGGCTGCGGAAGAGGGGGATCGAAAGGGAAAGCCGGCAAAGGAACGGCTTGCAGCGCTCCTCTTTAATGAATCGGGGGAAGTGCAGGGGCACACAGCGTGGACATGGATGGTGCTTGTGCTTGGCGGACGACATGAGGAAGGTACGAAGTAACCCCTCCCACCCTGCAGTCACCAGTGTGAGTGAGTGGACGACGGTGCGGTTGAAGTACTCCGTCCACGAAAGCACCATTTCCAACTCAAAGACCGGGACTAGGCGACAGTGTACGGAGTCGTAGCTGTGAGAGTGCGAGTTCGCGAGGGCACCATCATGGAAAGCCAGCAGCCTAGGAAATGCTCCGACGAATGGAGGCACAGTTCACGACTATCAAGTAATCACGGCCTACATTTACGAGGCAGGTAGTAGGCAAGAGAGTACAAAACTGCAGCACGAGTGGTGTAATTATTGCAGAGCAAATGGACGGGCATGAATAGGTAAAGTCAAAGGCTACTGATAGTGTTTCTTCTTGACACTATCTCACAAGAGAATCGGCTGGCCGATATTCCAGGGAATGGATATTATTACCAAGCACTATTACCATGTGTATTCCGTACCATCCATACCATATAGACAGTAGAGTACTTCCGGACCTTGAGTTGGGTATTGACTGGGGCGTACCCCTGCCATTTGCCTCGCCATTTCCTTCGCCGATGCAGGGCGCGCTGGGCGGAGATGCAAAAGCTGGCTGGCATGGGGCGCTGGGACATGGGGCATTGGGCGCGGCATGGGGCAAAAGAAGTGGGGAGGAGCCAAGCCAGCCTAGGAGAGAACAGCCGAACGAAACTGCGAGGCATCCGTAGCGGAACCCCCTTTCCTTTGTCCACCTCAGTTTTTGCTGTCACGCCATTCCGGAGCGGGACCGGGCGGCTGTCGACCTAAAGATCGTCTGTATGGGCAACCATGGGACGACAAAGTTTCCTTAACTAAAATCTAGGCTGCTGGATGGAGGGCGCACCCGTTGGGAAATGGTGGGAAATGAGAGAGATGGAGGCGCCAGGCCTTCCGGGGCCTGCACGAGATGGAGGTGGAGCCGACCTGCCGCCTGCTTCTAGAAGCCCTAGAAGCCTTGGAAGCCTTCTTCGAGGGGCGAAAGAAGCCGGCACCTGTCCAATCACATCGAGCGGACCTCGTCATCCAAAATTGATTGGCGTCACCGCAGGCAGTCCTACGATACAATTGGACAATGTGTGCCAGTATGGTTCCCATGCCAAGGTTGCAGTTGCAGTTGCAGTTGCAGTTTCTAGAGTCTTTTCCAGAACCCCCTCTCTTACATAATGATGCATAAGTCGACATCTGGAGACTCACGGCCATGGGGCAGGAGGCTGCCGAACTCAACCTCGCCCACCCGACTTTGAATGCTCTGTGTCACGGCTGGCCGAAAGCAATGCCGTGGCCCACTCTTCGGCGCTACATGGTATAGGGCCTGCAACAAACACGTAGGTTGACACACAGCGCCGCAGCACGCAGTACCGTCCCATGTGTTTGAATTGTCTGCACAGAAGCGATCGATCTCGCCAGGCAAACCTGCTCCAGTGCGTGCGACATACCCAAGCCACTCGGGAATTCGACCAAGGTGCTGCTGCCATCTGCAGGTTGCCGAAGCGGCGAAGACATGTATGAATGCCTCACGTATGCACAGTCCACTCCATGAATACATTTTGGCTAGCGGGTGACTTTCAAGATCCGAAAGGCATCAATACCTTACGGCTGGCCCTCAAGGTTTTTCGCGAGGGAGGTAATAGCCATTGAAATTCCCATTATAGAATCTCAGAGGCTTGTCTCTCCTTAGAAAAACTTACGTAGGTATTAGAGGCTATTCCTGTCCATTTTATTACTATTATCTTTTTGCTCCCCGAGTTCTACCCCAACGAACATTCGGGATTGGATTGTATGTACTGACATGCAGCGTAATCCGCGCCTACCCATACTCTGCTCCCAAGTGTATGCAAATGACAATCGGACATGGGACGACTACTACCAAGCCGGCCAGCAGATCACGGAGTGGTTATTCCCGGGCCCAGCTGTTGAAACACTAAAAACACGTTGCGGTGAGACGCAAAATCAACGCTAGTCGCGCTTCCCGAAAAATGGAAGCCACGCAGAATGTCAATGGATGTGACTGTTCCCCAACTCGTCCCGAAGGGCTTCTGCTTGGGCCCCTTGGCAGGAGCTCGGCGCTCCGAGTAGTGGAGCCATCCAGTGAACCACAAGCCTGGCCAGGTGTGCAAGCGGCTCCACTCTCTCCACACTGCCATTGGACCATATCGCCGAAAGAGTCTTGGGGGGCGCGAGTCGTGCAGGGTCCGAAACCAAAAACCGAAGAAAAAGAAAGCATTTCCCAAAACAGGCCTGGAGCGCTGGACGCGGGAGCAGAGAAAGCGCCTCTAGTGTAGGAATGCTGTAGGAATGCTAACCTAATCTAGGGTAGGTCTGCCGACGGCTACCTCGGTTCAGGGAGGTAGGTAAAGTCCAGCACGGAAGCATGCGCAGTGCCCACCGCCAACGACTTACGGACCATATACGGATTGCATATACTCCGTACGTGCGGCGAACGACGGTCAACTCCAGCCGTCGTTTATCTCGTTGCGCCCGGACCCTAACTATCTACCGAGTATAAGAAAGAGTCCGTGCCCAATTGGCAGTGGCCAGATCCGAGCAGTTACGGGAGCCGATGTGTCAAAAGAACCACTACACAGTACACACAGAATGGCAGCGGATACGGCGTCGGAAGCGGAAGCGTTAACGCTGTTCCAACGTCAGCCATGACGCCCTAGTCGTCCGATATAGCATCACGAGACCCAGTCTCTCTGCTGGCGAGAGGAGGGTTTCCCTTGCTCTACCAGACCTGCTCGTTGGAGCCTCTTCAGAGGTCGTGATCTTGGGTCATCGCCGGCCCCCACCAACCTCGGGACTCTCTTTTACGTGTAGAATGGGGATGAGTGACAGAGAGAGCAAGTCGCCGACGTGGGACCCCAGTCGGCGAAAGATGCAGATACAGAAACTTTGCTGGACACGGTCCGGCTTGCCCGACCTTCCCCAGTCTGTGAAACGGGATGATCGCCCGCGGCGTTATGCCGAGCCGTTTTTGGCGGCCCCCTCCGAGAATGGAAGGACGACCAGTTGTCTGGCTTTTTTTTGTCGATCGGCTCCCGGGCCCGTTTTTTGGCGAAGGGTCGCGTCAACGGCATGATGCCGCCCCCCGGAACCCACAACCGTGTGTGTCAAAAAAGACAGCCAGCGGTTGCTGCTACCACGTAACAAGACGTTTTTTTTTTTACCATTTTTCTGGGACCGTCCCAAGTCCAACTACCCAGCGCTGGTAGCCGCAGCCGCCGTCCACCAATGTAAATATTACAAGGCAAGTGGAATTTACAAAAGAGCAAGTACGGATGCTGCTCATGTTTACGCGGTTCTGTAAAGTGTCATGGTATTGCTGATCGACAAGGTACGCAACCGGCGTCTTTTTTTCCTCTTGAATCAGCCCATGACGGAATGCGCTGTGGAGCAGACCCAAGAGCCAAAGATATTCCCCCCCCCCTTTAACCCAAACGAGTCATGGAGTCATCTCTCGTGCGCCAGCCGGCAAGGACAAAGACAGGGACACTCTGGCCTCGTGCGTGACTTGGGCGACCGGGCCAAGCTTGACTCCGGTGCAATATCGGACGACACGGCTCCCGCCCGCTTGCCCGCCCTTTGAAAGGCGAGCGTCTACTAGTAATGAGACGGAGGGACGACAGGCTCGTTGGGACGTTTTGTTTGTCTGTCCATCGGCTGGAGCCGTTGGGCTTGTCGCTGTTGGGACACGGGTACGGGTTCGTTTTGTTGAAGAAGACGCCAATACCGTACAGTACCACTATCGAGGGAGGCGAATTTCTTGACTTCGTCCTAGTGGGGGGCTATAACAATCGGCTGGTTGCTAATAACGAACAAACGCCCACCCGTCGCACATACATACCTCAGGCAGGCAGGTGAGGCAACGATCGCGGCCCGAAGCCAGCACTCACTCAGCTAGGTAACACCAAATACACAAGGTATATGTATCACCAAGGCGGGAGGATGATTGTGCCGTTCACGGGTCCGGTGGCGGGTGTGGGTGTGGGTGTTTGTGCTACGGAATACTGCACGTTCGTTCTAGACGGCTTCCATGCATGATAGCAGTTGCCAGGTCCGAGTTCTTGTTGTTGTTGTTGGTGTTGGTGTTGGTGTTGGTGTTAGTAAGAGCTGCCATATCATCTTACTGAGTATCATGTCGTCCTATTCGCCCAAGAATATGATTTCCCGGCGCGGGCGGACGCCTCCTTTGTGTCTTGTCCATGCACGCTCGCAGCACCCGCGGCATTTACACGCGGATTTGTCCACGTGTTAGTGATAGGTATGGGACGGCATGGCATGGCATGCTATGGCATGAGTATTGGGTATTGGGTGCTGCCAGCCAGCCACAGAGGCGCTCGGTTCCGTCCCGTTGGCTCAATCAGGCATGCGCAGAGAATATTCCATCATCTTCGTTTCCCAACCCGTGTCTGTCTGTCTGTTCTGTCGGCCCTGCATATACTATCCTCTCCATCTTGCCTGATCGCACACAGATTTGGCGTCGCGCCTTATTCCCGCCAGCCACACAATACACACACATCACATCACACCACTCGGGGCTTTTCTTTCGACATATTTCCCATTCCTCTATCTTATGAACTTCCGGAAACCCAATAATCCGTACAGAAGAACCATTGCAGCGATTTGCGGTAGCCTCCCGTTTGAGCGCGGCGCTGCTGCAGGCCAATCTTCAATTCATCCGCGTCCTTTCACCCGCAGCAGCAGCGAGACCCTTTTCCCTGTGCCCCCATCCGACACCACCCGCTTTTGTGTTTGGGGGTGTGTGTGTGTGGATGTGGATTTGTGGAAGTTTGGGGCGTCGCACCGTAGGATGGACCGTCCGGATCCGGCATGGCGTATAGAAGGGCTAGAAGGACCGGAATGGCAGGCTTCTAGAACATTTCCCTGACGAGATTGGCGTCCCCGTCCCTCTCCCCCCTGTCGCTCGCGATGATGGTTGCAGCAAGACCGCCAGCTTCATATGCACGGGCACCGATGTGTTAGTGCCACGGAGATGCCGCCCATTCTTCGCCTTCAGTGAGCCTGTGAGGCGTGAACGAGGCAACAGGTTTGTGGCAATTCCGGGATATTGGGGTGGTCAGACTGTCAGTCGGACGTACCTGCACACGCTTGGGTCGTTGCGATCCCATCAAGCCACTCGTCGGATCAACGTTATTGTATTTTTTGGATAGGTGAACAAGTGGCTGGGAGTGCTGCCGCTGTCCCGCTGCAGCCTGTCCCCGAGATTTCAATCTTACTTGCCAAAACCAGTCACCGTTCCCATCAGCGCTCTTCCCTTGTCCACGTGCGTCGTTTGGATGCAGGACGACCGACGACGGTCCCGGGCATTGCGCACGGTCAAGGTCGTGGCCTCGGTCACGACTCACGAGCGAACCGGAAGGCACTGTCTTGGCTCCTTCCGAGAATCATTTCTTCGACCGTTGTTGTTTTTACCTACCTACCTAATTTAACAACTGGGATCTCTTCGATCATTCGTTTTCGTGCTCTGTGCTCTGCGCTCTGGATGCCCCGCGATTCGATGCATCATGCACATCTTTCCAAAGTCTTCACAGTTCACACCGCTCCTCAGCCAATGGGACGGAGCGAACCACACTGACTACAAAGGAGCAGCGAGGCTGCCAATAACCGTCGATATTATCGCTCGTAAATCACAAATCACAATTCCAACCTTTGCGAACGAGCCCCGAATGCGCCCTGAGAATGCTCCTTCCCCAACCGCTTAAGCACGCGCAAACCGTAAGGCGGGCTGATGATGGTTCGCCTCGGTACCTGCCTTGCTGCTACTACATACACCGCTTGGCAGAGAGGCTCTATTGAAACCTGACGGAGCCCGTTGTTCTTTTCGTGGACTAGGTATACGGTAAACACTAGTGTTGAATCTTGTAAAGCCCCAGCCTCCCTTCGGGTTGTGCCGAAATCT